GTTGACCACATGCTTTATAGAAAGTGTTTTGATCCTGTCACAGCCGCTGCAATATTGATTCCATTAAAGCATTTAAAAGTACATTTACAGAGTTTGACTGTGGGGGATGTTTTTGCTGTATTCAGACCCCGTAACTCCACTTTCCCATAAATCTGCCGTAGGTGGAAATAAATTCAGTTCATGAACCCTTTTCAAAACCACTAGAAACAACCAATCATAAATAGCCATTGCTGTTCAGAGCATGCAGGGTTTAAATGAATCTTTGACGCCACCGCTTTTGGTTAGACCTATTACATATATGCAAATTACAGATTTTCTGCCTTTTTTCTGAATTTTATTTTGCATCTAATCGGTTCTTTTCTCCTCTCCACCCTCTTTTTCTTCTAACCCCTTCTAAATGAAAGCAAAATATGTTTTCAGTTTGCAATGGCTGTGGTGTGAATGAATCATTGAGATGATGGGCTGAACTGCAGTGAGAAAACATGACACACTGACAATACAGGTTCGGGAAAGTCAGCAAAGGTGTATTTTGGAGTAGAGGAGAAAAGTACAGAAAAAAAGGAAAAAGAGGAGGAGGCAGGGGGAGGTCAACAGAAGGAGAGGCAGATGCTCGTGCCTCGGATGCCTGTGCTCGAATAATTACCCTGATGAGATTCACCAAGAGCATCACGAAATGCAGAGGAAGAGGAGCAAGGGTTTGGGAAATACCTCACGACACAGAAGAAAAGAGAGAACAAAATGATCGTGTTTTCTTTACACACAGTGCAGCACAGTGTGCGTTTACGGTACGTGGGTTTGGCGTGTTACACCTACTGTTTCTTCTGTCTCGTGTTTTCTCCCTCTACGTCATACATGGCGTGAGAAAGTGGAGCCTCCCTCTCATCTTTAAAAGATGCATGAAGCAGCAGCTACAGAGTGCCACGGGAGACTGTATAGAAGATAAAGAAAGAAACCCTGAGCAGCGAAAGCAGCGGCAGCAGTTTTCCACCCTGTAAAACTGCTATTTATAACCACTAAATGTTTCAGTTTCTTTCTGCTGAGAGAGAAAATACAGGGACACCATAAATAAGAGCATAATCAATTTTCCCCCAACCCTCCCTGATTGTATTTCGAGGCCAGCCCGGTGATCTCTTTCTGATTTTCGCTGATATAAGGACTTCTGCTTGAGTTCTAGTAGCCGCCTCCTTTTCGAGACTCTGCCTGGCACAGTCAGATGGCAGCACATCAAAAACAGAATCAACGCCCGGCCCTCTTCCTCTCTTTCCTTCATGCACCAGTGAAAGAGCTTGATCTGTTTCTATCTACAATCCATCGTTCTTCCTGAGATTAAAGGACAACACCGCGCGGTTGTGTTGCGAGTGCAAAGACCACCTGTCTGGTGTTACACCAGCACAAACCACTACTACGCTGAACATCACACATATACACACAATCCTTTCATGAGGTAAACATGTATTGCACATATCGCTGTAATAAATTTTCCTATCTAATGAAATATTGGAGGCACAGCTTCACTTCAAGATGGTGTGATGGAGCACCATGTGAGGTAAAAGCTAACTTTACAAATTTTGCATTTTTTGCACTTTATGAATTTGTAGGAAACACACAGATGTGGCTTAATAAATAGACTAAATGAAGTACATTTTTTCAAGTACACCTAAATGTAATTGTGAAGTACTCTTTCCCTTGTTGTACTTTTCAGTGTTTTTGTGATCTGACAGCTATTCGTGGGCAAGATGGCGCAGCGCTAGTGGCGACTCGTTGCAGCAGCTCTCGTCTTCCTGTTTGTTTTTTGCTGTTTTATTGCTGTTTGTGGACAAACTCTGGTCCTTCTTTTGAGTCTGTATATCTTTATCTTATTTATTTGTTTTTTGTACCCGTTATGAATGTGCATGTTGTGTGTACCGCTGCTGTTAACGACTTAATTTCCCCACTGAGGGATGAATAAAAGAAAATAAAGGCAAATCTATTCACTGCTATGTCAATCTAATCAATATCAAATTAAATAAAGAGAAGGTGACGATTGTCTTAAAAAAATTAAAACTAATGATTTATTGTGGAGGAGTGTGCAATTAGTTCATGCACATCTGCTTTAATCTATCTTATAAATCTAGTTTGAATATCTGGTAACCCATTTCATGTCCTTTCTAATCATTGTGATTGATCAGCATTATTTAATAATGCTCTAATAGTGGATATGAAACAGTTATTTCATACACAACCTTTTTTCAGGACAACAATGCTGTATTCCAAATCCGTGTGTTCCCTCTCTGCTGTCTGATGGAGCTGATTTGTAGGTCATGTGTGAGCCCCAGAAATAAACTGAGAGAGTGGGAGTGCAAAGGACTTTTACCCTCTAGTGGTGAGCCTGGGGAAAGGCCTGTCAAATTCATTCAGGGAAAAAAAAATTCAATTGCCAATTATCCCTGTTCAGTTGTGCATGGAGGCAGTGACCCAGTTGGAAATAATTTTCAGATATTTTTGAATTTCATTTGTTATTCAGCAGCAGTAGTCTGATACCGTAAGGTGTAAATGTGGGAGTTCTGCTGAACAAACAAGTAAAACTTTTTTTTTTTGAGTGCACAATCACTCAGTCTGATGTCACTCCTCCACTTTGTGACTCCCAGCAGAATAAAATCAGCAGAGTGAATTAGATGCAGCCGATTGTGCTGCATTACAGAGACCCCACTTAGGGCAGACAGTATAACTTCTTATGAAAAATAGTACATTAAAGATCTCTAAAAGGCTTTTAGTATGGTTTCAAAATGTTCACCATCCATTTGAACACAACCTCACAGATTCATAACCTCCCTCTGCATTTGCGTATACCACAAATGTCTATACTATATATTCAAGTTATAAGAAAACGCTGCATCATATCTATTTATCCCTGATATACTATGATGTTGTGTAAGTTATCGTCACATGTACAAGTTGCTTTAAGTGCCTGAACATAATACTTGATAACAGCTCTTAAGGATATTATTATTCTACAAGTGTTAGTGTCACGTGTGAGAAAATCACATTTAATAGAAAGGCTAATTATCTCAAATGAAATGGAGGTCAATAATGAAACAACATTGAGTTATACAATCCTTGACAAAAACCCTCATTCCAATGTCATATTAGAGTCAAATTGGATTAAGAAAGGGTATATTTAAACTACTTCTTTAAAAAACCCCACAAAGGTATAGCCTCAGTAACAATAAATTGAAATATATCATTTCAAGCTTCAGGGCTACATTTTGGTATACTTTCAATTTAAATGAAATTTGTACAGTGTGTATTTCATATTAAAGCTCTCCTCTTGTGGCATGGGTTGCAAATGGTGAGTCTGGCTATTGCATCAGTCTTTTTATTCGCTTTTGACAAATTTAAGGTAAAATAAGATATTCACCGCAACAAACACTGTATTCCCCAAACATTGTGTCATCATGTCAAACACTGATAGGACATTAGTGGGAAAAACAACATTATTTACCGCTCAAAGAAAATCTGGTTGGTTTATATTTAAAGGTTTGATGTTGAGTGTTCAGTAATAAAATTGACACATCAGGCATCATAAAAAGCCTCTTCAACCATGCCTAGCTATTTTTTTTTCACACATGCAAGCACAGAAATACAATCACACTTTCAAAGGCATGCACACCAACATATGTTTAGAAAAAAACATCAACCGGCTCAATATTTCACAGTTTTGCCTGCCCATATTCCAACACAAAAGCTGTGACAATGTTTCCAGAAACTCATGTCCCCGAGAATAAATACAGAATCGAGCTCCACGATTGTTTTTTAGGCTACCTTTGTTTCATTATTTTCCCATTAAAAAATAGACAGGGAAATCTCTCAGCCCATGAGCGAGTGTGTGGGTGTGAAAAAAAAAAAAAGACATAGAAAGAAAAAAAAAAAGGGGGAATAGACAAAGACAAAGAGAGAGGAATCAGGCAGGGAATCGGTGGTATTTAAAATGAAGATGACACATGGGATAGTTTCCATTGCGCCTCAAAAGGCTCTCCTGAGATAGAATGACAACATTTCACAGCCTCATATGAGTCACACACACACAGACATATGCACTCACTCACATACACACAGGCTCATAAGAGAGCTTCATTTGGCTTAGGGGCGGGCGGGGTGACAGAAATGAAGGCTTTCTCTTGAGGTGAAGGAAGGAAATGGAGTCTTACAATAATCAGGGGAACATTTCTCTTGTGCAAATAATGCCACACACTTATAGGAGGCTTAGAGAAGTGTGTATTTGTGTATCAGCATGAGGAGAAATTTAATTTTAACGAGTGCAAACTAATGTCTTCACATGGGAATGTATGTGTGTGCAGTGCTACACATTTAAAATGCATGGAAATCATCACACCGTTCTGTATCTATTTGCTTATTTACTGCCTCTATCCATAAAACATCACCAACCTGCTTTACCTTCCTCTGTTTTCCACATTCAATCTAAATATCACCAAAAGGGTAACAGGCCCACAGACATCATAATGGTAATACACAATACACCAATGACAGGAATGGATGTTTCATAGGGTGGGTTTGGTTGCATTAAAATTACTACCTTACCTGTGTAACCTGTTTTTTCATATGTGTGGCACATGTTCAGTGGCATAAAAATAGTTTGTAGTGAAATAGCATGTTTGGCAGTCATAAAAGTAGTTGGATAGAAATATGCTCAACTATTTAGCCTTGGTAGCCTTTCTAGTTCTGTATAGGTGGGCAAAACGTTTGGAAATATATTGACCAGTCATAACATTATGAACCCCTAGGAAATCCCATGAAATCCATGCACTAGGTCTACCATAAGGTCTAATTTCAGGAAGCCTAAGCCTTTGTTAAAATAATCAAGTGTTTATAGTGCTTTATATCTATTATTGGGAGGTGGTGGTGTTCTGGAGAGTGCTATATTCTAAGGTGTTCCTTATATTTTGTCCACCATGTTAATATGCTTGGGGAAAGGGGCCAAAATATTAAATATTAGGGACGCCGTTCAATTTCACTCCAGGTGCGTTCCTAATGTTGTGGCTGGTCATATAGTGCACAGACTGTGAAAGAAAGGGCGATTTTTCGGCTTTACATTCGTTTTACAACAATAAAAATTTGTTTGAACTCACCTGGACACACACTCCGGTCGTAAAGTCCCGTCTGTTCCCACTAACGCCATCTCCTACACGGTTGCCAGTTTTAACTCATCCAGGTTTGGTGTCACCACTGAAGATACGGACAGGTGAACAAAACACAACTCCAACTCTTTTTTCAGGTGTAAAGGACGCTAAAAGGACGCTAAAAGGTACATTTCGAGCAAAATGTGTCAAATGAACCTGGTAACTGATCGATGAAATGAAAACACGCAGCTGTTGAAAATCGGATTCGACCGTTGGTGTTAGCTAACGTTAGCTAGCTACAGCTTGTCGAAGCTAGCTAACCTCGACGCAAGAAACCGACTCTTTAATAATTTGTGGTGCAAAACCCCAAAAGTCGTAAATTTTTGTATGGAATTTTGAGCAGCTTTTAATGTAATATGGAGGTTAAAATGTGTGGAAGTATGTCAGGACACACCATGTTTACCCCTAGACCTAGTGGTCTACTATGGAAAGTTGACCATAGGAGACCACTTTTTTTTGGCATGCTATATTATCATGACAGTTATGGACACTCATTCTGTTGGTTTGCAGGGATGCACAACATCTTGAAATATATACAGATACACTAGTTAGAGACAAAACTATGATTGACTTGATGTAGTGATCCAAAATATGAAAAATGGTTCATCTTACCCCACTCTCCCCTATAGGAATGTCTAATACAGTTTCAGTGTGTCTTTCAAATTTTGTTTTATCACAGGTGCACAGTTAAAACTTTAACTCCTATAAAAGCTTTTACTCTTTCTCTCAGGTTGCTTGAAATCATGACTGACCAGGAGGTATTAAAGTGCACTCTAAGAAGAGGTGTTCATTTGTACCCTCCACGCCTTCAGCTTCCCAGGGTCTATGGGACAAGTGATGTGCCAAGATATTCTGGTGCAACTGGACTGAGGTGATAAAAGGAAGGGAAGATGTGAAAATTTGCACTTAATTTCATTTATTTGATTAAAGAAGTGAAATGTCACTGTTCATGTTCCCATATTAGTGAAACTCTGTCTGATTCTGGGGACCATGACCAAGTGAAAGAAGATGTATCTTATGAAAGAGGTGATGGATTCACAACGGAGAGGGACTCCATCCAGAAAGTTAAAGATGGATCTGCTCATGCTGTATTTAAAGATGAGGTAAATTAAATGAAAAGACACATTCTTTAACTGTGTAAGATTTTGGTTTTCACCCAGTTATTTGATCTTAGTGAGTCACTACAAACATCTACAACCCTGTGAGAAACTAGAAACTTTCAGTCCTTGAGTGTCATTCACAGTCATCCCTAAAAATGTGGTTATATTAAAGTTTGATAAACCATATTTCAAAATCTGACATCAAGTGAAATCTCAACATCTGTGATTATAAGCATCAGTGTACTTGGCCATTGAGCACGGGAGTGATTGACAGCATCATTCAGCTCGCCTGATGGTTCAAAACCATCAGCAGCAACCGTGTCACTAAAGCTGTGAAAAACAGAAATTCATTCTTAATGTTTATCTCACACTTCACATAACCCCTTCAAACCTCTTTTTTTTATTTGCTTGGTTTTTACCTTAATGATACATGTTTTTTGTCTCAGATTGGCGACTCAGATGATGAACAAGCTGTCCTCTCTCTCCCTGGTGCGTCACCCCGAGGAAGTATTTCCTCCGATGACAAGCTGCCCCTGGATCAGATCAAGGATACAAATACTGAAGGTGCAGTAGTGGCCATGCTGTGTAATTTCACACTGTGTGTCAATAATCAAATTTTGTCTATTTCAGGGAGCAGTCGTCCATCCAGTTTTTAACCTCTGTAACCTCTGTACCAGTTTGTATCCCTGATCCTTGCTAGAGGTTGCAAGATCTGGTCTCTGGTATTGAAGGACTGCTGCCTCCTTCCCCTAAGTTTGGTTTGTTTTGACCTCAGGAATGCATGTGTCACTCAATGTCCTCAGTGCTTACTTCAGTTATTTCAGACTCTTTCGCTCTGAACACACAGTAGCGGTGTAATTTCCAGAATGAAGTCATGACAGTTAAATCCAACAAAGACTGAAAATCTCTCAAAATCTTTTTTATGTTTGTATTTTTTTTAAGCGTTATGAATACGTGAATTTTATGGACCAGAATTATGTTCTCAATTTCTGTTACTATAACTTAATTTAAGTTTTTTAGTTTAGATTTCACTGATGAATGCTAGTGTCTCCATGCGCTTCAGTCATAATGCGGTGAAATGATACCAGTGGCAGCAGGAGGCAAAGCGACAGACAGACAGAAGAATTTCAGTAAATTTGTAATGAATGGAGACATATTTTTTGTCACTGATTGGTACACTATTCTCTGCAGCGGTACAAATCATTTATCACTTTTTGCGTAACATTTGCAGCCAACAAAAGTTTTTAAAGTGAGCCATACTTAATGCCATCTTAAAAAATGTGATGTACATTATTCAAGTGTTATAATTTGATCTTTCCTCTCATAATTTGGAAAACAGGCTGGCACAAGAGTCACATCGAAGCATTGTGTAGTGAGACGTTTGACAGCCTCCTGAAGATGTATCCAGACTTCCAGAGTTGCAAGAGCCACATGGCAGCATTTGTGCTGATAAAAGGTAAGCACAGTCAATGTGTAAGGGACAATTTTTAACTAAGAATACCTTAATTGTTTTTAAAAAGCTTAATTTTGTTTTATTTTGGAGTTCATTTAGTAACTTTGGTAAAGGTACTTTGCAGGAAAGATAATGAGGCTCTGCTGTTTGTCTCAAGGCGATCTTCAGCAGTCGGTTGCTGTGAAGTACATCGAAAAAAGGGCCTCCTCTCTATAGAATGTTTACCGATTGTATTAAAAGATGTGCTAAATATCATCAGCATGTCAATGGAAGACAGTGAACTCCAGGTTATTTACAGCATCCTAATTAACATTAGTATACCTACATTACTTGCTTTGTGCTCAGATTGTAACATCACTGCGTTTGTGACCTTGTTTTCCAGCTTCAAAAGAAGATTTTGACATTTAAATGCTAGACAGCAGTTACAGCCTTCTTTTCTTCATCTGGGGAAATGTGTTTGATTGTGATTGTGATTGTGATTGCGATCCGTGAGCATCTCTCGTCTTTGAATACTTTCAGTCAAAAGTAATGGTTTGAATAGGGAGTGATGAATCACCGCACAGTTAAATGACCTTCACGTATTATTCCCCAAATCAGTCATAACTCAGTGAGTCATTCGAGCTGCTTAAGTTACTGACGTGAAAGGAGAAGTTGTTTGATTTCCTCCACAGAAGTGTTGAACACAGAGGGCTGTCCTTGCGAGCAGTACAAGGTGGTGGCGTTGGGAGCTGGCCACTCGAGCTGCAGCAAGTGGCTCTGCTACAATGGGACGTTGGTACACGACTGCCACGCAATCGTCATTGCCAGGAGAGCTCTTCTTAGGTACAATCCTCTCTTATGGGAGAGAAAAACCTTGCCCTGCTAATATCTATTTCAGTTTTGGAGGTGAGAGGTGGGGATGTTGTTATTCTTAAATACGTCCTCTTAAATCTAAAGACTCTTCCTAATGAAATACATCAATGTTTTCTTCTTGATGTTGTTAAAACCCTCAATTGCAGTGTGACATTGATTCTCGTGGCCTGAATGGGCGACCTCGCCCTCTTCCTCCACAGAGGGCTCCTGTACTTTCGGCTCTAAGTGAGACAGGTTATTTTCTGGCTTGTGTTCAGGTTTCTTTACAAACAGCTTCTGCTGTTTTTTGATGCCGATCCAAAGGCCAAGGAGAACAGCATTTTCGAGAGCAGTGAAGACAGCCACCAGCTTCTGCTCAAACCTGGCATCAGTCTGCATCTCTACACCAATCGGTGTCCTGAAGGAGTGACCATGAACTACTTCCCCAAGTACAGTAGGACTTTAGTGTGTTGCAACATTCATATTTGTCCTGTTTGGCTTATTCAGTGAATCTATTCATCGTCTTTTCTACCTTGAAGTCAGTCAGAATTTCTGGGTTTCTGGGGTTATGATGCGATCTAAATGAGTGACGCACAACTTTACGTCCTCCTCAGGGGTCCTGCAAACGGCCCTTCAGGGGCCATGAAGCTGCACTATCATGCTAAAGGCCTGCTGGTCCCTGCAGCTTACCTTGAACCAAGTGTGCAGGGTGCCAAAGTCTGCTGCATGTCGGGGAGTGACAAGTTGTGTCACTGGACCGTCACAGGGGTTCAGGGTGCATTACTGAGCCACTTCATCCAGCCCCTCTACATCACCAGCATGGTGCTAGGTAAAGAGTCAGCATTTAATATTGCAAAAATAATTATATAAGTTTATTTATTTATCTGATTTTTCTAATGTGGAGAGTGGTGTGTTCAAGTCGACTATCATACCCCAATAGTCAAAGCTTGAATGAGCAGCTCTCTGCTCTCAGCCCCCGAAAATTAGTTAAATACACACATACTCTTTTTATTCTTATTCTTTATTACATGCTGTTTCTGCTCTTCCATTGTAATCTTAATCAACTATGGGGTTTTGATTTGTTAGCCTTCAACAAAACTACACCATCTGCTTTCCCCATTACAGACTTTGTTCTCAGACAGCTCATTGCCCACAAATCTTTATTTTCTGAAGAGTTCTTAGCATTAAATCAAAAACAAATGTAAAACCCTGTGAAAACACCTGATGTTTGTAGTTTTTGATGCACAAATTACGCCTGGTTAAGTACAAAACATGTCCGCTTGTTTTCTGTCAACCAGCTCATCAATTTCTTGAGTAATTATTGCAGCTGAAATCACTTATACAGGTATTCATGTTCACCAGGTTTCCTAATTCTACTGCATGCGCAAACTGCATATTTGTGAAAAGACTGAAGAGCATTTTTCCGTTTATTTAGGCGGCCAGAGAGACTTCAATAGAGAAATGTCTGATTTCATCAACAAGCGACTGGGCGATGAGATTAAAGACGTTCTGCCGTCGTCCTACAAACAGCAAGAGATCCTCTTTCTCTATGGAGACTCCGCCACCTCTAATGTGACCTCCCCACGACATGGAGATCTAAGCATCAACTGGTGCCTCGGGGACAAGGATATTGAAGTTCTGGACAGCAGCAAGGGTTTCATTGTTGAAGGGTGAGTTGAGGATGAATTGATGGGTATATTTTTCATGCACTCTGTCTTGTCGGCGTCGTTTTCTTGCGCTTCATCCGGGTTCGGGTCGCGGGGGCAGCAGCTTCAGGAGGAAAGCCCAGACGGCCCTCACCCCGGCCACTTCCACCAGCTCCTCCGGGGGATTCCCAGGCGCTCCCAGGCCAGGCGAGAGATATAATCCCTCCACCTGGTCCTGGGCCGGCCACAAGGTCTCCTCCCGGTAGGATGCCTTCTGGAACACTTCTCACGGGAGGCGTCCAGAAGGCATCCTAACCAGATGCTAGGTTCTACTCTGAGCGCTTCCCGAGTGTCCGAGCTCCTTACCCTATCTCTAAGGCTAAGCCCGGCCACCCTGCGAAGGAAACCCATTTTGGCCGCTTGTATCCGCGATCTTGTTCTTTCGGTCATTACCCAAAGTTCATAGCCATAGGTGCCGACTCTCACCTATGGCACTCTGTCTCTTTAAAGAAAAATTTAACATATTAAAAATGTTTGTAACTTGTCTCTCCAAAAAAATGCGGGCCATGACCTGGCAAAAGCGTCCCACATACAAACCTTAATCACCAGTTGCAGCATAGAGGGGCACTGTAGCATGAGCCTGATGCAGTTTGCTTGTTTGACAGTCTTCGTGAGGCCCTGGGGCTCCTGCCATCTCCCGGCTTTTGAGCTGCGGACAACTGCTGATGTTTAGTAGTTTGAGTGTGACACAGTCACAGCTCTTACTGGAGGCGATGTTGTCCTTGAGCAGAGATTACATCCAAAAATAGATTTCGGATCCTGCTTTGTGTTCTCAGTGTCGCTGTGTGTTTCAGCTATTGTCTTGCAGCCTGGAACGTTACGTTTAGGCCACACGGTGCTCTGTCGTGATGAGCTCTGCGGCACAGTACGAGAAATGACAAAGAAAAATAGGCTCCAAAAAAAGAGCAGAATAAATTTAAGGACAAGAACCTAAACTGTGCAGGCATGAAAGGATGGCAGGAACACCCTCTGAAAAAAAAACAACTCCTAAATTATAGTGTGGAAACAAAAGGACATGCTGCTTGTGTCAGATGAGACTCCTTTAATTTAGAGATGTAGGAGTGGCATGCCAATTATTCCAAGCTTCCTTTTGTTATGGTTTTCACCGCTCAAGCAATTAATTGTTCCCTTGGAACCCTGGCTTGCACCCAAATCTCTTGAATTACACCCAGAAAAATCCATTAAATGGGGAATCTATTTGTAATAAAAACAAAGAACAGTCTGGGCGGGATGAGGGATATCATGGGCTGGAGACAGACTTCAAAATGATCTGATACCTGCTGATGTCTGCCCCTTTAAATTCTGTCATGTTAGATATGTCCAAAAATCTTTGTTATAAGTGATCATGCTAGGAATCCCTGTTTTCTCTGACTTAATCAAAGTGTACGTAAAATGTAAACACATTCATATGTTCAACACAGCCAACCCCCTGAGGGAGATACTGCACCCTTCCTTTTATCATGTGTTGTAGAGCAACACTGTGAAAGACAGCAAAAGAAGCAGCACCCAAACCATTTCAATGATATTTGGTGTTAACCATTGACTGTATAAAAAATGGACGCAGTCTGCCTCCTCGCTGACCACAAGAACAGCACCCTCTGGTGATGGGCTGCAGTATAGGTCATAAATCCCGCCTCCTCCACTAATCCCTATAAAGTTGTGGACAAACTTTAGAAATTAATTACACAGAATATAAATGTTTCTCCCCCCTGGTTGTGATGTTGACATATAGTTACAGTAAGACTGGTTTGTGCTCAAGACCTCTTTTTTCTGTACAGCTCCGTTTTTAAAAGTTATTAGTGGGCGTATGGGCTTACGAAGATCGCATATCTTAGTGTGACCATACGTCCTCTTTTACTCGGACATGTCCTCTTTTTGGGGGCTGTCCGGCTTTGTCCAGGGGAGTTTATAAATCCTTCAAATGTCCAGGGTTCTATATGGAAGTTTTGAGTTTGTGACCCGTGGCCTTACTGAGTTAAAAGCGTGGAAAAAACACTCGACCTAACCCGAAAAACTCTCAAAATTAACTACGCACAGCCCCCACTTAGTAGTGTCCTTTTTTGGGGGATTTGGAATATGGTCACCCTAGTGTAGCTCACCTGGGGGATACTTTTTTTGAGCCGAGCATCATCACAGCGCCTGTCAGCGACTCTATCGCTCAATGCGCACAATGCTACTAAGCAAGTAGTGATTCCAGGAAGTGGAGAAAATACCGGAAATACCGAGAGCAATTCAGCTTCAAATTCGTGTAATGATGGAAGGCAGAGCCAAGTTGTCCATCGTATATACAGTCTATGGTCTGAACTCAATGTGAAAAAATAGGCTTTGCAAACTTCCCTGTTGTCTCCTATTAAGTATTGATGTTGGTAAATAAGAAATGCGCTTTTTTGTATTTACAGTGTATCGATAAGTAATTTGATTCATGCCACCAGAATATTATTTATGTTGCTATTAATCATTCCCCAGTTCTCCGTCTGTGAGTGGGCCTGGCTTCTCCAGCAGACTCTGCAAGAGAGCCCTGTACAGTTATTTCCGTCAGGTTGCTCAGCTGGGTGGACACAGCTATCTGCTCTCTCTTCCCACCTACCACAGCGTCAAGGTGTGTATCTGCAGTGGGAGATAACATGAACAGTGCTCAGTCGCATAATGCCAAGGCTGTCAAGTATGGCTGCAGTGTATTGAACTTAAAGTGGTAAACAGCTCTTGTTTTATAGGTTGAAGCTGTGGTCTACCAAACAGTCAAAGATCTGGTCAACCGACAGTTTCTGAAAGACAATGCAGGTCCCTGGAACTCCAAAAAGCTGGTGGACGTCTTCAGCGCTTGAACGCACTTCCAGTAGCACAGCATGTTAAAGTTGGTCCAAGTTCGCTTTTTGAGGATTTTTCTTTTCCTCCACTCCTCTGTGTATTTCAGATAATATCTAGAAGAGTAGTTTTGCTTTTATGAATAATATTAATGTTTTCAGTTTGCGTAGGAGTTTGAGAAAAATACAAGCAACCCTACTGTTTGCATCTGTAGAGAAGTTGGTTTAAGTGTGCTGTGGGTGGAAAACATCGGTCAGGGGTAGAGTTTGTGTTTTTTCAGCCCCGTCAAGTTGAAGTGAGTTACATTATTACCTTGTTGTTTTGCAGTTAAAAAGTTTGTACATGATGTAACAGCTGAACATTATTTTTTAATTGTCCAGACAGATTATTACAGGAAGCAGTCACCACAAGCAGGTAGTAGTTTTGTGGTTTCCAAAGGAGTGTCACTCATTGTCACATGATGTTCAATATTCTAGGACTGGACGTGTTTCTTTAACTTTGTTTCCTAAAAAGCTGATTCCTGTAAGATTGCTTGTTAAAGTTAATCCAAGTTCCTTTTGAAGGTTTTTGCTTTTTCCCCTCTGTGTATTTCACTCATTCTCTTGAGCAGTAATTTTGTTCTGATGAATAATATTAATGTTTTCAGTTTGTGTAGGAGTTTGAGAAAAATAAATACTGCATATTATGTAAACTTAAATGTTCATGAATCTCCACAAAACAGAAGATGCTCCTTCTGCTATGTCTTTGCTCTTCCTAAAACTGCAAGATGTGGCAAAGAAACAACTTTGTGACAGTTTGGAGATGTATGTCATAAATCTGCCAAATGTACTACCTGTCAAACTTTCTAAAAGGTGGGGTAGGGTAGGTGGTGTATTTACAAAAAAGCTTTTAATATCAGTCAATAGTTAATAGTTATCGATTTTGTGACATTTGGGAATATCACAGTATCGCTGTGTTCTGTTATGTTTGTGTAGTCAACATTTTAAATTTTTTGAGCAGCCCGCTCTTTCTGACTAAACAAAGTCATTTGCTGCGTCCGAACTGCCCGCTCGGATACTACATGCTACTGCTACGTGCTACTGCTAGATCCTACTCCTACATACTAAAAACGTTGGCCCAATTCGGACACACTAGACGAGCGGTGGGGAAAGACGACCCCCGCAGGCAGAGAGTAGGTACTGCGCCCGTGCAGACAGTGGTAACTGAAGCCCCTCATCTGCGGGCCTGGCTGTAGTACTGCAGCTGTGCAGTTTAATGATGGAATAAGTGAGCTTTACCTCCATGATGTCGCCACTTGCTCATAAAATGATTACTTGGGCAAATATGACACCATGACATGACAAAGAGATACAACCGCACATTTTTTAGGACAGTGTGTGAAGTTACATGAAACTTACATCTGTACTGCTGCGGTCCCGCCTGCTGCTGCTGCTGCTGCTCCGACATGGTGCGCGCTGCTGTGGCCAGCCGGCGTTCGCGACACTTTTATATAGGCAGAGCAGCTGGTGGCGCTAGCATCACATGCGCCTCTACAACTTTTAAGAGGACGAAGAAGAAGCCCGCGGTGCATTTTGGGTCAGTAGCATGCCCGTAGGATGCACCGAGACCAACCTACAATGTGGGCGTGTCTAGCATCTGAAGTAGTATCTGAAGTAGCATGCTACTCGCTCCGGTGGCCAATTCGGACATGCTAGATACTACTTCGACTACTACTTCGACTACTACTTGGCAATTCGGACGCAGCTATTCTCTACCTCCCCGACCTAATTGGTTGTGAGGCGGACGCTGCTCCTTAGTGCTGATTGGTTGTGAGGCACACTCCACGTCCTCGAATTATGTTCACGAGCCCATGTAAAGTTAGCGTGCTACAATATCGGACAGTAGAAACCAACCAGAAAGTACGGAAAATTGTCTGAATCCTCCTTTGACCACGACTGCCAACAGAAGCAAGAAAACGAAGTAAATACCGGAGACTCTGGAGGAATAATGGGTGCTTAGAAAGGAGGTAGACCGGACAAGAGCTAAAAAGCCGGGTCAACATCAATGAAGCATAAACGCTTTGGGATCTTACGGACCTTGTAACCTTTCTGCTGGACAGGTAAACCGCTTTAACAAAGTAACTAAGCCAAGTGTCTGTAACAGAAGTGTTTCTTGTCAAACAGGTCCTGCTGCTGCGTGTTGTAGCGCCGCTAAACTGTTGACCTCAGGTCCTGGACTATGTCACTTTATCCTCGTTGTAGAAGTCCTGCAAACATTGTGTTTGCTGGTCGTCTGTTGGCATCTACAGTAACACCAATGCTATTTACTTTCATGTTGACTGGGCCCCATTTGTAATTATCTGAAGTATTTATCTGCGTTATATCTGAATTTAACCGGAACGATAAGAGCAAGTGCGAGCGTCTGTTTGTGGGCGGGGCTTGTTTGAGCAGAGAGGAAGGGGAGAGGAGGAGCTGAGTGGAAAACTGGTTGGGAGGGGTAGAGTTTACATTTAAGATTTCTCTCCTCAGATCCTGCCTACCTCTCCTTTGAGAGATATTCTTGCAGCAAGAACGTCGGCAGCGTCTCTACATGTTGAACCTGAATAAACTAAATACACTATTTTGCCTTGACAAAGGTGACAGCATGTAGGAATAAGAAATATGGGCATAGTCAATCATTAATCCATGAACTGATAAATTGTAGGAAGAATTATTCTCAGCTCATGTTCTTTATCTGAACATGTTCTTATTGCAATCAAGGTGAATGAGCAGCACGGGGAGACTTAAATTTAAAATTTTATTACAATTTTTTTTTCATGCAAACTGTGTGGTACCATGGTTCATTGTCACCATGGCTCCACTCACCAGTTGCTTGGCAACCAACTCCTCCTTGGAACTGATGCAACTACTCATGTCTTCATAATTGCAGGCTCTTTTTCAATATTTAGCTAAAACAAAAAACAATAGAACTGGATATAAAATAATCTAATAAAGCAGGCATACGACAGGGCTTCACATTAATATCTGAACTCTACACGGCAACAATTACAGGTTTCTGTGGCTGGCGAAGAATTACAGTACGAGTATGTGCTAAAGCCACTGTTAGTTTTTAAGCTTTTCATGATGTTTCAGGGATGTGTGTATGCAAATGAACATGTTCCCCATGCCTCATATGCTCTACTTTTGTTCCTGCTAGCCGAGCAAGTGATTCCTCCAGCCAGGTGTCGGGTGTGTCCCCAGCTGGTGAGGCAGAGCTTCTGTACCTGAGGGGCTCATCTGGGCTCGAGGGAGAGCCAGGGAATTCACAAAAAAGCCTGCAAGATAATTTAACATCTGTGAACAATTCAGAGGTGTGAACAACAGACATTTTCTCCTACATATGTCAGGGAGATCGGGGTTTAACCTAAATGAAACTCTCAGATGGTGAGAGAAACCTTTTGGAAATCACAGTTTTGTCCTTTAAGCTGTGTTTAGACCGGCTCCATTACAAAGGATTACATGTAATTATTTAATGTCAGCGCAGCCTCATTAATGTATGCGCTGACCTTCACTGTGATGCTGGGAGCAGAGGGACTGTGATGTCTGACCAAACCTGTGATCATCCTCGTTCCCAGTGAAAGCAGCTGAGTCTCAGCAGATGAATTATAACTTTTAATTGCGACCTTAACTGTTTTACAATATCTGAGGATTATGGGATTAGAAAGAAAGAGTTTAATGGCAAAAGAAAGAGTGATGTTTCTAGTTACTCATTAACCAATTTAATTGAACCCAAAACCCTTAAATTTTAGTGTCTCATGAAAGATTTCCGTAGAAACTATTTGACTTTGTGCTGAATCCCTCTCATTTTGCATTTATTTACATCTATTTGGCCAAAAGCAGCACTGCCAGAGTGTTGGATATGAATATTTATGCATTCAGTAAAGATCTGAGCTGCTCTGTAGTGACCACGCTTCACTTTCTTACCCAGGTCTGGTCTCTTGCAGGCCAGTTCTCTCCGGCTGGAGTCGGAGGAGGCTGATGTGCTGTCCGTGGAGCTGGACTTGATTGAGCGCACCGATGGAACGGAGACTCGTGGTGGATTGGATCTGGGTTTGGCCACGGCTCCCAGTGACGCCGAGTTGCTCCACTCTGGATGACAAAAACCAGCACAGGTATTTGAAAATAGCCTATTATTGTGTGTTATGATTTACCTCGAAGAAGGGAGTCTCTTTTTCTGTGTTGTTTTTCACAGAACAGTAACAACATAAAGAAAAACTTAGTGAAAAATAAACTGAAGCGGAAGCAGCTGTTTGTGAAATGATCACCTCATGCCAGCTGACAATTTCTCATTACTTTAAAGCCTCATTTCCACCGACTGCTTCAGCTCCATTCAGCTGAGCTCACTTGAGCTGTTGTTGCTTTGCGATTATTATCTGTAAAAACTGTGGAGTCCCTATCACTTGGAATTTATTCGCTATCATTTTGGCCCCATGCTAGCCAGGCTTAAACTGAGTTTTGAGGTGAGAGGTGCAGGTTTAGCTTGCTCTCTACATATACAATCCTCGACACAGTGGCCAGAGGTTTGACCCCCAGCTACAGACTTTTACGGCGTGGTCATCCCTTACTCCTGTTACCTCATCTTTACTGCTGCTGTACAACAAAATTAACTGCAGATAATCAAGAAGTCAAAACATACTGTATATGACTCTTAACTCTGAGTTGGAAGTTGAGTGGGATATGTAAGAGCCATTTTTCGAAGGTTATATTATTCATATGTTCAACCACTAGATGTCACCCTCGGGTCTCAGTAGGTGGGTTTATTTAGGTAAGAACCTTTGGGCAGGTGACAGGTGTTGCTGCACGGCACAGGAGCATATAGTTTTTGACCGCGACACCGGGGCTCTGTAAGATCTTTGATTGTTGGATTGTTTATGGAATATTGTGAATGCATTGTAGGACATTGGCACTATGGTGAGCAATAAATGATCTTTAAAGGAAGAATAAGTTGGACATTTTAATTTCCCCCCAGAGTAAACGCGGCACATAATGTCAATTAAGTTCAGCTCGTCGGCAACCGTCAGCAGCATCAAGTTTTAGGCTTTGCCACTATAATATAGTTCTGCATAATTATAGGAATATGGTGTGTAACACAGGTGTTGCCAAGCTATCTCACATGTCTGCCCGTTATCTTGCCACATTAAAGCTCCCGTGAGCAGTTTTTTTGATATGCAAAAGTTAAAGACCAGGATTTCATTTTTAATTTATTGGGAGCTGTCCAGCCTTGTCCGGGGGGAGTTTATAAAATCCTTCAATTGGGGTTTTGTATGGAGTTTGGAGTTTGTGTACCGTGGACTAACCGAGTTAGAAGCACATTGTTAGGATGAGTTTCTTTAGCCAGTCATGTCAGCCTTTAGAGCGGTGGAGCTGTGTCACTCAAATACCTCGGATACTTTGGTGCTAGATTTCTGGAGCCATGGGCCTCCGACAACTATCCTCAACAAGGACCTTGTACCCATGTTTAACATCACTCAAATCCCCAAAATATGTTCTGCCATGGTATTTCCTTCTATGGACCCTCCATATGTTCACCTAAAGTTCCTTAAAATATATTGTCCTTAGTTCTTACCGAACATGGATTTTTCTTAGGGTCAACGTTTGGAAATGTGGACGACTATATATACTAAAATGAAGCAACTTGGTTGTCACATAAGACTGTATGTAGCTGTTTTACCGGAGTGCTCTTCTAGTCTGAAACGTCCGAAGCAGAGATGAATCCTCCACTGCCTCCGGACGTTCTCCTTCATCAGACAGTGGAAGAAGAAGATGAAAAGTCCTGGAACACAAACAAAACTTCAATAAGGTCATGAACTTTGCAGGAGAGGACTGGTTCTTTCTCACAGGCTTTTTCATTTTTAATTTGCACTTGAGCAAGGCATTTCTCCCAGAAGTAGAGAGTGGAGGGCTTTTGTTGCATCACTCTCAGAAAAGAAAAAAAAAAAAAAAGGAAAGTAACATCACAAAGGCCATCCAAGGAAAGGCGGTTGCGAAATAGTTGCATCACTCTGCTGCTGTTTGATTTTTGTCCTTTTTTATCTACAAATTTTCTTGTTTTCTTTTGAACTGTGAATGTGGAGTGGGATGTTGAGGAAAGCTGCATGCATGGTTAGTTAGCACTGACTCAATCAATAAACACAGAGCGGCTCGATCAATGGGAGGAAAGAAGTTAAGGATTAATAAGTCAAGTGTAGAAATCCAGTAAGGCTAGTCCGTGTTTAAATTCAGAACCCCTTAACTGTGAATGATATATTAAGAATATTAAGAGTTATGGGAACATGTTTTTTTCATACGTATGTTCCCTAATTGTATGAAAAACCACCTTGCAGGGAGTTAAGTCCGGAGAAAATGTAGAGCAGAACTATTCTGGCCGGTCCCCAGGTAAAAAAGCCAACAGTCCATGTTAGTCCGAGTAACAAGGTGAGGCTGGCGACTCCCCTTAAGTCATGGATCAGTCCTCTGCGAGTCCCAGCTGGGCTGTTGGCTCGCATTTGGCGAATCTGGTTTAGAACCACCACAAAGATCTACACGGACATTAAAAAGAAAGTTAAAGGGATATTCTGGCGTAAATTTAAGTTGTGGTCAAACCGTAACGCTGAGTTAGACACCCCCTCGAGAGATGAATGTTGTCGACCGCTTGCTTCTCTAGTTATACCAATTTTAGTAACGACCGCATGATAGCAATACACAGCGGTCTACGTCTCCACGCACAAACCTCAACCAAACCACTCTAGTGCAGCAACCAAAAAGCCACACCAAGTGCAGCGGAGTTTCACAGCTCAAGGAAGAACATTTATGATTATTTCTTCATGGAAATTCAATCAGACTGAGACGCAAAGGCAGAAGAACTACCGCATCTGCAATGCGTATACAAGATACACAAGAACTCTGATTGCATTGTACTATGGCTGGGACCCTATATGTACTGTTGATGAAGTTGGGTGCTGTTCTGAGCATTAATTGTGGCTATAGAGTGGTGTTTTGGTTGAGGTTTGTCCGTGGAGATGTCGACCACTGTGTATTGCTATCGTTCGGTCGTTACTAAAGTTGGTTTAACTAGAGAAGCAAGTGGTCAGCAATATTCATCTCACGAGAGGGTGTCTACTTCAGTTTTATGTTGTGTTTGACCCTAAATCAAATTTTCGCCGGAATATCCCTTTAAGGGTTCAGCTGCCATCAACGGGGAGATTTATTGTGATTAGTGCTGTTCAAGAATCCTATTAGCTATTTTTGAGTGATCAAATATGAAGATAAACAGCATCTAACAGCAAACATGGACCCTGAATTATTTATAAAATTATGTAAACAAAAGCAAAGTACCTGAGAAGAACAGTGGGATACACTGAACAGCAAAATGTGGACAAAATGTAGCCAGTCTTCAATGAAGTGTGCAAAATATTTACCGCAATGTTGAAAAGAAAGATCAGCACGGCGTAGGCAACCACAGACACGTAAAACGTCACGTCATCCTGGAACCAACAACTGTGGGAACAAAGATTGGATTGTATGTTAATGCCTGAAATCATCACCAGACGTGTTGTAAGAGCAACACTTTTTTGGGAATCATGATTGTATAAAGATGTTAAAGATTGATGTCTTTAGTGCACTCATAATTTGCCCCAACTTGTGTTTCTACACATGAGTGAGATTTGCATATTTGTCTGTGATCTCTGATCTAAACTTGCCTTTAAAATGACCCAAGAAAAGCTTTTCCCTTCTGCATTTGGATGTGAAAACATGCTGTCTTGCATGAAACTCTTGAATATCAGGTCATTTGTAAAGCCACAGAGATAAAACAGATATTTTTTTTAAAGGAGACAGGAGAGATTTATTTTAGTGAATGACAGCAGCTGGATACACTGAGAGGAATCTCGTAAAATCCTTTTAGTCTCACTATTGATTGAAACCTGAGAGCCGGTCAGTCAAAGGCTAAAACTCACAAACTGTCCGAGCTGTCCAGCAGCTCCAGGCTCGACTGAGCGTCATTGTAGAGGTGACCTCCATATGCCTCTCTGTTCACAATGAGCACCATGACACAGATCACCAGAGGAATCCCTGGAGAGACAGATTATATACTTTCAAATTACGTCATAGCCTTGAAAACCAAAGATGAAGAGGAAGTTATACAATGTTAGTAATTTAAAATCTGTTGGTCAGCAGCAAGACTCACCCCATCCAAGCGCGCAGAATTTGAGGATGTAAGACGGTACATAGACGTTGAAGACTTTAACCAGAGCGAAGTACATGTTAACAGCCTCTAATCCCATCCAGGTGAAAGACGCCAGGAGGAAGTAGTGCAGTGTGGACGCTGCCGCCACACAGAGGCCATAAATACCCCAAGAGGAGAGCCAGGAGTTGACCAGAAACGCCAGATTCAAACCCAACAGTGCCAGGGAGAGGTTAATGAGGATCTGAGACGGGTAGTCTCGACGGAGCTTCCTGAGACGGAAATAAAGAGGTGAGAGAACACAAAGAGTCCAAGACATTTAAGACAGCTGTCTCACTCATAAGTCATAAAAAGTTCTACAAAGATTTCAATGTTTCAACCATACATTTGTTATCACTTTAAAGTCGTTTTAAAGTCACTTTTCTGCCTGTCAACACAGTGTGTGTGGGAGAGAAAGAATATACAGGACTTAAAGGGATATTCCGGTGTAAAATTAAAGTAGGGTCAAACACACCGTTAGACACCTCCTCAAGAGATCATGGAAGAACATTTATCATCATTTCTTTATCATTTCCTTGAAGTAATAATCGCCATATTAATAATTTTGCACTGCATACGCGGTAGTTCTTCTGCCTTAGCGTCTCAGTCTGATTGCATTTCCATGAAGAAATGATCATAAATGTTCTTCCTTGAGCTGCGAAACTCCGCTGCACTTGGTGATTGACTCGTCAGGGCCCTCCCCACAAACAAACAGCTGCTGGAGGAGAGCGGGTGAGTTGTGTTTAGTCTCTTTGATCAAGAAATCAGGCAAAGTTAAAAAGATGTTTGGTGGCCAGTACTATGGCTGGGACCCTATATGTACTGTTGATGAAGTTAGGTGCTGTTCTGAGCATTATTTGTGGCTATAGAGTGGCGTTTTGGTTGAGGTTTGTTTATGGCTCCTCAGACCGCTGTGTACTGCTATCGTGCGGTCGTTACTAAAGTTGGTATAACTAGAGAAGCAAGTGGTCACCAACATTCATCTCTTGGGGGGGGTGTCTAACTCGGTGTTGTGGTGTGTTTGACCCTAAATTAATTTTACGTGGAATATCCCTTTAACGACTTACTCAAAAGCTGTGTAGGTGAGAACAGTAATCCCCAAGAACAGCGATGAGACTCCACAACCAATATAAGTGATGATGGTGAGGATCTGCTCATTTGCTGGATCCACTGGGTTCCTGGTGGGGTCCTTAGACACAAGACACAAATATCTCTGTGTATTTCAATTCCCGATTTATAACACAAATGTTTATTTTATGTTCAGTATCGCTCTAACCGCTTGTGTCTCTATGACAAACCAGAGCTTGCACTTGCTTAAACAGGCTTTTTTTAAGAGGGGGTTGAATTGACATCCTGGATTTAGTTAAGTCCGGTTATTTCTGCTGTCTGATGTCTTTGCCTGGACCTTGATGTGACTCCAGGAATACTGAGCCCTCCTCACTCACTGCCAAAAAGACATGTTGTAGTGCAGATCACTCCTCCCAACAGAGATCTGACCCACTCCAGTCGGGTTTTATCGTGCAGAAAGAAGTGTTAGCGGGGTGCAGTGGCTCTCTTGCAAACTCATAAATTGCTGCTCATACTCTGCTGTGTTTTATATGTTGTGCTTGGAGCGCCCTCTGCTGACAAACTCTGGGTTAAACCACCTGTCTTTGTCTAATACTATCATCAAAACCCTGAAAATGCGCTGCAGTCCCTCTGAAGCTGAATCATAAAATATTTCACACATACCAGAAGAACTCCAAAGTGTGTGAGATGATCACACAGGCATGTTGTGTAGTCAGAGCTGCTGTAGTGTTTTCTGCAGCCGTGGTCATCCCAGCCTCCATGTCCGTCTAGATGACGACACAGACATTCAGCATCTTACACGTCATTCAACATTTGTAAAGTGAGACTAAATATGGAGGATTTACAACAAGGAGGACTTACGGTTTTTATTGAAGTTCCAGTACACACACTGGACTTCACTGTGATGCTTTCCAGCAGGTGAAAATTAAATGTAGTTTAGTGTCATACTGGCATGAGTGTAAGAAGCAGAACATGTTTCTCTTTATTTTTACAGGATATCAGATCTTACTTTGTTGGGTGTTAGATGTTGGAGTGTCACTTTTACATCCTCAACCAGGTCTTTGATTGGAGAGCTGGCGTTGGTCACGCTGGCTGACACCACAAACGTGTTGAGGGTCGCCCCCTTTTGGCTGGTCTGGGTATATTAAGACAATCTGTTGAGTGAGACTGACGTTTCTGATGGATTTGTACATTTTTCTTTCAAACACGAGGTAGGGCTGCACGATTTTGGCCAAAAATGAAGATTTTTTTTTCTTAGAGAACTCGATTTTTGATTTAGATTTTTAATTCAGTGACAACTTCACCAAACTTTACTTTAAAAACTAGAAAAGCACTCGGAGAGCGCAGACCTCCGCCAAGCAGCTCATGTCCCCCCTACATTGTGATTCACAGCAAAACTTTTACTGTTACGTGTCTTTTATTAACTTTTATTTGTGTTTAAACTGGTATGTTCACTGTTCATAAATTTCCTAAAACAAGAAATGCCCTGACCCGGATTCAAACCCAGGACCTTCTGGCTGTGAGGCGACAGTGCTAACCACTACACCACTGTGCCGCCCATCTACACCACTGTGCCGCCCATTGGTTATCTTTCAGCATTGAAAATTCTAACGACACCCTTATTTTTGTGTGTTCTGGATCACAGTATCCGGAATTTTGTCTGGATCAGGATCAACCTTTGACACCTCATAAAACTCATTGAGATCCTTTTGTGTAATTTTTTACTAAAGACTCTGGACATTTTTATAGAGTTAACTGCAAAAATTCCCAAATTTGCCCTATCTCACAATGATAAAGAATCCTTCAAAAAATTCCTGGATCCAGAAGGCGATCCTGATCACCACCAAAATTAAATGGGATCCTCCTGGGGCTGAGACGCACCTCTGGTGAAAATTTCAGGTCAATCCGTCTGTAACTTTCTCCGTAAAGTTGGTCACAGACAAACAAACAAACAAACAAATAAACCAACGCTACTGAAAACATAACCTCCTTGGCGGAGGTAAAAAAAAGTTTTTCTATCACCCCTCAAAACGAAACCACTGAAAATGATGTAGTGCATATGCCAAGCCAGTAAGTGGAGCTGTAACGCTGCACACGAAATACACAAAAGACAGAAGAAAAGTACAGAGCATGTGTATAAAGGTTGTTTTTGCTGGACACGTGTATCGGCCATAAAAAAGTTATGTTGTGTGTCACATGATCGTTTCCAGAGATGCAAATAGACATCCACACGGAGATGAAATGGTCATCGTTTACGGATTTATGAACTCTCTGACCCGTTTTCAAAAAGTACCGTTTACAGTCACTTGAAACGCCGTTTCCGTGTGAATGAAACGGTGATATGACAAAAAACTTTTGCGTTTACTCCTGAATTTGTTTCCGTGTGGACGAGTTGATACCGCCTTCAGACAGACTTTGCAATTCCACACGACTGACTCGCTCTTGTCCCATTTAGCCACGAACTTATCACCTTCTTTTAAAAACGCCATGTTTGTTTACACTGGTGTGAGTGGGAATGGGGGAGCCCACAGTGGCCTCAAGGTGTGAAACATGATGGAGAGGAAAATCGATTTGACGATTTTAATTTTTTTAACATCGTCATGATAAAATAATCCGATTACGATTTAAAATCGATTAATCGTGCAGCCCTATCACAGAGAAATAAGTCTCACACAGACGTACCTTGAAGAGCTCTGGAAGCCCAAAGAACTGAAAAGTAATTCTTGCTGGACTCAGGTTGAAGCCGCTCTGAGGGAAACTGTCTTGAAGGACAGATGGCAGCGAAATAAAAGCCACTGAGCCGTTCAAAGGATACCTGTTAATGAAAATCTACAACACAAAAAGTTTATTTTTAGGGTTACTCATACTCTTTTAATATCAGTAACACTACAGGTGATTTACATTTAGAGTGGACTCTATGCAAAATGCAGCACTTCAAGCTGCTCTGCGTAGTGACTGTACCATTTGTACTTTCCAGTTTGTTGGTTCAAAGGAAATACTGCGTTTGTCGGTAGTTTTAGCGCTAACTTTACATACCTCAGGCTTTTTGCCGAGACGATAAGATGACACTCCGAATGTCAAACTGCTAAACTCCCCAGGTAAGACATCCACCACTGTTACAGCAATGGCTGGGGCAAGCAGGGTGGAGGAGCTGTCGTAGCCCACCATCCTGTCTCCCACTGCTTCTGTGATATTTAGGATACTGTTGACGAAGAGAGAAGCAGAGTAAACAGATATCAAACTGAGAGGTACACTCCCATACCCACATTTTGTGTTTGGTTTTTATCCTCACGTGTTGGTGAAAGGCAGCAGGTCGCTGTCAGACTCCAGGATGTCTGAGATGATGTCAATAAGAGCTTGGCCCAGGGCTGGAGTGACCACGCTGAGGTTGACGATGTCCTCCAGCTTGTTGAGGACCGTGGCCAGCTCTTTGTAGTTGAGCGTGGAGTGGTTTTTTAGTAAGCTAACAATCATGTCAATGATATCCAGCGCATTGTCTGGAAATAAACAACAGAGATATGAGGAAATTGTGACCTTCGCACTAGTTTGTTGGTGTGGTGTTTCAAAGTTACAAAAAAGAAATCAAAGTCGCTAGATTCAGTTCTCTGATGAGCAGCTGTCTTTAAAGGATTTAAAATACCACCATGGCACGTCTTAACCTTTAATCAAGGACTCGGTGAAAGCTAAAAGACATCCTAAACCTGTCTCAGCAGAAATCCATTTTTAAACCCTTATTCAAACAATTTTTTTGTTCTTTTGATATTTAACCATAAATTTAAAAACATACATTTTAGATAAATTGAAGTATTTGCAGGTTTTCATAACAAGACAGACAAACAGATGGCGTAACAGACCAGGAGTGACTTTGACGTGGTCCAGATCAGGGATGGTTTCCACCAATAAAGAACAGTCTTCCAGGTCTGGGGCCATCCAGTGAGTCTTGAGACTCAGTTTACTGATGAAGGGACAGAGAGAGAAGGAGAGAGAGGGGGTTTATTTTCCCCCTCAGCTTGAATTTGTTTTACAAGCTACTCCTGTTTTATTGATTGAAGTACCTTTTGTAAAGATAATTCCCTGACGTCTCTAATTGCTCTTTATTCAGCGAGATTTCCTTTCTACCGTTTACTCCCCCAGGTCTTACATTGACATAATATGCATCCCCGACACAGCTGAGGCAGCCAGGAGGATATTGATATTAGAAATTACCTAACTGTTAGCTGTCATTGATAACACCATCCCTCTGATAAATGATTTTACAGCCCAGCCTTTGATAAGTGTTAGTGTCACACTAAATCAACACACAGAAAGTCCTGAACACACCGTGATAGCTCTGTAAATAGAGACCAGTGAAATGAGTCAATACCCACAAAGGCCTGTATGTAGCCATGTGTTAAATTCACGTTAGCAACCAGGTAAAAACACTTAAACTGTTACGGGAAGTCAGGATTACAACATGCACACAAAAGTGTACGATCAGTGTATTTTCCATGTAAAAAGATGTAAAACAGAGAAAAAGATGCCCGACCTCTTATTGTAGGAGTAATGTTTACTGTTCATACTCAGTCGAACCTGCAGTCATTTTTTAGCTCTCATTGGATGTATCACTAGTGCTTGATGTATATAAACTCTTGTGTGCCCTTCTAATTTTACACCCTTTCATGCTCTTCTGGCTGATTTTAGCCACTAAATTAAGCTGCTAAAACATATCAGAGAAATATTTTCAACAAGCTCAGTCCTTATCAGAACTTTATATAAAAAATGATTATCATAGATTTTAACCCTTTAAATGCCTATTTCAGGGGTGATGTCACTGATTTGGTGACAAAAAAAACACAAAAACTAATTTTCAATATTAAAAAATGATCAGAGGCTATAGATTTTTGCATCATATCACACTCTTCGATATGTCAAATATTAGTAACAACATTGACTTTGATGCATTTTTATTTTTTGCACAGCATCAGATTTTAAAATTTACACCCTTTCGTCCTCTTCTGGCTATTTTTAGCCACTAACTTAAGCTGCTATGAAAACATATCAGAGAGATATTTTTTCAATATTTTTTTCCTCAGATCTCTTCATCAAGCTCAGTCCTGATAAAAAAATGCTGATTTTTTTAAAAATAGATATTGATTTTAACCCTTTAAGTGCCAATTTCAGAGGTGATTTCACTGATTTGAGGAAAAAGAGAAAGGTCTAATAACTGAAATATCCAAGTGTTTACCAGTGTCGTGTGGCGTGGTGTCGAGGGTTTTTGGGGCACGGCTGAGTTGTGTTTTTCCCTCCTGAAATGGTCGGCCACTCAAACAGTCCTTTCCTCGTGAGGTGGGATTGTTCCACGCAGTTATATATTACTAAAAAGTAAGAGCGTGACATTGGAGAAAAGGAGTAAAATAGGACACATTAAAAGTGATCAAATCTTGTTTTTTAAACTTACATTTTACATCATCTTTTATTTACTCACATATACGGCTTATCTCTATGTCCTCCGTCGCTACAGAGATGGATCCATTGTCATACGGCATCTGCAGCAGGAACCTTATCAGCTCTTCCATTTCCTGTGTGTCTGACAACGACATCATGACCTGCACCTGGAAAACACAGCTCTCTCTGCAGGACGATAAAGAGTTAATTACAGCTGTAAATGTTTACCCAAATCAATATCTCTGATCAACATTATTCAAATCTAAATGAACCATAATTCCTCATTTAATTTAGCATTCAGTGGAACAAAGTCGATATATCTGATAAGCAGAACATCAGATTAGCTCAGTTTTATTGTATGTTTGTTGTCGTTCTTCAGAGACTTTAACTGAAGTTCTTTCTCAATACAGAGTGGTATGATACACACCTTGAAACTTTGTTTATAAAAATCTGAAAAAGAAAAAAGATATATGAGTTAATTGAAAAACGAAAAAAAATAAATATATAATAGATGAGATCAATTTCTGTATTTTCTGGTCATGTAATTAAACTCCAATTAAACCTAAAATCTGTCAACTTTTCCAATAAAATATTTGTATTTGACATTTGTTGGTAACATTTCTTCGACAGGGTTTCAGTTTTAAGAGTAACATATTTAACATTTAACGTATTCTGTTTGAATTTTGAGTTTTGAGTTTTGAGAATTTTTTATCAGAGGACACTATTTAAGCATACAGAGTACAAGATTAGGAGCGACCACAGGGGGCGCCAAAGTCAACACAGACTGAAAGTTTCTCACAGAGGCTTTAAATTATGTACTGCAGCTATCCTCATGTCTGTATGTTAAATGTGGAGCTAGAATGAGTTGTTTGTTATCATTAGCTTGACAAACCATGGAAGTAAGGTAGCTACAGTCGGAGCTGAAGAGTGTTTTGTAAAACTGTTCAGGAGTACAAGAGAGGGTTTTATTTTGTTTACTTACTTTATCAGAGGTGTGGGGATATGACTGCCTCTTTGGACGATGTCTGGAGGTGAGATTTGCAGTTAAGTTTGTCTGTTTATGTCAGTGAAATAGGGATATTTCTAGAAATAGATCATTTGCTTCGGCAGCTACACCGTGCTCTGTACCTGCGGTCTTTAGGGAGCATCTGGAGGTCGAGTACAATCATCATGTGATCAGGTAGACTGGAGTTGAGCTGCACGGAGTAAAAAGTCACAATCAAATTAGGTGAAGCTTAATCCTGCTTTATTATGATTAAAAAGAGTTTTTAGTTAGGTATACCCATGTAGACAGAACCAGTTCTGGATCCCAGTCTCCTGTGATGGAGACATTGAGCTTGACCTCAAAATACAGCTCTGCAGAGAAGACCCAGAGAAAAATAGTAACCGTGCATGATGCAAATGAATTTCCTTTTTAATGCATCCAAAATCTGGTGGAATGATGAGATGATCAGACTGACCAGACACACTTGAGGGGCCGGCTGTGAGGCCAGCAGCTGTGGTGCTTCTTGTGGTTCTTGTAGTGATAATGGGTAGCACTGTTGTAACTACAGAAGGCTGTGTCTCCGCATCAGGAGTACTGACAGTGGTAGCTGTAAAACTCTCTGAAAATACAGCAAAGATTTAAAGGAAGCAGATTTCATGTTTCGAACTTACACATGCAGACACATCTGGATGGAGAGAGGCTGTTTCCTACCGACAGGTGTAGTGTGTATGCTGTCCGGATCAGTGAGCAGTTGCAGCTGACTGCTGGGTTCGTAGTAGGGGGTCCTGAGGTTTGTGTGCATCTCAATTTGCACAGCTGCCACATCCAACGGAGGGATGACATTTATATGAACCAGGCAGTAAAACCTATAAAATTAGAGTTTTTATTTTTTACAGTATTTTCCCGTTGAGGGTCCCACATGTTTTGACTAGTGAATCCCAGAGGAGCGTTTAAGTGGACGTGCACTGTAAGCAACATGGTAATTACTGATAAACTGCCCCCTCTGCACCAGGGGTGGAAATCAACAGTGGCCCCACGATATGATATTATCATGATACTTGGGCCACAATATGATATTGTCACGATACTTGGGCCAAGTTGCAATATTATCGCAATACTTGGGCCACTATATGACATTATCACGATACTTGGGCCGCGCGATACGATATTATCGCGATACTTGGGCCACGGTACAATATTATCACGATACCTTGGCGACGATACATTATTATCGCGATACTTGGGCCACAATACGATATCATCGCGATTTTTGGTCCACTAAATGATATTATCGCGATACTTGGGCAATGATATGATATTATCACGAAACTTGGGCCACGATACAATATTATTGTGATACTTGGGCCGAGATACTTGGGCCACGATATGATATTATCATGATACTTTGGCCATGATACGGTATTATTGCGATACTTGGGCCATGATATGATATTATCATGATACTTTTACGATTTTGAACTTTTTGCAATACAGTGAATTTTGCGATAAAATGCGATACAAAGATCTATACCATCTTTTTAACTGTTTAGCTGATTTAGCAATTGTCTTTTCTTTTTGTTTGTCTTATTTACACTGTATTTTATTTTCATTGAGCACATCTTGCAAACCTTATATATATTTGTTGCACTAACTCTCTCCTGCTCTATGGTGTCCCCTTTTGCCAACCTCACTGGACAAACAGTTGATTTTATTTTTCCATTATCATAGAATTTAGTTCAAATTAGCAATGGATTTGAAAAAAAAAAAAATCAATACCATGTGGATGAGACGATACAATATATCACCAGACAAAATATTGTGTGACTGTGCTGTATCGATTCTTTCTCCCACTCCTACTTGGCACATGGCTTTATACAATCATGCTCTCTATTGAATTTCCCTGAATAAAGTTCTTATTCTTATTCTTTCAAACTTTTTAGAACCAGGAGGCATCAACTTAATCTTGAGTTCTGTGCTTATCTGATTTATTGTCCAGTCAAATATCACATGATTATAAAGCATCAGGCATTATAAGGGATATTTACCTGTCATTAGGTGGAGCCCATCGCATCTGGATAGTAAAAAAATATATATATAGTTTGTCAAAAGTTATAAGACATTAAGAGGGGCTATGAGTCTGACTCATTGGTGCTTAAATACCTGCCCATCTACATGTGTTGTATTCAGAAGTCCATCCTCTGTACTGGATCTGTGCAAGAGATCACAGAGATTCTGTGTGCATTAGGATATTGTGACACTAATTGACATTAAAAAATATTTGATTAAAAAGTCAACAGCCTGTCATTTCCGTGTCGTAAAACCAGATCTTCTCATACCTGGGTACTTCAAACACTGACACCCTGGGTAAATAGATGCTGGTTGGCAGAACCTTTCTGAGCTGCAGGAAAAACAAACAGAAGAGAGCAGTTACAGCCTCTGAGATTTACTGTCTCTGTGCAATATAACCCCAGCAGCCCTTACATTCACAGACATCTTATGCGTAAGGTCGAACCTGTTATGTGTTTTGTAGCTGAGCCAAAACTACACTGAGCCTCTCATAAAAGCTTCACAAACTAGCTTAAAGCGTGACCAAGAATAGCTACCATGTTTCTGAATTGTTATGCTTGTATTCATTTGTTTAGTTTACCCATTTATGTGCTATGTCTCTGGCTCTGTAGAGCTCCGTTTTGTTCCCATCGGAGCGTATAATAGCGAACATCAGTCTCACTTTGTAAAAGGACCACTCTGCAAAAGACCAAACACAGGTAAAGACGTGTAGATACACATCAACAGAGTAAACACTGGAATAGATTACAATTATTACAATTAAATGTACAACATCGAGCATTTTCTTTAAAACTGAATAAATAAAATTGACTTTTTTTCATCAAATTCAAGTCAAGCAGGGAACAGAGGAGGGTTACTTGCAGGATCCAGTTTTGCAGATAAGAAACAAGCTACAACAGCCCCCGATGTTATTGATCAAAGAACGGCTACTGTATTTACTCTTCAAACAGAAAGACAGGGAATCAATATTTAATGTGAGCATGGAGGACGGACAGTAAACAGTAAATTGAGGTAAAACAAAGCTGTAAAACGCTTAATGAAACTGGCGAACCACACTGAAGTGAGTAACTGAGCGGTGCACAAAAACGATGTAAACGCTGACATCATTGAACATTAAGTCTCTAAACTTAATGTCAGTTTATTATATTGTTATGAATAAAAATTAAAAGCACTGGGTCTGTTTAATGTTAAAATGAATTTTGTCTCACCACACTGCAGGCTGGGATCAGTGAGCGGAGCACAGATCTGCGTGTCCCAGTTGTCCCTTTCCCACTTCACCAGGTCCCCCTCTGTGCATCTCACTGATGTCACTTCCTGTTCTTGACCCCAAAGCCTAAACTGAGATAAGTTTCCCAGCAGGCGAGTGAATGAAATAATGTTGATGTTTCCATCGACCAGGCAGTGCGACACCCCGAGAGTGAGAGTCCCGTTGGGGGCCAGTTTTCGGTTATTGTAGGAAGTGTTTGATCTGTGAGCTAGAGGAGGAGGAGAGAGCAGGTCAGCGTGATTGAACAGAAGAATAAAAAGTTTAGGACTAGGGTTACATCATCTCAAGTTTAACACAAAATACAGTATCTCAGCGTCGCTGCTTTTTGCAGATGATGTGGTTCTTCTAGCTTCATCGAGCAGTGACCTTCAGCTCCTGCTGGGGCGGTTTGCGGCCCAGTGTGAAGCAGCTGGGATGCGAATCAGCACCTCCAAGTCCGAGGCCATGGTCCTCAGTCACAAAAAGATAGATTGCCTTCTCCGGGTCGGAGGGGAGGTCCTGCCTCAAGTGGAGGAGTTCAAGTATCTTGAGATCTTGTTCACAAGTGAGGGTAGGATGGAGCGAGAGATCGACAGGCGGATCGGAGCAGCATCAGCAGCGATGCAGACGCTTAACCGATTTGTCGTGTTGAAGAAAGAGCTGAGCTGCAAGGCAAGACTCTCAATTTACCGGTCGATCTACGTGCCGAGCCTCACCCATGGTCATGAACTTTGGGTAATGACGAAAAGAACAAGATCGCGGATGCAAGCAGCCGAAATTGGTTTCCTTCCCAGGGTGGCCGGGCTCAGCCTTAGAGATAGGGTAAGGAGCTTGGACACTTGGGAGGCGCTCAGAGTAGACCTGGCCTCTCACCTGGCCTGGGAATCCCCCCTGGAGGAGCTGGTGGAAGTGGCTGGGGTGAGGGCTGTCTGGGCTTCCCTCCAGAAGCTGTTGCCCAATAAGCGGAAAAACGGCAACAACGACAGTGTCTCAACTAACTTGGTATAACACGTGAACACTTGCTGATTCTGGTTCATGTCGCCATATTTTGCTCTGAATCAGAGAATGCTTTGAGTTGAAGTATGACAGACATTACAAAGAGTAGTAAAGCTTTATACCAGTGACCAGAGGAGAAAAATCACAAGTTTTTAATACAGTTTTTTTCGTCACCCACCTGACCAAATTTCCACCTGTTTGCCATCGATGTACAGAGCAGGTCTGTCTTTAGTGTGTTTCCATGTCAGACATAGTGCGTGCCACTCTGACACCTGCAGTGTCATCTTTGCGGTGGTCCACTCCACTCCAAACAACCACACCACCAAGTGGCCCCACTTTCCCCCCAAGCCCAGCTCAGCATACTGGGCGTCAGGATGACGATACATGAAGGCCGTCCATGGTGAGGTAGCCAAGACCTAAACAACAAATCAAAACTCTTGACTCATTCAGTTCACATATTTAAAGTCAGTGTAGCCTCAGTTGATCCAAAAGTGTTTTTTTCCCTTTCCATAAATACCTCAAACTTGATGCTGAAGCAGACCGTGAACTCCTGAAGGGCGGGGATTGAGATGTGAGGTTTTAGACTCCAGTGGCTGCACCCTGAGGTGAAGTCTGCCACGCTGCCCCAAAGACTGAGCCATGCTGCGGACAATTAAACTCTCTAGTATAAATCTGTCTGCAGTAGAAATCATCAACATACAATAAAGGTAGCGAAACTAAGAGCAGTGGGAGGATGCAGTGGTTGTATCCTGATAAATGGAGCTGCTTCTAATTATTCATAAAATATCAAGATCTGTAACAGAAGTACTGATTTTGAAAAGCAGAAGCAATCAAGAAACCATATTTTTCTTTGCTATTTTTGAGACTCATTTTTTTTCTTCTTTCTGTTCTTCTGATTTTTTTTGTACTAATTTTTCCCCCCCTCCTCCTGTTTTTTGGACAATTTTTTATTCCGTTTTTCAGACAATTTTTTTTTCCATCTTTTTGAAACAAATTTTTCTTCTGTTCTTTGTACTATTGTTTGCTTCCAATAAATCGAGCAGAGGGGGATTAAAGCGTCTTTTCTTAAAATGATTATGATCCCAGAGAATAGGAAAAACAATTGGTCTGAAAAAAAAAAAAGTATGAAAAACAGGGGGAAAAATATTCAAAAAACTAAAAGGAAAAAAAAATCCTCTGAAAATCAGAGCTTTTTTTTTGGTGAATGCTTCCATATAGTAGAATAGATTTAAGAAAAAATAATCTTGCAGTAAGAAATATACACAGGTCATAATTTCTTCAGCTAAAAGAAACAGCAGTTCAGGACTTCTGTATATAACTTTATATCTAGTCGAATATTTTACAATCAGAGAAAGACTTACCGCCTTTTTTAAACTCTAAATGACACGAGAAGAAAACCAGAGACCAGTGAATGGACATTTGCCTGATAAATGATAAATACTGAGTGAAACTTTCAGGATTATTGTTCTACATCTTTTTATCATCCCAATAATTGTGTGTTGTCTTTTGTCTTGTAAAGGTGAGGAATTCAGGTCATAGAGATAAAATAGTAATAAAAGACGACAGATGGCTGCGAGTCTAATTAGTTTACTCATACGACAACCCTCCTCGTCTGCATTTGACTTTTAATCTTTAACTAAGAGACCAAACACTTGCATGTTTTAACTAGTGAGGTTGTTTTTGTTTGCGATACTCTTGACTTATTTATATTCACAACAGATCACTCCTCACTCTCCTAATTTATAATTCTTTAACTCTTGAATTATTGAATGTTCCCTGATTATTCAATGAAGTTTTATCTTCTGAAAAATGTGCCCACCTCTCTCTGTGGTGGAGGCAGCGCTGCACAGGAGAGGCAGAGTGATGAGGACAGTTAGTGTCCTCTGAGGAAAAAGCATCACTTATCTGAAAAGACAGAAATTATCATTAATTTGAAAGAGTTTTAGAGAGGTCATTTTAGAGAATTAAACAGAATCAATCAGGAAGAGAATTACTGTCATGTAATGATGTTTTTATTCCTTTAAATATCAGTTTTAAAGCTGTTAAAAAAATAATCCAACAGTTAAAGCCTTTAAAGAGTTTAAGTTTTTCTTACCTGACAGGAGAGAACAAAATAAAAACCAAAATTCTTTTAAGGAGATGTTCCAGATTTAGGTTAACAACAACAACAACACACTAGAGGACTTCAAACCTGGAGCTCTGAGACAGATAATGATATGAACCCCTGAGAGCCGCTTCTTCAAACACAGGAGGGTTGACCGCTGGAGAGCAGAAATGGTTTTTTCTCAGGCTGTGATTGGTTCTCTGGTGTTATGATGTATCTGTACTTGTGAAATGGAGAGGAGGGAACATGTCGAGGATCATCTGAGCAGCAAATCTATTAAAATACCAACCAGGAGGAGGAGGAGAGGAAGGATTAGGAGAAGAACAAGAAGTAAAAGTATTAGGAGAGGAAGAATTAGTAGTATAAAAAGAAGTAGAAGTAGTATTAGAAGAAGAAGTAGTAGTATTTGAAGAAGAAGAAGAAGTAGTAGTATTTGAAGAAAAAGAAGAAGTAGTAGTATTTGAAGAAAAAGAAGTAGTAGTAGTAGTAGTATAAGAAGAAAAAGTAAAAGGATAAGAAGAAGTAGTAGTATAAAAAGAAGTAGTAATAGTAGAAGAAAAAGAAGTAGTAGTAGTATTGAAAGAAAAATAAGTAGTATTAGAAGAAGAAGTGGTTGTAGTATTGGAAGAAAAATAAGTAGTATTAGAAGAAGAAGAATTAGTTGTAGTATTGGAAGTAGAAGGAGTAGTAATACTAGAAGATGAAGAAGTAGTAGAAGGAGTAGTAGTATTAGAAGAAGAAGAAGTAGTAGAAGTAATAGTAGTATTAGAAGAATTCGTACTGTTAGAAGAAGAAGTACTAGAAGTAGTAGTAGTATTAGAAGAAGTAGTACTGTTAGAAAAAGTACTACTTGTAGTTGTAGTATTAGAAGAAGTAGTACTGTTAGAAGAAGTACTACTAGTAGTTGTAGTATTAGAAGAAGTAGTACAATTTGAAGATGAAGTACTAGAAGTATTAGAAGAAAATGAAGTAGTAGTATGAGAAGAAGAAATAGTAGTATAAGAAGAAGAAGTAGTAGCAGTAGTAGAAGTAGGAGTAGTAGTATTATTAGAAGAGGTTGTAGTTGTAGTAGTATAAGGAGAAGAAAAAGTGGTAGTATAAGAAGAAGCAGTAGGCGTAGCAGACATAGTATTAGAAGAAGAAGTAGTAGTATTGGAAGAAGTAGTTGTTTTAGAAAAAGAAGTAGTAGTAGTAGTAGTAGTATTTTAATAAGAAGAAGTAGTAATAGAAGTAGTAGTTGTAATAGAAGTGGTAGTAGTAGTAGTAGTTGTTGTAGTTGTAGTAGTAAAAGAAGAAGGAGTAGTAGTAGTAATAGAAGAAGTAGTAGTAGTAGTATTAGTAGAAGAAGAAGCACTTACTGTCTGTTAGTGTATTGCTTCCTTTATATGTAAATCTGATGCTCACATAAAGTCAACACTCCGACCTTCACCTGCATGTTTTTTTTCTGCCATGTGACTTTCTCTGTACTAAATGTTATCGGTCTTTCCCTGATTTATAGAGGAGCTATATTTTTAAACCAGCTTTACTTCCTTTTATGCTTTAAGGACGTCAGAAACTGCTGATCTCCAGTTTTTTCACCAGAGACACAAGTGTAAATAGTTGTATCATACTATTACAAATGTTTCTATTCGTCTAAAATGAGCCGGTGAACCCTTAAAAAACAAATATTAATCAATAATAACACATTTGATATTGTACTTTGTAGAACATTTATTTTGTTGGTAGCAAAATATGACAGCATACAGCTCGCATGATGTCTAAATTTCCCTCTTTTTCTGGAGGGAATCATTCAGAAAAGTGCTTATAAGTTTATTAACGTGGAGCCAAGATCGTATAAAAAGAAAAAGACAGAAACATGTACAAATTTTTCAGGAATCAGGAAAACATCAATTCGATTTTAAAAGTTACTTTTTTCGTTATTGGATAGTATTTGCTTTAAACAAGTAAACATTGAAGGCACAAAAGTCATGATTTGAAATGATGAACGCACAATGAAAACAAACATTTATCAGTTTCTCTCAGATATACAGCACTCAAACAAATATTCAATAACATTTAAAGATTCACTTTATATTTTCTGCGTCTCCTTCTAATAAAATGCATTCATGAACACATTCATTCACCAGTGACACCGTCCTTGTATGTTTCACTTCAAGCACCAGATCAATAACTCAACCCAAGTTACACTTTGATCACGTTTCTATCATTACGTCAATCATTTAGAAGGAGATTAATACATATAAAAGAATTATGAAATGGATACAATGATTTGTGTTTTTTGTGTTGAAGAAAAGCCAAAATGAAGGTTAAAATAAAGACGTTTTTCTTCGTCTCTACTTGTTCCCGCAGTCAGAGCAGAGGATGTCTCTTCCGTTGGCGACGAAACGCTTGTTGGCCAAACTAAGGGAGCATTTCTTACAGTTGAAGCAGTACTCATGCCAGGAGCTGCCCTCGTAGTTCACCACGTTCACCCCTTTACCGAAACCTGACAGGAGAGGGGCAAAAGCATGTTTTCTTTTTTAGTCACATCCCTGTCATTAAAAAATATCACACAATCATTACCTATTGATCAAGTTTTTGCACTCCAGAGATAACTGGCTAATGGCAAATATCTGATACTTGGATGGAGTGACAGAAAACATCCAGAAATAATTCAATTTACGAAACTGATGGTTACGATCAGCTATGATTGGCAGATACGGCCTTTTCGTAGCCGTTCCGGATACGGTGGAAATTGGGGGTAACTCTCTTATGGCAGCTGTGTGTGTCCGACCAAAACAACCTTTATATACATGCTCTGTACTCTTCTTCTGTCTTTTGTACATTTCCTAGGCATCGTCACATCGCCATTTACTGGCTTGGCATATGCACTACATCGTTTTTCAGGGGTTTGGTTTTGAGAGATGATGGAAAAACTTTGAAAAATCGTGCAGCCCTAGCTTAAACAGTTTTATTTCCATGTTTTTTAAACCCTCACTGTGTTTACCTGTGATGGGGTTCTGGCAGCCGCTGCATTTCTTAGCCACAGAGGTTTTGTAGCAGTCCACACAGAAGACCTGGTCCTGATGGTTGGTGAAACTCGTCCCGGCCAGAGGCTTTGAGCAAGAGCTGCAAACAAAGCAGTGTCCGTGCCACGGCTGGTCCTGATAGTTCACTCCTCCGGAAGTTATCGGCCGGAGACAGATCGAAAGAGGAGCTCAGTGGATGAAGAAAAGCATTCACAAATTTTTAGACAAGACTGAAAGTTAATTTGTTTTTGTCATCTTCAGTTTGGATCCCCTTGAAAACATTAAAAGAAGAAAAAAAAAACCTTTTTGCAGCTGACACAGTGTTTGGCAAACTTCTTGTCGTAGCAGGGAGTGCAGTAAGTGTCGGTTCCTTTGGTGATGAAACTCTGCGATCCGATTGGTCCTTTACAGCTGCAGCAGGTGAAGCACTCGTCATGCCAAGAGTTCCCTTTGTACTCCACGCTCTCAGTGCCTGCAGAGGATCAGACACAGGAAACACCGGCTCATTTAAAGTTATCAGGTTTAATCGAATCAAACTTGGCAGAGGCGCAATTTCAAATTAAAAGTCTTTGTTCTGAAAATTTTAAAAAAAAAAGAGTTTTAACAACCTGACTTGCTATCATCATGAACTAATATCTAAATTTTTAAAAAAACTATTTCTAATGTGTTTCTTTTCTCTTGTTACCTTCTTTCTAAAAGTCCTTGTGGCTCTCCTTACTCTCCAAAGATTCTGGGGCCCGTTGCCGATCACTCACCTGCGAGTATTGGTTTATAGCAGCCGTGACAGCGAGGAGCATCCTCTCTGGAGCAGCACTTTCCACACAGGATGCGGTCATCCTTCGTGCTGAAGGGCTCCTTGGCAAGAGGCTTGTAACACTTTGCACAACGGAAACACTCCTCATGCCAGTACCGGCCTCTGTGGCTGAGCTCCTGATGGAGGGAGGGAGGGAACGTTTGATGAGAGGTATGAACGGGGGGAAATAAAAGGGCGTCACTCACCCTGTGATTATGAAAGAAAGAAAGAAAGAAAGAAAGGAAACGCGCGCCTCCTCTAACACACTCACCTTTGATTCCACAGGGATGGGTCGATGGCACTGGGCGCAGGAGTTGGCGCAGAACTTTGTGTGGCAGCGGACGCACACCGGCCGGCCTTCATTGCGAACAAACCTCTTCCCCCCCAGGTCCTCCCGGCAGTAGAAGCAGTGCGAGCTGTCTGCCATCGTCACTCAGAGGAGGATTAGAAACTACAACAGATAAAGTAAGAAGATAGAAAACCTGGTGAAGTTTTTCACAGTACGATTAAAAAAAAAGATAAATGGAGAGCCTCACAGTTCAAAACAGGAAAACACAAATATGTCAAGTTTACACTTAATTTCTTTTTGAGGTTCTGATCTGCACCAGCTCTGACACGAACCACAAACTGAGTCATTTGTCCTATATGAAGCCGTAGGATGGTTTAATTTCATTTTGAAAGACAATCAAATTTGAAGAAAGTTACAGGATTCTTTAAATGCTGCCTGGACTGATGGTGAAATTATAAGAGATGGAGAGAGAAAAACAGACTCTGAGTGAATGGGCTGCATATTGAGTCACTTTACAGCTGTTTGTAAGCAGATATCACTGCTTTCTTTAGTCAACTTAAAGGGATATTCCGGCGTAAAATTAATTTAGGATCAAACAAACCATAACACCGAGGTAGACACCCCCTCGAGAGATGAAAGTTGCCGACCGCTTGCTTCTCTAGTTATACCAACTTTAGTAACAACCGCAAGATAGCAATACACAGCGGTCTGAGGAGCCATAAACAAACCTCAACCAAAACGCCATAAATAATGCTCAGAACAGCACCTAACTTCATCAACAGGACATATAGGGTCTTAAGCAAAGAGACTTAACACAACTCACCTACTCTCTTCCAGCAGCCGCTTGTTTGTAGCGAGACCTCAGGCCAGTCCATTACGGACTACAGCGGGGTGACGCAGCCTGCGGTTGTTACATGCTGGAATATCCCTTTAAGTCTGCCATGCTGTTTGCATTGTGAATCAGCTGCTCTAATTAATGATAAATTTCAACTCTATTTACAAATCTCAGTGAAAAAAAACTCTACCTGAAGCCACCACAAGGTGGGGCTGTTGATTCAATAAAAAAAGGAAGAGACTGACCCTAAGATCCACCTTTTCAGCATTCAGGTGGGAAAACCAGACACCTGTGTTTGCAGTGGTGTCAGAGTACTGTGTGATATGATTCTCCTCACCCATTCTCCTTATCTGTACCTGATAAAGCAGCTCAGACAGGCAATAAACTTTCAGATAAAGTTTGAGAGCTGGATTAAGAACATGGAACTTGAAATGTTTAAAGAGGAAGAAAAATATGAGTTAAAACTCTGAAGTCTGTTTGGAGAGTTTGAGGTAAGAACAAAATTGCAGTTTCAAATCAAAAAGATCTGTTTTAAGACAGAAAACACATTAGTGTATTTTATACTAGCCTGATACTTTTCCACCGCCTCAGGCTACATCATGTTTATCCTCAATCAGATGATCGTCTCGGAAAAAAACCAGCAGCATTTTTTTGATGTCATGTGATGACTGAGAAGACCAAACTAACCCCACTTCATTAACTTTGTTATTGATAGTTCGACAGTTTTTCCTCAAAGCAAATCAGCTGCAGGTTTACTTTGAGAATTCACAAAGTAAATAATGTTTACATACACCTGAATTCTCAGCATTTGTGGGTAAATTTACATTAAAAGAAGATTTTACTGATAAAGTGTGTCCATATTTTCGCAGAGGGATGATGTCTTCAGGAGAAGGACTTTCTGTTTTCTTTTCTTGTTTATATTTTGTCATTTGTTTCCTTTTTATTTTTCTAGAAAACAGCGAGTCCGACAACCCTGTTAAGATTTTATGTAGTGCTTTCTCACGCAACGCAGTCCAAAAATGACTTTCCCTATAAAACGACCTATTAAGTCCCCAAACATAGAACCCAAATCACCATGCTGCTCATCATAACTCACTCACACAGCTGTGATTACAGGGTCACCACTCAGACGCCAAATAATACACAACGTGATCACAGCAACGCAAACACACAAGAAAATCGAGCAATAGCTGTTAAAAATCTGTTTGCTCTGCTATTTCCCACATCCAGTTCACGCTGGCTGACTGCAAGGAATGTGTGTGTGTGTGTCCGCACAGTGAGGTGTACATATGAAGGAATTCCTGGTATGACTAATGTGGTTAGATCTGGAGCGTTGACGAGTCTTTGACAGAGCCTCCGCACGCACACACACACACACACACACGCACACATGCACACGCTCAACCTCTCACATGGACCACTCCCCAGGAAACCACAGAAACCCCAAACTATAGTGTTCCCCTCCCGTTTGGAGCTGAGTGTGGGCTCAGATTCATGAGGAAGTTCTGGTCCTGGATCAATGTGAGCACGAGTTCAGGCTGCGTTCACGAGCAGTCAAACATCCTTTTTTCTTGTGACTCAGTTTCTCCAAACTTGGAGCTAAAACTGCTGCTGGGTCAGGACCCCCTTCTTCAAAAGTTGATGCTCATTATGGTGCTTTAAGGGGAAGACTATTTTTTTGTCTAAACTGGATGACAGAGGTCAATCTTGAATTCAAATTTAGTAACTCCATGTAAAGATTCAATCCAAGTTAGTTTTATTTTTCCAAGTAGGGTCATATTTGTCTCACAGAGTCTCTGCTGTTGGACTTTGTTGTGAGAGCTCTTTTTCAGTCATGGGGTTTGTTCAAAAAGATGAACCTGAAACTAAATTATAAAAGTAGAAACGCAAAGCTGAATTATCCATCATGATAGGGCAGGGCGATATGGCCTCAAATCAATATCATGATATATTGATCAGTTCACCTCGATAACAATAAATGGACGATAACTACTTCACAAGCTGCTCAGCCCCTCCCATATTAACTTTGTCTACTTCAGCCGCTACAACTTTTGAACCGTCCTCCATCTCCTCACCTGTCTTTCCCTCTTTGTTGCGGACTGGATGGGGTGGAGTCGCATCTCTGATGTAGGACAGCGTCTTAAAGGGACGTGAGACCATAGCCTACCTACACACATCCAAAACCAACTTTTATTTATTTATTTTTTTGGCACCAAGTGTATTGACAAGGGCAAAATGTTATTGTCATAAATTTCAGTATCTGTAAATTGTCAATTTATCACCCAGCCCTACATCAGAACCAGGAGCATTTCAGAGCAGTCAAATGGGCTCTACGCACAGCTCCACTACTTCCTGAACTTAAGGCAGCTCCTTTATTTCCTGTTTGACATTATTGGACAAACTGATTAAATCCAGGTGTGTCTGATTAGTCACAATGATCAGTCACACCTGGATTAATTAGTTTGTCCAATGATGCAAGATAAAGTTGATAAAGGAGCTGCCTTAAGGGGAAATTCCGGCGTAAAATTAAGATAATTAATGTTCTTCCTTGAGCTGCATCACCCCGCTGCGGTAATGGACTCGCCTGAGGTCTCTGTACAAACAAGCGGCTGCTGGAAGAGAGTAGGTGAGTTGTGTTTAGTCTCTTTGCTAAAGAAATTAGGCAAAGTTAAAAAGATGTTTGATGGCTAGTGCTATTGCTGGGACCCTATATGTCTTGTTGATGAAGTTAGGGGCTGTTCTGAGTATTATTTGTGGCTATAGAGTGGCGTTTTGGTTGCGGTGTGCGCATGGAGACATAGACTGCTGTGTATTGCTATCATGCGGTCGTTACTAAAGTTGGTATAACTAGAGAAGCAAGTGGTCGGCAACATTCATCTCTCAACGGGGGTGTCTAACTCAGTGTTACAGTATGTTTGACCCTAACTTAAATTTATGCTGGAATATCCCTTTAAATTCAGGGAGTAGTGGAACTGTGCACAGAGCCTATTCAGCATCATAAATTCAATTTAAAGTGAGTTCAATTGGGTTTTTAATGCATCCTCCAAAATAAAGTTCATGTGACAAGTTTTCCTGTGGTAATGAAACACACTGAGATGATTAAAAAAAAAAAGTAAACCAGACCAGAAGCAGCAAGTCTGATCATTTCACTGAAGTCATTTTTTTTACTTTTAACACCCACTTAAAAAAAATCAACCCATTGCAATAGTCTGACATCAATAGTGAGATCACCCGCTGGTTTCTAAAGAAAAGGTCATTAGGCACAGACACGGTGATGATCGCCGGATTGGGAATGCTGACTCAGATTTACTTCCAGCTTATCATGGCGCAAGCAAAGATGTGAAGCTGAGGTCATCACCAAGGCGAGCAGTAGACAACAACACACCCACTCATCAGCCAACTTCAGCACATAACTAAAACAAGTTAAAACTTATTATGTTCAGGTAGGAGTCGAATCAGTACATGCAGCTGATGTTGCTGTTCATACGGTGGGAAAAAAAAATCCTGTTAATAGTCCTTTTTAAATTTGCGAGGTCTTTTAAGCCTTAAGAGAGAGCCAGGGTCTGACTACTTCCTGGCACAAGAATGTCTTGTGTTAAAGCTGCTACTGTTAACAAAGTTGATCAAATAGCGTCTTGTGTGTTCTTGTCTCCTCAGCAAACAAAGAAGGGACAAACTAACACCACCGCCGAGGAGTGGTCATACATTATCCTGCAGCTGGTATTTGTTGACTGGGTAAGGTTATCCATCTGTCTTGACCGGGAGGCTGAGAGGTAAGGTCAGATACTTACCTGTTATCTCCTTCCTGCCCTTCCATACACCACTGAGAAGTGTTTTCTATGCTTGAAGTCTCTTATCTTCTTCATTGAAAACTGCTCTGCAAAACTTGGCGATTCAGGATCCAAGTCTGTGGAGCAGCCAATTAAAATGCTCGGCCACAAAGATCATGAAAACCTTATCTGATCAGAGGCAAACAATGGCTGACAGGAAGCTGGCCAGTATCCACACAGGTTTCAGGAGTATAAATCAGGTCACACTGACGTCAGTGGGCTCTGAAGGCAGTGTTTCTGCATGTCTTTACTTTGTTTTTCCGCTATGAATACTCCAGTCGTGTCATGGACTGACAGCATGAATATATCATTTCCTTCTAAGCCAAACTGCCAAAACAACAACAACACTGATTGCCATAGAAACAGTCAACTTTGAAATAAAGCCCACACAGTCAGATTTGGAGGCAGGAAATGAAAGCACCACTGCAGCCAAAGATAACTCGATATGTAAATTTGAGTTCTTTACATTGTGGTGATAAAAATCTGAAATTTAACTGACTTTATTTGAACTCTATGTCATGGGTCCCAAAGAGGAAACAATTACATTTTGTGGGTAAGACTCTGTTTTGGGTATGCACAAGGTGTTCGAGAAAGATTGGTGTCATTTGTTTTTCTCCTGGCTGAAGTTCTTGGACATTTGTTGGAGCAGGTTTTAAAATAAGAGGGGTTCAAATGTTCTCATTATGCTGTGCTTTCTAAATGACCTGTAGTCTGGACTCAGATGAAAACACGACTACAGTGAAGGTCCTAACTGATATCATAAATGCTATTGAGTCGAAAGAACACTGTGTTGCTCTTTTCTTAGACTTATCTAAGGGTTTTCACACAGACGATCATTCGATTGTTTTACAGAGGGTTTAACTAACTGGGTTTTCACCAACTACAGTTCAGTGGTTAAATAGTTGTCTGTAGAACAGGAGCTAATGTGTCCCAGTTCAAGGTTTGCTTACTAGATTCTTTCCAGACAAAATGGTGTCCCACAAGGGTCCATTCCAGGTCCTGTTCGATTTTTTTATTCATGTAAAGTTTTATGCAAAGTTTCGATTTTATGCAGATGATATGATTATATGACACCTCATTATCTTCCCTTTAATGACCTACAAGCTGCTCTGAGTGTTGTTCAGACAAATCTTTGAATTAAGGCTAGTTCTGAATGTCAATAGGACTAAAATGATGTACTTCTCCAGGTCTAAAAGACAGGGAAAGATAATTGTCAGGTTCTAACTTTGAAAACTGAAGTGATTGTGAATGTCCTAACATTTAATGATAACAGATATACTTAGGGTGACCATACATCCTCTTTTACCCGGACATGTCTTCTTTTTGGCGGGGCTGTCCAGCTTGTCCGAGGGAGTTTATAAAATCCTTCAAATGTCCGGGGTTTTGGGTTTGTGTCGCGTTGACTTACTGAGTTGGAAGCGCGTAAAAAACACTCAACCCGACTCGAAAAACTCTCAAAATTTACTACACGGGACTCCGTTACTCTGCCTTGTGTAGTTGTGTCATTTTTTGGGGATTCAGAATTATGGTCACCCCTGATATATTGGAGTTGTTCCGATTCCGGTGCCAGTATCGAAAATTGCTCTTATACTGCCGAAAAATAGTGTCATTGGTATCAGCGAGTTCTGGAGTCCTGGCACCAATCTGATATCACGTAATTTATAAAACTAGTAATCTATTTACTGCTTAGCTCCGTTAGCTCTGACACTGTTCTTCTTTGCCGATCTAAAACACATTGGATCACGTGATCCACTGCGTCAGAACCAGAGCCTGTTGATACAGTTGACAAGGCTCAGACCTAAGCTAAGTAGCAGCTAATTAGCACTAGCGTCATGTAGGCGGTGTGGCAGTATTTCACGATGGATGATCCCACCAGTAAGACTGCGACATGCAACATATGCCAAGAAAATATTTCGAGAGGTAGCATGAGTGTTGCTACTTTTAAGACCAGCAACTTGAAGACACGTCATGCTACAGAGCACGATGGATTTACCAGAGCAAAGGGGAGAAGGAAGAACGAGCCGCGGCAGCAAACTCTACAAGATTTTTTGCCAGTCATGCCTGGTATAATTTTTTTTTTTATAACATACTGGTATTGGATAGGTGCTCAGTATCGGCAGATACCCGCAACATAAGTATCAGAATCGACACTAGGAGGGAAAAATTGGTATCAGAACATTTCTAAGATATACTATGATTTTCTCTCTCCCTGGAACCCCTGTTTATCCAGTCTTCCATCTGTGAAAGGTCCAGACACCTAATTGTAAGAATTAGAGTTCCAGCCGGTCTCTCAGCCAAAACTTTGTGGTGTGAAGCCAAAACACGAAGAGGTGACATCATTCAACATGGAGGGGAGAGGAAAATCACGAATATCTTACATGTGGGAAGCAAGAAAAGACAGATACAGCAGAGGACTCATAAGATGTATACAAGACAACGAAAATAGCTGCGACATACACAACTAGACAGACAGAAAAAGACTGTTTTACAATGTCTGCTTATAGACATTATATCAGTGTGTGCGCATGTGTGTGTTGGCATGAGCTTACTGCTGAAGAATGTAGAGGGAAACTGAAAACAGGAAGTCTCTTAGGAACGGTGAAGTTGGCACAGTCCAGCCACACACACACACACACTCTCTCTCTCTCTCTCGCTCTCTTTATTTTTCAATGTCTTGTGTTAACACTGACTTCTCCTTATTGCTTACAGAGTCATGCACCTTAACCCTTTGGCTGAACTCACAGTCACTGTGTGCTGCAGGTGTGATTTCTACTTCACTCCAGACTAGGGCTGGGCGATATGGGAAAAAGTTTAATACAATATGTTTTTTTTCATATCAGTCAATATTGATATCGCAGTATAAAAAATGAAATTTAACAGTGCTTAGTGGTAGCATGTCTTTTGCAATACAATAAGCTACTGCATCTGTGAAGTCTTTGCGTCTCTTCGACGTTTTGTCGTAAGGCGTTGCACTTGAGAAAGCGGACTGAATGGTCGGCTGTTTTCAGCTGCACAGGTGCCATGGGCTGCTTGCTTCACTCGGGGTTTGTAACCTTTTGCATTGGGCGCGCTCTGCCAAGTGGCACTGCTTCAGGTGGCGAAAAAGATTTGAGGTATTCCCTGACTTTGTGAGAACATGTACTCGACATAATTTGCTGCTTCATGTTCGAACTCAAAAAAACAAAATACCTCCACACCACTGACTTATTTTCTTTTTTTCCCACCAACAGTGCTGTCGGCTCCACGTGTTAAAGTGCTGTGGTTGCGTGTAGCTGCAGCCTGCTACTACGCAGTTGTTTGCTACTTGGTTCTAATTCAGCACACGACGATTGGTTCAGCGTGAAGTGGACCTGGAGCAACTCCCTTTTTCATTGGCTTTTCGTATAGTCTACCAAAACATGGGAGAATGCCGACTATCGAAAAGCATATTGACCATGTTTCATATCATTATTATCAATATATCGTTATCGTTTTATCGCCCTTTAAACCCAAACGACAAATTGAAAGGTACAACTAACTGTACAGCTAAGTTATTAAATGATTTTGATCCACATTTAACACACAAATATGAGTCACAGAGCATTCTCACCGCTCATTCCCATAATCGTATCTCAAAACTTTATGAAAAACAAACACACATCAAGATTAAAAACTGGGCAGAGAGATCAACCAAACATCTGAGCTCCACATCAGCTTGGAAAGAAAGATAATTATTTTATTTGGCCCTCATGAGCCGCATTCCTGTTGGAGGAATAAAGCCGATACAGCAAACTGAGCCAAGTGGAGTGAGGCTGGAGGAACGTAGAATGTCCTCCTACTAACTACAGCACAGAAATGATGGTTTTACCAGACGCTGCAGAAGGTCAGCTGTACTTCTGCCTCAACATAACTTTGCCTGTTCAGTCTGTCTTCACACCCTGTTTTTTTCTGCTTTTCTCTTCTGTTCTTCTTCTTCTTCCTCTGTCCCCATTTTAGAGACTGAGGCGTCTTTCAGAGCAGAGCAGCTGGCAAAACCAGGATCCATCCACAGCAGCAGCTATGTATGACCAATTTGCATTTACATGAATATCTATGACACTCTGTGTGTGTGTGTGTGTGTGTGTGTGTGTGTGTGTGTGTGTGTGTGTGTGTGTGTGTGTGTGTGTGTGTGTGTGTGTGTGTGTGTGTGTGTGTGTGTGTGTGTGTGTGTGTAGAACGAGTTAGTTAGTTAGTTTCAGCAGATTGAAACCCCAACAAGGTGAGTAGGGCTGGGTGATAAAACGATAACCATATATATCGAAACTAATTTCCCTCAATATTGATATAAAACATGGTCAATATGCTTTTCTATAATTCTGCCATGTTTTGGTAGACTATATGAATAGCCAATGAAAAGGGGAGTTGCTCAGTCTGCTTTCTCTAGTGTAACGCCTTACGACAAAACATCAAAGAGACACAAAGACCTCACAGATGCAGTAGGTTATTGTATTGCCAATTTCATGCTACCAATAAGCACTGTTAAATTTCATTTTTTATATCGTGATATATATCGATATCGACTGATATGAAAAAAATATATCGTGATATATCGATATCGACTGATGTGAAAAAAATATATCGTGATAAACTTTTTCCCATATCACCCAGCCCTAAGGCTGAGTAAAACAAGATTAGCTGCCTAAAAAATACTTTTACACCAAATATTGAATCAGCCATTATCAGACTGATTTAAAAACAGTTATATTCCTTCAGTCCATCACACTCACTTCCATTATTATTAAGGGTGGGAGAAAAAAATCGATTCATGTAAGTATCGTGATTTTTTGTTTTACAATTTTTTAATCAATTTTTATGATCAAAAATCATTTTTTTAATTTAAAATTCAATAATAAATCTTAAGAACAGACTCACATGTGATGTGTATTTTTGGGGGAAATATAATTCCTGGAATAGTCAGTAGAGAATTATAATCATTCAACTGTTTCACTGGTGTTAAAAATGCAGACTAAATATCAAGAAAATCGACAATATCGTAGAATCGCAATTAAAATCGACTTGGCATCCAAAAGATCGTAGAAGAATCGAATCGGGAGAAAAGCATATCGTCTCAGCCCTAGTTATTATATAATTTGATCTGAACATGTCCACTCATGGTTGTAAACAAGGTGAGCAGGACCACGAGAATCAGTGCTGCATGTGATTGAAATTTTCCACCTTGTTTCCTCTCAGAGTTTGTGACATTTTATTTTCCATTCATGATCCTCAAAAACTTCCATATTTTGTTCCAGGCCCTGACACCATCTTCAATTTAGTTTTCCCAGCATAACAAACTGACGTCACTTTACTAGACTTACTTTTAGCAGATTAATGTAATTACACAAAGTCTGCTGGAGTCCGCTATGAGACACACTTACCACAACAGTGTTGAGTGTACGTACATCGAAATGATCCATACTATTCTTTCATTTAAAATAAATCTGTGTTGTTCGTTTCTCCTCCTCATCTACCTTTACTTTCCTCATGTCAATCATTACTAAAGCCTTTTTTATGCCAATACCCAAACCATTAATTATTGTCTACCAGAGCACATCACAACAGCTTGTAATGGCTGCGGGTCGAAGGAAACACGCTGCCAAGTTTCCAGATCAAAACCTACTCTACTTTCATGTCATCAGAGCCTTTAAACCCTACCAAAATCTCCATTAAAAATCGACTAAAAAATACTCCCATTAGGGAGCCATAAAAAGAAGAAACAGAGCGTCTGAAGCCCATTTACATTCTACCTCGTAATAACACAACAGGCAAAACACAACTGGGACTTACCATGACATGAAGCCAGACAAATTGCATAAAGTTTTACAAGCCTGTGATGTATTTTTATGGGAATGAGCTCATGGTAATTTCTTTAACATGCAGGCAGCAGCACTGACTGCAGCCAGAATTCCCTATGGTCCTCCGGTGGGTGTGCTTATGGGTGTGTGTTGGGCTACAAAAGGTCAGTTACACACATGGGCCTGTCTTGGTTTATTTACTGTCTGTGAGCATGAAAGACAAACTAAAGTACCCCCATATGGCTGTTAAAATAGGCAGTAGCCATCAGCCTGTAAACAAAATATATGTTTGAGAAGGCATTTTTCTTGATTTGCAACATTTGTCAGGGCTTTACCTTTCCTTTAGTTGTCTCCAGGTATTTGTTGCTGGATAAAACACTTATCTAAGGGTTTTCACACAGACGATTATTCGATTGTTTTACAGAGGGTAAAACTAACTGGGTTTTCACCAACGACAGTTCAGTGGTTAAATAGTTGTCTGCAAAACAGGAGCTAATGTGTCCCAGTTCAAGGTTTGCCTAAAATGGTGTCCCACAAGGGTCCATTCTGGGTCCTGTTTTATTTTTTATTTATGTACAGTTTTATGCAGAGTTTCGTTTTTATGCAGATGATATGATTTTATGACACCTCATTATCTTCCTTTTAATGACCTACAAGCTGCTCTTAATGTTGTCCAGACAAATCTTTATAAATTAAGGCTAGTTCTGAATGTCAATAGGACTAAAATGATGGACTTCTCGAGGTCTAAAAGATAGGGGAAGATATTTGGAAGATATCGCATTGCGCCTGATGTGTATTGTCAGACGCGTCAAAATTCGCCTCTGAATATTTCGCAATTTTGCATCATATATTTGCGTTGTTCCTGGTGTGTAAGGACCTTAACTTTTACCCCAACCCTAACCCTAACCCGACAGATGATGACGTTTCACAGCCATTAGGAATAACCAATCGGAGCCCAGCACTTATAGCCAATCAGAGGCTATACCATCCTACAAAAAAAAATAATAATCGCATCCGTGGGAGTTTATAAAATTCTTCAAATGTATGGGGTTTTGTATGGAAGTTTTGAGTTTGTGTTGTGTGGACTTACTGAGTTGGAAGCGTGTAAAAAAACACTCAACCCGACTCGAAAAACTATCAGAATTTACTACGCTGGACACTTTGTTTTGCTTTATACTATTTACGAATTTGGACACGATTTCACAGTCTGCAGTGGGATAAAGAGAAGTTATCCATAGCTATACTTAACAAAACAGAAAAACTGAATCCAGATGAAACATAAACCCTGATTCCAACACACATACTATAAAAAATGACTATAAAACAGCAGTACAGGAATTTCAGTGGACATTTTTAAGCTCAGTGGTTCCATCAGTGAGAGAAAAACGGAGACTCTCTAACTGGAAACAGATTTCAGAAGCAGCCCTGACCTCCTCAATTCAGCATGTAACTGTAGCTCTCACACACACACACACACACATATGCAGACTCACACTTTCAGAAACAGAGACAGATAGCCAACGCCCCAGACAACTTTAGGACCTGTGTCTTGTCCACATATAAAAATACAGCCTTTCAAGTGAAAAAATCTATAATATCATTACATGTGTGAAAGAAGACCATGTTACAGTAAATTTCTGAATATGACATGATGTAAAAGATTTGATAAATGACCTCCTTTGCATCAAAATAAACAACTTCAGACAGATTTGAAGTTTTTTAGATAAGAACAAGTTTAGATTTACTTCATATAACCTGTATGTTGAAGGAAAAAAACTACAACACAGTTAAGAGTTTGTCTGAAAACAAGCGAAACAAGAACCGTGTTCGGATAGATATTAAACAGCAGTTGAACAGCGGCTCCATCTCAGCTCCAGCTTACCGGGCTCAGGGTGATGACTGCAGCGGGGATGAGTGGAGTCCCCTCGGCTGTGTGGCAGCAGCGGAACTCCGGTTAATCGACGAGACCCTCGCACGTTTTAAATCCTGACTTCCATCTGCGGCTGCGTCAAGTTAGCACTGACTACTAGGCGAAGACCGGATGTAAGAGCGCAGACCTTCAAAATAAAGTAGGAAGTTAGAGTGAGACATTGCTTGTGGCTATAGAGTGTCGTTTTGGTTGAGATTTGTTTATGGCTCCTCAAACCGCTGTGTATTGCTATCCTGCAGTCGTTACTAAAGTTGGTGTAACTAGAGAAGCAAACGGTCGACAACATTCATCTCTCGAGGGAGGTGTCTAACTCGGCGTTACGGTGTGTTTGACCCTAAATTAATTTAACGCCGGAATATCCCTTCAAAATAAAATGTGTTAAAAACAAACCATAGAGTATATCTATCAGTCAGAATATACATGCGAGATGAGCTGACCAAGAATAAACAAAAAAACATTTTTTCTACAGTTATATAATGTTAAATATATATCAAAGACACGTCATTATCAGGAGTCATTTTATTTTATTCTTGTACAATTGCAGGAAGTTTGACAGGAGACACTGTTAATAACATTGGAACTATACAAGAAGAAATCTATTAAATCTGAGATAACGTTCTCCTCAACATAAATTCACATTAAAAAAAAAACATTAACACACAGTTTCATTGCAGGTATACTTTTCACAAATATAACTGTCATAAACAGGCTCTACAAACAGTAGAAACAAATGTTAAGATCTTTACTTCAAGATAAAGACGCTATCGTACTGATTTAGAATTGCTATAAAAACCCTTTTTAATGGTTTTAGGTACATTTACACAACAAATGAAAACTAAGGGTGACTGTACTGCAATAAAAAAAAAAATTTGCGTCAGTCCACCATCCATCAGTTTTTCCCACTGTTTCCATATCAAAAAGACATTTTTGTGCAGATACACGAAGTTTCCTTGAGTCTTGCATGTTTTAAAACAGGAATTCTACACAAGTTATGGAAATCAGAGCTTATTACTAAAAACAACAGGGAAGAAAAGACGAGGAAAAGGAGGGGTGTCAGTTCAAAATAATTCTCAATGAGGCATGGACAAGGAAGTTAATAAGCCTCAACAGTGCATCAGTAAAAAGTGTCATAAACGAGTCAGTCCCTTGAGCTCACTGGTAAATAAAAACAAATCAAATCCCTACTTGTTTCATTTTCAAATACCACAAATACTTTTCAGCAAATACGACCATCCATTTGTCGAATGTCTATTAGATAAGCTATATCTGACAGAATACAAACGGTACATAGTTTGTATTCTTTTAGGATTTCAAACAGATGTAAAACAAGTCGTTTCACTTCAGTCAGTCCCTTTACGCTCATGTTAAACCACAATAGCGTGTCCAACTGCAGTCCAGTCGTTCAGAGTCATAGAAAGATCAACAAGGATCAGTGTACCGCACAATAGCAAATCAAAATATGTACAAATCTACATTAGGTAATTGAATTTCTAAATAGGCACTTTAATTCAAACAGTTCAGCCAGCCCTCAGAGTCATCTTTGATGATAAGATCACCAAGATATGGCAGTCAGCTCTTTGAAAGATTCAAACCAAATAAAATCGAGACAAAAAAAAAAACATTAGCCCTAATAACCCTGTTTCAGTCTGACATCAGACACAAACGTACAGACGCACGCAGTTTTAAAGTACGCACAAGGAAGCTCTTGTTGTCTAATACTCAAGGAAAGGGTCGCTACAGCGCAGGAGGGCAATATCTTCATATGCACACATTCGTAAAAGAAAAACTCCTTAAAGTGAATATCTACCTTCCCTTGACTCCCCGACTGTACAAAGTACCTTGTTAGGAAAAAAAAGTAGTGCAACAACAGCCGTTAACCACAGAGCAGTCCTTTTTTTTTTGATCAGGGCAGAGTTATAATTAATGCCATACAATAAAACAATAAATAAATAATAAATAAAAATAAATCATGACATAAATAAATCATTTTTGTTACTTAAATAAAACGAAAAGACTGATCAAGAAGAGCAGAGACAGGCAGTGTTCAGACTTAGTGGAGACACTCCTGGACTCTCTCTCTCTTTCTCTCCCTCACTCCTGTTTTATCTGTACCTTACAGTATCTACAGTGTTTTTTAAAACTCAAAACTCCTTCATTCACAATTTTAATGTCCATGTCAAGCTGCTTTCACATTTACCAATCATGACAAACCCCGTCCACAAACTCGTAGATGAGTAAGACTTGTCATGTAACCGTAGTGTAAGAAACTGAACGTTAGTAAACAGAGTAAATGTGGTTTGTTGGTTACTAGAGGTCACAGCAAGCTGGACAAATACTGGCCCTTGTTACAGGAGGAGATGTAAAGAGAGTGAAGAGCGTGCAAGGTTCAGAGGTCGACCCTGACACCCCGATCGAGTACAGAGTACAGCACTGGCATGTCAACACAGTAGTACGAAGAATTAGCAGACACAAGCCACATTTTAGCATCCGAAACTTGCAGCTAAACGAGCATCCTGCTTGATTTGAAAGAACCTTTAAGTAAGAGGTGGACTTGATTTACAGTACCTACCTTTCTGAAGGTGAGCGCACATTCAACATTAAAATAAGCCACCTCGACTGTGAGTGAAATCAAACTGGCCTCACGGTTTTTGGAAAAGCAGAAGTTGCTCCATGGCAGAATTTAGTGTGACTTAAGCAGCTGATCATTTGGATGCATACTAACAGATGCTTTTCCCCCTCACAGTCTGTGCCTGCGAGGGTCCGAGTGTGGCGGAGAGGGCGGCGGAGGCAAAGTGACGGTGGTAGGGGGCTCCACCGGATCATCCATGGGCAGGACCAGCCGTGTGCCCCTGATCGCCACTTCGTGTTCCGCCAGGGAGAGCTCGTGATCCAGGCCTTCGTCAGACGGCCCGCCTCCGGTGCTGGCGGTGGAGGAGCGTTTGCGGTTTATGGTACGGGACCCGGAGGCATCTGTGGTGACTGTGACATCTGCGTACATGGAGCTCACGTTGGCATCGTTCAAGATGAAGTCGGAGTCATCGTCGTGGAGCTGACCTTCGTTCTGGTGAGTTGAAAGAATGAAAGAGGGAGAGAAAACAAGTAAATCAAAGTCCTGCCTTTTAGTAAAACACTCAAATTCATTCTTCTAGATCTCCAGTGAAAAGAGCATCAAACTCAATCTCATCCCCAAACCTCATAGGCCTGTGGGCTGGTAAGGCATCGGGCCAGCGGTCCACAACAACCAGGCAGAGTGGCAGTGAGAGGGGGGCCGCTGTGGGTCAGGAGCGGCTTTAAGTAGCTGGAGAACAAGCTTTTGTCAAGGACTACAAAGAGTTCCATCGATCAGACAGGTTCAATTTCCTGAAAATCAAATGCAAAACTGAAAACATAAAAAAAAAAAAAACATTGATACTGAGGTTTTGATGCTTATCGATGAAGCGTGAGGCCCTCTGTTTGAGAGAACGCTTCATTCAGTCACACAGTTTTACAGCAGGGAGCCTTGGCCACCCATTACCCATAGTCTCATCTAGTTTGGTTCTTGTCAAAACTGCTCAAATCCTTTCCTGCTCCCAACACATCAACTTGCAGCTAAAGAATATGTCCCACTCACTGACATGTGATAATGTACAGGGACAGACAGTCTGTATGTTTGCACACACACATGGGTTGGGCTTCTGTTTTAGTCCGATGAAGGGATTTCTGTTCTTCTCCGTCTACGCTAGGTCAGGGCTCGGCAGTGTGACCATTTTACTCGCTTTAGCGATTAAAAGTAGATGTGTGCGAATTGTAAAATGTATTTAGGGGCACATGTGTGTATTAAAAAAACCATCCAGGGCAACAAATGTTTTTTCATGTAAATACCGCGGTGAAGTTAGCTTTAGGTTGGATAACCGACGGACATTCACTGCAGATCTACCGATGTCTTCTAACTCTCCATAACCGGTAACAGCAACAGCAGCGTGGTTAAATCTACTCGGCATCCTCGCTGTCAACGTCGGGTGTTGAATAAGGGATCATCCATTAATTATGATTGGTGTTCTCAGAAAAGGCTGTTTTCCTTCAATAGCTTCCATGTCATGTGACCAAGAGACCTAAAACCGATTTCAAATAATAGAACTTAAAACAACCATTAAGACAAACATTATTTGATAAATTTCCATTGTGCCCCAAAGTTCTTTATGTGCTCCTTATTTTTCAACTTACCTGATTCAATTTTTCAACAGTGAGAATATAGAAAACTTCACAGCTCTGTTATCTGTTTTTACTTCTCTTCCTTGTCTACTGTGAAGGTTTCACTGTTTTCAACACATTTATGCTGTTCAAAGTCTGAATGCAAAGAACACCTAGGGGAGATCGATCCTGAACCACATTTTCCAGGTCTGACTATGAGACAATGAGGCATTCAGCTCAGTAAGATTTTCGTAGGATTACTGATTGTGTGTAAATTAAAAGTGCAGTTTTATAATTCATGTGAATTCACTGAATTATATTTACATCACCTGTCAGTGGTCCTAACGCTCGGGGCGATCAGTCTATATCAAATGGTGCATTTCTGATTTCTGTCAGATTATTAGGGGTGGGAGAAAAAAATCGATTTACTTAAGTATTACGATCTTTTTGTTTCACAATTTTTAAATCGATTTATGTTCAAAAATCTATTATTTTTAGTTACTATTTCGAGTATTTTGGGGGGAAATATGGTTCCTGGAATCGTCAGTAGACAATCATAATCATTCAACTGTTTCACTGGTGTTAAAAATGCAGACTGAATATCAAGAAAATCGTCTACATCATACGATCGCAATTTAAATCGAATCGGCATCCAAAAAATCGTAGAAGAATCAAATCGGGAGAAAAGCATATCATCCCAGCCCGATCATTTATATTTAACTCTGGTGGATCCTGCATTACTATTTCACTGCTGCAATAAAATCCACATTAAACAAATTTCAAGTTATTTTCACCAGTGAATTTTTGAAATCCTCAGACTTCAACATTGACTATAACTTGATAAAGCCTCATGCTCTCGTCACGTTCATATTTCATAGTTTGGGGAGAGCACCATCTAGTGTCCAAATCTGGATGTAGCCACGCTTGTGGAAACAGTCACTCGAATAGAGCTCCAATCAAAGGATACTTCCTGTCAAAGTTATACCAGATCCTGAAAGGCCAAGCACTCTCGTGTTTGGTGTTCCTCCGCTGTGAGCCGTCCAGCACAGCTGTGCTCTTTAAAGCAGAACATAAATGTCAGTTTCAGTTCCAGCGTTTTCAGTAACCAAACATTATTTAAAGACAAAAACAGTTCAGTGAGAGTGAACAACTTACAGAGCTGTCTTGATCAGAGTCCACACCCACCCTGTGAGAGCAGAAATGTACGAACAGTGACTTTGATAGGAAGGTATTCTGCAGAGGAAATGCGAATGGCTGGCTTCAAAAGCAGCTGCAGGGACTTACGGTATACTCATGAAGGACAGCATGGGCGTGGTGCCACCTCCACAGATCCAGACAGTGAAGAAGACAATCAGGAGGGTGGTTGAAAACATCATCTGACGGGCGTAGGTTGCTGTATCTCTGATGGAAAGAGCAAAAGTCATCGCCCCACGCAGACCTAGAGGACACAGACAGACAAACACCATTTTAACCAAGGTTAATTCTGCATCGTAGAACAGTACAAAATCCTGACAGGTCTGAGATTTTACCGTCTCACCTGCAAACATCATGACGTGCTGGAAGTTTGATCCTATCTTGTTCTTACGGCCAAGGTTGAGCAGGAAGGACAGAGGGTAGATGTTTGCTGCTCTGCCCAGAAACACGGCCAGCTACACAGGAAAGTTAGGGACGAAACACAGAACTAAAAGAGAGCGGGCGGGAATACAAAATAATCCGATTACAAATACCCGATGCATCCCTACAAATGAGGTGTATTTGTGACGACCAATATAGGGACCAATGTCAACTATTCCTGGTCAGGATCAACTGTCCCTGACGCATCTCAGCCGTGTTAAGGATACAAAGGCTCCAATGATGAACAAAGGGTTAAAGACGTGCGACTGGAAGGAGAAGAGAGTCAGACCCATGTAGGAGAAGATGAAGTTCTCTGCCAGGAAGTTCAGCAACTCAAACAACTGATGGGAGAAGACAAACAAACAGCATGTATGAAAATTTACACATTTACACTTCACCCAACCTTCCCAACATGGTGAGGGTTTGGCGAGATTTTGGATTAACTGAAGACACGTTATTAATCGGAGATTTAGAAAAGGATGCTCAACGCTAGGAGTACTAATCAGTGTTTCCCTTAGCTTTTTCGCTTTGACAGGGGGAGGGGAGACACATATAACATAGACATACGTCGGCCTGTTTTCGGGGCATCAAGAAGTACCGTCTTTTTGAAGAATGCGTATATCTTCAATTGGGGTGCTGAACGTTCGGGGACAGTTTGATGCTCAATGACCATTTTTTTATTGTTTTGTTGGCGGCAAGCACGATGAAAAGGAGCCAGAACCCCAGGTCGTCAAAACCATCGTGCCCAAAACTGGCACGGTATGAGTGGAAAACGCTCGCGACCAGAATACCAGAATCAGTGGTGCCACGCCTCTGACCTACGTGGCACGGCATGTTAGTATGCGTGTAAGCTGTGAGATAGAGAGAGGAGCGAGTGGAGAGAGGAGCGAGTGGAGAGTCCAGCTTGTCGCAGAGGAGCGTTTTGATAAAAAATAAAAATTCAACGTATATATTGATCTACGACTTCAATTTCTGGGTTGAGATCTTGTTGGCAGGGTCAGGGTATCCGTTTGCTCCGTTGGGGCACCAAATACACTAAAGGGGAAACACTGTGGCATTATCTAGGAGGCTGACAGTGCAAAAAAGGCTGTTGGTGTGCACAGGCCCTTACTTTGTACACTCAGCTGTCTTCACCAATTGACAGATATGCTTACAACCTTGTGTGAATCCTCCTGAATCAAACCTGAGTATTCTTAGACCAACTTTAGTCAAAAAATGAGAGTTCCTGTCAGTTTTCTTTCCTGAAGTTACTCTAAACTAAAAATCTACGTTTCAAACCCTCATAAACAGTGATGTTGATGATGTTCTGAGTCCACTTTTGAACACAGTGTCCATCAACCTTCGTGACACAACATGTATCAAAGGTTTCAAGTTCCATTTCAGCCCTCTGACTGAGTTTCACTCACTGTGTATTTTGTATTTTCAGCACCTGCTTCTGCTGACTAGTGTGATCAGTAACAGGAACCACAGAGACCAGCCCTCCACTTCAGTGGAAATCAGCACGTCATCAGCCTGTTTTCTTAGAAATCTGCTGTAAGAATGACCGTGAGTTCGCCCTACTTCTAAAGAACGACAGAGGTTTAGAAACATCCTCTCCTCTGAATACTGACTTATCTTTTCACTCTGTGTTCTTCTTTGTTTCCTGGTGTTATACGAGTATAAGTCACTGTTTAATCGCTTTAATGACAGCTCTCATACAATTCTTAATACTGTGTGATCACAGAGTAATGGGATCAATCCTAAAAGACAGCTGAGTGTATATTACCTGTTTGGTCCTGTCCTGAGATTCAGGGGAGAGGTTGTTGAATGTGTAGTGGGCCTGAGTGATCCCACAGAACAGCACAGCCACCACACCTGAAGAACAAGAAGCATCATATCACAGAGCTGAGAAAATAGACGCGTTTCATTGATGGTGCGCCTTATAATCAGGTAACAGGTACAGGTACAGTAACTGAAATTTGGAACAACTTCAGAGATAACTTTAAACGGCAAAGTGATTTTGTGTGGTTGCCCGTAAATAGAGCAAAAATGAAGACGCTCTTGGGTTATTTTTACTGCAAATACAGAGTCAAACTACTTACAGCCAACATCTGGAATGCTGCTGACTTAAACTCTCATCAAAACAAGATGCAGTGAGTTCCATTGTAAACTGCATGGATATATTCTGTGTGCAGATGTACCTGTGAACCCGCAGGCCTCAGCCAGGAGAAAGGTGCTCCAGGACATGAGGAAGAATAGAGCCGTCTCCAGCAGTGGGAAGTCCCTCAGCTTCGTAAACTTGGTCACGTGATGAAAAGTGAGAGTCAAAGATCAAACAAAATGTCCACCATCAGCCCCCTCACCCCAAATAAGGTATGAAAATATCTCCTTGGTAGTTGCTAACAGCTTAGGTTGATGAACTGGAGAAGTAAAAACATTTTAAGTACCAGGTCAGAGACAAATATCAAGTTTTGGGTCAATTAAAGCAGCCCATATGGAAAGTCTGACATGCAGCTGTCAAACATCAGACACATCTGACAATTCAGTTTGATTCTTCTGTTACAGCACACCTGCAACTACCGAAAAAAGGATATGAAAGCGGTCATGACTCCAGTGGCCACCCCGAGAGCGAAGGATCCGCTAAAGACACCCAAAAAGATGCCGAAGGATTTCAACAAGGCCATCGCCTCAAAGCTGTGGCTGTTGTCTCCAGCAGGCTGGTATGCCACGATAGAGCTGACACACAGATAAACAGACAGACAATGAATACAAAAAAAAAAAACATTTACTCATAAAAGAGAAACTGGTCAGATTCAAACACATGCTGCTCACATGACAACGAAACTGAAGTTTGAAGCAGAAATAAGGAATTCAATCAAATTTGCAGCAACACAAATCCAAGGATGGTCAAGGTTTACCATCCTGTAGGTTATCTGATTTTAAGTACACTTGAAGGACTAAAGTTACCACTTAAACATAATGAAGACAAACACATGCACTGACGCTGGGGTTTGATGGTAATAAGGAGGGAATAAAAAAGAGTTTTGCATGTTTTGAGTCAATAGAACATGTATCTTTTCGTACCATTTTTGTAATAAGTATTTAGTACCAAAGAAGGAAGAAGAGTCAAAAAAATTAAATCAGATATCACCCCTTCAGGAGAGTAGTGCTCAAATTAGAGAGCAACAAAACAGAGCACACAGATTTTTTTTTAAATCTATGATTATTTGCATTTATTTGTCTATTGAGCAAAAACAAAACAGGAGAAACACAAGGTTGGAAAGGCTGAAGTGACAAGAGAAGGATCAAGATGAAGACATGCAGCATGTTGACATTTTAGGCTCTGACTCTTCAAGTCCGCCAGCATATCCGTGTAAATCACCCACACCCACCCACCGGGGAGCAAATGTCTGGTTTTCTCCCAGCCATTCCTCGACCCCTTCTGGCCAAACCGGAACATCGTCTTTTTGAGGGAGCACAGCTCCAGCCCCCCGCCTACTCTCTTTCTCCAAACGGAGGAGAACACTACATGCATACATACGTACAGGAAGCGATGAATGACACGGAGGGAGGTGAAGAAAGGCAAGCAGTGAAATGACAGGGACTGGTGTTAGTATGATTAGTGACAACACAAATATCTACCAAAATAAAAGAAACACTCATTGTTGGTCAGGTTATTAACACAGAACTCAGACTTGAAGGGTTTTGAAGGGCTTCATTTTTAAAACCCAAAAATGTACACGAGCACAAAACCTTGAATATACACTCGAGAGGTAAATGCAAAACCTCCTGTTGAAGCCTCAGTTGGCTTTAACCTTAATGAGGACTTTAATTTAGCGCAAAGAGGGGTGTGTATTTTCGCTTCCAACAAAGCTAGTCAAAGCCAGTATGGACTACAAGTAATGACTCTAAAAATGTACATACTAATTCAGAAAATGATACTTACGAGGAGAGGACAATGGCCACAGCATCATTAAGGACACTCTCCCCAAAGAGTAAAGCATAGAGGTCCACATCTACCTTTAGCTCATTGAAGATAGCCAGTACCGTCACTGAAACAGAAGAGAAAAACACTTTTAGGTGCAGTACACAAAAATTCAAACAGGCAGAAACCTTGAACTGAGACGAGAGATAATACACATTTAAGGAAAAACATAAATTTGGGGGACATGTTTTATGGCACCACCTACCTGGATCTGTTGCTGACACAATGGCCCCAAAGAAGAGGCAGTCAGTAAAGAAAAAATCTCCCCCAAGTTGTCCCACAACTTTCATGAAGGACACAAAGCCATACATGATCAGTCTGGAGAAAAGAAAGGATTTGTAAAAGTCACAGAAGAGCCTGACATCAACAGAATTAGTCCAATTATCGATTAAATACACAACTTGTGAGACAATGCTGGGTATGATCAAGGGACTTACCCAATAACAAAGCAGGATACAACAGTTCCCATGAAAGCGTAGGCCAGGATGGAGCCGATATTCCTGAAGAAATGTCTCTGTGACAAACAAGGAGACAGGTCAAATAGAACAAAGACTCGTGGTTCTGGTAGTCCAGCTGGCAAAATAAACAGATGTCTCTCTCGAAATAAGGCCTTTTTTGGGTCTCATTTGTAACCGTTCCGTAACTCATTTTGACCTTCTTACCCTTTTCAGACTGTATCCGGCGTGGAAGATGATAGGAGGCAGCAAAATGTTGAAAAACACCTCTGGGTCAAAGGTTACCTAAAGACAGTTGTACATAATGAAAAGTTGTCGTTACTGTTTATACAGAATTCCTTATGTGTGTCTGTACACATTCAAAACAATCAGTAACACAATCATAACCATTTCATTGGTGTCATAATTTAGTAATGCTAGTTGTGACTTCATAACAGTCATTCACACTCCATCCACTCTTCTACTTGCCTTTCTCAGCATCTCATCATCCTGAACTTGGTGACCTTTGCCCCTGACCTCCCCCTTCAGAGTGTACTCGTAGAACCGCCCGCTGACATTGACCAGCAGTGTTGCCGGGCTGGCGTTGACGGCACAACTGAGAGTCGCATTGCTCATGCTCTGAGGTACATGGACCCCAAATCGCAGGATGACGCCGACCAACAGGCCTTTAGAGGAGAGGGAGGGAAATAAGAAAAGCAGGATGGTTTGCAAACCTAAATATGGTAAAAACATAACCATGGTCTGGTTTTTAAGCAGCAAAATGTACCAAGGTTCTATTTAAAGCAGCTGCTTCTAATTATCTGGATGTGCTATATACTTTAATTAGTACATCAATCAGCCTCTCTCAATATACTGAAAATGACTGAGTGGCAAGCTAAAGAGCAGGATTTACGATTTAATCACTGATAGTGGAGTACCTTTATTTAGAGGACGGTAAAAATGCCAATTACTTAGAGGTTAAAGGGATATTCCAGCGTAAAATTAATTGAGGGTCAAACTTAGATACCCCCTTGAAAGATGAATGTTGCCGACCGCTTACTTCTCTAGTTATACCAACTTTAGTAACGACCGCACGATAGCAATACACATACTAAAGTTGGTATAACTAACGAAGCAAGCAGTCAACATTCATCTCTCGAGGGGGTGTCTAACAGTGTTGCGGAGTGTTTAGCCTAAATTAATTTTACACCGGAATATCCCTTTAATCTCAGTTTCTTTGACATTTAATACTGGAGAAGCACAAATTAATACTTATTATTAAATTTAATTATTGTAATAATTATTTACGTTATTTATCTATACATTTTGAGCATGAAGCTGCCACCTTTGTCAAATAATCATTAAGAGTTAGCACACTGGTTTAGTGGTACGAAGAGCTACAAGTGTTTCGATCTAATCGGTGACCGTGTTAACTGGCGGTTTCCAGCCGAATGTGTCACGGGTTGACGCAGAGCGTGCCAGAGGCCAACGGCACCAACCGCCGATGCGTTCGACCCTTGGGCACCAGATAACACGGTCACTCGTTTAACCGAAACATCAGCGGCACAGTCAGTCAGCTAGCACGGTGGGCTAACTTGAGGACATTGATTGGCTCTTACCATAGATCATAGCAAGTCCGGTTTCGTGTAGAAACCTAAACCGCCGGTGTTTGAACAGCCATATGGTTAGAATAGTGAGTGTTAAGAGCATTATGAATATAAGTAGATTGGCACTGTCCTGTCGGTGGCTCTCCTCAGCCAGCCTCTCTGTTGCGACGTTGTCCATCGCATTACCATCGCCTTGGCTCCCGACGAGCAACAATGTAAACAGAAAAGGCAACAACGGGAGCGCTCTCGACGGTTTCAAACTGAGAAAGCGTCTCGATGTAAATCCCATGATGGCTTCCCGTAAGGAGGTCACATTTGTCGTTTAAACTGGTATGGGAGTTTGCGGGGAAATAAGATAGCGATACCAACAGAGAGCAAATGACAGGTTCTTCCGCAGCCGTTATCAAAACACACTGAAATCCGGTCCTTCAAAATAAAAGCCTGAGACAGAAGCTAAGTGCGTACACCGAGACTTAAAGGGGCGTGTCCGGTCCAGATTTATTATTATTATTATTATTGTTATTATTATTATTATTATTATTAGTTTTGAATCTCGACTTTGGAACGACCAGGAGGCCTTCACCAGAGGATCTGAGGCTGTGAGTTGGCTCATATGGTATTAAAAGCTCTGAAATGTAGCTCGGAGCAAGTCCCTTAAGAGCCTTGAGAGTAATCAATAAAATCTTAAAATCAATTCTAAAACTGACAGGAAGGAAGCCAGTGAAGGGAGGCTAAAATTGGAGTGATGTGATGCCATCTATAAAACCAGTTAAAAGCCTTTTACTCTTTCAAAGATTGCCAACATCTTAACAACATTTAACTTAGAATGTAGAGACAACCATAAGACAGGGGGCATTAACATGGCTTCTCCTCATGAAACACCATAAACACGACCCCCGTTGAAGGCACCAAGTGATGTTGTTGTCATTATTTTTTTCTAAACTAAACTAAATGAAAAATCAAACCGTTAAAATGAGGTGAAGGGGGAAAAAGAACATTTAAAGCTATTGTAACCTTGGTGTGGGCACATCAAAAGCAGTTATTGTCCCTGTCTGTTACAACTTATCATAGAAAACAACTTGAACTGATGGATAATAACATACTGTGTTTTTTTTAAACTTAAGAAAATAACAAAACAGAATAACATACACATTTTTAACCCCATATTATTTAATGGTTTGAAGTATTTTTGTCCTACAGCAACCAACCAAAATAGCTGAACATGAGTCTCTCTGTTTCACTTAATCATGTAAATGTTCACTGCCAGTAAAAGAGTAAATGAAAGATATGGGTGAGTGTGTGCAGCACTAAGGCAGTCAGACATGCAAACACTAAAACCCCTTATCAGATTAACAGGAAAAATGTAATGTAAGCAGACGGATGAAGCTTCATCTGCGATCAAATGTCAAGTTAAACGTCAATCGAAGACGTAGGAGTTGAAACTTGTTCTTGATTGAATAGGTCATCATGGAAAAAGCAGAAGATTGCTGGCTTCTTTTAATACCTGATAAAATACCATAAAAATGTAGCTTAAATTAAGGATTTTGTATCAGGTATATTTTGCTATCAGAGGACATACAGCAGACTTGGATGAGTTCAACATTGACTGTCTGAATTTAATTTTGAGTTAAGTGAAAGCAGTATGTTACATGTTAGTCATTTGACAATTCACTATTTGGACGGGCCAATTTGCTTAAAATTTAAAGAAAACCAAACAGCCTAGGTCATCTGAAACATTACGGACACAGACATATTTAAAAGTATTGCCTCTCTAAAAAGTGGAGTGCACAAAGAGCAGATAAAACAAACATTCGGGTCTCATGTTTTTGACTGCTCAGTACAGGAAATGTAACATCTCGTGTGTGTTCCTTTTTCAAACCTGATGTGGTTTACCTTCCTATCTTCAAATTTAAACACTTCCTCTGAACAAGAAACCCACAGAGATGATTACTTTTTAGCAGCACACAGAAAACATCACGCAGTTTGCTTTTCATTTTATGCCCCCAATTATGTTTTACTTTTTCTCAAGACCAATGCTTGCATATTTTTTTGTGGACAATTCAAGATCATCTCTGACTATGTCCCCTGAGTGAATCATTGATTTTTTAATTTTTATTTTGTTTGTTTTAATGATAAATTTTTCTTTCTCAGCATCATTTACATTTTTGTTTTTTATTTCATCAGGCAGTCTCATTAAGATCAAGATCTCTTACAAGAGACGCCTGAGAACAAGGAACATTCACAATCAACACACAACACAACAAACAAACAAGAGGTTAAAAAAGGAATCAGTTAAAACAGTTACAGCGATTATTGTAAACATCAGACAACAGGTATTTAAAGTCTCCAAGATGAATGAAAGAGTCATGTTTAAGAGGTAGGACTCAAGCTGGACTCAGTGGAGGATGTGGTGGAGTGATCTACACTGAGGAAGGTGGAGACTATTCTCAAGAACATGGATCACCCACTTCACAACTCCTTGATGGACCAAAGGGCAAATGGTGGTGGACGGCTCCTCTCTCTTCGCTGCAGGACAGAAAGATTTAGAAGATCTTTTGTACCAACAGCCATCAGGCTTTATAACTCTTATGTAAATAATAGATCACTTTTATAGACATATTACGTGAGACAACAGACAATTGAATTTCCCTACGGGGATCAATAAAGTTCTTCTTATTCTTATTCTTAATATTATTGATGTAAAGTGTAAATAGCAGTGGACCAAGGAAAGACCCCTGTGGCATACATTTCAATGGTGTTTTTAAGGGGTAAAACAATATTTTTATTTATGTTAGAATAATTTTCTGATAGAATATGATCGTTCTATTATGCACCAGGTAGTCCACATTTATCACTTTCAATCCTTGTTGCAATGGCAGACATGATCTTATGTAGGTGCAAACTGTTCAGACTTTCTATTCATTTATTTATCATTTTAATTTGTTTTAGGTGATTATTTATTTCAGACACACATAGTGAGCCTTTTTTGGAACTACCTCAGTCCATCGCCTGATATGTAGTTTCCTGACAGGAAACCAAACATCAGTCATAACAGATGCAGCAGAGGCGGAAATGAACAAAGTCACTCGTCGATACTCAGATGCAGAAGAACCCCTGCACATCCTGTTTCCGTGAAGTGAGCCTATCTATGAGTGAACCACGATGTCGGCGCTTCGGCTTCTGCTTTTGTGTCTGACAAAACTTTTGTTAGCAAAGGAGCTACCGGGTAAGAAGACTTTAAATGAACAATTCTTTAAACTTTAAATGATAAATGAATTATTGTGACAGTAGAAGGTTAGTTTTGAATCTACTGGGACGTGTCAGAAGTACGAACTTGTTGAGGGACTCATGGCAGATCTAGTCATGTCTCCTCACTATTATGTAGTGTGGCAGCTTTTTTGTGTCTTTTTTCATATCCTGTGACTGATATTCTTGTACTTTGTACCTTTTCTGTGCTTGAGGGATTTATAACTGTATTTTTAATAACCATCTGAAAAAACAACAACAAGAAAAGAAATTCTTAAGGGGAGGCTACTTGAGGGTCTTGAAATCAATATTGTGATAAATTCATCAATTTTTGAACTGAACTGAAGATTTAATGATCAAACCTTACATTTTTTTTATGATTAACAGTCATGGTAAATTCCCCGTTCGTCATTGTTTTTCTACTTCCTGCTTGTTTGGTCCATGTGTGGGTGAACAGACTGTTGTTAGTCCATTGTCTTAGCTCTAAATCGATCTGAATGTGTAAGCCTAATCATTTTTGTCATGCTCTCTTCTGTTGTTCGTCATCACTGTTTGATCCTGGCAGATGTGAAATGTTTGGTGGTGCATCTCCTGTATGTTCAGTGTCACTGGAACGAGCTGGAGACTCCGTCAGGCAACTACACCTTCTATGGCTGGTATGGATGAGGCAAAGACCACATAGTGACTCGTTTTACTTTACATTAACCCCTAAAATCTTGAAAAGTCTTAAAAGAGCACAACTTGGTATAACAGGATATGTTAGGCTGATAGCAAGCTAATCACATGCACATCCCTTTGTTAGACCTCGAAGCCCTTTAACATTCCCTGCCTATAAAATGAGTGCTTTCTTTCTTTCTTTGCAGGTTCCACCATGATAAACAAATCAGTGAGTGCCCCCGCTATCTAAGAGAAAACGGCACAAACGTTGGGTGTAGCCAGCCGTTGGCCGAACCCCGCCAGAAGTTTGAAGACTTTAACACCAAACTGGAATACAGAGGCAGGAAAAGGGCCGAGGAGCATAATCTTTCAGATAAAGGTACACCTTATAAATTCACAGTTAATCAAGGTGCAGCGTTTTTGTTTGATGCGGATTTGGAACATGTTGGTTTTAAACAAAAGAAGCACTTCGCACACCTATAAAACAAGACAGGTGCGTTGGATCTAATAACAATGATCCAAAGTTCATTTTGTGCATTTTGAACTACACACACTTACAATGACAGTGAATGACAACAACAGAAAAAGTCACCCAGGTACCGACAACATTATGGCTGTGCCTAATGTTGTTGAACTTTGGATCGTTGCAGATAAATGATTGATTGCAGGTTGGACAGTGTGCGGGAATCTCTTTGAAACATGTTGGTTTTAAAAATACAATTTGGCTTGAAAAAAAAAACACACACACATTGAGACACTCGGATCATAAAAATGTTCCCCTGAAAAATGCTTTTGTAAACACATTCAATAATGAGAGTGGGCCTTTTGAGATTGTTTTGCATCTTCGGTTAAGGCTGTATGCTCATAACCAAATTTTATGTTTAGCGCACAAATTTAAAGACATTGTTTTGGAAAGTTTCTGGGGAACAAAAACTAGTGCTGTTGCACTTAAGTATAAAAAGAAAGACATTTTAAGCCTCGTCATCACATTACCGGTTACTGAATGGACTCTGCCTTCTCCAGTGAAGTTATATCCACCAGTCAATGTGACGATACAACTTGGATCTGACTCTAACCTGTGGGTGTACTGGAACCAGACCGCAAGGAATTGTGTGGAGAGTGAAGTCAGCTATACAATCAACAACATGGAGGGGGAGGTAGGCGTTTTGTCAAAAAAAGACTCTTTTAAAATCTCTAACCATTCATTTCATGACCTGCTTGATTATATTTTGGTTTCTGCTGTCCCATCTCTTCACTATTATCCACAGACTACTATGGTCAGTCCTGGGAGGCAGAACCACTGCATCAACTTGCCCTGCAGCCACTGCAGGTATGAAGTGCAGGTGCGCAGCAAAATGGAGCGTAACTGTGGAGAGTCGAAGTTTTGGAGTGACTGGAGCGAGCCTGCAGTCTGGGGATCGAACAACAGCACGGGTAAAATTGATGAATATGTGCGATGTGCTGATGAAAATGGCCTTTGTTCTGCATGTTGATGTCTCTTCCCTTTAACTAAAATAAAGAAGCAATCACTGACCTCTACAGGCAACCACCACAAACTCCAACAACATGAAGTCTCAGGCAGGAAACTAACATGAAGACTTTTTTAAAATTGCTATAAAGATTGATTCAAATTTAAATTCAACTTTATTTTTATGGCACTTTTCGGACAAAACAGGCGGTTCAAAGTGCCTCACAGAGGTTAAAAACAATAATCAACAACAATAAAACCCAACCCTCCCACCGTGAGGAAAGTGCTACCTCTGGGAAACACTGGAGATGACAATAAAAATGGTAAAAGAGTAAAACCTGATGGACTAAAACGAGAAAATAAAATTAAATGAACAGATAAGTAAGAGCTCTTTATCATATAAAAAAGGGTAAAAGAAGTAAAAGCCTATGACGGGAATTAAGACAAAGACTAAGAACAGAGATAATTAATAAAATGACATAAAATAAACAATAAGAACTTCGAATTAAAACGAACATTTGCAATAAGAGAAATATAAAAAGGCAATTAGTGAAAAGTCTGGTTAAAAAGGTGAGTCTTGAGCCTCTTCTTAAAAACATCAACCATCTCTGCCGCCCTGAGGCTCTCCGGCAGGCTGTTCCACAACCTTGCACTTGATCCAACACAAGTAAGGAAACCGGCACAGAGTAGTCGAGGAAGTCATCTCCTCCTCCAAATCTGTTCAGGATTCCTCGATTAAGTAAAGCACATGTGAGGAAACAAGGAAGGTGAATCAACATGCTGCATGTGAAGAAAAAAAAGTGATAATTAATCACCATCCTTCTTTTTCCTCCATCCTCACAGCCTCTGATCAGATCAATTCAATGTTCGTGTGGACCTCAGTTTTGACTGTGGTGGGTACCTTCACCCTCATCCTTCTGGTCGTGATGTTGCTGCATCATGAAAGGTGAGTCGGCAGAAATGTGATGGTGGGGGTAACAGGGTTGGAAGGAAACCAAAAAATGAGGGCAACGTGTGCTTAAACTGTATAAAAATAAATAGATCAATAAACTTTTTACTGTAGAAAACTTTACTGTAATAAAAACTGTACAAACTTTTCAGCGATGACAGTAAAAGGGAAATCAGAGGTGTTAATCTAACAGTCAACGTTGAAGACTGATTTTGTCTAATACCATAAACCGTAAAATAACATAAAAAATTTAATCTAACAACAAATAAACCCATTTAAGTAGTAAAAGTACAGTGTTTCTCTGAAAAAAAATTAAGAAATATGTTCAAACTGTATTTTTTATAGTGAAAAACTGCCCGATGGGTTGCATAACTGTTTGATAAAAAAAACAATTTCTGTTTTTATACACTGTGTTTGAGTTTTTGACTGTGAATTTTTGTCTTTTTTTATGTCAATTTTATTTGTTTGTCGAAGAAATTTATCACCATTACAAAAACTGTATATGATGTTTTTAGAATTTGCATTTTTTTACTGTTATGGTTTAAAAGTTTTTACCGTTAAACATTTTTTTACAGTGTACCTCTTTTTTTGATTATTGGACATGTGAAAGAAAATATCTGATATTCATGGAACAATCACAACAGGCTTGTTGTGTTTTGTCAAATGTAAAGTACAGAGAGTCTGGGGACATGCACACTGCCAGAGGGGAAACAGACATAATACAGTGGAGCTGTTAATGATGACAATTTGCCCACCTCTCATACAGGCTCAGAATTATCTTCATCCCTGTGGTGCCCAAGCCTTTTATTCACCGGGACACTTTGGTGAGTACATCCAAAACTCTCAACATCAACTGAAATTCCCTGTCACACTCAAAATTTGCATTGTTTTGCTTTGTACCCAATATCAGTATGCTAACAGGCCCAAAGTGAATATGCCTGCATGCAGGTGTTGAGGAGGTATATTGAGCAGGTATGCTGTATGCTATGATCACCCCTTAAAGGTGGTGTCGTCAGGATCTGAGGAAGAGCCAGTTTTTAGGAGAAATCTTGAATGTAAACACAACCCCTCCCAACCAGTTTTCCCCTCAGCTCCTCCTCTCCAAGCCCCGCCCACAAACAGACGCTCCCACTCACTCGTATTGTTCCAATTAAATTCAGATATAATGCAGATAAATACTTTGGATAATTACAAATGGGGCCCAGTCAAGGAGAAAGTAAAATGCATTGGTGCTACTGTAGATGCCAACAGACTACCAGCAAACACAATGTTTGCGGGACTTCTACAAGTAGGATAAAGTGACATAGTCCAGGACCCGAGGTCAACAGTTTAGCGGCGCTACAACACGCAGCAGGTCCCGTTTGACAAGAAACACTTCTGTTACAGACACTTGGTTTACTTTGTTAAAGCGGTTTACCTGTCCAGCAGAAATGTTACAGGGTTCATAAGATCCCAAAGCGTCCCCCATCGTTTATGCTGATGTTGACCCGGCTTTTTAGCTCTTGCCCGGCTTTTTAAGCGCCTGTTATTCTGCCAGTCTCTGATGTTTACTTCATTTTCTTGCTTGTGTTGGCAGTCGCTGCCAAAGGAGGATTCAGACAATTTTCTGAACTTTCTGGTTGGTTTTTACTGTCCGATATTGTAGCACGCTAACTTTGCTTTGGCTCGTGAACGAGGGAGCAGCGTCTGCCTCACAACCAATCAGGTTGGGGGAGATAGGGAATGGCTTTGTTTACAGTCAGAATGACGCTCAAAAGTTTTTAAATGTTGACTACACAGACATAAGAGAGCACGGCGATATCGTTATATTACCAAATGTCATCAATAACTAATAATTATTGACTGATATTAAAAGCTTTTTTGTAAATACACCACAAAAAAGATGCTTCTTTAACGGATTCCTGCCTACCCCACCTTTAAGTCTGCATTTGAGCATGTAAGCAACTGCTGGCTAGCACTAAAAACATGCAGCCGAAGCTAAGTTGATTTTCAAACATCGGATTAGAAATGGGGCTTAATTTAGATTAGAGTGAAAAGTATCACCACAGTTCTTGTAACCCGTCATGTGAGGGGCTTGAATGTGAGTCAAAAAATGCATGGCCATCAATTCAACAGTTGTTGAGATTCTTAAGTCTGACAAACAATGCATGTAACCACCTTATGAGGCTCTATCTGTATATTTTCTGTGCTCTAAGTGAGCAAACAAAGGTCCCGTTTAGTAAAACTGTGACAGAGTTTTTTACGACTAACCATGTGACAGCAAAACATGTTTTTTTTTTTCTCCTCAAAGGATTGGTTTGAAAACTCCAAGAGTCTGAAAGACAATTTCAAGCCTAACTACAATGAGCAGGCCTGCACTGTCCGGGAGTACACCCAAGTCTGCCAGTCCGACAGCGAGAGCTTGGACAGTTTCACCTCCTCTGTTACCACCGATCAAACCGGCTGCTCTGTCTTTATCCCCACAGTGGAGTCGGGCCCTGCTCCTCTTCCAGCTCCACAGTTAAAAATCACCTGAGGAGGAACAAATCACTGCTAAGGAGGCGCCCTAGTCAGCTCTCATTATACCAAAACACCAACAAATCTCCAGAAAAAGTATCTGCAGATTATGAAGGGTCAAGGCCGTGCATTTTCTGGCATCTCCAAACATCTATTAGAGTCAATAGGCTGAATTTCTTAAGCAAAAAAAGTCAATAATTACGTTGCAAATTAAAGATGATAGTTTGGTGAATAAAAAGCAAAACTAACCTAGATCATATGTAAAGAATCTGCCCCATCTGAGTGATTTTTGTTGTAGACACACAGTCATAATATTACTCAATTTTCAACTGTCTTTTCTCTTTAAACAGATGGTTTAATAATAAAACTGGCTCGTTTTTTTGTTGTTGTTTTGTTTTTTTGTTTTAGTCAAGCAATATCTTTATCTGTTCTTCTAAATTTGAATTCTTCTGCCTCAATTAAGCTTGGCAATTCTTGGTGTATTTATAAAGGTGTACGTATATCATCTATTGATGTTTTGTTTGTTTGTTTTGAGGCTGATCAATGTGTATAAATCCTAAAACAGTAACCCAAACACACTCTTCTAATACTAATCATGGCGTCTGTGATGCAGTGGATGAAAGCCAGGATATTCCACTCAGTCAGTCGCCGAGAAGAAACATTTGTTTGGTGCCCTTGACAAATTCTTAATTATTTTGTAATTTGTAAAAATTTGATCCATGTGATGGTTTAGAAATAGAAAATTTTCATTTGAGCTTTGGAGCTGCAGATTACAAATGCCAAAAATGTACTTACAGGTTTAGCAGCGTATTACTTTGTTGTTTGTTGTAAACCAATTAGCAACAATTAACAGATTACCACGGTTGTATTATTGCAGAGTAGAGAAAATAAATGCCTACTGACCAGCCTGGCAGCGCAAATTGGCTTTTATTTTGGTTTTAACAGTGATCCACAGAGCATAGGCAGATTAACAATCTGATAGGACCATTATGCTTCTATTTTAATGGAAGTGGCCTTATAGAAACTGACGCTTTAACAGTCTGATAGTGTTTTATCCTTGTTGAACAATTATCTTAACTCCGTTATGCTCATAATACATTCATATGATTTCCATGTCTAAAATTTTCATCACTTGGTATGAAAATATTGAATTGTAAAGAGGTGTTTGCATGCGTTTATTCATTTCATGCCATTGCCTCAGCTGTGCTCCTTGTTCCCCGACTGTCTGTTAAAGAATAAAGATACTTGTCTAACTACGTCTGAAGTTCTGTTTTATTCATTTTAAATCAGGGGTGCAACTATGGATGCAAAGGGGCGGAAAATTTCTGGTAAGTTTCCAGAATCATTCCATGGAAAGTCAAGCTGGGGAATTTTGGAAATATTCCAAATTGGAAACTTTCCATGGGAATAATGGAAACTTATAGGAATTATAGGGAATTTACGGGAGTTAACTGGAAATTGGGGGTAATTTAAACAAACTGTATCCTATCCAAACATAATTGTAAATATTTTTGTTTTGTCATAAGCAGACATCCATGCAAAATAACACAAATAAAAAACATGACACACATCAGATGGCGAACGTGGCATTTATCTGTAGAATAAAATAAAAAAAGGTTGTAAAAACACTAATGCAATGGCATAAGCAGAAATATAGTTGGCTAAACAACTGTAAATGGTCTTCAAAATATTTGACAATTGATCTATAAATTACTGTATGGTTACAGAAAACCATCTTGCAGGAGTCAGAAGAAACAGCATCACATTTGAGGTAACTACTACCACCATAATAAACTAGCCCTTTAAATGGTCGATGAAACGACCGCAGGATAGCAATATAGAGAGCCACGCGCTCAACCAAAACGCCACTCTATAGCCACAAATAATGCTCAGAACAGCCCCTAACTTCATCAGCAGTACATATAGGGTCCTAGCCATAGTGCTAGCCATCAAACATCTTTTTAACTTTTCCTAATTTCTTTAGCAAAGAGACTAAACACAACTAACCTACTCTCTTCCAGCAGCCACTTGTTTCAATCACCAAGTGCAGCGGAGTTTCGCAGCTCAAGGAAAAACATTTATGATCATTTCTTCATGGAAATGCAATCAGACCAAGAAGGCAGAAGACATTTAGCACCTATTTTTATTTAATTTTTGCAAGTTAAATATTAATACTATTATAGATCAAATATATTTACACCATAATATTATCCACACTTACTTTATATAGTCTGTGGGCTCAAATGCCTTGTGCTTTGGGCTCAACAGTGTGACCTCCAGAATTCAAGAAATCATCTGTGCATGCATGCGATGGAGGAGTGTACTTGCATTAACTTGCATTTTTTTTTAGCCAAGATTATGCTACAATATATTTTCCCCATGTATATTTGAGTTCCCTGTTGAGGGCCAACCTTCATTTTCTTTAAATTTCAGATTTATTCCCATTAAATCCCATTAATTCCCGTTAATAATAATAATAATAATAATAATAATAATAATAATAATAATAATAATAATAATAACTTTATATGTATAGCAGTTTTAAAAACAGACGTTTACAAAGTGCTTTGACATATAGTCATTGAACACGTGGAAAAGGACACAGAAAAATACAATAGGCCATTTTCACAAGTCATAAGGAACCCAGACAACACAAGAAGCAGGCAACATAAAATTAGACCATAAGGACCAAAATAAAAACATAAAACAGTTCAGAAAAAAGAAAATGCAGTCAAGAGGGGGGTAGAAAGCGGAAACAGGATAGTATATATAAAAGGCAATATCAACAATGATAATAAAACAATAACAGGTAATACTGATGATAATAGTAATGATAAAATAGAGCAACAGAAATGAGCAAGAGATAAAACAATAAAAGGCCTAAAAGGTTTATTTAGAAAGAATAAATTCCCATTAATTCCCATGGAAAGTTTCCAACTTTGAAAATTCCTGGAATTTTGCAACCCTAGGTGCAACCAAGTTGAATCTATCCTGGTTCAGTAATCTCGTCGTCCGTTAGAGGGAGTGCGGGGTGTCCCGCACAGCACAGAACTGAGTCAACGCATTTTTCAGATTCTAGAAGGGTAGGGCGCAAGCAGGGCGGCTGGCCCCCGCAAGAGGAGAGAGATACAAGTCAGCTACTTCCCTAGCTGAACCGACCAGCTATCGCTAACAATCGATGTCTTCAGATGAAATTGAAGACTAACTCGAGCATTTAGCTGGTTTTCACGCTAATTCGCCGCCGGTCGTCCACACACAAATCCCGACAAAATGACAGAGCCTACGGTGGCAGACACTCGCCGGTTGCATTCCAAGCCACAGGACCTGAACGACGCTTACGGCCCCCCGAGCAATTTCCTGGAAATAGACGTCTATGATCCACAAATCGTTGGAGTCGGACGGCACCGTTACACAACTTACGAAGTTCGTATGCGGGTACGTGTTAAGATGGCATGCCGAAACACCTAGTTGCAGCGTTAGCTTTGACTCGCTAAGTTAGCTGTTAGCATGTGAAGCTCCGGAAGAGGAGTCAACGGACGGAGCTGTGACGTAGAGGACAGCGGCCTGGAGACGCTGAAGATGCCGCCCTACTAAAAATCAAGCACCGAGGCTTTGAAGCGGCCTGGTTTGTAGTATTGACTGAGCGGGGTTTGCGTGTAACCTAGAAGTTTGGGAAATGTACGAGCACCAAAAATCAAAGGTTTACGAACCAGTGCCGAGTTAATGTTAAGTACCCAGTCATGTAAGGAGGCCAGTTGGCGTGAAAACAGAATTAAACATTACGACAGACGGGGATGTGGAAGTCTGGAAAGGCTCAGTGAAGCTGGCAGCTTTCACACTTCCCCTGTAAACAAAGTAGTTTTCGACCAACCTAGATGTGTAACATTTAGTTCAGGTGACAAACACATTTACAAAGACTATTAAAAATCGACAGTGTGTGCTTCAGATTACACTTTAACCCTAGAACACTATGGCTAAAATTAGTAACACCATCACTATCGCCGTGTGATTTTTACCCTGAATAATATACCCAAGAAACAGTACTTGTCATCAAAACAGCACAATACATGACAAATTAGAGTAGTTTGCTTTTATTTTTAACTGTGCAATGTCTTAAAGGAGGGGGGGGAAGTGCTATGAGGGGACCATATAACAATGCAACAAAATAACTGAAATTAGGCATTCATGAACGAAAAAAACCCTAAAAAATATGTGTATATATATATATAAACTGTAAACTTAGTTTCTCTTCCACCCATTCCTGGGACATGTGAGTCTTCCCTGATGAAGACTCAGGGTCCCTGGTACAATAACAGCTACAGGAGAGAGAACCAAAATATGACATATACTGAGTGAGTAAAAATGACTAAAATATTTCTTATCACCATATTAATTCCCTTGAAAATCACTACTTTGTGATAGTTATCCATAACCACTGCACTAAGTACAGATAGCATGCAAATTCTTACTGCAAAACCACTCTTACTGACCTTATTCGCCTATACAGCTATCAAATCCACCCAAACCTACTTACCCCCTATCACGAAAATTACCCGAACAGGTGCCGCGAAAAAGCGGGTTTTGGATCTGGGAAACCTTCAAAGAAGTCAAAGACATTGCTGAAGCTACCCAGAGACCCATGATACTCAGAAGAAACGCAACATCATGAAAATTACATAAACGTGATTGGCGATAGTGTTCTTGGGTTAAAATGCTCAAGGTGTGTTGTGTCATGTCAACAGGCACATTTTGCATGTTCTCTTTGAGGCGTTGTACAAAAGTATACATAACGTCACATGTTTAAATGGGAGAAACGTAATTAACTTTAGGGTGAGGTTGATAGTCATAGAGGTCAGTGTGAGAAACTACAAATCCCTGACACAGCAGAATGTTTTCAGGAAGCTCACACTAACTGTGTAATTGCGTAATTGCAACTTAGCTTCCTAGGCTTGGCTTGACATCTCATTGTTTCTTTGTGTTTTCTGCTGTTTCTAAGGGGAGTTAATCTCCAATAATATTTACCGTTTTACAAGTTAAATGGTTTGTCATGAACACAGCCTTCAAATCCAAGTACAGCTGAAACCTACCGTGTGATGGCCTCTTTTATCATAGGTGGAATCAACGGAATTAATATCATTGTTTTCTTACATAACTGCTTTGCAAATAGACTGTTACAGTAAGAGTAACAGGTAGAAGAGACTTTGTGTTCTTTGCTTTAAAATAGGTTTGTTTTTTATGTCGTTATCAATATTGCTGTCAGCCTGGAAGACTCTGTAAGCATCAACAAATATCCAGAAGCTTGCATCCCAAATTTAAACTCGTACATAACCGCTCATACAGCAAGAAATACTTCAATGAGTGATCATCACTCAGCTCAACTTCACAAATCTCACGTTTTCCATTTTAGGTGCAGATTCTACAGCATTCAGTAAAAGAGGTTATGTTTCAAATGAAGTCAAGAAATAATGCTTTGAGAGTAAACAAAAACCCATACACTTGGTCAAGTTGCAGAGTCTCAACAGCACTCTGAAAACGACACATCCACCTGAAGTCATTGTGCTTTTTCTTTTATTAATTTTCATGTTGTCAAAGTTTTGCAGAAAGGGTTGTTTGTCTTTAATATGACTTCTTTGTCCTTGGAGGCTCATCTGAAGGTGGCCAGTCATTGAGTAGGCATTGCTCCCTCTATGTATATATGTATGACTGACTGCAGCAGAAATCAATCACTGCTTTTTTGTTCGTTCTCTCTGTCTCCTCCTGCTCTGTGCAGACAAACCTTCCCATTTTCAAACTGAAGGATTCCTGTGTGAGAAGAAGATACAGTGACTTTGAGTGGTTAAAGAATGAGCTGGAAAGAGACAGTAAGGTGAGTGATGTGGATGACAGTGAACAAAAAAAGATCTTTACATTGGTTATTGTCGACTCTAGGTTTAATTTTGTTGATGATAAAGGAAGAAAAGAACATATTTAGTGGTGTATTCCTAATAAAACGTAAAACTAGGACCTAACTGGAGCTCAAATTACCTAACTCTTTAACTTACTGTAAAGCCAGTGTTAACCTCTGTCACATAACATATTCTCTTCCTGTTATTTGTGTTGACTCCTGACTCCTTTAGATTGTAGTACCAACTCTACCAGGTAAAGCCCTGAAGAGACAGTTGCCCTTCCGTGGAGATGAGGGTCTTTTCGAGGAGGGCTTCATTGAGGAGCGGCGATCAGGCCTGGAGCAGTTCATCAACAAGTCAGTGTATCTAAAAGCTCAATTTAAAATATCATACGTTGGGGTTTTCAGTGTATTTGAAGCACAAGTACATTCAAGAGAGTCAAATCTTGAAAACTAAAAGACTGATTTTGTAGTAAGATTAAAGCAATTTCTGTCAAAGCTGTTGAAGTCTTTCCTGTCCTCAAAAATACGAGCCGAAACAGAAATTCAAGTGTTCTGTGGAGTCATCCATAAAGGGTAATAACTGTCTAGTCTCACTCAAGAATTCAAGAATAATTGTGTTTCCCAAATGTGGACCACATTTAAGGGATGCATGATGATATCAGGCAGAAAAAGCCTGCAAGCTTACTAAGTGCAGTAAGGGTTTTATTAGACGATAACATTTCAACCAGTTGGTCTTCATAAAGCGTGTAAATGTGGGGTTTAAAATTGGGATTGCCAAAAGTGCACAAAATTATCCGCATTAGCCAATAAAAGCCTAAAGAAAATTAACTATCAGTTTTGCAGATCTGCAAATTTCCACCAGTATTTATGGCTGATAAGGTGACATGATGACAGCTCAGGTGCATCTACAACAAGCGTTAACATGTCAGCTGTTTAGAGGTATTTTGAAGTTTGTCGTGTTAAGCCAGAGTGATGCAAACCTGTCAGCAGCCTCTACTTGAGTCATTTGAAGAAGCTAAACAGTATAGTGTCTATATATGAGACAGAATACATGGACCGTGGAAAGATCAGATGTTGTTTGTCTTGTTTTAGTAAGTAAGTAAGTAAAGTTTATCTATAGAACGCTTTTCACAGATCAAAATCACAAAGCGCTGTTCATAAAATAAATGCAATTAGATAAACATAAACGGTACAAAAGATAAGTACAGATACAGACACAAATACAGTACAGGTGAGTATGGAAATAAGTGCAGATATAAAAGACAAGTAAAAGAGACAAACAAAAAGCAAAAAGAGTTTTAAAACAGGTCTTTGGCACCATTAGGAGGTTCCAGCCTGACAACCGAAGGATGCGCAAAACAAAACAAATCAGTGATGTACTGGGGGGCTGACCATGCAGCGCCTGGAAAGTCAGAACTAAAATTTTAAAATGAATACAAAAATTAACCTGTAGCCAATGAGGACAAGATAAGACAGAGGTGATGTGAGCAGATTTGGGCGTTTCTGTCAGAAGTCTGGCGGCTGAGCTGTGCCTGTTTCTTTTAAATGTAGAAAAAAAAAAAGGAGACTTGGTGTTCTTAATAAAAGAAAATGTCAGCATATTGGACATTTCCCTTTGGGGGATCAATAAAGTTCGTCTTATTCTTATCAGCAAAAATCCAATATTTAACATCCCTTCCTGATTTGACGTATAGTATTTTGAGTCTTAACGACTGTAAGTGTTTTGGTATCTACCTGCTGCCATTAAACTGACTGTATTGTAATCCTTGAAGCAGCTGTTCTTAATCAAAATACATCCACAGACATTGCTTGGTTTTCCCCCTGTAGCTGGAATATACCTCAAGTATAATACTGGTGTATAAAGAGAACAGCGCTCATGCTTTTATTAAAAGAGAGAGAGAGAAGTAGCTCAAGCACATTTCATACTCTGTAATCTTGCAGCAAGAGAGGAATGGTTACAAGTGCAGAGAAACACGGCGGTGTGCACCTCATGGTAGATTCTTCAGTCAGTAGAGCTCATTACAACCCTAAACAAATGTTGTTAACCAATCGCAGCTCCTCTATCATAAGTTTTCTGCCTGTTTGCTTCTTTGAGACCTCGACAGGAAAACTACGACGCTTGAGTTTGTTCACTAGAGAAACAAATGTGCCAAAGCAAGATTAGCAATGACATAATATCGTATTTACCAATTCATGTTTGTAAACAATATTGTTGCTTAGTGCCAAGCATACTTGTCGGTTAACCTACTAATTTGCGAGCTAATTCGTTAAGCCTGCAGCGGCTTATATAGCAACAAAAAGCAGCTCATTCTAGCAGCGAACTAACTTGCAAAGATAAAATGCTAATAACCCAAAGACAGTACGCAAAGTACGACCGCTACAAACCCAAAGTACGAACCTTTCTCTCTCTGAGTCAGACAGAGAGACGAATGCACGCTTTTATAACCAGCAGGCTTGACTACTGTAATGCTCTCCTCGCTGGTCGACCCAAAAGCTCAATAAACCAGCTACAGCTGATCCAAAACTCTGCTGCGAGAGTTTTGACTAGAGCTCATATTACACCCATTTTAAAGTCTTTGCACTGGCTGCCTGTTAGTTTTCGCATTGATTTGAAAATTCTTTTACTACCTTATAAAGCTCTACATGGCCTGGCACCAGAATACCTTACAAAGATGATTTTAATATGAACCGAGGCAGCCTCTCAGATCCTCTCAATCTTCTCTTTTAGTCGTTCCACAGAGCAGAACAAAAAGATTTGGTGACGCTTCTTTTAGCTGCTACGCTACAAAACTGTGGAACAAACTTCCAGAGGGTCTGAGACGAGCTGCAAATATAGAAATCTTTAAACGTAACCTAAAAACTCATCTATTTAGCCTGGCTTTTAGGTAAAGCTTCATTATTTTAATTACTATTATAATTTATTTATTTTTTAGTATCGCTTTTTGCCTTATTTTTTTAATAAATTCAAGTTTATATTTTATTTTCTGTTTTAGTTTATTTTAATAACTTAAATTTTTCTTGTCCTCATGTAATGCGCTTTGAGTTGCGATTTCAGTTGTACAGTACTATATAAATACACTTTGATTGATTGATTGAAACTGTTCTCATTCACTGAAGACGGCATGGCTTAGGGAGTACGTTGGGAGTACAACGCGAATATAGAACGCAAAATTACGAAAAATTCAGAGGTGAATTTTGACATGCCTGAGTATACACATGAAGCCCGATGCGATTTTGCGCATCCTGGGGACGACTTTTCCTGGGGATAGTCCCGCCTCCTTCGCCTCTTATTGGCTAGAAAAGCTGGAAACGTCATCACACGCTCAAGCCAAATGGTCAGCACTTATATCCAATCAGAGGCAAAAAGATAAGCACATGAAACTATGGCTGTGTCCGAAATGAATCACTCAATCCCTAACCCCCATATGGGGTTTTACTATATAGTTGACTATGTAGTGAACTTAATTACTGGAGGTTTTGGACACTACATGGCAAGACGCAATGCATGACGGGATGCCCGCCACCGTCGAGTGACCATCGGATGGTCACTACATTTTGCAATGCTTTAAAGGAAATTTTGAGTCACTTATATTGGTCACTGGAATTGATCACTCAGGTTTCGGACACTCCTCAAAATGGCGCTAACCCCCATATAGTCGCCTATATAGGGGTTAGGGATCCATTTCGGACACAGCCATGGTAACAACCATTAGCTTACGTTAGCACAGATGAAAGTTAAACCAAAGACGTTTAGCAAACTGTTAAAGCGCACAAAACATCGTCATATGAGAAATCCGACGCAATGACTCTCCACAAGTTGTCCTTCAGGTCGTTATCTTTGTAATTTTTGTTTTTTTTTTATCAAAAAGCACTCTGTTCTCCGACACGTGGAACAGGACTTTCCCCCGGGAAAAGTCTTCCCCGGGAAGCGTCTTTTTTCCCCCCCGGAAAGTCGCAAAATCGCATCGGGCTTAATGTGTATAGTCAGGCGCGTCAAAATTAGCCTCTGGATATTTCGTGATTTTGCGTTCCATATTCGTGTCGGCCCTGGTGTGTAAGGACCTTTAGTCTCCTGGACCAGCGAGTTGTCATTTAAACTCGAGATGTGTAAGAGCTTAAAGAATTACGTCATTACCCTCTAATTTACTGTGTGGATGTTCTTAAATTAGCAATTAAACTGAGTGACCCGTGTCCTTTTCTGTCTCTGTCTGTCTGTGTATGTTTCTGTAGAATTGCAGGTCACCCATTGGCCCAGAATGAGCGCTGTCTTCACATGTTCCTGCAAGAGGAAAGCATTGACCGTAACTACATTCCCGGAAAAGTACGACACTAGGGTTACTGGGGGAGGTGGGGGTAAAAGTCTGGGGTGTAGATTAGACTGTTTCTCACCTTTCTCTTCCCTCCTGTTTCCTCTTCTCTTCATCCCTCTGCTCTCTCTCTCTCCTCTCTCACTCTGCGTATACACCGTTAAATCACTTTATTTTTTACCTCGGGCTTTAAGTACGTTCTTTTACAATACATTTGGACATGTTAACGATGTCTCGCTCCTGTGCGTTAGTTTTATAACTATACAATCAGGAAAGCGACCCTCATTATTTGTGATTGTATAGATTAAAATTAGCTCTTAATTAAAAATGTCAGTACATTCAGTTTTTTACTGATAAGTGTCATATATATCATGATTGTATTATAATGTGAATAAAGTAGAATAATGTCTAAATATGAGTGTGCACTAATGTTTACCTTAGGGATGCATGCAGACTGTACATGATATTTCTGATCTTGTTTTGTTCTCTGTTCTGTTTCGTTTGTTTTTAGGTATGAATGAAGTAAGTTTGCTTTATTATATCCTGACTTCAAGACCTTTCTAGACATTACAGGAGGTTGCATGGGCACTATAAAACCAAAGGCGATAGTTCACAGATCCTTCAGTCTATATTACAGCAGGCGTGTGTCTGCAAAGTCTAATTATAAGTTGTAAATGTGCTACTCATAGTCTCTGGTTGTCACGTAAAACAACCAGTAGTTCCTTAAAAGTGTTTGAGTGATCATGGTGTGTTGCAAAGGGAGGAAAATTCTGCACGCCAGTTCTGCTTATAAAGAAAAATAAGAGTGAAATCTCATTTGCAGTTGACCATTTAAACCGGTCATAAGTTAATCAGCTGTTTTCTCAGTAACTGGTTTGCAGAAGTTTCGCAGTTTCACCCATTTTCACCCATTTTCATCCAGTGAAAACAACACAAACCTCCAGCAGTGGTTTTGAGTTATGTGAACTATTGTTTAATGGGAAAAAAAGAGAAAAGAATTGTACGCCACCAAAGACTAGAGCTCTTTTTCCAAACATTTCTATCCAAACTAATTCTGTTATATTATCATTGTCAACCGCACTAATCATCGGCTGCATGGCAAACTCTGCACGCTTTCTTTGCAATATACATGTATGTGTGTCAGTCTCGCTGACAACTTCTTTTAAATACCTTCGATCACCATCATTTGTTCAGTCTATCAAATCTGATCTCCTTTCCCCCCCAAATTCAGCTGTTGTGTTGATGTTGCCATCTGGTAAATATTATCATTTCCTGCATTTTCTGGTAAATCATGTTTGAGTTCCACCTCGTATCTGTCTGTCAACAATCAAGTTCAGAAGACACATGTAATGTCTGATGAACTAAAGCTGTTGAATTTACAGACGTCATGATAAGACATGGGCTTCAACTTACTGCACACTAGTCCCACTCAGTCTCAGAGCAAGTTTCTGTGCCTCTTCATGAGCTACAAAAGAAAACAAGTCCACCAGATGATTAAGTCATTGACTGATTCTACATATTTATTTATAATGAGTAAAACTATAAGTTACATACAGTTTATTTTGGACCAAATCAGCACAGACAAGAGGCACCACTGTCCATAGGGGGCGCCAACTGGCACAAAAACTCACTGCATGATGCTTATTTTTAAACTTTTATTGCAGTTTTCCCCCAAAGTGTTAAAGGGATATTCCGACGTAAATTTAATTTAGGGTCAAACACAAGGTAACCCAGAGTTAGACACCCCCTTAAAAGATGAATGTTGCCGACTGCTTGCTTCTCTAAGTATACCAACTTTAGTAACGACCACACGATAGCAATACACAGCGGTCTATGTCTACACGTGCAAACCTCAACCAAAACGCCACTCTATAGCCACAAATAATGTTCAGAACAGCACCTAACTTTATCAACAGTACATATAGGGTCACAGCCATAGTACTAGACACCAAACATCAGATGCTGAGACCAAACACAACTCACCCACTCTCCTCCAGCAGCCGTTTGTTTGTGTTGGATCCCTGACGAGTTGATCAGAGAGCAGCGGATCATTTCCATGAAGTAATAATCGTCATCATAATAATCATTTTGCACTGAAGACAAGGAAGTTCTTCTGCCTCAGCGTCTTGTTCTGATTGCATTTCCAAGAAGTAATAATCATACATTTTCTGGTGCACTTGGTAAACGACTCGTCAGGTCTCCCCCACAAACAAGCGGCTGCTGGAGGAGAGTGGGTGAGTTGTGTTTGGTCTCTTTGCTACAGAAATTTGGCAAAGATAAAAAGATGTTTGGTGGTTAGTACCATGTCTGGGACCCTAAATGTACTGTTGATGAAGTTAGGTGCTGTTCTGAGCATTATTTGTGGCTATAGAGTGGCGTTTTGGTTAAGGTTTGAGCGTGGAGACGTAGACCGCTGTGTATTGCTATCGTGCAGTCGTTGCTGAAGTTGGTATAACTAGAGAGAGAAGTATAATCATCATGATAATCAAATTGCACTGGTAGTTCTTCTGCCTTAGCGTCTCAGTCTGATTGCATTTCCATGAAGTAATGATCATAAATGTTCTTCCTTGAGCTGCGAAACTCCGCTGCACTTGGTGAACAACCAAAAAAAACCACAACTAGAGAAGCGAGGGGTCGGCAACATTCATCTTTCAAGGGGGTGTCTAAGTCGGTGTTACGGTGTGTTTGCCCTTTAGTTAATTTTACGCCGGACTATCCCTTGAATGACCTGCATGTTGATTCCTGACATTACCAAATCAAAAATGGAATAGACGCCAACAAAGAGTCAGCATGTTCTCGTTTTTACCAGAAAGTAGTGACTAAGAGTACAGCAATAGCAGTGGCTGTCAGTAACGTCTTGTTTTCTTCGAACTTCTTAAAAAAAGACGGAAAAAACAAGGGTCTGCTGATTTTTACAGACCACAGTGCGGGAATTAAAAAGTACAAGCCACTACCTATTTGATGAAAACATAAGCTAGACCATGAAAAACAAATCCAAACACAGTAAGAGTCTGTAAATGTCTCTACTGAACGATGAAAGTTGGGGCTGTTGTTCAGTATGAACCCGCACTTACTGCCTGTATTGTTTTTTTGTGAATTTTGTATTATTGTTGCATTAAATCAGTAGATTCTGTTCAAAGAGTCTCTGAGCATTGACCAAATCCAGCTGATTGTATTGACACGTGTTATATCCCTCATGTTCTCTGTCTCTGTCTCTCTCTCTCTCTCTCTCTCTCTCTCTCTCTCTCTCTCTTTCTTCTTGCAAAGACAATACAGACTGCTGCACCTGCCCCATGTACTTTTATTTCTACACCATGTCTTTCAAAAAGCCAGTGGAAATGCTCGAACTATGATAAGTATCGACAGTGTAACACAAGTATTGCTCCTGGACAAAACTTAAAACATCCAGTCTTCAAATTGTTTGATGTTGTGTCTTTATACAGCCATTCCACAAACTGTATGTATATTATTTTGATTCAATAATCAGTGGAGAACATGTTCAGTATATACTTTTTAGTTATAGCTAGATTTTTTTTTTTTTTACGATGATTGTTATGTTTTCTTGACGTGTTTTGAATTTATTCCACAAACGTTCAAAATGAGGGTAAATTCCTGCATATTCCTTTTTCTCTTTTTTGCTAGCCGAGATGTGATTTTGAAGAGAACCTCCCAAAGTCGAGCAACATGTAGCACCATGAAAAAGACAGTGACATTGTATCATTCCACCCGGTATATTTTCCCCTGAATTTTGTGTCCTGGAAATGCTAACGATTCTTTTAACTCTGCTGTCTTAGTTCCACCATCATGACTACACTTTGGCTGTGTGTTGTCAAGTCAGCTATTGGGAATGTTCAGTTAGGTAAATAACCATATCTAAGCACTGTGACAAGAGGTTCATTATATGAACAATATTTCATTGTTTCAAGGCGTAATCAGCATCTGGTTCATCGATCTGAAATGAGGCTTTTTCTCCGCTTATTTTCAGCTCTTTTAATTCTTTCGATCAATATTTTTGTGATGTGTATTAATACATGTTATCATCGCAGTTCCATTATGGGTGACGAGGAACTCCTTGTTAATTCTGTCCAACAATAAAAATTTCCTGCTGCCTGCTTTCTCATGTCAACGTCTTTTTTTTTTTTTTTTTTTTTTAAAGCATGAATAGTTGCAAAATGAGTCAATGTGACTGTTGAGTTAGTGCCACATGGAAGCCTATTGCATTCACCAAAAAAAATAAATTTAAAAATTCTGTTTTTCAAAGTATTTTTTTCTGTCCTGTTTTTCAGGCTATTTTTTGTTTTTGTTTTTCAGAGTAGTTTTTTCTTGTTTTTCAGAGTAACATTTTCTTTCTGTTTTTGAGAGTTTTTTTTTTTTTTTCAGAGTAATTTTTTTTTCTGTTCTGTTCTTTGGACTGATTTTTTTTCTGTTTTCCAGAGTAATTTTTTTCTGTTCTTGAGTCTATTTTTTGTTTTGTTTTTCAGAATAATTTTTTTCTTGTTTTTTTAAAGTAAATTTTTCTTTCTGTTTTTGAGAGTATTTTTTTTCTTTTTTTCAGAGTAATTTTTTTCTGTTCTTTGGACTATTATTTTGTTTGTTTGTTTTTCATAGTAATTTTTTCCTTTTTGTTTTTCAGTTATTTTTTTCTTTTTGTTTTTCAGAGTAAATTTTTTCTTTTTGTTTTTCAGAGTGAATTTTTGTTTTGTTTTTCAGAGTAATTTTATTTCTGTTTTTCAGATGATTTTTTTTCTGTTCTGTTCTGCAGACCATTTTTTTTCTGGTTTTCTGAGTATTTTTTTTTTTTTTAGAGTATTTTTTGTCTGTTTTCAGAGTAATTTGTTTTTCTGTTCTACGGACTGAATTTTTTCCGTTTTCCAGAATAAATTTCTTTTCTGTTTTTCGGACTAAGTTTTGTTTTGTTATGTTCTTCGGACTAATAGTTTTTTCTTTGTTTGAGATTTTTTCCTTTTCCTATTGTGTGAGATTCTTGCAGGATGTTGAAATATCTCATTTAGTCAGAAAAAAAAAAGTACGAAAAAAAATACAAAATTTGTCCAAAAAACAGAAAGATGAGAAAAAAAATTATTATAGAAGAAACAGTAGAAAAAAAGATCCAAAAATACAAAAAGAAGAAAAAAATTACTCTGATAAACAGTGAATGCAATAAGCTCTTGTACCACACAAAATGGAGAGTTATATTGGCAGAACGAATGATCAGGTTGATGGACCTTATTTAATAATGAAATGGAAACAGCTCGTGAAAAGGTGGAAAATAGAAATTCTAGAGTTTTTTTTTTTTGTTATTCTTTGTAGAAATCAGAAAAGCTGTTTTGATTCATAAACTGAAAAACAGCAGTTTGGTCGGTCTCTGTAAATGTGTGGAAATTTACTGAGATTAGCAAAACGCCTCATCTCCTGGAATTATTGTCTAATGTTCTCCAACGCCTATCAGTGACTGAAAACAAAACTGCGACATCCTCTCTACTTCATTTCACAATAACACAATAATGTAGAAACTGATCAATATTTACCCCCATTGAAACGATTTTATCTGGATTAATACAACAAACCCAAACATAATGAGCAAACAAGTGTACAGTAAAAGTTCAAGAGTCTGAACTGTTTGGATAATCGGATATTTATCTCCCCTTTTCCCCCATTTATTCCCATGTTACACATCTATTACAAGCAGCAATCCTATAAATGTTTGTTTAAACACACTCAAAGATGGATAATCTGACAAACAGGATTAATGTATTTAAAATTTTGCTGAAATTCAACAATTAACCTTTGCACACTATTAGTGACCAAATAAAATATGCTGTCCATGCAGAACAATAAGCACCACAATCAGCACAAATTTGAGCACAATGGGTCGATTTGTTTCCTTTTTGTGAATTTTGAGGTCCTGTAATCTTTTCCCTGTTGTAGTCAGCCTTCAGGAAACACGGGGATTAACTGTGGAATTCTGGCCACAGGTGGGTTTAAGTCGGCCCAGAATAGTGATCTTGTGATGCAGACCTTGACCTGCAAGTGATCCAAAGTAGACTCAACTTTAATTGGACACCACAGGTATTTTTAAAAAGGAACTATAAATGGTCGGTTATTCGTGCTACGATTAATGCAGCTGAACTCCACAGGGTTCACTTTAAGAGGGAAATAGTGGGTTTGTTCATAAATCCCCTGAATCAGAGGGTTTCTGTCACAGTCTGTACAGTTTTTGAATCCATCTGATCGATGTGGATCAGGAGAAAACTCCTATTTTTAGGGTCTCTTTTCAGGCAGAAAAGTAGAATAACAAAAACTCCGAAGAATGAGAAAGATTGAAATGTGCACGGGAACTCTGGGACACATGCCGACCCTGACCTTCCTCATCAGGGAGAATGGTGACCTACAAAACCAGGGAGCTTTGATGTGCTGGCCTTGTCCAGAGTAATGAAAGTGGGCAGACAGGACGGGCAGACGAGGCCAAGGTAGAGATTAAGAAGTGTTTTGTTAGAGGTGCTAACGCCGGAGCCCAGAGAGCGGCCGTGACGCTTGTTGTATTTGCAGAGACACCCAGTTGGGTTAGCTTGATAAAGTGGAAGTGAATTAAAAGAGCAACCCAAAGCAGTTTGACTTAGCAGGGACAAAAGCCGAGACGAGTGGCTGCTTTCAGAGACAAAGAGATGTGATTTACAAATTTATTTTATTACAAGTCAGTTACAGGTACATGTGACAAAAATAACATCCCAACATCCATCAGAAGAACAAACACAATACAAAAACTAATATTCAAACTTTGACGAATAAAAAGAAAAGATAAAAATCATCAAAAACGATAAAACCGTTAAACCAGTTGCCATCTGTGGTGATCTCATGTGTTTAAAACTGTTTTGGAAAAGTAGCCCTGGTGAAAAACACAATCTTAATTTAAAAGTGCACAAATTCATTTCTATTTGTGATCTGCGTTGTGAAAGAGCTGTGTCTAAATGTCTCTGTATCTCCAGAAACTAAGAGTTTACCCGAATCAGACACGGCCTAAGCTATTTATTTATTTTTTGCCCCGTTGATGAAGAAATTGTTCCAACGAGTCGATCATTTATGGGAAAGAATGTCGATTTTTTGTCCAATTTAACTAATTTGATTTTCCACGAAGTAATGCACTTCTGTTTTTCCTTTAATTGTCTTGCAACTCTTTCCAGTAATTGGGTGGCTGCAAATATTTATAGTTGACCAGCTGACTTGTGCAAGCATCAGAGCGAAACTGGGTGGTTCAGAGAAAACAAAAATGTGATGGAGAGCCAAGTCCTACATCCTCGATACGTCATACTAAGGATCTTGGGCAAACACACATTTTTCGCAAGTTTAACTCGGTCAAAAGACAGCGCGTGATGTTGAACAGTGTGTGTGTGTGTGTGTGCAGTTTTTTCCTTTTAAGTTTTTTGGGTTGGAAAATTTACCCAAAAGCATGAGATGGATTTTTATATTCAACAATATTTCTATGAGTTTTATGCAGATATACAAAGGAAACACATTACAAACACCCCCTCTCCTTCAAAACCCCGTCTACTGCTGGATGTTCCTATTACTGTGCTTAAATAACAAATTCTGGAGCTATAACAAAAAATGTAAAAAATAAATACAAGTAAGTGCTGGAATTCGTGTTTTGTAGATCTTGAAATACATACGATGTTGAGAGATAAAAAGTAAAAAGAGAATAAGTTAAATGAACTACTGTATGTTAAGAGAAATACAAATGTAGACAAGTCGCTGAAAACTGAAAAAGTCCATAAAAGAGATAATAATTTGATTTGTATGGTTATAAAACATCACAGAATTCAAAATGATGAGAGTTTCTGAATGTGGTCTAGGCCTGAGATGGATTTGCACATCCAAAAAAAAAGGAATAATAAAAACTATATATATATTTTTTGCAGTCACAGCAGTCCGACCAGATCGTCACGGTGTCTCAGCAATGTTTAAAAGAAAGAAAACAGTCCAAAGTCCCCCTGTTATTCAAGGATCCTCTTAGAAATATGATGTCGGGTCTCAAGGGATGGTTCCCGACAAAGAATTTCAACTGTTCAAGCTGAAATGTTTGGTTGCGTCAAAGGATCTGGTATAAGTTAACATGAAAAACGTTACTTCAAAACATATTGTGCATTATTATAAGCTTATTATGATCCAACATGCAAAACCGTTCATATATTGCAACCACAATTTGCATTAACAACATTTTTAAAGGCATAAACACCATATTATTCTCACTGTTCAGAGATGAAATGATGTAAGGAGCTTAGGTTTCTCACATTTAACTGCAGAGTCAGGCAGCTACAGATGGAAAAAGGAGTTTATTCATGATAAGTGCTCCCAATTTATTAAATAAGAGTACATACTGTATACATGTTAAGGATAATACATTTAAAGCTTATTCTCACACAAAAACAAAATCAAGTCAAGCACCAAAAATGTTCACAGAAGCATGTGTTGAAGCACTCACTGAAGAAGTCGACAATCCTCTACAAAACAATGGCCCATGTGACCGTTTAATACTATTAACACTCATGCTTTAATGTAAGAGCTGGATTTTACTCTGAAGTTGTGGGGCTAATTTTTAATCTGCAAGCTATTTTCTAAAAAAAGAAAAATGGGCGATAAAATGACAGAATAATTATATTTTTCCAACATCATTTTACTAGTTATACTTGCATTGTTTGGCTGCTGCCTTTTTCAAATGCATCATGTATGGTATTAATTTTAAAGCTGTAAAGTAAATAAAACTGTCATACAACCTCCACCTCTGAAAATAAAGAGATGTGCAGTTATAAGATGTAAAGAAAAATTTGATAGTTATTGTTTATGTCACACTGACTTAATGTTGCATCAGGCTGGATTAAAATGAGTTTCATTTTTAGACCCCCTTCCTGTAATGCATGATGTCACCGAATTTCATTGGGCGCAAACCAGATTTTGTACTGGATTTTAAATGATGAAACTCCAGTCTGTTATTGCAAATATCCCAATGAGAATGAAAGGGCTGAGAATGTGTTTAACAGCGCTGACCCTGAGAATAACCGGGTCACTGAGGACAAAAAAGCACAAAATGAAGGTATTTGGGGTTTCCCTCCTTTTTCTTTTCATCTTTGAAACAAAGCAGCAGAGGACGCAGAGGTGAGACTCGAGTCTGCAGGTCCTATTCATAGATGTCAAAGGAAGCCGCCATATATGGGCATGGATAATACTACAACAGGACACGCGCACACGTGACTCATTCAGTATACATGCGGATGCGTATATTATTTATTATACATATATAAAATTGTTGTATATACTGTCATTCTTAAACTGAAAAGTGCCTCGTCAAAAAAAAAAAAACTTTTTTTTTTTTGTTTTTTTTTTTGGCTGATTTCCATTAATGAGCGTAAAAACGAGAGAGGAAAATGCGGTTTGCGTCATTGCTCCTAAGGACCCGCCCCTCAGCTGATCAAAACGAACACACTCACAACCCGAGCGGGACATTTCATCAGCGACAACCACCACAGCAACAACAGCATCTTCACCCTATTCTCTGCTGTCCTCAACCTGAAAATACTTAAGGTACGCTCTCTCTCTTTAATTAATTAATTGATTTAAAAAATAATTACGGTTAATTTCGAAATTACATGTTTCCCCACATGTGTGTTCGTGAGACTCTTACCTGCTCGGAAAAGTAAGACTGATGCAATCCTTCCTCGAGTGTTATCAGTTTTATTGGCGCAATAACGCTGAAGTACGACTCAATGCTCATCACTTGACTGAATGTTTTTATGGTTTTGAAAAAAATAAAAATGTTTCTACCTGAATGTCAACATAGTTTTAAAGTTAAGTCACATTTACGGTTTGTTTTTACGGCGCAATGTCTCATTTGAGCGGGGAATCGGTGAACAGACGTACTAACGGCAGTTTACTGTGTTCAGTAAAAACAAAGTAAAGTAGATAAAAGACAACTGATGTGGCGGGACGGTAAAATGAGTGTTAATGTGTTATTTTAACCCGACTCTTTACTATTTGTCGGTGACTTCATTCATTGTTTGGGTTCCGGCGGTTAGCACACCTCGCTAGTAGTAGATAGGGCGTGCTACTCCGAGTGTTGTGTCGTTCGCGAACGATGCGTTCAAAAGAACAGAATATTTTAAGTGAACGCACTGAACCGAATCACTTCCTCGAGTGATTTGTTCATTTCTCACCTCAGTTGAGCTGAAGTGAGAAACAGTATTGCCAGTCCAGCAGCCGGCAAACGAGGGATCGCATGCACTGGCGTCTGAATCACATGGTAAATAAATCATGCATTGAACTATATATCTGGGATCATTTTTGCCAGACAAAACTACTTTTTTTAGTGTTAAACTTGCATACAATAGGACACAGCATATAACAAGTAGTGCATAAAATCCGCAACATCCTATCATTGCAGCTGTTTGCGAGGAAACGGCTCATGTTCAGTGAACGAATCACTCACTGAGCCCAGTTTATCGAGCAGACCTGATAAATAGCATACCATAGGACAGCACACTTAAACATCATGATTTATAAACAAGATCTTTTTTACAAACCCGTTTGCCAAAGCAGCACAACCAAACACTCTCGTCTCCCGGTCAGCAAAGCTATCAATTGAGCCGAATCCTGAACCGTTCAGCTGTGTATCAGTTCAGTAAGTCGGAGTCGCAGGCTTTTCCAGCTAATTGATTCGGTGATTTGGTGAACGAATCCTTTTAGTGAACTGATTCTAGTGATTCAGTACATCAAAAAGAACTGCCATGCCCATCTCTTGCTACTACGCTTTAACTGGAATGCTGCATTTAAAGACCCGTGATTATCGAAAATCCAATGCGCGTTTTCTTGTACTGTAAATATATCCCCGTATGTTCACTCATGCAATTTAGAAAAGGTGAAAGTACTTAAATTTTATCATTGCGCAATATTCTTTTCCTCAATTTAATTTTCTAACGATGAAGATGAGAACTAATAGGACGGAGCACCTTTACATGTAAGGTAATTATGAGGTTTCCGTGATTTTCTGAAAGCAACATGGAAAGACACGAGAGCCACGTAGCTAGCTGGTGTTTCCATCCGTGACAGATGGTTTATTTTCCTGATGGACAGCTGAACCGTTTGCTTGGCTTTAACTGTAAGTAACTCTATTTATAAATGTCCGCTGATTTACTTATTATAGCAGCTCTGTATCCGGATCCAAATGCCAGATAAAAAATGTGCGATCCTTCCGGGTAATCTTCTCCTCTGCCATGCTGTCTGATGTTCTTCAGGGTGCTGCCATGCTTCTGTTGCATCAGCCGGTTAAATCCGCTACAGCTACAGAAAAAAACCCACATACTGATAGTTAGATTGAGGCGATGAAGACAAGAGTAGAGAGGTGGGTTATGTAGACAACTGTCATTAAAAAACACATGATCTCTAAACACGCCATCCTTAAAAAACTGCGTCTGTTTATGTCGTTAATCTCTGTTAAAATGAGCAAAAACGTGGTATTACCACCTTAAAAAACACAATTTTAGGTGGTAAAATTCATTGTTGTGTTTACTGTTACTAACCTGTAATGAATTAGCTGTATAAATAATTTGATACCAATTCCTCACTAATGTTAAAATAAATGTAAATCAATCAAATATGCAATTTCAATGTAAAACTGTGAGCAGAGGAGTTATTATTCTAACTTTGCTTGTTGTCATTATTTTACATAATACGTGAAATAATAATCATTATAATATTAGAAGCAGAACAAGAACCGATAGTCAGTGTATAAGAAAAACTATTAATCCCTGAAGGAAAATTCAATTGTCTGTTGTCTCCAAAAGTTATTTACTGTTTACACAAGAGTGATAAAGTCTGATGGCTGTTGGTACACAAGATCTTCTGAATCTTCATCGAAACTTTAAGCATGATTCCCTGAACACTTAGTTTTTGTTGTCACAGGTTTATTGTGCAGTAATTCTCATCTTTACTGTGCTTACTGCTTTACATGCAAACTATTTTACTATTTCGTGTCGTATATAGTGTACACACTTGTAGATTATAATGATATAAATAATGACTTATTGTAGTTGTTTTATCTCTTTCTTTTTTTTTACTGTGACAAAAAGCAATTTTCCTCCAGGGGTTTATTAAAGTATTTCTGATTCTTGCTCTTGAGATGACTCATTGCATCTTATTAGAAGCTCCCGTTTCAAATGAAATACCTAAAGCTAATGAGGAAGACTGTGGTGGGTACATCAACAGGATGGGTGTGCACCATGCGCTTACCGTCATGGGTCTACATCAGAGAGTAGCTGGCAGATTTGGTAAATGATGGTGGTAAATTTCTCTTGGGATGCCTTGTTTCTAATTAATGCAGAGTTAATTAAATTTTTAGGAGGAAACAGGTTGGAAAAAAAAGGTTCCCCTGTCTTTGTTCTGTAAACTTTTGCGACCTCTTTAGGGTAGATTTGTTGTCACATCCAGACATGTGAGGGCGTCCAGCTGACGGCTTATCCTTCTATCTGTCATGTGTAGATTTTGTACTTCTGTGCATATTAATGCTGTTGGCGTTCGCCCTGGGAAAGCGACCAGATTGTTGGTTTTTCACATTCCATCTCACAGTAGGAGCAGCTTTTGGCAGTGGAGCTGGTTTTCAGCCAGGTGACTGAAAGGGTTATTAGGTTCAGTGTCAGTGGTCAGTCGGTCCGCACATACTCTCCCATGAGTTTTCATGCATGTATACAGTTTTTTTAACGGAATTACAGCATACCTCATATATGCAAACATACACCTGCGGCTCAAAAGACCCCCCTGTTCTTAACTTCAAACACCCGAAGAAAAAAAAAACATTGTGTGCGTTTGAAGGCTGAAGAATTGTTCTGCGCCTCTGAGCAGTCGGCCATGATATGGCGTACTCTTGCAGGGTTATGCAAGGTCACATTTACTCCTCGATGAATGCTTAGCCCTGCAGGGTACTGGACAAGTTGTTCCCTTTGTTCAGCTGTTAGTCCCCCAATCAAACGTCTTTGTTGATATCGCTCAGTTAGTTCAGGATATGCAGAAGTGGGCTTTTGTTTCAACCTTACATCCATACTACACATTTATTAAATGGTAGGTGCTCATAATTTACATGTTATACATTTAAAAATAGTACGTCTGAATTGTGTGATTAAAGCTTAGGGTGCTTGGATTACAAAACACTTCCTACATTTCTACACAGTATATAATACCCGGTCTATTAATACGACCATGTAAAGGTGCCAGTCAAAACAAAGCCATGTGTTGTTTACACTGATGGAACAAGGAGCTGTTAAAAAAAAAGGCCACAATGAGGTTAGCAGGTTTGTTACTTCAACCAGTAATCCTCTTAAGAGTCTGTGGCACCAGTTGCTGTACTGTTAAGTGAGATTGCTAACAGAACTATTATCCCTGAATCCTGCTATAACCGGACCGACGCTGGCCCATGTGATGGTTCAGTCCGAACCGTTGAGAAATGGATCAATGTGACAAGAAAAGAGAAGAAGCAGAAGTTAACAACGCAATTTCTTTACAAGTGAAAATGCTGCGTTTCCACGTAACTGGAGGTAAATCGCAGCAGGAAGCGCACCAGATTGGTGAGGCACATCTCTGTGCAAACCTGGCATAAACCTGCCCCACTTACGCAAACGGGCACCCTCGTGAAAACCACAAGGAAAAGATTAGCAACAAGCCGAGGAGACGGAGGCATGGAGTAGGGTAAAAGGGGGTCTTGAGGAGATTAAATGAGGCTAACGCTGAGTGAGGTCATACAGAAAGCAGGTCTGCATCTCCTTAACCTGAAAGGTGTCACAACCTGAAATTTCCCCACTGTGAGATGAGTAAAAGTTGATCTCTCTTTAGGAAACTTCATCTCTGTGTGTTTCTCAGCTTTTGAGAGTGTTCACAGTTCCGTTTCAGCCCTTTTGTCCCGCCGTGCGTATGTATGAGGCGTTCCAGTGAGGATATCACAAGCAGCTGGGCACAGTAGTTTAGTAAGAACTGTTTATTCACACAACATCGACACCCTCAGATCTCAGTTCCTGGTGTGCAAATGGAAAATGCAACTGGAATGTCACACCAAGCGGGGAGTGGGAGCGTATCCCCGTGTACCCGTTTCCCATCAGTCTTCAGAGGGCTGGGTGTTTATTATTGGGTGCTCTCTCTGTTTTTATTTCATTGTTTGACCATGTTTGGCTTTTTTTCTCCCATCACTCGACTGTACGAGGCCGGACGCTCTTCTTTGAAGCGCTTTCATAAGTAGGTTATGTTGTTTTAATGATATTAATAGAATATTGTCATTGTACTGAAACATTGTGGGAGCTTGTATCCTGTGTGCTGCACAACAGAAGGGGCCATAATTAGATTATAACTTAATCTACAGAGGAAAAACCTTCGCTCTTCCTCTCGGTTCTGCATGACCTGAAACGCTGTGTGAAATGAACTCGAGCACCTGCACCTCATCGGGGCACGTCCATGTTTTATCAAATTTATGTTTTTTCTCACTGTATTTCACACATAATGAATGCAAATTAGTACAAGGCGGATATTTACTCACAATGTTGTCCAACTGCTCAGAGTTTTGCATTTAGTTTGGCTATGCAAGTTGTCTCTTTTTTTCTTCATCATTTCCATTCTAGTAGTTTTTCATCTGATTCGCCATTATATCTCTGACACTTTACCTCATCAGATAATGACAGTTAATCATTAAAGCAGAGACTTGAATTTGACAGGCTTAAAAAAAGAGGAAGGGGAGTTTTCACACTTGTTTCTGCTTACATTTGCACAACGAAACGATTCAAGGTAGATCACCACGCTGGCACTGTTTTACACAAGCAGACTGGTTTGCGTTGCAGGGTTAGTGTTTCACTTCTTCTCTTTGCTGCCTGACCGCTGAAGTGACTGATAGGCCTGAAACGTTCGTCTGCCGTCTCAGTGCAAGCGATCAGGTGTCACTGCATGTTGCCCTTGAGGCTGGATTGCTCCAAATCAGTGGAGAAATAAAGACCCCGCAAAGACAACAGAGTTATTTTATGATGCAACGTTACAAGAGTAAAACAAGAGGAAGATAACGGCAAACACCATCAAAGTGTCAGCTATAAACACAGTGTAGTATTAACAGATAAGATGTGCTTTTCCTTGACTCTCCGAGCACTGGACTGCCTGGACTCGCATGTGACACCGGGTTTGTTATCTGTCGAAACAGCGAGTTTCAAAAGACTGAGGATGAGCACAAGAGCGTTCTGACAACTTTTCCATTTAAAGTGCATCCACCCGCCGAGAAAAAACAGAAATTTTGTTCGTATTTTTGCGATAAACGTAGAAGTCACGTGCTGTAATATAAAAGCAATAATGTGAAAGGTTGATGAGCTCAGCTAACAGGTAACAAAGGTCACACACACACACACACACACACACACACACACACACTCTCTCTGTGTGTAAAATCTCAAGGTAAACCTAAAGTCCAAATGTGCTCGATCATGACATCTACTATAGTTTAATATTTAGAGGTGTGAACACGTCTCTGGGCAGGTACGACTACATAGCAGAGTACATTTTTCTACAATCCTTGGTTTAATGAAGGTGGAGTAACAAACCGGTCGAACCTGTTTTAGACACACAGGATTTTTCTCTCTCATGCACACAGAGCAGGGAGAGGTTTGAATGACGAAATATACGGAACTGTCCTTTTCCTATAGTCCAGAGTTTAACTACTGGAGCAGTACAGTGAATATTTGAGTTAGGGACGGGTGATAAAGTATGTCGTCATAAAAACAATCCTCCATGGTAAATATTTGCATTCTCGTGATAAATACGATAAATCCATGTTGATGACGTAAACGCGAGCAACGGACTCACAGCCGTAACCCCAACCCTAACAAACAAACATGGCCGAAGGTTACGAAAAGGATGTTTTTCAGACCGCTGTGTATTGCTATCGTGCGGTCGTTAATAAAGTTGGTATAACTAGAGAAGCAAGCGGTCGGCAACATTCATCTCTCGATGGGGTGTCTAACTCGGCTTTACGGTGTGTTTGACCATAACTTAATTTTACGACGGAATATCCCTTTAAGTATCTTATTTAACTTTTCCAGCTGATGTTCTCAAGACAAAATGAGTCAAAAATAAAGATAACAATCATAATTTTTTTCGGGACTTCACCAGAATGACAAATCTTATCGTGATAAATTTTTAGCTCATATCCCTAATTTTAAAACTTTTGAGTCGATTACAGAAATTGAATGACCTCCCATGTTGCTTAACCTGCTCCAGGTTTCATGTGGCCGCATATTTTCATAGGGTGTGTGCGTACGTGTGTGTGTGTGTTTGACACACAGACCGTCACACCGTGTCACTGCACTTTCCATGTTTCAGTCCATTGGAAGTTGCGTCAAAGTTTTTATCCGCCTCCAAAGTCAAACAGAAACATTATCGGCGGCTGAGCGTCCTTGGCCTGTTGTGAACTTTTCCCCGGTCAGCCCGTGTTTGAATGATCATCACTCCCCCTTCTTCAATCTGATTCATTGGGGAGTGATCCAGTCATTTTGTATTTTAGTATCTTGATGGTTACTTGTTATAGATGCTATGTGTGTATGTTATATACACATCACCCTTCTCCCAGTGCAGCTGGTTCATCTTATCAAGCTGCCGGTTCACGCTGTCCTCGTCTCCCTTGTTGATATTAGCTCGCAGAATTTGACCGTATCGTACCCCAACAGCCTCTGGCTTTCCCAGGCTTCTCCCTGTCGACCTCTGTCTGCTGTGAAAACATAACACAAGTAGCAGAGTGCCCTTCCCCGCGGCGAGGGAGCGCTCAGGACCCGGGCTAGGTGTCTTATTGTTTTCATAAAGGCATGTACCACGCCGGGAAGGCAAAGTTAGGATGAAACAGAAGCCTAGCAGGGTTTTCTTTTGACTTCTTCAAATCTATCTATGCCCCACTGAGTCTCATGATGAGGAAAAAAAAGACGCAGGTATGAATTCCTGGAAGTTGTGTAACTACCAGTTTTCTCTTCAAACCCGACCGACTGAATCTCTCCTCTACGCTGGAGAAAATTTCACCATCTCTTTGTTCGCTTGAAATGCATCCAAGTCCTATTGAGACATTGTGTGTGTTATATGAGTTCATATAAATAAACCCGCTAACCTATGCCTTATTATTAACGCCGTTCAGTTGATGTGTTTGAGCAGGAGCGGGTCTGTGCTTGTTGTTTCCCCAGAAAATTATTCAACTTTAGAAAAAGAGAAAAAAAATCTGTAATCCTGTTGCCCAGAACTGAACGCAGCTGTGTCTGCGTGAGATGTAAGCTTTGGCACTGAGTGAATAGTTCCCTGTTTCGAGCTCTTATTATTTTCTTGTGTTTTTTTCACAGGTCTTAATCTGCTGCTGCTGCTGCTGTAAAGTACCATTACTAAAGACCAGCTTCTTCCTGTTCTCCGAGGCTCAAGTGACTGTTGCATAAGTCAACACACCTACACTAAAGGACCTATAACAACCGAGCGTTCCTCCCCGCTTGGCTGAAAGTACTTCCACTCTCGGTGCCGTCACACGAGTTGTGTTAAGGCCTCGTCAATCACACACACACCCACACACACACACGCTAGAGGGATTTAAAACACACAGCCTGGTTCAGCGCCCACACACAGTCGCAGCAAACATGGCCAGCAAGCTGTCCAACTTTGGCAAAAGCCTTCTGCGTCGCCGGGCGCTCATCGATTCCGGAGAGGAGTCTCAATTCGCCAGGTGCCTCTCCACTCTGGACCTCATCGCCTTGGGGGTGGGGTCTACGCTCGGCGCAGGTGTCTACGTACTCGCCGGGGAGGTCGCCCGGGAGAAAGCGGGGCCCGCCATCGTCCTCTGTTTCCTCATCGCTGCTCTGTCCTCCATGTTGGCCGGCCTGTGCTATGCTGAGTTTGGTGCCCGTGTGCCCAAAACAGGTTCGGCGTACCTGTACAGCTACGTGACAGTGGGAGAGATCTGGGCCTTCATCACGGGGTGGAACCTCATCCTCTCTTATGTGATAGGTGAGCTTTGTCAAGTTTGATGAATAATGTGAATTCAGGACATATAAATCGCCACTTTGGTCAACTTACAAGCTTCTGTCTCGTCTTTCAGGAACGGCCAGTGTGGCTCGGGCCTGGAGCTCGACCTTCGACAACCTGGTGGAGCAAAAGATCTCGGGCTTCTTTAAAGCCTCCATGGCGATGAAAGTGCCTGGAAAGGTTCTGGCGGAGTACCCTGACCTTTTCGCCCTCATCCTTATCCTGCTGCTCACCGGTGAGTTGGCCTGTTTATTCATTTTTCAGGACGGTTTTATAGATTTACACGACACTTCAGTTCTTCGTTTGCTTTTTTGTTTTAGAATACCGTCAAAGAAACCTTTAATATTATGAATTTGAATACGGTCTTCTTCCCTCCGTTTGTTTCATGTCACATGTAATTGCATAACAGCAGGAACAGTTGTCACACTAACGCTGCCAATGCCAGCAGCAGTGTTAGAAAAACTGCTCGATGAGTGTAATGGACTGGTGGATCCGAACATGTCCGCCCACCTAACAGGACATCGTCGTGTTGTTGTTGTTGTTGTTCGTGGCGATGAAAATTTGAGATCTCCTCGTTACATCCCGTCTCACCTTTCTCTTGCAGGACTTCTGGCCTTCGGCGTCAGTGAGTCAGCTCTGGTGAATAAGATCTTCACGGGGATCAATCTGGTGGTCCTGGGCTTCGTTATCATCTCAGGCTTCGTCAAAGGCAACACCAACAACTGGAACCTGACATTGGACGACTTCAACAGTTACGTCAACGAGACCAACAGCAGCAAACCTCTGAGGTCGGCATCTGACAGCTTTCTTTCTCAGGCAGCGATTTCGCTTTGAGTTTGTTGACTGAATTTGGCGTCTCTTTTTCTTTTTCTTTATTTATTTTAAACATATCTTTATTGGTTTTTGTAGTCATAAAACAACATTCAACAATCTAAACATCTGGCAGTAATGAAAATAATAATTAAAAGATAAGATGTTCCTTTAATCGTCCAACGGGGGGAATTTCTAAATTTTATTTTTTATTTTTATTTATTTTTTATTTTTATTTATTTTTTGTTTCTTTTATAAGATAAGAAAGAGTCTGAAATATGAATAAAATAGAAGAGGTAAAAAAATAAAATGTCCAAATAAAATTAAAAAAATGAATTTTTTAAAAATTAAATTAAACCAAGAAATTAGTCAACAAATTAACGGGCAATAAATAATAAATACAGAAACAAAAAATATATTAATGAAAGATAAGCCTTTCCTTTAATAGTCCAACAGGGTGGAAATTCCATTTTTTAATTTATTTTTTAAATTTTTTTATAAGATAAGAGAGTCTGAAATATGAAAAATACAGAAGAGATAAATAAATAGAATGTCCAAATAAAAATAAAAAAATTTTTTAAATATAAATTGAACCAAGAAATTAGTCAACAAATTACCGAGCAAAAAGAAACAATCATCTAAAATAATAGCAATAATAATCAATTACTATTAATACTACTAATAATAATATTCTTAGTATAGTTTACCCCGTACACTCTCAACAGCAAATGAAATATTTTTCATTTTCTCATTATTCTCACTCTGTCTCCTTTATATCTCCACCTTTCAACAGGTCCAGAAATATCTTCCTAATGTTTCTCTCTTTTCTTTCTCTTCTCAGTGTGAAAGAAGATTTCGGAGTCGGTGGTTTCGCTCCCTTTGGACTCAGCGGGGTCTTGTCCGGCGCTGCTACCTGCTTCTACGCCTTTGTCGGCTTCGACTGCATCGCCACAACAAGTAAGAGACTGGACCGCACGCAGCTTTATTTATTATTATTTAAAAGTTTCCCAGCTGAAGGATAGACCTTTAGACCGCTGATAGTGTTGATAGTCTTGTTGCAGCACCTTTCACCTGGATTGAAAAGCAGCGTTACGTAATGTTGAGTGTCAAGAGTGGGACACGAATCTCCCCCAGTGTTAAACTTTGTTCTTTTCTTCTTCTTGTTAGCTAATTTTTTTGTTTAATTTTCTCCGCTGTCCTCAGGTGAAGAAGCGAAGAATCCCATGCGCTCCATACCCATCGGCATTGTGGCCTCCCTGCTCATTTGCTTCTTTGCATACTTTGGCGTGTCTGCTGCTCTGACCCTGATGATGCCGTACTACCAGCTGAACACCCAGAGTCCTCTACCCGAGGCCTTCACCTACGTGGGCTGGGCTCCGGCCAGGTACATCGTGGCGGTCGGCTCTCTGTGCGCTCTGTCAACCAGGTAAAGGCAGATCCAGTTTTCCTGCTGAGGTTCAAAGTTTTTCTGATCTTGAGTGAGACTAAAAGCTGTTTTTGTTTCAGTCTCCTCGGCTCGATGTTCCCCATGCCCCGTGTCATCTACGCCATGGCTGAGGACGGGCTGCTGTTCCGTATCCTGTCCAGGATGAACGCTCGCACTAAGACTCCTCTCTTGGCCACCATCGCTTCAGGCATCGTTGCAGGTAAACGCTGCGTCTCTGTTTGCCTTCTTTACAACTTTTGTTGTTTCTTCTTCTTTTTTTGTTTGTATCCATGTTTATCTTCATCTGTGTATCTTCCTTGCCGTGTTTGTTCGTTGTTTGTTCGTTGCTTCGGGCCGACAGCTGCCTTTTTTTTTTCTTTTTTCCCTTTTTTTTTTTTTTTTTTTTCTTTGCTGTGTCTAGCTTTCGCTGTCAAGTCTGTCTAGATTGTCTCAGGGTCGCAGCTCTCTGTCAGCCTGTCCTGACCTCCTACAGTCAGGTTCAGGATCGATAACAATTTAAACCCAAGAAAAGTCGGCAAAAAGCGAAGAAACAGAGTGCTGGATTTTTCTACTGCCTCTCTTTTCTGACATGCAGAGATGTGTTGAAACTATTCTAATAAAAAACGTTCTTTTTCCAGCTCTGATGGCCTTCCTGTTCGACCTGGCGGCTCTCGTCGACCTCATGTCCATCGGGACTCTGTTGGCGTATTCTTTAGTGGCCATCTGTGTCCTTATCCTCAGGTTAGCACCTTTTCTTTTCTTTTCTTCAAGTCTATGAGTGTTTAATTGTGTTTAAGAGTGTTTTTATCATTTTTTATTAAGGTCATTTCTTGATGTGTTTCAAGTTTATTTATAAAGCACCTTGTCTGAGAGCAGTCAAATAAAGTGCTGTACATAAGATAAATAAAAGAAGTAAATAAATAGATAATAAAATTAAAAATGGTGGAATAAAATACAGACAGTAAAAGAATAAATGCGACAGTGCCTATGATTCGTGTGCTCGTTTAGTTTTTATTCATTTATCGAGCATAAAATAAAAAATAAACTCATTAAAAATTCATTCTCATTCACAAATGAGATAATAAGCCTCCAAGCAAAGAAGAAATGGAGGTACAAGAAAAACATCAACAAACAACAACGTCTACACCAACATAAGATAAGTTGAAGTAACGGCTGTAGCCCAGTCATCTACTCTTCATTCTAGTTATTTTCTAGGTATGAAACGTTAACATGCTCCTTGCACACATAAATTCACCATTTATTGAACACAAGGGAGAAAAGGTGGGTCTTTAAGGGTGATTTAAAAGGTCTGTGAGGCTCTAATATGGCCGGGTGTGTCTTTTTTATCCTGCGTTCGACTTACCTCAGAGGTCAAAATATAATATATATAACTTTCGTAGATGTAGCCATCTTGTTTCCGCCTCCGATTTTGCTTTTTTCCGACTTGGTACGCTGGTAACTTGGCTGTGACAACATTTTCAGCTCCAACATCTGACTTCCGAGGTAACTGGAACGCAGCATGATATTCCTATATTATTAAAAAGGTTCTGCAGTTACATCATCATTTCGCGGTTTGGGATCAATACAGTAATTCTGATTCTCCTGTCTGAATGTCGTAGCCATGAGGCCGGTTAATCACCTCTGAATAAATCATAATCTGAGCGCTAAAGTTCTTAGATAACTGAGCTCAAACATTCTTGGACTTGAAGTGGATCAGAGAGTTTCTTTTGGGACTAAACTACATATTCAGTATTTTGCTCTTGTGTTTCTCTACGAGTCGTCCTGATGTAAATGTAAATGTTCTTTATTTATACAGTCCTAGTACAGTCCTCATAGCAAATAAAAATGAAAAAATAAAAACAATAAAAGCAATCCAAAAAAAAAAGGATAACATAAAAGTGTCACCAGCATAAATAAAAACGTTTTCGAAAAGGCCCAGGTCAGAAATAAGTCTCATTTCGGTGGGGAGCTTATTCCTGAGCAACTGAAAAGGTTCGGTTACCCCGGTGTTTGTATTTTGATCTTGGCACCTCCAGCAGAAGTTGGTTTGACGACCCGGAGCTCTGAGGGTGAGGCCTTTTAAAGGCTTTAAAAAAACAAACATTGAAAGTTTAAAATCAATGAAGCGAGCTAAAAACAGGAGTGATGTTCTCACACCTGTTAGTGTTGGTTAAAAGACGGGCAGCAGCATTTTGCACAAGTTGAAGGCGACCAAGAGATGAGTAGAAGATGCCAACATAAAGTGCATTACAAGAGTCTAATCTTGAATTGATTAGAGCCAGACTGATATCAGTGATCACACCGGTTCATGCGCTGATTACAAAAAAAAGGACTCTCTTCTTCTCTGAAAACTGTCGTCTAAACAAAAGTAAGATTATGCAAGCAGCTGCTGATACGGAGCAGCAAAGAAGATCTGAGACAAAACAACAGCAGTGAAGTGCTAATAAAGGATTTTATGTGGTTCAACACTTGAAAATAAGAAACTCAAATCAAACTTTGAAATAATAATAATAATAATAAGAAGAAGAAATAGTCCAGCTCATGAGGTCAAGTTAGGCAGCAACCCGATCAGCTGCTAACATTAGCCCAGCTTTCTTTTTTTAGTGAGGGAGTCGTACATTACGCTTAGACAGATCATACAGTAAGTACAGCAATAAAACGACACCTCAACACCAGCTCACGTTCCTGTCATGATCACGTGTACACTCCTCTAAAGCTCCCCGGTATCTAAAGTGTCAGTGAGTGTATTTTCTCTCCGTTTACTCAGTCTACACTCCTCCTCCTCCTCCCTCCACAGGTACCAGCCAGGCACCCTGAATTCATCCAGCCAGACGGAGAAGTTGGTGGAGTTGGTTGAAGGTGAGAAAGTTCCGGTCAGCGGAGGAGACAGCGGGGACGAGTACGACGACACGCCGCTCAAAGAGACGTTCACAGTCAGGCTGCTCTTCTGCCCGAGCGGAAAGGTCCCGACGCAGACTTCTGGGAGCATCGTCTATGCCACCACCGCTATTATCTGTGAGGAGACGAGAGTTTAATCTGAATTATTATGATTTCTGCTTTTTGGGAAAAGAACCATGACAGCAACTCTCTCTCTCTCTCTCTTTTTTTTTCTTTTTTTTCTCTGCAGCAATTCTTATCACCTTGCTGTGTGTTATCTTGGCCAACTGTCTCCCAGAGCTGCTGGCAGGGCGGCCGGGCGTTGTGGTGCCCTGTGTCATCCTGACTCTGCTGTGTGCCGTCTGTGTCATCATCATCTGGAGGCAACCTGAGAGCAAAGAGGCCCTCACCTTCAAGGTAAAGATCGAACCCTGGGAGCGAGTCTGTGCGTCTGTTTTGTGATTCGCTTTGGCTCACGTTGTTCCTCGTTTACTGATCTGTCTTTTTCTTCCACACATTGTCGTTCTCTCTGTCCTCCTCAAGGTCCCTCTGCTCCCCTGGCTGCCGTTGTTCAGTGTTTTCGTCAACATCTACCTCATGATGCAGCTGGACCTGGGAACGTGGTGCCGATTTACCGTCTGGATGGTCATAGGTACGTTTCGACATCGTCACCTGTTGTTTTTTTTCCTTTTGCAGGGCTCGACAGTGCGACCATTTCACTAAAAATAGATGTGTGCAAACTGTAAAATGTGCGCATAAAAAAATTAGCCGAGGCAACAAATGTTTTTAGGTTTTAGTTTTAGGTCAGATATTTGACAGACACTCACTGCGAATCTTCAGACATGCAGCTGCCTCAGTAAGAGAAGCAGCTCGATCACTAATGTGAACTGTTGTTTATTCTACCGTTACTGGCACGGCTAACAGTGTAGCAAGGCTAATAGCAGATGGCTAACTGTGACTTTAGCTGCGCCATCTACAGGATAAGTTGGAGAACTTTTCAAATGGCGGAACATTTTCGGAGTGAAACCAAACGTGCAAAAATTGGCCGATTTAACCGGCTCGCCAATAAATCGGTCAGGCTCTAGTACTAAAATCGGACGATAAGACAAATTATTATTTGATCAATTTTCATTGCGTCCCTGAAGTTCTTTGTGTGCTCCTTGTGAAGAAAGTCAGTGTTAAGCCCTGTTTTGTCCTTCTCTCGTCACAGCTGTGTTTTAACTCCCCGTTCTCTCTCTCCTTTATCTTCCAGGATTCGCCATCTACTTCTTCTACGGTATTAAGAACAGCAGTGAAGCCGCCAACAGGTCGTCCCCTCGTAAATACGAGCCCGCGCTGCAGACCAAAAGCCCCATCTTCACAGGCCCCTCCAGCGACAGTGACGTAGAGGCGGGAGGCAGTCCCTGATACTGACTCCTGTCGCGGACTCGGGTAGCGTTGCAGAGCACTCTACACTGGCGGTGTAGCTGAACTTAAAGCCTGAAGCTGCAGTGTAGGCGGCCCTGAAACGCAGCCCTGGGTTTTTAGAGAAGAAGAGGCAAGAAATCATCACACACATCTTACCTCTGACTCTGAGGCTGATTAACTTGACGGTTGGACACTGTGAACCACTCGCTGGTCCGTGTGTCTTTCAATCTGTCTGTCGGTTTGTTTGTTCCTAGCCTTAGCCCCCACCTCCACCTCCCCACCACCCTTGGAGATCTGCCAATAACACCTGCTTTGAATGGACCGAATTTCAAGAGTACCGCTGTACTCCACGTGTCGCTCTCATCGTATTTGACGCTGTTTACTGGATGATTGTTACTTTTTTTTTTTTATCTGCTTTGTTTTTTTTCCTCTCCGTTATTCGAGCGCTGTTGTTGCGAGGTATAAAAGAGCTGTAACGCTAAGCATAACTTGAGTTTACGACAGTGAACACTTGGATCACTGAGCCGAGACCTAACTGTATTACAAACATGAGCTGCTTTCAATCCGACCATCAAGTCTAGGTTGTTGGTTCTCGTTTGCTGCAGCTTGTTTGTTTGTTCGTGTGTAAACAGGGTAGCACTAATGCTGTACGTCAACAGATTCATTCGGATGACGATCATGTCGATGTCATCTTCATCGTACGGTTGAGTACATGTATCACAGATCGGACATATTTTGAACACACTATGACCTTTGCGCTCCCTGCTCCCAGGGAACAGACATATTTTAGTCATGTCTACATTGTTGTTAGTTTCGTATCATGAGGCGTTTTGGGATCTTAATTGTCACATAGTTGTGTGCGGCCCTTGTGTAACACTGTGGCTAGAATCAGCCACTAGGGGCAAAATTTAGCCACTAATTTACACGAAACTTTTTTTTTTTTACTACAGCAAATGGGATGATTTTTTGTGCCGATGCTTATATTGATGGACACTTTGAGAATATGACTTCAAAATTTTCACCAGGTCAAAAATACGCGCTGGGAAAATTTTCATCCGTTGTTAACTCTCAGTTGCTAAAAACAGCCACTAACTTCGACTGCTGTAAAAACATATTGGGTTAATATTTTTTTCCATTTTTTTTCATATATCTATTAATTAACTTCTGCTTTGATCAAAACTAGTAAATGTTTCATCTAAAAACATTTTTTAACCCTTTGAGGGTCCATTCAAAACATAATGTCACCGATATGGTAGAAAATAAATCTAATAAAAATCATTTTTTTCCCCAATATTAGTGACTTTATGTTTTAAATGGGTCCTCAAAGGGTTAAAATTTGGATTCTTAATGAAACATTTACTAGTTTTGAATAGAGCAGAATTTAATTAAGAGATATATGAAAAATCATCTGGAAAAAATATGAATCCAATATGTTTTTACAGCAGTCAATGTCAGTGGCTGTTTTCAGCCACTGAGCGTTAAGAAAGGATGTAAATCTAAGGGTTACACAAGGGTTGAATATCCGCTACACTCTCTGTTATCACGACCTTCATACACTTACATAGTGTTGAGTTTCTCAACACCGATGAACGATTTAAAACACTCGGCAAACATTTGAAGTACTTGATTTTGCAGATCTGAGGGGTTTCATAGATTTGCACTTAACTGGATGTGAAGTATGTGATATTTTCCTGGTCCATTTTTGTCAAACTCACTTCAGTATCTGGAAGCAGGGGGTCTGTTTCGTACCAAGGGCCTGTCTTTTTAACAATCACTAAGATATTACTACTTCCGTTTATTTTTTTGTTTGTGAAAAAGCTCTAATTGCTTTTTCACAGTTTTTTGTTTTAGTTTCAATTGAAACTCCATCGTCTTCTTCTTCTTGGCAGCTCTGTCTGTCCCATCGCTTGTTATTCTATTTGCAAAACGTTTATTGACATTTTCTGCTAGCGTTGTGCATATTTAAATGCTCATAGTGTTTGTTTGGGATAGCTTTCTCTCTTATATTTGCCTTTTCATATGAATTTCAATCAACTAACATGCTTGTTAGGTGTACTTTGTTACATGTACAGTTTTTAGCCTGCTTATCCTTTTATCTTTTATATTTTTGTTTTCTTTCAAATGTCTTTTATCTTCGTTGAGCTAAATTGTGTTTTATTTTATTTAATTTTCTTTTCTTTTGCGATCCCTCCTGACCAAATGAACGTGATTTTGGAAACTTAGTTTTCCAACACAAAGAACGACCTCTCAAAGTTGGTCTCTAATTCTGTAATTTAAACAAAAAAAAAAAGTTTATATCCCAATCCTCTGGAGTCAACATAACTTATTGTTTTTATTGTCTTAGTAAAGTGCTTTACTGTAGAGTGTACAGTACTTGTTTAAAAACTGTATCTTTATTTGTATAATTCTGTAAATTATACAAATGTTCTTTCTATCAAATGAGCTGAAGTAGGATTTGGTAAAGAGACGGTCTTAGTCGTCATTCTCTGAAGCATTTCATTGCACACTTGCTGCTACTGAACTCCTAACGATACTAACCTTGAAGACCCTTTTTGTAGATATGAAGTAATTTTTGAATGCAATATCAGTGCGCTTCTGCAGATGCTTCAAAAATGTCCCTACGCGTCCTTGATTTAGACCGTCAGAGGCTGAAATGTCCCCTGAAGTCCGATGAGGGTACAGTCGAGGTAGATTTGGACTCGGCTAGTTTTTCAGCCGATTGAAATGGATGAACTGGTGCTCAAAGAAGCATCCGTCTGCCTGAGAGAAAGGCACCAGGGCTGAAGACTTCATGAGCTGCTCTCTCACTCGGTCTTGGATCACTGCAGACTTAAATGTAAAACTTACATTTTCACCAGAGACGCCGAGTTTATCATATCGTAAAGGTTATTTGATTTGGCCTTTCTGTCTCCGAGCTGTCAAACCCAGCCCTCGTGCCTTTCGGTCATCAGTATCGTTCCCTTCTCAACAATCTATTTTTGTCTTTCTGTTTTGTATACTGTACATACGTCTGTCTGTCTGTCGTGTAAAAAACGAGCTGTATTTCCAATGTTTTTTTTTAAATAAAACAGATTCATGCTTATGACAGATTGACTGCCTCTGTTTTTCATTCAGTTTGTCATTCAGAGTGAGCTTCCTGTGGGGAGCTTTAACAGACGCATTTACTGGTTTCCACTTGACTATGTTAACATTGTTCTCCCAGTTACAAAATGACTTTTTCCTCAGGCTGTTGTATCTACTCGGTGACTTTTAACATAAATCCTGGAGCAACTGCCGGGACAGCAGTTAAGATTTCGCACGTATCTGTCTATGCAGAACTTGAAACAGGGACCACCAGTTAAATACTTTTAATTCACCAGCCCTGAAAATACCCAAAAAGAAATCAAGTTAAGCCGTCTTTGCTTTTCCAAACAGGATTGATACTGTGAGCTGCAAGCAAACATGTATTACGGCTTTTACCGTAAATCCCTGAATGAGAGCCACATGGAGAAAATACACCTCATATCACCTGATATTTACTTTTTCTCACCAATTAGAAGATCTCTGTTTTATACAGGTGTGTCACCATGCGGGGCAGTATGGCGAGCAACATTTTAAGGGTTTTTCGGGTCGGGTTTGAGTGTTTTTTACGTGCTTCTAACTCAGTTATTCCAGGGTACACAAACTCAAAACTTCCATAAAAAACAAACAAAAAAACAAACTGACATTTAAAGGATTTGGTGACACTTCACAAAAACTCTAATTTATAAATGGTAAATAGATAGTTTATTAATGTTAAATCATCATTTAAAATCAGCATGTAGACCAATTATAAATGACAAATAGATAGTTTATTAATGTAAGTTTGTGTATGATTAATAATTTTCATTTTTTATTAATGTTCTATTTATGAAAGGTTTATATAGGGTTTAAATATTGGTTGTAAAACATCTAGATTAAAATGTGTGTCAGCAGCACTTTGTAAATGGTTAATATTTGTTTCATAAACCATCTATAAACATTACTTAGATGGTTATTGTAAAGTTAGGTTTAGGGTTAGGTTTTTAAATGATGATTAAACATTAATAAACTATCTGCTTACCATTTATAAATGGTCTATTTACCATTTATGAGTTATGGTTATTGTGAAGTGTTACCAAGGATTGTATAAACTCCCCCCAGACAGGCCAGTCAGCCCCCAAAAAGAGGACCTGTCCGGGTAAAAGAGGACATTTGGTCACCCTATCACCATGAAAGCAGCACCATTCAGAGCCAACTTTAGCAGTAAGCTTAGCTGTACATTACAACCAATGGTCAAATCTTAAACAAGAGTCATATTGTTGTTGTTTTTTTTTTTTTAAAGCCATTTCAACACTGTAAAACATAATCCAGGTTATGTCATGTGCTTGATAATGCTAACAGTTCCTGCAAACGATCAACCATCCAAATGCTTTACATAAACACCAAACTTTCAGCCTTCCACTCAAACACTTGAAACTGTTTGTTGAAAGCAAACAATGCTAAGTTCACCCTTGCTCTAAAAAACAAAAAAAAAGGCATTTGTTAGACCAGCCTAAGGAGCTGTGTCAGCATAACTGTTCATAACGCTTGGACTCAAAAATCAAGTTGAAAAATTCTCCTTTGAATGTCAAACGCTTGTTGATCCCTCTCTCAGATTCTCAAATTGTACTAAAAATGCTCTCCCCTAGTCTCTTTAACTTCCCCTCACTCTAAAATATGATGCAATTTGAATTACAGTTACTGTTATATCTATGTTATGTTTTATTTTACTGCGGTCAGAGGCTGTTTGAGTGGTAGGGTGAGATTTATTTACTTATTTATTTTTATTTTATTTTTCTTAGGAAACCCACAGTCCACAGAACTGCAGCCCACAATGTAGGATTTATTTGAACATAGTTTGGCACAAGTAGTCAAAAAGGATCAAAAGTAGACCCCAGCCTCTTTCCCCCTCTTTCTTCTCCACACTAATGCTGCCATCTAGTGGTCAGCTTCAGCGTCACATCCTTCTGCTGTAGCCAATTACTTCCACTGTTACTCAATCTTGTGCTTTTTATAAATGATGCAAAACAGCTTCTGCACCTCAAAGACTAATGTGTGATTATGTCTTCAGGCATGTATTTTTGATGATGTTGGAGCGACAGCAAAATGGAGCTGACGACTTTGTCAGAGTTTGGTTTCAAATAAATTATTTACAGGTTGTGTAATGTGATGCATGTTTCCCCCTATTCTTAAAGGTCACACCCTAATGTTCACAGTACCCAGAGAGAATCAGTCTATAAATAAGAGCAGAAGTGTCATAGTGTAGTATGTTGAAAAATATCATTGTATAGTATGATAAAAAAAAAAAAGATTGTAAAGTAAATTAAAATATGTCATAGTATAGTATGTGAAAAATGCCATATTTGGTATGTTAAAAAAATCATTGTATAGTGTGATACAAAAATGTAAGAGTTTAGTATGATTCAAATGTCATAGTATAGTATGATGAAAATTCAAATTTAAGTATAAAAAAAATATCAGTAAAGTATGATAAAAATGTCACAGTATAGTATTTTAAAAAATTGCCATTGTATAGTATGTTAAAAATGCCATAGTATAGTATGTTAAAAAGGCCATAGTATAGTATGATAAAAATGTCATAGTATAGTATGTAAAAAATGTAGAAGTATAGTATGATTAAAATAACAAAATCAAGTACAAAAAATATCATAGCAAAGAATGTTAAAAATATCGTAGTATAGTATGATAAAACTGTCATTGTATGATATGCTTAAAAAATTTGTTTGGTATGATAAAAAAAATGTCATAGTATAGTATGATTGAAATGGCACAGTATTGTACGGTAAAAAAGGTCATGGTATAGTATGTTAAAAAATGCCATAGTAAAGTATGATTGAAATGCCATAGTATAGTATGATAAAAATGCCATAGTATAGTATGTTAAAAAATGTCATAGTATAGTATGTTTAAAAGGCCATTGTATAGTATGATAAAAATGTCATAGTATAGTATGATAAAAATGCCATAGTAAAGTATGATTGAAATGCCATAGAATAGTATGATTAAAATGCCATAGTGTAGTATGTTAAAAAATGTCATAGTATAGTAGGTTAAAAAATGCCATAGTATAGTATGATAAAAATGTCATAGTATAGTATGTTAAAAAGGCCATAGTATAGTATGATAAAAATGTCATAGTATAGTATGTTAAAAAGGCCATAGTATAGTATGATAAAATGTCATAGTATAGTATGTTGAAAAGGCCATAGTAAAGTGTGTTAAAAAATGCCATAGTATAGTATGATAAAAATGCCATAGTAAAGTATGATTGAAATGTCATAGTGTAGTATGTTAAAAAATGTCATAGTATAGTAGGATAAAATTGTCATAGTATTGCATGTTAAAAAATGCCATAGTATAGTATGTTTAAAAGGCCATAGTATAGTATGATAAAAATGTCATAGTATAGTATGTTAAAAAGGCCATAGTATAGTATGATAAAATGTCATTGTATAGTATGTTAAAAAGGCCATAGTAAAGTGTGTTAAAAAATGTCATAGTATAGTATGTTTAATATGCCATAGTATAGTATGAAAAAAATGCCATAGTATAGTATGTTAAAAATGCCATCGTATAGTATGATAAAAATGTCATTGTATAGTATGTTAAAAAGGCCATAGTATAGTATGATAAAAAGTATAGTATGAAAAAAATGCCATAGTATAGTATGAAAAAAAAAATTGTTTGGTATAATAAAAAATGTCATAGTATAGTATGATAAAAAAAAGTATTGTTTGGTATGATAAAAATGTCATAGTATAGTATGTTAAAAAATGTCATAGTATAGCATGTTAAAAAACGTCATAGTATAGCATGTTAAAAAATTTATTGTTTGGTATAATAAAAATGTCATAGTATAGTATGTTAAAAAATGTCATAGTATAGCATGTTAAAAAACGTCATAGTATAGCATGTTGAAAAATTTATTGTTTGGTCTGATAAAAATGTCATAGTATAGTATGTTAAAAAATGTCAGAGTATAGTATGATAAAAAAATTTGTTTGGTATGATAAAAAATGTCATAGTATAGTATGATAAAAAAATTATTGTTTGGCATGATAAAAATGTCATAGTATAGTATGTTAAAAATGTCATGGTATAGCATGTTAAAAAACGTCATAGTATAGCATGTTAAAAAATGTATTGTATGGTATGATAGAAATGTCATAGTTTAGTATGTTAAAAATGCCATTGTATAGTATGATAAAAATGTCATTGTATATTATGTTAAAAAGGCCATAGTATAGTATGATAAAAAGTATAGTATGAAAAAAATGCCATAGTATAGTATGAAAAAAAAATTTGTTTGGTATAATAAAAAATGTCATAGTATAGTATGATAAAAAAAAGTATTGTTTGGTATGATAAAAATGTCATAGTATAGTATGTTAAAAAATGTCATAGTATAGTATGTTAAAAAATGCCTAAGTATAGTATGATAAAAATGTCATAGTATTGTATGTTAAATAATGCCATAGTATAGTATGATAAAAATGTCATAGTATAGTATGTTAAAAAATGTCATAGTATAGTATGTTAAAAATGTCATGGTATAGCACGTTAAAAAACGTCATAGTATAGCATGTTAAAAAAATTATTGTTTGGTATGATAAAAATGTCATAGTATAGTATGTTAAAAAATGTCATAGTATAGTATGATTAAAAAATTTGTTTGGTATGATAAAAAATGTCATAGTATAGTATGATTAAAAAATTATTGTTTGGTATGATAAAAATGTCATAGTATAGTATGTTAAAAATGTCATGGTATAGCATGTTAAAAAACGTCATAGTATAGCATGTTAAAAAATGTATTGTATGGTATGATAGAAATGTCATAGTTTAGTATGTTAAAAAATGTCATAGTATAGTGTGCTTAAAAAATTTGTTTGGTATAATAAAAAATGTCATAGCATAGTATGTTAAAAAATTTATTGTTTGGCATGATTAAAATTCCATAGTATAGTATGTTAAAAAATGTCATCGTATAGTATGTTAAAAAATGCCAAAGTATTGTATGATAAAAATGTCATAGTATTGTATGTTAAATAATGCCATAGTATAGTATGATAAAAATGTCATAGTATAGTATGTTAAAAAATGTCATAGTATAGTATGTTAAAAATGTCATGGTATAGCACGTTAAAAAACGTCATAGTATAGCATGTTAAAAAAAATATTGTTTGGTATGATAAAAATGTCATAGTATAGTATGTTAAAAAATGTCATGGTATAGTATGCTTAAAAAATTTGTTTGGTATAATAAAAAATGTCATAGTATAGTATGTTAAAAAATTTATTGTTTGGTATGATTAAAATATCACAGTATAGCATGATTTAAATTCCATAGTATAGTATGTTAAAAAATGCCAAAGTATAGTATGATAATAATGTCATAGTATTGTATGTTAAAAAATGCCATAGTATAGTATGATAAAAATTTCATAGTATAGTATGTTAAAAAATGTCATAGTATAGTATGTTAAAAATGCCATAGTATAGTATGATAAAAATGTCATAGTATAGTATGTTAAAAATTTCATAGTATAGTATGATAAAAAAAATTTGTTTGGTATAATAAAAAATGTCATAGTATAGTATGATAAAAAAATTATTGTTTGGTATGATAAAAATGCCATAGTATAGTATGATAAAAATGTCATAGTATTGCATGTTAAAAAATGCCATAGTATAGTATGTTTAAAAATGCCATAGTGTAGTATGAAAAAAATGCCATAGTATAGTATGCTAAAAATGCCATAGTATAGGATGATAAAAATGTCATAGTATACTATGTGTGTGTGTATATATATATATGTGTGTGTTGTCTTGAGGTTGTTTAAAGTGCGTTTTTTTATCTTCTTTGACTGTGAAATTAGCCTCTTTAATTTTTGAGATGCCAAAATAAATGAATAAGAAATCCTAACAAATGTATTTGTATTCTTAAAACACACAACTATGACTTAATTATGGCATTAAAGAATAAAAAAAAACAGCAGGCAGAAAGTTATCACTCAGATATTTACAAATCTTTTTTCAAAATTTATGCTTTATTTAATTAATACTGATCACTTTGGGCTTCCATACAAAAGGCGTTTATGGCATAACTGTTCTCACCAGTAAACCAGCACAGAGGAGTAAACACAAACTGGGTTGTCGCCTTATTGATTAAAAAGTCCTTGTCAGGATGAGTTTATAATGGCTATAAGTCAGTAAGCAGCTACAGTAGAAACTTTTTCCTTTCAGAAAACAGCAAATTCATCATTAAACATTTTCACAGTGCAAACTTTTCCTCCGGTACTTTTCATCAAGTTGCAGTCAGACAGACAAACATGACATGAGTCAATACCTCCAAACTTTTCCAGCAGAGTTGACCTTCGTTGCTCTTTAATATCTTAAATTTGTTGTGCAGCTCCATCAGTGAAATATTCAGAGAATTATGAAGGACAGCAAAGACACGTGGCTCAGTCTTGGCTCACAGACTCAGATTGAAGTTAACATCGTCATATAACACACATCAATAACAGTATTAGTCTTAAACAACATAACTGGCCGTAGGAGTATAACTGTACATGTCAGAAAGGCCAAGAAGAGTGTTAAAGCTGAAGTGTAGGTAACAGCTGCAGGGTTATTAAAGTCACACATACACATGCACACACAACAGTGAGGAGGTTAGGAGGATTCTTGTGCTTCTACGCCTCTTAGGAAAATCAACAAAGTGTCTGAGTTTGGGACAGAGTCAGAAACAGGCACCAGAAAGACAAAACAATGTCTCATATATAGAAGGAGAGTGAAGAACTGAGCAGGAAAATATTTTGAGTCCTCCCCTCAAAAAAAAAAAAAAAATTGGCCTGAGTGCAGGCAAGGTGAAAGAAATCTCCAACGCAGGGAGTCCTATGAGTTACGACCTGTGATCCTTCATGCTGCAGACAGGTGAATCAGCAGAAGCACTGCCGGCTGCCTTTGGTGACCTCCTCAGAGGAGTGGACGGTGTTGGGGACGAATCCACTCTTGACGCCCTCCCAGCCATCCTGGATCTTAATGTCTCCGTTCCTGACCAGCTCAAAGATGTCCCTCGTGAGATCCACGAAGGCCTAAGAAAGAAGAAACAAACACCACATTAGATAGATAGATAGATAGATAGATAGATAGATAGATAGATAGATAGATAGATAGATTCTGCACCTTCTCCACATTGATGGCGTCCCGTGCTGATGTCTCCACGTAGCGCATCCCAAAGGCCCCCGCCAGCTTCTCTGCCTCCTGCTGGGTCACCTGACGCTGGGCCTCTAAGTCACACTTGTGACCCACCAGCAGGAAGACAATGCTGTGAGGCTGGACGTGGCTCTGCGCCTCCTCCAGCCAGTTATGGACGTTCTGGAAGGAGCGGCGGTTTGTGATGTCGAAGAGTAAGAGTCCGCCCACAGAGTTACGGTAGTACGCCCTAGTGATGGATCTGGACACATGCATAAATAGATATATGAATGATGGGCAGTTGTAGTTCAAAAACTAATTATAGCACATCGAAAGACTAAATCAAAATAAATATATTTGTCCAGAGACAGAATAATAGCATCAAACTGAACAGGGTGATGAGTGAATTACTGTCGCCATTATTTCTCACACTCCTTTTGCCAACTTCTACAACATCTAGACATGAGCTGGTACATGTGTATCACACCTCATAATATACCACACTAACTTTCAACTCTACTGCTTCTGCTAAAGTGGTCTGGTGCTGGACAGAAATAGTCAGCTCCTAATTGATCCTAAATTAGTTGTATATCTTGGGATTTTTGACTGCAAGGAGAAGCCACTGAACTGTCTTAGATACATGTCAGTGTAACTGCTTGCTTTCAAATATAGATCTATTATCTTCAGAAAAAAATAAAACATGGACAGGCAGCAGATATCTGAGTGAATTTAACTTATATCTCATGATGTTTTTACCTGAACCTCTCCTGTCCCGCGGTGTCCCAAATCTGCAGTTTGATTCTTTTACCAGGTTCGATCTCCACCAGGCGGGAGAAGAAGTCGACGCCCACAGTCGGGTCCGACACCTGCGCAAAGCGGCCCTCCGTGAACCTGCGGATCAGACACGACTTTCCCACCGTGGAGTCTCCGATGACAATCAGACGGAACTGATAAAGCCATATTGTCTCCATTTTTCACTGAAATAAAATCTGAGAAAATGTCATCAGTAGAATCAGGACTCTATATGACCAGAACATTATATCAGCAAACACTAATAAAACATATTTACACACCATTCACTCACACTAGATACACGACTGGTCTTGATCTATGTTTGTATTTTGTTTGAACCTCCGGACTAAGACCACCAGGTACTGGAACAGCTTCTTCCCCACAGCTGTCACACTCCTGGACTCTACCTCCTGACATCTGAACCATATTAACACTCATGGACTGAACACACACACACACACACACACACACACACACACACACACACACACACACACACACACACACACACACACACACACACACACACACACACACTCACAACCACTGAACCACCACTTACAATTATCTACAATTACCTGCACTTTATATCTGTAAACCATCTTAAAACTTTTCAAACCTCATTTTCACTACTGTAAATACATCCAGTATTGCACTACTGCATAATTTATCCTTATATTTATAGTCTGTTTATAGCCTTCATATTTATAACCATATGTATAATCTGTTCATAGCCTGTACATGGGTCAATGACGTATAAGGTTTTTAAACATGCCAGTTTTAAAAGAGCAAAAATAAGAATATATTTTGCAAACGTTCAAACACTAAGGATGTTGTGTATACGAAAATTAGTAAAATTTTTAAATTACGAAAGAATTGCCCGTGGCCTTAATAAATGTCATGTGGTGCGACCACAATTTATCTCAAAATTATTACATTTTTTCAACATACTTAATATTTTTTTACAAATTGTCAGTAATATCAAGTAGATAGAAACAAAGTGTTTGCATTTCATCTGAGTTTTTGTAAATAATGATCTCACATTTTCGCTCTATAATGTCACAGTCACTATATTAAATGTAGTTAACTCACTAATTTTTTCTTTAAATTGCATAATACTGATGAAAATGATTTAAAACTACCTTTCACTTAAGCATATTGTATCAGGTATTAATGTTTCAGTTACAGAAACGAGATATTTTAGTTTGTATTTAATACAATTAATGTTATTATTGGTCGCACCACATGATATTTTGACACTCTTAAGTTCAGAAAAATTACAAATAAGACCTGATTTTTGAAAAGTTGAAGTGACTACATATATGAGAGAGATGCTACATATAGAAAGTATATTTTTATATTTTTTACTGGACAGAATATTGAGGCGTCACGTCATTGACCCACATACGCCACGATAGCCTGTACATACTTAAAGTTATAGCATATTCATAGCAATGTTATATACCTGTGATACACTCATGTATATATCTCCTTCATACCGTGTACATCTATAAATATATTTATACTTGCTAAGCACTTCTGGATGGATGCAAACTGCATTTCGTTGCTCTGTACTTGTGACATGCGCAATGACAATAAAGTTGAATTCTATTCTAAAATGAAATAAAAACAGCAGTAAAAGTTATTAAAATAGGAGCACCAAAATAGCTCAATAAAAGATGATCCTGTCATTAAAACTAGAAGAGATAAATGCCAAAACACTAGAAGTTAATGATATAAAATGTAGTTAAAAGCAAGACTGAAAAGGTATGTTTTCAATTTGCTTGGTGCAGTCCTCAGGTCTTCAGGTGAGCTGTTCCATAGTAATAAAAAGATGCCTCACTGTACATGTAGAAGCCAAAACATGTTTGTTAAAAGTTTTAGTTCTATAGGTACATCACAGTTCATAGGTTTTGGGATGTTTGGCAGGTTATTTAAATGTCACAGGTGTAGTCAGACAATGGGTTTGGTAAGCGGTAAGCGCTGATAATTCTCTGTTGACCGTTTTTGACCGTTTCTCATCGTTTTTCACCTCTTCATTCATTCATTCTGTTTTAACCTCATTTCATCATATCACCTTCTCAGTTGAAGCAAAAGTATTGGACCCAGCGTGTTATCTTTCCCTTGTTTGAACAATAAATCATAGTATACTTACAATAGATTAGAATAAACACAGATGTGCGTTTAATCTCCAGACTGTGCTGACCACATGGAGAATTCATGGACATCATAAGGAGACAGTAATGGGTTCATATCAGCTCAGCAGAAGGGGGTGCATGTGATTTACAGTTGGGTGATCTAATTTTAAGGAGAAGGAGGGGGTGAGGCCACTCCTCTCCAACTCAATAAACATTGGCGTAGTCAGCCTCCATGTGGATGGCACATTGGTTGTTACACAGCATTAACACAAAGGGGCCTTGAAGCTCGCCATAGATTTGTTAATAAAGCAGATACAGCTGCTAAACATGACAGCTGGTTGATAACGAGAGGAGCTGACCAGTAACTCCCATAACATACCATTCAACAGACTTGATCAAAAAGGTCATTATGAGATTAAATGTTGAATCATGAGGCCCAGTTAACTGAGCAGAATGCTATTCCAAGTGCTGTTTACTCAATTCACATGCAAAACAATAAGTATAAAATAATACAAATCTGTCAGTGAGGACCTACCTTGAAGTTCGAGCTCAGTACCTGTGAGAAGCAAACCCCATGTCGGTGTTGATGCTTTAGAAATGATGCTCCAGACTAGCAGGGTTTGTGTTTGTGCTAACAGAAATAGCCTGCACTCCTTCGGTCTGATAATTATCATCAAACTGTTTTAGCCTCTTCTTACAGATCAATCCAGCCTGTTCGGTGGACAAACAGTCAATGCTGAATAATTTAGAGTGGTCTGTAGATAATTCGGTGTAGATCCACGGATTAAATGGCAGCAGGGCACAACAGCATCACACACTCACACACACATCTCCTCCTCACCCACATCAGCACCATTACCGTAACTGCGCACAAAGAAGCGCAGCAGTAATCGTGAATGCACCATCGCTAGATGAGAGTACGTATATGACACTCTGACGCCATCTGTACGTCAGTGAAGTGATCGCAAGAGGAAGCGTTCGTTTACGGCGCTCTAACGCTATACCGTAAGTGTGAACATAGACACGCAATCGATTTTTGAACGAATCTAGTTTTTCAAGATGTTTCTTCGAAAAGCAGACGTGGCCGTACGAATGTCGTGGTATCATGATAAAAATGTCACAGTAAAGTATGAAAAAAGGTCGAAGTATAGAATGACAAACTATGTCATATTATGATTTGTTAAAAATATGTCATAGTATAGTATGTTAAAAAAAATCATTGTTTGGTATGATATAAATGCCATAGTATAGTGTGATAGAAATGTCACAGTATAGGATGATAAAAGAAATTACAGTAAAGTATGATAAAAAATAATTTCATGGTAAAGTATGATAAACATTTCATTCTAAAATATGTTGAAAAAACTTCATATTATAGTATGATAAAATTGTCACAATATAGGATGATAAACAAAATATAGTAAAGTATGATAAAAAATGTCATAGTAAAGTATAATAATCATTTTGTAGTATAGTATGTTAAAAAATCATAGTATAATAGAAATGTAAGAGTATAGTGAGATAAACAAATCATAGTATGATAAAAAAAAATGTCACAGTATAGGATGATTAACATTTCATAGTGTAGCATGTTAAAAAATGTCATTGTTTAGTATTATTTAAATGTCATAGAATATTATGATAAAAAAAATATCATCGTAAATTATGATAAACATTTCACAGTCTAGTATGTTAAAAACATTGCAGTATGATAAAAATGTTATAGTATAGTATGATAAAAAAAGTAGTAAAGTATATAGTAAAGTATAGTAAAGTATGATAAACATTTCATAGTATAGCATGTTAAAAAAATGTCATAGTATAGTATGATAGAAATGTCAGAATAGTATTTTTGGAACACGCTTCTTTTCTTTACATAGGTAATGTTTAGAGTGCAATAAAGTTATTTTTATGAGCTCAAGGTCCTCATCCTGTCATGGAAATGCAAGACATGTACAAAGTCTGGTTTGAACGAGGAGCCATTGAACGCACCATTTAATAACAGTAGTAGTTGCTGAGACGAGCAGGGGGGACTGTCGTCTCGTAAAAACATCTGAGCTGTCATCTGTGAATAAAGGGGTGGGAAGCCTCTCGAATTGCCTCTCTTACAAACACAGATGAATTTGGATCATGAAAACTTTTTCTTAGAGCACAGAGGAAATCTTCTACCTGTGCTTTTTTTTCTCTGACGATGATTTTACTAAATCTAGTTTACGGTTCTGCTCTCCCACCTGTGCATGAATCTTTCTGAAAGTTTATTGAAGTCTAGAGGGGAGTTATTTCTTTAGCAGAGCTGCAGCCATGCAGCAGGAGCTTCTCTTCAAAGTCCTGGTCATCGGGGACTTGGGAGTGGGAAAGACGTCCATCATCAAGCGGTACGTGCATCAGATCTTCTCCCAGCACTACAGAGCCACCATCGGGGTGGACTTCGCCCTGAAGGTGCTTCAGTGGGACACTGACACTGTGGTCCGTCTTCAGCTGTGGGATATTGCAGGTTTGTAAATCTTTAACAGCTCCATAAAGCTTATCCTAGTTAACAGGTTAAAGGAGCATCAGATGGTTTCTAAGGAAAGATCAGAGCAAAGATTGATCTGCTTGAGTTTGAGGATCTTTGGCATCATAATTATCCATTTGAAAATGTAAAGGCATCAAAACTGTTCGAGCTGCTTCTGGAAATAAACTCATGACATTAATCTGATCACACCTAGAAGCAAGCATGTGAACTTTATTAAAGTTGTTAGAGTTCTCACATGTCTTTCTTTCTTTCTTCTTTCGTTACCTCAAACTTAAAGAACAACAACAACAAAAAAACCAACTAGAAACAAAAACACCGAACAAAATAATACATATGTACACCAAACAAGTGTACCTGACAAAGATAGATTAACACAACATATGTATGTCAAAAATAAACAGTTTGAGAAGGAACAGAATGAAGCAAAAAGCTTATCTAGTCCTGCCCCTTCCTTGCAAATTAGAGATTAAAAAAAAGAAAAAATCTATTTGTAAAAGAATTTAACACTTTTCTCCTCTCAAAGCTTTTACACCGTGTAAACTAATAATTAAAACAATAGCAAACAGACAATTAAAGTGGGATAAGACAGGCACACGCAAACATCTATATCTTCTTATTGACTCCTTTGTATGTAACAGCAAATATATTTCATTTTACAAAACTGTATCAGGGCTAAAAAGATATAAAAGTGAAGTTTTAATAAATTTTTGGAAAGTGATTTTGCTAATGTGTGTCTGTCCGTTGGATGCCCTGTTCCTCCCTGTCATTTGAAGCCTGGTTGAGGAATGTGGATCTTGTGCCTGGCTGTGACTCAAGTAATCCCATGCTTATAATATAAGTCACATGGTAGCAGCTATTGCACAATACACACACACACACACATGCGCACACAAACCCACACTACCTATATATATGTCACTAATTAACCTTGCTGTGAGTTAATTTAATTTTACAGTCTTGAAAGGTGTCTTTATGTGAATACTCTGTGTGTGTGTGTGTGTGTGCGTGCGTGCGTGCGTGCGTGCGTGTGTGTGTGTGTGTGTGTGTGTGTGTGTGTGTGTGATGGCTGCCCGTGTGTCCCAGGACAGGAGCGATATGGGAACATGACTCGCGTTTACTACCGTGAGGCAGTGGGGGCGCTGATGGTGTTTGACGTGACGAGGGCCTCGACGTTTGACGCTGTGCTCAAGTGGAAAGACGACTTAGATTCAAAGGTGAAGCGTCTGAAGTTGATCCATCTACAACACACAAAGTTAAAGCTAATGTGGGTGTCGTAGTTGAAGAAAAGTTGTCTCTACTCTTGATATTGAATCGTCCACCTTAAGCCAAGAGGTCAAGACTGTGGAAAAAATCTAAGACTGATCTAAAGATTTAATTGAGAATTATTGACTGTGATGCCAAAAAAACAACCCCAACACACCATCACTCTCGTGTTTTCTTATCCATCTTGTCTGTAATTGTTTGAAAGTGTAAGACTCATTTACAGCTTTCAGAAGTCGGTGTGTGAAAGCTGTGTTTGAAGGTGCTGTCTCAACACCCACGCTAGTCTAAAAGAAGAATATAACAGCTGCTATATTAAAAGGCTGAGTCACAACAATCAGCGTCTGTGTTAATATGTTGTTTCCTGGAAGGCACGGGGTTGCACTGGGTTGAACAAATCACATAGTTGGTTGAAAGTGAATTAAAGTGACTCCACTTAAGTTGAAGTAGTACCTTATTATTTCACTGACATTAAGACTTGACATTAAAACTGATTTTTTTGTGTTCACTCCTTGTAACAATAGTCCTACAATGATCATGTAACTGGTCACAGGAGATCAACTTTTATGGAAATTGACAATCTAATACAAGTTCGTTTTGTTGGCTAAAAATTTTTGGTTTGTGTTGATTTTGGTGCCCCCTGTTGACAAACCAGTCTTTGCCTTCTGACAAAACATCATACCCTGCTGACTCCTGATAGTCAAATTCATCATTTATTAAGAACATTTTATGCGGAAAATGTGAAATTAAATCTCTGTTTCTTCAGCTGCTTGGCGACCCTCCCAAACAAAAGGCAATAAAAATTTTTAAATCAAGTTTGTCATTCTTGTCCCTAGATTGGATTAGATTTGATTAGATTAGATTAAATTTGATACTAGCTTATTTGTCTTCAAGGGAGTTCCCTCAAGGAAATCAAAAAATAGGCACCAATATGAATTTCCGTCTGTTACATAAGCGTCCAAAAACTTCGCACAGGAGATTTATGTTTGTGCAGAAATTTAAAGGAGGAGTTCTTAGCAAGTGATGAAACTACCTAACATTCATACAAATGTCTCCCTGTGATTTACAAAAGAAAACAAGACCAATAGTAACAAGATAAATTATTTACACAGAGTTAGTTTTAAGACTAACTCTGTCTTAAATATGTCTATTGAAGGATACAACAATTACAGCATTGTGGGATTTGTGTAGAAGAAAACAGTATTAGCGAGATAGACATTTTTAAAACAATTTTTAACTAGCTGTTAAATATTCCTACAGTAACATTTAACTAATGCTGAAAGACGTGGCGTAATATCACACCTTGTGCCTGTTTTTTTATCCCCCTCAGGTGACCCTGAACCATGGGAGACCAGTTCCAACTGTGCTATTGGCCAATAAGTCCGATCAGTTGGCTTATCAGACGCCCAAACTGGACTCCTTTTGCAGAGAGAACGGCTTTGTTGGCTGGTTTGAGACTTCGGCAAAGGTATGATAGCAGGGACGCTGGATTCTTAGATCACAACAGTGGAATAGATATCCAAAGTAAGTTAAACCAGAATTTGACACTGACTGAAAACTGCCACTCATTTAACAGTTTTGGTCCAGATAGGAGTCCCCTCCTCTGAATATAGCGTGTCCATAAAATCTGTGAAAACTAAAACTTACTGGAGAAAATGTGATTACTCAAATCACGGTTGTTGCTGTACTGAAAAAAAGTGTTGTTTACTGAGCACACAGGAGCTTTTTGGAGGAATGTCTACAGTCAGATGTGAAATAGTCTCCTGCTTATCCCTCACAGTCAGACCCCGTCTAATGAGTTACACACCAGAGTGAGATCCAGATTGAACTCAGCCGACTGGTCAGACGTAACAGGACAGAAATAACAGTTTCCCTTGTGTGTCAGAGTGAAACCTACAAGTTTTATCAAGACGGTTTAGTTTAAAAGTACGTTATTTTGATGATAATAAAACAAGGCTTTACATCTACAGAAGGAATAAACAGATAAATCGCACAGTCCTTCTCGATGCTTCAGTCTCATTTGTCTTGTTGTGACCTTAAACTGGTTGTAGGAACATTCGTCAGCTAAAGGCCTAATTATTCTCCTGTGATTGTACTTTTGGGATGTTCTATTCAACACAAAATAAATTTAAATGTGTTTTTTTGGTGACATTTAAAGGGATATTCTGGCGTGAATTCAAGTTACAGTCAAACACACCACTGAGTTAGACACCCCCTCGAGAGATGAATTTTGCCGACTGCTTGCTTCTCTAGTTATACCAACTTTAGTAACGACCACAGATAGCAAAACACAGTGGTCTATGTCTTCACGTGCAAACCTCAACCAAAACGCCACTCTATAGCCACAAATAATGCTCAGAACAGCACCTAACTTCATCAACAGTACATATAGGGTCCCAGCCATAGTACTAGCCACCAAACATCTTTTTAACTTCAACTGATTTCTTTAGCAGAGAGACTAAACACAACTCACCCACTCTCCTCCAGCAGCTGCTTGTTTGTTGTGGAGCCCTGATGAGGCGATCACAGAGTGCAGCAGAGTTTCGCAGCTCAAGGAAGAACATTTATGATCATTTACTTCATGGAAGTTTATTTCTGTGGTTGAGATTGAAATCTGGAACTCCCTACAGAATAATTAAAAGGGCAGCACAAACATATTTCAGTTCAAAACAAAGTATAATAACAAAATATGAACCCGACGAGTAGTGTTTTGTAATATGCATATGTTCATTTGGTTGTAATATTGTTTGTAAAGTTATAGGAAAATAACCTGAAGTGGACAGACCATCTTATATAATTGTTTATTTCTGTTTTGAGTGAGGGGCAGGTAAAATAAGCTTTGTCTCTACCAGCTCCCTTCCGGTCATGTGCTGTGCTACATTTGTTACGTGCCTTTTGTATGGAAATGCTTAAAAATGGCCATGGGCAGAACAAATAAAAAACGAAAACAAAATGCAATCAGACCGAGACGCTAAGGCAGAAGAACTACCATGTCTGCAGCGCAAAATGATTATTATGATGATTATTAGTTCAGGGAAATGATCCGCTGCACTCAGTGATCGACTCGTCAGGGCTCCCCCACAAACAAGCGGCTGCTGGAGGTCAGTGGGTGAGTTGTGGAGACGTAGACTGCTGTGTATTGCTATCATGTGGCCATTACTAAAGTTGGGGTAACTAGAGAAGCAAGCAGTTGTCAACATTTATCTCTCGAGTGGGTGTCTAACTTGCCGTTACAGTGTGTTTGACCATAACTTAATTTTACGCTGGAATATCGCTTTAAATACCTTCATGAAAGTCTAAGCGATGCTAGTCTAGATATTTCCCTCTTACCCACATATACTGGCCTCATGGCAGTACTGGATCTTCAGTCACACCAGTAGTTTTGGCAGCTAGAGTCACTGTGACTGTGTGTACAAAAACCCCTGCATTGCAGTCTATCTAAGAGTTCTGGAGTCACAACACCTCAGTCCAAACAAAGGTATTACATCTGCTGACTAATGCTTTAGTGTTTCCAAGACTTGTCGTACATCATCTCTTTACATTTGTCTTCATGTCTACTTGCTCTCAGGAAAACACAAACATCGAGGAGGCCGTCTGCTGCTTGGTCGAGCACATCCTGAACAACGAGGAGAGCCCGATAACAGAAAGAGATCCCGGCTCCCTCGTCTTATCCGGCTACACCAACACCAAGAAGAACCGTTTCAGTTGCTCGTCCTGTGTGAAATGGTGACTGAAAACCCGGAGGTGGACAGCTTTTCGACTCAGGGACTGTTTGTAAAATGCTGTTGTCGTGGTGATGTGTAAGGATATGAAACAGTTGGTTATAACGGTATGATGTGTTCACACTAAGATCACCACAACAGACCTGTAAGGCACAAAAAATAGATATTAGCATTAGAAGAGAATAATAAAATTCGACACATAGGTCATGATTATTTATGTTTATGAAAGTCTTTATAATGTTTCTGTTTATTTAAAAGAAAAATAGGATTTGAATTTGATCTGTTCTGACTGTATTTTTATATATTTTAGTTATGGGTTACAGTTTAAAGTAAAAAATACATATATTAAGGCTTGTTACTAAAAGACTGCTGTGCCATACAAACCATGCAGTCGTACTTTTCTCTTTAAAGTTATAAAGTTTGAATATTAAAAATAATAATAATAATAATAATAATAATAATAATAATAACTGCACAAATTTCTTACCTAAAATTCATGTAAGCTGCCTGTATGCGCTCACCTAGTTTAATGTAAAACAGTGTCATAGTGCTTGAGTCCAAACAACATGGGCATGTCCAACGAAGTATTTAAAAGACATGAAAATAAAAACAGCTGCAAATGCTCCAAATGTCTGCAGAGTCTGAATTTAATGCATTTTGTACACGACCGCTTCGTGTAATCTGTCCTTTCTTTGTCCACAAGGGGTGGCTTTATGTCAAATGAACCCTTTTCTGACACAGGAAGTGAACGGGCAACTGACTGAAATCCAAATGTGAAATATCTAGAATATGAAGATTTGATGGAAAGGGTGAAAACTATGTCTTGCTGATGGTTATCACAACCTTAGTTTTCCGCTCATGATGTGAGATGAATCCATTAATGTGTGTGTTCATAACTTAACTGGTAGTATGAGAAGACATTGTATTTCACAGCAGATCAGGATCTGATGCAACAGAAAATCAGTTCTTTTGTACAGTAAGAAAAAAGACATGAATCTTTCACAGTCAGAAATAAACAATAATCGGTCAAACTAAACATTTTGAATAACTGTGATGACCACAATCACAACTCCTTTTTTACATACACTATATAAAAAGGCACATAACCTTTTTTTTCTCACTATCTAACATTAAATCAGATTAAATACCACTAATACCACTTTGGAGGGTCAAATGCATGTGTGTGTACATGTGTTGTGTGACCTTTATGTACGTCCAATCTTGATTAGGGTGCGACCTGGAAGGCAGGGCCAATCAGAGGAGAGCGTCCGTTTTTACCCGACCCTTTAAGACCTCGACCAGCTCAGCATTCAAGGGCACGGCCTCGACAGGAACCTGCTCACCTCTGCGTGAGCCAATCTGTGTCTGATTCCTTACCACTTAAGTTAGACCCCTCTTTTTGTTGTGATCAGCACACGCTGGTCTCTTCTGATACATTTTTTTGCCTTACATTTTTTAACACCGTCACTTTCACTTCCTTTTTGTAATAAATTCCCAATACCATCTGGTTTTATGTTTCTTTTGTTCCCCTCACAAGCCCCGTTTTAACAATAGCTGTGATAGCTACCCTGACTCACTGTAAAACTACTGGATCTATTGTTGTTAAGGGGCGATTTTCCCGACCTTGAAATCAATTTCTAGCCAGTCAAAAAAAGACTGCATATGCTTCTCTTTTCAGCACACAGCCAACTGAGCAGCTGTCTTTGTTGAGTCCGCCCCAAGTGTTACTTGAAATTCCATGTTTTCAAATTAGGCACTTGCTTTATATTTTTCTTCACTCCCTTTGATGTGTAATAGCCTGGCAGTGTAATGCAACACATTTGTAACTGGATTCTCTATGGACCAGACCACATACTGTACATTAAAGTGTGATATGTGGCTGCGCATTATTTTTCATTCAGGATCTTTGCATAAATCGATAAAACGTTCACATCCTCACAGCTGGAAACAACCCTTTCAACAATAATAAAAAAAAGGGATACTTTTTAAAATGTTTTTTTTTTTAAGACGATTCAATATAGTTTTAAAAAGTTAATCAATTAGAGGTTCTTGGCTAGGTCAGGATATTGAAGGGGTATTCCAGCGTAAAATTAATTAAGGGTCAAACACAGAGTTAGACATCCCCTCCAGAGATGAATGTTGCCGACTGCTTGTTTCTCTAGTTAAACCAACTTTAGTAACGACCGCATGATAGCAATACACAGCGGTCTGAGGAGCCATAAACAAACCTCAACCAAAATGCCACTCTATAGCCACAAATAATGCTGAGAACAGCACCTAACTTCATCAACAGGACATATGGGGTCCCAGCCATAGTACTAGCCACCAAACATCTTTTTAGCTTTGCTTAATTTCTTTAGCAAAGAGACTAAACACAACTCACCTACTCTCTTCCAGCAGCCACTTGTTTAATATTAATACTAATAATACATTTTATTTATAATGCCCTTTACAGTTGTTAAAAGAAAGTTTGGTGGCTAGTACTATGGCTGGGATCCTATATGTACTGTTGATGAAGTTAGGTGCTGTTCTGAGCATTATTTGTGGCTATAGAGTGGTTTTTTCGTTGAGGTTTGTTTATGGCTCCCCAGACCGTTGTGTATTGCTATCATGTGGTCGTTTCTAAAGTTGGTACAACTAGAGAAGTAAGCGGTCGGCAACATTTATCTCTCGAGGGGGTGTCTAACTCGGTGTTACGGTGTGTTTCACCCTAAATTGCCTTACAATTAAACAGAAAAAAGGGGACATATATGACAGTTTATCACATATTTACTTATTTGCACATTCTTTGTAGTTAGCTGAAACAAGCTAGCTTTGTGACAAGTCGTATAACCAACAGTAACTGTGATATATTAATGCTTATTTGAATGAATAAAAGACATAACCAAGTGTTTTGAATCATCATTCTCATGTTAAAATGGCTTTTTACAAAACAGCTTTTCATGGTCAACTTACCCCGTATATGGGGTAAAACGCCAGGAGACCACTTCTTTTTGGCATGCTATATTATCAAGACAATTATGTTTACATTCTGTTGGTTTGCAGGGATGAACAACATCTTGATATATATGCAGATTCACTAGTTAGAGACAAAACTATGATTGCCTTGATGTAGTGATCCGAAATATGAAAAATGGCTCATCTTACCCAACCTCTACTGTGCATCACTTTATGGCTCAAAAATCTTGACCTGTCCACCTTTAATCTGTAAATAAAACACATTTTTTTCTCTCTCTATCATTATGAGACTGCAGGAATGACACCAAAACAACCCACAGATAAGACACACTGCTTTGGTTTTCCCATGGATGTTTCTCCTCATGTGTCAACGTTTCATTGGACAGCAGGTGAACAGGGGAAAGGTAGGACATGACTGTCTTAAACCCCCATCATGCATCAGGGTGATGAACCAGCTGATGCCTCCTCTTGCCCCAGAAAAACCCGGGGATGGCAGCCTTCTGCTTTAAGATGCCCTCCCCGGACTCGAGCAAAGTGGCCCAATCCCCCTTATTCTCTCTCTGTCACCTGATTCATGTTCTGCCATTTTACACACAAGTTTGATCGACCAAAGGGGGAAAAAAATCAGAATTAGCCTATCGCCAACCTCGACACAGAAATACAGCCTTTTATAAGCAGATTTAATGAGAGTGAGCGAGGAGGGGATGAAAAAACATCTGAGCAGCCAAGGTTAGATGCAGCCAGCGCGGGGTGCTGTGAGGATCAGAGAGACTGTGTTTGCTGTGTTTGGATCTTTACTCAGAGTCAGAGGAGAAACCGGCCGAAGAAGAAGGGAGGAAAAAAGAGGAAAAAAAGGGACAATGCTGTTTCATTTTTCTACCGCCTTGGAAAAAATGAATCATCGATCAGAGGAGGATGCTGCATAGATCTGTCCATGTTTGTGATTCCTCGTACTTTGGCAGTGTCTAATTCAGGGATTTATTAACTCTATAGTGTCTTCTCTTATTATTATTATTATTATCAATCTAAGCTGCTTTTTGATGCTCTAATTACTGAATCATCTCCTTCAGATTTTTCATTACGGGATTTTTTCGTCTTCTCGCAGCTGCTCCATCCGGATGCCTCCGCCTGAATATTAAATAGTCCCCCGGCTCGGACCGCTTTATGTTTCATTTGGCCGCCGCATGAATTCTCCCACCGGATTCTCGCCGGTGTACTCTGCTTTCCTCCTCCACCACCACCACCACCGCCACCAATACCTCCTCCTCCACCTCCTCCTCTTCCTCTTGCTCCTGCTCAGACGGCCGATTCTCTCAGAGGGCACTACCCTCCTCCTCCTCCTCTTCCTCCTCCACCACCACCACCACCACCTCCTCCTCCTCCTTCCAGCCGCTAAAGACATTTTGATCGTCCACCACCCCGGTTCCCCCCAACCGGACTCGGCCATCAGTCCACCTTCCTCCTCCTCTTCCTCCTCAGTAACATGTCGGGACAGTCTATTACGGACCGGATCGCCGCCGCGCAGCACAGCATGACCGGGTCTGCCATCAGCAAAGCCGTCTGCAAGGCCACGACGCATGAAGTCAGCGGACCCAAGAAGAAGCACCTTGACTGTAGGTTATGAACATACCATCACTGTTCCTCTATAGATAGCCTGCATGCATGCATCCTCATCCTCACAAAGGACAGCCTGTATAAACAGCATCTATTATGCTTCACCTCCTCCTCCTCCTCCTCCTCCTCTTCCTCTCTTATCCGGCCCCGGTTTATGTTTGCAGCCTCTTTAATTAGACACCATTACATTCCCTTAGATTAAAATGAGATTTACGCAGAGAAGCATACACTCTGCAGCGTATCCGGTTGGTAATGCAAGCGGTAAATCTTGATCCGAAGGCGATGGGGGCAGTCAGCCAGGTACTATCTATGCGCGTCATTCAAGGGAAATAGGCCACTCTGCTATAGGCTAATCATATTGCAACCATCCGTTTTTACAGTGTAGGCCTATCCATTATCAACGCCACTACCCATCCTCTGGAGACACTTGAGCACCGAGGGTGTTAGTGCACCACCGGCACCAATACTTCCTCCCTCATTCAAGTTCAGTGTCATGTCTTCTGGTGCATTATTATCATTAATGGATGTGTTACTGCTCCTGTCAGTCAGCCACACTGCTAAAAATAAGTAATTCATGCACAAAAATGCTGGTGTCAGAACAGCTGTGTCTATCTATCTGCAGCTAATTACCTGTGTATGTGCAAACTGCACCAATTACTGCATGTTCACGAGGAGGAAATAAGAGGAGCCCTCACATGTAGATTTTTAACAGTGATTATTAGGTTAAGTGGCTTTTCTGGCTTGCTACAGTTGCTTGACATGATCGATGGAGAGCACGGGTAATCAATGGTGCTGCCAGTCAGACACACAGGCAGTCAGGGAAGACAGACAGACACGGATCAGCGGGGGGTGGGGGTTGGAAAGACGGCTAATCAAGAGGAAATGTGGATAAATCAGTCTAAAGGGGAGGCAGGTTGCCAAACAGCGAGAGAGTCAGTCATCCAGCTACGCACCCAGCCAGCCAGACAGTCAGTCAGCCGGCAAGTTTGGCAGTGGATCAGTCAGTCATGTCCACAGCAGAGGTGACACTGGGAATTCTGGGCTCCCTCACAAGATGTGCCACCGAGTGCTGGGACACAATGCATCTAAATTAGGGTTTTACCACTTCGACCTACTAAAAAAAGACCAGAAATGCTGAAAAAAGAAGAAAAAAAAATCCAGTGGGTGTTAGAAAAGGTTAAGAAGCACTTTCTGACTCTTGGGCCTCTGTTTTTGAGCGACTACTGCGATTGTCTTACTGTAACTGCTTGTGAGGTTCATGTTTTACATTATTTTTCTCTGATATAGATTAAAAAGTTGGCCGCCGATGACTGTAATTACATTTTTTATTTATGAAGGAACCGAGCCAATCAATGAGTCCCAAGAAAGTATCATTAAAGGGGAAGAAATTACACAGTAGGACCGTCAGATGTGTGATATTCCCCTCTACAACCGAGGCCACAGCTCTGTCAGGGTGCAGCACCTCCGCAGTTATTAAATGGTAGAAGGTCGTCCACCTCTAGTGCGCGTGCCGTGGGCCGGAGTCTCTCAGAAACTTGTAAATGTCACGAATATTAACTGGGAGGGGTGGGGGTGAGAGCAGATACTCTGAAAATAGAACGGGAGCATTTACATGACAAATTTTCATCCGTCAAATGGATTATAAAGTAGGTTTGGAGGCACCGTGCCCAAGGACAATGATGTTTTTCTCAGAATAGGTCTGTATTTTTTCTGTTGGAGGAGGTTAAATGAGTCATTTTTGTGCTTTTATTTTGATGATCTTTTATAGAAAAGTGCTCAAATTTCCAGAGCACTCGATTCGCTCCCCTGGAAACATATTTTTTTTAGCTGTATGAGTTTTCAGTCAGCTGTGACAGTTAAAACATGTTCCTGACGTGTTAAAAGTCTCTCCCCTACATCCAGTGATATAACATACAATGTAGGCTTTAAAGGGATATAAGGCATAAAATTAATTTAAGGTCAAACACACAGTAACACAGAGTTAGACACCCCCTCGAGAGATGACTGTTGCCGACCGCTTGCTTCTCTAGTTATACCAACTTTAATAACAACCGCAGGATAGCAATACACAGCGGTCTGATGAGCCATAAACAAACCTCAACCAAAACGCCACTCTATAGCCACAAATAATGCTCAGAACAGCACCTAACTTCATCAACAGTACATATAGGGTCCCAGCCACAGTACTAGCCACCAAACATCTTTTTAACTTTACCTAATTTCTTTAGCAAAGAGACTAAACACAACTCACTGACTCTCTTCTAGCAGCCGCTTGTTTAAAGCAAGACCTCAGGCCAGTCAATTATGGACTGCTGTGGAGTTTCGCAGCTCAAGGAAGAACATTTGTGATCATTTCTTTATGGAAATACAATCAGACCGAGATGCTAAAACAAAAGAACAACCGTGAGTGCAAAATGATTAATATGATGATTATTACTTAAAGGACATGATAAAGAAATGATCATAAATGTTCTTTCTTGAGCTGCGTCACCCTGCTGCGTTCTGTAATGGACTTGCCCGAGGTCTCGCTACAAGCAAGCAGCTGCTGGAGGAGAGTAGGTGAGTTTTGTTTAGTCTCTTTGTTAAAGAAATTAGTCAAAGTTAAAAAGATGTTTGGTGGCTAGTGCTGGGGCTAGGACCCTATATGTACTGTTGATGAAGTTAGGTGCTGTTCTGAGCATCATTTGTGGCTATAGAGTGGCGTTTTGGTTAAGGTTTTCTCATGGCTCATCAGACCGCTGTGTATTGCTATCCTGCGGTCGTTACTAAAGTTGGTATGACTAGAGAAGCAAGCGGTCGGCAACATTCATCTAATTAATTTCACGCTGGAATATCCCTTTAATGGAGAAGTCAGGAGGTCAGGTTGATGTAGAAGTGAACACAGGATGCAAAGAGTGAATCAACAGCAGTGTTTTCAGTCAGCCGTACAAAGCTGTGGATCAATCTCAGGTCAGAGAGTTTGCATGTGTGTGGCCCTGACCCTCAAGAGTTTTCTCGTACAACTAAACTGGTTAAATAGGGTCATAAAAACTGACAGACTTGGTGTGCGTATTTCAGGATAACAAAGGTGTGTAAAAGCCCTCAGGAGGAATGAAACCAGGAAGTAGAACAAAATCAATGTGAGCAACAAAACAGGCTGAAAGGAGGAAAACATCGTGAAACAGAAGGTAGAGGGAAAGCAGAACCAGGGTTTAGTCAATTTAATATTAGGGTTACTTCAGATTTCTTCAAATACACTTGACTGGTTATAGATCCATCCTTGTGACTGTGCTCTAAATGTGACACACGGTGTAAATAAAAGGCCGGCTATTTATACTGTTCAGAGTTAGCCAACCAAAAGCTTATCTACATTTCCTTTTTATAGTGTTATGACCTTGACAGACTTGTTGGCGTTCTAAACACCCAATGCTGATTATTTACAACCCCACAGCGAATGACAAGCATGACAGTCGGAGTAATGGGATTTCACTTTCACTAGGCAATATGCAGCAGAGATGAGATGGCAGAGAGGAGATAGAAGCCAAATTCATCACATGAGAATAGTAATCAGGCCAAAAATGACCTTCTGCCCTGAAAGCACGGTCAGTTTATGATTTATTTGGCTCTGTGTCACGGCTGCGAAAATGTTTGTGCTGGCAACAGTTGTGATAATAGTTGAGGTAAGAAAAATCTGCTTCTTGGTGGTTACATTTTTGGCAAAATTAATGAGAATAATCAAAAAAATATAATGTCTCAAGTACAGACACATCAACTCCTACATGTTTGTCTGCTTATAAAACAGACGACCACTTAAAATACAATATCAGGTTATTCTAAAAAGCCAAGTTTTATGTGACTCCAGGGTGTTTTTATGAGAGTCACACATAACTATTTTCAAACCACCTGAATGAATTCAACGTTTGTCCAAGCTCTGATTTAACTGTTACTGATGCACATTACTCCCTATGTGGACTGCAGCCTATCAATAATCCGAGCTAGCAATCGTCTGTCAATACTTCATATCCTGTGGCTATCTACAGTGTCACACGTCAGTGATTAAATCCGAGGTGATATATTATCCCCCAAAGGAACACACAGAGGAGGATCCAGCATGGAGAGAGACACAGTTCAAGTATGAGTTTGGAGCTATTCTGAGCGAAAATATGAAACCACATCTTTAACCCTGTGCGCTATGACAGTGGTTTTACTTTTGACAGGAAATATTCATATCAGTTGGACTAAAAGCAGTTCCACTGATTATTGAGCCAAAAAGAAATAAACAAATATGACTGAATGCTCCGATTTCCTTTTATTGTGTTGATGTGAACGCCTCATATTTAACTGGGCAAAGGAACTTTCAAACAGAGAAACTCCTGATTCTAAGAACAGAATTAAAAGTGCTCATGTGAGGTAGGGCTGCACGACTCCGGTCAAAAATCCTGATCCTTTTCTCTGGAAACTCGATTTTAAATTTAGATTTTTAATTCAGTGATAACTTCACCAAACTTCACTGTAAAAAAAGAGTTTTTTCTCATCTCTCAAAACAAAACCACTGAAAAGGATGTAGTGCATATGCCAAGCCAGTAAGTGGCGCTGTAACGCTGGAGAGGAAATGCTTAAAAGACAAAAGAAGAGTACAGAGCATACGTATAGAGGTTGGCGGCATAAAAGAGTCACGCTGTGTGTCACATGATCATTTCCAGAGATGCAAATAGATCCGCACGAAGATGAAATGGTCGTCGTTAAGGATTTATGCTCTCTCTGATTCATTTTCAATAAGTACCGCTGTTTCCGTGTGGATAAAGAACGATACGACAAAAACTTTTACGTTTACCCCCTGAATTTGTTTCCGTGTGGACGGGTTGATACCGCCTTCAGACAGACTTTGCAGCGGGGAGTGGTTTGCTCTTCGTCTGAAACTGCGAAGCCGTACCAATTCCACTTGACTGACTGAGATTATCGCCTTCTTTTGCGAACGCCATGTTTGTTCCCACTGGTGTGTGGTGTGAGCTGGGGAGCGCTCCCGCAGGAAGGAAGAGCCTACGGTGGCCTGGAGGGACGAGACATGATAGAGAGGAAAAATCGATTTGAGGATTTAAAATTTTTTTATATCATCATGATCAAATAATGTGATTACAATTGAAAATCAATAAATCGTGCAGCCCTAGTGCGAGTTTAACAAGTACAGTCAGATTATATATGGCTATCCAGTTCATATAATCTTAAAATGGCGGTCTAAGTGAATTTTTTGATGGTATTTTTCCATTATATGCTTTTCTTCCTGTGCTAAAACAATTGTGCAGCAGTGATCGTCTGCAGTGATAATTTGAGGCAGGCTGAATACTGAGACGGTGAAAACTGGGCTATTATTGGCTGTGTTTTTGCAGCTTCAATTTTTCACAATCAAAAATAAAACATAAAATAAAGCTGAAGATCTGAGATGAAGTGCAGGAGCTCCGGGAGCCTTTGACATGCATTAAACATTTAACCGTGGAATCAGCTGGGACTCTTTGGTAGCCGGCGTTTCAGCGAATGTGGGAAACATCACAGAGCTTTGAAATAAACTCTGATAACCTCTGATCCTGAGCAACAACCAGACCAAGGATTTGCCTCAGAAATGATATTGCTTGAAGTTTTCTCGCCACGACTCGCACACAAAATCTCTCTCTCTCTCTCGCTCTCTGCCTGCGTGTCTTTGAATACAAGAACATTTCTTCCTCTCGCTCCCCTGGTGGTTTCAGTAACTGTGTCAGGGACTTTTCATTTAGTTTCTCTGCTTCTCTCTTCTGCTGCGTCTGTTAATTGTGTTTTAATCTCTTATGCTTTCCGGTCAAATTCAAAGTTAGCTGCTGCCCGTTTTATCTTTGAAGTGTGATTGACTCGTCTATCATCATATCGGATCATATTTAGGACTTATTGTTCTTGTTTTACAGCTGAATACTGAATACTAAATGTAGTTACTGTTTTTGGCTTGGTTCTACGTTACCGGACATATTTTCCTGTACTGTCTGGAGCATTACTAAAGACACTGGTAATTATTTTAGCATTTATATTTAAAGATAAGAGCAAAGCCATGTTTTGAGATGAAATGAGTCTTTTTTAATGAACCAATTTCATATTAATATGCAGAACTGTGGCTGTACGACGAACACAGAAAGGCAAGTTCCTGCTCTTTAAAGCTTACTTCTTAAGAGTCAGTAAATCTGAGATTTAACAGATGCTGAGCATACCTCACATTTTCATCTTAGACCAGAAAAATCCTCCAAGAATTTAGAGCATTGTTCCTAATCTGCCTTACTTTAAGGTTCAGTGTTCATGGCTCAAGGAGGAATCACCGATTGTGACCTATTTTCGATTTTTTTCCCAAATCATTGTATATATTTGTTGACTTTTAATGGTTATTTGACACACAGAAGATGAGCTCATGCCTGAGGACATCTGAGGACCAGTGTCAGTGGAGACACATCGGGGTCATCTCAGTTCAAGTCCATCAAGACTAACAATCAAGCTCTGTCAGAGTCTTTATTAAAGACCCACTCCAATGAAAATCATGTTTTTCTTGTTGTCTACATGCTCATATGACATTTTTCAATCAATCAAATGAATCAAATTCTATTTATATAGCGCCAATTCACAACAGTCGTCATCCCAAGACGCTTCCCAAAGAAAAAGAGCAGGTCTAGACCACGCTCGTTGTTTGATGAATTATCAAGACCCAACCTTAAGAAGGGATTTGGCCCATCTTATCTAACATGAGTGACAGTGGCAAGGAAAAATTCCTTTTAACAGGCAGAAACCTTAGGTAGGACCAGACTAATTCCAGACAGCCACCAGGCTGCTGCTGGGTTGGGGAGGAATACAGAGGGGGGAGAAAGAGAGAACAAGATAGAGGGAAGGGGAGAGAGATGCTACAGGACATATCATGAGAAAAATAAGTGTGAAATTGCATTTCTAAGTATTTCTTCATTCAAATCGCTGTGAATCTCTGGAAAAGCCAAACAGCAGGTTCAGACACAGTGAGATTTCCTATGTCACAAATCCAAGCTCCGCCCCCAGAGCCCCGCTATAATGTGTGCCAGACTCGGAGACGTAGAGAGGACAATTATGGAACAAGTGTGTGCGTTAGCGGATTGCAAAGATCGTAAGAAAGCAAATTATGATATTACCTTTTATCATGTCTGATAGCTGATTAGCTCCTATGTTACCTGCCACTTCTACTACACTGACAATGTTAGGCTACTGCAGGAGAAAAGCCATTTAATATGACACAGGTAACGCGATTTTGGCTAAAAAACATCATAATCACAATTTAAAGACCACTTATGACACTTAAAATCGTAGTAAAAAACAATCGAAGTGAGACTTGAACTGACAGTAACATCATTAACTCTTTTCACTGGTGATGAATTGAGGTGAGATATTGTTTGTGTGTTCAGTCTGGGAGGTTAACTCTGTTGAAACACAGCAGCTGTGGTTTTGATTCATCCATCTCTACAGTCTATTATTAAATAATCATTTGTTCATTGATTTGTGTGCTGATATTGAGCGAGCCGAAATTAATGCAACAGTCGATCCATGTCTGCATCCATCGTGGGTTTTTAACTCACTCGATTGATTTATAATAAATCAACTCGTAAACTGCCAAAGGCTATCAATTAACATTCTGTGTTGTTGTCGCAGGTACAGTAGCTGGAGTAAGGTTTAACTTTCAGGACTAACATCTTCAACCCTGACTCTTCTTTCTAAAATCTTTGTCGCTGATTGTTCGTCACTTTTTTTCACAGACCGCTTTGTTTGATTTTCTGTCTCTTCCAGACCTGATCCACTGCACCAATGAGCTGAACGTCAGCATCCCCCACCTGGCAGACACACTGCTGGAGCGCACGGCGAGCAACAGCTGGATAGTGGTTTTCAAAGCGCTCATCACCACACACCACCTCATGATGTACGGCAACGAGGTGAGCTGGCGCTAACGTATGGAGTCCAGAAAGGGCGAAGGTGGTTTCGTTTCTAAAATTTCCTGATTATGAAAAGTTTGTATTCTTGATCTCAATCTACAAGTTTGACTAAAAATTGGTCTTACAGTTATAATCACAATTTAAGAAATAATTCCTATCGAGACTGGTGCTCCTTAGTGCAGTTTTGACGAGAGAAAAAATAGAAATGGACTCAAAACGAACGTTGAACAATATCCGTCTAATCAACTGCTGCCCTCATAGCCTTTAATTAAGTGCTACCAGTCAGTGTAACTCGCTCTGATTACATTTTTTAATGCCGCAAAAGTTGTAAACTGCAGATTATCAGCTTTAGGAGGAATAAACTGGATTAGCGCTGGAGAGATTTGAAGGTTTTAGGTTAATTAGTTGACAGAAAACAAGTGCATAACAGTTTAGATAATCTATCAGCTGTTCAAGTCAGAAAAAAAATTGTCTATATATTGGAAATGCGACTCACAAGTCCGATAATGATTCTTGCTATACTATTATTATATGATTATATTAGTATTACTAGATAACAAGAACATTATCAACACTACCTAAAGCCTGAGGAAAGAAGAGAGACTTGGGGAAACTTGACCAATCTGACTTCTGGAGTTATTGGCGGTTTGTTGTAGTAATCCCTCTCCAACTCTTGAAGCGACTGTCTTTGAGGCTGGATCTTTCAGGTACCCAACAAGGACTGATGAAGTACATGACCGATATTTGGCTGTCCCACCTGGTGTGACAGATCAGCCCGCTACTCAGAGCCCACATGACAAGACCAACAACCAGAGCATCAGACATGTTAAATGATGAGGGTCTGAGAGATGCAGTGGAAGCGGATACTGATGCTCTGTTGGTATTCAAAATACACAGCTTTAAGTGACATGACAGGGACAGGATTTATCAGGTGCCTAGAAGATTGAAAAATGGTTTGATAGCTCATATTTTTATAAATCATTGTTCCAGATGAGCCAAACTTCTACAACTGGATTCAGCAACTGAATTGAACTTAAAACAGGCTGAAAATGTTCCGTCTAACCGTCACATAACAGCGACAAAATGGAGACACATAGCTGCTGTTTTTCGGCTTTCCTCTATTTGCTGATCTGTATTTTTTTTAACCAGCTAACTTCACCTATCCTGGAGAAAGCCAGTGTTTCATTTAAGACCCACTCCTAAGAAAATCATGTTTTTCTTGTTGTCTACATGTTCATATGACATTTTTCTGATGCTACAGGACATATCATGAGTAAAGTAAGCGAGAAATTGCATTTCTGAGTATTTCTTCATTTAAATTGCTGTGAACCTCTGGCAGACAAAAACAGCAGGCTCAGACAGCGTGAGATTACTTATGTCACAAATCCAAGCTCCGCCCCCAGAGCCCCGCTACAATGTAGGCCAGATTCAGAGAAGTAGAGAGGACGATCGCAGAACAAGCGTGTGCGTTAGCGGATTTCAATGCTCGTAAGAAAGCTAATTATGATATTAACTTTCATCATGTCCTTAAAGATATCAGTGTGTGAGAGCTGAATATATTACTTCTACTACACTGGCAATGTTAGGCTACAAGCTAGCGTGAAGAGGAGTGAGCAGAGCAGCGCTTTCTCCACCCACGACTCAGAGGTGAATTGCTAATGAGCTACTGGAGCTCTGCAGAAGAAAAGCCCTTAAAAATGACACAGGTAATGTGATTTTGGCTAAAAATGTCACAATCACAGTTTAAAGACCACTAAGAACACTTAGGGTAGTACAAAAAAAACAACACAACAGGACTTTAAGACCCAAATGGACGAGCTGAGCCTCTGAGAAACATGCAAATCTGCAAGTCCAAGTAAACAACCAATAATGAAAAAGCTTCATTTGTTAAGAGGACGAATTTTTTCAGTCTCCCATCCAGTTTCTACCGCTTGTTCCCGTTGGGGGTTGCGGGGGGGCTGGAGCCTATCCCAGCATCTCCAGGCTAAGGCAGAGGACACCCTGGACAAGTCACCAGTTCATCGCAGGGCTGACATATAGAGATGAACAACCGTCTTTACTCACATTCACACCTACAGGCAATTTGAAAGTGACCAATTAACCTAGCCCCACTTTTGCGTGTTTTGGGAATGTGGGAGGAAACTGGAGTACCCGGAGTAAACCCGCGCAGACACAGGTAGAACATGCAAACTCCACACAGAAACACTCTGACTCGGATTTGAACCTCGGACCTTCTTGTTGTGAGGCGACAATGCTAACCACTACACCACTGTCCCGCCCTCTTTCAGTCTCCCATGTTTGTCGAAGGATCAAGTTCTGGGTGGGACCAAAGTGGGACATCTATACTGTTTCTGCTTCGAACAGTTTTCTAAAACATTAATAAGAAAGCAAAAACTAAAGCTTAACTTTGCCGTGGTGTTGGATGATTTGACTCTGTCAGAAAACAGCATCAGATATGTAACCGACTCTGTCCTCTGTCCTTTTTTCCTTCAGAGATTGATGCAGTACCTTGCCTCCAGAAACACGCTCTTCAACCTCAACAACTTCCTAGATAAGGCTGCACTACAAGGTGATTGAATGCCATTTGGCTGTTTGTAAACTCAGCAGGGCCGTACATCTAACAAAATGACTTTATGTCGGGCTCTCCCGGGCGCTGTAACGATATCAATACGCCTGTTTGAAAAGAAAGCTGCAGTCCAGAGTTAAAACCCTGGAGACAAATGGATCTTTTGTTAGACACAGAAAGCTGCTGAATGTCGCTGAAAATGAAAAACATAATCACTGTGACTTTGTGTTTTCTCATATAAAGGTAAGGCGAAAACAAGAAAATTAAACCTAAGGGTAAGGGCCAACAGGGAAAGCAGAAGTTAGTCCGTTTCATATGAAAAGGATTACGGCCTCTTGAACAGATTTGTGAACCGAGCTCAGTGATCGGTCTTGAACTGCGGCGTTCTCTCTGTCCCCTCAGGTTACAACATGTCAACTTTCATCAGACGCTACAGCCGCTACCTGAATGAAAAAGCTATGTCGTACAGACTAGCAGCGGTGGACTTCACCAAGATGAAGCGAGGGTAACAAATTTAACACACTCTTAAAATACACACATAAGAAGAATGTTTGATAATGGAAAACAACAACTTAAGGTTTTTCCTTTTATAAGAAGATGAAGTAAATTTGGTGTTATTTTTCTGTTTTTTTCCTTAAGCCACAGTCCTGAAGTTCAGTCATTATCTGATTTTTTAGAGTGGGTATGGCTGAGCTGATGGTCCCGCTGCTGAAAACCTCAGCAATCTCAGAATCTTTTAGAAGGTGTTAATTTTTTAAAGTTGCATCCATCACCCAGCAGGGGTCGATCTGTTAAGACTGAGTAAGTAGGAGTCTATGCACTATTTATTGTGTCTGCAAAGTGAAAACAGAACAAGTTACGGCGGCTGAAACAAAGCCAACAAAGAAAATCAACAACTTAGAAGAAAAAAGAAGCGCTTTTGTACAAAGACAAGCTGTCTGAAACTACTTCAGTTTTCTAAAATCTGCTTAGTGCAAAGTTAGACCTGGGAGACTGATTGAGTGATTGAGTGCCCTCTATCACAAGTACGGTCAATTAAGGACAACAAGATTAGGTTCAGAAGTCTACAACGAGTTCAAAAGTACAAGAGGAGATCAAGAAACTGACCAAATTATGTCAAGCTATAAAATTAAATATTTTACTCCAACAACCAAAAGCAACTGGTACCACAACACAAGACAGTGTACCGATAAAAACCCTTCACATATTGAACAAAAGAAAGTCACTTATTTTACTTTGAAATTCGCCTTTTTAAACCTAGAAGAGGATACTTATTATTATTATTATTTATTTTTATTAATTTATTTTTTGTGAACAGAGTCTCACCCTTGTGTTGCTTATTCACACTAAAAGTTTATATCGTACGGTGGCCCTAAAGGTCACAGGCACAAATAATTCAGAAAGGGGATAAAAAACATTTTGTAAAACACAAAAACACTTCATTGAATAAAAAAGAAAGATTTAATTAAACATAAAAACGTTTTAAATGAATACAAATTATTTTTTAAAAAATAACTTAACAATAATTACAACAATAATAATAATATTGATATTGAATATCATATTAATAATAAATTTGTTTATGTATCACCTTTAAAAACAGATGTTTATAAAGAGCGTCAGCAGAAGCAAAAATGGTAAAGGCCAACAAAAGCTATAAACACAAAAAAATGGAAGCAGAAACATGTTGGGTAAATGCCGATAAATGTAAAAAAAAAAAAAAAAGAAATTTGTATTTCTGGAAATATTTTGATGTTTTTTTTATGGACCTGTGTTTCCAAAATGTTTTTGTGTTTTCAAAATATTTTGAGTTTGTATTATGTATTTTTTGTTAATTCTTTTTTTTTGTATAATTTTTTAAAATGTATATTTGTGCTATTGACCTTCAGGGCCACCGTAGAAATGGGGTTATTTGTACACACTCAGACACTGTCCCCTGTGTGTGTCGTTCATACTGTGTCCCTGTATTCTTGCTCGTTATCAGGGCTGATGGTGTGATGCGCACCATGAACACAGAGAAGCTGATAAAGACTCTGCCCACCATTCAGAACCAGCTGGATGCACTGCTGGATTTCCAGGTAAACATCTCACACCAAACTTCAGGAAAAAAAGGCCCAGTTCCTGTAAAATCTGACTCAGTCGACTATTTTCTTTCTCTGTCTTCACTTTAGCCGAACTCCAATGAGCTCACCAACGGAGTGATCAACACAGCCTTCATGTTGCTGTTTAAAGACTCCATACGGCTGTTTGCTGCCTACAACGAAGGGGTGATCAACATGCTGGGTAAGCTAATACACACAATACAGCAGATCCGAGTAAATCTCTTTTGAGTCCATTTAGTATTTATGCAGTAATCTGCCTTTTACAAGCCAGACTCCACTCAATCCTCGTTTATGGGGAAATCAATTTCCTCCTCCAACTGTCTCTCGAAGTCCAATTAAAGACTGTAAAGATCACCTTTTCTTCCATCAATTGTTGAGCCAGTGAGGATCCAGGAGCTGAGAGCAGACGGACTCTTTAGCGATGAGTTAATTAAAGGATTCATTACCTGATTGACCTGATCTGTGAGGGTTCAGCCATAGTCATAAAATAACCAGGCTTCCAGGTTGAATTTATTTCAGTCTGTGTTTGAACCAGACGTTCATGGAAAATCAGTACCAGACTATGAGATCTATGAGGCAGATTTTTGGATTGTATACTACGAAAGCATATTGCATTCACTTGCAAAAAAGAGCAAACAAAATTGCTGTTTTTACTGGCTAATTTTTTTCTTCTTTCTGTTTTTCTGACTTTTTTTTTCTTCTGTTTTGTTGGACGAACATTATTCTCCCCTCTTTCTGTTTTTCGGACAATTTCTTATTGTTTTTCATACTATTTTTTTCCGTCTTACTGTTTTTAGGACTATTTCGTTTTATTTTAAATTCGTCCAAAAAAAAAAGAAAAGACAAAAAATTAGTCCAAAAAAAAAAGAAATTAGAAATTAGTCAGAAAAACGGAAAAGAAAAAATTTGGCTGAAATAACAGAAAAAAAGAAAAAAATTAGTCCAAAAAAAACAGAAAAGAAAAAAAATTAGACCAAAAAAGAAAAGAATAAAAAAAACTAGTCAGAAGAACAGAAAAAAATTCTCTGAAAAACATTTTTTTTTCTTTTTTCCTTTTGATGAATGCAATAACCTTCTGTAGTATACTTGTTTTTGTGAAACGAAGCGCCAAGCTGTATCTCTCCCTCATTTGTGATTAAAAATGCTGACTGTCCTGGTCCACAGAGAAATACTTTGACATGAAGAAAAACCAGTGCAAAGAAGCTCTGGAGATCTACAAGAACTTCCTCAACAGGATGACCAAACTGTCCGAGTTTCTCAAAGTTGCAGAGGTAACGTCTGTTTGTCGTTAAAGAGCTAAACACGAGCAGGGAATATCTGTCTGGAGCGAATCTGGACGGGCACCTCTCTTGTTTGTTTCTGTGATAATTTCCTCCCACTTCTCTGAAGAATTTCTCTTCAATCCCTCTTTAACCTGTTGAGATTTGCTCCAGACGTCCGTAACCCTCAAGATCTGATTTACGGTTGATATTTTGTACCTCAAAACTAACCGTAGATCAGCATCCAGGGGCTTCTTCTCCTTAATCTTCCAAGTCTTTGTTTCTCGCCTCTAGATTTCTCCTGTTTCTGTCCTTCTCTTGCCCTGACCTGGGGAGGGGGTTACTCCAAGACAGTGATTAATGGCTGAGTCGTAGCCTATCAGAGAGCCACTCATGTAGAGCTTCTAGTTGAGGGACCCCTCGCGTGCTGCCTGTTCACATGCCTGCACTGCATGCCCAAGCAAGCTCTTTTTCTATCTCTGTCTCTTCTTTTTATTGTTTTATTTCCTGCCTTAACTTGAAAAAAAAAGAAAAATGGCTGTTATCCAAGAAGTAGTTGTAGTCCTTGCTAGGCTTCAAAGTGAATATAAACAGTTTTTATCCTCTGTAGACTTGGTAGCCTTCCCTTCGCGCGCGCCATCTTCAAAGGCTTTCTCTCTGCTTGGTTAAGTTCCCATTTGGAAGAAGGTTTGGGGTGCAGCCGCTCGATCCAAAGAAAAGAAAAAAAAAAAATAACAACAGACTAACGTTGACTTTAAGGACCCATTCATTTTCTCTGTCTAACAAAATGTGTGTTTGTCTGTTTGTGTGTCATCTGTGACCCTCCCCTGTCTTTCTGTTCAAAGTCAACATTAGTTGAGTGTCTTCCTTTTGGATGTTTCTTACCTCGCAGTCATGTGACCTGCTGTCTGCCCTCTCTGCCTTGCCTGTTTGATCAGTCAGTGTGCTCAGCATTCATTTCAAACCAGTCTCCAGATCTCAGTGTGTGTGTGTGTGTACTTTTTAGTGTGCGTGTGTGCACATGTACGGTGTAAATATATAGGTGTTTGTACGCATGCTCCCTCCTCCCCTCCTCCTCTGTTGTCTTTTATTTGTTTTCCTTCCAGCCACTGCATGAAGTAATGAATGCTTGGGTTTGATTCTTCTTTCTCCCTCCTCCTCCTCCTCCTCCTCCTCCTCTTCCTCCTCTTTCTTCTTCACATGCCTCTACCCTGTTTTCTTTTGTTTTTTACTTTGTTGGTTTACTCCTGGTTTTGTTATTACATTTGGTTTATGTTTATTTTGCCTCCCCTCCCCCTTCCCCCTTACCTCCCCCCTCCTTTTTGTGACACAGCGAGTTGGGATAGATCAGGGCGACAGCCCCGATCTCACACAGGTCAGTCCACATCTCATCTCAATCAGTCAATCAACCAGTCAGTCAACCACTTTATAAGTCCGTCAAGTCAATCCCATAATGCTTCATTCTAAACGCTCCCGTTCCCTACTCACCCTACAGACCTGCCGACACTGCAGCTGCCCCGTCCTGCTCCTCTCTTCTTCACACTCCTTAACTTCTTCACTTTTCTCTCCTTTTCCCTCTGAGCAGTTTAGAAGAGAAAGAAAACAATAAATGAAGATGTGCATAAAGCTTTGAACTTCCCTTTTTCAAAATTTTACATCATTAGTGCAGGAGTTTCACATTTTTGTCATCTAAATTATTAAAAAAACAAAATTTCACTCATAGGTTAGAGCTTTAACGCCGCTTATTTATCCTTCCTCCTGTGTTAGCCTTTACTACGCACCCACTATGTCAAGGGTCGGGTTTGACCCGTGTCTTAAATCAGCTGTAAATTACACTAAAAACAATTCTCTATCATCCAATTAGGTTCTCTTACCTTGTTAGGCTTCTTTAACGAATCCTTTTAATGAACGGATTCTAAAGATTCAGTACAGTCAAAAGAACTGCTCTTCCCATCACTAACCAATATTGAATTGATCTCACATGTCTGGACATGCCTGATGTTGTTTTTTGTGCAGGGAAATATATGACAAAATGAGAATTTCCTAAATCTCGCATGATGGGAAGAGGATCTGACTGTCAGTGTGGTGCCTGGCATTACACATATGATTTTAGTTTTTGCTCCAATTATTAGATAATAATCTAACCAGCTCAACAGCGACCCTAACACGATCATTTTAATAGGAGCATTTTATAATTTAGTCCATTTAATTTTTTATTTTCATTTTGTTGAAACAGAGGTTCCTGACAAAGTCAAAAAGTCTTGATTTAAGTGGTTCTTTTAAGCATTTAAAACCAAAAACGGGTCTGTGCAGACCCTAACACAGGAGGAGGGTTAAAAAGTTTTTAAACTCTTTTACATATATATATATACATATATATATATTTAAGTATTTTTTATTTTGGATGTCATCAGAAATCTTTTTGGAAATTTTTAGCAGTTTTTGAGAGCAACCATAAAGGATTGTTTCATCATATGAAAGCGTATCTTAAAAAAACACAAGTCCAGCACAGCTCTGTGAAATAGGTTTTTGTCCACATACGCAGTGTTCGAACCCATTTTCTAAAAAAAGACCATGTCCCTTTGCATTAGCTGTGGGGAGAGCAGCGAATGGTTTATGAAGTAGGTTTTCTGCAAATATGACTTGGATAGGAGTACATAATGCCATCATAAGTACTGCACATCCAGCTAAAGACCGTAAATAATACAGCTCACCCTTTTCAGTGGACACTCGATTGGACGTTTACAAAGTGATGATTCAGGTACCAAACTGAAAAGAGCTGAAACTTGTCAATGAACCCTCACGTTTGTAGTGCTTATGAAGACCTTATATGCCCTTATTCAACCACATAATGACCCATGCCTTTACTGAGCTCTAGATATGTGTCTGTTTTACTTTTAAACTTTTAGCATATTCTAGATTTCTCTGAAGAAGGATATCCAGAATTCGCATTTTACTCTCTTTCCCCCCTTGAAATAAGTATCTGAGAAATCTTTTCTTTGCTTGTTGTGTTTGCCTCGTGTGTGTTTTGGTGCGGAAATGTAAGGCTCCAGATGAAAACCGTGGTATCACATGTGGTCCAAACGAACCCATCCATCCTTTTTTTGTTTGACAATTTCGAGTGCTGGCTAGCTGCTCAATGTGTATACCTGGTTTTTCACCGGATAGTTACATTTCAGTGAGTTAACTTCCTTGGCTTCCTAAAAAAAAACAGCTGCTGTCTAAATTCTTCACTCAATCGGTTGTTAAAAAGTAAATTTTCCTTTAAACCTAACAGGGAATCCACGAGTTAACTCTCAGTTTTTTAGGCTGTGATTTTCTTTAAGGTGTGTAAGTGTGTGTGTTAGTGAGAGCGTTTGTGCACCGCTGGCCCCTGCATGGGTTTGTTTCGATGGATCAGAGATGTGATTGTTGTGTTTTTTTACTCTGGAGCCCTGCAGCGACGATTCTCTGCTTCTTCCTGACCTGTTTCGTCCTTTTCGTGGACTCGTTTGCATGTTACAAGGCTGATGATGTGTGCATGCTGGTCAACCAAACCTGATGAAACCAAATGCTTAAAAAAAAATAATAAAACAAGAGCTGTGGTAGAGTAGACGATGGATCTGAGGATGATGTCTTAATTCTGCTGCTGCTTTGTGGTTGTGTGGATGTGGCGTGAGTGTGAGAGAAATGAGAAGGTGAGATGATGATGATGATGGTGATGGGAGGGAGAGAAAGCGGTGTGTCCCTTTTTGTTATCCTGGCTGTGGTTCTAATGTTACCCCATCAACCTCCCCCGACCCCCATTGACCCCCTTCCTCAGGCTCCCAGCTCTCTCCTGGAGGCTCTGGAGCAGCATTTAGCCTCTCTGGATGGCAGGAAGCTGAAGGACCTGTCCACCGCCAGCAGGTACGTGAGGAGGCTAGTCAGATCCTATGAAACTGCTGCTTATAGTAGTAGGAGTACCCAGCATTACTACCATTACCACAAACACGATCCCAGTGCCATGACCCCAGTGTCCCCTCTTTAGCTACATGGCACGTGGATGTAGGGATGGGAGTCGAGAACCGGTTCTAAATGGTTCAATCCATCGACAACATTTACATTTTATCTTAACGATTCCTTTCTTCTGGATGCCTTGATAAACGGTCTCGCAAGTGCTAGTCTACACAAACGGGAACAGGGCCAGAGAAAAAACATGGTGGATGGTTGAAAAGTAGGCAGAATTGATCTAAAGCATGGCTTAATTTTACTAAGAAAGACGACAACAGTACGACGTTCGTCGAGCAGTGATAACATGCAAAGGTGGAAACAAACAGCAATGCGCTTAAACATTTGTCAACGGGGCACAGCATCAAATATAAGGAGTCACATTTATTCGATACTCTCTGCCGGTTATCAGCCGCTGCTGCTCCATCTCAGCACAGCATGGAAGGTACATATGATAGGGTGACCATACGTCCTCTTTTACCTAGACATGTCCTCTTTTGGGGGGCTGTCGAGGGGGGGGGTTCATTCATTGTAAAACAGTGCAGAGCATCAGTCCTCTCTGCAGCTCTGCCCCTCCGCTCACTTCTAAGCAAAGCCACTGACGCGACGTACGCATGCACTGTCTTCAGGAATTCAGAATGACATGCGTTTAACTGACTTAGAAGTGCATAAAAACACTCGACCCGACTAAAAAAACCCTCAAAATTTCACGCACAAGTCCGCCCTCTTTTTGGGGATTCAGAATATGGTCACCCTAACGAATGTCCTGTGTTAACATAAGCACAATGCATGCTAGACTTAATAATATATTTCGTATTTGACTTAATACCAACCAAAGTAAACGCTGTACAAATAGTTTGTTATTTGATTATTTTTGGACTCTCACTGAAGGTGGCATACATCTTTTTCTGTTATCAGAGACTCAATAAAATTAAGATTTAATGGTGAAGAATAGTCTACTTTTTTTTAAATCAAAGAAATCTAAATCTATATACAGTCTATATTTTCCTCCGAAAACTGAAAATGCACTTTTGAGCTGTTTTTGGCCAAAGATTTTTGGTGGCCGAATTTTTGGTGCATCTCTAGTAGGTTTCTATTGTTAAATGGAAGTTTAGAGGAGATGAAAACACGATTATGAAAGTCATCAAAATTCATCCTGTTTGTATTTTATATTATAAAACAAATCACAAACACAAATTCTGTTCAAAACTACAAATATCAATCTTAAGGCAGACTGGATGTTGTTAAAGAGAAACTGAATCTCCTTTCTTAACATCAGCCTGAACATTTTGGTAACACTTAATTAACTACCAGAAGGATCACCATGAAGTTTGGTACAAATTTGAACTATTTTGTTCTTAGCAGTCATGTTTTGTAAAAGGATTACAACTCAGCAAAAAGAGCACAGACAAAATATAGTGTGTGGCGATTGTGTGTTTTTTTTTTGTAAAGCTCTGGTAAAGTATGTTTGTGTGTGTTTTTGTTTCTCACCTTTAGATCCAGCACTTTGTCCAGCGCAGTGTCCTCTCTCTCCAGCACAGGGATCTCTCTTAGCCGCATGGAAGACAAGACAGATGACAACAGACTGCAGCAACACAAGGCGAGACATATTCAAGCTGAAAATAAAAAAAAACACAACAATACTGCGCTGAAAGAAACCACACTTTCATTGCATGTACCTTTTCACAAAATAACTGGCTTTGCTTTAATGTGAGGAAAGCACAAAATCCCTTTAGCTTCTGTGAACTGTGAACAAAAGCTGTAAGTCAAGTTTTTTTGTCCTCCGCACTGTTGTTTAAGTCGAACGGACAAATGCATTAATCCTGCAATACAGTGAAATACACAGCCTCTGTCTCTAGCTGCCGGCCCGTAGCTTACAGAGCTGCACAGAGAATGAAAATGAAGTCACAATCTTCAGACACTCTGCAGTGGATTTCTCATTCAAATGAATTAGCATTAGAGCTCTTTTTTTTTCTCTGTGTGCATGAAGAGGGTTAACCCATCCAGCCTACTTTGTCTCCAAAACAGACATGCAGATTAGTACTCATAAAATAATCATTTTTAAAGATTTATTTGTCCTTATCTAAAAAAAATCTGTTGCGTTGCAGATGTCATTGATATAAAGAATGAACAGTATTGGACCAATCACTGATCCTTGCAGTACGCCACATTTAATCTTTCTCAGCGGTGACATAGTATCATTAATTTGTACACACTGGTGTCTATTACCTAAATAACTTTCAGCCAAGAATGAACAACCCCCCATATTCCATAAATCTCTAATTTCTCCAATAACTGTCTGTGATCTATGGTGTCTCTAAAACAACTTCAGCCCTGATCATTAAAAAATAATGAATAGAAAATTCGATGTATTACCCTTTTCATGCCAGTTTTTGTGCACCATGTCACTGCTATTTTTGATGGTAAAAAAAAAAACAAAATCGCCATATTTCCCATATAAAATGATGTAGATGATTTTTTTTTTTTGATAAATAGAGTGGGTTAAGATTACATGCTGGCTGAATCTGTTGTATCACTGTCGGAAAGTATAATTTAGAGCCCTGGTGATCGAGTGACAGCAAAAAGAAGGTTGCAATATGATGTTATGGTGTTTTTAATGGAAGTCTAGTGTCCGATTTGCGGGCAAAGTAGGGTGGATGGAGCTAAGTTGCGGCGATGGAGAACTACAGGTGACACAGAATTTTTTTTTTAGTTTTTTTTTTTTAAGGTATATGAAGAAAAATAAGAACTCTCACCAAATTTGATGCCCCAATCTGTAGAAATGTGACTGATAGCTCAAAATAAAGATGAAAAAAATGACAAATGTCCTTTAAAATCATTAAAACGATGTAAAAATCCTAATAAACAATCTGCTTTCAATGCAGGAGGACAGTCATAAGGTGATAGACATTCAGACACCCAATGCATCCCCCAGCACCCAGTCAGTGGGCAGTGCCAACAGCAGCGGAGGGGCGACAGATCTCTTCTCCAACTCGCCAATCGTACCTGTCAACAACCAGTGAGTCAAAAATCTGCATCTTAGAAAATGCAAAGAGACACTCACCGAATCTCACAGTATGTTTTTTCTATTGTTTTCTGTTTGGTCTGCAAACTGCAAGCCTCCAGTTTTATGGTTTCATTTTTATGTCTGCTCCCCGGCTCTCCAACAAGAGCTCTTTTGTGCGGCTGTCGTTATAAATTAAATTTGCTGTACGGTAATTTCCTGCTTACATAAAAATGAAATGAGTAACAAAATCTCCTCTTGGTTTTTCCATCCTGCAGTGTGCCAAACCTGACCAGTGAGCTGTTCACCCTGCAGCCTAACTTCACCCCCATCCAGACCACACACACTGTGCCCAACAATAACAATGCCTGGGGGGGTAAGCCTGCACATACGCACACACACATACACACAAACATGTAATTATGCAAACATACAATGAAGCATGCAAATGAATGCCCATACACACATGATCTCTCACACACACGCACGCACATGTGAGAGCTGGATACGCTGTGACAGTTATTCCTGATACTTCATGCTCTTGACTCATTCCCCCCCCTCTTTTCTCATTTTTGTTACCATGGTAACCTCTGGATGTAAGGTGACCTGCTAAAGCCAGCCCCACCTACTCAGATTCACAGTCCTGGAGCCCATTTGCACTCTGGGAAAATGCTGCCCAACGACTTGGACTCTTCGTTAGCCAACCTGGTTGGCAGTGAGTATCCATTATCTCTGCATCAGTATTCACTCGTTCATCATCTCTCTGTCTTTCCTGTTTGTTTCCTTCTTTTCAGTTTAATTCCTTTTCTTTTCCTTCTTCTTCTTCTTCTCTCAGACCTTCAGTTTGGAGGGACGCCAGCGAAAAAGTAAGTGTCTTCGCCTCAAGCCAATGACTCAGCTGTCTACCCAGTTTGATCACTGTTCACACAATCTCATGAATCATTATTTATTTTCCATTTCCGCATAATCTGTCCTGTGCATGTAAATGATGTGTGTGTCTGTGTGTGTCTGTGTGTGTCTGTGCATCAGGCCGGAGCTTCAGTGGAGTCAGCTTGTAGAAAAGAAGCCCACAGGAGGAAGTGGCTGGCAATCAAAGACTATGTGCACCAGCACCAACTGGACTCACACCACCCATCCCATGGCACCTGCACCAATGCCCGTCCCGCAGATGGTAACTTGAAAGCCGCATTTATGCAATCACCGGTTTTTGGGTCAGGGTTACACATGGTGCACATGTAGACACACAGTCCTCTTAAACACTGATGTTGACCTCGGCTGATGTGTCAGTGATGTAGAGCAGGGTGCGATTCATCGATGTGTCGATGCATCATGATGCCTCACATGATGATTCGGCATCGATTTATTAACGTTGATGCTTAAAATAAACAAATAATAACGTTGATCCTTTGCCGCAAGGCCAGAACAAAAAAACATGGAACCAGAACCTTAACGCACGCACCGCCCAGACTGTTTAGTGAGCGGGACCACAACAAACAGATCACCTCAGTCTTCAGCGGCCTCCAAAGAGCGGCCGATTCTCTCGCCACCGGGGTTGACTGCAACCGTGTGGAAGTACTTTGAATTTTATGACAGAGCAAACAAGATGACTGACAAGACCTACGCAAGATTTCGGAAATAAAGTACCTCAGCAACACAACAAACATGAGGTATTACCTCGTAAGCTTTCATCCCGTAACAGAGAAGGCTCCTCCGGTCGTGTCCGCCGCGCAGAGAACCATACTGGAGACTGTCTCCGAACTTCCCTCCAAACATTATTTATTTATTGAGTGTAGGTTTTAAAGGAACTGAGTTAACTGATAGGCTATTTATTGAAGACAAAATCAATTTTGTATAAAAAAAGCTTTAAAAATGGGAATGATTGAAGAATCATAGCACCAATAATCAAAACTGAATCGTGAGGTACCGTTGTTGGAACACCCCCAAAGTGTCGTGTAAAATTATCTCTGTTTGTCTGAATCTGGAAAGAGAAATTAATCCTGCTAAGCTGTTTACTAACCCTCCGCTAAACTCTCGTGCTTCATCTGCTTTTCTAAGACACATATTCCAGTTGAGCTGTATTTGTGTCTGATGAATGTTTCTAAACCCAGATGATGCAGGTACATCCCACATGTCTAGGTCAGAAAGTACCAAATTTATAATAATACCACTGTGAGGAGACTTTGACTGGATTTGAAATGCACAGTGATGGCTCTTTATAAACCTACAGTTGCAAACAAGACCTTCAATGAGCCACCAATGACAGAAATTTTAATGCTTGTAACTGCTGAGGCACCTTAAGAAGCAGCCTCACTGTTCCTTTTCCAAGACAGACATCTACAGCAGCTGCGTTTACATGGGCACAAATAATCGGAATAAAGACACGATCAGAATAAAAATGCGTCATGTAAACATGTCGATCAGAGGAATCCGATCCAATTTAGCAAGATTTGCGGTCGTTACTTAAGTTTATATAACTACAGCAGCAAGTGGTCGGCAACATTCATCTCTTCAGGAGGTGTCTAACTTGGTGTTAGGGTGTGTTTGTCCCGAAATTGTTACGCTGGAATATCCCTTTAACTTTAAACATTATATGCTACAACACCACTGGACTAATCTGGCTCAAATCTTTTGAATGTGGTTTTGTGTACAGATTTAGTGCCCCCCGTTATTTAGTCAGCAAGGTCAGTGTCAGATATCTGTCTCTGAAAATTAGCTGATCAAGAGTGTCTTAACTTCCTGCTGCATTCAGGGCTTTTCAAGGAGCTCCAAAGTATCGCTTCTGCCCTTTGTGCCCTTCTCTAATTACCTACACGTCTCTTCCATTCAATCTGGTTTCATCGTTTAATTTTCAGCTGATTGACCTCTTAACTCAAACCACTCATTTATGCAGCAAATGGCTCGGAAAGCTGATGGCACAGCCTGAATAGAAATGATTAGAGCTTGAGGAATGGTCAAAGAGAATTTTTATCTTCTCTGCACATTTGAAGAAAGAGATTCAAGAATAGCTTTAATTGTTGTAATTTTCTACCTCTCCACAGAATGGGATGATCTATACTGGCTATGTAAGTACCTTTATTCACTCTGCGTCATCAGATCTCACCTTGACAACCTCTTTTCACTAACTGACTTTTTAGATCTGATTTTATCCTGATATTACAAATTCTTGGCAAACTTGTTTTGTTGATCTTACATGAATTAAAGGAAAGAGAAAATAGCCTTTATGGGTTTTTGGCTGCTGGTTAACTATCTCACTGCAGCTGTTTGGTGTTGAACCTCTTTAATTCAGAGTCTTCATGAAATTTTAAAGAGAAAGCACACAGAAGGTAGGCACACACACACCAGTGAAGCTTGGTACAAAAGCCACAGACAAGTCTACAGGCTACGATAAATGCAAAATAGTGAGATATAACTGATATATGAGTGGATAAAACAACGCAACGCAAAAAGGTGAGTTACAATGTCAGTGCGTCACTGTTTGAGTCGACACACTTTCATAGCCCTCAGTGCATTTCTCAGATCAAAACAAAAGTCTTTTTTTTAAAAGTCCAAGATTTCTTTGAAGTCAGACTTATCTGGATGAATTTTTAGACCTCTGTTTAGTGCTCTGTTGAGTTCCTCTCTTCATTCACAGGCTCCAGCACCAGTGGCTTTTCCTATGACGACACCTCAAGTGCCTGTTTATGGAATGGTAAGACTCCGCGCCTTCTTGTCGAGACTTTCATTTATATTGCTGTTTAAGACTCCACGTCACATTTCCCTCTCTCTCTGTTTCATCACTGGTGTTCACCTGCGCTCACCTGTCCCTGAACAGCTCCCTCCTCAGATGGGTCATCAAATGGGGGGTGTTCCCATGATGCCCCCGCAGCCTGTCATGTACAACCAGCCTGTCCTGAGACCCACCAATCCCTTTGGACCCATCCCGGGGACGCAGGTAATACACCACCGGGCTCTCTAAACCAAGGATATGAAATCCATTTATGACACAGTTTCACACAGACTTATATTAAAGGGATATTCCAGCGTAAATTTAAGTTATGGTCAAACACATCGTAGAACCGAGTTCGACACCCTCTCGAGAGATTAATTTTGCCAACCGCTTACTTCTCTAGTTATACCAACTTAAGCAACAACCACATGATAGCAATTCACAGCGGTCTACGTCTCCACGCTCAAACCACAACCAAAACGCCACTCTATAGCCACAAATAAAGCTCAGAACAGCACCTAACTTCATCAACAGTACATAAAGGGTTCCAGCCATATTACTAGCCACCAAACATCTTTTTAGCTTTGTCTGATTTCTTTAGCAAAGAGACTAAACACAACTCACCTACTCTCCTCCAGCAGCTGCTAGTTTGTGGGGGAGCCCTGTTGAGTTGATCACCGAGTGCAGCGGAGTTTCGCAGCTCAAGGAAGAACATAATTCTGTACACAAAACCACATTCAAAAGATTTGAGCAAGAATAGTCCATTAGTGTTGTAGCATGTTTAAAGTTAAAGGGATATTCTGGTGTAGATTTAAGTTATGGTCAAACACACCGAAACACCGAGTTAGACACCCCCTCGAGAGATATAGCAAAGAGACCGAACACAACTTACCCACCCTTCTCCAGCAGCCGCTTGTTTGTAGGGGAGCTCTTAGAGTAGGCGAGTTGTGTTTAGTCTCTTTGCTAAAGAAATTAGGCAAAGCTAAAAAGATGTTTGATGGCTAGTTTTGATTGAGGTTTGCACGATGTAGACCGCTGTGTATTGCTATTGTGTGGTCGTTACTAAAGTTGGTATAACTAGGGAAGCAAACAGTCGCCAACATTCATTGACCATAACTTGAATTTACGCTGGAATATCCCTTTAAGACAAAATGAGATGGCGGGAACTGTATTAAATTCCTGAGTAAATATTGGGCCACTTTTATGAAAATACTCTGCAAAGTTTTGCTCGTAATAAGACAGCCTAACAACTGTATTTATGCTTTGTGTCTTTTGAAATGGCTGATAAATTCATTGAGAGCTGCTTTTAACTCTCCGTTGAAGTAACATTCAAACTGTGGACCCTTTAAGAAACAGGATGAATCATGTCAGACAATTTCAAAATTGGCTGACAAGCCTGGAAAAAGCTGTTTTTCACAGCAAGTAATCATCAGTTGGCCCGGCTACAAGACTATCAGGGGAACAAATAAGAGTATTTTGACCAATTATTCCAAACATAACAGAGTGATGTAACTGCTTACTGAGCTCTCATGCTTACTGAGAAGCTGTTTTCCTAGCACTGCGACAGGTAATTTGCTTGTCAATAGATGCCTGAGCACTTGATGAGGTGTTTTGTTGAACTTAATCACTCTCCATTCTCTCTCCCCTCCATCCTCTGCAGATGCACTTCATGTAGGGATGATGTGGTAACCATGGCAGCAAAGCCGCGAAAGGAAAGATAGAGGAAGAGAAAGAAAACAAATCCAGAACCAAATCCAGTGCCGGAGAAAGAAAAAGGACAGAGAGGAAAAAGGGAGGGGAGAGGAAAAAGGAGAGAGGACCAGAGGAGGGATGAAAGAAGAAATGCTGATGTCTATTTCCATGTCACCTCACCCTCTTATCTCCTCTCCTCTCTCCGTGTGGCTCCTGATCTCTCAGTCTCAGAAACTGTAACGCCGGGGCACAAGAGGCTCCGCGCTCCACTCATCTTCGGTTTGATTTGCCAACTCAAATGGCGTTTACGACATGTGATGATGATACGAAGGCTGACAGCTCAACGGTAGTGCAGATTCTCACTCCTGACCTCATCCTGATGATTCCCTGTATTAAAAAACTCCCCCCCCCCCACCCGCCTTCCTCTCCATCCCACGACTGATTCAAACTCGGGAGAACACGCGTCTCTTTCTCTGATTGGATTGTTTGCTGGCACTTTACTCAATGTGAACTTTGCCAAGGGTGTGTCTGTGCAGGTGATTTTAGCATCTTGTTCAGGTTGGTACACCTAGCGTGTCATCTATCACCTGATGTCTTTGATTTGACCGAGTGTGTGTGTGTATACGGTGCGTACGGTGTGTGTGTGTGTGTTGGTTCCTTTTTCTACATTTCAACATGCTACATCAACATTACTGTCTGAGTCTTTTTATGAGCTCTCTGTTCTTAAATGCCAACTGTACATCATGAGCCTGGCGTGGTGTGATTGTTTGCGTGTCGGTGCGTGTTGATGGATGTGGCTGCGTCGAGTATGTCTTGTATATGTCTCTTCTTTGGTACCTGATGTCATCACTGTGTTGCCAGGTACCAATGTGTTACTGCACTGGAAATAACTGATGAAAGCACTGAGCCAGACCCAGGCATCACATTTGGATGTAACCAAACCTCTTATGCTTACTTTGCTATGGCGATGTGTTGTAAACACTATTCTTATTTTATTTTTTTTCGCTCCTCAACAGCTGTGCAATATCATGCAATGTCATTAATGTTTTGTTTTTCCATCCGTGCGTAGGCTGTTTAGAAGCTGTTTCCTGCTGTAGTAATGTATTAATCGTGTGTCCACATCAGGTTTCTGTACAGAATGCTGTTTTTTATTTTCAACCGGTTTTATCTCCTGTTTTGTTTGTTGTACTTCTACTGCTCTAAAAGTAGTGAAAAATGCACTGAGAGCCAGATAGAGAGGCGACCAAAACGGTCAAGCTTCAACTTAAATGATGTCCTCCCAATCTTGGGCTTTGGTCCTGTCCTAAAATAGTCTCCAACGACGTCCTTCAAGCTCCAGAAAAACCTGTATAAGGCTCATTACTACAGAGTATGTCTCACCTCTGCTTGGAGGACTTAAGACGTAGCTGACAAAGAGAGGAGTTTGTTAATGTAGTGTTAATATAGCGGTAAGAACAGCTAAAGGTCAGGAGGAGGAGCCAAACAAGGACCAGACCGTTGGGAAGCAACGGAGGACAGTTTCTGTGGATCGTTCCCCGGGTAAAGCCCGCAGTGATAACTTACAGATTAATTCAGACAAGTAGAAACTGGAGATTTAAATGAGATGTTAATATTAATGTGGCTTTCCTGACAGATCTAAGGTCAGGTTAGACCCACAGACAGTCAGACATTATATCTAAATATATAGCACAACCCTTAAAGAGAGGACAACGCTCTGCTGCACAAAAACTTTAAATCATTGCTGGGATGTACAGTCGAAAGGGGCAATAATCGATTGGGGATGAAGTCGTTTTTTTATTGATTGTCTGTTCTATGTACATGTACTGTATGTGTGTTTGTGTGCACATGCCTTCCCATAGAGATAAACAGGGTCATGTTCCTCAGTTAGAGATCGAGGTCTCTAGTGAGCTGGTAGCATGTACTAACATAGCAGTGAGTGCTATTGTGATCTTGTCTCAGTCTGTACAACCCAACATCAAATTAAGGTGGCTCCAGGATCACTCATCTGCTGAAAAACGCAAAAACTAAAAGCCCCAAGACATCGGACCTGGAATCTCAACCGGAACCCGAGGCCAATTTCTCCAGAGAACCGGAGCTGCACATCCTGGAGATGACAAATTCAGACAAATTTCAATCCTGCCATGTCACATCGGTATGATTCATCCTCGAACTGTAACTGCTAGCTACGCAAAACCGACCTCCCTGCAGCTACAACTCCACTACCAGCAGAGCAAGACTACACTCTTTAGAAATCGTCACCAAGTAGCGCAGATATCCTGAGGTTTCCACTAAGATTCCAGATGACATTTGGATATCCTTTCTGGAAAGTTTGTCCGTCCACTCTCCCCAGTTACTCGTCATTCTGGTGGTTCGTCTTTCTCCATCAGCTGAATGCTCTTCTCATCGTGCACTTCACTCACACAACGCAGCTCGATCCATCCTGGGCCAACCTCTGACTGTTACTGTGTCCTCTGTATATAGGTAATGCCGTTCATGTGTTTTTAGACGTGCTCTCTCTGTAAAGTGATCGAAGCCCCATTGGAAGACGTACTGTATGTGGGACAATTTATTGCTGTATCTGTGTTTGAATGGTTGTACTTTGAAGGTGTCATCATCCAGGGACGGGTGGGTGGGTTGGTTTGATGTTTGTAATGTTTGTGTCCACCTGGAGGAGGAAGTGGGTGGGATTTGGGAGGGGGAGGGGGGGGCTAAGGGTAACTCTCACAACTGGTCTATACCAAGAGTGTCTTCATCGAGGAAGTGGACAGGACAGGGTCTGTCCTCTTCGAAACAGGAACATTTTTTTGCACCAAAGTCATCATCAAAGCGCAGCTTCTTCTTATTCAAGGTCACTATGGATGGATGATATCAGAACCCGGAAAGATTTTTGTTATTTTTTTTGTTACGAGACAAAAAAACTGTCTTTTTTTGCATGATTAAGTGTTGTCTTTTTATTGGCTTGTGTGCCCGGTAAAAGCATGACCATTGTGTGAACTCTCACTTACCGGTGTGTTTGGAAAATGTTGAGGAAATTTCTCCATGAGATTTTTTACTTACCTCTTGACATGAACGTTCATTGACATTCATAATCAACTGTTTTACAATGTAGGATTTGTAACTGTTTGAAGGCCGCCTCGCATGCAGAGATGCAACTTGCAAGTAACCCATCAAACTTCAAACTCAGTTACTAGAACTGCATCTTTGTAAAACACCATGGATGTCAATGCCAGTTATCACCTAGCTAGCTAGACATTGCAGTCTTGTAAAATCGCTCTTTATTAAAGCGTTGCTATTTTCAATACATGTGTTTGAATGCTTGCTCCTTTTTCATACTATGCCAGCAGCATCATGGGAGGTTGTGATTGGAAGTCAAAGTACTGTAATAAGTGTTTGGTCTGGTCCATATGGTGTGGTGTTTTTAATGTGTTTGTCCAGTCTTGTCCTGTCTGTCACCATATACCCAACTTATTTCCCAGTCATCCTTTAACCCACAGACTGGTTCCCCCCAAGTCAGACCTGGAAAAAGCTTCAACTTTAATTTAAGGCAGTATGGCAAAAAAGCCAGCTAACCCTTCTGCTTAAGTAGTGCAGGTGGTTACGACGTCCATCAAAGTTGAGTATCCAAGTATCACAGTCTCTGTATCCTATCTCATCGACCCACCTTTTCCCCTTTTCCCATGCTTAATAAATGTAAGGGAGCTTGAAAGTGAGCTATCATTTGCAGTACTGAATGAAAGGTTGGATTTTCTAAAAATATCCTCTGATGACTGAAATTTGGGCAAACCAAATTAAGCAGTTGAATCCATCAGACCTTTTTGTTGTCTCCATCAAGTCGAATAAAAGGCTGAGAGAGATTCAAAGATGTTTCCTGTCAGAGTATTAAAATAAATACACACCTCAAAAAATAATCAAGGAATTCATTTTTACGAAGGCTGACCTTGTACAAAAGTGGATTAGGGCCACAAGAAGAGAAAAAAAATAATAACAGGAGGAGATTTTTTTAATTTCCATTTTGAGATTGAAGTCGAAATGAAAAAAAAAAAATCAACATTTTAACTTCAATCTCAATATTAAGATATTAAAGTTGAAATTTGAGATTAAAGAAAAGAGAAGTAACATGAATAGAGTTGAAATTTTGACTTTAATCTCAAAATTTAATTTTGTTTAAATCTCAGCATTTCGAAATTATTCACATTTTGTGATCTCGAAATTTTGACTTTTATCTTGAAATTTTAACGTTTAATGTTGACATTTCAACTTTATTGCCATAGTTTAAAATTTTTTAATCCTGAAATTTCGAAGTAAATGTCGAAATGTTGAGATTTAAAAAAAACAAAATGACACGAATAAAGTTGAAATTTTGACTTTAATCCCAAAATCTAATTTTTTTAAATGTTAGAATTTTGAAATTATATACATCTTGTTATCTCTAAATTTCGACTTGAATCTGTAATTTTCATATTTTTTCTTTAATGTTGACATTTCGACTGGGACATGATTTTGATTTTTTAACCTCGTAATTTTGACTTTAATCTCCTTCCTGTAATCTTCCTTTTTTCTATTCATGTCGCACTTCTTCTCTTTCGTAACCTTGTGACACTTCAGGTTTTCGGTTTGGTTTCTGATAGCAGAAAGTCTCTAGCTTACATTGAACAAACATCGTAGTTGTTTTTGAAATCTAAATGTTCCTTTGATTTGTTGAGTTGATGTAAACTTCTACCTGCACTCAAACTTCACCTCAAGAAATACTCACCACGGAGGATGTTCATACTCTTGTCTTTTTCAAATGGAAGCCTCAAGACCTTTATTCACTCACTTGAGAGCCTGCAGATACTCAACAGGGATCCCGACAAAGTAGACCTCTTTATCGCTGAAGCTACCACCGCCAGTGGACTAACCTAGCGATCAGAAACCAGACATTCACTTTTAACCAGGGCAGAAACCACTTTTCTATTTTGGTATGCTAGTGAAAGGTGCATGATGTCTGTCAGGCTCCAGCCTTTTTGTCTAGCATACATGGGCCTCATTGTTTTACCTCAGTATACCCTGAGTATCGTCTGCATTTAGTAAAACCATTTAGTACTTAAGTGTCCATTTGTAAACTGTTCATTGTCGTTGAGGGCATGAAACCCAGCAGTGTCCATCAAACAGTCTTGTTAGCAGGGAGTGAGGCTCCATACCTTCAGATTTCTTATTTTTGTTTATTTTTTCTTTTGTAAATCAAATTGATTATCAACAGATTTCAAATGTTATGAATTTGTTTTATTTGAAAAGCATAGGTTGATGTTTTTGGAAGAAACGGAATAAAACGTCATCTACTGCTGAGTTCTTGTAGTACTTTGGTGAGTTCTCCACACACACAGCGGACACGATGTCAGTTGAAATTCATTTATTGATAATTAAACATTTTAATGAACAAAAGGACAAAATGTCATTTAAAACAAAATGTAATATTTGTTTTTCATTGTCATTCAAACAAGTTGAATGTGGCATCAAAAATCGTCGTTTGAGGGTCAGGGGGGGAGTCGAGCGTTGAACCAGCAACCGATCCTGAGCCAGGTTATTCAACTCTGAAATGAAGGGCCTACCGATGTGCTCTTAAGCAAGGCACTTAACCCCAAAGTGGCCCCCGAGGGCACATTAACAAAAACTAAAACAACCCATCCTAGCTAAATGTCCCATTTCCAGCTCTGGCTGTGACTGCCTGGTACTCTTGAATGACGGGCTGTTAGGTACTGGAGGTACTAACAACATCATGACTGCTTCAGAGAGGAGGGTTCAGATTTAGACTAAAAGATGTCTCCATCTTGTGTTTGTGAGCAGGAATGTATGAGCGGGATAACTTGGAGGGGGAAAAACGGGGGGGATAAAATCAGGCAAAAGGTCAAGAAAAAAAAAAAGAAAAGACGGACGAATCCATTTGCAAAAATATTGAAATCCTGATCAGAATATTCCAACGAGAGGTAAGGAACAGGATGTATGGACACAGGTTTATCTGTGTGAATGTTTGAGTGTGTGTTTGTTTGTACGCATGTTTCGGGGAGGGGCAGGAGTGTGTGGTCTGAGTGTTTACCTTAGTAGGGGGACACCCCATCGTCCACAGCATTTTCAGGCCTAACGCTGCTGTTTTCCCCATCCCACGCTAGAGCTGCGTGTGGCGTACGTCCAGGGCAAGGGCTCAGTTTGGCTCCCTCCCACTCTAGCTGTAATAATCAGCAAGAGGAAGAAGGTGGCTGGAGCAGCAGCAACAACAAGGCATGCAACTAACAGTTCACATGGAAGAAGGTGGAATAATGCAGAAATTTAGAGAGGCTGTGTGTCACTACCAACTCAAGTGGAGAAGAAGAAGAAGAAGAAATAAGATGAGTAACTAGTGTGTGTGTGTGTGGTACAATCACGGACCAACAGATAGTACAAGTTATATAAAGTACAGGTAAGACCAGGTGTGTATTTGGATTAGATGTAAGAGTGGTGTTGTCATGATGTTGTGTGAATGCAGAGAAAGCCAAACTGTCAAATTTAGGTGTGTGTGTGTGTGTGTGTGTGTTTCTGGTGAGATAGGGGGAAAAGGAAAGGTCGTGGGCCTTCTTACTGCTGCTCAGGAACCTCAGTGGCCTTTGCTGGATTCTAAACAACCTTTATATGTTCACCTGCAGCACCAAGACTGTCACCTCACACCCACACCACGCGTCAACGGCCCTCCAAACATCAGCGGCGCATTATTTCCAAAGAAAAATACACATACCTGAGGCTCGACTCAAACCGTGAATCACTGTTCATGTTTCACTTCCTAAACCTGCACCACAAAACATCAGCCGTCTTCCACTTTGCGGCGTTCTACATTCGCCCACCAAGTACGATGCTTATCCTGTCAGTCAACGCCACACAAACAGACCACCTCTTATCCTCCAGACATCCCATCCGTCCTGTTTCGTCTCCTCGAGTCACTTTCTCAGACAGCTGGAAGAGAAATACAATCACTTCATCTTAGCTTTGACAGTCGCTATTTTTTACTCGTGTGACCAAATTTTGGCGAGATTATTTCCTCATTTAAAAATCTGATTTCAAGTATTTACACAAGTAGCAATTTTCAGTATGAAAACGAGCCGATCGTATCCTTTTAATACCAGTCAGAGCAAAGATGAGACCGGACAGAAAGTGACAGAATTAACCGTATATTAAAGTAGCGAATACACCCACGTTGTTGAACATCATCTAGATTTGATGCGCTGAACCGAAAACAACACTTCAGTCAAAAAGAAGACAAACTTCAGTTCAATAACCGGAACTTGACGAGAGATATTTCCTCTCAGAAAAAAGGGAAACTCCTGAAACTGAAGTAGAAAGTGAAAAACTACAAAATGACCTCGAAGGCTCTGTTCGAAAGCTCTACGGGCGAACACAGATCTTTGGCAGGGTGACATTTTTTTCTGAGATTAGAAACTTTTAGGTCAAATCTCTTCACAAACATCGAAGTCACTTATTTTTATTTCTTCCAAAATGCTCCGACATCAACTCAAAAATTTAACCCTGCTGCTTAAACGCACGCTTGGGTATTAAACTGATCTCTACTTGAAGTATAAATAGTTGAAGCTGTCAGCTCAGTGACACACACTCACAAGCCAGGAAACAACGACGGCTTCAACCTGGTTTAGCTGCAGATCTGCTTTACAAAGTATGACCCATGAGGACAGATAAAGAGGCTGAATCCAAAAAGAAGGGTGATCCTGGTCCAACACCACTGAGTGGGTCTGGATGTTTATTCTCTAGCATTTATGAATAACAGAGACATGTCCTCCTATACAGACCTGAGTCAAAGCAGGGTAAGATCAACGAAAGGCCGGCAGTTCTATGTATTCAGGATGTTTTTATGTAAAATGAAAAAAAAAAGAGCGGGGATGTAGCGTTCCTGGTTCTTCACTGGTTTAACTTTAACATTCAACAAGGACCAAGCTGTTACAGATGTCCCCAACTTCAGCCTATGTGTCCAAAGACCCGGTTCACCTTTAAACGACCACTCAACTCAACAGCCAACAGCCGACATGAGAGTTGGTTGGAGACTCCGTTACGATCGAGAAAGAGAAGCTTCACGTTTGAAAGCGTTATCAATTTACAACCTCGCTCCCTGTTCGATTTTCCTCTTAGACTGTCCCTTTTGTAAATACACACGCACGCACGCGCATACACACACACGCACGCACACTCACACGCATCTGCAGTGTGAAAGAAGTGTTGGGGGGTGGGGTGGGACTATCGATAAGGAGGTTCTGGCGTGTGGTAAGGATAATCATGGCGCTGGGGCATGGGTTGCCCGTGTGCGGGTGTCTGCTCATACGGTGTGGATGCGGAGTAGCTTCCTGCTGCTGCATAAGCTCCCGATGAATCATATGCTCCGGCTGCCCCGTAGCCTCCGGATGTGTCGTAGCTTCCTGACGAGGCGTCGTAGTTCCCGGAAGACGTGTTGTAGCTCCCGGATGAGGTGTCGTACCCTCCCGAAGCGTCGTACGTCCCCGGCGGTGGTGCATAAGAGCCTGATGGGGCATAGGTTGGGGGTGCAGAGTATGTCCCAGGGGGCGGTGGGGCTGTGGTGGAGGCCTGTGGCTGTGTGCTGGCGGGCTGGGGAGGAGGAGGTGGGGGCGGAGGGGGCGGGTTGGTGTAGGCATACTGGAGGTACTGGTACTGTTGCTGGTACTGTTGATACTGCTGATACTGATGCATTTGCTGGTAGTATTCTGAGTAAGACCTGCAGTGGAGATCACAGAGAAAAAGAAAAGAAGAAGCGAATGTTAGTCTGACCATCGAATTTATACTGGAGTGTAATTACCATGATCAAGACATGAAACTTTGAGCTGCCAACCTTCTTACTCTCATCTCTAACTTCTGTGAACGTTAAAGGGATATTCCGGCGTAAAATTAAGTTAGGGTTAAAGAAATTGTAAAACCGAATTAAGACACCCCCTCCACAGATGAATGTTGGTGACTGCTTGCTTCTCTAGTTATACCAACTTAAGTGACGACCGCATGATAGAAATACACAGCGGTCTACGTCTCCATGAGCAAACCTCAACCAAAACGCCACTCTATAGCCACAAGCAGCCGCTTGTTTGTAGCAAGACCTTGGGCAAGTCCATCGACTGCAGCGGGGTGACGCAGCTCAAGGAAGAACATTTATGATCATTTCTTTATCATTTCCTTGAAGTAATAATCGCCATATTAATCATTTTGCACTGCAGACGCTGTAGTTATTCTGACTTAGCTTCTCGGTCTGACTGCATTTTTCTGAGGAAATGATCATAAATGTTCTTCCTTGAGCTGTAAAACTCCGCTCTGCCTCTCCTTGTCGATACAATCGATGGACTCGCCCAAGGTCTCCGTACAAACAAGCTGCTGCTGGAAGAGAGTGGGTGAGTTGTGTTAAGTCTCTTTGCTAAAGAAATTAGTCAAAGCTAAAAAGATGTTTGATGGCTAGTACTATGGCTGGGACCCTATATGTACTGTTGATGAAGTTAGGTGCTGTTCTGAGCATTATTTGTGGCTACAGAGTGGTGTTTTGTTTGAGGTTTGTGCATGGTTCTGTGTATTGCTATCGTGTGGTTGTCACTCAAGTTGGTATAACTAGAGAAGAAAGCAGTCGGCAACATTCATCTCTTGATGGGGTGTCTAACTTGGTGCTACGGAGTGTTTTACTCTAACTTAATTATACACTGGAATATCCCTTTAAGGACCATAAATATTTGAATTAGCTCCTTCTTATCCCAGAGTATGATGAGTTCCAGATCTACAAGGCCTAAGGATGAGAAGATAAACCGATATGTATCGATACACGGTCACGTGGGTGAGAGATGTGGGTGCACCGGTTGAGCAGTTGAGAGTGAATGCAGTTTTGAACGCATATCGAGACGCATCGTTATTATATGTTTGTATCGATACAATCTGATCCGTTTAATACATCACTTATCTTTTTACTGCACCAAACCATAATTTCTTCAGACTCGCAGATGTACACTACAAAGTATCAGCACAGCAGATGCACTCTATGTGCAGGGATATTTATTAGCGATGAGCAGGATCGCGAGGAGTGAGGTAAACAAATATGTCGACCCTGAGCAAATTTACCCTCCTCCGAGTTGTAAATCTAAAGTTTGGCAACACTACGAGTTTTACAAGAAAGACGGACGACTTGACAAGAAAGATTTCCTAAAGGTACCACGCTGCTGTGAAATACACTGGCAGTACGACTAACCTGATAACTCGGTGCCACGGTGTTGTCGTGGAGGGGTTCTGCTAGCACCTCCGCCTCCCCTGCTTCCAGTTCGGCTTCGCCGGCAGCTCCAAAAGTGGTGAGCAAAGTATCGCAAGTTTCTTCCATGCACCGCTTGCTAATAACTCCACGCGCTCAGTGGTGATAACAGATGCTAAAGCATTCTTCATATGGAAAGATATTCAGAAGGTTTCAAACAGCTCCTTCATGTCCTGGAGCCTCGTTGTAAAATACTTTCCAGATACATAAATCTGGAAAGTTGCGAATATAACCTTTTTTTTTTTATTGACCTGGACCACACAGTTGATTCTCTTTTATTTTTTTGAGAAAATCCAAAGAGCGACAGTCATCAGAGCTTCCTTCTATAGATGAAACGTCAAACCTGACACCCTGTTCCTAACAAGTGAGAGTCAACTTCAGCCTACAGGGTCCTACATGCTTCAACATGGTGATCAACCGTCCCAGAAACCCCTCACCCAACTCAAAGCCATCAGCTGATCATATAGTAAAAATGTAGCGGGTACCTCGCTACAGGATCTGACCCTTCAGGTGTTGTAGTTGCGGCTGCAGACTCTTCAGGCCCTCCTGGCGGCGTGGGCAGTAGGGCGCGGCGTTTAGGTCGTATCTGAGCAAAAGAACTTGGAACTGGGTCAGGTAGGAGGGGAGCTCGGTTTCCTCTGATTGGGCTGCGATCCCGCTCGCTTTCCGTAGGGGCTGCTGCCTTCTTCCCGGCCTGCTGCTCTGCCAAAACCTGTACGTGGAAAATGCGCCATAAAATATTTGAGAACAAATGTAGATTCAAATAAATAATAACAATAATAAAAAGGATTTTTACGGACCTTCTGTCCTTCCTGAAAGAACTTGGCTCTTGCTGCTTCAAAAAGAGTCGTTGGGTCTGGGGTTGTCTGTGGTTCTACTTCTTCGGGGGCGGTACCAGGTCCAGGGTTGTGATTGGCTATATCGTGGTAGACCTGATCAGCAACAGATCCGTACACTTGGCTGGCGAGAGCGCCATAGATCACTCCATCGGCACCTTTCGAGCTTGTTATACCCTTCAGAGCAGCATAGGTGGGATCGAAGGATGTGGTGTTGTAGAAAGAGTTATGAACGCTCTGTTGGACCTACAAAAATAATGAGACAGAGACAGTTTACACATTTTCTATACATTCAAACCTGACTTATACAAACACACACACACGCCTTTTAAGTCTGAGGGTGTCTTAAAATATGGTGCGTAAATATGAGAATATCTTGTGATATATAGCAGTTTGATTCTGAACTCTAACTCTGCCCTGCTCATTCCTGTGTTGGTGGAGGACTGTTGGCCTTCTAGCTCCCCTGATATATAGGCCTAATCCTTCACTGGTCCAGTTTCTCCCATCAGTATTATTTATCATTATAAATTATTTCCTCATCCACAGCCTTTTTCATCTTCTTCCTCTTCTAGCTGGTGCATTTTGAGCAGCCACTTGCAAAATACAAAGACGCCTAGGATGCCAGTTTATCCATTTTGTGCTTCAGTAAAAACATAGCACTGCAAGAGGACGGTTTCTTTGGAAGGGGATTCACTCCTATAAAGATATGTCATCCATCATGACTGTAAAAACTGAAATATATATGCTCCTGGTGTTCCACAGGGTTTGATTTTGTTAACAGCATGTCACTGTTTTCTTAAAATGGATGGTTTTATTCAAATGAGGGAGAGGAGAAGAACAAAGCAACACTCCTGCCCTGCCATGTATCCAAAATGCTTTGTCTATCGAAGCGTTTATATATATACATATATATATACATATACATATATATACATATACATATATATACATATATATATATATACATATATATATACATATACATATATATATATATACATATATATACATATATACATATATATACATATATATATATACATATATATATATATATACATATATATACATATATACATATATATACATATATATATATACATATATATATATATATACATATATATACATATATATATATATATGTATGTATATGTTTATATATATATATATTTATATTTATTTATATATATATATGTATATATATATATATATATGTATATATATCTGTGTATATATATATGTATATATATATACATACATATATATACATATATATACATATATATGTATATACTTATATATATATACATATGTATACATATATACATACATATGTATACATATATATACATATATACATATATATACATACATATGTATACATATATATACATATATATACATATATATAAATAAATATTAATATATATATATATATAAACATATACATACATATATATACACATATATATAAACTTATACATATATACATATACATACATATATATAAACATATACTTATACATATATACATACACACATATATAAACTTATACATATATACATACACATATTCCCCCCCCAATGAAATGATAAAATATGTGTAAAATAAAATATGTGTATATACATATATGTATATACATATATGTGTATATACATGTGTATATACATATATACATATACATATATACATATACATACATATATATAAACATATACTTATACATATATACATACACACATATATAAACTTATACATATATACATATACATATATACATATACATACATATATATAAACATATACTTATACATATATACATACACACATATATAAACTTATACATATATACATACACATATTCCCCCCCCAATGAAATGATAAAATAGTGTAGCTCCATGATGACTTTCAAAAAAGCTTTAAAATATAAAATAATTAGGGACTATAATTTAGAGTAATAGATATTTTATTTTTTTATTATTTTTCATTAATTTTTTTTCTGTTTGCTGATATTCTAGGATATCTTATAGTTTGTTTAAGACAGGTATAAATATGCCTTTGGGCTTCAGCCTGCTCCTTTTTTGATTAAATGATTGTGTGAAATCAGAGAGAACATAGATAATATTTTGTTTTGTATTTTGTTTTTGGTAGTTCTAGATTCAAACAAATTGTAATGGTTTGTCATCATAACGTAATGTATAACCAAAATACATTTCATTCATTTAACTTCAAATGTCACTGTAATTAATGTTCAGGAAGCTATTTCTCAAGTGATAAACTTAGAATACTGTTATACTGTATTTCATAACCATGAAGTTAAGTAAAACTGGATAATTCTGACCATTTCTAAATTGTTTCACATAGATTTCAGAGGTGGCAGGTGATAACAATTTTTAAAATCTGTGTCCAAACAAGAATATAAATCTTGAGGGTTTCTAATAAATCCACTTACTTGTATGGGCAGTCCGGCCGCAGCGGCTGCTGCAGCTGCAAGAACAGCTGCTTGACTCTGGTGATGCTCTAGTGATGGGTGTGGTCGAGGAAGAAGCCCTTCCCTGCCGCCTGCAGGGACAAATAATATAATTATAGATGGTGAACATGAACCGTTTTTAGCATTTCACTTGAAGAAATTACTGCTGGGATATCTTTCATTACCGCTTGATACAATCTGGTTGATCAAAGGCTGAGCTTTGGACAGCTCCACAGCCAACTGACGGCCCTTGTACATGGTCCCATTGAGAGCCTCAATAGCTGCCATGGCCTCCTCCTTCCTCTCCATGTGTACAAACGCATAGCCAACGTTTGAGCATAATCTGGCTGCAAGTGAACAGGAGGTAGAGACAGCAGCATTAGCATGAAACATTAATACCAAAATAGTAACTCACTCTTAAGCATTACCAACTATGGAAACCCATTAGACCGAGTAACTTCCAAGAAGGGTTTGGTACTTTTTATTTACTGTATTTAAGCATAAAAAGCTAATCTTATGCTTTTGATGTAATCCATAAATCAGACCTTTTAACATAATTCCTGCATTTTATCCTGTTAAACCACACAATTATTACAGAGAGGCTGGTGGAAAGCGCTCCTACTTACCTTTGACTTTATCACAGTCAAGAACTCTTCCAAAGGTGGAGAAAAGCCCGTGCAGGTCATCTGCTGAACATGTTGCGCTGAGATTCCCTACAAACACTTTCGTGGAGTTGGGCGGGCGTGCTCGCGACTCCTCAACTACCAGGGGCCTTCCTCTGTACTCTTTACCATCAAGATGCCGTATGGCCCTGTGAAAATAGGAGCAAAATTTAATTTTTTTAACGTCTATGATAAAAAAAGTAATAAGTGTCCAGTTTATGAACATCTCTAATATTTTGTTTGATTGAACTATATCATTTTTAACATTTGTTTTTCTATTTCACTAACAGTATGTTCATTTGTTCTACATCTATATAGAGTAAAAGAAAAGGACACCATGCATTTGTTTATACAAAAGTATAATGACAGATTAGAATAAAGAAGTTTTAGAGTTTCATAAATATTGTATTGGGGCTACATGCTTTTAAAAAAGAAAAGTTACATCGCATTGTTTTACTTCTGCTTTATCTATTGCAAATGATAAAAAGGACAATAAAATCATATAAATGAAATGTATCATGTTTGTGCTCATACACACAAATAAAAATTAAATGTGATCACTTTTATGTTTGATTACATCTATTTTCCTAGAAAAAAACAACTAGTTTTGACCAAGTTAAAAGGGATATTCCGTCGTAAATTTAAGTTATTGTCAAACACACCGTAAGGCCGAGTTAGACACCCCCCTCGATAGATGAATGTTGCTGACCGCATGCTTCTCTAGTTATACAAAATCAGTAACGACTGCACGATAGCAATATACAGTGGTCTAAGTCTCCACGTGCAAAACGCCACTCTATAGCCACAAATAATGCTCTGAACAGCACCTAACTTCATCAGCATTAGGGTCCTAGCCATCAAACATCTTTTTAACTTTGCCTAACTTCTTTCGCAAAGAGACTAAACACAACTCACCTACTCTCTTCGTGTCTACTCTCTTCTTAGGGGGTGTCTAACTTGGTGTTACGGTGTGTTTGACCCTAAATTAATTTGACGCCCTTAAACTCCTCCTTCAGAGACTCTGACACCCTCAGTCAGCAGTCTTTACCTGGACTCTGCTTGCTGTTTATATGCAAACTACTTTATGTTGTATATAGTGTACACACTTGTATATTATCTCTTTATTTCTACGTACTTCATCTATCATTTATCTCCTCTCTCTACTTTATTTGCACTGGAGTTACTGTACCAAAAGGAATTTCCCCCTGGGGAATATTAAAGTCATTCTGATTCTGTCATGTCTGAGAAAAAATACCACCCTTTACTATCATGTAAACGTGATCATGCAGAGGAGGATACCTGTCAGCTGCTCCCTCTCCCTTCAGAGTGACGAAGGCATACTGTCTGAGCAAAGAGCAGGTGTTGATCTCTCCGTACGGCGCGAAGAGCTTGTTGAGCTCTTCATGAGTTGCATCTAAAGGAAGGTTCCCCACAAACAACTTTATGTTGTCACCGCTCATCTCTGATTTCACCAGACATCTGCAAAAAGATCAGACACGAAGCTTCGGTTAGACACGCAAACACGAATAAATATCGCATTTAGGCTGATCGTGGTTAATTTCAAAGAATACAGTCGGAAAGTCGTGTGTAAACGTTGGTTAGGTGGTCGGATGTAATCAGCTGAGCTAATAAAACCGGTAACTTCCGCGGAGAAAGCGATCATTAATCTTACAGATGGTCGTTTAAGCTTCACTATCCAAGATGAGACAAAACGCTATGATTTATTTTAAATCAAAGTCACTTGTAAAACAGTCTAAGTGCATCAAAAACAGCTGAGTGTAACAGCTGGCTCCACTGGCCTTTATGTGAAATTCAAACACTGTAACTGCAGCTAACGACGGTTAAGCTAGCGAGCTAATGCTAACGCCAGGCTTCACGATGATGAATAAAACTCAAATTCGGACGCCAGAGCGCCACCTACTATGAGATATAAGAGTAAATGATGTGAAATGTTAATTTAGATGTGGTTTGAATACTAAACACCGATGAGTTTTTGTAATTTTTAAAGCTACAATATTAGCTACAAAGTCGTCTTACCCAACGCGGTCCTAGAGCTGTGTGTCGAACGTCACTTCCGGCTCCGGATTCTTGAGGGGCGCAGCCAAGGGGGGGCGCCATTTCACATCGAGTGTTCAGAGTGGTTCATCGTTAAACGCATTTTACATTCATGACTTTTAATTAATAAAGTCTGGATGGAATCCGAAACATTTCCCTTTTTCCCAATTTTTTGATTTCGTGGAATTATTGTTGAAATATCTGCCATTTTTCTGATACGGATGAAGTGTGCAAGTGCTGACCATAGATAAACGCTAGGTGGTTTACGCACGCTGTTGGCCAAAGGAGGCCGGCGGCCATTTTGCTACGGGACGCTCGTCCACTCACAAGTGTAACAACAATTGGTCTGAGACTGTTCAAGTATATATAGCCATCCACGTTACCAAACATTCTGCTTGCATCTTGTTGACCTGAAGGGGAGTCCATGTAGGGTAGTAACAAAGCACAACATATTTTGGGAGCCTGAGTGATATTAAACATGGGTACAAGGTCCTTGTTGAGGATGGTTGTTGGAGGCCCATGGCTCCAGAGATCTAGCACCAGCGTATCCAGGATATTTGAGTGACACAGCTCCACCACCCTTAAGGGGGTGGAGCTTTAGCTGACTGGCTAAAGAAAATACCCTAACAACAACTGTGCTTCATGATTAAGTCTTTAAATTTCTCAAAGAAAAGCTGCCATTTCAATATGTCCAAGCATCCGACTCACAGCCATGTTATCAAGGTCTGTGATGAACAAAACCATTTGTAAATCTGTCAAGATTTCAGCGAGTTAAGAGTATTTTTGATCATGCAGATTACTCACCTCCAGTCAGCTACCATAGAGCGAACTAGAATGGTATACTGGAGTAAGATGGCCGCCGGTGACTCCGCCTCGAGTCATCTAGCCTTCCTTATCTATATTTATGGGTTTATTATTAAATACATTTCACATTCATGATTTCTAAGTTATAAAATCTGGATAGAATCCGTAACATTGACGTTTTAACTGAAATTTTCTTACTTTTGTGGAATTGTTGTTGAAATATCTGCCATTATTGATAATGTTGAAACTTTTATTTTGACACATTAAGTGTTCAAGTGCTGACAATGTAGGCCACGGTCTCAAACAGGTCACAGTTAACTTCCCTACCATTATCTAAGCTCTAGTGACATTTTGTTATATTTCTTACGGTCATATTTATGGGCAGAAACGTGAATCCAGCACATGTCACGATGACACGTTTGTTTTCAGGTGGGGGTGGGGGCGGAGCTTAGAGCACACCTCAGGAACTTGGAGAACTCGTCAAAGTTGAAGAGAAGTAAGAGCTCATCGAGGTGAAGTCGATGGAAAAAGGAACAACCCGGCAATGTAACGAGGAAACGGAGGAGATCATAAGAAGGATCGGGGCCTAGAGGTAAATAATGAGCATGTAAATGTGAAATGAGCGACAGCAAACACTTTGATTGGATATGAAACGGTGTGATTGTACTGCAGGAAGACGGTGCAACATGTTTTTCATGAGGAAACGAAAAGTTTATCAGGAATGCGCTCTGCTGATCTAGATAGATGTTTCTGATGCGTCTGTACTCAAGAGAATACTTTCAGAGTGATACCCCAAAGTCAACTATGGCATTGTCAGTTGTGTGTGTTTTCATGTATTATTGTATACCGCCGGTGTAGCATTTTTAAACATATATTTTTTAGTTTTTGCTTGATTATAAACAGTGTGTTTCCAAAGCCTTCTATTTCATTTAAGCTGCCTCTGAGCTGCTGCACTTCACCAAGTCTGGACTTGCTCTCCCAATCCAGGCAGCTTTATTGCGCAGGTGTGTGCAGACATCCCACCCATCTTCCTGTTCCTGAATATGAGCCCCACAGGGACAGATAATAACCACCTGTAGCATCCACGGGAGGACGTGCTCAGTTTCTCGGTTGTTCATAATCATTATGGCTTTTGTTGTGTGCGCAGATGGCACAGCAGGGAGAACCTCTGTATGATTTCCCGGAGCCCACCAAGTCGTCAAAAGGCAAGTTCCTGGGGCATCAAAGGAGCCGAGGATCTCTGAGGAGCATCAGTGTGTTGGATCGTCTCCTGCTCACTGTTCCTGTCTGGCTTCAGCTGTCCATCAATCCTGCCACTGCACTGCACATACTGCAAAGGGAACCTCCTGGGGTCAGAACCTGTCAAAGTCCTCTCAGGCACACATATAACTCACACACAAACACCAGACACAGGCAAACACACTGCACTCCATACATCTCCTGTTATTTCTCACAGGATTTTATGTTGTAATGTCTTGCAGACCTTCCTAGTGCGTAAATCTCGCACATCCCAGAGGAATGTCCTGTGTGTCCGTTTGGCGGATGACAGTGTGCCGTCATTTGTTCAGCAGTTTGGCATCAGGGAAGAACGCGCCAGTCAAAGTATGAGTTTAATTATTTGACCCCAACGCATATATCGATCTTGTCTGAGTACATTAACTGGTTGTTGTGTGCAAACTTACTGGATCTTGATGAAAACAGAGACCAGTCTGGTTACCAAAAAAGCAAAAAAAGAGGGTTTCATCATAATAGTGTGCATTAGAATTTCATTGATTTCTGACAGCGTGAAAGTAATTAAGGGTCAAACACACCATAACACTGAGTTAGACACCCCATCTAGAGATGAATGTTGCTGACCGCTTGCTTTTCTAGTTATACCAACTTTAGTAACGACCATGGATAGCAATACACAGCGGTCTGAAGAGCCATAAACAAACCTCAACCAAAACAACAAATAATGCTCAGAACAGCACCTAACTTCATCAACAGTACATATAGGGTCCCAGCCACAGCACTAGCCACCAAACATCTTTTTAACTTTGCTTAATTTCTTTAGCAAAGAGACTAAACACAACTCATCCTCTCTCTTTCAGCAGCCTCTTGTCTGTACGGAGACCTCCGGCGAGTCAATCAACTGCAACAGAGTTTCGCAGCTCAAGGAAGAACATTTGTGACCGTTTCTTCATGAAAATGCAATCAGACCGAGACGCTAAGGCAGAAGAACTACCGTGTCTGCAGTGAAAATGATTAATATGGTGATTATTACTTAATGGAAATGATAAAGAAATGATCATAAATGTTTTTCCTTGAGCTGCGTCACCCCACTGTAGTCCGAAATGGACTGGCCCGGGGTCTCGCTACAAACAAGCAGCTGCTGGAAGAGAGTAGGTGAGTTGTGTTTAGTTAGGCTGGCTGGGCCACCCTGTTGCGTGAATCACTTGCCGTTCCTTCCCACAACAGTCTGAACTTCGGCCCATTGGAAGCGTGTATTCCCGGTCAGAAAATAACCGGGCCAATCAGAGATCGGGTTTCCACTGTTACCCGGACAACAGGGAAAGGCAGCCCCTGATTGGTCCATGTGTAGATGGTGACGTCTAACACATGCTGCAGGACTTTTCAAAGCGCTGTTCATTCAGAACGCTGTTAATTCTGCAGTTGACTTTGCAAAGTCAGCAGAAATCGTTTATATACGCAGTATATATGGGCCGAAGTCCAGACTGTTGTGGGAAGGAACGGCAAGTGATTCACGCAACAGGATGTTCCAGCCAGGCTAGTGTTTAGTCTCTTTGCTAAAGAAATCAGTCAAAGCTAAAATGATGTTTGGTGGCTAGTACTATGGCTGGGACCCTATATCTACTGTTGATGAAGTTAGGTGCTGTTCTAAGCATTATTTGTGGCTATAGAGTGGCGTTTTGGTTGAGGTTTGCGCTGGGAGATGTAGACCACTGTGTATTGCTATCGTGCGGTCGTTACTAACGTTGGTAAAACTAGAGAAGCAAGCAGTCGGCAACATTTATCTCTAGAGGGGTTGCCTAACTCTGTGTTACAGTGTGTTTGCCCTTAAATTAATTTTACGCCAGAATATCCCTTTAGCCAGGTATTGGTTGCAGTTAAGTTCAAGTCAAAATTAAAACAAACTTTCTGTCAGTCATGTAAAACATATGTAACAGTTTGTATGGTCTTTTCCATCACAGCATCACCTGCAAATGTTATTTTAGCAAAATCTCATCTGTAGATCATAAAAGTCTCCTTCACCTCTGAATGTCCCCAACTTAGCTCTGAGTCTGGAAACATCAGCCATCAGCTTTCCTGATCTCCCGAGGTTGATTTCTTTCTACTGTGTCAGCAGGTAAAGTCTCCTCCAAATGTTGCCATTCTCTTTTAGCCTACTGTTTCAATGTCGTCTTAACCACATTTTGATCATCTAATCTTTATGTAAATATAATGTAATGTCTGTCTGTTAGAGATGTCCTGCCCTTCCCTCTGGAGCTCCCTGAAGCCATTGCAAAGGCATCATCCCACAAAGAGCTCGAGTCAATCTCACACATGGGAGTAGGTCGGTCAACACAGCTCTCTTTCCACATCGCTTTACACTGTGTTGTAATACATGAGGTATAAAAGATCTGTTTATAATGAAGGAACAGTGACGATCTTTACTTTATGGGTAACAGAATTACCAGAACATAATCTAATTGTGAGTTAGGTATTATGAGTGAACAAGAAGGTGGTTGAGAGATGAATGTTGTTTGACCCTAAATTAATTTTACGCTGGAATATCCCTTTAAATTACTTTTTGAATAACTAGTGTAACCCAAGAGAATAACCCAACTCAGAAATATTAAAAAATGCACCAAAAGTGAGTGTTTTTTTCCTTGAATTCTTGTTTTTTTATAAGACAAAATGAAAGTTTTTGGTTCGAGCTCAAATCTGTTTTCTTTCGTAGAATTCTGGAACTCTCACCTAAACGTTCGAGGGCCCAGAGAAGCTCTGAAACCCCAAACAGACCAGGAGAAGAAGCCAGACCCTGTGGCTCCGGTCCTTCCAACGAGTGCTGCCCCACAGACGAGCTCTGCACCTGCAACTCTGCCTGATGCAGCTCCCCAGCCCAACTCAGACCCCCAGACCAAGACTGCACCTGAAGCAGATGCCGACCCGCCCGGTCCTGGTTCAACCCTATTTCAGGAGTTTTGTCCAATCACGACGCGCAGCCCCAGAGAGCTGGATTGTGGCTCCGGCCTTGGCGCTCTCTGTTTCATTAACCCGTTGTTCCTGCAGTCACTGAATGCTCTGTCCAGAAAGCGCATGTTCAAACGCAGCCTCAAGGTTCGGATTTCCACAGAGACCTCGTCCTTGCTGTCTCCCCCGCTTGCTCCTCCTCCCCCACCCCCTCTAATGCCCAAAACCAGGGGGAGATGTAAAGCCCGGAAACAGGGAACACACCCAGGCAAAGGCCCAAATCAAACTGCTCAGTCTGACCCTGTAGTTCAGGGTAACTCTGGTGAGGGTCAAGTTAAGCCCCCCACAACTACTCCTCATTTTCATCCTGAGATCCAGGAGCAAGAGGAGGTCACAGCTCAGTTATTACCAACAGTTATGGAGCACCTCTCAGAAAACTCAGACTACATGCAACCGTCCCCAGTGATCACCTCCTCAAATACCCCCTCACTGTCTCCATACCTCTCCCCCCCTGGGCCTCCTCTTTTCCCCAAACAATCCCCCTCCATCTCACCCCATGGCTCCCCAGGTGCTTCTCCTTCTCTCTCACCCTATCAATCCCCATCTCTTTCCCCCAGGGCCCTCTCTCCAAATCAGTCACCTTCTGATTCTCCCTCTGCGTCCCCGCCTCCCTCTCCCAAAGCCCCCTTCTCGCTCTCCCCTTTCACCTCTCCAGAGTTTGCCCAGCTGGAGGAGCAGGCCTATCACACACCTAGAGCGTGGGCAGAGAGAGAGGCTGAAGAGGAGGGGAGAGGTGAGAGTGAAAGTGAGGAGACGGACGAGGAAGACGAGGAGGAGGAGGAGGAGGAGGGTCTAGTTTTACAGATGAGTGCTGCAGCTCTTAATGACAAAAACAGCTGCAGATCTTCCAGCAGTCCTGAGGGAGCAGCAGAGAGACAGCCTCATGATCAGGGGGATGGTACAAGCCTCTAGCCTACAAACACCTTGGCTTAGACAGGGTTACATTATTACATGAAGCACTGTGTAGATCCCAGTTACATGTCGACAATATCCAGAAATTGCCAACAGAAATGTTTTGAGAAAATGTAAAATATTTGAATTAAAAACACTCTGACAGAAGTTAACTGTTCTGCATGTTTAAAGTGCTGCTAATTTTACCACACTCTCACCAACCAACCTTTAAAGCATGTCCCAAGTTTTGTGAATGTTGTAACACCTGGCAGAGATGCATCTTCATGTTTCTTCAACATTATAAAACTTGAAAATCATTTCCTGGGTTTGATTTGGATTGCACTAAACTGAAATGTATCAATATAAAAGCTTTTATAAACCAGACTACGGATTCAACAATTCCCCACATCAGATCTAAGCTGGTTGATCCTTGGTCCTACTGTAAAATGACAGGACTGACAGAAGTCCTGTAAAAAAACAAAAAAACACTGAAATATCAAACAGACTTTAATTCAGCAGATTCAACTTAATTCTTTCGTACATCACCGTTTTTTTTTTACAGTCAGTTCATCGTTTATTTTAAAAGGAAATTTTTACTTTGACCGTTAAGTAGAAACTACAGCAGCAGCTGCTCCACAGACGTGTCAAATCATCCACACCTCGGCCGGACTAATGTTCTTTACTTGAGATGCTGTGAAGATGGATCGATTTTTTGACGAAGATGACATTAAATATCTGTGCATAGACAAAATTTCAGGAGGGTACCGGCTTTACCGTGATCAGAAAGGAGGAACCACTTTGTGCGTTCACACTGAATCTGTCCTGACCGGCAGCATTGGTTTGAATTCTTGTCATTAGTGGAGTTTGATTCCCAAATGCATCCAACAAAGTTAACTGTCAACATTTTATTTCTATTTGTTCATTTAAAAAGACAAAAAAAAACAACTGACAATGGTCTGAGACTGGAAAATACTCAGATGATTTTATGGCTTTAACCGCTGTACAAATCTTTGAACTTGTAAATTATCCAGCAGTTTGATGTTTTATCCATCAAGGATTATTCTGAATTCATAAATGGTGTGATTAAAAAGAAAAAAAAAAGAAAATGAAATGATACTTTTGAGGGCTTTGGAGCAGATCTTCTATCCATCATCACCAGCAGGAGGCGTCTCTTTTGCTCATCTCCAAAAGGTCGGCCTCCACCTTCTCTGCGTCGTCCTCAAACCGCTCAGTGAAGGAGCGGATCAAACCTGCTGCGCTGCCTTCGTACTCGATGAGCTCTACGCTGTCCCCTAGAAAGCACACAGTCACACACACATAAACAATCACAGCCTATGCAATACAGCATACCCAGACCTTTCCGAAGCTTGAAGTACATACCCTTGACTCTGGTGTTGGCCTGGACAAACATTTTACGAGCCTCTTTCCTCAACAGCACCGTCTCCCGGAGCCGCAGGAAGTTGTGGGCGCCGCTGTCACTGACGGCAGAGTAGCCGTTGTACATCGCTCTGCCTCCTTCCACGTCTGCTGTCGACTTAAACACCTGCAGATTGATGGGATCAGGTCAGCAATGTATCAAATAGAGAGGTGAACAGGCCACTGTTCAGTTTTCATGATGTTCTCCTCAGTTTGTTCATGTTGTACCGAGTCTGAAAATACCTGCAGTTTCTGGAGGAACCTGTGGATGGCGTTCTTGCCCACAGTGTGGATCTTGCTGCGGTCCAGTGTGATTCGAGCGTCAGGCTTTCCGTCCTTTCCTGTCACTTCCTCCAGGCCGACCAGACCCTCCCCAGCCTCCAGCAAGACACGCAGGATCACGTAACGAGCCTGCATGTGAGCCTGAAACACACACACACACACACACACACACACACGTTCATGTGACATACTCTATATACATCGTCTGACACCAATATAAACTCAGACCAACTTAACTAAAGGTGTGATTTCAAACTATGCAGACACTTGAGACTGTTGCAGCCAGTTTATAAAAAAACCACATCCCTCATTGTCTCTTATGTTGACTTGTCTTGTAAACACTGTTCACCAAACACCATGTATCTCTGAAGATCTTTACGAATTAGAGGTGAGATTCAGGACTACATGTTGCTAGGCAGTCCGTGTAAAGAGAAGAGAGAAACACAGAGAGGAGAAAAGCAGATGGATTACCTGTCTCCAGCTCTTGCTCTCAGGTGTGTAGAACTCCAGGCCCAACAGTCCGGCTCTCACCATGCTCAGCCAGTTGATGTACACGACGTCCTCCGCATCCTGGTCCTCGTGGCCAAAAATACTGGAACAAGAAACAAGGAAAACTGTAGATGTAGGTCACCGCCAGGAGACACAATTCCCACTACATTTATATGAGTCTGTTATTAACTCGGTCATAGATGACTCATAACCGGTAGCACATAGAAGACTCCAGCATAGGTCATCTGATAAATACAGCTTGCTAACAGGGCTGACTATTGACTATTGACAAATGACTATTTATAGTCATATTAAAATGGTTATTCGACTATAATAATCGGATAATTATGATTTTTTTCTTAAATTTAACATAAGGTTGCTTTAATTAAGTGGCAATGATAATAAACACAAGAATTATGGGAAAGTCAATAAAAAAAGCATTTTATTGAACTTTGCTGCTGACAGGCTGGTTCATACAAAAAGTAAATAAAGTCCGACCTAAAACCAATTGACAGTCTGCTTATTATGAAGCTAATATCTTGACGAGGCAAGGCTAACTGTTCAGCCAACATTCTGACGTGCCTTCTCCTCGACTGTTCATGCATCGCTGACGTGTTGCCATGATACACAAGGTCTGTTTTTCAAACCTTGCAAGTTATTTTTTTTTTCCGCCTTATCAAGGGTAAAGTGCTCCCAAACTTCTGAGGTTATGCTGCGTTCAAGTTACCTCAGAAGTCAGACATCAAAGTTGAAGATGACGTCACACCCAAGTTCCCAGCGTTTCACTTACAAAGTCACAAAAAAGCAAAATCCGAAGCAGGAACAAGATGGCTACATCTACGAAAGTTATTTTAGAGCTAGCCCTGTCCGAATATAAGGCTAGTGCAAAAATAACCCTCGTAGATGTAGCCATCTTGTTTCAGGCCTCCGATTTTGCTTTTTTTTGATTTGGTAATTTAATAGCCGGCAACTCGGGTGTGACGTCATTTTCAGCTCCGACATCTGACTTCTGAGGTAACTCAAAAGCAGCATAACTGTTCATCCCACATTCTGACGTGCCTTCTTCCCAAATGTTCGTGCATCAGGCCTCCTTTGCAAACTTTGCAAGTTATTTTTGTTTCACCTTATCTTGGCTAAAGTGCTCCCAAACTTGAAAGTTTTCTAAGCGCGTACTCGTAGCTGCTGTATGGGACGCCGGTGCCGCCATGTTAGAATACCATACGGCTTGGCAAAGACACTATTGTGCATGTGTGACTCTAGGCAGAGATCGTAATGAAGTAAGACGACTCATTCCACTGGGAAAAAACACATCTGGCGACTTTTTTCATCATCGACTTTTGTCGATATGTTGACTAATCGTTGCGGCCCTACTTGCTAATTCAATGTTAAGATGTAAAAAAATCACAAATAGTCCCATTTGTAAATCTGTCGGATTTCTAAGTAAACTAAAGGCTCTTGAACAAGTTTCGTTTGAATAATAGAACTACAAGGATAGATCTGTAATGACCCTTTGCCACTAAATACCCCCCCCCCCCCCCCCATCAATAGATTCTTGGGGATTCAGAAGATTTGGCGTAATTCACATTATGATCAAATGTCCATGACTGTACATGTTGTTACACAGAGAATCATGAAATACCTGAGCACTTGCTTGTTGAGACACAAATAGAGTCCGACACATTCAGCGCGACATTCTTCGTACGAGGAAGCAATCGTGGAGAATTTGCTGTCCCATGTCTCACTGCCCTGATACCAGCTGGACACCTTAAAGAGACAGACACGCTTAGTAGGTGTGGGGAAAACTTCATACAGAGAGAAGAATATTTGATACTTGAGAAAAAAAACACATAACTCACCAGCTCGCCAGTCTCGGGGTTTGTCACTTTACTTTGGTCGAAGTTGAACTTTCCCTTGTCATCCTGTGAGAAAAGGGATGAAGATTAACAGATTTCAATTCAGATGACAGTTTTATAATCAGACATGAGTTTAATAAGAATCACTGAATATGAAAAGCTGATGTTTGCTCATGTTTCTGATTTATTTTCTTTACTTTTTTGCATTTATATTCACATTATTTTTCCTTGTTAATAAGTTTTGTGTACTTTGTATGTTAGGCGTGTGTTGGTTGGGGTTGTGTGTGGGAGTAGGGTGAGCAAGATGTCTGTATTTGTTATATGTTATGTATGTTAATGTATTGTAATGTGTCCACAGTTCTATGTATGTGTGTTTAGGGACCCCCTTGAAAATGAGATGCTACATCTCAAGGGACTATCCTTCAATAAATTCAAATATGGAAAGCTGTTTAGATTCTTGTCAAAGAACGGCTGCACACGTTTTAAAATCTAATCCTGGCATAAAACAATGTAAACAATGTAATACTAATGTGACTGTATAAAAGCAGAAGGTCTGACTGACCTGGACAAACAGCTTGCCACTTCCATGTCCCAACAGCTCATGAAGTCCGACCTGAACCTCAAATGATGGTCCCTTCCACTTGATAAACATATCCTAGAATAACAAGCAACACACACACACACACACACACACACACACACACACACACACACAAGTTAAGAATCACCGTAATTAGCATGTGTGCCATAAAGGCTCAGGAAGCTGCATGTGTTACCTTGTCCTCCTCCTCCAGGAAGGTGAGTTTGTCTTTCTGTGTAGCATAGGCCACAGCCAGCACGTTCCCCAGCGACACGTTTTTAAAGCCCTCCGACTGTCTGATGTCGTCGTCTGTGCACAACCGAACAAAAGGTTTTCAAGTTAGTGAAACGGAGAGACCGCTTAAACTAAAAACATCCAAACATCTGAACAGCGGGTCTGTATTTACGCGTGCGTACAGTTGGGTATGTTGATGCCAGCTGGGATTCCACTGCCAGCAAAGGTGAGGACATCCAGCGAGGTGAAGTCTGGTTTAAGGAAAGTGTCCTTCTCGTATTCTCTGGGCCAAGGCAGCTCGGGGAGCAGGACTTCTGCTGAGCTCACCAGTTTGGCAAAACGCTCGCTCATTGCTTTGTTTACAACCGCAACAAAACCTGGAGGTGACATCACGATTCAGATGACAGGAAGTTAAATGGTGGGAGAAGAAAAGGTCAAGAAAAACCAACAAACCCCGCAGTGATTTAAACTAAGGGTTAATCCTAGATTCGAGTCTAGACTGATGGCAGAGTACCAACTTCATTAACCGTCTTTCTTTTGTTATCGTACAGGGTTTTTCCTGCGTTCAAAATTGCGTGGCGGCCGCCTCCACCTAATTTTGTGCCGCCCCCAGCCAGAGCGATTGATTTCGCTCAACACAGCGTAAAGCTCCAGCTGTGTTGATTGAGTGTATGATGTCCCTCTGCAGCAGCAACGTATTTTAACTGCAGTTGCAGGGTTGCGCCACTATAAAGGCGCTATATCAACAGCAGTGCACCGGAAAGACCTGAAGCATCTACCGAAGAAGAAACGGATCGAATCATGTTTTTTCAAGTTTTTTTCCCGCTAGTTGGTGCTATCGGCGACCTGATTTTCCCCGGCGGCTGGTACAAACAGGTAAATACTGCTTGTCTTTTTTGCATCCAAGCATGACGTGTTTATTAAAAAAAAAGTTTACTCCGTTTTTAGCGTTGCAGTTATGACAGGCAAAATCAGACAGTACTTTAAAAAGCGACCTCGCGAGGAGGAAAGTCAAGAGTCCAGGTGAAACACAGCAGAGAAAAAACGTAACAGGCAGTTAAAATGCTATAACTCATGGTGGGGACAACGTGGACAATTGTTTTCAGGTCTGAAAGTACTTCACAAGGGACTGGTGATCGCGAGGGTCAGAATGCAGGACAGGACGAGTCGGCGAGGTGAGGGTAATTAATTAATTAGTTTCCAATTAGGAGCATAACAACGCAAAACCAACGTGTACGTGGTTTTTATTTCTCTTTCTAGATCTTCTCAAAAACACAGAGCCAGTGGCTTTGACAAGCAGTGGCTCAATCAATTTACCTGGCTCAGGCATACTGAGGAAGGCATGCACTGCTATTTATGCCAAAAGCACTGTGCCCCAACACAGCAGGCAATTGCTGCCTCCTTAGTGAGACAGCCATCAACCAACTACAGGCTGGACACATTAAAAAGACATGAGGTGACAGCCGTTCACAAAGCAGCAGAAGAGATGGAGAAGTATATTAAACATTGTAGTACCTAAAAACACTCAACTAATAAAGTTACAAAAACTAAAATAACATAGTTTAGATAGTTTAAGAAATAATTGGTTGTCGTTTTTTTAGGGAGGACACTGCAACGTATACATATATATAATATATGATTAAAACACTATCACTCTTCATGTCTGTATCAGAATAAAAACAAAAATACTTAATGCATGATGAATTGTTTTGTTTAAGGTGAAGACACCTCTGCGGAACAGACTGAAGGAAAGGCACTTGGATGTCTGTTGTAAGGTGGCCGTTGATGGACCAGACCAGGAGGCCTTGGACTACAAGGAGTGCATGAGGAGGTTCTACAGAATGAAAAAGAGGAGGCTGAAATGTTCTGTCTGGTTGTGAGATGTGTGGATGAAGTGTACTTTCAATTTAAAGTTGCCAGCTGATTTGTGTATGTATATAGTTTTAATAAATGAATGCTTTAACATGATAATGGTCACACTCTTTTTTGAACTCTTAACTTAAAGTATGTTGCCTGTAAAAGAAAATGAGTCAGTTGAATTTACAAATACATGCACGTCATGGCGCATGGTCAGGATGGTGCCACCTCTGCCTCAATTTGAGCCAGGAAAAACCCTGTCGTAGGTTATTAATACCATCTGTTACAGCATGTGTTAGCCTAACATTGATGCAATCACAGCTGGAACTAAACATTGGCTCCAACATTTCCAAACAAGAGATAATTTACTACATTTGTTCTGCTTTAATTACAGTTTGAACGACTTTAACCACTGTGTAAAATTTCTCATCGTCGTGTCAAGCTCTGCACCAGAGGAATAAAACCTGGAGACCTGAATAAAGTCCAAGGAGGCCGATTGGCTCACAGGCTGCACACCAATATAAAAAAAAAGAAAAACTCTTTGGTAATTACCTTCGAACTCTCCTCTAGAGCCAAATGGGTCCCTGTAGCTCTCGATGAAACCAATGTAACTGACAGAGGGACAGAGGAGCGGGGATCGAGGAGTTAGGAAAAGAAAGATTGATCGAATTTAAACTCGGTGCAAAAGGTCAAAAATAAATTTCACTGGGGATAGAGCTGTAAAATTTTCAGATAGATCCACAAAAAGTGAAAGTGAGTTAAATTAATTTGATTTTGCAGCAGTTCGGTGTGCTCACCTCTCAACAATAGGTCCTTTGTCTTTGATCCAGTAGCGTGAGCCCTCTTTATGGGCCTCAATGGAGCCAAGAGTGAAGCTGCGGCAGTACTCCTCCAGCATCTTTCTCTGGTTCTCGTTGGCAGCGTAGGCCTGAGTGAAGAATTTGGAAACAGAACTTAAGTTTCACGGATGAAGGTTAGGCAGCTCTTCTTCACCTGATTGCTCTGCTGAAAGAAAAACTCTTTACATTCACCCTTTGTGGATTACAGTCATCTCTGGCTCCTCTTTTTCTTGTACTAATCTGAATGATATGCATCAATTTTAACAACTTAAATAACTACAGTTTTGAAAAACATGAAATGATGAATTCATGTCACTCTGTCCACCTGATATTTTGGCAGTCCGGTTCCAGTTGTGTAACATAATACAGAATTAATTTGAGGTCTGTAACTGGAGCTCTTACCTGTGCTTTCTGGAGATAGTGGCAGACTTTCTCCATGACTGGAGCGTAATCTCCTCTTTTTACACTGAACTCTTTGCCTTCGAAGTTAAAACTTCCACAGCACGACTCACACTCCCCATCGACTGCACAGTCTGCAACACAGTAGTGAACATGTTCATACTTGAAGCTCAGCCTGTTCAGCATCATTAACTACATCAAATTGTACGTGTTGGCGAGCCGAAAATAACACATACCTATCATATGGTTGAGAGTCAACATACTATTTAATCAACACTAGTTTTCTGTTTTCTACGTTTATTAAATGTTGAATATTTTCATCAATCTCTGACCTTTCTGCACAGATGAAGCTAAGCGGACCTCATAGCAGGCTTTGCCTCCATTTTCCCTCTTGAACAGACGGGTGTTGTAGGCAGACAGTTTCTTGAAAAACAACAAAAACGCAGTTTAGAAAATATGAACTTCTATGAACCAGGAGCACAAAACAAAGATCAAGCTTTCAAATGGAGAAATGAAAAGGGACCAGGAAAATAGTAAATGTGCGCGACAAGGAAGCAAACAATCAGAAAATTCATTTTACTTTGGAGTCGAGGAACTTCTGAGCCAGCTCAGCATCTTCCAGACAGCAGTTTCCTGAGAAGTAGGTGGTGATTCCCTGATAAAAATACGAAATAAATACTTGATTAAACAATCATTTCAGCAAATAGGTTACTTGTAAAGTAAAAAAAGAGCTTGATTCAGTGGCCTCCATAAATCTAAATCAACTATCCAATGTCAGACAAAAAGAAGAGGATTTAGTCGAATTCTGTGGGCTCCAGAAAATAAAAAAACTCTCCAGTCTCAGCTGCACATCGAAGAGTTAACTGTCAAATCTATCCAGGACAACCCAAACTCTGCATTAAATGACACCAGATCCCACCTTGTCACCCAGTCCCAGCTGCTTCTGCCTGTTCTCCAGGGAGAAGAGGAGACCCGAGCAGCCGTCCCACAGAGCCCCCATCTCACTGGGCTGCTCCTGAAACGCCTGGCTGGCCTTCACCAGAGCTTCCAGTTTGTCCTGGGTGAACAAACCACAGATGTAGAAACTTGTAACATGCATCATGAGCTTCTCAGTACACATACAGTAACTCAGCAGTTTAATGGTACTCTTGTCCAAGAACTTCTATTTTGGTTGCATGTTGATGTTGAATAAGAAAAATCTGAATTCTTTATCCTGGTCATTGTCTGTGTTAAATTCTTATTGTGTCCACCTGCTGTTACAAAGATAGATTAAACAGGAAGCTTTCTTACCTTGGGAAGATTTGGGATGAACTTTGTGTCTCCAAAGGATTTATAATTTCCCATATTGGCGTACAGACCTGCTGCATACACCAAGAAGGCCTATGTATCAAAAATAGAAATAAAATAAGGAATTTCCAATAGTTTTGTGATGTAAAACTGTGTCAAAATCAGCAGAATAGCCATAATGTAAGGACCTGATACTCCTCGGAGCTGAGTCCAGCTGCTGTGGCGACCTTTTCCAGCTGCGCGGGCGCCTGCTTCCTGAAGATTTTCTGCAAAAGGACAAAGATGTTTGCAGACTCTGGGGAAGTCTGCAGCAGCACTGCCAGACCACCATACCTGTAACAGAAAATGTTCATCTAATCAGCAGGGTTCACCTCTACAATCAACTTAGACTGTTATATAGTCACTCTGAGATCTGTAACATACCAAGCAGCACGTGAAATGTAGTGGGAGTACATCTTCTCCTGAGGCGAAAGCAAGCGGAAGGCCTCGCCGCAATCAAGGGCAGAGATGCCGATGTCGTTGGGGAGATAGTACTGGGAATCCACCATCTTTAGTCTGGGATTTAACACTGACAAGGATGAACTGAATGGAAAAGAGAAAAGGGTAGAGGAGACAGGGAGATGTCAAGCAAAATATGAGTTTTTAAATTTCCCTTCAGGGATCAATAAAGTTCTTCTTCTTCTTAAATGTCTGGTGAGGGTTGCAGATGTAGAGAGAAACAACAAACAAAAACAAATAGTGACAAAAGGAGTGGTTTACAGGATAAAGAGAAAAACTAGAAGAGCATAGACTGTAGTCAGGGTCTATAAAAGCTATTTTACTTCTTTGGGATCTGGTAAGTATGGTGGCTGAGAACTGCCACTGTTGCAAATAACCGGTGATCATCATTATTGGTTCCCAGCAGCTCACTTCTGTTGTTTTTTTATTTGCATCCTTATTTTCGCAATAAGTAACCTTTTTTTTTTGCATCCCCATTTTTTTTGTGCGTCATTAACCTTCGTCGCGGCTTTTGTTTTATCTGCACGGTTTCTTTTTTAATTTGCAGCGGGATTCGATTCCTTTTTGGAATCAGTAACTTCTGTTTGACTTCTTTTTTATTTTTTGCATTCTTTTTTATTTGTAGCAGTGTCGGTTCTCGGCCACCGTAGGTAAGTATTTGCACATCTGTCTAATCTTTAGATGTTTCTACACAAACAAAGGCTGATTTAGTTTGGTTGGATGTACTTGCTGGTAAAAATCACTCAAATATGAGACTTTGAGTCAAACATGACTCTGTTTTTGTTTGGTAGGCTAACAGGTATAAAACTTAAATGTATCTGTATATCTGATGAAGTGAAGAAACTAAAGGTTAAGTTGAAGTTAGAGCAGATCTAACATGAATAAACAGTTTCTGGGACACAGAGCAGGTGTTTTAGTCTCTGTACTTTAGACCTGAATGGGCGACAATGTCTCAGACAAACAAGCTTTCGGTTTCGTTTCCAAAGAACACCAATAACAGAATAAGATAGGTGGCTTATTAAATGTCCACACCCCTCCATGTCAAAAATATAACCGCCGTCAGCATGTCTGAACAAAAACTCTTCTCCATCAGCTAACTCGCTACCGTTAGCTACTAGCGTGCATGCTAACAGCTGAGTGAAAGCTACTTAAAACACAGCTATAACTTACCTAAGATAAACATGTAGTCCCTATAACAATGAAACCTGTTTCGATATATGTTTTGTTCAGCTGAGCACACGCAAACGTGGACACCAACTCAACAACTTGTTACCTTAATGTCTCCAACAGCCCCGGCGAACGTCAAACTGCAGTCTCACGCTGTACACTTCCTGTGTTCATTCAACCCATGATCCTCCCCTTGACCAATTACAGCTCGCGCTATGTGATTGATGGAATTTTCAACCAATTACATAGTAGCAGCGCGGGACTTTTCTAAGCGTTAAGTGTTACTATCCTGCGATTAAGGTTAGGCGTTAAATACGCGATCTAGGGACCGTCTGCAGTTTAGACACGTCTTCGTAAAACGCCCAACAAATAATATTAATGTACAGACATGAACCTGTCTCTCAATAAGAGAAAAACCTACCTGTAAAGGCGTCTATCGGACGAGGTGGCCGAGTGGTTAAGGCGATGGACTGCTAATCCATTGTGCTCTGCACGCGTGGGTTCGAATCCCATCCTCGTCGGCATCCTTTTCCACGATCGAAGACATCTTGATAGAAAATGATTCTTACCTATGATTGACATTGTCGACGACCCCTGCTTGGACAATGTCACATGAACTTACGCACCGCGTGCAGTTCCGGCATGTGGTTGTCCTTTTCCTTGCGGCTCCTCCCACTCCCACCCTCCCTGACCCTCACTGAAGACTGTGGCTGACAATTTGTTTAAAAGAAACATCACCAGTCCTCCATTTGTACCCCATTTGAAAGCGTTAACCCTTAACTTCATATTCTTTTTATATTTTGATTGATTATATTATTATTGATTATACCTTGTATCTGTATTTATGCTGCTGTAATTTTGGAATTTCCACTATTAAAGAAATAGTGGTGATAGTAATGATGGTGGTGGAGGAAGTGGTGGAGAGATCTACACTGAGGAAGGTGGGGACTATTCTCAAGAACAAGGATCACCCACTCCACAACACCTTAATGGACCAAAGGGCCAAGGATGCTGGACGGCTCCTCTCTCTTCACTGCAGGACAGAAAGATTCAGAAGATCTTTTGTACCCACAGCCATCCAACTTTACAACTCTTCTGTAAATAGTTGATGACTTGATGACAAATGAGATGTCAGACAATTGAATTTCTCTTTTGGGATTAACAAAGTTCTTCTTTTTCTTATTCTTACATCTTATCTTAAATTTAGAAAACCTACAAAACACACTGTATTTCATTTGTTTATTGGTTTTTATTGAAACCTAAAAACATGATGAGAAAGTGGATTATTTACAGAGGATGTGCAACAGAAAGAATTAGGTTTTTCTCGATGAATGATAGAGCCAGTCAGCCGTACGAAATCAAATGAAAGTTTCAGTGACAAGTCCTGCACCACAAGAGGGATGTTAAACATCTGGGCCTTCAACACATCTGTGCTGAGTGTGCTCATGCACCTGTGTTTGTTCATTTCAGGGTTCATGCTTGGGCTTTGCCATTCCTCCTGTCTGGAGGCGTTGTGGGGAGTATCCAGCGGTGGCAGTTTGAGAAGCTCAGGCTCTTGTCCACGGCACAGCTGGTGCAGTAGACGATCCCAAGAGCCAGCATCACCACGAGGAACACACAAAGAGGCACAAGCAGGGCCACGAGAAGCCAGCTCTTGTCATGCTTTCGTTTACCCGTATTAGATTCAGCCCCTTCCTCAACAGTGCCGGTGACACCCTCTGTACCATCACTGTTCAGTTGCTCCCCCTCCCCGGTCCCAGCAGCTGACTTATTTTCAGTCTTATCTCCTGCCCCTTCACCAGCTGCTCTGCCCCCGGTCTTCGCTTCAGCCTCATGACCTATTTCATTCCCTGTGTTGCCTTTTTGTGTCGGGGATGGAGCTGTCTGGTATTGCTTTGGTGAAAGGGCGTCCCATTGGTTGAGGTGGTTTTCTGACCCTTGCTCCATATCAGGAGAGGGCATCTCTGGAGTTTCTGTCAGCCATTCATGGTCAAAGTTGGTGTCGGCCTCAAAGTTTGGATCTGGGGTGAATGCACTGGACCAGGGGAGATCTCGACTGGGGTCAAAGTCAGGTAAGGAATCGGGAGTCAGAGTGGAATATTCCTCATCATCAGGTAAAGGCTGGCAGGTAAGTCCATCTTGCTGTAGTTCGTAGCCTTCATCACAGAAACACCGGTATCCTCCCATGATGTTGATACACTGCTGCTGGCAGGGCGACCCCCCTGCACACTCGTCTATATCTACACACTCTCCCTGCTTGTGCGACTCATAACCTGAGTCGCACAGGCATGCAAAGGACCCAACTGTATTTTCACAGATTCCCTCACAGCTTCCCTCGTCCAGGCACTCGTCAATGTCCACACACTCCCCCTCATCATCCGGCTGGTACCCGTTGTGGCAGGTGCAGTGGAAGGTACCTGGGGTGTTGACGCAGAGTTGTGGGCAGGGTTCCTGCTGACATTCATCTACATCTAAACATCTGCGACCGTCTGGGCCCATTTGGTAGCCAGGAGGGCATGTGCAGCGGACTCCCCGAGATGTCTGTGTACAGTCGTATTCACACCCCATCTCCACACAGACATCCTTGAGGTGGGGTTGATCAGTGGGACCAGCAGAGTCAGATGATAACTCAGGTGGATCGGTTTGGCTCAGGGGGTCAGGCTTGCAGGAGTATCCATCCTCGTCTATCATAAAACCTTCGGCGCAGTAACAGTAGTAGTCTGTGTCTGTATTCTGGCAGAACTGCTCACACCCGTGGTCCCCACTACACCAGTCCTGGTTCCGTGAAGCTGCACCAGAGAAACAGAGGGGGGCGTCCCTGGACCAGCCAATTGTCTCATCATCTCTCTCCATGCACAGCACAGTCTGCTCAGCGATGGCATGTGGGTCTGAGGGATCCTCGGGGCACTGTAGAGCAGCAACGGACCCTTGGGGCACATGTGTCAGTATGGTGCTAACCAGGTGAAACGGGGTGGTGTAATAGGCCGGGCCTCGACCCTCGTCCTCCAGTGGGGGACACATCCCTTTGTAGTTGTACTGGCAAACGTATCCGTCCAACGCCAGCTGGCAGGAACCATCCAGCCACTGAAAATTGTCGCTGCTTTCACGCCCGCCCTCTGTGGTGTGGACCGTCATGGCCACACAGCGATGAGCCGCACATGCTCCTGGGGCTTCCTCACGAAGCCAGTTGGTAAACTGACCGTCCTGGTCTCCTGTTGAACAATGAAGACAAGACCAAGGTCAGTGAGAGTTCTTTTTTTTAATTTACAACAAAATCAACATCAAAGCTTGAACTTTCTGCTTCCCTCTGCACAGTTATCTAATATGGTGTTGTCACACTTTGAGGGATCTTGTTTTTGCAGCATACATGTTTACAACAGTTCCTTTACTGTACCACTAGGAGTCCTCAAAGTCAAATGTTTTCCCTTTTTACTCTTAGTCTCTGAAAATCTGCCTTTTGTTTCATTCTTGCCTCTATTTTTACAATGTTCAATAAATAATCTTTGAAATAATTCTGATCTTGTTTTATTGATGTTTCTATCATTATTTTGCAGACCTAAAAGTAAGGCTTCACTTTTTGTCTTTTTAAACTTATACTTCTTATTTGATGGACCAGCAATAAGTCTAACTACTGCCACATAAAAACTCATAATGCAGAGCTCTGAGCAGTGCATCTGTTTTAAATATTTCTACTTTTAGGACATGAGAAACAAAACCTTCTTTCACATCCCTTGAGCTGAAACACGAGAGGAAACAAAACCAAAACTATCTGCTTTGATACGCCGCAGAATAGAAATAAAGAAATAAAGAAATCATGACTCATGGAAATAAAGGGCTCGTGACATAACCACTTTAAGATTTAAAGACTTTTCTCGACACTTTGAGTGATGAAAAGTCCATCTGGATTTTTAGAGGGTGGCGTTTGTGTAATGACTAAATCAGACTCTGAGGTCAAAAGGGGGGATTGAACTCCCTCTGTCGCGCCAGCTCGGTCTGTGTGAAACAAAAGGAGTTAATGTAAGAACCATTCAGTCAGGGAAAAGTTTGGAGGCTGGACCAGGTACAAAAGTCTGACAGAGAAAGGAGCAGAATCTGTTTGTGATTCTGTTTTTGCTCCTTTGTCTGTCTGTTTGTCTGTCTTCTCACTTCTCCCTCTTTTTTTCCCCTCTCCCTCCATCCCTCTTTCTTGGCCCTCCACATGTACGATGGCTGCTTGAGGTTTCTGTCTGTTAAAAAAGTTTTCCTTGCCCAAACCAGATGCTCGCTCTAGTGGACTAAGTGTGGTCTCTGAATGAAATTACAGGGTAAAGTCTAGATCAGCGATAATATTACAGTGTTTTTTTTTAAAAGTAGATATTGATCAGCTGATTGATTCATCCATAAAGTAGTCACAGATGATGTGGAAATATCAACATCAAATATCAAAGTGGGCCTTTCAGATGGAAATTATCAAATTAAAGTCTCGTAAATGACTCATAGTCGTGTCGCTGTGGTTTTAAAGTTTGCTTTAAGTTTTGCTTAGTTTGCTCTCCTCCTGGAAGAGGAGGAGGAGACTGAAATCACATAAAATGACTGAAGTGTTGGTGAATCTTAGAAGTAAAGAGGCCAAATGTGGAGAAGTTTAGACTGAACTTATAGTGAACTTAGACTGACCGTAGTTTGAAGTGAACTTTGACTTCAGTTTAGACTAAATGAATCAAATTAAAGTCTCAGAAATGGGTCACAGTCGTGCCTCTGTGGTTTTAAAGTTTGATTGAGGAGGATGAGACTGAAATCAAATGAAACGACTGAAGATTTGGTGAATCTTAGAAGCAAAGAGGCCAAATGTGAAGAAGTTTAGACTGAACTTAGAGTGAACTTAATTTATACTGAACTTAGACTTCAGTTTAGACTAAATGAATTAAATCAAAGATTCAGAGATGAGTCACAGTCGTGTTGCTGTGGTTTTAAAGTTTGAGGAGGAGGAGGAGGAGATTGAAATCAGATAAAATGATTGAAGATTTGGTGAATCTTAGAAGCAAAGAGGCCAAATGTGAAGAAGTTTAGACTGAACTTAGACTTCATTTTAGACTAAACAGATCAAATCAAAGTTTCAGAAATGAGTCACAGTCGTGTTGCTGTGGTTTTAAAGTTTGATTGAGGAGGAGGAGGAGATTGAAATCAAATAAAATGACTCAAGTGTTGGTGAAGCTTAGAAGCTCAAATGTGAAGAAGTTTAGACTTTGCCTGTGACCCAGACGAATCCTCTGAGGGGTCTGCTGGCCGAACACTGGCGTGGCGGTCTGTGCAGCCCGATCCAGAGTCGAATCCTGGATCTGGTCCCCTGCGCCTCAATGGCCGACAGCAGCTCATGGACCACACCCGCTTCCTCGTGGGTGTGCATCGTCGCCAGAGTCCCACCTCGCTCCCGGCAGCTCCGCCCAGCCTCCCTGAAGCTCCTCTTCTGAAGGAAGACGCTGTAGCATCCATCCTGGTGGCAGAGCGCGTCTCTCTCTGCCAGCTGGGCCCGGCCTCCTGGCTGCTCCTCCTCCGGCTCCCTCGGCTTCTGGGCTTGGCCTCCAGGAGTCAGGCTGACGGTCAGCAGCCACAGGACACACAGGAGACTCATGCTACCCCTGCTGATGGTCTTTTGCATCCTCCACCGAGACATAAGGTTAAACTAGGCCAACATGAAAGGAGTATCCTCTTACTGTCAAAATAAATACGAATATTTAACCTTTTTCTGATGTAAAATCAATTAAACATAAAAATAAAAGGATCTGGCCAAACCAGAACTGTTTATTTTTTAAACCTTTTCTGTTGTATTTCAATAAATATTTGATTGAACTTAAGAAGAAATCCCAAATCTGATAAACTTAATTGATCCAAACTCTAGTTGAGAATCAGTCTATATTGATTCATCAGCACACAAAAAAAAAACAGATTTCACCAGATTTCTATTTACAACTTAAATGAATCAATGCAGTCCAGTGGAGTCCTTTTAAAAAGTCCATAAGAGTCCAGTAGAGCCCAAAATAAGTCCAGTGAGAGACCAGGGGTCAGGATGTCCAAATGTTCCTCTTTAGATGAGTCCAGTAAGTTTTTTTTTTTTTTTAAATAAAGTCCAAATATGAACCTGATGATTCAGAGTCAGAGACCCTCTTCTGCATCTGATCCTGCTGGGGCTTTCTTGCCTCTGCAAAGTCTGACTGAACCTCAGAAAAGGAGTCAGATGGGGGAGGGGGGAAGGGGGGGGAGGCTACGTAGAGGAAAAAGAATTGTGTGTTTTTAGAAGAGGGGGCTGGTAAAGTGTGTGTGAGGAGGCTGGAGGGGTTGACGGATTGGGTTTGGGGGGGGGGTCGGGGAGGGATGGAGAGGGGGGGATAGCAGAATAGAAAAACCCTCAGAGAGTTATGAAAACCATACGGCACCGTTCTGTCCCCCCTTTGTGTCCTCCCTATGGCTTTAGACACACACATGCAGCACTTTCCTACACACACACAGCATGCAAGTAATGCACGCTGCAAGGCATCCGCACAGGAGTGGAAAGTGTTTGTCAGAGATCGTCTCCCTCCTTCTTATTCTCTCCTTTTATTGTCTTTTTTCTATTCTTCTTAATTTCATTTCCATAAATTTAAACTTTGACACCTCATCACACCCAGCCCACACCAGCTGGATTTTTTTTTTTTTTTACAATCTAATGGAAACATCTGAATACCTGTGTGTGTGCTCATTCATATACATTAACTCCTTGTGTGTGTGGCTACTACTCGGGGGCATATGGAGGAGAGGAAACAGGAAATGCCAGATGTGCATCAGCCTGACCTCTCGGTAGCAGGGGAGTGTGTAGTTTTGGGGGTACCTCCACAGCTGTCACACGATCCGTCCGCCGTGAATGAATGGTCCGCCTGGTGCAGAGTCAAAGGCTGAGTTTTGATTTTCCAAAGAAAAATAGGATCCTTTTTCCTCGAAGCGGCTCTGCAAGCACCCAGAAAGGAAGCCGGCTGTGATTTAAAGGATTCAATTAAGCCCTGGCAAAATTGTAACAGATTTAAAGCTGCTGGGACAAACAACCGGGAGGGAGGTTGTGAAATAAACCAAACACAAACAAGGGAAAATTGCTTATGCACACAATAGTCCATCACATAAATGCTCATCATGCCTTTGTATGTGGAGAGTTTGACCTGCCAAAACCCAATTTATGCAGCTTGATGTCATTATCAGACGCTGCAGCTTCTCTCTTGTGTGGTCTAATGTGGAGTGACTGCTTAATGTAAATTTAAAAGCCTGCAGCAGCAGCTTTGAACCACAGGATGATGGGATGGAAAAACTGTGTGCATGTGTGTGTATGTGTGTGTGAGGCTGCATCCCTTATTAGCCGTATCAGCGTGTGTCCAGGTCTGCCTTTTCTCTGCAGATGAGTCGTCATGTTGGTTTTGGCTGACAACTTATATACAGTTCTAACACGATTCAGCAGTCTTTCCCACTTATGTAACGAGATGGAGAACAAACACCAAACCTCAGGATCCTGGAGAACCTAAAGAGCCTTTTGGTCTCCTTCCCCACCTCTTTCTCCTCCTCCTCCTCCTGTCCTCCTCTGACTTTTCTTTTTCTTGGACACCCCCCATCCTTCTCTCTCCTCTCTCTGCCTCCTCTACTTATTATTTCTTCTCCCCCCCTTTATCCCTCCTCTCTTTTCTTGCATCCTCTTCCTCCTTCTCCCTTCCCTTATCTTCTCTTTCAACTCCCCCTCTCGCTCATTATTCGGGCTCCAAAGTCAGCAATCTCTCTCCCAGACCCCCAGCTCTTTACCCCAAACCTCCCACTCCTGCTCTGTTTATTCTATCATTCAGGCCGCTTGACCCGTCCTCCTGCTCAGACAGCCCCGCCCCCAGAGACACATACCAGAAATGTAATTGATAGAACAGACAAAACTTCTTCTTTCCATCGCTCTGCACTTTCGATTCCCCTCTTTCACATTAATGTACTTACAGTACCTGAAAGCCGCTCTATCTTCCAACTCAAAGACTTCCAATGGAACGTACAGGATCTTGATTTTATTCTCCCCACCTCCTGGGTTGCAACCTTCTCCCTACCTCCTTGACTCCTAGCCACTTGCCACATATCATTACTGGATCTAATTCTTTCTCGATTTCAAGCTTCCAAGCAGCTGTACCGAACCTCACAGCCTCTCCAAAGCCTCTCTGTTTCATTTCGACTACTTTTTTCTGTTTTCTAACAGCTGCGAAGCTGCTCTTGATTTGATGTACTTTGGAGGCCCAGATCATTGGTATCTGGATTCATGATGGCGCAGGGTACTTTTCCTTCAAAGACAAAAATAAACAAACACAAAGTATTATATAAACATAAATAAAAGTTGGGCTTTGTTTAAAGCCCCACTCTGATGTTGTTTTTTTACTACTTAAAGTGTTCTCCGTGGTCTTAAAATTCTCATTATGAAGTTTTTAGCCAAAATCCAGTTCCCTGTGTCATTTTTAAGGTCTTTTCTTCTCCAGTAGCTCATTAGCAATTCACCTCTGAGTCGTGGGCGGAGTCAGCGCTGCTCCGCACACTCCTCTTCATGCTAGCTTGTAGCCTAACATTATCGATGTACTAAAAGTGGCAGGTAACGTAGGATCTATTCAGCTCTCAGACATGAATGAAAGTTAATACCATAATTAGCTTTCTTACAAGCATTACAATCCGCTAACGCACACGATTGTACCGCGATCGTCCTCTCTACTTCTCTGAGTCGGTCACATGAGTGCAGTGGAGTTTCGCAACTCAAGGAAGAACATCTATGATCATTTTTTTATGTGGAAATGCAATCAGACCGAGACACTAAGGCTAAATAACTACCAAATGATTATTATGATGGTTATTACTTCATGGAAATGATCAGCTGCACTCGGTGATCGACTCATCAGGGCTCCCCCACAAACAAGCAGCTGCTGGAAGAGAGAAGGTGAGTTGTGTTTAGTCTCTTTGCTAGGGACCCTATATGTACTGTTGATGAAGTTAGGTGCTGTTCTGAGCATTATTTGTGGCTATAGAGTAGCGTTTTGGTTGAGGTTTGCGTGTGGAGACATAGACTGCTGTGGATTGCCATCGTGGGGTCGTTACTAAAGTTGGTATAACTAGAGAAGCAACATTCATCCCTCGAGGGGGTGTCTGACTCTGTGTTACGGTGTGTTTGACCCTTACTTAATTTTACGCCAGAATATCCCTTTAAGTGGTTAATTTTGACAGAAAAGTCAAATCTATCATTTATTGAGGTGGAAACTGTAAAACAGGGATTTCCTTCAGCTGCTCTGTTGACACCTTTCCCCCATTTTCAGGCAATAAAAATGATATTTATCGTTATCATGTTACTGATGCTCTTATTTGTTTAATTCTATATAAGTTTTAGTCAATTAAGTAAACACTGAAAAACTTCTCACTGTAGCTTTAAATTTGGAAACTTGTTTTTCTAGGCAGCATGGGTATATGTCTTTGACTGAAACAGCTACACGGCTGACAGGCCTGAAAAAAACAAACAGAAAAACATTCATCTTACATTGACGGTCTTGTAGAAACATCGGTAAATCTAAGTATCTCAACGACTGAAAGTGCAAGCAATGAAGCACAGTGCTCCCAAATACTTAGGAGACATAATGTTGAGTTATAAGTAAATAATTAATTATAGATCAATAAAGTAAGCCCTGCTGTGCACACTCCTTCTTTTATCATTTATAACACAGAGATCAGGTGTGTCAGCACGAACAGAAAACCTCACATTGCAGCTTATCTGATCGATTTTGAGTTATGGCTCTTCTTTAACAATCAGGAGGGCGATCTAAAAAGGCTCTAAGTCAGCTTTTAGGAGCACCAAGATCAGTAGATAAATAAAGGGGAGTCCTCCTCTGTGGACCATGAATGTCTGTACAAAATGGATGTCAGTGCTTGAAGTCATTTTTGTCGCCATTCATCATCCCCCCCAACATGTCAACTTCATGAGTAAAAGTCAGAGGTCTCAGTCAGGAGGTTCATCCTCAAATACAACAGCTTTTTATACGTCTGGTCTGGACAGTAACACAATTTTACAAGTTTCATACTCAATTATCCTCTGCTTTGATGGTTGAACTGTATTTTTTTCTTAACCTACAGTTTAAAAAAAAAGGAGAACTACTTTTCTCCAGAAGTGCATCTCTCTTTCCTTGACTCGCAGCATTTAGGCTGATTTTTGCTGCTTTTTGCTGCTTTTTTCTGCAGTATCAAACACAGCAGAGACACGTCAGTTGTTCATTTTTCCCAACCACTGGTGTCCTATGACACGCACTCAAGAACCTACACAGAGACACACACATACACATAGACACACACTGAAGCAATTAGCTGTGGCCTTGTGGTCAAATAATGGAGTGTAGGCATTCCTGGTGATTTTGGAGGAGTGCAGGAAAAAGACGATAGTTTTTATCCCCTTCTTCTACAAGGTCCATATGTTTCATCTTCCATAGCAGACATGATCGCCTCCTTCCACACCCAGACTGTCAACAAATCTTCACCTCAAATATCTGAGCAGGCCGGGGTCGCTGTTGAAAGAATAATCCCCTCGCCAGTTGAAGTCTACGGTTTCTCGAACAATCAGCTCAAAGAATTTGGACATTTTTAGCGGTAGCTGTTGGATAGTTGGTATGCAGCTTTGTCTACACTGCGTCCATACGCCTGCTGACCTATATTAACCTTTGTTTAACCTGGGACCGGTTTGAAGGGCGTGATTTCAGCCGTGTCCTTGTTGCTTCATGCTTAGTTTCACACATGTTCACACGGGGGGAGCTGCCCAGTGCTGACATGGCCGTCAACTTCCATCTATGGAGAAGTTTCAGCCAATCAGCTCAAGATCTCAGACTGTCAACAAACATCCAAATCAGCAAGGAGAGGGTTTGGAAAATATGATCAAAGCTTCATCGGTCGGATTAGAGTTATCCTCTCCTCTCAGGTTTCCTTACTCTGCACTAAAAAAAATGGGGGAAGGGTGCTTGAATACTGTTCCTGTATTCCTACTTTAAAAGTCGAGTATAAAACAAACATGGCTGCTGATGGAAATATCAGTGACTGAGCTCTTTCTATGCCAAAAAAAGACGAATGACTAACAAAGGCTCAGGTGACACGAATCCACAATCGTCTGGACTGCAATTAAGACGCACACATGCATAAACAAACCAGGGACAAACAGAAACTCAACTCGAACGTCTCCTGAAAACAGAGAAGCAAAGTCATGGAGCGAACTCTAATTCCTGACAGATTATTCCTTTACCAGATGATGGGCTCAGCTTTTCCATGGTCACGGCCATGCATACACAGACACAGACATCTTATGCTTCTTTGTAGTGTCTTTCATGATACACTCATACTTCTCCACAGAGGGACCATAATGGTAAATGCCTCTACGGTGGGAAGAAAGGATGACGACTGCAGCAGAGACAGACAGACAGGCGTCATATTAAAGACCTCTGAGATAACCCACTTCACACCTGAATCCCTCCTGCAGCATTTCTTTATATTCTCTCGGGTCTTTTTTTTTTTTTAAACAACATATTTAACTTCCCACATCCCCCCCGTGAGTGACTTCACCTCAGGTTTGGCATGCCTCTTAAAAACAAAAACAAATTGCAGAGAACCACCAAACCGTCTGACTCAGCATCGGCACAAGAAGGTTAATCATCCCCCGTAACCGCAGAGCACTTATGTGCAAGGGAAGTCAAATAACAGTCTGTATTTTTCGCTCTCAGTTACTCCGCGTGCTTCATTTCACATTCCCAACTGTGACTCGGCCGTCACCTGGAAGTCTCAGAGGACGGCTGCAGAACCCGAGATTGTTTAGATTTGATCTCAGTGTTCATCTCTGGAAAAAGATACAAGAGAGGTCAACAGGTAATACAGTTGCCTCTTGCAAAAAGCAGCTGTCAAGCTGTTAAGCTGATCCACAGCAGTCCACCCCCCCCCCCAAATTCCCCAAACTCTCGGCAGCCAGCAGCAGCAGCAGCAGCAGCCTTTGTTGTTCTGGACAGATCCCAAATATGTGATGAAAAGTTAAAGAGCAGCGAGAGGGTATTATGATGAGAAATCTGCAGTCTCTCCTCCTATAAATAAAAATCTGAAACAAACACCTACTTTAATCCATGTAAGGAGAAGAACTTGATCCCCGCTTTGTGACAGTATGAATTATAGTTACTGCTACGGTCCGCACTGTGAATGTGGATAAAATAGATCTAAGAACCTCTGAAGCTCACTATTAGACATGACGTGTTGTAACAATAACATCCTGAAGTCTGCCTTTGTTGCATCCATAATAGACAAGTTAAACTAAATAGATGAAACAAACATAAAACAAATCAAACTTTATAAGACCCATTATTAATGGACGGTCCATCATTTTAAAGGCGACAAAGTTATTTTGAACATTATTTACCAACTGTTGTCTTTTTACTGCTTTAAAACGCCAGAATGTCCAACTGATTTACAAATATGTTACTTTTCTTGCCCCCAACAGAACGTACAATATGACACAATACAATATGATATGATACGTTACAATACAATACGAGGCAATGTCATATTGTATCGTACTGTACCATATCGTGTTGTATTGTAGCGTACCGTATCGTGTTGTATCGTATCGTATCGTATCGTATCTTTTCGCATCGTATCATTTTGTGTTGTATCGTATTGTATAATGTTGTATCATATTTTATCGTATCGTGTTGTATCGTGTTGTATCGTGTTGTATCCCGTAGTATGGTGATGTATTGTATCATGTTGTATCGTATTTTGTCATACCGTCCCGTATCATGTTTTATCGTATCGTATCATGTAATATTGTATCGTATCGTATCCTATCGTGCTGTATCGTATCGTATCGTCTTGTGTTGTATCGTATTGTATCATGTCATTTCCTCTCAGCTGGTTGTCTCTTTCTCTTTTCTGTCTTTACTTTTTGATGTCTTGATTTTGTTTTCTTTGGGGCAGCCATTAGAATCAGAACCAGAATACTTTATTTATCTCTGGGGGGAGCGGGGAATTCAGCCATGTTGATGTAGCTTCACTCAAATGGCTTAGATGGACAGCTGTCAGATCCATCCTGTCAACCTGGAAGTCAGTCCCATTTCCCCCCTCAACTATTTGCTAAAATGCGAAATAGATTATTTTAATCTCAAACTGAGTCTCTGAGGATGCTGAGTTCAGTGGCTCAGATCTCGAGCATCAAGCTTAAGTCATTTACAGAAAAATGTTTGATTTATAAATGTGCTTTTTATCATTTTCAGGCATACAAACCCATGATGTGATTATCGTTATAAGTCTATGAATGACGCTTGTCTTCTCTGGTTTGAGAAGTGGGGTTTTCTTTTTGTAATTAACTCATCAGTCTGTCACATTAATCTTACTTGTCAGTCACAACCTTTCACCCCTCACTCCTCAAACCTTTCTGTTTCCACTGACCCTAAATCCCCCCTGGTTCCCCGACATTCTGGATTTCCTCTGGGACACACTAATGTTTGCCCCCTTCCTCCACTTTTAGTTTGACTTTTCTGGTCTCCTTGATATTTTTCTTCTTCTCTTTCCTCTCCTCTGTCACTCTCTCTCACAGCTGGCATCGTTGTTGTTACTTCTGGCTGCTCCTGCATTTTCTCATATGTCTGGCTTTGGTTGTTTCACTTTTTTTCTCCTAATAATGCCACTTTATATAGTTGTCGCTTTCCATTTTGGTTTCTTTTGTGTTTGTTGGCTCTCTGTAGTCTGTCTTTCTGCCTCTTTCTCTCTCTCTGTCCGTCTGTCTCCTCCTCTCTCCATTTCTTTCCACTCATTCACATTCCCACTTCATCTGTTTCTGTCTCTCTCTTTCACACACACACAGTTTTCAGTCTGCCAGAGAAAGTTGTCCTGGTGTTCTGTTTCAATACAGTAGGAAATATTTCCAACCATGCAGGAAATGTCTGCAGTGCTAGAGCTGTTCTCTTCTCATCCACACACTCACACCAACCATCTAAATGCCCCTTTATATAAAAATACTTTTTTATTTTAATCGTCATTGTAAAACCATACTTTGAAATGTAGGCGTATATTTAATTTCACTGAATCTGGCACACAAAGGCTGGAGGGGGAGCCAGGCTGCAGATGGGAATGGCACCGTAGAAGAAGGGGTCTGTCAGCGGGAAGAGAAGCACGAGAAACAGCAGCAAACCCATCATATATGAAAACAGGAGAGCTGATTTTTGTGGATGTTGCAGTGCAGAGCCGATATCAGGCAGACCTTGACTGTTGCAGAATGAATGGCACAAAACCGGACCCACAACATGACCTGTAGAGAGGGGCACAGTCTCAATGAGGTGTTTGGTTTCAGTGTTGGAAAACTCAATGAGTTGTTTTCCTACCAGTTCTCATGAAAATGAAGGCAGTGAAGGCGCCGAACACAGTTGTGTATAAGAACTGCATCCCTGCAACACAACAACACAAACCAATCAATATCTAAACTTACATGTCCCTTTATTCTTAACCCTCAGTTCCTGTTGAGTTTAACAGGAAATGGACATACAGATAAGTGTTCATGTTCATTCTTCCCCTTTTTTTGACTCATATCTTTTAAACAACTTCAGCCCTGACCATTAAAAAAAGAAATGTCCTAAATGTCCTAAAAATGGACATGGTAGGAACCGAGGGTTAATGTGATCCTGCAAAGTTATTATGGATCTTACACCAGCTTTGATCTCAGGTAATAGACATAGATTACTTCTGGCTCTAAATTAAACAGCTTCGGGGAAGTTTTAACTGCTGACTGACCTGAAACCAAGAGGATGACTCTCATGCTGTCCTTGTGGAGGCGCCGTTGCTCTATGATGTGATGGAAATGAGCTGGAATGAATCAAGAAAATGAGCAATGAAGTATGTCGACAACCAAAAGTACAACACTTGAAGAGAAAAAGTCATTGTTATAAAAAAAAAAAAGAGAAGTTTTTGGGGTCCTAATGTTTGTTTTTTAAAGATATTTTGGGGGGTTAGTGAAATAATAAAAAAAGAGTTATATCTATATGTGTGCATATTTGTATATATGTATATATATTCATTTTCTTTTCTTAATTTCATTTATTGAGTTTTTGCTTTGCCCCTTTGTTCTGTTGCATTATTCTTTTCACTTTTATTAGTTAGTATTATTATTTAAAAATGTTATGTTTCATATAACTCCTCAAAACAAGCACTCATATATAGGCATACATACCATCTGTTTCTTAGTTTGATGTCCCTCACCTGTCATGTTCTGTTTTGCATCACTTAATATAATAATAACAATAAAAAAATAAATAAACAAAATTAAAAAAAAACATATTTTGAGGGGTTTTAGTCTGGGGAGAGAGTGGGGAAAACATGCACCGAAACCAGGACTTCAACCACTGAGCATGGGAAGTCTGAGCTGAACCATCGAATCCTGATGGTTTAATGTGAAGGACTGAAAGGGTGTTTGCCGTACCAACACCAAAGAAGAGGGGAGCGGCAAAGATGGCAGCTGTGGGTCCTGTGCAGGGCACCAGCATGGGCAGCATGGCTCCTCTGAACACCATCTCCTCCGTCACTGGTGCCACCACCTGGTTCCTCAGCCACACTGCATCTCCCACACACAGCCTCCAGGACTGAACATCTGGGACCATAAAAGTCAAGATTTTACGACAACATACACATCATCAAATGCTTACAAGCAGTCATTTAACCCGCCCCCCAACTGTGACCCCCTCTTTTTAACCCGAACTCACTGAATGCAGACTGCAGTTCTCCTGTGAAACCTTTGGGGTTGTCTATTGCAGAGTGAACCAGAGGACCCAGATAAAACACCTGATGTGGAGAGAAAAATGAATGTTTAGTACACCTGAGGGGAGAACATAAAAACACAGAGAAGAGGGGGATGTAAACACTTTAACAGGAACATTTTTACTGTATGATCTGAGCATGCTTATGGAGTGTCTGTGAATGTAAGTAAACTGCAGTCATATGATGGACTAAAGTGGTCAAAGAGGAAAATAAGACCCTCAACTAGACCTTAAAGATAGAAAATAAAGTCTTCTGTATCTCCTTTTCTATTGATTTTTTATGAAGATGACCCAACCTGATGAGGTTCATTATAAGTTTAACAGTCTTTAAAGTACGACGAAGTATTAGGACCACTTCGGTGGCTGAGAACTGCCACTGCTGCAGATAAAAAAGAATGCAAAAAAAAAAAGAAACCACTATGGAAGTTACCGATGCAAATAAAAAAAAAACAAAGCTCGCTGCAAATAAAAAAAAAGAAACGGTGCAGATAAAAAAACAAAAAAAAAATACAACAGAAGTTAATGATGCAAAAAAAAAGTGTTGATGAAAATAAAAGAAAGTTACTTACTGCAAAAATAAAAAGATGCAAATAAAAAAAGCCACAATGGAAGTGAGCTGCTGGTAAGTAACTTTTTCTTTTCCATCGCCACCTTTTTTGCATCGTTAACTTCAGTTGTGACTTCTTTTTTTCATCAAGTTGACTTTAACTGTAAGTTCTTGTATTTTTTAACATCAGAGGTATTGCCCACTGTGTTGGGACTCTCTCTCTTACCATGGTGAGCAGTAGCGGCAGAATTGCTGCAGGGACCAGACCCTCCAAACGAACCCCCATCAACTCCCACACAGACACATCAACCTGCGAGGACAAAATGTGACTAAAGTGATTAAAAGTTAATCTGATGAGACCCCAGACTTAACCTCACAAAACGCCTAATTTATGACTTACATGAACTCCGGCAGTCAGGTCAACCGTCCTTCACCTGGACGGTCGGGGTGAAGTGTCCTTGAAAAAGGCACTGAGTCCCTTTTTAGCTTATGTAACTCTGACCTTTGACCTCCAATGGTATGGATGTTCACAATACACAGTGGTTACATTTATAGAAAGCTCATCAGAGTGTGGGTTTGTTTCTTTGTAAACATTGCACTTTGTAAATATTTCTCTTACACTTTTATTCGTCTTTAATAATTTTTTTTTTGCATTCCTTATTTTATTGTATTCCTCTCAGTACTTTTTGTGTGTTTTTATCTGTACTCCTTTGAGTCGAGCGGCCCTCTCATCCGGGGCATTTCATTGTATTGTTGAGCTCGTTTAACATGCACATGACAAATAAACAAATCTTGAAATATAAAACTCTCCTTTACAGACTTTTTGGAAAAAGTTTCGGTCAGCTCAAGTCATTCCTAAATGTTTTTTATCACCTTGAACAGACAGCAGATGATGAAACATATCCATAATATGGTGTAATATCCTTTTTTATTGTTTGGGTTTGTGTTTCAGCTCCTTGGGGAGCAATAATGAACACACTTTTGCATGTTAAAAGTCAGAAAAAGTATCAAACTTGCCTTGATTTGGAACAAAACTAATCATTAATTCAGCGTTTCTGTTTTTTTGCAGTCAACCTAGCATGGCAGCTTCAGATTCAGGCCTTATGTGTTCATATATACTCACCCTGACATCAGCCCAGTACATCCATGTCTTCACCACAGCAGGTGACAGAGCAGAGACCAGCAGCACACTAACACAGCGACGCTTTATCACACTGGGGTGGTCTCTACACTCACACACACAAACACATGGACACAAAAACACCCACAGTTCAATATAACAGTCTCACAGATCTGTCTAAGGTGTGCAGCTGAGTTGAGTACCTGGGTAAGCTGCTTCTCCAGACGTACAGACTGCCAACGTACACACAAGCGAGCAGCAGGCAGCTCAAAACACACCCCCACCATCTCGTATGGGTGGTCTCCCCTCTTGTTTTAACGAGGCCATGTCCGGGTTCCTGCATGACAGGAAGGAGGTTTTCACTCTGATGCAGAGGAGGCTCCTCAGGTGAGGTTCATGGAGCTTTGGATTGGTTTCTCTCCGTCTGTCATTTCAGATTAGTGGAGCGACGCAAGCTGATTAGCTCTAATACTCATGAGGGTGGACACACAAACACACAACACAAACTCTTACACACACACTCTAGCTGTCACTGATTAGTAATTTACTTCACAGGTAGTAGATATAATGTTAGCAGACCCTCAACATTATATTTTAGCCTTATCCAGGAAGGGAGAGCTCTAACAGGCCCAAACAGGACTCTCACTCTGGCTCTGCCTCGCCTGTCGTCTCTCTAACATCTCTATGGAGACTCGTGATAATCCTCATTATTCTTTACACTCGGTTCATAGAGGACACATGTTATCTATCAGACTTATAAGAATGGCTATAATTATAGGAAATAAAGAAGTAACAGGATGGGTTTCCTCACTGAACCTAACCCATTTAACCTAATGCAAATGTACCTTCATTATACTGGTTTTGATTTTGATATTTATTTTGTAATACTAATGACTTAAGAGCATAAAGGAGAAACACTGTTTATCAGAAATTAGTGTGGTATTTCTTAAGTGCTGATTTTGTTGTATGGCATATATGGTAAAAAAAAAAAAAATTCTCACACTTGCCATGAAACTCAGCAATAATGCGAATCTGACAGTAAAAGCAGAGATGTAATAAAAGGTGTAGCAGGGTTTGTTATGGTTGCCCTGAAAGTTAATGGCACAATATTATAGGAAAGTGAAAGGAACATTTCATAAAATAAACAAAAAAAATTCACAACAAGCTAAAATTTTACCAAAAACCCCAAACATTTTTCAAGACATGAAAAATAAAACATTTTTGACAAAAAATATATTGCAAAGAACATCTTTTAAAGCAGAAAATTGTTGTATTGAACTTTTTGTTGTGAATGGACAAAATCATCTTTTTCCAAAATACTTTTTTCCTAGTTTTTTGACAATGTTTTTTTTTTTCAAAAAGATTTGTGCTTTTAAAACATGTTTGTGTTTCAAAAATGTATATGCATTTAAAAAAACATTTACTTTCATAATCTTGTGTTTAATTTTTGAGTTTTGTAAAAAGTTTTGGGGTTTTATGAAAAAAAAAATCACCTAACATTGTTTTTGTTATATGAAATTTTTTTTTTTGCCTTCCTGAAATCGTTAGCCATGAAACTCAGCAATAATGTGATTCTGTAACAATGATGGTTAAAGCGGAGATGTAAAAAAAAAAGTATGTCAATGGCACAAAATTTTAATAAAAACCCAAAACATTTTTAAAAACATGAAAAATGAAAAAATATTTGTTTGACAAAAATGTTTTGCAAAGAACATCTTTTAAAGCAAAAAACCGTTGTATCAAACTTTTTGTTGTGAATGGACACAATTATTGAAAAAAGTTTTAAAAAACTTCATAACAAGCAATAATTTTACTGAAAACCCAAAACATTTAAAATCTTTATTTTATTTGCATTCCCAAATATTTTTGTTTTTAAAATTTGTGGTTTTAAAACATTTGTGTTTCAAAAATGTGTACACGTTTCAAAAAAACTGTTTTCTTTCACATTCTCATGTATTTTTTTGTATTGTGAAATGTTTTCAGGTTTTATGAAAAAAAATTGTTATATGAAATATTTTTTATTGCCTTCCTTAAATCACTGGTCCAATGACCCTCACCCGCCGTACGTTGCAGCTGAGATAAAAGTCTTACTAATAATAATAAAAGACATAAACTACTCACATAGAAAAGACGACAAGGACAGATGAGTTCGCAGACATCTTGAGAACGTGCATTCTCTTTTAGAGGCACTCCTTAGAAAAGTTTCAGGAGCGGGACCACTGCCGTTCATGTTATAGCAAAAGTTCATGAAATCCAAAACTGTCAGCGACCAACCAATATTTATTCTTTTTCATATTTATGAATATTCTACATCACATTTTCACCTTATAAATAAAGACACAAACATCATGAATACAGCGAGTGAAACACTTACAGTAGTGGCGCGAAGCAGGGTACCACTTTAACAGCATATCTCAAACAACATGCGTACAGTAGTCAAAGAACACACATTCATTTCTATGAAGAGAGCCGATTCAACCATCATAGCTGCACACGTGACGCTGTTTAAAGGCACTTCGAATAAAAGACCGACATGAGTGTCTTTGTGCTCATAAAAGGTTCAAAAATAGTGAAGAAAACGTTCACAATCCGACTTCGTAAAAAGGAAACAATCAAACATTCAGTCCTGACTCAGTATCACGGGTTCGAGTCCAGCTCATGACTTCTTCAAACTTCTGGGTTTCAACCAAATATTTTTCCTTTTTGGAGAAAAAAATTCACAAACATTTCTAAAAGCAAACTTTTTCAAAGCACAATGTTGGTGAAGTTTCAAGGATTTTCACAATCACAATCACAATCGTGACTAAAGACACCTCCTTTAAATATAATAGAAAGAAGTGGAAACGCCGGTGACTCTGAAGCAAACTCACACAAGAATAAACACACAAATTGTTGTTTGTAATGGATGTACAACAATATAACTCTGCATTTAAATAAATAAAAGCATGAGAACAGGATTAAAATTATACTTCAACATTAAGACGAACTGAAATATTATAAAATACTTTCAAGGAACACATATTTTGCAGCCCTGCCACCGTATTTCCTCATAATACAGGAAACTTCAGGCTTGGACAATTCTGAAGGAAAACAGAGGCCTTGGGAAAATGGGAAATACTGAATTCCTCTTTTTTATCATGTGTGCAAAAAAAAGTCAAATAAGATCAAAGCAGCAGAGTTGTTTTTAGGACTCTACATGCTTGTTAGAAACAAATCTGTTTGTTTCTTTTCTCACTGCAGGACACATTTTTCTTTGTTGTTGTATTTTTTCCTCCTCATCTCCAGACCTCGTTCTAGACGCTCGTCCTCCTCCAGCGCCCTGCAGAGAAACAAACACGTTACATAAGATGCTTATGCTGTTGTAGCTGTAGGTAAAGTTACACTTATTAACACGAATACTTTATTTAAAACACAGAAAAATGTTTGACACTTTACTCATTCAGCGCCAGTTTCATTTATGCAATTTTCACCTAGTGCCACCATTGACCGCAATAGAAATTTCTGTATCTTTCAGGACCCACAGAATATCCTGTGCTTAGGCGAGAATTAAGTGCAATATCTCAAAAGAAGGGGGTGAGTCTCTTCTTTCACCAGGAAAAAAAAGTTAGTCTCTAACCCACTCCTGTGTTTAGTTATCGCCAGCTCAATGCAGCGTGGTCATATCATCTTTGCCGATCTGGAAAAACACATTTTTGCGAAGGAGAGACTTTAAAGCAGAACTCTGATCGTCTACTTCATTTCACTTCAAACTACTTTACGGTGGCATCAAGGTCCTCACTCCTCAGACACCACTCATTGCTCTTCAGAACCTGACGCTGCAACGTAAACCACACGGACTGCTTGCATCTTCCTCGCTGGGACTGTCCCTGAATTCCGGCTCAGTCACGCTCACCAGTACCGGCACTGGCGGCACAACATCGCGCCGAAAAATTGTCTGCCGACAATGTGAAGGTCCGGTAACAGGATCTCCAATGGATCCAGAGACGGTAGCACCACGCCCACGAGAGCTGATGCGCCGAGACCGTTAGCTCTCGGCTAATTACTTCGGCATTTTCCGACTCTCCTCATCGAGAAAAAAACACTCCACAACTTGGCTAACTGGCACACTTGATGGCGCACTTCTCACTGGTGAGTTCTTGTTTTTGTTATTGTAACATGGTTATGACGTATTTGTCAGCTTTTCTGCGTTCAGAATGACCCCAAACTTAGTCGCATGTTGGGGAGGAGCGCCCTCTGGTGGAAAACAAAAAAACTTAAAAATTCGTCAAAATCCGTCACTGGCACTGAATGAGTTAAGGTTTGCTGTTTTCCTTTGACCTTTTTTGCCTTTTAAAAAAACACACACAGACACAGAAAGACACACACTAACCCTCGCTCTTTGGCGTCAATGTCTCTGATGATCTCATCTCGCTGGTTGACCAGAGACACGAGTTCCTGGAGGAGCAGCTGCTCCCTCTGCTGCTGAGTGGACGACTTCTGCCAGTCTGTAAAGTTTATAAACCATTTACAGTAAAGCCAGACACAATAAGTTGTTCACCATCTCACTGGCCTCATTATTATGATTTTTGTTTTTAATATCTGGTGTCAGTTTACTGTCAAAGTACCCAACAAATTAAAGAAATAAAATAGTGCATTTTTCATTGAATTAACAGAAAACAGACATGCAGTCGACACAAACCTGCTAAAGCAGAGATTAAATTTTGAACTGAGATTTTTCTATCTCATAAAAATGATGATCTGAATCCTTCTTCCTTCTTTTACTCACCCTCGATAGCCATCATGACCCGCAGCTCTCTGGTCAGAAGCTCGAATCTCCTCTCCAGGTCCTGCTCCTCTTGCCTTCAGAGACAGAGATAGTTCAGCATCTTAAACGTCGTTTTTGTGTTTGTGCGTGTGTCATCTGTTCGTGTATGAGAAGTCTTACAGCAGCTCCAGGTGGTCCTGTCTGCGAATCAGAGCGTTCTTCTTGTTTACCAGAGTAAACCACTCCTGGATCAGTCTCTCCTCCTCGTCACGGTCACTTCCTGAATTAACAGGAAATCACAATACAGGGGAACTGGACTTACAGGGAATTGGACAAAATATAAACAGGTAATGAGGTAAAAACTCTGACTGACCTGTTTCCATGAGGCTTCTTAATCGTCTCTCCACCACGGCCGCTCTGCTGTCGATGTGCTTCTGCTCCGTCTCCAACGCCGCCAGCTCACTCAACACATACTGGCTCGTGTCCTGGAGACACTGACCACAGGCCCAATAGCACACAAACATACACACATACATACACATACACATACACACAATGCCATATGAACATTCACATGACAAGGTAGCCACAAATAAAAACAGAGGGAGAGGAAATCAGGGGGAAAGAGGGAGAAGAAAAAGAGGGTCCAAGTATTAGAGTGTGTCCAAAGGATGGAAATAAAAGCTGTGAAAGTGTGTTCAGGTCATAAATTTGATCAGTCTTGTACAAACATGATTGTTGAAGTGATTTACAGATGCTTTCTCAAATTGTGATCTGAGGATGGAAAATCACAGCTTGAAATAAAAGAGGGACAAATGAAGTGAGGACACGAGCGCAAAAACTGACCATGGGTTCATCCTCTTTTTGGGCGGGCTGTGAGTCTGCTGAACTCTGCAACTCTACAAAGACACAAACAGAATCACCGTGTAAAAGAAAAGAAAAAGAAATTAATAAATACTGGATGTACAAAATGTTAAATAATAGTATAAAATATTAGAGTTTCGTCTGTGAGGAGCTCAGGCTTCAGACTCCCACCTGTGCTGGTGGTGGTTTCTGTCGAAGATGGAGTCGTCGTGTCTTCAACCTGAAAAAAAAAATTTAATTAAAAAGTTAAGAAACTGATAAAAAAGAAGAAGCTGTGAGTAAGAGTAAAAAAATAAAGTCAGATGTATAACCTTACCTGAGCAACACCTGATTTAACCGTTTTGTTGTTGAACCTTGGAGGAGCGACCGGGGTTATCGTCTCATCCACTAAAAACAGGAGATAACAACGGTGAGAGACCGGATTTAAACCTCTGATCAGATCCTCAATCCTGATTGGTTCAATGAATTCTGTGGCGTCACATATTTCTCCATCCCTTTACAATCTCCAGAAAACAGCAAAAGTCATCATTCATAGTAAAAAGCTGACCATAAAGTCAGTCATTAAGACACAATATCTTAGGCTTTGTTGACACTGCAGGTCAATTCCGATTTTTTAACCATTTGTGACACATATCTGATTTGTACGTGTGAACAATCCAATTCTGATTTGTTCTAATCCTACCCAGGCCTCTTTTATATGTGGATATAAATCGTATATGTATCCGATGTGACTGCAGTGTGGACGCTCAGGTCGCGTTTTTTGACCTTTCTGGCCTTTATAGATACGACATTTATAAGATACAGATCATATAAATGTATTAAGAGGACCCTAACACTGAAATCTAAGAGAAACATTTTCTATTTTCATCCAAATTGTTTGTTTGATTCCCTCATGTGGAAAACTTTTGTTGTGCTGAATTTGGATGCATTCCCATCAATTGAGCCTCAGCCATTTGGGAACTCTGGGACCCCCACCAGAATCTTGAATTAGCTGCTGTAAACCTGATTTAATGTTTTTTTGTCCTTTCTCCTGGTCTCCTTGGTTCAAACTGTACTTCTTCACATTCCTAAGTCCCCTGGAGACCCGGGCCTGTTTCCCCTTTTTTCAGTTTGTGACTTAATTCTTTTCGGTCCGTGTCTTCGGTTGGCTGACATGAGGCCTGAGCGCCAGTGAAAATCACGGGTGAGACACTGTCTCTGCTTTTACATCTCTCCATTCTCATGAGCTCAGTACCTCTGGATCGCCTTTCAGACATTTTTCACAGTGTCCACTCAGACTTAGAGGTCATAAAACATGATTATTTTGGCCGTAACTCAAGAATTACTCAGTGATGATAAATTTTACACAAAGATGTGAAGAATCAGACTAATTATGGAAATAGCCACTGTTACCTTTGAGCACCCGTTTTGTCCTGGGTGGTGGGACGACCAGTGTGCTGCTCCCCCCTTCCTCAAGGCTCACTCCTTCATTCAGTCTGGCCATGCAGAAAGCAGCAGCGTCCACATTTGTGGGTCCGGGACCGGAGAGAGCGAGGCCGTAGCTGGACTGGCTGCTGTTGTGCTCGATCTGCAGCACGCTTAGCTCCTGGTTGGTGAAGTGCGAGCGGATCTGGCTGAGGTAAGTCATAACGATGAGTCTGTCAGGGACCGACAGAAGAACCATGTCCGACGGCTCCAACAGACGGGAGATGCCCAGTGCCTCGAAACCGTTGAAAGCCTGACATTGTAGAGGAAGACGTCATCAGCGAAGAAACAAAGTGTTGATGAAATGAGATCGATCAAGTGGCAGTGAACAACGCTCACCTTTTTGTTGTTGATTTTGATGTCATGAGGTTCCAACTTGTCAAAATCTCTAAAGGGAAAAAGAGTTGAAGAACAAAATGAGAGTATAAAGTATAAAACCTGACTGGAGAATATAAGCAATGATGTGGATCTGAAGCATAGACTATATATGTTATGGACAACTTGGTTCCGCCTTCCGTCATTATACAAATTTGAAGCTGAATTGCTCTCGGTATTTCCGGGATTTTCTCCACCACAAGCGCAGTAGCGTTGTACGCATTTGGCGGGAGAGTCGCTGTGATGTACGTCCATAGGCTGTATCAAGTGTCAATCATAGAAAACATGAACCCTCTAATACCTTTTGAAAATGGAGCTGCACAGAAAAAAAGAGGACATGAACACAAACCAGTCTTACAGTAACTACATGTCAACATCACAACCAGAGGGGAGAAAATTTTATATTCTGTGTAATTAATTTCTAAAGTTTGTCCACAGATCCATAGAGATTGCTGGAGGAGGTGGGTATTATGACCTTTACTGCAGCCCGACACCAGAGGGTGCTGTTCTCACGGTGGCTTCACCCAGTGAGGAGGCAGACGCGTCCATTCTATATGCAGTCTATGATCCAAAGCCATTATTTTCACTATAGATCATTCTGCTGGTTATAAATACACGAAAGAGGTTTAGGGCTGCATGATGAGAAACAAAATAATGACAGGAAGGAGATTTTAGTCAAAATTTCGAGATCAAAATTTTTTTTTAAATTTGAGATTTAATTAAAAATGTCAACTTTCATTTTGTAATTTCTATTTTTTTTTATCTTGAATTTTGACTTAAATGTTAAAATTCTGTATTTTTTATTCTGACTTTTTAAATTTCGACTTTAATCTCGAAATTTCAACTTTAATCTCGAAATGGAAATTTAAAAAATCTCCCTCCTGTAATAATTGTTTTCTCTTCTTGTGGCCTTACCCTTTTTGTAATAAATCAGTGAATCTAGGAAAACTGCACACAAAAATTTACTAAAGCATCTCAGCAAGTCTCAGCCCAAAAACTATCTACAATCATTTAGTATTTAAGGTGCATGTAAGTTACGCCGCAACAAATATATTTATTTTTATTATAAATTACTACATCAAAAGTGAAAAGTAGCTCAGATGTGTTTGGCGTACATTTTGTCGGGATGGAAGTGATGCAGGATGGCGCAGAAGGCCAGACCGTTCCTCCAGGACGTGCTGAAGTTTGTGACCTTCACCCCTCGGTAACCACCGGTGATTTCCTGACACCACTGGAGCAGAGACTGGCTGGAGTTCACCAAACCCTGGAGGACCAAGAGTCCAGTTCAGATTTGATTGTTTTCTCACAGCATGTCTTGGTATTTGTGCACATCAGTGGTGTGTGTACGTTTACCTCGGCCACATCATCTTTCCCATCAGCCTCCTCTCGGACCGTTGGGAAAAGATCAGAGGACTTAACATCAGTTGTTTCTTCTTCTAACAATGTAGGAAGTCGGGATGTCGTCATTTCAAGTTGTGATGGTGATTTTCTCTCCGCAGGAAGGTCAGCTGGTTGACCTTTTGGTCTGAATGGAAAAAAGACATAACTGATTATTGGTAGAGGCGAAGATACACTTTTTTACACAACGAAGGAAAGCCATCATCATCCAAGCAGAGCAGTATCAGCATCGCCAATTATTTACAGAGACAAGCGAGCGGCATGCAAGCTGACACAGCAGAAGGCAGCAGCATTGACTTGATGTGTAACAGGAGAGATAACAGCCAAAGGAAAACCGAAGCATGGATGGATGGATGTGTCGACACAAGTCTATGCTGTTTGGTACATTTTGTAGTCACCCCAGAACCAAGAACATCAAGGTCTTTTTGGTGTCGGTCATTGGATCTACACACCAGTTCACCAACATTCACCATCGTGATAAAGCATTCACAAACCTTTATTAAGAGCTGGTGGTCAGTGTGAAAGAAAACTATCACACTTATCGTGAAATGGGAGAAAGAAAAAAATCAGTGACCATGAGAAAAAAAAACTACCAACACTGGAGATCGCCTGACTTCTCCATCAACGATACTTTCTGTTTCCAGTCAACTTTGTCCAATTAGAATCTCCATCCAGAATAGAATTAAACAAGTACTAGCATGTCAACAGGTCAAAGTAGGGCGCCGTAATACGCACTGAAAATCTGCATGTCAGCAGCTTTGCATGTTGACATTCAAGCATCAGAGAAAGTTCTGCTTTGCAAAGGCGCGAGCAAACTGAGGCTGCTGGATACTTTCAAACATAGACTGTATATACTATGGACAACTTCGTTCCGCATATCCCCCAGGTGAGCTACGAAATCTTCATACGCCCATAGGCTGTATCAAGTGTCAATCATTGTACCCGGTCATGTCCTCTTATCGGGTGGCTGTCTGGCCTTGTCCGGGGGAGTTTATAAAACCTTCAAATGTTTGGGGTTTTGTGTGGACATTTTGAGTTTGTGTCGCGTGGACTTACTGAGTTAGAAGCAAGTAAAAAACACTCAATCTGACCTGAAAAACTCAATATTAACTATACACGACTCCGTCACTCCGCCTCTGCGTAGTTGTGTCCTTTTTTTGGCGAGTCAGAGTATTGTCACCCTATGAGTGGCGGAGGCGGGATTTATGACCTATACTGCAGCCCGTCACTAGAGGGTGCTGTTCTTGTGTTGGCTTCACCCAGCGAGAAGGCAGATGACGTCCATTCTATATACAGTCTATGGGCTCTATTTTCGTGTCCGCCGGCGACGCGGCGGAGGGTGGTGGACCCTGCGCAGTGGTATTTTCATCTGGTGGAGGATCTGGTGGCGGATTTAAAGGCGAGGAGAGGAGCTTATGTTATTGGTCAATACGGGTCTCGGCTGTGTTAAACCCACTCCACGCCCTCTCTCCTTCCTCCCTATGACTTACGCCGCTGGGAGGAGCTGAGTTAGGGAGGAGGGATACTTACGCCGGGCTACGCCGCTCACCAAAATACCACGCCTGCACCACCTCGCCGGCGAAGCACGAAAATAGAGCCCTATGTGTTCGAACTTTAAACAATCTAACTTTAGGATTGATGTCAGGTCATGTCAGACCTTCACGGAGTCAGCTGCTCATTTTCTGACTGATTCCAAGTTGAAAGTCTAAAGCTCGGCATTTCACAAAGAAAAGGCATCAGGTCATTTCACAGAGCAGCACAGGGTTGGCGGCCCACGCCGACTTACACATCCTTCTCTCCTCCTTGGTGTAGAGGCAGCTTATTGTCCGGAGGCTCATCTGCCTCATTTAGTGATATTTCCTGCAGATTATCAAAGCAGGGAATAACTGCGGGCTCACTGTGATCAACAAGCCCTGCCGTGTCACCTTCAATGTCACAGGGATCCGGGATGAGGAGCTTCATACTGCGATGGTTGGAAGCAGGAGATGCGCCGCCTGTCATTGAGTGAATTTTAGCCAATAAGAACTTCTCCTCCTCTTGAAGCTGCTGGTCTTTGGCGAGAGGAGTGAGACCTGGAGTGTGTGCTGGTGTGTGGTTACCACTCTTTGCCGTGTTTGACTTCAATCCAGAGGGACTACTATCGTCAGTCTTTGTTTCAACCACTTTGGCCATCTCAGTGGTCGTCCTACTATCATCCATGTCGTGGTCAGTCTTGATTTGTTTGGCGTCAGATTGAACGTTGGCTGTGTTTGTGCTGAGAGGGAGGGGCCAAGGCACCACAGACGATTGAACAAGTTCTCCACCCTCATCAGTGTCTAATCCCAGGCTGTGCCCGGTTTTTGTGAGGGCATCATGACTCCTCGCCGTCTGGTTTTCTGCTTCTTTGGAGATAGCGTTCGCTCTCTGACTGATTCTGTCCACTTGCTTGGATGCTGAAAGTGGTTCTTGATGAGAGTTGAGGGCCGGTCTGATCTGAGAAAGTCCTGGTTTATGTGCAGACCTGTCAGCAGAGCTCTGATTGAAGGTTTGTCTGCTGAAAGGGAGTGAGGGGGGATCCTTAGTAATGGCCAATGATGGTTGACCAGGGCTGCAGACAGAAAAGGGGATTTCAGAGATTAACCTCAAGGCTGTCCTTGTCATGCATACCATCACACATCTCATGCAGCCAGATCTCAATCTTGTTAAAATAAGTCACCAAATTCAAAAAAGGCAGAACTTTCTTCAGGCATTTTTCCCTAAATCAGCTAATCTCTTGGCTCCAGAGGTCTTGACATCCACAGTGTTTGTTCAACTTTCTTCCCAGACTTCCAACATTTGGCAGGACAGAGGTCTGGCAAGCGAGAGTAAAAATAAACTGGACATGCTGGAGGCGTAAAAATATGCAACTCAACCAAAACCGAACCATTAATTAAAAACATGCCGCGGCCTCCGTTAAACTGCAACCCGGTGACCAAACAAATCCACAAACACATGCTCCAGACGGAAACATTAAGATGCAGAAATCTAAGTAGAAGTGATGACAACAGTAAAAGATAGACCACTAAAAGTGTGGCTTTGGGTAATTTACAATTTACCGACACAGATAAGCCGCTCGCCATTCGCAGTAAAAGATTAAAAATAGACTTTGTTGAAACTGGACGTCATAAAACGCCATCCAGCTATTGCTCAGATATCAGGTCAACAAAAATCAAATAGATGTGACGGATAAGTGACCTCATTCTCAGACCATCAGAATCTTATCGGCTCTTCCATAAGTCCAAATGGACATTTTTACAAGATTTAAAGTAACAGCTCAACGACATTTTGAAATGTTGCTCCATAAAAATGAGAGGTGGAAATTATGACGACCTGAAAAATGGACTGATTAATCTGTAATATGAATTCCCATCGAGGTCCAGAATTGCAGTTTTATTTATTTTTTAATTTCATGCTTTTTTGTCTTTTTTGGAACGCCGTAGTTTTGGGTTACACCGGTGTAGCGTTGATTTTAAAAGTCAAGATCATAAAATACATGATTTTATTTCATTCCTAAATCAAGATACTGCTGAGAATTACTTTACAATGTTGATAGGGACTTAAGAATTGTTATTAAATATAATCTAAAATCTAAAACCTGCAGTTAAAATCTGATCAATTATGCTAAACTACCAATATACAGCAAGTGTTGACAATTAAAAAAACAGTTATTAATATTAGAAATTAACCTTTGACCTTTTGGGTACAGAGCGTTAACACTTCATCACTCTTTGTTGTCTGACACTAACGTAGTGTTGTTATTGGTGAAACTTTTTGAGTATTGGCCTAAAATTGTTTGTTAAATCATGATCTCTTTTTAAAAATTATAATCCTAGAAATGGAGTCGATAATCTGGTTTTAATGCAGGTTTACACACGTATTGCTGAATATAGGGCTGCACAATTAATCGATTTTAAATCGTAATCGAATCATTTTATTATGACAATGTTAAAAAAATTAAAATCATCAAATTGATTTTCCTCTCTATCATGTCTCACGCCTCCAGGCCACCATAGGCGCCCCCTTCCTGTGGGAGCGCCCCCCAGTTCTCACACACACTGTAAACCCGTATTGTTTGAAAACGGGTCAGCGAGTACATAAACCCGTAAATGACTACTGTTTCATCTCCGTGTGGATGTCTATCTGCATCTCTGGAAACAATCATGTGACACATATGGCGCCTGCGTGTGTCTGGCAAAAACAACCTTTGTACACGTTTCATACTCTTTTTTTCTGTCTTTTGTACATTTCCTGGGCGGTGTAACAGCGCCATTTACTGGCCTGGCATATGCACTAAAACCTTTTTCAGCGGTTTTCATTTAAGAGATGATAGAAAAACTTTTTATTAAAGTGGAGGTTTGTTAAGTTGTCACTGAATAAAAAAATCGTGCAGCCCTGGCTGAATATAATGGAGATATTGAGTCTAAGTAGAAACATCTGTGTACATCTCTGTGTGTTTATGTTTGACCCAGACGAGGAGTTCTTGAGTACTTTCACTGCCTTCATGCACCGTGTGACACAGTCGCTGCAGGCGAGTCGGTGAAGCCCGATGCAAAGAGGAAATTCCAGTTTCCGTCATAAACAACTTTGCAGTGAAGTTGTTTAGGGAGAAACTTCTGACTCACATGCCAACAAAACACAACTCAGTCTTCGTAAATACCTGCAGGAAAAAAGCCTGAGCCAGTAAATTAAATGTAAATGATAAATATTGACTTTTCCCTGCAGGTATATGAGTCAGATTCGTGGTTATTGAAGGGAGCAGAACCAGAAACACACAAGCACGCTCCTCTGATCCACAAAGAGCTCCGAGCAGACCTTCTTGATGAAGCCAAGTCTGTCTAAGTCACTCACCTCTCTCTCACCCTGCTATTCACCACTCTTACTCACCCTGTTTCACCCTCCATGTACAGCTCAGCCAACCAGACCGAGCCCAGGTCCTCGTGTCCCCTCTCATACTCCACCTCCTCTTCCTCATCCTCTCTCATCCACTCAGGGATGGCGCCAGATTTCAGCTTAGGTTTGTCTTTTTTGACTGATTTCAGAGTTGTCTTATTTGAGGCTCTCTTATTGGCAGCTACAGAGTCCTCAGGTTTGTCTCTTATTTTGACGTCGGTTGTTTCAACCGATATGAGCTCAGGCTGCTCTTCATCATCATCAGCGATATCATCCAGTTCGGCCTCCCTCAGAGGAGGCCACTCTTTCAATCGATCTATAGAGACTTCAGAAATCATCTCTGTGATCAGTTGTTGCTTCTCTCCTTTGCTGTACTCTTTCCCTTTCCTCACCTCCTCCTCCTCCTTCCTCTTCTGCTCATTTTCTAGTTTTCTCCTCCTCTCATCATTTTCTTTCTCTTCCCTCTCAATCTGTTGCTTCCTTTCCCTCTCCTCTCTTTTCTTCTGTTCATACTCTTCCCTTTCTTTTTCTACCCTCTTCCTTTCCTCTTCCTTTGCCCTCTTCATCCTTTCTCTCTCCTTCTCCAATCTGATTCTTTCGGCCTCCTTTTCCCTCTCCTTTCTTTCCTTCTCCTCTCTCTCTTTTTCAAACCTGATTCTCTCTGCCTCCCTTTCTCTCTCTTTCCTCTCCTTCTCCAATCTGATTCTTTCAGCCTCCTTCTCCTTTCTTTCTCTCTCTTTTCTTTCTTTCTCCTCCTTCTCTTTTTCTAACCTGATTCTCTCTGCCTCCCTTTCTCTCTCCTTCCTCTCCATCTCTTCTTTCTCTTTTTCCAATCTCTGTCTCTCCCTTTCTTTCCTTTCTTCCTCTTCTCTCTTTGCCCTCTCTTCTTCCTCTCTCTTTAACTTCTCCATCCTCTCTTTCTCTCTCCTCACCCTCTCCTTCTCCCTCTCCTTCTCCTGTTCAGACGCCGCTAGTCTCAGACTTGCGACCAGACTCAGACCCCCTGACTGAACACACTCTGCTTTCTGAGACACTTGGTCACTCGCTCTGCGACTCGTCTCCGTTTCTGTCGTGTCGGAGAAGGCCGTTGGCGGGGAAATGTCTACTGAAAACAGTGAATCTTCGAGCATCTCTGCCTCTTCTTCTTCGTGTTCGCTCGGCTGATCTTCGTCGCTTATAAGGAGGGGTGATTGTTCTGCAGTTGATCCGGCTGTCTGCAGGATGGAGGCCACTGTCTCATAGCTGAAGAGACAGACACGAGGGACAGACTCTGAGAAAGGACTCACCCTAACATGACCTCAGCAGGCTTTGAACAGAGCGACAGCATGCTTGATTACAGTGGGCGGTTCCTCTTTTCTCAGACTTTGTTTTGGTGCCGGTCCAAAGTCCACAGAGGAAGCTTTACTGTTGATACCACACGGAAGAAGAATCACTCCTCTTTTTATTTTTAATCAAACTTGTTTAAATATCGATAAACTCTCCGGCGTTAGCATCACATTGACATGACAAGAGACACGTGAAAACTCTCCGGTGCCATGCAGGTGACAGCTGAGAGAAACAGCTTGCTGGTAAACACACACAAAAAGCAAATTCTTGATAACAAATAACTGTGTGAAATAGCCAACAAGACAATCTACAGACTACAGTAACCTAGAGTATACTGCGACTAGGGGTGGGGCATAGATCGATGACGTGATATATCCGAGTTCTGATGTGTGATCTTGAACTGAAGTCCACAGAGAGATTGAAGCTCTCCTGGATGTCGTCATTGACGTAGCTGCGTTTACATAGGCATGAATAATAGAGATAAAAAAAATTCTGATCCAATTTGGCTCAGTTGGAGAGAAATTGTATTCCGATCAAGAGGGGTGGTTTATGCCGATCGTTTTTCCGAAACGCGTCCATGTTAACACTAATTCCGATCGTGACTCTCTTACCTGACTCGATCTTCACTCTTTGGCTTATTTATTGAGGTCAATTTAGGAAGTTTCATTATTACCACTCAGGTGTCGTGTCTGCTCCTCCGATAACATAACAAGGCGTACATAAAGCGTAATGATGTCACATCTGCACGCACAGCGCAACCTTTGACAGAACGGTAAAATAAATAAGCAAGGGCGCCATCTAGTGACAACCATAGACTGTATGTACTAAGGACAACTTGGCTCCGCCTTCTTACTATACGAATTTAAAGCCGAATTCCAGGATTTCTCCACTTCCTGGAACCACCAAGTGGTAGTAGCGTTGTAAGTATTTGCGGAAGAGTCGCTGTGATGACGCTCGGCTCAAACAGCGTGTCCCCCAGGAGAGCTATGCAATCTTCGTACGCTTATAGGCTGTATCAATTATCAATCATAGAAAACATGAACCCTCAATAACTTTTAAAAATGGAGCTGTACAGAAAAAAGAGGACCTGAGCACAAACCAGTCTGACAGTAACTACATGTCAACATCACAACCAGGGGGGAGGAAAATTTATATTCTGTGTAATTAATTTCTAAAGTTTGTCCACAGCTCCATAGGGATTGCTGGAGGAGGCGGGATTTATGACCTATACTGCAGCCCGTCACCAGAGGGTGCTGTTCTCGCGGTGGCTTCACCCAGTGAGGAGACAGACGGCATTGATTCTATATACAGTCTATGGCCACTACCGAGTTTGTTGGTTGGTTGACAGTACAGGCGTCACTACAACTCTTCTTCTTCTGTGGTTGTTTAACTGAAATTAGACAACTCTGTGCACGTCGAAATGCTTCTAATCTGAATAAAGCTTAATGCATGTATACACACGTCATAATCGGATTATTTGATTTTACGCCCAAATAAACGGTGGATTCAGATATTCTAATCCTTTAAATTTTGAATCGGATCAAGACATTTTGTAGATGTAAACATATAATGAGACTGTAGCTGTTACAAGTAAAGTCATGTTAAGAAAGAATAAGTTTTAAAAACACCAACTGTCTATGTTACGATTTTCTAAAGACTTGACCGGACGGGCAGGCAGGCAGAGAGACTCACCCTCTGAACAAAACCCCGACCACTGCTGACATGAAGCCAGCAGGATCCTCCGTCTGCTGCTCTGTAACACACACACCTGCCTCTGTGTGTGCAAATGTCTCAGCTCTACACACACACACACACAGAAACAAAATTTACTCTAAATCAAAAAACAGCCTTTTAAAGAACCAGTCTAACAGCATAGACAGACATGAAGATGACGTTACTGACTGGGTCAGCTCTGGTTAGGCTGCAGCTCCACAGTGAGTGTTAGTCAGTTAAAGGAACAGCTGTGTCTGTGTTTGTGTGTCTGTGTGAAGCAGATATTTCATGCCATGCCGCACAGTAACCGTCACTGACTCACCCCCCTGGTACACCACCCTCTTCCTCCTGCTTCCCCTCTTTCTCCTCAGCGCTCTGACTACTTTCCATCTCTGCGGTTGTCTCCTCCACTGTTGCCCACAGCTGCTTCTCTGCATCGCACACCGGCTCCTTATTGTTGACCGGACCCTCCGGACCAACAGCCACAACCTCCTCTTGTTTCTCCTCATCTGCTCCACGCTGTTGTGGTTTTTCTGTCAGCTGCAGGACTGGTTCTGGCTTCAGTTCTGGTTCTGGCTTTGAGGGCTGCAGAGGCTCCAGCGCCAAAGCCTTGTGCTCTTCTTTTGGTTTGAGAGAAACCTTCAGTGTGGTTGCTGGTTCCTCGCGGGGTCCTTCAGGCTCCTCTTTGCCTGGTGGTGCGCTGGGTTGAGCAGGAGGTGTTTTTAAGTCCTTTAATGAATCAACCTCTGCTGCATCTTCACTTTGTGAGCTAGAAGAAAGGGAACAAGAAAAATAAAAGGGGTTTAATCGAAATGTGCAAACACCAGACCATTAGGAAAGCAGACAAACACAGAGATGCTAAGAAACCAAGAGGAAGCAGACGGACAAATCCCCTCATCCATTCTTACCCCCTGCACAAAGGTTTTGAACCCTCCTTAACAAGGAGTTTTTCAGGAGTATCTTTCCCATTCCTCCCTTCTAGTGCTTTCCAGAGAGGGACCTCTGCATCAGAAAGCCTCTGTGGAGGAGGCACCAGGGTTACCACCTCTAATGTGAGTGGCCGATCAATGAGGCCTGATTGGTTGCCAGGTGGAGTAAGTATGGCAGATATTTTCTGATCTGGGTCAGCAATGTTTGATAATGAACCTTCCTTTAAGAGAGAGGGTTGTCCTGGGCTGGAATAGGAGGAGGAGGAGGAGGGAAAGAAGAAGCAAGCAGATGGAAAATATCAGAGTTCAGCAGAAATACAAAAGAAAGACAAGGACAGCTAAGATGGAGCTAAAATACCAAATGATCCCACTCAGAGAATCTGTCAATTAAAACACTAGTAAGTAATTTTACTGCATGAGTTTGTAAGTACATGTGCTGTGATTCATGATTGAAATGCTCCATTATCAGCTGTTTATTACATTTTAACTCCTTTTCAGTAGGGCCGCACGATTTTGGTCGAAAGTAAAATCCAGATTTTTTTTCACTGAAAACTCGATTTTCGTTTTTTTATTCAGTGACAACTTCACCAAACTTTACTTTTAAAAAAAAAGTTTTTTCTCATCTCAAAATGAAACCAGTGAAAATGATGTAATGCATTTGCCAAGCCAGTAAGTGGCACTGTGATGCTGCCGAGGAAATACACAAAAGACAGAAGAAGAGTACAGAGCATGTGTATAAAGGTTGTTTTGAAAAGAGTTACACTGTGTGTCACATAATCGTTTCAAGAGATGCAGATAGACATCAACATGGAGATGAAATGGTCGTTGTTTACCGATTTATGCACTCTCTGACCCATTTTCAAAAAGTAACGTTTCCAGTCACCCAAAAAATAGCCGTTTCCATGTGGATGAAACGCCGATACGACAAAAAAAATTTGCGTTTACTCCTGAATTTGTTTCCGTGTGGACGGGTTGATAACGCCGTCAGACAGACTTTTCAGCGGGGAGTGGTTTGGTCTTTGTCTGAAACTGTGAAGTCGTACCAATTCAACACGACTGACTTGGTCTTGTCCTATTTAGCCATGAAATTATCGTCTTCTTTTGCAAACGCCATGTTTGCTTACACTGGTGTGTGTGTGGGAACTGGGGCGCGCTCTTGCAGGAAGGGGGAGTCTACGGTGGCCTGGAGGCGTGAGACATGATAGAGAGGAAAATCGATTTGACGATCTAAATTTTTTAACATCATCATAATCAAATAATCCGATTTTAAACTAAAATCGATAAATCGTGCAGCCCTACTTATCAGTGAGTAATTTGGATTTTCATCTGACTATTCTTTGTAAGTTACATTCATGTTGACATCCAGGGGAGCTTTAAATGTGCACATTTGTTTGTTTCTATTATTTTCTGTGAAAAATTGAAATAATCGTGTGGCTGAAAATGTTAATTTTTCCTTCCAACACATGCTCAATATCGTTCGTATCAATACTCTGAGGATCTTTCTACCTATCCCTCCTAAACAAAATAAAAAAAATCTATGGAGTGTGACGTGCACAGAAAAACACAAAAGAGACACTTCAAATCAATAATTATGAGTGAAAACAAAGTTTGATGCCGTTTCAACATTGGAATTCAGAAGTTATGTTTAAATCAACAGAAAATTTTCAAGCATTTTTAATCCCGATCGATTGATTTGATGATTGATTGTTTTGATTTTCTTCACAGAAAAGCAGCTTAAAGTCGTTTGAGATGAGAAAACAAAAAGAAACCCATCCAGTGAACTGATTTCTTTTTGTTTCAGGGCTTTAACTCACCGCTCACTTGAGGAAGAGCTCAGTTTGTTATCTGACTGGAGAGCTGTCTTTCTGTCCTGTGATTGGCTGAGAGTTTGTGAGGGCGGCTGTGATTGGCTGAGAGTTTGTGAGGGCAGCAGCTGCTCCTCCGGTGTTCTGCAGCGTTTGTCCGGAGGAGGGAGATGAGGAGCAGGAAGGGAAGCTTGTAGACATGTGGAGAGGTTTGTGAAAGCTGGAGGAGGAGGAGGAGGAGGAGGAGCATCAACCTGAGTTTTCATCTTCTGCTTGTCCTCGTCTGACTTGTTGGCCTCCAGACTGATCACCACCTCCTTCCTCCTTTTGTCTTCCTCCTCCTTCAGCCTCCTCTCCTCATCCTCTTTCTTCTTCTTTCTTTCTTTCTCTTTTCTCTCCTCCTGGAGCTTCTTATTCTTTTGTTCCTCCTCTCTCCTCTTCCTGTCTTCCTCCTCCTTCTTCTTCCGTTCTGCTTTCTCTTTCTCCTCCTTCTGTCGCTTCTCCTCCTCTTCCCTCTTTATTCTTTCCTCCCTTTTCTTTTTCTCCTCCTCCTGTCTTCTCAGCTTCTCTTGCAGCCGTTTCTCCTTTTCTTCTTCTTCTCTTTGCTTCTTCTCCTTTTCTTTCTGCTCCTTCAGGAGTCTCTCTTTCATCCTCTTCTCCTCCTCTTGTTTCCTTCTCTCAATTCTTTCTCTTTCCTCCTTCAAGTGCCTCTCCCTCTCTTTCTCCTCCCTCAACCTCTTCTCCTCCTTAAGTGCTATCTGTTTTATCTCCTCCTCTTGTTTCTTCCTCTCCTCCTCCATCCTCTTCTTCTCTCTATCTGCCTCCATTTTCTTCCTCTCCTCCTCTTTCCTTCTCTCCTCTTCCATCTGCTTCCTCTCCTTTTCTTCCTCCTGCTTCTTTATCTCCTCCTTTTTCCTCCTCTCCTCCTCCACCGTTAACCTCTCCTTTTCCTCCTCTTGCTTCTTTCTCTCCTCCTCTTTCCTCCTCTCCTCCTCCATCCTCTTCCTTTCTTTTTCCTCCCCTTGCTTCTTCCTCTCCTCTTCCATCTGCTTCCTCTCCTTTTCTTCCTCCTGCTTCTTTATCTCCTCCTTTTTCCTCCTCTCCTCTTCCACCCTTAACCTCTCCTTTTCCTCCTCTTGCTTCTTTCTCTCCTCCTCTTTCCTCCTCTCCTCTTCCACCCTTAACCTCTCTTTTTCCTCCCCTTGCTTCTTCCTCTCCTCCTCCATCCTCTTCCTCTCCTTTTCCTCCTCTTGCTTCTTTCTCTCCTCCTCCTTTTGCCTTTCTCTTTCTGCCTCTACTTTCTTTCTCTCCTCCTTTCTCCTCTCATCTTCTTCTTTCCTCTTCTTCATCTCCATCTCTGCCTCCTTTCTCTTCCTCTCCTCCTCTTGCAGACGTCTTTCCTCCTCCTCTTTCTCCCTCTTTCTTTTTTCTAATTCCTCCTTCTCTCTTTCCTCCATCCGGTGTTTTTCATTCATCTTCCTCTTCTCCTCCTCCTCCTCCAGTTGCCTCTTTCTCTCCTCCTCCCTCCTCCTCTTTTGCTCGTCTAACACTCTTCTCTCCTCCTTCCTTTTCTCCTCCTCCTCCTTCATTTTCTTCATGAACTTCTCTCTCTCGACTCTCCTCTCCTCCTCCCTTCTTAGTTTTTCTTTCTCCATCTCAGCCTCCAGGACTCTCCTCTGCTCCTCCTTTTTCGCCCTCTCTTCTTCATCTCGCTTCCGCCTCTCTTCCTCCTCCCTCAGCTTCTCCTGTTTGTCCCTCCTCTCCTTCAGGAGCCTCTCCTCCTCCTGTTTCCTCCTCTCTCTCTCCTTCTTCACCTCCTGCTCCTCCTGTAAGAATCTCTTCTTCTCCTCCTCTAAGAGTCTTTTCTTCTCCTCCTCATGTTTCCTTTTCTCCTCCTGCTTCAGCAGTGATACCTTTTGCTCGTCCTCTTCCTTCCTCTTTCTTTGCTCCTCCTGTTTTCTCAGGGTTTCTGTTTCTCTCTGCTTCTCCTGCTCTTCCTTTATCACCTCCTCTTTCTTCATTGCTCCTTCTTCTAACTGCTCTGTCAGTGACGGCTTTGCACCAGTTTTCTGTTCCAGACTGCAGAACAGATAAATAAATACTCTTTTAATCCTCGTTTGTCTGAGTGTGTGTGTTTGTTTTTTAAATACGGTCAGAAAAATAAAATAAATCCACATTTTTTTTTCAATCTGAAATAGTTTTGAGCTCCAATACTCACCCTGTGGGACACCTTTTGATAGTATCCCTCTTAGAGTCATCCTCATCCAGAAACAAGCTGCTGGTTTCTTGTTTTTGGTTAAATGACTCAAAGACGATGTCGTCAAAGTCAGGCTCAGGCTCGGCCAGAGGCGGCTTTTCTGGATTAAAGGCGCTAAAAACACTCTTTGTCTCATTGGCTGGCTTTTTCAAATCAGTTCCCCTCGTAACGTTCGGCTGCTTAGGAGTGATAAAAGCCGCCACAACAGTGGTTGAGCTCTGCTGAGGGGTGGAGCTCTCCGAGCAGGAGAAGGGCCACGGAGGGGGCGGGGCTATTATCAGCTCTGATCGGGATTGTGGAGGACTGGGGGACAGAAATATTAAGATTGAGGAAGTCAGGCTCCAGATCTGAGAGAGATTTTACGTGCAGGAGGTAGTTTGGGAGGGGGGAATGGTCAAGCCAATGAGCAAATCCAGACACCTGATGGTTGTTGCTGTGCACTAGGAGGTGAGGTCAATGGGAAGCAGGGTACGAAGCACTGCAACTATTAGCAGCAAGGAAGCGCAAACACCAAAATATCGCAACAACAACCTTCAAAACAACAACAACGCCCACAAACACAGATGAGTTGTTTTAAGCCTCACACCAGGCAGTAAGATAACAGGCTCATTTATGCTCGCCATACGTATGATGCAGGAGATCGACAGGCGGATCAGTCATGGTGAAGAAAGGGCTGAGCAGTAAGGCGAGACTCTTGATTTACCGGTCGATCTACGTGCCGACTCTCACCTATGGTCATGAACTTTGGGTGATGACTGAAAGAACAAGATCGCGAATCCAAGCGGCCGAAATGGGTTTCCTTCGCAGGGTGGCCGGGCTCAGCCTCAGAGATAGGGTAAGGGGCTTGGACACTCGGGAGGCGCTCAGAGTAGAACCGCTGCTCCTCCATGTCGAGAGGAGTCAGCTGAGGTGGCTCAGGCATCTGGTTAGGATGCCTTCTGGACGCCTCCCGTTAGAGGTGTTCCGGACATGTCCCACCTGGTCCTAGGTTGTTGGCCCAGGACCAGGTGGAGGGATTATATCTCTCGCCCGGCCTGGGAGCGCCTGGGAATCGCCCCCAGAGGAGCTGGTGGAAGTGGCCGTGATGAGGGCCGTCTGGGCTTCCCTCCTGAAGCTGGTGCCCCGACGAACCAGACCCGGATGAAGCGGAAGAAAACGATAACCACGATACGTATGAAAATGTACACGCCGGTTTCAAACGATCGTTCCATCACTGCCCACATACTTCCATGCGTCCTTTACGTTGGCATGGATGTTAACCATTACTTCCACCAGGGGGGAGTCAAAAGTTTCTGACAACAACAAACAAAAGGAAACACGGGGACTGTTGAGGAGCTCGTGATATTTTATGTGTATATTTTTGAATAGGAGACAGAAACGGAGGCAGCATTGGAGGAGGCGGCGGTCGGACGGCCACTAAATGCCTCGCAGTTGGAGAACGTTTCGTTTCTCTCTAGAGATGTGTATCGGGTCGTGACAGCAGCAACACTGCCCCCACGGTTTCCGGTGGTACTGCTCCGTCTGGCTCGTATCCGTAAACTTCAAGGATACTTGCAGAAATACGGAAGAAAAGAACGCAAAGCACAGACATGTCCGTATCAGGATTGGTGTGTAATGTTGAGCATAAATGAGCCTTTAGCAAGTTTCTGTGAGTCGGCACCATGGAGGGTTAGCTAGCTGTCACTGATCGACACTAAAGAGCTCAATGAAAATACGAGGAATAGTTAGTCAAGGAGCAGTTCATGATTCAGCTCAGATGATCCCTATAAACCTTATTCTCTAGTTTGACTGTTTCAAAACATTTATGTCCTATATGCTCCAACGAGTATGTATAGTTCATTTAGATGTCCTGGTTTTAAACAATCCTTGTCCTAGACTTAAGCGACTCTCAATCAGCGTTGTTGCCATGATGGAACATAACTGTTTTGCAGCTCAATCACAGGTCGAAGTTTGCAATGGGGGAATTTGGGGACATTTCCAGGAACCATATATGCCTGAAAGGATCTGAGAGCTTGGCTGGCTATTCCCTCTACCTTCCCTCAGCGTTTACGCTCGGCTAAAGTGGGAGAAACTGTCTCTTGGTATTCTTTTCACACGACCATCTAAAATCCTCAAGGCGAGATTTCAGGAGTTTGTGTCTCTTGAGAGAACACATAAGCAAGAAGAAGCCTCTTGACATTCCTGTTTTTATAAATGATCGTGATATTATCCGACAACTTTTCCAATTTCAACAGGTTTTGTTTCCTTTAAGATTCCCCCCCAAGCTTTCCCACCAGTCATCAGGACGCCTCTTAAGCTCTGTGTCTGTTGACGCATTTTCTTTCCAAACAGCATTTCACGGCCAAACACACCTCTAAGGATCCAAACCAAGCAATCTAAGTGTGAACACTCCAGCGGTGCTCTCACCTGGTTTTTGCTGGTTCAGCTCTGTTTCCTGTCTTTGAATCCTGGTCTGGTCTGGATGTGTTTGCTGTCGTCTGGTCATTTTGAGGGGGACTCTCGTCTTGGCTCAGAGATGTTTCATTGTCTTCTTGGATGAGCGGGAACTTTGGGCCTACACGTGACAAAAAAGATAACACAGAACTCTCTGGATCAGACTGTGCGGTGTTTGTTGTAAAGACTGAGAATTTTTCAAAAGTTTGACATATTTGTCTTTGGCCCTGAGAGGAAATCCTTGCGTACCAGAGCTGACATGGAGATGAGGAGCGGAATGAGAGACAGTGAGCTTGGCATGAGGAGAGGAGAACAGAACAGTGGTGGGTAGAGAAGAGGAGGAACGAGGGGGGGAGGAGTGCGGGAGGGAGGCTGGGAGGACAGGATCACAGAGAGCATCGAGGTCAGGACTACTAAGCAGAGGAACTGGGGTGATGTCGACGGCAGATGTCGGCCACGCCCCCTGAACACCTGAAGCAGGAAACAGGGAAGTGAGAGAAGAAATAAGGAAGCCAAAATCAGGTAATGAAAGAGCTGCGTATAGATTTAGAAACAGTGACAGAGTAGAGTTAAAGATACCTGACTCCAGGAGGGAGGGGTGAGATTTAGGGAGAGGTGGTGCTGATGCAGGAGGTGGGGCATCAGCAGAAAAAGGAGAGGGGGAGGAAGGACGGGCGATTGACGAGACGATTTGAGGTCTGAACATGTGAGAACGGCCTTTAAAAAAAGAAAAGAGGTGAATGGTATGACAGAAAAGAGAGGAAAGAGCGGTAAACGAAAGCAGAAACGGACCACAATGTCTTTAATCTAGAAAGACAAACCAGAGACTGAAGTGAGATCGTCTGCAATCTGAGCCTCAGGGGGGCGCCGCTGAAGTGAAACAGGGACTGGGAAGAAGAGGGGAGGGTAGAAAGAGTAAAAGAGAGACAATATTTCAAGACCAGTGAGAGAGGAACACTAGTGCAGACGATTAGTTTCATCAAGCCAGTGGATTCATCTGAAGTATCTGACTCTATAACAATTAACAATCTAACCATCATTGTTTGGAATTCACAACAAAGCTTCACTGCAAGGTCATGAAAAGAAGTTGTAGTGACTTAATTTCGCATGCCAAAATTATCCCAAGAGCCGCTGAGGTGTACAATAGACAGTTCCTTGTCTAAAACAATACTAGGTGCACGCGCAATCATGAGGCAAAAGCCTGTTTCGGAGTGGACTGATATCAATGAAGAGGCTGAATTGTTTGCAAGTTCTCCCTGACACAATTTCAGTAAAATGTCATTTCACTGAAAATGGATTTGTCTCTCATTGCATCAAAATCAGAAAAACACTTGCTGAAATGTCCATGAATTTCACTCAATTTATTCAGGGTCATAGCCAAAGTACTAGCCACCAAACATCTCATTAGCTTTGCCTAATTTCTTTAGCAAACAACTCACCCACTCTCTTCTAGCAGCTGCTTGTTTGTAGCGATACCTCAGACCAGTCCATTACAGACTGCAGCGGAGTTTCGCAGCTCAAGGAAGAACATTTATGATAATTTCTTCATGGAAATACAATCAGACTGAGACGCTAAGGCAGAAGAACTACTGCGTCTACAGCGCAAAATGATTAATATGGTGATTATTACTTTAAGGAAATGATAAAGAAATGAAGAAACTCCGTGTTACAGAAGTTCTGTGACTTTTGTCGATAATTCACATTTGTTGTGTTGTGACCAAAGTCTTAAAATAAGCCTTCATGTGATGTTTCTCCAGTACACTATTCTTATTCACATAAAATCTGGGTTAGATTACACGCCACAAGAGTACAAATCCAAGCAGATATAAACAAGTTTATCCAACATTCACGAGTTTTACTCATGACGGCCGGATCATGCTTAGATCTTCTTGAAAAACACGCCGTGCATGCAAACCATGCAAACCGACATGTACTGTACATGAAGTTGAGTCGGGTGGAAAATCAGTTCAAACCATCACACACGAGGAATCTGTAAGTGGACAACGTGCAGCAGCAGCCTGCAGGTACCTTTTCCTGAGCTAGACTGGAAGATTTTTGGCAGAGAGGGAGGCTGGGAGAGGGTCCGGGTGAGAGGAGGATGAGTGGATGGAGGCTCAGAGATGAGGGTGGGTTTGGATGGAGGAGGCTGGGGGACAGTGAGGATGGTCTTTTGGACCGTAGCAGTGGTTGTTACAGTGATAGAGGACTTTTGAGGTGATGTGGTGGATGGAGCGATGATGTTCTCGAGTGAAGATGATGCTGGTGAGGTGGGGTTGGGGGTTAATGAGGTGATGTCTGTTTCAGGGGACAGTTTAGAGGACGTGTTTGAGGAAGAAGGGACAGGATCAGAGGGTGAGGCCACAGATTCAGATTTAGAGGTTTGAACATGGAGGAAGGAGGAGAAATTTTGGGGAGAGGGCGACTCTGAGGACTTTAGAGATGGAGCCACATCAGAGGGGGTCAGCACAGAGGAGGGGGTATCTGCTGTAACCAAGGAGTCTGGAGGATTAGGAGGCGAGTCAGTGGAAGGAAGAGCCTCAGGTTGAAGAGTTGATTTTTTATGCTTAGATCGGGGTGAAGGCTGAGGGGAGGGGCCGGGGGAGGGTTGGACCTCTGATTGGGGAGTGAAAGGATGTCGGCTGCGGCGGGGAGAGGGGCGCGGTGCAATTGGCAGAGGGGGGCGGGAGTGCAGATTAGGACCTCCATCACCTCCACAGGTTGGATGCAAAGATGGATGAATGGATGGAAGAAAACAGAATTATGGAAAAAGAAGAAATGATGAAAAAGGCGGAAAAGGAAAAGTTCATGTTTTGAGATGAAAATGATCACATGACTCCCAAACAAGAACATGGACTTTAGATGAGCTGTGATGGGATTAATGAAGTCCTTTATCACAACATCAATTTCTGATAAAACTAATATTAAAACCATCAAACTGCAAAACTTGATTTTAGAGGAATTGATTACTGGATTTGAAGAAGAATCATTTTTGTTCTTATAACTCCTCATTACCTACATAATGAGATAAGATTATCAGCGATGATGCTGGTTGGGTCTTTATATTTAATTTTGATGCCTTCATTTTTAAAAGGAAGCCCTCACCCACAAGTGTCTGTGTTAAAAGGATATTCCGGCATAAAATTAAGTTATGGTCAAACACACCGTAACACCGAGTTAGACACCCCCTTGAGAGATAAATGTTGCCGACCGCTTTCTTCTCTAGTTAAACCAACTTTAGTAACGACCGCACGATAGCAAAACTCTGCAGTCTTTGGATCCACACGCAAACCTCAACCAAAACACCTCTCTATAGCCACAAATAACACTCAGAACAGCACCTAACTCACCTCCAGCAGCCGCTTGTTTGTGGGGGAGCCCTGACGAGTTGATAACCAAGTGCAGCAAATCATTTCCATGAGGTAATAATCATCATTAATCGTTTTGCACTGCAAACGCGACAATTCTTCTGCCTAAACATCTTGGTCTGATTGCATTTTCATGAAGTAATGATCATAAATGTTCTTCCTTGGGCTGCGAAACTTCGCTATACCCTATATGTACTGTTGATGAAGTTAGGTGCTATTCTGAGCATTATTTGTGGCTATAGAGTGGCGTTTTGGTTGAGGTTGATCACCGAGTGCAGAGGAGTTTCGCAGCTCAAGGATGAACATTTATGATCATTTCTTCATGGAAATGCAATCAGACTGAGATGCTAAGGCAGAAGAACTACTGCGTCTGCAGCACAAAATGATAAGTATGGTGATTATTACTTCATGGAAATGATCCGCTGAACTCGGTGATCGACTGGTCAGGGCCCCCCATCAGGGCTGAAGTTGGTATGACTAGAGAAGCAAGCAATCTTCAACATTCATCTCTCAAGGGGGGTCTAACTCGGTGTTACGGTGTGTTTGACCCTAACATAAATCTACGCTGGAATATCCCTTGAAAAGTCTCTTGAGATTCTGTCACACATATTTTTCATGTTGTTGTAATTTTCCACTGGACACCATGAAATATTGGTTTCATATTTGGAGGTTGTGCTTCCTCAAACAAACTGAGAAACATTAAAGGCGTGATCACATGGTTTTCAGCGGTGTTTAATGTCCTGATGAGAAATATGTGGTATGCAGAACAAATGGCATGAGAGTGTGAAATGCTGTTATATAAACTGAGTCTGCCAATAACAGCTGTTTCACACCTCCTCTTCACAGGCAGGAAAAACAAACAGGGAAAGCAGGAAGAGAGAAGCTACCTGAGGCTGGAAAAATAGGTCCAGTGGAGTTTCTCTTGTCGGGGGGAGGAGGAGCGGGGCGGTTTGGGCGAACGAGAGTGTGGGGAACGACTGCAGCAGTCAGAAAGAAGAAAAGAAGGAGAAAGCAACAGGAACAGGGTGGATGCAGAGTTAGATGATGGAGTGAAGATCAGACAGAGAGGAGGTTAAGTGATTTAGCTAACCTGTAGCTGTGAGAGACTTCTTATCCTCGTCTTCGTCGCTCTCGTTGAAGTCGTCCAGGTTGCCGATATCTGTCGGTTTGACGCTCATTAAGCTGGCCAGACTCTGCATGTCTTCATCACTGAGGAGAAAGTAATTTTATTATTCACGCCACAGACAACACAGATGTCATACAAAACTTTCAAAACAGTGCTGATTTATTAAGATTGATTGTTGGAGCTCTCTCTGACACTGGTGAAGTCATTTTTGGGTCACTGCTGTTGGTTTGTAAATGAAAATTATCAAATAGTGGCAGAAAAAAAGACTCACGTGGCTTTTCCCTCACGAACAAAGACACAAGACAGGGACAGCTTGAGCGTGGCCTCCACCACTTTGACGGACAGCGGCTTCAGCTTCAGCGTCAGGTCGGTCTGAGTCGGCGTAGGACTGGTAAACCGCTTCAGGTTCAAGTCTGCTGATGCTAACACCTTGCGATGCCCCTTGTTTTCCTAACATGACAAACAAAAACACCCAAACTAAGAAATCTGGAAATACAGATTTATTGCTTGATGGAATGATTGACTGAAGTACAGAATATAACTGTAAGTATTTCACCCATTTGAAAGTTTTGTTTACTTGGTGTTACAAAATAAAAAGGTATTCACGAGATACTTACACCCTCGATGACAAAGGTCCACTCTTTGTCTTCAAACTCCTCAGCATTGACCTCCTAAAGACACGGAAACACATAAGAAACTTCCCTCTGCTACTCATACGTGCACATGTGCATTTCTATATTTATACGTCCTAGTTTTAGTTAAAACCAGAAGTCTACTTATATCAGTATTTCAACAGCCTATGTTGATGCTGATGTTTAAAGAGCAGGTTCACCAATGGTCGAGATGTAAAACCAATATTATGTTGTTGTCGTTGTTGTTGTTTTGTTGCATTCAATAAAATATAACAATTTCATAATAATAACAATAATAACATCTATTATTTCATACAAATTACAGGTTATAATGCACAGCTATTTTGGCGTGTTTCCGCTTGATTCTGAATCAATTCATGAAATAGAAAAACACAAAGTTATGCTATAGGTTTCACAACATGTTTATGTCAGAGGCAACATCAAATTGCACTATTTTCTACATTGTAATGAAATTTATACTTCAATTAATCAATCAATCAGACTTGTATTTGTATTACACTTTTTATACATGAGATATAGCAAAAAAGTGTTTTAAAGGAAATCATTAAAATTATTTTAAAAAAAACCTGAACCCTTAAAGTGTTAAGATGAGCAGACAAGTAAAAAGAAGAAATAGATTAAAAAATGATTAATATAATCATACATACACACAGATACACGTATATGTACGTATACACATACAATTAAATTTAAATGGCACAGAATGATCTGAGGAAGTTAGGAAACACTATCATTAAAATCATAACAAGGAAACAGCAGAGATAAGATTAACATGTTAAAATTCAAATGAGAAGATTAAGAAAATAGACAAATAAAATGACATAATAAATAAAAAAAAGATAAAACACTAAAACCTAAATGATCACTAAAACGTACCATACTAAAGAATACTAGATAGGAGAATAAAATACAGTCAGAAAAAATAATAAAACAGAAAAAGAGTATGATAGTTATTAATGTGAAATAATAAAACTTGGATAATATTAATAAATAAATGATGAACTCAGCTAAAAGCTAAAATAAAACAGTAAGTAATTGAGTCAGAACATTTAACACATGCTGATATGTTGTCATTCAGGATGGAATAAATGAGTCATTATTTCATGGGAAAAGTATCAAAAGTCCTCCCTTATTTTTGTCTGTTGGATGGCAGTAAAGAGAACCGATGAAGGCGCCACTGACTCATATTTGTGTTCATAGAGCTACTTGATCAGTGAACCGCTCAGAACCATGTGTTGGTGTTTTGGTACCTTGAACAGTGTAACAGAGATGTCGATGTTTTCTGGGACGGGCCACACCACCATGCCTCTGTAGGGGTTTTTGATTCCAGGCTGCCAACTGTGGAGCTGAACGACAATTCACATGGTGAGACTGTGAGTGTGTGTGCGCTTCTGTTTGTGTTTGTGGTTTGACAGGGGCTTCACCTTGGAGCACATGCGTCTGTTCCTCCTGGTCCACACCACCCTCAGCTTGTCTGGTTGCCTACGGAAACAGACAAACATAAATCCAAACACAGAAGTGACATCTTGCCACATGGAAAACAAACAAAGAGGAAGCTCTCATCTGGAAAGGTGGGGTGTTTATCAAAAAGCAGAAAGACAAATATGTAAAATAAGTGATGTTGGGAAATTTGGGAGTTCCCTTTTATTGAAAAAAGTAAACAAACAGAACAGACAGGGTGGATTTCAGAGGGCTGTGACCTGTGATGCCTGGATTTGGTTGGTATTTTACAGTCAACACATCATGATTTCTCTGCACTTCATATTGTTTCTTATTAATGTGTGACTCTCATCATACCAACAGTCTTCTACATGTTGAACAGGATGTTTGGATTTCAGCTGTGAGGAGTTTCCACTGACCAGCAAAAGGCATGTAAGGAAAGCGAAAGTAGAAACATCCTAACCCTAGAGTTGGCAGCAAGGACACAGGACACGTGATTTCAGAGCTTTGGCTGCTTGTAACACGAGGAAATTCAACATCTTTCATTAAAGGGATATTCCGGCGTAAAATTAAGTTGTGTTCAAACACACCCTAACACCGAGTTAGACACCCCCTCGAGAGATGAATGTTGCCGACTGCTTGATTCTCTAGTTATACCAACTTAAGTAACGACCACATCATGGCAATACACAGAGGTCTACGTCTCCATGCGCAACCTCAACCAAAATGGCACTCTATAGCCACAAATAACACTCAGAACAGCACCTAACTTCATCAACAGTACATATAGGGTCCCAGCCATAGTACTAGCCATCAAACATCTTTTTAACTTTGCCTAATTTCTTTAACAGAGAGACTAAACACAACTTACCCACTCTCTTCCAGCAGCCGCTTGTTTGTGGGGAAGCTCAAACGAGTCAATCACTGAGTGCAGTGAAGTTTCACAGCTCAAGGAAGAACATTTATGATCATTACTTCATTGAAATGCAATCAGAGTTCTTGTGTTTCTTGTATGTGTACTGCAGACGCGGTGGTTCTTCTGCCTTAGCGTCTCGGTCTGATTGCATTTCCACGAAGAAATGAGATATACTAGAAATCAAAAAAGGGATCAAAACGATTTAAAATCAATAAGACAAACAGATAATTTTTTTGTCTGTTCCGTGTTTGACCTTATTATTTATGAAAATCGTCATTTACCATTGTGGCTCTTTGTATTGTATAAGTTTGTATAACTAAAGAAGCAAGCGGTTGGCAACATTCTTAAACTATAAAGGCTGAATGATGAACAGTGTAATGTGTTAGAGTCTATCTTGGTGGGGCGTTGTGTAGGTAGGTGTTTGTGTGTGTTCCCATTGTATTTTCTCAGTTTTGCTGCACAGGAAGTGAAACTGGAAGCTGCAGAGTCACATGACCGTCTTCATGTGAGGTGTGTGTGGACCCCCTTCAGGAGTGAACAGGCACACGAGACCCGGAACAACACACCAGAACAGCACATATAATAACACCTACGTCTTTGTGTTTATATGGTATGTGTGTTAGGGGGCCAGGAGTGGGGTCAAAAATAACCTTACAGGCAGAGACAGGAGGTCGTAAAAGGGAGAGTGGAGGAGAAACAAAAACACGAGGCATAAAAGAACTGATCTGTGTTTCTCATGGGACTAGCATGACAAACAAAGTCTGCTGCACACTGAGCTCGGTAACAATTGTGGCTTTACGTAGGCCATCTTCTTGAGTGTAATACGGCTTAAGCAAGCGTGCAATTATCCTTCATTGTGGTTATTGCTTTGTCATTCAGCAGACAATGGCTACACTTCAACACTGACAGAGTACACTGAACTCATTCACATATTTACAGACACTTAAAAAGAAATAAAAACTTCAAGTGATTTTCTATATGTAGAATAGGGCTCTGTTTGGGTCTTTAATTTCGTTGGTGCCACCCTACTGTCTCTGTCAGCATCACTTAATCATTTTCTGACAGTTGTCGTGTTTATCTCTGACCCCTCTGACACTTTTAATCACTCATAGACCTGAAACAAATGATTGATTTTTGCTGCTTGATCACAGTGGAAAACAAAACGCATTTAGAGTACTTACAGAGCAACACGTACGGTGGCCCTGAGGTGCAAAACACAACAGCAAATCGGTAAACACAACATAAAAATAGAAAACACAATGGTTTATGTTGTTGTGTTTTCTCTTTTGCCGTTGTGTTTTGCACCTAAGGGCCACCGTAAACACTGGTACAACATTCACTAACCTAAGAGAGACCAATATAAACCCTCCTTCAGCTCTGTTTTGGTCTCCTCCACCTTGCCCTGACCTGGTGATGGATTATAAGTTGATGATAGATTTTACTCTCCTTCACCTCCATTCTTTTATACTCTTTATTCTTGTTTATTTTTTCACTCTCTTGTCCTCCTTTTATTCTTGGAACCCTTAGATATTTCCATTTTTACTTTGTCTGGAGTTCCATGCAATGTCACTCTGTGCCCATGTTTATCAATTGTTCATTTATTGTTGTTGTTGAGTTAATTGTACTGCCACTGCAAATCGAACTGAACTGAGACAGAAAAATATCTGAATTTCAACTTTAATGATCTTCTGTTTTTAATACCACATTGATTATGTAGAGAGTTAAACTTTGAGCATGGGAGCTGCTGCAGTTGCAGATTATCACCTACAAACTAAGTATGCGTGTCGGTATCAAGTCTGCGAGTGAGGAGAGCCAATGGTCTCAAATAAATCATCGCACTAAATTAGAAACACACACACACTTTTAAAACTCGCACACTAACACTTGGCTTTTGTGACACAGTATTTCTCACCTCTTGTGTTTCACACGACATGATTTTAATCTATCATAGAGGAAAGGAGCGCTGGTGTCCTTTTTATGAAAACAGCACATAGTAACACATGACCTAAACTCTGGGTTAATCACAGGTCTTTCCTCACTTCCTCCTGTCCTCTTATCCCTGTTTGAACAGCACACTAACTACAGCTTTATGAACTTTGATTTCATCACACTGTCCATGGGAGTTGTCTCTCTTTCTAAATCACTCTGTGTCCGCACAACACATGTTCCCAACCGCTGATCCAAATCTAAAACTGTATTGACAAGAGACCTGAGTTGTGAGAGGATAAAAGAACCGATCAGTGCTTCTTATCAAGCTGCTGACAAGCTGCTTACATAATTATCCTAACTTCAGTGTAATCTGGAGAGATAAGAATGTGCAATGTGGGCCAAACTGGCATGTTAGAATAATTTAGATGTGTCTTTGAATTATATCAGGATACATTATAAATCATGTCTTAAAGACTTCAAAATGTTTCAACATAGCAAGAAAAAGTTAATTACATGAGCAAATGACATAAAAGTTATACCTCTGTACTACTTGTTTAGTGTTGTGCCACAGCTGCATGATGAGCCATGCTGCCTCACCTGGCCACCTCCCAAACGTTTAGTAAGACACATAATTGCACAAGAGGGGGGCGGCCCATCACAGCTGTGAGCGCACGTGTTTGATTCCAAATCTGAGTGAAACAACCGAGTCTAAATGTAAGTGGTTTTTAATGAAAATAATAATACTAATGTGACTGATGATGAAAGTTAAACTAATCTACATTTACTCTGATAAACCACAGTAAGCATACATACTCAAACTGAAAATGAAGCAATTCACCTGATATATTTTTACTATTGAGGATTGATCTGCTGTGTTTTTAATACACACAAATTTTTTTTAGCTTACTTCAGGGCCCTCATGTCTTTGATTGTCCACAACTTTACAATAGAGTTCTTGTGTCCATTAGAGCAGTGGTTCTCAACTGGTCTCACTCTGGGACCCACATTTTCCCATGGTCCTTAAGTCGCGACCCACTTTTATAGAGTTCAAACCAATCAAATTTATTTTTCATTTTAAAAAAAAACTTTAAGACTCTCATCTTTAACATAAATCCACTTGTTTCATTGAGTAAAGTGCATTTCAGAGCACATGAAGGGGACAACATGAGGACGACAACTACTTAAGTTGAATTTGCATATAATACAACAGTGGTTTGACTTCCTGTCACCACCGGAAGTGAAAAGCATCTCGGAGCAGCTGCTCCGAGTCGAAGCGACAGGTGCTCAGACTCGGCTGCCACTTTTACCTAAAATAAAAAATGCAACGTTTTTTCAACATGTTTTGTTTTATTCAAACGGGAGCGGGAAAGGAGTGGAAGTGGGAGTCATTCTACGGGAGTCTCACGCATTCAGCGTGTGGCACACGCATTCCCACCTGTTCACACGCCACACATTGTATTTCTCACGCATTAATATTACCACAGTGACGTCCACCAAGTTGCAACCTTTTAATAAAGGAACAGGTAGAAATCAGATCAGTTCCCCTGAGAGCAACAAGGCTGTGTGCCACCCGCAAGCTAATCAAATAAAGTATATCTACCGAACAGCCAATCAAAAAGTAGCATTGCTGTCTCCGGGTAGATTTTGAAGACAGACACTCGCTGAAATAAAGCAGGTTTCGTAAGCACCAAAAATATCCAATCATTACAGTAAGTCAGTAACCCACACTTGGAGAGGCCTCAACACCTCATGGCAAACAGACTCATATGATAAACTAAAGCCCTATGCTATTGCTATTAACAGCTGCATTGACGGATTTAGCCTCTGTACAGCCATTTCCAGCTATTTCCCTCAAATCTTTCTGTGGAAAAGATGCATTTCTCATATATTCTTTCTAAAGTTATGATACTCATGACAAAAAAAAAAAAGAAAATCTCACTCCAAGCTTAGTTCAAAACTTGAGAGCCCTGATACAAGAGTGTAAAAAGCGTGACAACGAGCCCCGGTCTCCCCTACTCAGTCATGGAGATAGTGTCTCAGCGCAATTGATAGTAATATCAAGTGTCTCAGTGTAAGGATTTATGATGCTTAAGGGTGGACTATGTACTAACTACTTCCACTCTCTCTCGAGTTCACTCTCTCTGACTCTGTCGATAGGCGGGGTCGGGAATCGAACCCCCAATCCGGAACAGCTGAGCACATGTAGATACATGAGGGACGCCCCCATCCTTCCTAACGGAGCGGAAAGACCCAAAACAAGAAGCGAACATGGAGTTTTATTATAACTAACAACAAAACTCACATCAACACATATAAAACTTTGAAAAGAGGATAATTTAGTCTCCAAACTCACCATTTCTTGGTACACTCCAACACGAGTTCCTGGTAAGAGGCGACAAACTGAAACTTTGAAGCCTTTTTACCGACTCTCTGCAGCCTCTTCCAGACAGAAGTCATGATAATATCCTCAGGTGAAAACAGACAAGAGAGAAAGACAGGAAACAGGCTGTATTCCTCCCAGCTCTCTTTGACTATAACAGCCCCTTAAAAGGTCTCCTTATGAGGATGAGGATGATGATGATGATGATGATGAACCTCACACAAGCTGCGACTCGCTCTCATTGGCATCAAGTTGAGTGACGAATGAGGAAAAGATGAGAAATGTCTCCGGACAGAAAGAGCTTTTTAAAGAGAAGTAACGATGATAAATGAGGGCGAGCATCAAAGAGGAACCGAGTCCGTCCTCAACTCTCTGCTGCTGCTGCTGTCATCGGAGTTTTACCTCCTGATTATATGAAGCCAAAGTCTCAACTACTAAACAACAACTTCTCAACTCAGCTCTCATTGAACTCTCCCCCTCTCTTCTCCTGGCACACATCCACACAGAAACAGCACCGCTTACTTAAGCCTGGTTGTAGCTAATATAAGGTCTTGTGCTCGCAATGAGTTCAACCCCCCTCTTCTCCTTCTTCCGTGAGAGAGAGAGAGAGAGAGAGAGAGAGAGAGAGAGAGAGAGAGAGAGAGAGAGAGAGAGAGAGAGAGAGGCGTTCAGGGAGTGAGACAGGCTATGCAAAAAGAGCTCTCTCTCTCTCTCTCTGTGGTGATGCAGCAGTATGCAAACTTCTTTATCTTTCTGCCTATAGGTAACACTGAGGTTAGTCTTCAGTCAGTGCTGGACCTGCAGACTTTGATCCTTACTGTCTATGTCACTGCACACTTACTTATCCTCACCCTCTCACTGAGCTCTAAAAACTCAAGAGCTTCTGTGGGGCTTCATTTCTCATTTTCATTTTTCATACTTCATTCCATTCAGTTAAAAAGATTCTGTAACACTTTACCCTACGCCTATCTCTATAACACATTATAAATATATGTATAATGCATTATAATCACATAATAGCACTGTATAACTATAGTTATAAACACCAATAAATGATCATAATGCTTTATAGCAATAATTAGAACACATAAATAATTTTATCATGACTTACAAGGTCAGGAATTGCAATGTGTTATGCTTATAGTTATAAAGCCTTATGATAATTAATGAGTGTTTATAATGATAGTTATACAAGTCTATAAAGAAATTATAACACATCATTAGTATATGTATAAAGCATTATCTGTGTGAGCATTGTCAGTGAGTTGTTAACAGTTATAACACTTTATAATACCTGACCTTGTAAGTCATGATAAAATGCTTCATAATGTGTTATGATTATTGCTACAAAGCATTATGATCATGTATGAGTGTTTCTAACTATAGTTATACAGTGCTATAACGTGATTATACATATATTTATAATGCGCTATAGAGATAGGCGTCAAGTAAAGTGTTACCAAACATTCAATACAAACAAGGAAAAATCTTAAACGTGAATATAAAGGAGCAGAAAGAAGAAAACTCTTATCGAGTCTGCCCCTCTTTCGTAATATATTAATCAACTAAACACATAATCAATCAATCAATCAATCAAACTTCATTTTTAAAGCACTTTTCATACATGGAATGTAGCGCAAAGTGCTGTCCATTCACAGTAAGTAGAAGTCTTCAAATCAAACAATACAAGAGAGTAAATTTAAAATGGGGTAATAAAACACAAAATAATTACGCTAGGACTAAAACAGCATAAAATCACATCATGTAGATTAAAAGATTAAAACAAAATTCAAGCCAGATTAAAAAGGTTGGTCTTTAGTTTACTTTTAAAAATATGAACATTAGGTGTCTCTCTCAGGTCTGCAGGTAGGCTGTTCCACAGATGGGGACTGTAATATTGGAAGGATGATCCACCAAATGTTTTAGTTTTTACTTTGGGAACAATTAAAAGACCTGAGGGCTCTTCCAGGCTCATACGGTAAAAGCAATTCAAGAAAATAAGAAGGAACAAGACCATTTAGAGCTTTAAAAACTAATAAAAGAACCTTAAAATCTACTCTAAAAGACAAAGGTAATAAACAACTGCAATTTAACAAATGATGGGTTTGAAGGATCCCTGTATTGACTTCTACTAATAATTCGTATTGCTCTTTTTGGTAAAATGAAAATTAGCTGGATGGAAGTTTTGCATGCACTTCCCCACACTTCATCACAGTAGGTCAGATATGGAACAATAATTGAATTATACAAGAGGTACAAAGCTTTATTATCTAAGTAGTCCTTTACTTTGTTTGACATAGCAATTGTTTTTGCTATTTTCACTTTTATTCTATTCATACGTGATTTCCAGGTCAATTTATCATCAAAAATAACATCTAAAAATGTTATTTCATTTACTCTTTTAATCTCAATTACATTTACACAGAAGTGGTATGAAATGAAAAACATGAAGCCTGTCGTTTTTTCATAATGAGCTCATAGTTTAGACTTCCTGGGTTTAGCTGTGTCATCCGACAGCTCCTCAGAGAAAAAGTCTGTTTCATCCAGTAAACTGAAGAGGAATAGTTTCCATAAAGGCTGCCAACCAAGTCATGTCAGCGTGTGTGTGTGTGTGTGTGTGTTCAGGCTAGGTCAAAGCGCAGGGATTTTCCTCGGTGAGAGCAGGAGTGTATTTTTAGGTGGGAGAACAGGGATGGATGGATGGACAGAGGCAGCTGGTAGAGAAGTCCAGGGCGGCAGCAGGAGGCGGGGGGGACAACTCTGCCATGACTCAGAGTTGGTCTAATATTACAGCAGGATTCATAAGGTGCATTATTGCTCTTGGTTGACCTAATTTCTTTTGAGAGTATCTCTCTTGTAAACAGACCTGACAGCTTGTTAGTTTTCACCTCCATTAAAAACTGTACGTCTGTGACATGTTAGAATGTATTGAAAGAATTGGTCAATTGAAAGCATGCCTTAAAGGGATATTCCGGCGTATAATTAAATTCTGTTTAATGGTGAGACCAAACACAACTCACCTACTCTCTTCCAGCAGCCGCTTGTTTGAGAGCGAGACCTCAGGCCAGTCCATTACGGACTACAGCGGGGTGACGCAGGTCAAGGAAGAACATTTATGATCATTTCATCATGGAAATGCAATCAGACCGAGACGCTAAGGCAGAACAACTACCGCGTCTGCAGTGCAAAATGATAAATAGACTTGCCCAAGGTCTCGCTACAAAGAAGTGGCTGCTGGAAGAGAGTAGGTGAGTTGTGTTTGGTCTCTTTGCTAAAGAAATTAGGCAAAACTAAAAAGATGTTTGGTGGCTAGTACTATGGCTGGGACCTTATATATCCTGTTGATGAAGTTAGGTGCTGTTCTGAGCATTATTTGTGGCTTTTTGGTTGAGGTTTGTTTATGCCTCCTTAGACCGCTGTGTATTGCTATCGTGCGGTCGTTACTAAAGTTGGTATAACTAGAGAAGCAAGTGGTCAGCAACATTCATCTCTTGAGGGGGTGTCTAACTCAGTGTTACGGTGTGTTTGATCCTAAATTAATTTTATGCCGGAATATCCCTTTAAGGCAAAGTACTAATGATACACAGTGAAAACTTTAAGTCTGTGACATGTAAGAATGAATTGAAAGAATTGGTGAATTCAAAACATGAGTTAATGCTCAAAGCAGTCAACTGAGAATCTGTGGAAAACAGGCATTTCCTTGGTGACAACTGTTTGTGTTTCCCAGCACTCCCTGCTGACATAAATAGCTCACACCCTAAGTCTGACGACCGTTTATTTCATTCACTGTAGCGCACCAACAGTTCGTACAGCAGCGGTGTAGTTGTGTGATAATTACATCAATTTACAAACATAGACGGTAAAGGCAGAAAAGAAAGACGGCAGTGAAATGAATACAGCTGTCCAAATTTGCAGTGGTCTGATAACCCAAACCACAGAAACATGATAATTAAAAGTAGAGCGAGCACACACTAGCAGTTCATCTCTCTGTTCAACTGCCAGAGAGAGAGACAGACGGGCAGTTCGATTCTAACAATATCCACGACATATGCTGATTATAAATAGAAAACAGCATGAGACTGTCGGCACACACAAGTCACCCCCCCCCCCCCTTCATTCCTGCTTGCCCCACAGCAAATGGTTCTTCCTCCTGGTCTGCTTCCTGGTCGAGCACAGAAGAGGAGGAGAAGGAGAGAGAGGCCTGCAGGAGTGAAGGAGGGAGCTTTTCACTGGAAAGAGTGTGTCCCCTGTTGGTCATATTCTGCAGTGGCATTGTCTTATTTCCTGTACCACGAGTCTAGAAATAGGACTGTGATCACACGTAGTTTCATTGTAGGACTTAGGCTTGGCTCTTTGCTTCTGTTTGAAAACTAAAGTCAACCTGGAGAAGTGCTTTCTTTAGAGGCAGCAGTTCATCTGGGGTGAACTCAAAGATGGCAACCAAGGGGGGTTTCACACCTACGCCGTTTAGTCCAGACTTCCTGACTTTTTTGTTTAGTCAAAACCAAAATGATAGGTGTAAAACCTCCCTAAGACCTTGGTCCGGACCAAACTGCCGGACTTTGATTCAACCAAAAGAGGTGGTCTTGGCCCGTACCAAACGGAACCACAATCTGGTGTGAAAGCATTATTTTGAAAGGTTCAGACCTTCATACCAAAGGCAGGAAATGAAGCGAGGAGTAGAAGTATCTCTTACTAAGTTAAATGGAGATTCTCCGCAAACAGGAGATTTTGTAATATTGTAGATAAAGTTAAACCTCACTATTGACAGCTTATCTTTTCAAGAGTTTTACAACACAGACTTTTCTCCTGAGTCGGTGTTGCAATGACTCGCAGGATCGCATCCTTTCTTTTCCTTTCCTGTCAATGTCGATAAAGTTGTCGTCCAATGATCAAATATATGAGACTTCCTGGGACCAGCCTCATGTACAGCTCTTCAAGTTATCGCTGTTGGTAGTTAAAAATCAAAAATAGTGCAATGGAGGGAATGACGATTTCATCCACGTTTTCACCATTCAAGACCCGCACTTTTAAACGTGTTGACGTCAGACGCCCGCCGGCCTAATGACCAATCAATGTAAACTACAGAGACAAGCAAAGCACATAGTTGATGAGGACATCACGTAGGTTCGTCATGTTAAGTCTGTTAGTCCGTTTGCAATAATGATGGTGTGAAACCTAAACAGACTGAACCAAATGTAAACAATGTAACGAAAACACAGACCTTCTTCTAGACTTTCAGGCGTGAAAACACCTTAAGACAAATATGTTGTTTCAAAAGTTTAATCAAACTTAACTTTGTACAACACCCGTCTTAAGGTGCCAGAATAATTTTGTTACACCCAAACGCCATTTCACTGTCAGCATGTACAGTCATGATTGTTACTGGCAATGATCTACAAAGACAAAAACATCATTAAGTCTTACTTGTTGATCTTGATTTTCTAGTGGCTTCATTTCTGCTGTAACGTTCTTCATAACAGGTGGAGCGAGGTAAGATGCTAATAAGCGAATGACCTGAATTAGAGAGCTCATTTTCTACTGTCTGACATGCTCATAGACGTAACACAATTTAGAAATTAATCTAGAATTACTGTTGGGTGTGTGGAGATTACAGGTGGACCGGCGAAAAGATCCATAAGGGCACAAACTTGGCAGTGAAAAATAACAGTGTGAAAAATGACACACTCTGGAGAAAACTTCAGGATGATACACCCAAAGTTTTCACTGGATGAAACATGACGAGGATAAAAGCTGGAGTATATTCGGCCTGAAAGCAAAAGAAGATTTTCAGTTTGAGCAAATGTCAGGGCGTCGCCACATGCTGCATGTGACATAATCTTAATCAGGGGATATGAAAGGAGTCCTTGATCCATTGGTCCCTGGAGTTACTGCTCGCTGGGGGCACAGACAATGAAGGAGGAGGTTGTGAGAGAACTTCTGTCTCCTCCTCGTCTTCCTCTTCTTCCTCCTCCTCCTCTTCTTCTTCAGAGTCCCCGTTATAAGTACTGAAGGAGGCCTCAGACAGAAGTGAGGAGCCCTTGTACTCCTGGATGGCCTCGTGGAGGGACCACAGCTGGCACAGCAGGGACATATCGAGCTGACGCAGACCCACCTGTCAGACACAAACACGAATATCATTTTCTGTTGATCAAATTTAAATGATAACACAAGAGGTGCTGTTACACTGAAAATCAGCACAGCCTATGGGAAAAGTGTGTTACTATTTAGTGAAACTGCATGACCGCTGGTATATTGATATATATATAAAAGTTCCACAAGGGTCTGTAGGTATTTATAACGGGTAATGGGTAAGAATACTTTTGTTTCTTTATCTATGCAACAGTTTTCCTATAAAAACGAATTCCCATGTATGATCCGTGTGCTTTTTCGATGTAGTTTAAAGGGATATTCCTGCGTAAAATTAAGTTAGGGCCAAACACTCCGTATCACTGAGTTAGACACCTCCCTCGAGAGATGAATGTTGCCGACTGCTTGTTTCTCTAGTTATACCAACTTTAGTAATGACAGCAGGATAGCAATACAGAGAGTCATGCGCTCAACCAAAACGCCACTCTATAGCCACAAATAATGCTCAGAACAGCACCTAACTTCATCAACAGGACATATAGGGTCCCAGACATAGCACTAGCCACCAAACATCTTTTTAGCTTTGACTGATTTCTTTAGCAAAGAGACTAAACACAACTCACCTTCTCTCTTCCAGTAGCCGCTTGTTTGTAGTGAGACCTCTGGGCGAGTCCATCACCTGCAGCGGAGTATCGCAGCTCAAGGAAGAACATTTATGATAATGTCTTCATGGAAATGCAATCAGACCGAGACGCTAAGGCAGAAGAACTACCGCGTCTGCAGTGTAAAATGATTATTATGATCATTATTACTTCAAGGAAATGATAAAGTAATGATCATAAATATTCTTCCTTGAGCTGCGAAACTCCGCTGCAGTCGATGGACTTGCCTGGAGGTCTCCGTACAAACAAGCTGCTGCTGGAAGAGAGAGGCTGAGTTGTGTTTAGTTAGTTTACTTAATTTTATGCTGGAATTTCCCTTTAAGCTTAGATTCAGAGAAAACCTTAATTTTTAATTAAAATACTTTAATTACGATAGCTTGAAGAATGAAAAAAAAAAGGTTCATGCATTATTTCTTTGCACAGGATCACAGTGACTTTTTGCTCTTGATGTCTCACCATCTCTTTCCGCAGTAAAGCCAGAGCAGCGTCCAGTCCACCAGGTTTACTACTGAGGCGAGGCGCGTCCCCGCCGCCCCGGCTGATGTCGGCCTGGATGCGCGCTCTCTTGCTGTGCACCTTCTCGATATCCCGCCACGAACCGCCGCTGGAGTTGAGGATGCCGCTCAGGCCCTTGGGCAGAGGCGGCAGACCCTCCACTAAAGCCGGGACGCCGCCCACCGGACTGTCCGCCGCGTTGCAGCAACTCCCGTTCATCGGAACGTGGGTGACCGCGGACTCAGCGCAGAAATTACGCGACACAAACACGAATAAGACGCCAATTCCTTCTCAGCAGCATGAAAAGGTGGTGGGGATGCGTGCAAACCAGGTCAATGCCAACCTGTTCTTTGGGCTGTGCAGTCAACTCTGCTTTCTCCTCGGGTTTCCTGGCTTTGTTTTGTTTCCTCTCCTTTGTGTGTGGTACAGTTCACCCAGACAGCCTCCGGCTCCTCCCGGGAAGGACCGCGCCACGCCCCGCCCCGGTCTGCGTGTGTGGGGGAGAGCTGTCAATGTATTTGTTATAAATCAACAAATTCTGAACTCCGTTCAGTCAAAACACACAGAAACAGATCCTATTTGCCTACCTGTGACTAATTACTGGGTGTATACAAACGCGTGGGTGTGCGTGCGTGCGTGGAGACAAAACAGCCTCTAGTATTGGTGCAGATATAGGGCACATTTCAACTAATGCATTCTACATTTTATTGGTCCTTAAAAATGTCCTTGTTTAAATACAACAATTTTTCAGTTAACATACTTTATGGCATTTGTATTTGGCGACCCCCTGTGGAAAGAAAAATACTGCAGAGGTTCCGAACAGGCAAAAGTTTCCTCAGAACAGTCAGAACTGATTGACTGAAAATTAAAATATGAGAAATAAAAATAGTGCCATAATATTAACGCAATATGAAGATGGTGATTCATTTGCTCCATAAGGAAGCACATTGCATTCACCAGATGAAAAAATGAGACATATTATCTCATAATTACGAGATAAGGTGTCTGAATTATTTTTTTCATGTGAATACAACACGCTTCCTTAGCTCCAGATTCTTACCACATTATGTCACTGAATCCTATCCATAGTCACTGTAACTATGTCGTATCTTAGATATTTACCATAAAACAGTAACAGCCTTTCCTCAACAAAAAGGGGCTGAAAAGTAACAGATTTAAGAGTCAGACTGAACAGTGAGGTCCTGATCCGGTGATCGGTGGGTCGCATGCTTCACAGTCTGTACCTTTGACTTGTAGTCCAGAGCTGTTTAATGTCTGTCAGCAGAAACTTGCTCAAATGCAGACATATCACTGTAGTGAACACAAGTGTACTTTAAGTTTTCAGTTTTTGATTTTTGTGATTTACAAAATTAACACCAACCTCTGCCTTCTGCAGAAAAAAAACAGATGTTGTCGATCACTGAATTCAAATTTGGTCGCTATCTGAATGAGTCCAAGACAATTAACCACAGAAATACATCAGGTCTTTTCCTGCTCTATTCTGATTCTTATATTCTTCACTGGCCAGTTGGTCTTTGATCAATATGGATGCTGCATACACATTTATAATATTCTGTTTGTATATTTTAAGTATGGATGGAAAAAGAAAACAGTAAAATGTTGGAACATAGCAAACCTTAAAATAATAGTTCTGCTAGTCATAAAAGTCTGTTAACTGAAGAGCAACGTGAACAAGTTTGACATTTTAATCCTATTTCAAGTGCAATTCTTGACCAATTTCAATTCAGCTCTAATCAAGGATTCAGTCAAAAGAGAAGTGCCGCAAAGCAGCGAACAAGAGTCAATACTCCAGGACAGAGGCAAGTTGAAACAGTGTTCCTGTAAATTCATGGTACAATCTTTACCATGATGGCTACTGGTTGAGCTCCTTGAGGCTGCGCAGTGAACTGGCACAGCTGGCGATGAGGGTACAGAGCTGGATACTTGCCTCCAGGGAGGCTGAACTCTGTAGCTGGTTTGTGGCCCAGCGAAGTTTGGTTAGAACAGCTTCCTCCGCTTCTTGCAGCACGGGTTGGAGAGTAGGGCTCTGTGCAATAACTGGAGGGCGAGCAGGTGCGAGGGATGTGGTGGGAGCAGGAGGTGAAGGAGTAGGAGCAGCCGCTGGAGGCAGGAGAGCTCTTCCACCCGCGGCCGCCCCCTCACAGTGCTCCGGTCTGGGAACTGACACACTCGCCTGAGTGCTGGGGCCACCATTAAGAACAGGAGTCTGGGATGGTGTGGGGGACTGGGCCGCGAGTTGTCTTTCCCGTACTTGAGACAAAGCTGCCTGTGCATTTAGAGCTGAGAGAAGCAGAGGAAACAGAGAATAATACAGACAAAAAAAAAAAAAAGGTTTAGTCACATGAGGGTACAAAAAAAGACACAAAAGGAAGAGACAGCTGATGACTTAAAGCGATATTGTGGCGTACATTTAATTTAGGGTCAAACACACCGTCACACCAATCTAGACACCCCCTGAAGAGATGAATGTTGCCGACCGCTTGTTTCTCTAGTTACACCAACTTTAGTAACGACCGCAGGATAGCAATACACAGCGGTCTGAGGAGCCATAAACAAACCTCAACTAAAACGCCACTCTATAGCCACAAATAATGCTCAGAACAGCATTTTAATATTTTTTGTTATTTATCCTGATTAGAATTCTGAGAGACTGACTCTGTGTTGTGACGTGTTTGACCCTTAATTAATTTAACACCCGGATGTCCCTTTAATCCTTGTGTATTTGAGGTGAGGGTGTGTGTGTTGAGTGTACCAGGGTTGTCCTTGTCAACATCAGAGTCCAGCTCCTGACATGAAACACAGTAGATTTTCTGCTGTCTGTCCTGAAGAAGAATCGTCTGCATACACACACACACACGTGATTTTAACCCATGTATTATATAAACTGTGTATAGTACTTTGAAGGGTCTTCTGGGAACACAGAATAAAGAATAAAACCACTGACCCCGCAGGTCTCGCAGCAGTCTCCCAGCATCTTGTATCCTTTGAGCAGATAGTCTCCCATCAACTTACTGATCTTGTCCTGTCTCTCTCTCCGAGCCTGGATCACCTTCATCTCTGCCTCTGTGGGAGGCTCCCACTCGAAGTCTTCATCATCTAAAAAAAAAAAAAAGAGTAAAAAATAAAACCGAAACCACCTGAACAGACACAGACCCACACTAATGTCAGCTGCTGTCACCATCTTCATAACAAACAACCTTAATGCTATCCAGTGTTCAATTTCTGAGAGGTGTATAACAGTGATTTTTTACTTAATGTTTTTACACTCAAGAACAAGATAAATACATGTAAATAAACGTTGTTTTGGTCGGTGTTTTAGCGCTGCCGCAGTGCTGCTATTGCTAAAAATGCTGACAAGCTAAGCTAGCATTTCGACAGGGCTAACGATATCCACGGAAAGAGGAAAAGGACATTTAAGTGAGAGTCAAAGTAAAAATATGACATGTTCAATGTGTAAGGTAACGCGGTAGTTTATTCGCAGCAAATGTTTATCAGAACAATGTCAAAGTTATCTAGTTTATAAACTAATAAGTTCACAAACCTCCATTCAGAGCCATGTTGCTTCAGTGCTACACGTTTTGCGTGATGACGTCGACAGTAGTGATCGTTGGCTTCTTCTTCTCTAAACTCGCGCGACGCTTCAGGTCGAAATAGCGCCTCCCTGACTGATGGCATGAGCTGAGTACAGCAGGCTGGAGGACTTATTCGAGCAACCGATATTAACCACAGTACTCGAGTAGAGGGGGGATGTACGGTGGCCGAGAACCGCCACTGCTGCAAATTAAAAAGAATGCAAAAAAAAGTCACAACAAAAGTTACCGATGCAAAAAAAGAAGAAAGAAAGAAACTGAAGGCCACTGCAAATAAAAAAAGGAATGATGCAGATGAAAAAAAGCCACAACAGAAGTTAATGACGCAAAAAAAGTGGCGATGGAAAAAAAAAAGAATTACTGAAGCTAACACTACACCGGTATCCTCCAGTTCAACTTCATATCGACTCAGGTGCTACACGGCCTAACTGTATCACACAAAATTAAATTAAACAATAACCTTTCCATTTTTTTATTTTTCTCGCCGTCGTCTTCTGTGCCTAGATCGTAAAACACAGGTGCATCATCATTATTGGTCCCCGACAGCTCACTTCCATTGTGGCTTTTTTTATTTGCATCCTTTTATTTTCGCGGTAAGTAACTTTTTTTTTTTTTCCATTGCTACCTTTTTTTTTTTTTTTTGCGTTGTTAACTTCTGCTTTGGCTTTTTTTTATCTACCCCGTTTCTTTTTTATTTGCAGTGGCCTTTGGTTTCTCTCTCTTTTTTTTTGCATCAGTAACTTCCATTGTGACTTCTTTTTTTTTTTTTTTGCATTCTTTTTTATTATTTCCAGCAGTGGCAGTTCTCAGCCACTGTACAAACAAAAATGGTTAAAATCATCCCCCTTCTTAAACAGTCATGATCCCACCTTTCCATTCCTTGAGCCATCTTTGTCAATGAATGCGGAAATATTATGATTATTTTAACAAGAGAAATATTACCACCATTTCAACGTTTAGGTGGTGAGATGGAGCGGAATCACTGTCTGTGGACAGTGCATGGAGACACACAAACACACACAAACATTTTCCTCCCCACCAACGTTGCTAATTACCCACTAAACAGTGGTACCTTTTTCTCCCTTCTCCGTTAGATAGGGTAACCAAGGTTGCATAACTGAAGCTCTATCATTTAACTTAAACATACATTCACATAGATATTAATCTCTCCACTTACCTGCCAGGCTGTGTTTTTCCATTATATTTTGACTGCTTAAGCATGAACCTCGTGACAGGGGGCATATTTGGTAAAATACTTTTTAAGTGTCAGTAAGTGGCGAAGCAGCGCTGGTAACTGTTTGAATCGGAGCGCTACCACGCCTTTCAATTAATGAAAAATTAATTCATTAAATTAATTTGTTAAGTTTATCTTCCCATCCTGTCTGCCCACACATAAAAAACTCCTCTAGGTAATAAGTCCAATAAAACATCAGACAAGTGAAAAGCTTTGTTCCGTCATGTTGGTGCATGTTAATTCCAAGCTTGTGACCCATCTGAATAAGTAATGAAACCCACAATGTTTCTGTTTTTAACATTTTTTTATTTAGTTTGACTCTATCTGGCTTCAGGTCCAAAACATAATCTGGTCCATTTCACAGAAGAAAAATAACATCAAAATATGCGTATCACTGTTATCCAAAGCACAGTGGTTTTTATGGTCTTCATATTGATTTCCTATCTTCCCCCCCATTTTATTTTTCTGCTGTTTAGTGAAAAAGACTTTTATTTTGTGTAGTCCTACATTAGTCTTTGGTCTCTACATGTTGGAATTAAAATACCCCCTCTACAGCTATACAACAATAAATCAATACAGAAAAAACATGGACAATTAAATCTGTTTGGGCTCTGATGTTATGTTGTGGTTACATCCTTGTATGGTGTTCATCTTAAGTTGCTTGATTATGGTTATAGTGTTTCATTACGTCTCATCCACGTCCAAATCCAACTTTGTCTTTCACTTCGTTTGTGTCTTTTGCTCTTGTTGTCTTCCTGTCATTTTTTACATTTCTGTTCAACCGTCTGGGAAACATCCTCTGGAAAGGAAAGTAAAAATACTATGTAGTTTACAATCATTACCTTATTTTTTACTGACACTTTCATTCATATTTTAAAATACATTTTGATTTTAAATCAGTCAGTGAATTTTGATATATTTTCAGACACACTTTGCACACATTCTTACCTTGACAATGGGGGATTTTCTTTTAAAACACTGCAAAAATAATAAATAAAATGATAAGTCTGAGGTTTCTCATCATTACATAATACAATACCTAGATGATATTAAAATGCACAAAAAAAAAATAAGAGTGATTTGGTACTTACGCTGATGTTTTGTCTTTACTCTGCTCACGTTCAGGGGCAGATTAATAAGAGAAAAATACAGAATAAGAACCATACAGACTGTGAGTTAGATTTAATCTTAAAGTGTACATGTTTGTGATAAACATACCTTCTGGTTTGGGGTGCATGAGACTCAATGGCAGCTCCAAGGTGACATCACTGAGGAGAAAACAAATCAGCCAATCAGAAAAATACAAATACTTAGTGATAATTATTGTTGTTAAGTTATTCATGATTCAATATAAACTCTACTCACCTGGCAGTGAGTCCGCCCAGCAGGCTACGAGAAGACGAGAAAGATGTTATATGTTTGTTTTTGTTTCAGAGACAAAAGTATTCAGACAGAAACAGTCACTCACCCTCCTCCAGCAACCATGAGGTTAATTTTGATCTTGTAGGAAACCAGAATTCCCAACACTTCTTTTTCCAAACCCCCTCGCAACCTTCAGGGTACAAATACAAGCATTACAGGTTACACACTGCATGCAAGAAAAGCAACGATTTGACCTGGTTTGCCAAAAACAAGTTTGACTTATTGTCCAAATTTAGAGGTGAGATACTCAGGAGACTTACATTGTGGTGGAGGCCAAGTTGGTATCCTCATCTTTCAGTCGTCCATCCAGTGCCAGACCTCTTTTCTCCTTGTTCTCGGCTAGGCGGAGAGTAATGGACAGAGTGTTCTCATAGGTGCCGTTGGGCTCCACTGTTTCTCTGTGAAGAAAGAATAACACATAAACCATACAGTCACAGATACGACTCTGTGCTTTTACTTCAACAATATGATTTATTGCGCTTCAGTGATTTGTGTTTTCCACATACCCAAACTCTTGGAGGAAAACTTGCTTGGTGTATTTGTCCGCCGAGTATAGGACAATGTCTGTGGTTTGGTCCACTGTGAGAGGAGTAAAGAGAGGTTTACACACACATTTTTGTTTGCAGTAAAAAAAAGAGCACATTTTATGACGCTTTTTCCTGAGGAACTCACCGGTGATTCTGAATTTCTTGACTGTTTTGTTGCTCTCATTGTTGATTTTGATTTTAATTGGAATTGCTTCGCCGTGAAAGTAGAGCTGCGGTCAAACCAGAAAGACGTTAACAAATTCATCGACAAGAACAAACTCGATGAATGTGACGCATAATAATGAAGTTTTGACACTGTACATCTTTGTCCATTGAAGCTTCTAGATGAACGGGTTTGTCAGACATCATGAAGTTTTTGCAGAGTTCAGCCTTAGGGCCGGCGCCGATCTGGGTGGGGGCGTACTGGACTTTACGGATGACAAGGCGAGCAGTGTCTCTGTGAGGCAGGAGAGGACAGAGGAAGGAGGATGAGAGACAGGAGCAAAACAGTTAAAAGGGCACCGGTTGCATGCCATGGGGAACCCCAAAGTGTGTAATGGAGGTATTAGCTTTTTGACCATTTAGTGGCTCTTAGAGGCTGACTCATTTGCGCCAGTGCGGGGAGAAAACTTAATCGAAATGGGAGCCTTTCTGCATCTTCTTGTTGTTGCAATCAGATAGTAGCTCAAAGACAAGAGTGTACTCACTTCTTTTCAATCTTTTCATCGGCGTTGCTCTTCTCCTTGGCGAGGTAAGTTTTCACCTCAAAGTCAACACCACAAGCCTTGAAAAACAAACAAACAGATACGCAGATAAAACAATCAAATCAGCTCTTTTACACACAAAGAGCTGTGTTTTTATATAAGTTTGTTGTTGGACTGAGTTTTACCTTGCCCTTGTCATCTGGTCCGGGCTGCAGAGAGACTGAGCATGGGAGGTTGGTGGGTATCTGGAGAGACAGAGAAGCAGAAGAGTTGTTTTTATCCTTTAAACAAACCGACAAAGAGCTCAAACACTGTTTATCAAGCTGAAAACTTAATTCTGCCGTCTATCATGCCTCAAAAGTGAAAGGGTGTGAGTTGTCCCCAGCCTTCTTCAACAGAGTCTCATGCATGGGGGTCAGAGTTGGCTTATGATTCTCAGGGTAAATCTGGACGTGCTGGATCCAGATGTCCTTCCTGAAGCACAGGCCCATCACATCCAGGTCATCACTACCATAACGGAAGGCACATGCCAGCTGCACAAAGACTGTCAGCACAGCACAGGTTAATTTTTTATTTTTATTTTTCCCAACCACACTTCAGCAAGAAAAAACAGAGACAGTTAAAGAGACTGTGATCATCATTCACCTTTTCTGTCTTTAAAGTCTGTCGGATCCAGCTTTACGACACCATCTGTGAAGATAAGAAAGCAGATATGGTTACAGACATCATCCTTTCATGGGCAGAAACTAGGGGTGAGAATCACTAGTGGCCCCATGATACAATATTTTCACGATACTAAGGCAACGAAACAATATTATCATGATACTTGGGACCCCATACGATATTATCACGATACGATATCATCACAATACTTAGGTCACGAAGCAATGTTATCATGATACTTAGGACACCATACGATATTATCACGATACGATATTATCACAATACTTAGGCAACGAAATAATATTATCATAATACTTAGGCCACGAAACGATATTATCATGATACTTAGGACACCATACAATATTATCACGATACGATATTATCATGATTCTTGGGCTATGATGCGATATTATCACAATACTTGGGACACGATACGATATTATCACGATACTTGGGCCATGATGCGATATTATCACAATACTTGGGACACCATACGATATTATCACAATACGATATAATCACAATACTTGGGACATCATACGATATTATCACGATACGATATAATCACAATACTTGGGACACCATACGATATCATCACGATACGATATAATCACAATACTTGGGACACCATACAATAATATCATGACACTTAGGACACCATACGATATTATCATGATACATTATTATCACGATACTTAGGCCACGATATGATATTATTGTGATTTTCAAAATGTTGTAATTCAGTGAGTATTGCAATACAATATTTTGCGATTTATACATTTTTTTCATTTGTTTAGCTAATTTAGCATTTGGCTTTCCTTAATGTTTGTCTTATTTACGCTGTATTTTATTTTCATGTAGCACATCTTGCAAACCTTTTATATCTATTTGTTGTACTAACTTTCTCCTGCTCTATGATGTCACCTCTGCCGACTTCACTGGACAAACAGTTGATTTTATTTTTCCATTATCATAGATTTGACTTCATATTAACAGTTACTTTGAAAATAATCAGTGCTTGGTAAATGAGACGATACGATATATGACCAGACAAAATATCGCGATACTATACTGTATTGAAACACACTGACTGAACATGAGCTTACCAACTTGGTCTACACTGTTCATATGGTCCACATAGTCCCTCTTTCCCAGGTAGAGGGTCACCTGTCAGAAAAATAAAAGTTTTTCAGATCCTGTTGAGTGTTTCCAAACGATGAAACGTGTTTTAAGATCATCAAGTAGTAGAAATATAGACTCACTCCTCCGTTTCCACTGGTCTTCTTGTAAACCCTGAGTAAAAAGGATAAGAGAGAACAGTTGAACAACATCTACCATCCTCATCCAGTCCTTTGTCTTCTCCTGACAGTAAATTGTAAGTTTAACACATAACATGTATGAAAAGTGCAACATAGCTGCAGAGCTCGAGACTAATTTGAAAGTAAGTGTCTGGTGAATGTAGGTTGACTTCATTTGAACACAGTACCGAGTAACCGTCTGGATTACCCAGATAAATTAATGATTAGTTTTAGGCTGTAGAGGTGAAGTAAGTTCGTTTGCCAGCAGCAGAAGGGCCAATAATCCCTTATTCCCTTTTATCCAGTTAGGAAAAGCTAAGAGTGGAGCAGCTTTACCTCATCGTGCCTGGATTGAGAGGCTGGCCCAGGTGAGGGAGCTACAAATGGTGTGTGGCACGGTTCCCAAACAGCTCATTACCTGTGTGTCTGTCTAAGAGCCCGTTTGAACCAACGCATACGCTAATTAATCCTTTGCAAACCTCAGATTAACACTTTAAAAACTACTTGTCACATTCAGGAGTTGGCTGACCCAGGGTCAAAGTCTGCAACAATGAGGTAGTGCGGTTATAAACGCTGGTTTTTAAGGCATTTCAGACACTAATATAAAAACAAATCTTTGTATTTGAGGAAAGTTAGCACTGTCACTGGAAATAAACCTTTTCACTTTTTTGATTCGTCAAAATAAAACAAGAACATAAACATGAAGAAAGTAACAAAAAAGGAAAGTATTACTTACTTTGCCATATTTATTGGGTCTTGACGAGAGCTCTTATTGAGAGTGAAGAAGGAAAAACAAAAAAAGCAGATTTAGGTTATTAAAGGTAACAGCGTCATCAAATGTTATGTATTTAGAAAGTGATCCCGCACCAACTACCAGCTTTCTGGGGTGATGTTTTGTTTTTAGACACCACAAAGTTAATCCCATCTGATCAGATTACACCATCAGTGTTAGGATCCAAATATGTTATAGCTGAACTGGCCCTCATCCAGCAGACGCCAGGTTTCACACCAAACCTCCACGCCAGATTTACACCACATTCACTCAACATTATGTCACGTACAGCGGCGAAGCCAAGGCCGCCGCTTGAGTGAACTATTCAAGGACAATTAAATGGATGAAGCCCATTCAGTAACTTGGTGGAGTCTTCCTGGACTTAATGAGACGCTAAGCCCTAACGGCACCCCTTTATAGCTCTTTAATGGGGATTACTACACGATGATTTGGTTTGTGTTTCAGGTGACAAAAGTAAACTTTGCTTTCCTGAATGATCACATTTTGAAACAGATTATTTACTTAAAATGGACAGAAATTAAACATTCAGTCGAGTAAGGGCGCAATTTATCATGTCCTCGATTATATAGTGTCACAGCTTGTTGCCTAATAGACCTAAACAAGAAATTATGTTATGTAACGAGCCTTCAGAGAACATTACACATGCTGCTTTCCAGAAGGCAGACACCAAATTTCCATTTGACCTCCTATTTTTAGGTGTTCAAGTGGATGCAGAGACTGAGAATGGTGATTAATCGCCCCTGGAAGGACTCCTCGAATCTAAAACCAACTATGCGGAGTCAGGACTAAGGGGTCCATGTGTAATTCAGGAACTTAAAAAAGTATATTTCATCCAAAGGCTACATAACTGTAGCATATTATTTAACCTATAGTTTTATGCTCAGCAGCATTTTGTGTCATTTAAACACAGTTAATGCAGCTGATTAAAGATGTTTAACAAATCCAGATCAGTTAGTCAAGCATCTGAATTTCATTAAATAAAAAAAAAAAAGTTAATTGCAAGTGATTCAGTCGTTAAGATTTGAGCTTTAAATCACAGCAGCTGTATTCTGACTCTCAATGGCAACCTTAAATAAAGCGAGTGTTCGTTAGACTGTTAAAGAGAGTAAATTAATGCTATAAAACAACAACTGAAAAGAGACTGGAGGTGTAATATGACAAGGATTTATAAATGCCCACTTCGACTTAAAATAGTAATTCGTTCAGCAAACACTTAATGAAGTCTCTATAGGTATGAGCCGGTGTCGTATTTCTAAGCTCCCTCCTGAAATTGAAAACAACAGCTGCATTTCGACACAAGTTTAACCATCACTCGTTCATCCATCCAACCATCTATGCATGAAGATGTAGAGGTCTTACCTCTTGTCAGCTGTCCGGGAGCTTGGTCAGAGGGAGTGGAGAGTGTACGCTCCTCAACACTTGACCTCCCTTTTTATACCTGCAGCCTCTCTCCAAACATCATTCAGGCTTAGCTGGTTCATTGTCGCTGTCGTTGCCTGCTTCTTAATCCAGTTAGGCAATCAGGGGTTGGCTTTTTGGGACTACAAAGGGTTTAATAATACCAGCAAGCTAAATCACAGGGACAGACATACAACCATGCAAGCAAGCCGCCACATGGCTGTGTTAGTAGTAGGCGGTTAATCTCCGCTTCTCCACACACCAATCAATCAATTGTGCATCAATTCAGAGGAGAAGACCATGTTTGGGTCCCTGAGATCTGGGTTAATGTCTTTGAAAAACATCCATGGACTAATTACGTCAGAAATGTGAGGTTAATGCTCTGAACGTCAGTGAACTTGGGTTTAATAACAGAATATAATAATAGAATTTCTATTCATGGCCTGATCCATCTCTGAGCTGCACCTGTTTTAAACAAGGGGTTATACTCCGTCCTAAATTTAGACTGGCAGTGAATGTATGTCTTTAGCTCAGACACCTAAAGCTGATATTTTTGGCTTCGGCCTTTCTTTGGTATATTGTTTATAAATTTTGAAGTCATGCTCATTGAAGCCCAAACATTAAAAAGAGTTAAAATTGGCAACTTCACATAAAATTCTCTCATGTTTCTGGTCTTAAAGAGAATTGTAATCATATTTTTTTTTACATAACTTTCTTAAATTTCAGTTTTAAATTATGAAAGAGGATGAGGGCCACATGAAGAGAAAAAAATAATAACAGGAAGGAGATTTAAGTTGAAATTTCAAGATTAAACAAATCGAGATAATGTCAATAAAGTCATAATTTCGAGATTGAAATTAAAATTTTGAGATTAAAGTCAAAATTTAGAAATTAAAAAAATTAAAAATTTGAGATTAAAGATGAAATTTTTGACTTTATTCACGTAATTTTGATATTTTTTTAAATCTCCAAATCTCGACTTTAATGTCAAACTTCTATTTACTTCATCTCGACTTTTTTAAATTTTCACTTTTATCTCGAAATTTTGACTTTACTCTCAAAATGGAAATTAAAAAAATCTCCCTCCAATAATAATATTTTTTCTCTTCTTGTGGAATTAACCCGCTTTCATTTTAAATACATTTTCATTCACAAAAAAAAAAAAAAAATCAGAATCAGGATTGAGGCGCCCCGTTTATGTTTTAAAAAATTTAAGTAAAGGTAAATAACGAGTGTGAGATATTTTTAGGTGTTTGTGGAGAAGTGTGGAGATTCCCAGTATTCAAGTCCGTCTGATCTGAACAGATTAAGTAATCCTAGTCACATTACAGCACAGATGAGTGGAGCACCAAGTGCCACGTCAATAGTAAGCTTCCTTATTCAACTGTGTCTCAGTAACATGCCAGAGATCAGGTGCAATCACTAGAGGAGCGGTTGACTCCTGAACTTTTGAGCCCGGGGGAAACCTTAACCAACAGGTTCATTTTAACGAGCTCATGCTGAAAGTTCAACTCCGGATAACTATTTTGAATCTGAGCCAGGCTGTCTAGGTCAACCCTATACCACATCTTACCGGCTGATACGTGGGTGAATCATTTCAATGGTGTCATGGGTTGCTGCAAAAACAAACAAAAACAGGGCTTTACACTATTTTTTTTTTTTTCACAAAGAGCACATGTGCTTCTAAGTTGAAAATGTAAGGAGCAAACAAAGAACTTTTGGGGCACAATCATAATTTATCAAATAATGTTGTCTTATTGGTCGACATAAGTATTATTATTTGAAATCAATTTTAGGTCTCTTGGTCACATGACACGGAAGCTCTTGAAGGAAAACAGCCTTTTCTGAGAACATTAACCGGTAATTTATTGATGGTCCCTTATTTAACACCCGACGTTGACAGCGAGGATGTCGAGTAGATTTAACCGCGCTGCCGTTGTTATTCCCGGTTATGGAGAGTGAGAAGACACCTGTAGATCCACAATAAATGTCCATCTGACATCCTACCTAAAACTAACTTCACTGCAGTATCTACATGAAAAAACATTTGTTGCCTCGGCTAATTTTTTATGCGCACATGTGCCCCTAAATACATTTTACAATTCGCACACATCTAATTTTAGTCGCACTGTTGAGCCCTGAAAAAATGAACATTTTAAGGATCATGAAGCTGTTGCATTTCTAAGTCAGTCTTAAGAGGCCTTTTGAAATAAAACGACTTTTACTAAGTTCTTAAACAACTGATTTCCTGGATGTTTAAACAGAAATTTAAACCCCAACAACTGAATGCCGTCTGTCATATAGGGATGGGCGATAAATTACCGTTCACGATATATCGTCAGAAAAATCCTCCATGATAAATATTTGCCGCCTCATGATAAATACAATAAATGCAAGTTGATGACGTAAGCAAGAGTGATGGACTCACAGCCATAACCCACACAGAGCAGAATAACAAACAAACATGGCCGAAGGTGATTAAGAAGATGTTTCTAAGCAGCTTGTTACTGAACGAGGCTCCACATGAGGGATTTCCTTCAAGATTGGGTCTTAAATGAGCGCAGTCAGGTCTGCCTGACATCAGACAGACGATCTGTTCACTCTGTGCAATAAGAGTTTTCAATAAATGTTGAAAATGTTTTCACATTTGAGACTTCCCACCAAACATTGGACGCCGAAGAGACGTGCAGATCAAGTCAGTATTGGGTCGGTCCGTCAAAGACCATATCTACACATCGTGCAAAATAGGTTAGAAAGTTCGACGTCCAAATTGGACCTTTTTTAGACGCCGCTGCATGTAATAAAAATCTGCTTTTAGGGAGATGATTTTGTTGAAAAGTATCTTTAGAACATCTAACAAAGTGCTCACAAAGTGTACCCAAAACCCTCCAAGGAAAGCAGAAAAAAACATAAAAGATCATTTATATCATTATTTTAGGTCCCTTGGCCGTTAGAAATAAGAAACATGTAATAATTATTCAAATCAATAGGAAGTTGTTTCTGTATTTACAGTGAAAATATGGTTAAAGTAAGGTTAAATTAACAAAAGGCATTAGTTGTAATCCAGTCAGGTTCAGTCGAGTTACCTCAGCGATGGCCCACAAGTCAAGGGTCACTGTGTTGTAGTGACTCCAGCTTTGGCCGAGGAGGAACCAGTTCAAGTGCAGGTGTAAGTCTCATGTTAGGGTGTTACCTGCTTTATTGTCCCTCAAGTTTGGTTTCTGGAAAATACGCCTTGAAGTGAGCAGATTATCGGGTGATCGGTTAGAAAAACATTTCCAGGATGGTATAAACTTCTGTAATCCCAGCAGGGTTGAATAAATCGCCCCAGTAAGCCCCGGGTTTTAACAGAACAAGAACAACACATCTTTCTTAATCATTGTTTTGACCTCTTGACCAATTTGCTTCCTGGAAAAGTGTAGCTTCTTTGGCTCTGAGCCTGATTGATAAACAACATAGGTGCAACATGACTGCGATTCTCTCAACGCAGGATTTTCAGACGAACACACGACTGGATGACAAACACTAACACTAAGACAGAAAGTTAGACAGTAAGAATTTAGGATTTTAGGATCACTAATAAAGTTGATATCAAGCATCATGTGAAAAAAAGGATATGATATAATATTTATAAATAGTACAGTTTTATATAACTAAATTAAAATGGTGTCAATTGATTAAAAACGCTTATTTTTGTTTAACTGAAACATGAACATTTTTCGTCCTTCAACAGTTGTCTTTTTTAAGTGTCATAACCAGGTTTATTGTGCATGTATTGTGATAATTAAGTTTTCTTTTAATTTGCTCTATTAGGCCTTGTTAAGCTGATAACACGTTTTGCTGTACACAATGAAAACGGTCCGTAATTCTGTTTTAATCTAACTGCAATAAAGGAAATGAACAGCATTTATGAAAACAGATGGTCAAGTGATAAAAACAGATATAAATAGATACAGTAGAAACAGATGCCTAGCTTGTACCTGGTCTTGAAAGCCCAAGTTGGCAAAGTTCCCACCTGCTCAGAGCACTTTATTTAGGACCAGCTCAATGGAAGCTCTGTAGGTGGCTTAGCCTTTTTAAATACCAAACAGTCAGACCAAATAACCATGTGAAGTGTCTCACACTAAGTGTCAGCCAAAGGCCACAAACTGGAAAATAATTAATCTACAGGTCAGTACAGCCCAGGGGGATGAGAGGAGGCACAACAACCAGATGAAGTTCATCAGAGTCAGGATCAGCATCTCTATACCACAGAGATATAAGGACTTCAACTTGGGTTTCAAGTTCTTTTATAACTGTAAATACACTGACATAAATCGCCCAATCATTGCTCTAAACTCAAGAATGCTCGACCAAATTAAAATAACGAGATTCAATTACACTTGCCAGCATATAGGTTAACTATACCGCAGATACAAGATGTAAAAGACAACAAGTTTCTTAGGTTAAGGTCAAACTTCCATAAACTGACAACCAGGAGTGACTACAGTCCAAGTTAAATCAGCACAGCAGCCTTTGTGGAAACAGAAAATAATTAAAAACTGACCAAATCGTTCAGGCAGGAAATACAAAGCATACAATATTAGTTTATTTAATTACTTTAGGTAGTCATGGATAAATGCAGCTCTTTTTAACAGTCCATCATGTACGACAAACCAGTGTCCCGCTGAGCATTTTTTGGTCTAATAGACGTCTAAATGTAGCCGAGACGACTAGTCTAAAATCAGGCTACCACAGGTCTAAAAATAAAAGGTTTTCTTAGACATCTAAATTTAGACCAAAGTTAGACTAAATCTAAATCTGGGCTAAATCTATACGACACTGTATGTTGCTCAACAGCGATCATTATTATTTTGGTTAAGTACTTGATGATCAGTTATGCAACTCACAGCTGCTTTTTGAAATAAATAGTTATCGAATAATGCGGTAAAATGCAACAAATAAATTCTGTCTAAAAATATACAGAACCAAGACATTTGAAATTAGGTCTAAAAAAGCTAGATGTCTAATAGCCGTCTATTGCTCAGTGGGGTCCCACATCATGTTAGCAATATTATCATTATCATTATCGTTATCATCATCATCATCATTATCATCATCATTATTATTATTATTATCATTATCATTATCATCATCATCATTATCATTATTATTGTTATAATTATCATTATTATTATTATTATTATCATTATCATCATTATCATCATCATCATTATTATTGTTTTTATTATTATTATTATTATCATCATCATCATCATCATTATTATTGTTATTATTATTATTATTATTATTATTATTATGACTATTATTATTATTATTATTATTATTATTATTATTATTATTATTATTATTATTATCATTATCATTATCATTACCACCATCATCATCATCATCATTATTATTATTATTATTATTATTATTATTATTATTATTATAATCATCATTATCATTATTATTATTATTATTATCATTATCATCATCATCATTATCGTCAATATTGTTATTATTATTATTATTATTATTAATATTATTATTATTATTATTATCATTATTATTATTATCATATATTTGAGCTCCCCCACAGGCCCTCAGGCCCTTAGCTGTGGCACCTCATAAATACAACTCTGGAGGTGAACATTACCTTTTTGTTGGACGGCCTACAGGTACATACCCTACCCTCCATCTATAACAGGGTAAACCAGTGAACAGTTTCATGAACTCCTAGCGCCACCATGTGGATTCCCTGAGATCGAACATAGCAAAACAAATTAGCTATTTCCAGCTCTTTAAAGTGAAAGTTATTGCTGAAAAAAAGAAAAGAATGAATGCGGCTTATTTTTTTATAAATGTGCAATGATTTTAAATGAGCTCTTGGAATGAAAAGGAAAATCCTCATAGTCATTTTCTAAAACACACCATACAGTAAATCTATATTTATGGTTTGATGTAAATTCTTATATTCTTATAATGATGAGGATCTATGAAGCGAAACTGAGACGTGTTCAAACTTATTTTGGCTTTGACGTCAGGTGAGTTAAACACACCCACCACCATCATCATCATCTTCATCATCATCATCATCATCCTGCTCCAGAGCAGAGGTAGCCTACGTCTGCTGCTGCTGAGGTGCACTCCGCGCGCCGCTCGGCCCGCCCGCCCGCCCGGACACTGCAGTGGAGGTTACCGCTCCATCGCTGCTGCGGCTGCTCGCTCCCGACTCCGCGTCCCGCTGCAGATTTCCCGGGTCAGGGACGAAGAGGGGACACCACCGAGAGTCATGGCCGAGTCCAACCCGCGGTGGGGATTCCCTCGGCTGCGCCGGGCCGCGGTAAGCTCAGACAGGAGGTGGGGAGGTGGGATGTCTTGTACGGGGCGGTGAGGATACTGCAGCAGAGGAGAGAGAGAGGAGAGGAGTTCAGGAGACTACTGCGACACTGAGGTTGGGATGAGCTGCCAGTACACTGATAACTGCAGCGGATATGAAGGTTTATATCGGTTCAGATTTAGATCACAGTTAAATGTCAAAGTCTCTGTAGGGGACCAGGACAGGCCAATGACAAATGTGTGTTTGTTTGTGTGTGCGTGCGTCTCCGTGCGTGTGTTAGTTTGGGCTGCAACAGCAGAGACAGCTTTAGTACCGCAGTCTAACTGTGGAGAGTCTCCAAACTGTTCAGCTTTATGTAACTGATTTGGGGATGTGTGTGTCAGATACCTGCTGCCCATAGATCTGAATGTCTGCTCTGTTGCTGCTTTAACACCCTCCTGTTCTGGATTTTTAGGAGTTAATATACACACGTGCATCTTAATGAACATGTAGGCCTAAATGTGACTGCATTAATAATTCCTCTACAGTCATGATCTGATTCTGCATGGAGGCTGCTTCAACTTTGGATCATACAGTGTTTGATATTAAAGGGATAATCTGGTGTAAAATTTATTTAGAGTCAAACACACCGTAACACCAAGTTAGACACCCCCTCCAGAGATAAATGTGGTCGACCGTTTGCTTCTCTAGTTATACCAACTTTAGTAATGACCCCACGATAGCGATTCACAGTGGTCTACGTCTCCACTCGCAAACCTCAACCAAAACGCCACTCTATAGCCACAAATAATGCTCAGAACAGCACCTAACTTCATAAAAATCATATTAATCATTTTGCTGTGCAAACGTGGTAGTTCTGCCTTGGCATCTCAGTCTGATTGGATTTCAGTGGAGAAATGATCATAAATGTTTTTCTTTGAGCTGCGAAACCCCACAGCAGGTCTCGCTACAAACAAGGAGGATAGTGGGTGAGTTGTGTTTGGTCAGCCATAGTACTAGCCACCAAACATCTTTTTAGCTTTGCCTGATTTCTTTAGCAAAGAGACTAAACACAACTCACCTACTCTCTTCCAGCAGCTGCTTGCTTGTAGCGAGACCTCAGACAAGTCTATTATGGACCTTATCATTTTCTTGAAGTAATAATCATCATATTAATCTATAATCACGCGGTAGTTCTTCTGCCTTAGCGTCTTGGTCTGATTGTATTTTTAAGAAGTAATAATCATAAATGTTCTTCCTTGAGCTGCAAAATTCCGCTGCACTCTGTGATTGACTCGTCAGGGCTCCCCCACAAACAAGCGGCTGCTGGAGGAGAGAATGGCCAGTCCATTAAGGACTGCAGTGGAGTTTCGCAGCTCAAGGAAGAACATTTATGATCATTTCTTCATGGAAATGCATTCAGACTGAGACGCTAAGGCAGAAGAACTACTGCATCTGCAGTGCAAAATGATTAATATGGTGATTATTACTTCATGGAAATGATCATAAATGTTCTTCCTTGAGCTGAGTCACCCCACAGCAGTCCGTCATGGACTGGCCTGAGGTCTCTCTACAAAGAAGAGGCTGCTGGAAGAGAGTAGGTGAGTTGTGTTTAGTCTCTTTGCTAAAGAAATTAGTCAAAGTTAAAAAGATGTTTGGTGGCTAGTACTGTGGCTGGGACCCTATATGTGCTGTTGATGAAGTTAGGAGCTGTTCTGAGCATTATTTGTGGCTATAGAGTGGAGTTTTGGTTGATGTATGTTGATGGCTCCTCAGACCGCTGTGTATTGCTATCGTGTGGTAGTTACTCAAGTTGGTATAACTAGAGAAGCAAGCAGTCGGCAACATTCATCTCTGGAGGGGGCGTCTACCTCAGTGTTACAGTGTGTTTGACCCTAACTTAATTTTATGCTGGATTATCCCTTTAAAACTCAATACCATCCACCTCTGTCACACAAGTGAACAGGGAGAAAGTTGTGTTAATTTGGTCTTACAACAAGAGACTGATCCAAAGTTCAAACTGTGATTATTATAACACATCCAAATATACATTTGTGATTTCATTGTTATGATATTGTAGTGTTGTTTCAGCAATGGAAAAAATATCTTAACCAGTCAGTTTGAGCTCATAACACTGGAAGCACAATAATACAAAACAATGCTGATGTGATGATAGTACATTATTTACTTAGCTGTCTGCTTTGAGACCATTGAATACCTGGTGGTCGTGGTCGCCTATCAGAGATCCTGTATGTCCTTCTGCAGGAGAAAACTGCTGAGATCATAAAAAAGTCAAATGAACAGAGTGAGAGAGCTCTCTTTGAGAAGACTGAGATAATTGGGATGTAAGATAGCAGGAGAAGTGATTCAGCCAAGAGAAACTAGTGCTGACTGTAACATTCAAAAGTGCGTGAGCAGAGATAACCACAGGTTGGTGTTTGAGCGGAGAAGGAGAAGTGAGGAGAGATCTGCGAGGAAACAGCAGATTGAGTCCAGGAAGCTGACTGTCAGGCTTCCCAGATTGACGCTGAGAGATGCTGATGCTGTGTTGAGCTCTGCTAGACTGTAAAGACCAACAGCATTCAGCTGTCAGCTGCTCTGACTGACACCAGGACTCCTTGTTTATTGTCCCATTTTATTCTGTCGTTCCACAAAACTCAGTTTACCACATTGTTAGTCTGACACAAATCATTTCCTCATGCGTCACAGTCCTCCCCAGTCCTATAGCAACCTTAGTGATGTGTAGGTCACGAATGAACTGATTCAAAGAGCCGGCTCTTTAACGTGAACGATGGGCTCCGGCTCCCGTCTTTGAACCATTTCTTATTTCTCTCTTTTTGTTTTTGATTTACTTTTCAGTTCAAATAGACACCTAAAGCTGCTCTTTTGTTAATTCCAATACATCTGTTTCTTTTTATTATGTTATTTATTTGATCATTTGTGTTTAAATAAATACTGAAAATCTCAATAAAGATGTTTCTATCTGCTTTGTGTAGCAGAGTGGTTCTACAAATAAGTCAGTGCATTCACTGGGTGGTTTTTCAGAGAGTTACAAGGGTCTGTGTAAATGCAATGAAAACAATTGGCTGCAGCAATTTACTGATATTAGAAAATGTACAAAGGATTTATTGAATTATTTAAGAGGTATGTGTACATGTACGTACATATCATAAGCCAAACATTCTAAATTTGGCTGAATTAGAAAATGTATAAGTGGTAAAATAAAGAGACGTTTGGGAGCCGAAAGAGCCGGCTCTTCTTAGCGAATGATCTGGCTCACTAAAAAGAGCCGTAATTCCCATCACTATTAGGAATGGATTGGTTTCTATGCTTCAAAGATTGGTTTAAATTTGTCGCTTCAGAGAGAAATAGAAATTTATCAACTATTTGTGAATTGAAAGCATTCGTAAAAATCTCCTGAAATCTAATCGAAGAGTGCGCAGCTCCAGGATGTTTCACTGAATGATCTGTTTAAATGGTTTCCTCTTGTTGTCTCTCTTTGTTATGATTGTCGACCTCTTTAGACGTCATTTCCAGGCAATCTGCATTTGGTGTTGGTGCTCCGCCCCACTGGCCTGTTAAGCACCACCCCCAGTCCGTCTTCGAGCACGGACCTGGGCTTCCGCTTCAGCCAGGATGATTTCCTGCTCAAGATGCCGGTAAGACGAGGGGATTCGAAACATCTTCGTGATACATACATCTGAACCTGTTTTTCTCTTCATATGTATTCATGGATTTAAAAAAGCGTATCACCATCTGCAACTATATGCTGCCAAACAAGCAGACGCCACATAATGTCCCTCAGTTAAATCAATATTTAGGTATTGTACCTGTTTCAGTGCGTGTCCTGTGTCTCTGCTTTTGTAGGTGGTGATGTTGCGTTCAGTGGGGGACCTGCTGCGCTACATCGATGAAAACCATCTCACATCAGACTTCACTGCGAAAGTGGAGTACTGCCAAAGTGACTGGATCGTCCTCCGCACGGTGAGCACCTCTGTCTGAAAAATAAACACGACAAGAAACAAATCGGACGAATCAAACACTGACAGACAGCAGCAGGATGAAATAGTCCTGCTTAGTTTACTTTAGGGTGACCATACGTCCTCTTTAACCTGGACATGTCCTCCTTTTGGGGGAGTTTATGAAATCCTTTAAACGTCCGGGGTTTTGTGTGGAAGTTTTGACTTGACCCGAGCCAAAAAACCCTCAAAATTTTGTGCGACTCCACTCCATGTCGTAGTGTCCTCTCTTTAGGGATTCACTCTAGTCTACTTCTTTTCACATGAATCGTAAATGTTGAATGTTTGCTCACATGTCTGTTTTGTGTGTTTTTAAAGGCCATTGAGACCTTTGCTGTGACGGTGAAGGAGATCGCCCAACTGCTGCAGAGCTTTGGATCAGAGCTGTCTGAGACCGAGCTGCCAGATGAAGCCAGTGCCATCGAGTTCCTGCTGCACTCGCACACACATCGATACCGGCAGATGAAGGTTGTCGTCTCTGTCTTTGTGTAGATTTTGAACTCGAATCTTTGCACTTGTTTAACGCCCGCGTCTGTCTCCCCTCATCGCTTGTCTCGTTGTTTCAGGACGATATCAGGAATGTGTTGAAAGAAGGACGCCTGCTGCTGTCAAACCTGGAGACTGTCAAGGCCTCGAAGAGAGACGAGGAGGAGGAGAGAGACATTAGAGGAGACATGGACACAGTGCAAAGGTACAGAAAGAAGAAAATGAGACCCATAAAGATGATATGAGAAGTCATCTCAGTTCGAGGTGTAATTTCTTGGTAAATATTTGATTATCGTCTGCGCACATGTTTGTTTTAGGCTCCTGGCTCAGCTCAGAGACATGGAGGAGGCGTTTGACGGTTTCTTTGAGAAACACCATCTGAAGCTGCAGCAGTACCTCCAGCTGCTGCACTATGAAATGAGTTTCCAACAGGTCTGATGATCACTCACATTATCCCTGAGTCTGTGTTTCACCGCAGTGATGACTAATTGTGAGGATGTGTGGGTTTGTGTAGATGGATGAGGTCCTCGAGAAGCTCACGAACCAGGAGAAGGAGATCTCCTTTGTGGGGACTACGGTGGTCCAGACGGAGCAGCTGCTGAAAGATCTGGAGATGTTGGACGCACATGCTGAGGTCACACAGAGTCATATCCTGGTCGCAAGTTTATGATTTATGACTGGGCAGAAAAAAACAAACTTCCTTAACAAGCAGAACCAGAGTCTTTGGTACATTTAAAAATTTAAGTAACAACAGGTGACTCAGACTTCTGGCCGAGGTGACCACAATTATGGAAGCATATTGCATTCACTTAAAAAAAAAAAAGGAAGGAAACAGGTTTTTTTTAGTATTTTTTGTATGTTTTTGCAGTAATACTTACTAATTTTTTTCTTCTTTCTGTTTTTCTGACAATTTTTTTTCCCAACTAAGCGAGATACTTTAAAATTCTGTGAGAATCTCATACAATCAGATAAAGTAAACCACTGTGGCTGCTCCAAATCAGTGGATCCCAGAGAAAAGGAAAAAAAAACTAGTCTGAAAAACAAAACAAAACAAAACAAGAAAACAGCCTGAAAAACAGGGTAAAAATATATTTAAAAAACAGAAAAGAAAAGAAAATGTCCAAAAAAAGAAAAAAGAAAAAAAATTACTCTAAAAAACAGGAAAAATTAGTCCGAAAAACAGAACAGAAAAAATTACGCTAACAGAAAAAAAATTACTTTAAAAAACAGAAAAAAAGAAGTCTGAAAAACAGAACATTTTGGTGAATGCAATACACTTCCGTCTTCTGTAAAAGAAAACATTGTAGTTCCCTAAAAGTGATAATTTCTTGCCTTGTTGCTGTTTCTTTTTTAAGACTTAAACTTTAATTTACGGCTCTTTGTTTTTAGCTGTCCTGGTTTTTGTCCTCCCTTTGAAAAACGTTAAAGTTCACCAACATGTTTTTCTTTTTTGAGCAAGAAAATTCAGAATTTCTTGAAAAATAAAACCAAACTAAATATTAATTTAAATTAGTTATAAAGCAGTATGGAAGAAGATAAGGGCCACTGAAAAAAAAGTCAAATAAACCTCAGAATTCTGACTTTTTTTTCTCTTAATAGTTATTAAAAAATTATACTGGACCTTTTTTTTTTTCCGGTGTCCCTAATCCTCTTCCATACTGCTGTTAATTTGACATTGCCCGTCCAAAACCCTCATATGTGTGCGTTTGTGTATCAGGAGGAGATGGCTCGCGCCCAGGTTGTGATTCTGCACGGTCACCAGTTGGCCGCCAACCACCACTACGCTCTGGCGCTCATCGTCCAACGCTGCAATGAGCTGCGGCATCACTGTGATGTCATCACCAACGCCATACGAACCAAGAGGGCCTCACTGACTCGAGCGCGGGACCTGCTGCACCGCCTGGAGGGGGTAAAAAAAACTGCTGACACAGGGACACACAAACACACACTCAAACACTTACACATGCAGAGTGAGTGTGACTGCAGTACAAACATGAATCGATCTCTTTGAGTTTTGTTGTGTCAGGACATTTTTAGTATGAAACACAGTTGTTTAGACCCTTTTTCTTCATCCTGTTTCTTTATTTTGTTTGAGTTTCAAATTTCTGTCTATAAACGTGAATCAGTTGTGTACATATGTGTGTCTTTACCTGTTTTGTATGTTCGCAGGCCCTCCGGTGGTGTGATGAAGGCGCTTATCTCCTGGCGAGTCAAATGGTGGACAAGTTCCAAACCAGAGAGGGAGCTCAGGAGGCGCTGCAGTACCTGAGCTGTCACCAGGAGAGGGCGCCGTCTGCTCTGAAAAGCAGCCAGGACATTCTGAGCCTGGAGTTTGAAGCCATACTCACCCCACAGCTGCAGGTTACACACCTCAACCGAAGCGAATACACAAAAAAACACTTACCTACTGCTCACTTCAACTCACTGTGCTCACTGTCTTCCTGTGTCTCTCTCTAGTCCCAGATCTCCATGGTGACAGAGAAGCTGAATACGATGCAGAGCATGATCAGAAACAGGGAGCAGTGTTTGAGGAAGCTGGCAGATGTTCAGGTCCGACCAATTCAGCTGGTGGCTCCCAGACCAGAGCCAGACCAAACCTCCCAGCGCTGCAAGTCCCCCCTCTTCTCCCCCAAACATGGTAAACATTTTGGGGGAACTTTTCCACACATTTGTAATTCAAGAAATTCCCTCAGAGATCCTGACACAGATGGAGCAGAGTAAAAATCAAGAAGTATCTCCTCTCATGGCTTCAACATGAAGCCGTCTGCCGTCTGCGTTATCTCTGAGCTTCACTCTCACTTATATTTGTGTGTTTCTCTCCACAGGAGTAGACTTTAATGTCCTCAACTCCAAATTCTCTTTTGACCTGCTCCCTGGAAAAAGAGCTGCGAGACGGAACAACAGCCAGCGTAAGGTACGTGAAGTTTTAGCTTCTTTGAATCTGCTCATGATCACTTTAGAGTGATTCTGTCTGACTTAAAGGGATATTCCGGAGTAAATTTAAGTTATGGTCAAACAGAGCGGAGTTTCGCAGCTCAAGGAAGAACATTTTTGATCTTTACTTCATGGAAATGCAATCAGACCGAGACGCTAAGGCAGAAGAACTACCGTGTCTGCAGTCCACATACAAGATTCTCAAGAACTCTGATTGCATTTCCATGACGTAAAAATAAAAAATGTTCTTTCTTGAGCTGTGAAACTCCGCTGCACTCTGTGATCGACTTGTCAGGGTCTTTGCAAACTGTTTGGAGGGAATATTGATTATCATTCTGTTAAAGTATCAATCTATTAAAGGTTAAAATGTGACAGAACTTTGCTCAAAATGTGTCCAAAGCTCAAAGATGAGACTTTTTATTTCCTTTGTGTTTTATCAGATTGAGGTGATGCACGATTTTCAAGGTAACCGCAGCTGTTTGTACGGATCCACGACTGAGACCGAGTCAGAGACAGAGGACAATCCAGAGCAGGTCACACGGTGGGCGATCTCTAACTCTTGACCTGCTGTGACACCCTTGAACCGTTTTTGTCTGTTTGTTTACACTCTGCAGTTTTGAGAAGTTCTTGACTAATTTTTATCCCCTTGTTATTTTGTAGTCATATCATGAAGGAGCTGATTGCGACAGAGAGGATCTACGTGGACGAGCTGCTCTCTGTTCTTCTGGTGAGTTTATCAAGAAAGAGATGAGGACGAATTACAAAATTGAACTCTGCAGAATTTTAACAGAAAATCAGGGGTGTCCCGATACAACTTTTTTAACTTCCGATATGATACCGATATTTTAGCCTTCATTATTGGCCGATACCGATATTGGCACAAAATTGTGTTTGACTAGTTTTTTACTCAGCTGCAACGTCTTTTTCGGACTTTAACGAAAAATACTGCCTCACAGCCGACATCACTCTTCCTCCTTGCTACTTTGTTATTACCTTACGCTGCGTTCGAGTTACCTCAGAAGTCAGATGTTGGAGCTGAAAATGACGTCACACCCGAGTTACCAGCATTTCAGTTACCAAGTCGGAAATAGGCAAAATCGGAGGCGGAAACAAGATGGCTCAGTCTACGAAAGTTATTTTAGCACTTGCATTGTCCGAATATAACAAGGACAAGGCAAACGCTAAAATAAATTTCGTAAATGTTGCCATCTTGTTTCTGCCTCCGATTTTGCTTTCTCGACTTCGCTGGTAACTTGGGTGTGGAGTCATTTTCAGCTCCGACATCTGACTTCCGAGGTAACTCAAATGCAGCATAAGGTACTAACAAAGTAGCAAAGAGTAGGAGTGATGTCAGCTGGGTGGCAGTATTTTTTGTCAAAGTCAGAAAAAAAGACGTTGCAGCTGAGTGAAAATCTTGTCATACACATTTTTGTGCCAATATCGGTATCAGCCAATATTGAAGACAACTGGAATGGACTGGCTGTATCGGGGTGCTGATATCGGAGATTTTAGATGCAGACTGATAATATCCGATATTCTTTTTGTGCTGATATCGGACCGATATCTGATATTAATATCGTATGAGGATATCCTCTTTCCTCTTTCTCCAATGATCGTAAATCTTCACTTTTCATTTTCTCCTCTTCGACCTCACTGTCCTCCTCCTCTTCTTGATCCCTTTACCCCTCCTTGTTATTTATTTATTCCCTCTTGACCTTTCATCCTCTTTCCTCTCCTTTTTTCATGTCACACCCTCCCCCCCTTTCTCACTGTATTTATCATTTCCCCTCTTTTTTCCCCCCTCTCCATTTACTAGGGCTACAGGGCAGAAATGGAGGATCCGTCCATGTCTAATCTTCTCCCCTCGGCTCTACGCAGCCAGAAGGACCTTCTGTTTGGCAACATGCCGGAGATTTACCAGTTCCACAGCAGGCGAGAAACACACACACTCACACACACAGACACACACACACTGAGCTGACAAGCTGTCACACACTTGTCCTTGTCTCTTGATCTTTTCATGCCAATCTTTCTCCCTTTCATTCCCCCCTTGGATTGGATTTTCTCCTCTCAGGATTTTCCTCCAAGATCTGCAGGGTTGCCTGGAGACGCCGGAGAGGGTGGGGGGTTGTTTCCTGAAGCGGGTGAGGAAACGAGAAGTCAAAAAAAAAGAAAAAAAAACTTTATATGAAGAGTAAGATCTGGCATGTCTTCATGTTTATGGTGTGTAATGTGTGTGAACAGAAAGAGAAGTTCCAGGTGTACGAGCGCTACTGCCAGAACAAGCCTCGCTCTGAGTTGCTATGGAGACAGTGCTCTGATTCGCCATTCTTCCAGGTAGTTTTGTGCTTTTGATGTGTCCCATTAATGGTGTGAAAGTCACAGTCCTCATCTTTGCTTCTTCTATATCTCTCTCCCTCTCTCTCTCTATTGATGCAGGAGTGCCAAAAGAAGCTGGACCACAAGCTCGGTCTGGACTCTTACCTCCTGAAACCAGTCCAGCGTCTGACAAAGTACCAGCTGCTACTTAAGGTTGTGCTCATTCATCATTAGCCTGTCAGTGATGAAAGTCTGCTCTGGGCGCAGAACCGTGAATGTTTGTGGTTAGTTTTATCTGCCACCGCATGAGGCGGAGGTACTTTAAACGAGCAGCTGAGCTCGGCTTCCCAGAGCAAAACTGAAACTGACTGATGATATCGATGTGCAGAGACCGAAACTGATCCGGACACCTCAGTAAATCAAAGCCAACGAGCTCATTTGAAAAAAAGGATCATCTTGGCACAGAGGATGCATCTTATTAGGACCGTGATCGTCTTCGCAAACTGATGAATAAGAATATCAGAGGAAACAGGAGAATGTTTGTACATGCAGACGATCGTACAGCTCGAGATGAAACAAACTAATCTGGATAATCTGAAAACCGCTCACAGGACTCGACAGTGCGACCATTTCGATCACATTTGCGACTAAAAACAGATGTGTGCGAATTGTAAAATGTATTTAGATGCGCATAAAAAAATTAACCGAGGCAACAAATGTTTTTTCATGTGGTGAAGTTAGTTTTAGGTTAAAATTCCGACAGACGTTCACTGCGGATCTACCGGTGTCCTCTCACTCTCCATAACCGGGAATTGCAACAGCAGCGCGGTTAAATCTACTCGGCACCCTCGCTGTCAACGTCGGGTGTTGAATAAGGGACCATCAATAAATTACCGCTTGATGTTATGATAAATAATAAAGAATTTTATTTATAACGCACTTTAACAGCTGCTCAAAGACACCTCACAAAGAAAAAGAAGAAAATAAAATGAAAAAAAATAAACAACTTAAAATACAGGAAATTATAGAAATAAAATCAATGATGTAAAAGGTAAAAAAAAAAGACACAGTAAAAGAACAGAGTCACAGGTTAAAAGCCAATTTAAAAAGTTGTGTTTTTAAGAGTGATTTAAAATTGTGGGGGTCGGTACATTCTCGGGTGGATTTGGGGAGTGAATTCTAGAGGGTGGGGGCAGCAACAGAGAAGGCTCTGTCCCCCCAAGTTCGGTGCTTGGTCTGAGGGGGTATGGCAAGAAGATTTCCCTCTGAGGATTGGAGGGCATGGGGAAGGGGGGCTGTAGTGGTGGAGCAGGTCTGTGAAGTAGGTGGGGACCCGGTTGGTAAGGGATTTGTGGGTGAGCAGGAGGATTTTGAATTGTATGCGGTACGATGGGAAGCCAGTGCAGATTTTGGAGGATGGGGGTGATGTGTTCTCGGGAGTTGGTGCAGGTGAGCAGGCGGGCAGCAGAGTTTTGAATGTATTGGAGTTTATTGTTTATTATGTTCTCAAAAAAGGCTGTTTTCCTTCAATAGCTTCCATGTCCTGTGACCAAAAGACCTAAAATTGATTTCAAATAATAGTACTTATGTCGACCAATAAGACAACTTTTATTGTGCCTCTAAAGTTCTTCGTGTGCTCCTTACTTTCTCAACTTAGGAGCACATGCGCTCCTTGTGAAAAAAGTTAGTGTCGAGCCCTGACTCACCTGTTAAACGGCGACTTTTCTCTTTCTTCCAGGAGCTGCTGAAGCACTGCACAGAGGGTCAGTCCCGCTCCGAACTGCAGGAGGCTCTGAACACGATGCTGGAGCTGCTCAAGTCTGTCAACGACTCCATGCACCAGATAGCAATCACTGGATATCAGGTACCAGCCGTAGACTGTATAATAGATTAGATTAGATTAGATTCGATATTCTTTTATTCATCCCTCAGCAGGGAAATCAAAATTGTTGACAGCAGCAGTACACACAACAACATACACATTCACACCGGGTACAAAAACAAATAAATAAAGATAGAAGAATTAGTGTAAAATAGAAAGAGCAGAGCAAGAACAGTTTAAAAGACGAGTTTAGAAAGTATTAAAAGATCAGTGCCAACAAAAACAGGTACAGATGTGTGTAGGTAGACTGCAGTGTAGTTGCTGGATAATATACTGGATGATATCGCACATGATTCATAAATAAATTAGGGGTGTCTGGGGAAATATTGCAGTTGTTGTTGGTGGTGTTGGTCTGCAAGGGACAGGCCTGGCTGTAGAGTCTGATAGCAGCAGGGAGGAAGGACAAAGACGCTCACTGAAGGAGCTTTCCAGGGCTCTTACAGACTCTTGTAGCGGATGGGAGACATTATCCAGGATTGCTGACAGCTTTGCCACCATCCTTCTGTCAATACCAGCCTGTAAAACAAACAGATTCATTGATTCATTTGTGATCATGTTATTAAAATGTGAATTAGTCTGGTTAAATAACATGGCAGATGTATCAAAATTGGAATAAGTCATGAACTTCCCCCTTGTTGGTGCCGTTCATTCATTCATGGTAATATCCTCTCCATCTGTGGCAGGGTGACCTCAGCCAGCTCGGCCGGATGGTGTTGCAGGGGGGCTTCAGCGTTTGGATCAGCCATAAGAGCGCAGCAGTGCGAATGAAGGAGCTAGCCAGATTCAAGCCCATGCAGAGACACCTCTTCCTCTATGAACGGGCTCTCCTCTTCTGCAAGCGCAGAGACGAGGACTCTCACGACAGGACACCTTTCTACAGCTTCAAATCCTGCCTCAGGGTAGGAATCGAACCACATTCACCTGTCAATGCAGTCCAATATCCAAAGCCTCATCATGACAAACCCTCTCTCTTCAAAGCTCACCACATTGTCCTTACATTGTTAAGCTCAGTCTGACCCTGACGTTGTCTCTTTATTTGAGTGGTGTAATCCTCGGTGACGGTTTATAATGAAGGTTATCAGGAAGTGTAATTATTTTTCACTCTTTCTACAGATGAGTGCAGTGGGAATCACAGAAACGGTGAAAGGAGATGTGAAGAAATTTGAAATCTGGTACAGCGGCAGAGAAGTCGTCTACATAATTCAGGTATTTTTTTGTATCCCTTTTTTGAACAGCGTTTTAGTGTTTTTAAAGGGATATTCCGGTGTAAATTTAAATTATGGTCAAACACACCATAACACCAAGTTGTAGCAGACTGTAGCAGTCGGCAACATTCATCTCTCGAGCGGGTGTCTAAACTCTGTGATACGGTGTGTATGTTCCCTTAACTTAATTTTACTCTGGAATATCCCTTTAAGTGTAGGATATTGACAGATATCTCTTGTGTTTTATCTGTCTAGGCTCCCACAGTGGAGGTCAAAGTTGCTTGGCTGACAGAGATACGAAAAATTCTCACCAACCAGCAGAAACTGCATCAAGGTTTCTACTTTTGTGGTTCCTCTCATGCCTCTTTGTTTTTACCTGGTTTCATTTTGTGACTTATTCATCTAAGTTCAATATATGGATCTGATACAATCAATTTGGTCTCCTTCGTGATTCCAGCTGTATTTCTGTCTCCTTTGTCTCTTGTCCTTTTTATAGATGACTCTTCTTCACTTCCCCTTTCAGACAACCCTCTCTCTGACAGGTAATCCTCTCTGTACGACCCCCCCTATCATCCTCTAAGTCTGTGTGCGACCTCCCACTACGCGGTGGGGGGAATGAGCCCTCTCTATTTTAATCAAATGTAAATTCAGAAACTCATTTTAAAGAGAAAATTAGCATCTTTGTCATCCACCCTCGAGAATTGGTAGACGGACGATAGCTGCGCTGTCCGTGGTGCTGAATCTGAAACTGCTGAAATCAGCACCATGGAGAGCAGCGTCTCAGGCCCTGATTAGACGGTTTCAAGAATGCTGACCACGATAGAAAACAGTTTATTTAACACACTGACAGGCTGTTTAAACAGTTCGGAGGTGTGCTCGACATTAATGCAATAAATCCCAGAGCAAAGCAGGGCGCGGGGTGACTAAATCAGGTGGCTGTACATGTTAGATATTCCCTGTCAAAGTGGAAATAATCGAAAAATTGTCACAATATTGTTTGAAGAAGATGACTCCAAGATCTTTGAGTTGATTCTTCTACATGTTTGCAATTATTGTGTGTCTGAGAAAGGGTTAAGGATCGAGTGGGGTATTTTTCCAGTGTTTTGGTGGAAGAACAAGTCTGTTATTTTAACTGATAGCATGCTAGCATGTTAAGCCTTTAGCGAAGGACCGTCAGGTTTTTGCTTTACAACTTATTGTTGACTCAAAGAGAAGATTTGTGGTTTCCTTGGGTCAAAAATCAGGAGGCTTGAGGATTGAAATGTGACACAAATTGAATGTCCTTGTTAGAATAGTTAAAGGGATATTCTGGCGTAGACACTGAGTTAGACACCCCCATCGAGAGACGAATGTTGCTGACCGCTTGCTTCTCTAGTTATACCAACTTTAGTAACGACCGCATGATAGTAATTCACAGTGGTCTACGTCTCCACGCCCAAACCTCAACCAAAACACCACTCTATAGCCACAAATAATGCTCAGAACAACACCTAACTTCATCAACAGTACATATAGGGTCCCAGCCATAGTACTAGCCACCAAACATCTTCTTAGCTTTGCCTTATTTCTTTAGCAAAGAGACTAATGCTGCATTCAAGTTGAATGCAGTCTGATTTCCGATTCGGAAAGAATATGTTGTACTGCCCAACGTTTAACTGTGAACATGGTGATATGGTGTTTGTACGAGTAAAATACTGTGTTATGCGTTGTTTACGACTGGTATAGCTAACAACAACGAACAACAACTGACAACAGCCAACGACAGCTGACAATTGTAAACAAAAGCTAACAACAGGTAACTCTAGGTGTCCATCTTGGTTTTCCGACTTCTTAAGTGGAACGCCATCAACTTGGGTGTAACGTCATTCCTAGCTCCAAGATCCTACTTCCGAGATAACTGGAACGCAGCATAAACACAACTCACTCACTCTCCTCCAGCAGCCGCTTGTTTGTTGGGGAGCCCTGATGAGTCGATCACAGAGTGCAGCGGAAAATTTCCATGAAGTAATCATCATCACAATCACTTTGCACTGCAGATGCTGTAGTTCTTCTGCCTAAGCATCTCGGTCTGATTGCATATCCATGAAGTAATAATCATAAATGTTCTTCCTTAAGCTGCGAAACTCCGCTGCACTCGGTGATCAACTCGTCAGGGCTGACTTCCTTCTCTTTGCTAAAAAACCAGGCAAAGCTGAAAAATGTTTGATGGGTCCTTTATGTACTGTTGATGAAGTTAGGTGCTGTTCTGAGCATTACAGTATTTGTGGCTATAGAGTGACGTTTTGGTTGAGGTTTGCACGTGGAGATGTAGACCACTGTGTATTGCTATCGTGTGGTTGTTACTAAAGTTGGTATAACTAGAGAAGCAAGCGGTCGGCAACATTCATCTCTCGAGGGGGTGTCTACCTCGATATTACGGTCTTCGAAATTGAATTTGTTCACAATTTAAAACTACAAGTCTTATTTTCAATAGACCCATTCATAAATATTCACAGTCTAACTGTGTCCGAGCATGGGATAATAAGGGATTTTTGACTCTTATCAACTAATGTATGCTGTGAATGTTTCTCACTTTTGAATGATGGTTGTACATTTGGGTCACCAAGCATTTGCGAGTAATTCTCTAGCAGACTGGTGTGCTGATGTAGCAAAGTTTTCTTTAAATTTTTGAAGCTACATGGGGGAAAAAATGCTGCCCTAATCAGATGACACCTGACTGTGGATTATTTGCAAATACTGATTAATCGAAGCCTGATATGTGTGAAGAATACTGTACGGTCAAAGTGATGTAACCATGTATTTCAGCAATCTCTGGTTTCACAGATACACGACCTCATCTTATAAAAAGAGATGCTGAAATACATGTGAGTGTGAACTTACTGGAATGCTGTTTTATTTAACAGAATGTGGATGAGCTCGTTTTGTGACACAGTGGGTGTTGTTGTTGTTGTCGTTTTTGTTGTTTTTGTTTGTTGTGGTTGTGCCTTGTTCCCATGGTGATGGGGTTTAGTGCATCAGAGATGTGTGTGTCGTGGGGCGGAGCATCGGTGGGAGGCTGCTCAGCGTGTCTCCCTGTTCCTCACAGCTCCTCGGCAACTACCCGCACCTACAGGCACAGAGGGGAGGAGTCAACGCACAGTAGCCCCGCCCACTCAGACCCTGTGGTTCACTCGCCTCGACGCAGTAAGTCACTGATAATTTTTTTATTTTTACAAATTTATCTGTTTAAAAAAACTATACTAGAAATTCAAAGATACCGAAATTCAGACATATCATCAGTACTTTTTTCAAACACATGCTTCAACCCTGAGCACAGAAACAAGAAAATATAAGCATATCATTAGGGTGACCATATTCTGAATCCTCAAAAAGAGGACATGACTACTGGGGCGTTGCGTGTAGTTAATTTTGAGAATTTTTTCGGGTCGGACTGAGTGTTTTTTTATATACTTTTAACTCAGTAAGTCCATGTGACACAAACTCAAAACTACCATACAAAACCTCAGACATTTGAAGGGTCTTGTAAACTCTCCCAGACAGGCCCCAAAAAAGAGGACATGTCCTGGTAAAAGAGGACGTATGGTCACCCTAATTTAGCCATTTTGGCATCTAAAAGAAAACTGGGAAAAGAAAAAGAAAAAAGGGAGCGAACACAACCTTTGTGAAGTTACTTATTAGTTCGTGACCTATTTGACGTATGGTTTGGCCAGTCTTTTCAGCCAAAATTGACCATATCTGACATGAAGTGTACATAGATATAGTTTGTAGTTTGTAGTCTCTCAGCTCTGTTGTCGTCTGCAGCCTGGCCCGTCCACGCACACTCAGTGGCGATCTGTGACGGCCTGGAGGACTGGGGTGCTACGGATCTCTCCAACATATCTGACTCAGACGAGGAGGATCAGCCAGCCCCCCTGGTAGGATTTTATCATGATCATGACGCAGGATATTCTGGTGGATTTATTATTAGGATATGCTTACTGTATTTCATTCTCCTCCTCTTTTCTCTCCTTCATTCATTCATTCATTCATCGCTGGTTGATATTAGGTAAGATCTAATCCTGAACTCAATACCGGTCTATTTAAATGTGTTATGATGCATTTTGGGCTGTTTCACATGTGAAGAAGGTATCAGAATGCACAGCTCACCTTAGTTTCACCTGTCCTCTGATCCAGGTGGCGGGCAGGTACAGGGTCATGGTGGAGAGCAGTATGGCCAGCACTGATGACATCATCTTTAACTCTGGCGATGTGATCCAGCTGCTTCACGAGGATGTGTCGGGAATGTGGTAAAACAGACGACTTATTTCAGAAATCAGGCGCAAACATAGACTGTATATACCATGGAAAATTTGTTTCCGCCTTCCTCCTGTATACAGATTTAAAGCCGAAAAGCTCTCAGTAATTCCGCGTTTTTTCTCCTCTTCCTGAAACCAACATTGGCAGTAGCGTTGTACACATTCAGCGGGAGAGTTGCCGAGAGTCAGGGTGATGACGCTCGGCTCAAACAGCGTATCCCCCGGGTGAACTACACAATCTTCGTACGCCCATAGGCTGTATCAGGTGTCAATCATAGAAAACATGAACCCCCTAATAACTTTTAAAAATGAAGCTGTACAGAAAAAAGAGGACTTGAGCACAAACTAGTCTTACAGGAACTACATGTCAACATCACAAGCTGGGGGGAGAAAAATGTATATTTAGTGTAATTAATTTCTAAAGTTTGTCCACAGCTCCATAGGGATTGCTGGAGGAGGTGAGATCTATGACCTATACTGCAGCCCGTCACCAGAGGGAGCTGTGAGTGGCTTCACCCAGCGAGGAGGCAGATGGCGTCCATTCTATATACAGTCTATGGGCGCAAAAAATTCTGCTGATAAAATTATAACCTAATCTGTCAACTGACACTTCTGTGTGTGTGTGTGTGTGTGTGTGTGTGTGTGTGTGTGTGTGTGTGTGTGTGTGTGTGTGTGTGTGTGCGTGTGTGTGATCACAGGATGGTCAGGAATGTTAGTCGTGGAGAAGAAGGCCGTGTTCTACCTGAGGACCTGCACAGGATTCTGGGAGAGACCTGCTGAGAGCCAGTCAGAGCCAAGGACAGATGACACCTGTGTCCGTTTCTGGGATCATCCTGTTCTTGAAAACCTGACACACAAAAACACACACTCATACACACACACACGAAACAAACACTCCATCAACTTCCCGGACAAACGTCAAAGGGCATCTGCCTCTTGATCATCAGACGATGGATCGAAGCACATCAATCGTTAGTTTAGTCGTCACATGACCGTGAAACTTTCACCTCAGAGAGCTGTAAACTACAGAGCGGACCTCAGAAGAATGTAACAGTGCAAAGCACACACATGTGGGACCTAACAAAACCAACGCCTCATTTTACTTTACCCGTCTTTTCCAGCGTAATCCAGCGTAATATTTGGACTCATGGTTGAAAATAGATGTTTAACAGGAGTGTCATCTATATATATATATTTACAAAATGGACTTTTGTTCAAGACTTAAACTTTTATCATTTCTATTTTCTTATGAAACAGGAAAGAAATTGTGTATGGTTTCTAACATATCATTACGTTTATGTGCCAAACAGCTCAGCTAGTTTCTGTGGCTTCTTTTTGACTTACACTCTCACAAAATGGAAATAGCTTTACATTGTGGTGTTATATCTTCTGGTAGGGGAAAAAAACCTACATCAACCAGCTTGAGAATTTGTATGGGATGTTGTCACTAACCAAAAATTGCCAAGTTTACTTTATCAGTGGAGGTGATGATTAGAAGAAAGCACGAAAAGGAGTGCAGCCCAAAAGTGAAACTTGTGCGATCAAATGGAGAAAGGTTTAAAGGTTTGCAATATGCCTGATACACGTGGTTACATCTGCATCATACCAGCCACTGTGCTTTTCTCTTTTTTCATAGGTGAGAACAGCAAATGTTGTTTTGTATAATCAAGAGCAGCCAGTCCTTTTAGCAGTTACCAACATTTGCTCTTCACACCAAGTAAGGGATATGAGCATAGATCGCAAAAGTGCTTTTTTTAGTGCATACTGCATGTGCAAACATAAACTCTGTTTAGCCATACTCTTCTCGATGTATGTGTGAAATGCGAATTTTATTTGGAACACAAAGAAAGAGACTTGGACACAGTTTGCTGAAGATAATACAGATGCCCTCATTCCTAGCAGCCAGTGGTCTGTTTAGAGGGGAGGGATGCATATGTGGAAATATCAGTGTAAACCCTTACCAGATCTTCTTTTTGAAATAACATAGCAGGCCAGTGAACGCCATAGCATACTGGCCTTTTTTTCCCGTGTATGTACCCTCATCTGAAAACTTAATCTAAGCAGATCCATCGTCGTGTTCCTCTTGAGCTTCTCCTGCTATGACAAGTGAAAATGTTTAGTGCTAAAAAAAGGCATATCGATGCAGCACTCAAGATGGACAGTCTGGGACAGGGACTGCAGCAGCACGTATGCAGGATGAACACTGTGTACTTGTGCATGACTTCTACATCTGCAGTCAGTGCAGCTGGTTGTTGTAACTCTGGTTGTTTGAGCGACTTACTTTGCCTATGGATTCTTTTTTACTTTTGCTGCTGTTCATGGCAATATTTCTCTTTATGTTTTGTTGGCAGCAATTCTTCCACTGAATGAATTTAACACAAATACTGAGATGAGATAAGCTTTACTGCTTGTTTGCTGCTCTGCATGATCAAATCACTGCACATGCCTTCTGCTTTCTCTCTGTCTGTACTGCTTCATAACACCAACAGGGGAAATATGCTCAGTGTTGGATTGTAACTGTAAAACCCTCAAGATCCGCGTTTAGCGCTTCACGTCGGCGACGCGTATCTGCTCCGTCGAGTACGCGTATTTGGAGCGTTGCAGCAGCGTAGTGTAGCCCCCGGTTAGCTTGGCTCAGTATAGAGGGAAAAACATGTTCACAACGGGTTGTTTTGCCTTTCTGTGGTCTATTTCCTGCTAATTTGGATAAAACTCGGTGACTGTTGAGCTTCTATTGTATGTGAAAAAGCAACAAGTTTCGGTTTTTGCAGGTTAATTCGTGTCTAATGAAGTAAACTTTATGCTATGCTGTTAGCTTCAGACAGAGTTAGCAGCTAAAAGTCCGGTTGGGCTCCACATAGATCAGGGATTGACTATCGGATTGTTCTTTGTTACTGATAAATCCATAACCAGGAAGTACTTCTCATCTACACGAACTGATAAACAGTCGGAAGTCCGCATATGGTGTTTTATTTTGAAATTTACCGTATGACATGCGCGGTTTCCGTGCTTTACATCCTGCCCAGAACGGTCTTTCCTGTGGCGATTGACAAGTACAGAGCTGAGACGCATCCTGTGGGGTTTGCACATATACTGAACATAGTATATACTGCATAAAGTATATACAGTCTGTGGGTTTGCAGCATTGATTAAAATGGAGATCTATTTGCTGCGTGACACACGGCGCTGACAATACGCGCTCAATACGGATTCTATGGGCTTTAGGTTTTACATTGTGGGTTACAGAAACATTCACTTTGGATTTAGGTTACTAATAACTGAGGACAAGTTGAGTGACTCCAAACTGCCTACTTTTAAAACTGCCCAAACTGTTTGGCTTCATTAAAACACAGTGTGAAAAGTGGTTATCATACACTGCCACTACACTGTCATATTATTTCTAAAGGTTAGACAGTGTAAAGTTACGGACAATCTGTGAATATGTAAATGATACAAATATAGATTTGACATGAAAAACAACTTTGGAAAAAAAAAAGTCATGTAAATCTGACTCTTCGATGTTGACACTCTGTTATCAAGTGAAAAAGTACATTACATTCTTTAAGTCTTAGCTCCATCTTTGAATATAATCTAATCTAATCTCATGGCAGGTGGTACCTCATCTAAGAATAGCAATATGAATATAGGTCTGTTTTCACTGTATATGACATAATATAGTGGGAACATTGGAAGCACTTTAAAGTGAGTTTCAGACGGTGTCTTAAAATTCAGCTCTTTCCTAGGAAAAAAACAATAGTTATGTTTAATTTATTCGTAATCCACTTGAAACAGGCATCAGAGGTGTTTCATAGATTTGTTTAGTCAGGCTAGAATCCGTCTTTTCACTGTACCTTAAAGTGGTGTCTGCTACTTCTGCTCATTTTGCACTTTTTGGATATTTTGAATCATTGTGAAAGCTTGTATATTAATGCATTATGTACATGATTATTTTCCAAAATAAAAGCACAGTATTATTCATTTTGACTCAGTTTGACTGATGTGATTTGTTCTTTATACAGCTCAAGTGTTAGTGTTGATTTTAGACTGGTCTTTGCTGTGGGATCTGTGGTGTCTTCATTCAGCATAGATAAGGAAAGCAGCCAGCTTTGATGCTGGCCTGTGGTATACTTCTTTTAGGCAGACACATAATGGATTATACATTAAAAGCCTACTACAGATCAGCTTCAAATTCCCCTGTGTGAGTTTTTGCATTACCCCATTACTCCAAACTCAGCTACGGTATGTCTGTATCTGTTTTGAATCAAGAGCTACAAAGCGGTCCTTGAAACGTATCAAGAAACATTCAAATGTGCTGATACTTTAATTACACTTTATTGAGGTGATAGTGATGACAACATGAGGATCTCCATGCTCAATCGGAGCTAACCATAAATGAAACTGTGGGTTATTTTGTGTTTACTGACGTCTTTCTTCTACGTATGACTTCTATGTCAGTTGATAAGGATCCCTGTTGTTGAGCTGATCCATGGGTAGTATCGTGACACTCGGGTATAGATGCCGTACTTCCCGTCTTTTGCACACTCCTCCCCCCAGCTGACAATACCTGTCAGGAACCAGGTACCTTTGTGATTGGTTGCGTGCGGCCCCCCGCTGTCCCCCTGGCATGCGTCCTTCTCGGCGCTCTGGTAGCCTGCGCAGAACATGAAGCGTGTCACTTGGTCCCGGCTGCTTTGTGTACAGGCAGTGCGCTCCACATATGGGACCGCGAGCTTCTGCAGCTTGGTGGCCTCAGGGCCCATGAACTTGATCCTTCCCCAGCCGCTTACTAGAGAAGCTCTGGACTCCCTCATCAAGTTTTCTGTGAAGTCTCTGGGGCCCAAGCAGATGGGGCGTCGGTGGCTGGACAGCTCCACCGGAGTGGTGAGCTTCAGCAGTGCAATATCGTGATTATAGGGTGACTGATCGAAATGGTATTTACGATGGATATACCGCTGTTCCACCTGGTGGTCCCTCTCTGGACCCTCATCTCTGTTCACATCATGTTCACCTAGAAGCAAAGATAAATAAAATGTACATGAGGTGTAGCAAACAACAGCATCTTTTAAGCATTTGTAAACACAAATGTCTAACATTTAAAGGGATATTCCAGCGTAAAATTAATTAATCAAACACACCGTAACACTGAGTTAGACTCCTCCTTGAGAGATGAATGTTGCCGACCGCTTGCTTCTCTAGTTATACCAACTTTAGTAACAACCGCAGGATAGCAATACACGCGGTCTGAGGAGCCATAAACAAACCTCAACCAAAACGCCACTCTATAGCCACAAATAATGCTCAGAACAGCACCTAACTTCATCAACAGTACATATAGGGTCCCAGCCATAATACTAGCCACTAAACATCTTTTTAACTTTGCCTGATTTCTTTAGCAAAGAGACTAAACACAACTCACCTACTCTCTTCCAGCAGTTGCTTGTTTGTAGCGAGACCTCGGGCCAGTCCAGTACGGACTACAGTGGGGTGACGCAGCTCAAGGAAGAACATTTATGATCATTTCTTCATGGAAATACAATCAGACTTAGACGCTAAGTCAGAAGAACTACCGCGTCTGCAGTGCAAAATGATTAATATGGTGATTATTACTTCAAGGAAATTATCATAAATGTTCTGAACATTATTTGTGGCTATAGAGTGGCGTTTTGGTTGAGGTTTGTTTATGCCTCCTCAGACCGCTGTGTATTGCTATCGTGTGGTCGTTACTAAAGTTGGTTTAACTAGAGAAGCAAGCGGTCGTCAACATTCATCTCTCAAGGGGGTTTTTAACTCATTGTTTTTGACCCTAAATTAATTTTATGCCAGAGTATCCCTTTAATCCACAAGTGGCAAAAATTCTTCCAACATCATCGTCAGGAATAATGTCAGGTATCGTCAGGAATTTCCAACAAATTCAACAGCAAGAAATGTTTTCCATCAAGATAATCAAACATGAGGTAAGGATGAACAATGCGATAGTTGGGAGCAGGCTGAGAGGAGAGCTGTTTTACATACCCACTCTGACGAAGAAAACCCGTTTAGCGATATCAGCCTGGATCAGACAATGAGCAGCAGTGATGACCCACAGTTCACTGAGCAGAGCTCCTCCACAGAAAGGCTGTGCTCTGTCGTGAGCAGGAGACCGATACATCAGAGCCACCTGTAAACACAAACACTTCTGTAAACTCAAAGATTTCACTCAAACACCACTGGAGGGTTTTGCATTTCTGCACCTGCTGCCTCATGATTCCCTCTTTAACTTCTGAATACTCTCAGTTTTTCTTCATCTTCTCTACTGGAAACTTCAATCTGTGCTAAATCTGTTAAACTAAATCTGTTCTAGGTAGCCGCTGAACTCAAATGCTATTATATTACGGTATTATGACAGTGAGAATTTTTATATTGTTCATTGTAGACAACTGAACTTTCACCGATTGTCTTTTAAGTTGTTGTTCAGATGTCTCACATCCAAACCATTTTTATAAAAGCATTTGAGCCTCCCACCCTTGGTGTTAAAGAAAAACTGGTTGCCATGCCTTATGGTCAACTTTGCTGCAGATACGGTACAAACCCTACTGATGTATGGAGAGAATTCTGTGTCTTTATATGCAGTCAAGAAGAATGGACTCAAGAACAAAAAAATATTTTGCAACCAAAAAACAAAAATTATAATTTAAAAAATACAAAAAAAAAAAAAAAACTAAAAAATGATGACAAGCCCCTGCTCATGAGATCCATGTATGCAGAACTTGAGGAAACTCAAATGAAACTTCTGGAAACGCAAACGAAACTTCAGAAAACGCAAAAGAAACTTCAGGAAATGCAAACAAAACATTTGGAAACGCAAACAAACTTTAGGAAACTCAAATGAAAACTTCAGTAGAACGTACACGAAACAGAAAACGCAAAAGAAACTTAAGGAAACACCAACAAAAAATTTGGAAATGCAAACAAACTTCAGGAGATGCAAAGTAAACCGGTTCTTTGGCGTAATATTTGTGGTTTGTGAAGAAAACTTCAGGAAACTCAAACAAAACCTTTTGAAACGCCAACAAATCTTTTGGAAACACAAAGAAACTTGAGGACACTCAAACAAAACTTCCGGAAACACAAACAAACCTTTTGGAGATGCAAACAAACTTTAGGAAACTCAAACAAACTTTAGGAAACTCAAACAAACTGGTTCGTAGGAATAATATTTGTGGTTTGTAAACAAAATTTAAGGATTTATCAAGATACATTTTTATTAGAATTACATCTTATTAGTTAACCAGGATTTTTTTTTTGTATTTTTCAAATCATAATTTTGTTTGTAATTTATTTATTTATTTTTTGTTTGTAATAAAGACACAAAATTCTCTCTATACTGATGAGGGAGGACATTAACCACAGTGTTGATAGTTATGAAAACTTCTTGCCTTCAGCTCATAATTCTGTATCTCACACTTCAGTACCTGCCAGGGTATCTCCCCGGGCTTCGCCTCGTCCCCCCCAACAATCCTCTCCTCTACGTCAACTACTGCCTTGATGGTGGAGAATGTGGGGAAGAAAGCCGAAGAGTGCAGCGGCTTCTCAGTGACACCATCGCTCACAGCTTCTTCTGCTGACCTCACTGAACGTTTAAATATTAGAGTAGTGTTGTTGGATGGCTGCGGATCACTTGAAGGTAAATTATCATAATCATACAAATAGTCAGTCAAGTCTTCATCAAGCGTGGTGTCATTAAAGTTTTGTAGCTCCTCTGTGTCGTTTATGGGGCTGAAGGACCGTGGAGATACAGCAGAACGGGACACAGACGTGGAGGACGAGCCCACGTGTCCACAGCTGAACTGATCTGTGAGGGAGTAAACCAAGAGTGAGATAGTCCAGTTTTAGAGGATTCATGAAGTTTTACAGTTGGAGGATTTGACATATTTGCACAGCTTTCTCATCCCAGAATGAAGACGAAAACGATGGGTTTTTAATTTCATTTGGATTTAAAGGATGGGTAATTTAATTATTTGTGTCATTATTTAAAATAAAGTTGAGATTTGGACTATCTGAGTCTTTTACAGAGGACCAATCTGGGGTGCACACTCACATGGGGGTGGCAAGAAGTAAGCATGCACACACTACGAGGACTGATTTTGTCATGAGTTCCTCCTCTGACAAGACAAATAGATGTCTGCAGCCTTCTTACATTTGCTTGTATTTAGTTTATCTTGTTTTCTACCTGTTGGTTCACAGCTCCTCGTGTCTGCTCCGAGTGTGTAACCAACTGCACACTGACATACAGGTCGCTCTGCCTGCATGACACAAAAATGGGAACAGCCACCGTTGTTGACTGAACATTGCTTGGACACCTCTGGAAACAGACAAGCAGGAGAGCTGAATTAATCTCTCTGACTTCTCTTCTTTTACCAAACAATATTTTATCACATTAAGGGAAAAAAGTACAAATCAAACACTTACCAATCTCACAGTTCTTGCCGCTAAAATTTGGACGGCACCAGCAAGTATACGCACTGATCCCATCCTCACAAGTGCCTCCATTTTGGCAAGGGGGCGGCTTACACTGGTCCCCATCTACACACACGTATTAAAAACACAAACAGGTTTGCAGATGACACCATGATCTTGATTGAAATAAGTCTGAGAAGCTCACTTTCTTACCAACATAACTGGCCCAGAACTCCATCTGAGAGACAAACACGGATGCAAATGAGAAACCTCAAATCTGAAAACACACTCATAGTTGTTGTTGAACAGTTTGTGTGTCCGTGTGTGTCTGTGTTAGGGAGTTTCACTAACAGTTTTCTCATCATTCTCGAACACCTCCCTGGCCTCCTCCATGGTGCACACTTCTTCTTTACACTCACGCTCCAGGTTGTCTTTATAAAGCACCTCTTCAAGTTTGCCGCTGTTGTACCGCCGCTGACGGATCAGCACTGCGTTGGCCACCTGCTGGGACACGAACACAGCTCCTGCAGGAGACACGAGGAACAAATATAGAACCACAGCTTCATGAGGAAATGAAACACAACTCGGTTTTAAAAGAAACTGCATTACAAGATAGAAATCTACTTCTTACTAATGACAATAAAAAAGCTGTTAAGCAGCATTTTTAGTTGCATGTTTCAAATTTAATTAGTTGAATTCTATTAAATACAGTCTATGATCTTGACTCTCAGATTTATTATTAAAATAAAAACATCACTTCTACTCCACTTTGGTCTGAAACCACGACTTAAACGACAGCTTCCAAGCGCTCATTCTGTGAAAAGTGTTCAAGTTGACTTTGTTGATGTACTTTCATCTCCAAGTCTGTGGTGATTCCCACTTTCAGCTGGTTAACTGAGCCATCTGGGTATCTTTGTGATTTTGGTTTCCGTTTAAAAGCACAGCAAGTTCATTTTTTGTCACAATGGCAGCAGGATGAAACCAACTTTGGATTGAGCTTGTACCATAGACTGTATGGACTATGGACTACTTGGCTCCGCCTTCCGTCATTACACGAATTTGAAGCCGAATTGCTCTCGGTATTTCCAGGAGAACTAGCATTGTGCACATTCAGCGAGAAAGTCGCTGTGATGACGTTCGGCTCAAACAGCGTATCCCCCAGGTGAGCTACGCAATCTTCGTACGGGGGCAGTCACAGAGTCGCACATAGGAAATTTTGAGTTTTTTTGGGTCAAATCGAGGGATTTTTACATGCCTCTAACTCAGTAAGTCCACACGATACAAATTCAAAACTTCCATACAAAACCCCGGACATTTGAAGGATGTTATAAACTTCCCCACACAAAGCCGGACAAGGCCAGACAGCCTCCAAAAAGAGGAAATATGTGGGTAAAAGAGGACATATTGTCACCCTAGTATCAAGTGTCAATCATAGAAAACATGAACCCCCTAATAAATTTTAAAAATGGAGCTGTACAGAAAAAAGAGGACTTGAGCACAAACCAGTATGACAATATCTACATGTCAACATCACCACCTGGGGGGAGAAACATTTATGTTCTGTGTAATTAATTAATAAATTTTGTCCACAGCTCCATAGGGATTGCTGGAGGAGGCGGGATTTATGACCTATACTGCAGCCCGTCACCAGAGGGAGCTGTTCTCGCGGTGGCTTCAGGCAGACGGCGTCCATTCTATATACAGTCTATGGGCTGTATGTGTATTTGTCAATATACATACATGTTTCACACGTTTCTTTGTTTATGAGCACTTTGTGAAGCTTTACCCTGCAAAGGTGAAAGGTGAACATTGTCACAGAGGAAAGTTGCTGAATTGGCTCCAATGGTGGAAAGTTGGCTTATAAATCAAATTAGAAAAAATAACTTCATAAACCACCTCCAAAAAACTTCAACTACTCATTTTGTTTCAGTGATTTAAATTCATGTTTCAATTTAAACTTTCTAACATGAAGAATAATCATGTTCAACATGACCCCACCTGCTAAAAACTTCTCACATCTCTAACCTCGGTCTGCCTCCTGCCTCATAAATCCACACCAGCTCCTGTGTTGGTTACCTTCATTTCCCTCTGTGGTCACCGCAGGATGTCCAGTTACCTCCAGCAGTAAACCAGCAATGAATCCCAGTAAACAAACTCCGTCCATCTTGTGGTTGTCAGCTGTCCGTCTGCCTGAGCTCAGTCCTAAAGAGACAAATCCAGCACTCCAAAGTACAGAAACTCAGTGTTTACTCATCTGAGAGGCTGCAGTGTGTTTGTTCACGTTTGTACGTGTGTTTTTGTTAGAGAGAGTGAAAGACAGAGTGTGTGAAGTGTTATTCGAAAAAGTTACCAGAAATATTCAGGGTGTTTGTGACGGAGAGAGAGAGAAAGGGAGAGTGAGGTATAGAGAGGCAAAGTTTGACATAAAGATCGGATAAATCTGGTGAGGAGAATTGAAATTGAGCAACAGCAAATATTGACAGCTGATGAGTAAGAAGGACAGGTCTGGAAACTATTTAGTGTGTGTGTGTGTGTGTGTGTGTGTGTGTGTGTGTGTGTGTGTGTGTGTGTGTGTGTGTGTGTGTGTGTGTACGTGTTTGCGTGTGTGTTAATCACTTTGTTTACCCTGATCAGTCATAAGCAGCTTTTGTATCATGAAAAATCTGAAGGTTTTAAACACACATCCACCCTGTAAGTGCCGTCATTCAGCTTTTCCTCCCTCTGATGAAACTTTTGAACAATTGAAGATCATTTAAACTCTGAAAAATACCTTCTCAGATTGTGACATTGCCTCTCAGCGTGGACAGACACGCTCCACAAAAAAATTGTGTCCACCAGATTCCCATCTGAGTGGACAAATGAGGCTGTAAATCTGTTCAAATCAGCTTAAAGCCATTTAAAAGAGACTGAAGACATAATTAAAAGCCCTCCACCGAGCCGCAGTGAAGGACACCCAAACTCTGAGCTCGATCACGAGTATTGAAGGCTGTTTGATTAGACTGTGAGTCACAGTCGGGGCGTGGCTGTGGACAAATCACTGCCACTGACAGCCTGGTTAGCTGGCCTTGAGCCAGCACAGTCTTGGCTCCGGCAGCCTTGAGGTGACTTCCCAACTGAGATGATTTAGACGGGTTGATGGAGGCGGGTTGTGTCTCTGTTTCTAGTGCAACTTTTTCAAGCCATTAAATCCATCCCTACTCTGCAAACTTGAGATATCACCGAGGGAAGTCATGTGTCAATATGACAATTAGCACCTTCACCACCCCCTGTGATCGCAGTTATTGCCAAAACACTCCCAGGTGATTAGTCCGACTGGATCAGTCCTCTCTCAAGAATGACGGGGGGGTCGATACGGATATTAATGCTCTGAAAGAGGCAGAACCCTGATGGTGGAAAACCTGATCCTCAGTGTGCGGCCCCTGGTCTGGACTGTGAATCATTATATTAACATCTATTACATTTTCTGGGGCCTGTTTTTCTAATCTCAGGTCGGATACATTAGAACTCTTTTAGCCTAATTGATCAGTGAGGGACAGATTGATGTTGTTGAGGTTTAGAGAATTTAAGGTAAAAACACAGATTTGTCTTTGTTTTTTTAATCAAACTAAGCTGAATTTTTGCAGCAAGAAGTAGGTTTTGATTATTTTAGTCATCTGATTTTGGCGACTATGTTTGACATCAAATGTATGTTTTTGTTTTTATGTAATTTAGGGGGCTTGTAGATGGAAAAGGAAATTGGAAAGAGCGAGTGGGGAATGACGAGCTGGAATTAAACCTTTTTAAGGACTACAATCTCTAACTGGAGGCAGGAGTGCCGAGGAGGAGCTCATATCGGACACACAGCTGGGGGCCGCCCCCCATGAAAGTTTCTACGGAAGTCTAAATCAGATAAAACTGTAATTATCCATTTATCCCATTTTCATCTGAGCTAAATAAAATTTGAAATCGGAAAATGAGCCGTTGAGACAAATATTTAGAAGAAAAAAAATCGATTTCTTGTTTTTGGTTTTATTTTGAAAATCCAATGAACAAATGATACACGGATTCTTCCTCTTCTCTCCATCCTTTCACCGCTCTTTTTGAGGCGATCCTGTTCAGAAAGTTCTGGTTCTACCAAGCGCTCTTCCATCATCAAAAGTTCAAGTCCAGTAGACCTCCAAAGAAAGGCAGCGCAGTGAGGAGCAGCTGAGGACAGCTCTGTGTTGATGAAGACCCTGGGCTCTGGACGAAGGCCCACCATGAGTCATTGACCTCTTTCTTTGGCGACACTGTCATCGATCAATAAAGGGATGTCACCTCTCCATTCCAGTACAATCATACAGCTGTTTTACTGCTACTGGGTGACTCACGAGGTCAATGTCTTGGCTATTCCTGCCTCACCAACCCGGTAGATGTTGACCTGAGATGACTTCATGGCGTTCAGAGAAAAGAGCCTGTAAATCATAAACACTGAGGGGGATTCATTAAACTGTCTTCTGAGTGAAATTCAGTCAAACGAGAAACATGACGGTTATTTCAGCAGTGACATATTTCACTTTAATTTAGCTCTTCTTGGACGTCTGACACTTTCTCTGTAATTATCTGACAGAGTGATTTAATTATCTCCACATACTGTATCTGTGTGGTTAAAAAGGTGATAGTTACCACTTAAGCTCAGTGTGAAACAGTGAATATGTCTGCTGAGGACTCAAAAGAAGTCGTACGTCCAATGTCATACATGTCACTTTTTTTTTTATAACAGAGCAGCTGGTCCCAGATCAGTAATCCTCCAGGGGAGCAGAGGGCCAGCTGTGATTTGCTCTGCTGGCTCATAGCTTAAGTCAAAAAGCCAACTCAACTTTGACGTCACAAACCTGTTACACAAGAGCCTGGAGAACTTGTGGTATAAGCCAAATTAAAAGGATGATTTAAGATTAACAAAGTGTGTTAAAACAAAAATACCACAGTTAAACGCACCGACAATTTCCTCCAACTCCAAGGTGTTTATTTAATGTTTGGAAACAGACATAATATGACCATTAGTGACACCAGCCCAAACATCTATTTTTGCAAGTAGATCAAATTTTATGTATATTTATTATTATTCATCTAATCAGGGAGGACCATCTTCTAGAATTGTTATAAATTTAATTGTATCTAAGTTAATTAATTCATTTAATTAACTTTGCTTTTTTTAATAACAGTTTTTAATTTCTTCAATGATAATTTCTCTTAAAATGCTTCATATTTTAAATGCTTATGGCACAATTTAATTTTTTGTAATTGAATACTCATGCACTGCTCTCTTGTTTAGAGACCCACTCCGATGAAAATCATGTTTTTCTTGTCGTCTACATGTTCATATGTTCATTTTTCTAATGCTACTGGACATATTGTGAGAAGAGTAAGTGTGAAATTGCATTTTTGAGTATTTCTGAAATCAAACAGCTGTGAATATCTAACAGACCCAAACAGCAGTTTTGGACACAGAGAGATTTCTTACATCACAAATCCAAGCTCCGCCCCCTGAGCCCGGCTATGCAAGACACACTCAGAGAAATAAAGAGGACGATTGCAGGACAAGTGTGTGCGTTAGTGGGCTTCAATGCTCATAAAAAAGCTAATTATGATATTAACTTTCGTCATGTCTGAGAGCTGAATACCTCTTATGTTACCTGTCACTTCTACAACACCGGCAATGTTAGGCTACAAGCTAGTGTGAAGAGGAGTGTGCAGAGCAGCGCTGTCTCCGCCCACGACTCAGAGGTGAAATGCTAATGATCTACTGGAGTAGAAAAGACTTTAAAAATGACACAGGTAATGTGATTTTGGCTAAAAACGTTGTAATCACAACGTAAAGACCACTGAGAACACTTTAAGAAGTAAAAAAAAAAATTATCGGAGTGGGACTTTAAAACATTAGAGTACGACAGTCTCTGAAGTGCTTACATATCAACCCAACAACTTAGTACTTTATACTTTGTACCTTTAATCAAACTTGTAAAATCACTTTATTTGGAAAATAAACAAAAGTATTCAACACACATTATAAGACTGAATATGTATTTTGTAAATGTTAAGCTCTAACTGGCATGACAGATGAAAAGCTCATCATGACATCAATGTGCGGAGTAAAAGATGGACTACACATAACCTGTCTGTTAGATAAATGTTTAGTAATAGGGATGCACTGATCCGATATTCAATCAGATATCGGCTCCGATATAGACAAATTGAATTGATTGGATATATAATGAATGACGTCGATCCAGCGTTCTGATCCAGTCTTTTTTTCTTTTAATTAATATCAAACACAGCGACACAGTGATTCTGTTTGCTCTATAGTCCATGTCTGTCTGCAATAAATGTTTACACGGAAGGTATACAGTTCATTCATTCAACAGTAGTATTGGATCGATATCGGATATCGGCCGATACGCTCCACACAGGTATCAGTATTGGATCAGATTTGAAAAAAATGGATCGGTGCATCTCTGTTCAGTCCGACACTGTTATAGATAATTACAGTCAAAAAGATAAGATTTGGTTGATTTAAACAACATTCATCCATCTTTCATTACAAATAAAAAGGTTTATATAAAGCAGGCTGCTCGTTATTAATCAGTGACTGTCTGAAGAAGAAACAAACAAACTGAAGCAACTTCTGAACAAGCCACTCCTGTTGTGCCAAGTTGCCGCTCCATGTAGGTTAACAGAGGAAACTAAATTTATCCCTGACCCAACTTCTTACCACTGAGTGTTGACAACTGGAGCTCAGCCTCCGGCCTGGACGATGCTCTCGTCATGTGGACTTGAACTGAAGGGAGCTGCAGGCACAGGAGAGGAGAAGAGGAGGAAAACAACTGTTAATTAAAGTCAGTCTGACGAGAAGCAGAAGGAGGAATAATATCATTTTACTGTCACAGAGTAGTCTTAGAGACTGATGAATCATATGATCTTTATTTCTTTAGAGGACATCAGTTGTCATCGTTTGTTGCAAATACATTTCAGTGAAAAAGAGTTTGTTGACTGACTCAATAAATACTTTTTTTTTTAGCTTTATGGTGTGTTTTTGCGAAGATAACGGCACAATGTATGATCAGATTTTAACTTTAGTAAAACATAACAAACTGATAATCTTCAACAAATGGTAAATAGGAACTTCAGATCACTTGAAATCCTCTGATTCGTTTGGTGGAGCAGAACACTTACAGTCAGAGCATCGCCGGATAAATATACCATGTGAGTGTATCTCACTCCTGCCTGTGTTAAAAAGCCATTTCACAGGACAGATTGATTCAATGATCAATAAAGCGACTCATTTGCATAGTGTTAGACTGCTGAGTTTGCAGGTGAATGCGCATATATCAGACTAAAGACGACCTCCTGAATATATTGACCTTCTTCAAGTTGGTAAGAGCATCTTACTGCTGTTCTCTTTTTACTTTATTAGGATTGGGACGTGCAGATGTCTGTTAATGAATAAACGTTCATTATTTTTTATTATTTCTATTTTATCCACAACTACCTTTTAGCGAGGCACTACTACCAGGAGTTAATAGGCTGTAGCTAATAGGTTTTTTAGTGGTGTTTTATGGATTAGTCACACATACGCAGTTAATATGAACCGCAATTACAGTGGCATGTTGGAGAAACAGACAGCGCTTCAATTCATTATGAAGATCAGCCAAAGACTGTTTGATCGTGTGGTTTCTGTTAAAGAGAGGCAGTAACTCTGTCTAAATATATTGATTAAAGTCTTAAAGGTGGGGTCGGCAGGATCTAAGGAAGTGCCAGTTTTCCCCTCAGCTCCTCCTCTCCAAGCCCCGCCCACAAACAGACGCTCCTGCTCGCTCGTATCGTTTCAATTAAATTCAGATATAACGCAGATAAATACTTCAGATAATTACAAATGGGGCCCAGTCAACGTGAAAGTTAAAAAGCATTGGTGCTACTGTAGATGCCAACAGACTACCAGCAAACACAATGTTTGCAGGACTTCTACAACTAGGATAAAGTGACATAGTCCAGGACCCGAGGTCAACAGTTTAGCGGCGCTACAACACGCTACAGCAGGTCCCGTTTGATAAGAAACACTTCTGTTGGAGACACTTGGCTTACTTTGTTAAAGCGGTTTACCTGCCCAGCAGAAAGGTTACAGATTCCGAAGCGTACCCCATATTTTATGTTGACCCGGCTTTTTAGCTCTTGTTGTATTGAGCTATTTTGGTGCTCTTATTTTAGTATCTTTTACTGTTGTTTTTTATTTCATTTCATTTATTATTTCTTAAATTTCATTCTATGTTTCTTTGTTTTTAGATTTTAACCTAAATCTCCAGTGTTTCCTTATCTTTACCTTAAAAATGGCGTTTCCTCAGTGCGCACATTCTTGTTTCCATGAAATCAAGCCCTTTCTAAGTGTATGAATTCTAATTCTGTTTCTGTTGTGTTTAGATGGTGGGGTGGGAATGAGGGGTTGGGGTAGATTTGGGTGTTCTTTGTTTCTTTAACTCCTTATTCTGTGTAATGCTCTTTGTGCTACATGGTTGTGTATGAAAAGTGCTATATAAATAAAGACTGATTGATTGATTGATTGATATTGTTATATTACCAAATGTCATCAATAACTAATAGCTGATATTAAAAGTAGGGCCCGACCGATTTATCGGCGAGCCAATTAAATCGGCCAATTTTAGTCTGTTTGAGACTAATCAGTAATCGGCCAAAACTCGCCGATTTCCGCCGATATTTTCAGAAATAAAATGTGGAGAGTAAGATTTGGTTTCACTTAGAAAATGTTCCGCCATTTGAAAAGTCTCCCGACTTATCGTGTAGATGGCGCAGCGACCTCATGACAATCTTCATCCACTAACTACCTAACTCAGCTGAAAACGCTGTCGGTCTTCCTGTCGACATGAAAAGCAGTAGCCTAAAGTATATCTACAGTATATATATTTATAACTTCATAAAATTTTTTTTTTAAATTGGCCGATTAATCGGTAATCTTTTTTTTTTTCGCCCTAATAATCGGTATCCGCATTGGCCCCAAAAAATCCATATCGGTGGGGCCCTAATTAAAAGCCTTTTTCGTTTATAAACCACAAAAAAAGATGCTTCTTTAACAGAATCCTGCCAACCTCACTTTTAACATTCACTATGCCAGTTATGATTTATTTATTTTATAAATTTAGAAAGTCAAACTAACCTGCAGTTTTGATTGAAACATTAATAAAATAAACAAATAAACAAAAAGACACCAAACAGGTGTAATGCAGATAGTATTGATCTCAGTTATTAAGTACACAATAAGGGGATCTCTGAGGTTTGTTTTTCTTTTGCGTTGCGTGACACACGTGCACATTAGTGTCTCTCTTCTTTGTCTCGATTAGAGCGTGCGGGAGCTGTTTGTGCGCGCGCATGTTTGGGAGCGCTCCTGCTCATATAGAGGCATGTGGAGACAGAAGGAGAAAGGGACCGGCTAAAGGAGAGGGGAGGTAGAGAGGGAAGCGACGGCGAGAAGGAGTGTGAGGAGGGGATAAAAAATAAATAAATCAATAAAAATCTGAAAAAAAAAGGATGAGAAAGTGGAGCCACGAGCCCGAAGCCTTCCTCTGAACTTTGATTCAACCACCAGCAGCAGCAGCAGCAGCAGAGGAAGAAGCTCCATGAGCGGAAAAACGAAAAACAAAGAGGATAAAGACCATGCCGCCAAAGGTGAGTGAGAATATCAACTCATATGAGAAAGGAGGTGAGAAGAAGATGTTTGTCTTTTTTCTGCAAAAGCGTTCACTGAGATCAGAGGAGATACTTCTTCTCATTGAATCCAGGGCAGATAAACTCCACTTTTTTATCATTGGAAATGCTTTACATCTATCTATTTATATATTATATTGTCCTACTTAATTTCCACAGACCTCTTCCACCTTACATTTCCCCTTTTTATATTGTACCACAGGAAACATTCAGTGTCGATCTCTTTAAGCCTCTAAATTACCCCTCCAATAGAAGGGTCTCTGTATCTAAGATGTCATTTCAGATGCTCTCTCTCTCTCTCTGTCACACACACACACTCATTTATTTTCTTCCCTCTGGATAGCAATAAAATTGACGCGCTGTACACCGCAATGGAAACTGGGAAACTATCATTGCCATGGAGACAAAAAAGGGTGTTGCCCGCGAGCTTACAGGCGCTCGTTCATCATAATATGCATAAGCCAACCCATTCATAAAAGACACAAGTATGCAGCATTAAAGGATTTTAAATAACAGCACAGAAACGTAACACATGTTCATATTAAAATTAAAATGAACCCAAGATAATAAACCCAATTATGAAAGTGTTGTTATAGCAGAAACACTGCAAAAATCAATGTTATGTAGTATTGTCCCGGAGTAATACAGTAGGATAGATAATAATCACTGCAGTAGATGGAAAAATAAGTAGAAAGTAGGCTAATATTAAAAAATTCAGTATATGAAATGATATTAAAATGAATCCCTGATAATATACCAAATTATTTAAGTATTGTTATAGCAGAAACACTGTGAAAATCAATGTTATGTACAAATGTCCTGGAGTAATACAGTAGGATACACAATACTCACTGTAGTAGATGGATAAATAAGTAGAAAGTAGGTTCACATTAAAGAATACTGTAAATGAAATGATATTAAAATGAATCCCTGATAATATGCCTAATTATTAAAGTGTTGTTATAGCAGAAACTCTGTGAAAATCAATGTTATGTACAAGTGTGCTGGAGTAATACAGTAGGATAAATAATAATCGTTGTAGTAGATGGATAAAGAAGTAGAATATAGGCTCTACAATAATATCACCCTACTAAAATTTTAACACTCAGGTGATGTGAGTTTGTCTTTCAGTGATATCAAGTGTAGGTTTTAGTTCATGCAGTAAACTGTAAAGCATTTTTATGGCCACCACATCAGTAAATTGTGTTCTCACTGCGCCTGGAAGTCCCCAGTGAGCTGAGTTAACAAAAACACACTCAAACACAGCAAACACATACAAAGGCAGCAATGGCTTACTGTGAGATTACTGCTGAAGCAGCAAGACAACAAATGGCAACAAATTAGAAAGCACCCGGCAAGATTAGAGAAAGACAAAATGATTAATTTAAACTCTTAACATCATCGACAGGAGGGAAACAAAGTGGATTTAAAAGATAAACACATAATTATCCTGTTGTTTATTAGCCCAGCTTTAAATTTGCTTCCCTCAGCAATTGCCAAGTTAAGGTCCTTACACACCGAGGCCGACACAAATACAGAACGCAAATTATGAAATATTCAGAGGTGAATTTTGACGGGCCTGACTATACACATCAAGTGCGATGCAATTTTGCTAGTGGGAAAACTTTTCCCAAGGAAAGTCCCGCCTCCTTTGCCTCTGATTGGCTACAAAAGCTGGAAATGTCATTGCACGCTCAAGCCAAATGGCCAGCACTTACAGCCAATCAGAGGTGATAAGATAAGCACATGAAACTATGGTAACAACCGTTAGCTTACGTTAGCACAGATGAAAGTTAAAACAAAGATGTTCAAACTGTTAAAGCAAACAAACCATCGTCATATGAGAAATCCGACGCTATGACTCTCCACAAGTTGTCCTTCGGGTCGTTATCTTTGTAATGTTTGGTTTTTTTTAAATCAAAAAGCACTCTGTTCTCAGACATGTAAACGAACAGCCGGTCCGCCATGTTGGATATACCGGTGAATCTGACGTCGCAACAACACGCAATCTGACTGGTCAGATGTGGACACACAGTAAAAATCGACCGTGATCTGAAAAATAAATGCCGCAATATCGCAGGAAGGGAAAACGTCACTGATGTGAACTCTTGTATTGACAGGATACTGGTTTGAAAAAAGATATTGACGTCCGAAATAATCGCACAACTGTCCGGTGTATAAGGACCTTAGGTCTTAATTTCCCGTAGAACCAAAAAAATACAACTTTAAGGTATGCTAACAATGCATAAATCTCACCTGAGCTCCGCCTGTCGATGAGTTCTTCTTCTTCTTCAATGGAGTTTAGTGGCTGTTGGCAAACCAACTTGAAGATGCATTACCGCCACCTACTGGACTGGAGTGTAGAACAGTAATTTGGCAGACAAAAAAAAAAAAAAAAGAAAGAAAGAAAGAAAAGAAAATGAGATCCTCTCCATTAGCCCTGTATCTCTCAAATATGCAATCAACTGCTTGAGCATAAATTCTGACTCTGCTCCTAGCAGGTTCCCCATGTTGAGTGCTATCCTGGCTCGCTTGTCGATTAGTTCCTCTTCGTTGTATAAAAGTTTAAATTGTGATAGGCTGTGTCCGAAATGAATCACTCAATCCCTAACCCCCATATAGGGTGATCAAGCTCACTACCTAGTCAGCTATATAGTGAAACCCCATATGGGGGTTAGGGGTTAGGGATTGAGTGATTCATTTCAGACACAGCCATAGTCACGTATATAGGGGTTAGGGATCCATTTCAAGACACAGCCATCGACTCACTACTGCCCCCCTGCAGCTTGAGACGAATGTTATCCGGGTTTTTCCATCAATGGCCACAGGAGCCTCATAAACATTTCGACGCTTAAAACTCACAGTTTGACAGTTTACACCTAGGTGAGTAAACAGCGAATGTGTTTCCAAACTTAGCTCGGTCATAAGTCTGAAAGTTAAGGGTTAACTGGCTGGTTTGTTCTTAGGCCAAGCTAACTGTCGTAAACTTTTAAGAGCGGAAGCTGTCTCGATATTTACTTCTGGGTTTATCCTCAAGCCATCGCAGAAAAACTGTGTGTCCTGGAAATTATAATTAACTAAACGTAATATTAACTTAAGAATAAAAATTTGAGCTGTAGATAAAGTAAAATTCAGACACATCCGGACCAAAGGCTGGACTTGGCTGCCATGGTAACGTGCCAGCAGGATGTGCCATGTTTACTGACAGGTGGCAGAATAGCAACCTCCAGGTAACTTTAACTTATAAAACTCACTCAAAGCCTGCAACAACCTCACTGTAAGCAACAAAACCAGCACAGAGAATCAGAATAGATTATTTAAAACATGACAAATGCACTTAAAGGGCCAGAACTGAGACCACAGTTGGTTGTAATGGATCACAATTACAACAGACCCATAATTCAAAGTATACTGGGGACATCGGTAACTTATACATAATTTTAGGATGTAGTTTTCAGCATTCACAACAAATTGGGGGAAAAAAAAGGCAATTTATTGAAGTGCAGTTAAGTTTGACCTCATAACCAAAACAGATCAGCTACATATTATGGAGCAAGAGTTTACAGTGGTATGTAAGTGATTTTGAGTTAAAAGAGCATCACTTATAATAAAATAGACTGTATTCATTTTAAAAGCAATAAGAAAACGTTTAGGCAGTTAGGAGAAACACAAAGTTATAGAGTCACCCTCCTCCCAAACCTTCCAAAGTAATTGTAAGTAGATATGACGAATTAGTTGGATTAAACTGATTAATTGCACCAGTGACAAAAGGAGATACTGTGAGTTTTTTTATAAATCACAGCGATAGTAATGTCGCATGTCTTTTGTACATTCTGATGAATATATGTCCTGCAATGGCTCATTCTCACTTAGTTGGACAAGCATTTAGGGTTATGTGTCAACTGTAAAGTCCTGCATACATTAATTGCAGCTATTAGGATTAAGTTTATGTAGAACAAAACCTCATTAACATCTTGCTCTTAAAGAGATTAGGCTTGAAGATGAGGATAACTGTTGTCGCCTTTTATGTATGTGTGTCTGAATGTGGGAAAGGAGATGAGAGGATTCAATTAACTCTGATTGTGACACAGAAAAATGGCAGCAGGGGTCCCCACTGCACATCTGTTGTTACACAGTCAGCGTGATAGTTCAGCTCTTCCATGTGTTTGATTGCTTGTTTTCAAGTCATGGAAGAAAAATATTGTCGGGTTTGTGGCGCACTACTTACAGACGAAACAACCCACCATCCAAGAGTTTTTAGCGGTGCCGTGATTGAATATTTCAACAAAACTGAAACTATCAGATTAAACCCATTAGACTGGAATAATTCTCATCTTCTACGCAGCACACAACCACTACCTGACTTTTACTCTGGCGCCACCTTGTGGTCATCAAATATAGGAAAATATTCAGCAAATTTTGGAACAATTAACATGCTCCATAATTATTCCCACTTAGAAAAAAAGCTGTGCTAACCACAAGACAAGTCTTTGAATATGATAAGGGTCAGTGACAAATTAGGGTTTGCATCATGAGTAATTCAAAAATGTTCTAATAAATTGTTTTAAAAGTTTGCATTAGGTTTGCAAAGATGTATATTTTGTATTTCTGTTAGTTTCATATAATTGAAATAGCATTTAAACCTTTTTTACAAAATGAATGATGGATTTCCCTCGAAAATGTCAAGAGGTGTAACCACAACAAAAGGGGAAATATTTAATACTTATTTCCACCTATAGTGTGTGCAAGTGTACATATAAAAAAGTTATTTAGTCATAATATATCTATATATTTTGTTAGGATTTTCTGTTTTAAATTGGATGCATTTTTGCAATATATAGCAGGAGAAATGCTGAAAACTTTGGCCAAAATTTTTTTTCCTTTTTTGAACAAGTTGAAATATTTGGTACTGTGTTTTTATGGTTACACCACATTGACATTTTCCCCATTATTCCCCAAATATTCTCTCAAAATGGATAAAATCCAGAAAAACAAAAAACAAAAACTGTGTCACGTCATTGACCCAAAAACAAAATACCTGTTTAAAATCAGCATAAGCTCAGAATTGAGTTAAAACTCTGCTCTTAAAATGAAACTCTACACACACTATTTTGTCTTAATTGTGAGTCAGTGTTAAATTTAAGGGATGAAATAGAAGTTTAACCACAAAAAAAATAACCAGGTGAGCAGTTTTGTTTTCAAAGGTCTATTGTAATGAAAAGCTAAATTCCAAATTTTATTACCAACACTTAAATTGAGGTATTTTTGTTTTTAATTCCATTACGCAGGGCTTTCAAAAAATTTAAATTACTGCAAGTTAAATATTGATTAATTTAATTTATAATCATTTATTACGCGATTAATGTTAAAACAGATTTTAAAGTAAAATATAAATAGACTATTACCATAAAATGATCATCATAATACTCCAGTTGAAACAAGATAGCGTGACCATGTCTTTGAGACATGCATACTATGTCTGAAGCTGTCTTAAGATGTGGATGTCTAAAGACAAAGCAAATGTGTCTTAAGATGTCTTCAAGACACAAAAATATGACAGGGTGAATCCTATTTTCTGCTCTGGGATGTCTAAAGACATGGGTGACGTCTTCAAACTTTTGTCTTAAGATGTCTTAAGACGTCTTGAGACACTTTGATGGCTGAGTATGAACATAAAAAACATATAATTCTTCATACTTTCTGAGAACATTTACACTTTTAGTTTTCTATCTTTGGGTAAAATGTCTTTACAGGGTCTTTTAGGGTTTGAGTTTGAGTGGAATAGTCACTACAAGTGTGTTGAACCAGAGTTCTGGTGGTGAGTAGCAGTATTAGGAAGGAAGTCTGTCCTGAAATGAGACTCCAGTGAATCTGGACAGAGTCAAAAATATGACAAGGACATGACAGAGATTTCACAGAGACAAAATGTTTCCTCTGTAGTCAGCCATAAAGTCTCTTAAAATGTTTAAATGTTTGTCTTTGGGCGATTATATCTAAATATAACTACAGTTTACTTGTCTATTTTGAGATATGATTATTGTTAAAAGCAGTAGTTGACAAAGAAGAGAAATGTTGTCCCCTTTAATGAGATGTCCAGATTATTATGGGTTGGAGGTTATTAGGAGGTTATTGAGATTGTAACATTGACTATTGGAAGGGAAGATTAAATGAACACCTTGGCTCTCATTGCCAACATACACTCACCTTTCCCTTAATGTATCTGTTATTTGATTATTTGGTACCCTCTAGTGGTTGACAACCAGAATTACTGCTGGTGAATGACAGCTGATGATCTCTAAAATACTCCAATGATTGGTTGCTGGCTGCCTGCCCGGGCTATTGGCCTAGGAACCTTTGCCAAAACGCACCTGCTGCCATCTTTGTGGTCTGCTATTTCAAGCCAAAGCTACAAAGCTATTTCAGGAGGAGTGTGTTTGTTCAGAGCTGAACAGTCCAGCTGAAACAAAAGAGAAATAAAAGGTAGAAGTAGAAGGAAGGAGAAACACAGGCTCACACCGACCCAGACCAATACTTCCATCTGCTTTATCAGATACAGTCATTTCCTGATCAGAGGGAACTGTAATACAGTGGTCATGACAACCACATGGACAGAAACTACAATAACACTGTCTCTCTGCTCATAGATATTTGTAAAGCTAATTCCTATCAGAGATAATTGAGATTAATCTGTTGCCAGCGCCACTTCTCAAACAGCTGAATGTGCATTTTCTGCAGCAGCAGCAGAGGCATCATCATCATCCTGCTTCTCTGCCTTCTGCAGCTTTTACAGCCTCCTGCCCTGCAGTATAAAGACTCTCTGTAATCTGTAATAATGTCTGTATCATCTCTGGACGCGGCTGTGTTTGAGTTGGCTGCTTCACAGGAAGCACAACAGTGTAATGGGCTGATAATAGATGGTTACGTGAGGCTGTGTAGAGACTGTGTGTAATCCTGGACCGACAGCTTGTGTCTGATGTGGTTACTGTCTAAAGTGTGTAGTGTATTTGATCATTGATGATAGCCTATAGAGCTTTAGATGGATGTAGTTTAGAACCATTAAGGCTGTGTTTTTATATGTCTGTGTGCATGGAGTGTGAGTTTATTTAAAACTACCTCCTTATTTTTAATATTGGAAACTACTAACTATAGTTTTTGGTATATCAAAGACACTGCAGAGACCTCCTGGTTGTTATGATAGGGTTAGGTCTCTGTCAAACACTCAAAAATGATGCACTTTGTGTCAAACAGAATCTAAATATCCCTAAAATACCTCCAAGTTTTAGCTACTCTTTACTCTACACAACTTAATTGAAATGTGTTTCACATTTTGTGCATGCACTCATGTATATTTCTAAATACCTTAGAGAGTTATCCTTCAAAGAAAACAAAACAAAACACTATGTTTTGCAGAATAAGCATTCATGGTTTCAGACCACACTGTTTAAGCAAAGCAGCATTTGAATAAATCTAGAAGCTAAGACCATAAACACTTGATTGCTTTCATGTCAAGTCCTAAATCATGACATTCATGAGAGAATAGCCTTAAATTGTAAATATGGACTTCAAATGTGATTAATCAGTGATTGAACTTTGGACATCCTGTGAATAGTTACCATTAAAATCAAAGTTTGGAAGCTCTATTTCAAAGTTGAGACTTCAGACTTCAAGCTTGCCCTTCTTTGACAGTTTCAGACTGTTTTGATTGTCATTTTAAATTCATATGAATTTACAATAAGGTACCGCTTTAATGGTACAGGTCTGAAAAGAGTGATTGATGAATTAACAACAAATTAGTCAATCAGCAGGAATAAGATCAGAAAAAGAAATTAACCCTTCAGTTTTGTATTAAACTGATGTTTCTTCTTTAATATTATTTAGAGCTGAAGTTGGATGAAGTCGTAGTATTTGAGTGTGGAGAGTACAGTTCCAACCATGTATATGTATTTAATGATGACAATAATCCTTATTTTAGCTTTCACCTTCATTCCACCACCTTATCTGAGTGAAATTTAATGAGCAGTTATTATATATTATAGAATATTGAGTGGATGTATTGATGATCAAACTTTCCTAAACAACAATATCTGACTTTGCTTCTATTTTAAGGCTCTTGGTCTCACAGAAACATTGACAGTGGATTAGATTCGATCACTGGGGGAGTCCCTGGCCTTTTAGAAATGTGTTTGTTGGTCATTTGTGAACTTATTTCAGGTCAGGTGAAATGTGGAGGTCGGTGTAAACTGTGAGCATGAAGTTTGAAAAAGAAGTCTGGCAGCTCTATTTCAAAGTTGAGACTTCGGGCTTCGAGCTTGCCCTTTTTTGACTGTCTCAGACTGTTTGATTGTTATTTTATGAGAGTGAATAATGATGTAGCAAGAATTAGTCAATCAGCAGGAATAAAATCAGAACCTCATATAAAAGAAATTAATCCTTCAATCTTTATTTGATGCTCTAAAGCTGTGTTGAACAAACTGCTGTTTCTTTTTGAATATTATGTAGAGCTGAAGTTGGTTAAAGTAGTGTTTGAGTGTGGACAGTACAGTTACAATCATGTTAAATGTATTTAATGATAATAATAATCCTTATTTTAGCTAAGTGGATTGAGTGGATCTATTGATGATTAAACTGAACAACAATATTTGACTTTGCTTCTATTTTAAGGCTCTTGGTCTTACAGAAACAGATCCGGTCCTGCACTAGGGGAGTCCCTGGCCGTTTAGTATTGTGTTCGTTGTTGTTTTATCTTCATTGGTGAACTTATCTCAGGTCAGGTGAAATGTGGAGGTCAGTGTAAACTGTGAGCACGTGTCTGCCCCCTCACAGCTAATCTTCCTTGGGACACACTGACAGTTCTGTTTCTACAAATACATGTATAAACACGCTGCCTCCCGGATGGCTCCTTGGATTTGGCCGGCCGGCCGGCTTGCTGGCTCCCTCCCTCTCTTATTGTGCCAGATCAGCGGGGCCTTGAGATGAATCATTAATGACCGCTTTCCAAAGCCTTAATGGCCTCTAATGTTCTGTAACGATCTCTCGTCAACGCCATGTGCGCTGCCTTAATGGATCCGGTACCGTGGAGAATTGTCTGCTTTGAACTTCGGTAATTCCTCCCCTTTTCGTCGGGCAGCGTACAACAGGAAGTGCGAAAAAAAAGTCAGGAGTACACAGCTATAGGAGCTCCACAGACGCAGCATGACTTTCCCTCTCCGCAGATCCACCTCAGGTAGGACCCGAGAGGAATGAGTCAAGATTCATATTTAATCCAGGGTTTAGTAATCCTGCTAAATCAAAGTCTTTTAACTTAGTTGTGTGGCTAAAAGCTCATCCCTGTGCATGACAGACTGACTTTAAGGTCAACAGGCGGTCTTGAATTCTCCAGTTTGGACCTTTCTTTATCGTGGTCTGTGTGCTTTTGAGGTTCTTTATACAGTAGGATACATTTCAGACTAAAAAGATGTAAAATTGTCATATTTTCATTTGTTTTAAAAGTATGTTCAGACTCTACAAAGTCAGAAAAAGTTGAGTGTTTTTGAAAGGATGCAAACTTGAAGCGCTGTCCGTGGTGCTGAATACAGCGACGGGCGCGCCCTGCATGCTGCAGAGAGAGGCTGCTCCACTCCAGCTGCTGAACTTCTAACCTGTCTGTTTTTAAAACTTTTATTCGCACTCAGTCATAAATGATTAGTCTTTTATTTTGCATTTAAAAATAGTGTCACAACCTGTATGGCTTTGAGTAATTTATCTTTAACCCTTCTGCAGTATTGGTGACAAAAACGTCCAGGGTCAGTTTTTCCCTTAATTTGACCATAACTTTCACTGTATTTTGGCAAATAGCATGATTTTCACTGACAAACATTATTTTTGCAGATAATTTGAAAACAGGATTTCAAATTTTTCAAAAGATGACACTGTTGGCAAATTTACTACCTTTTAGCAGTATTAGTGGCTGTTTTCGGCCACTAACTTTGACCGCTTATATCAGATAAATTTTTTTTTTTTCAAATTTTTTGCATAAATCTTTTAATCAACCTCAATCTTGATCAAAACTAGTAAATATTTTTTTTAAAAATCCAAAATTTTAACCCTTTGAATGCCAATTAAAAAATAAAGTCACTGATGCGGGAAAAACTACACACAAAATCACAAAATGAGCTATTTTCAATATAAAAAGTAATTGGACAAAGAGAATTTTTTCATGTTATCACAGTCTTGGACATGTCTTAGATTAGTAACATCAATGACTTTTATGCATATTTAGTTTTCGTGCAGCGACAGATTTTCAAAAAAACTTCCTTTTATGGTATTAGTGGCTGTTTTTGCACCATTGACTCCCACTATAACCACGTTTTGAATGCAGAGACATGGCACTATATAAATATAATTTTTACAGTCAGGGTGATCAACCGTATTCAGAAGGGATCAAATTAGGTAATTTTACTGTTGATCACCTGGTTCTCCCATTTATCCATTACATAGGCCTGTTGTATTACTAGCCTAGTTTCTGTATCTGTATCATGGAATTTAGTATTTAGTAGTTTTGATCAGGACTGAAGCTGCTTAACAGATTTATGCAAAAAAAGTAGAAAGAAATATTGATCTGAAAACAGCCACAAATACCGCTAAAGGAAGTTTTTTATTAACGCTGTATGAGGGTTAAAGTGTTTCAAGGACTAATGGGATCTAGAGATTTTCATAAACCAAATCTTTGGATCTTTGCAGAACTTAAAAAAGGGGGGAACTCTTTGGGAACCTAGTAAATAATTGAATATGCTCAACACAAGTTAACACCAGTGCCTTCAGAGACCTTGTATCAAAAGTCCCAAAGCTCCCTGCACTCTCTGACTAATCCTTTCAAAGCAAAGCTCCATGTCAGCCTGCGGGGCGAGCTCTCACATCCTCTCTGCACCCAAAATAAGATTAACTGATTTGTCTTTTAAGTGTTTAGTGCGACCAAGATGTCCCAAAAATTGTGCGTCAATTTCACGTTTTTTGAGATGTATCACTGTGTACCCTGCTGATGTTCATGGTCAGTATCTACTGCGGTTTTGCTGCAAGTGTGAAACTCTGTTATGAATAAAGCTGCATGACTCTACTCCAGCTGGCACTTATGGTCAGACTGATACACACAAACACAAACACACACACACTTATACAGAGGGCTCTCTGTGGTAAATGTACTATAGTATTCACTATCAGGATCGACTCTCTTCTTCCACCGCTATCACGCTCAAATGCCACTGCCTGTGGGGGGCGCTGAGATCTGAAACCAAACCTGAGACAAGTTTTCAACCACTAAAAAAATAGCATCTGATTCCTGATACTGTGGCTTAGGGCCGCACAGTTTTCGCCAAAAATAAAATCCTGATTTTTTTCTCTGAAAACTCGATTTTAGATTTTGATTTTTAATTGACAACTTCACCAAAAGTTTTTCTATCATCTCTCAAAATGAAACCACTGAAAACGATGTAGTGATTATGCCAAGCCAGTAAGTATGCATAAGTAAGCATGCATATAAAGGTTGTTTTGGCTGGACACACGCAGGCGTTACGCTATGTGCGACATAATCGTTTCGAGAGATGCAGATAGACATTCACACGGAGATGAAATGGTACTCGTTTACATATCTATACACTTTCTGACCCGTTTTCAAAAAGTTAGGGTGACCATATTCTGACTTCCCAAAAAGGGGACACGACTCCACGGGGGCGGAGTCACAGGGTCCCACGAATTTAATTTTGAGAGTTTATGGGGTCGGATCAAGTGTCTTTTACGCGCTTTAACTTAGTAAGTCCATGTGGCACAAAATCGAAACTTGTGTACAAAACCGCGGACATTTGAAGGATTTTATAAACTTCCCCTGACATAGCTGAACAGCCACCAAGAAAAGAGGACATGTCCGGGTAAAAAAGACGTATGGTCACCCTAAAAAGTACCTTTTATAGTCACGAAACGCCATTTCTGTGTGGATGAAACGCCAATACGACGACGGGTTGATACCGTCTTCAGACAGACTCTTCAGCAGGGAGTGGTTTGCTCTTCATCTGAAACTGTGAAGCCGTACCAATTCAACAAGACTGACTTGCTCTTGCTCTATTTAGCCACAAAATTATCACCTTTTTTTGCGACGCCATGTTTGTTTACACTGGTGTGTGTGGGAACTGGGGAGCGCTCCCGCAATAAGGGGTAGCCTACGGTGGCCTGTAGGCACGAGATATAATAGGGAGGAAAATTGATTTGAGGATTTTCGTCAAAATTCGTCAAAGTCAAATAATCTGATTATGATTTAAAATTGGTCAATCGTGCAGCCCTACTGTGACTTTTGTTGTTTTTATTGATATCACACATTTGTTCCCGTTAAGTCATATTTATGAGATTTTAAATGGCTACTGTCCGTTTTAAAAAAGGGATTACAGTATTAGAGGAGTTGTTTTGGAGTCACCAAAGTAACAAACCTTTCCTCTGTGCTTCTGCTTATTATTGATTTATTTATTGATTCATTCATTTACTCATTTTCTTTTTGGGTCTTTCAATCCATTCACTTGTTGATTTGCTTGTTTTCTGCAACACTGAGTTTCTTATTGATTGTTGATTTATAGTATGTGCACTTTCATAAGATTCAGTTTTCCCCACTCTGACGTTTTCTGTCCTCATTTTTGTGTTTTGGTGCTTTTAGGGACGTGTGGTTCGGCTTTAAAAGCGAGGGTGTCATAAATGAAAGATGAAGGACAGGACCGAGCTTTCAGTCATTTTTTTTATCCCCATGCTTTTACACATGTTTGCTCTCATATTTCGATGTTCAGATGGCATCATGGATTAGTTATGAAATCCTCCGTGGCATGAAGTGTTCCTGTGAATTCACAGTCTGTGGGTTGAGCCGCGCAGTCACACCTTTACTATATTTGTCGGTATATTTACACAGGGCTTACCTATCCAGAAGGCTGTGGGTGTCACTCCAGGTCCTTCATGCCAAGGTCTTCTCTCTCCTCACTGACCAGGTCCTGACCCCGGCTTCTCTCCACAGTCCATCACTTTCCCCTCCACCTTCTGTCTTATTTCCACAGCACACTAAGTTCACCTCCGCTTCAGTCCTCTAATTTACTGCTCCACACATCCTCCTCCTCCTCTTCTCCTTCACCATCGATTTTCACTCTCTTTTCCGCTGTGGAGCAGCACATGGCAGCTGTGCCTGCTGTTGGGCGCCTGGCGCTCACAGGTCGACCTCTGCTGTGAGTCTTAGTCCACCTCCTCTTCGTCTTCCCTGTTTGGAGTTGCAGTTGCCATGCGCCATTGCAGCTGTGTCTCTCACTGACAGCTGTGCATGTGCTCCCCCTGTTGACATGCATGACTATGTGTGTGTGTGTGTGTGTGTCTAAGTGCAAAAGAACATCGAGGAACCGCCACGACTCATACATGCTGAAGTGCCGCTCCGTTTTTCACCTCCTCCTCCTCCTCCTCCTCTCGCGCTGCAGCCTGTCAGCAGGAGTGAACCTCTGCACCAAAATAAGACGAGAGCCCCTCCTCCCTCTCTTCCTCCAATTTCTCTCCCTCTCTTCACACACACTCACATCTCCTCCTCACTTCATTCTTCTCTCCTGATTTCACATTTTGTCCTTTTTTTATTTCCCCCTCCATAAATCCTGTCATAAATCCTTATTTCTTCTTCACTCTTCCTCTCATACACAACCTTTTTTTTCTTTTTATCTCATTTACCTCTCTTTCCCTTTTCTTCTTCCCTCCTTCATTCATCACTCACTTTTGCCAATCCATTTGTAGGTTGTATATTCTCTCTCTCTCTCTCTCTCTCTCTCTCCTCACACACACACACACACACACACACACACACACACACACAGAGGCACACTCAATATCTCATTTTCTCCCCCCCATCCCATCCACCTCCCCCTCTTTCCATTATTCCTCCTCTCATTCATTCTGGCCTCCTCCTCTTACATTTTCACTCTTTATTTCTCTCTCTTCTCCTCCTATATCACCCCCCACCTCTCTCTCTCTCGCTCTCTCTCTCTCTCTCTCTCTCCATCTGTCAATCTCCCATCACTTTTGTCTGACATGTAAATATCATGCCACGTGGGGCTCAGGGTTACAGGTGCCCTCTGAGGAAGAACCAGCAGGTTCACCCCCTAACACCCAAAATTTTACCCACAAACACACAAAACACATCCACTTATATATATACACACACACACACACACACACACACCCTCTCTCTCTCCTCCTCCTCCTCCTCTTCCTCCTCCTTCCTCGGGGCGGGCAGGGAGGGCTGCAGCAGTTTTATGAACGGCACGGCTGCATCATGATCCCTCTCCTCCCTCTGAACCGGCCCCGAGCTGTTTCATTGACAAACAATCCGGTTGCTGCATTTGTGTCACGGAGCGCATCGAGCGGCGGAGCGGCACCGTGGGGAGCGGTGCAGAGCGGCAGCGGCAGCGGCAGCAGCAGCAGCAGCAGCTGCATTGAGGAGCAGCAACAACAAGCCCCGGTGTCGTTCAGAGCAGCGTCTCTAAGCTGTTGATTCGCCGCTTGGACCCGGGACTAGATCCTTCCGCAGCCCGCTCTTCTCTCCCGGGACAGCCTGAAGAATCACCTGAGGGGGGGAAGCAGACAGCTTTTGCCACTCAGACCTCTTTGAGGAGGGGGGGACATGAGGCGGCGCCGTTAGGGCTCACACTCTGGCACATCAGCGGATTTGTTTAACGACTTCCATGAAGCGCCTGGACGCACCGATCATGGAGAATTCTGGACGCTTTTTACATTCACGGATACCTACGAGACTGCAGACTGTGTGATGCGAACTGAGCCGTGGGTGGCGTAGACCCCCACCCCGTTACCCCTTTGCGCCTTAACCGCGAACCCTCTCCCCTCCAACCGGGACGCACAGCCTTGTTTCGCTCCACCGGGGGAACATGTCTCGGGCAGCGGCGATCGCCAGCTCCCTGATCCGCCAGAAGCGGCAGGCGAGGGAGCGCGAGAAGGCAAACGCGTGCCGCGGCGGCGGCAGCCCGAGCAACAGCAAAGGCACCAACGAGAAGCCGAGCAAGCTGAACGTGTTCTCGCGCGTCAAATTGTTTGGATCGAGGAAAAAACGGAAGAGAAGGCGACCACCAGGTCTGAGAGTGGAGGGAGAGCGTCTGCAACCCAAACCTCAACCATCTTCACCACCACCACCATCACCTCTGCCACCAGCAGCACCATCACCTCCATCACCTCCACCAACCAACACCATTTTCTCTCATCACTCTCTCAGCCTGTGCTCCCCTCCATCACTCCATCACTCCATCACCCTCTCCTGTTGCATGACTCCAAACATCACATGTAGAGAACTTTAGAGAGGCCTGCAGCACACAGACAGTCTTGGCGCATCTGTAGTTGATGGAGATCTCAGAATATCAAGATCCTCATTCAGTCAGACCAGAGCTCCCATCATGCTGCACCTGTCAGTTATTGTGCACCACAGTGTAGCCTAGTACAGGGTCAGGGACCGGTTCTGGGCCCAGTACAGGCCCTGTGACTGAAACACAAACAGCTTATCCTCTTCCGATACTTCCGGCTTCTTGCAGAGACCGCTGGATTTAGTTCATGAGAGATCACATGACTGTTTAAAGAGATGAATACAGTCAATGTTTCTTTTCTGCTCTCCTTCTCCTCCTCTCAGAGCCCCAGTTGAAGGGCATTGTGACCAGGCTCTCCAGTCGACAGGGCTTTCAGCTGCAGATGCAGCCTGACGGCACCATCGATGGAACCAAGGATGAAGACAGCACGTACGGTGAGTCCATCTCTGACCGAACAGAGGCCTCATAAGAGCTGGCATTTCTGCAGATTCTGGTCTTTTGCTGAAACTGAAGGTGATAAACCATCTTCTCACTTTAAAGACTTATTGATAGATTTTTATTGCCTAATAAAATCATCAGAAAATGTGACACAAGGTTACCCAGAGGTCTAGATAACATCCCGTGTTTGTTGTTCCATTTAAAGATTTTGTATTTTTCACCTTAACATGAAAAGAAGAGCCCAGATTTGGCGTATTTTGGAAAAAGGAAGCAGCAAAATATCATGAGTGCATCTAGATCCTCTTTCTCTACATCTGTAAAATCTTCTTCAAAAAGCTGAATCTACTCAGACTGCAAAGAAGAGAGGGGGATATTGCAATGTTGGGAACAAAAGTATATACAGATTTAAAAATGCATGCAAAGTGTTTTCTTTGTACAGGAAATGAATTAGAAATGAGAGAAATTCAAGAAGACAAACATCCAGCTGCACAGTAGGGACAGAAACAAATCTTCCAGTTTCACCTCAAGCTACAGCAGATCGTCGCCACATATGGAAGGCTCCGTATCAAGCCGAGTGTAATTTACTTCAATTCCCATTTGGCCACTTACCAGATATCATCCAAAACCAATTCAAATCCAATTACGTGATAAACTTCACCTTGCGGACATCTGTCTGATGTGGGCTTTAACTCAGACGTTCAGTCGACAACGCGTCAAGTGTTCATTTAATTAGTAAAACGGGTGCAAGCTTTCCTCCAAAGGTCAGATAGCAATCTATCTGTGTTAAATGTTCCCTTGTTAAAGGAATCAATAGAAGATCCACAGGATGCTCAATGAAACCTTCAAATCAGTGACCTCTTGAAAGATACGAGGTTGTGCTAATCCAATGGAAACTCTTCCTCCCCCTGTTGTATTTCATTCTCCCTCTCTTACTCACAAACACACACAGGCTAGGATTTAAGATTGATACTGCTAATTCACTTTTGCTGTCGGGGTTCAGACGGCAATCACTCTCCTCCTCCTCGTGCACAGTTGGTGTTTCCAGCATCGTTCATTAATCTCTGCCACTTCTCGGGCCACCAACTGTCGCCGCTCGGAAAGAGAAAACAGCGGAAACAAAAGCAGTGTGCTCTTTAATTAGATAATTACATGGTGTAAACAACATGTTAACGCCCACACCGCCATAAAAACAAGTCGACCATAACTGGATTTGAATGGATAATCCATGTAATCCAACTATCAATAAAAACCACAGCCATCATAAAATCATGGTTGGCTAAATAAATATAATTAAACAAGGCAGTGAGTCATCAAACTGTCAAGATTCATTACGTGGCTGTCACAGAGCTTTCACTGGGAAACACATAAATCTCTTCTTCTCTGGCGCTGGCTGATAGCTGACCTCTGGGTGAAGTAAAAAGCAGAAAAATACGATCAATAGATTCATCAATGTTGTGATGTTTATGTCCTGCAGCTTTGAATGCAGAGTGGATCCTTTATTTGTTCATTACATTCCTGGAAAAACCTTCAAATTAATCAATGAGGTTTTCAAACCCTTGGGCTGTAGTCTGATCACATGTAAATATCCGAGCACACCTCTCCTGTGTGATGGTTATTTCTATACATTAGCTGACTATACCGACCACAGCTAATGGTCAGGGTGTCGAAAGGCGTCTCATTTCCATTAATTCACATTTATGGAGTCTGTTTGTAATCGATGGCAATCACACACAGAGCTGAAACCACCAACCTTGTGATCGTTGTGTGGTCTAGTTGTGTGCAAGTTTACCTCGATACAGCCTACGTACAACTATATCTCAACTTTGTGGGTTGGAATACTGCGAGATGCCATCTGTCACCCATGTTTGTTTACATTCAGGTAGTAGAGTGTTTCAGTGCCATAGCAGAAGCTGTTAACCTGAACTACAGCCTTGAACCGCACTTTGGATCGAGACTATGACGAGTGTTTCAGTCCTGCAGTGATAAAGCTGATTATTTATTACCATTTAGAGAGCTGCAGCGGTAACAGTATCTGGTGCTTACTTGCAAGGACGTCGATATTCAATTCAATTGATTTAAAGGGATATTCCAGCGTAAATTTAAGTTAGGGTCAAACACACTGTAACCCGAGTTAGACACCTCCTTAAGAGATGAATGTTGCCGACCGCTTGCTTTTCTAGTTATACCAACTTCAGTAACGACCGCATGATAGCAAAACACAGCGGTCTACGTCTCCACGCACAAACCTCAACCAAAACGCCACTGTATAGTCACAAATAATGCTCAGAACAGCACCTAACTTCATCAGTAGTACATATAGGGTCCTAGCCATAGTATTAGCCATCAAACATCTGTTTCTTTAGCAAAGAGACGAATCACAACTCACCCACTCTCCTCCAGCAGCTTCTTGTTTGTGGGGGAGCCCTGACAACTTGATCACCGAGTGCAGCGGAGTTTCGCAGCTCAAGGAAGAACATTTATGATTATTTCTTAATGGAAATGCGACCAGACTGAGACGCTAAGGCAGAAGAAATACGTCGTCTGCAGTGTACATACCAAGATACACAAGAACTCTGATTGCATTTTCATGAAGTAATAATAATATTTTTTCCGCTTCACTCGTTGATCGACTCATCAGGGCTCATCAGAAACCAGCCAAAGCTAAACAGATGTTTGGTGGCTAGAATTATGGCTGGGACCCTATATTTACTGTTGATGAAGTTAGGTGCATTATTTGTGGTTATAGAGTGACGTTTTGGTTCAGGTTTTCACATGGAGACGTAGACCGCTGTGTATTGCTATTGTGCGGTCATTACTGAAGTTGGTATAACTCGAGAAGCAAGCGGTCGGCAACATTCATCTGGGGGGTGTCTAACTCGGTGTTATGGTGTGTCTGACTATCACTTAAATTTACACAGGAAAATCCCTAAAATGCACGCATCCCTGGATGATAGCAGCAGGAGTTTTAAGTTTGAGTAGATTTTGGCGGCCCTTGAGAAAAAGCTCTCGCTCTTGCTTTCTTACTGATTTTGTCGTGGCGGTCGATTGTGTCGGTCTTTGCCTTGGAAAATTTAAAACAGAAGACTGTTTCTGCAGCAAGCTGTTTATCACTCCATCTAACACCTACCCCACGTCAGTGGTTTAAAAATAACTCTAAAGAAATAGTACATTTTGATACTGATGGTCCTGTTTGCTCTCGTAAGTCATGTAGGGGCCATCAATATTAATTTCCGTCTGTTTCATAACCAGCTAAACGACTCCTCACAGGAACTTTAAGCTCGTCACACTGACAGTTTTGCAGCATGTTACCCAAGCCCGCTCATGCAGGATTTGTCAACACTTCTTTGTCTACAAACAGAAACCAGAAGGCCTGAAAAACCAGCATTTTGTCTCTTGTTTACAGATTCAGCCTCATATGCAGAAATGTGTTTACAAAGCTTTTATTCTTTGTAATCTAAGAGCTCTAAACCTGAACAGTTGAACACGATTTAACTAGCTTATGTCCCTGAACCAAACTGTAAAATTATAAATAGCTCTTGTTAAAGCACCTTATATATTACAGAGTCAATAAGCCCATAAAATGTCGCCCCTATACTATCAACCATTCCTAATGTCTACCCTAAAGCCAAAGCACTGAACCCTCATGGAGTTTAATGGTGTCAGGAATGGAGAGAGCATGAGAGAGCTTGAGGTGGTGTAAAAATGAGGAATGGGACACACTGTCATGACACCATATGTTACCTGGAAACAAGATTTGTTATTGTATAGACCAGATAAATGTCAATTTCAAGCATGTATGGCGTCCTACAGTTACTCTCCAAGCAAATCAATGAATTCATGTTAATCAATTTCATCTGAAAACTTATAAATGAACTTATTTCATGCTTGCTTTGTGGGATTTTTTTTTAACATCATACAATACTGCTTCAATGTGCAAACATTAATAATAGTAGTAATATAGCATTTGGACGAGCCCAATCACATACATGCTTGCCTTAAAGTCTGGGAGTTTAAGATTGGACTTTTATATTTAAACGCAGGATGAATTTGTTTAATAATTCACTCAATAAATCAATCTATATCAAAACAGCATCAAATCATTACTAGAACGTCACGGATCAGAACTAATTGAACAATTTGTTTTCAGAGACCCGGCCGACTGGTTCCTTCTCTAGTTATACCAACTTTAAGTAAGATAGCAATACATAGTGGTCTACGTCTCCATGTGCAAACCTCAACCAAAAAGCCGCTCTATAGCCACAAATAATGCTCAGAACAGCACCTAACTTCATCAACAGCACATATAGGGTCCCAGCCATAGTACTAACCACCAAACATCTGTTTAGCTTTGCCTCGTTTCTTTAGCAAAGAGACTAAACACAACATCACCGAGTGCAGTGGAGTTTCGCAGCTCCAGTAAGAATATTTATGATCATTACTTCATCATTTCCTTGAAGTAACAATCATCATAACAATCATTTTGCACTGTTTAAGAATAGCTTCAAACTCACCCTCTGTGGTTCTTCTCTTGATGCTCATCCTTTCCCTCTCTTTCCCTCGCTCTTGGACGTGCCTGTTGACAATTCTTATCCATTTAATCCAGCACATAACAGCGGTCCATACATCACTGGTGTAATTCTGTAGCCTTAGTGCATGACTGACCTTGTAATGTGTCTTCTCTGAGGCAAAATGGAGGTGTCAACAAACCAGATGCTGCATTGATATTGATGAGGAATCCTCTCTTTGCCTTCACTGCCTATTTATTTGCTAAGTGTGTATTTGTGTGTATTTGTAGCTGTGTTCAACCTGATCCCAGTGGGCCTTCGTGTGGTGGCCATCCAGGGCGTCCAGACCAAACTATACCTGGCGATGAACAACGAAGGCTTTCTCTACACCTCTGTAAGTCATTCATGCACAGTCAGTGCGTTTACATGCACAGTTTAATCAGACTAAGCTAATGATTTGTTTTTTGTACCGAATCGCACTTCTCTCCTTGTCTGTGTACATAAAGCTGAGAAAATTAAATTATTGATGCGAACCTGCCCTCCTCCCCAAAACTAGGGGGTTATATGGGTCTTTTCAGCTGCGTTGTTTCCGACCCCATCCAACCCTCAACAACAACAGCAGGTCAGACGTGTCTACAACTGCTGCTGGGCATTTTCAAGCAAGAAGATGGAGCATCGTACAGCGGTCGTACATGATGTACGCACTACTTTTTCTGCAGATGAGATGCACACTACTCCTCTTCTCTGCTGTTAGAGATATGTCAGATCATACTCCAACTACGCTGGTTACATGGTAGAGAAAATCGAATTCCAATCGCATTATCTGGGTGTCTTAATCGGAGTTCTTAAACTCTGATTATAGTCGGACTAAGGTGTTTACATGCACTTCAGTTGTCCAGTCTTAATCAGAATGAGGCAATAATTCGGTTTTCTTGAGTGTCATGTAAACGTACTGACTAACACACACACCTTCAAACACTATAAACCCAAACCTCATCTTTGGATCAGGTTGAGTAATGAATGACATCTCTCAGTGCGACCACTTTCATTATGGTCCTATCATCACATCAATACTTAAACGACAGAGCGGCCTCGTGAGTCAGCTGTAATAATCCTGTGTCTGAGCCTTCCTTATCTGTACACCGATGCTGTGGCCTCACAGGATTGATTTCAGATCATCCCCCAGCAGCCTCCTCTTTGTTTATCTCCCTGCACTCGCTCTTTGATAGAAAGATTACTTTGTGTCCATTTACAAACAGCCCCTTGAAATTTGTCTTCATGGTTTTTCTCTGGCTCGGATTTACACATACATCCCCGCTGTGCATATATCTTCTCAGGCAGGTCAGAAGGCGGTGTTGGCTGCAGTGCATTGCATTAAGTGCTCCGCTTTAGCTCTCAAGCGGTTGGAGGTGGGTGGTGTAGAAGCAATAACAAAAAAGAATCAACAAAAATAACTCTCGGAGCAATCTAAACAAGCCTGTGAGGCGAAGAGATGAAAACTAACAAAGGGGAAATAGAAAAATGACACACGGCTTTGCTGCTGCTGCAGACACGTAAACAACCACAATATCTGTACATGGTTGGATTATCTCCCCTTCAGTCACAACAGTTATATTACTTTGTTTTTCATCTTCACTCCTGATATTAAATGACACTCACACACACAGACACACAGACTGTATCAATCACACTCCCAGAACTTCGTTAAAATGCAGACCAGACTAATGGATGATAGAGAAAAGGAGTACGTCTTCTGTATCTTTCCGTTTCTCTCCGGCACCATCCTTCTCTCAGTGGGCTGGTTGGTATTCAAGGGAGTAGCCGGTTGCCATGGCGATGCAGGAATAAGGAAATGCAAATGTCAGCTGTCCTAAGTTGGTGCAGTTTGTTCAGTGAGACTACAGCCTGGGCGAGATATGATTCAAAGAGATGGATGGATAAAGGGAGGGCAGGAGAGAGTCGTAATTAAAAACTTTCTAATCGGGTCCATGTGACAAACTCAAAACGGTTTTTCTCTGAACATAACACCCCCACCTCTCCATCAGGGCTAAATCACCTTCTTGTCATCTTTTTGTAAAGGGAGATCTGAAGTGTAGCTACCTTGAGAGAGCTCTTCACTTCTAGTTGAGGTTTTTCTTCGCCACTGTAACTTGCTAAATACTGCAAAGTACTTTATGGATTAAGACAAGATTAAATCTGATCTTGTTTGTCTTTAAGTAACATCTGTTCTGCTTGAAACTCTGTTAAAAAAAATGGTTGATTGATTAATTGATTGGTTGGTTGATCCCTCTTAGGAACACTTTACCCCGGAGTGTAAGTTCAAGGAGTCAGTGTTTGAGAACTACTACGTCACCTACTCCTCCATGCTGTACCGGCAGCAGGCCTCAGGTCGGGCTTGGTACCTCGGACTCAACAAAGAGGGCGGGATCATGAAGGGGAACCACGTCAAGAAGAACAAGGCGGCAGCACACTTCATACCCAAACCGCTCAAAGGTAAGAGAACTGCACTGAAGTACCGAGGGGTACGACAACTCACAGTGAACAGACTAAAATCTGACTTTACGAAGGTAGTTCTCAAGCTTAGTTACTGAATTTTTTATTCAAGCCAACAAAAATAGGATAAATAAATAAACAACTTTGAGAGAAGATAAACACAAGTAGATATACAAGGTAGCAGAACTAAAAAAATCACAAGTTAAAAGGTAGAATAAAGTGTTACCAGGAAGTCTATAAGCCCGAGAAGAAAACAATTTACAAACCACCTGTAGTTTTCATACACTGTAATTAGGACTGGGCAATTTGGCAAAAAGAAAAAAAAAGAGATCATGATACATTTTGTGATATTGTCTGATCTCCGATTATTATCACATTTTTTTTTTTTTTACCGAAAGTTTTAAAGCATCTTTATTTAAAACTAAAGAAACTAAAGATTAGTTCAACATTTTATTAACATACAAACAAAGAAAATTGAATAAGATAAACTCAAAAATATGAAAACCATTTTAACTCAACAGTACAACAAATGTAGATAAATATTTATTAATACAGTTAACTAGTTTACAGTCTTAAGTGTTTTTGCAGGTATTAAAGACCTAAAATAAACAAATCGCCCCCTCAGGGATAATGAAAATGCCTTAAAATGCCAACATTAGATAATGTAAATGTAGACCGTTTGAAAATCGGTTTAAAATTAATCAATCTATGGTTAATTAAATGTTACATGCACCGTAGACTGTAATGTTATGAGTGGGCGAGCGTCCTGAAGCAAAATGGCCGCCATGCGCGGACGTCGGTCTCCATTGGCTAACAGCGTGCGTGAGTCATCAAGCGTTTATTTGTATATATCTATGGCTGCACCGCTAGTTGTAGCTAAACTGCTAATGCTACTTTTGCCGTCAGGCTGTTCAGACTCCGCTCGTATTTTCATTCGCTCGGTAAGTATTTCTTTATATGGTTAAACAGAATTGGTTGTGTTTCCGGTTTTTGAGGCACCAACCGCCGACGTACCTTACACATTGGCTTCATTACTCGACGTCACTTTGGAGATACCGGAACCACCGACACACAACCGACGTTGAGAGTACTTTTCTTCTCGACAATGGCATCTTTGGAGGATGACTCAAATCTGTTTTGCTGCCCTCGGCTCCGCGTTTAGCTCCACTTTCGATCAGTCTGTTTACTTCCTGTCTTCTCTTTATCTTCTTCTTCGTGTTTAACGGCAGTTGGCATTGTTTACTTCCTGTTTACGTCTCCGGTAACTTATAGAAGTGAGCAGGAAAAGCTCGACTCTGATTGGCTGTTGTGACGCACATTTCCGCCATATTTGATCGAGTAAATATGCTCACAGCCGATCACCGTGATCGAACAGAAATTTATCCCGATCATATAATCGAACAGTCCTTATCTGTAATCAACCTCATTCAAATACTCGAGTAAAATCCATCTGAGTTCAGACAGTTTGAAGCTTTTAGTCCAGACCTGCAGATTTCAGTTCAGAGAATGGACTTTGTAGTGAAGGAGAGCAGATGTCTGGAATTTGTATGCAGTCTGACGATCTGTAGTCTGTTAAAAAGATAATAAATAATAGACATAAAAATTTGATGTGATAAAAAAAAACTCAGTGAGATCAAAATTTCATGATGACTGTGGCAGTGCCCAGAATAAATTTGAAGACAAAAGCTAAAAGTTTAATTCTTCTCCGGTTTCATGATGATGCAACACTGTAGGGCTCACAGTGGAAGAGAAGCTGATTAAAATGGATGAAAAAGAAAAAAAGACCACCATAAAGGAGACCGACTATTTCTACCTGCTGATTTTTGAGCGGCAGGTGCCAGATCAGATGATTGACAGCGGGTTGTCTTTACATTTTCAACAGCTCATATATTTACGACAAGCGACACATTTGACTGTTAAAAAAACAAGAGATTTTTTTTAAATCAGAAATATCTACTTAGTCGTGGACAGGACAAGATCAGAGTAACTATTGGATGTACATTTTTGTCCATTGGGGGATGCCATACTGATAGAAGTTGTTGTCGCTACCTGATCTGTCCCAGAATTACACAGAATATTAATTTTTCACCCTAGTTGCGATATTGACATGTAGTTACTGTCAGACTGGTTTGTGCTCAAGTCCTCTTTTTTCTGAACAGCTCCATTTTCAAAAGTTATTAGGGGGTTCATGTTTTCTATGATTGACACTTTATACAGCCTATGGGGGTACGAAGATTGCATAGCTCACCTGGGGGATACGCTGTTTGAGCCGAGTGTCATCACAGCGACTCTTGGCGACTCTCCTGTTGGATGCGTACAACGCTACTGTGCAATGTTGGTTTCAGGAAATGGAAAAGAAACGCAGAATTACCGAGAGCTTTTCGGCTTCAACTCCATATACTGCCGGAAGGCGAAACCAAGTTGTCCATCGTAGATGCAGTCTTTGGTCGCAAACCGCTAGGGGCAAATGATTGCTGTGCTGTTGCAAAGATGGCTAGTAGAGGAAGTGATGTACGTTTCGCACATGCGCAGTACAAATCGGGTAGGGACAGTTGTTACTGGACACTTTAACTCAAAAGTTCAGAGATTAAAGAGCGTTATCCTTAAAGCAGCAGGTCAAACATGTCTGTCTATCTTCATTCTTTGAGGTGCTTTAAGTATTTTTGAGATTTTATACAGCCCCGCACTGGAGAAACTGTGATTCATCGTCCGCCATACGTGTAATCTGACTCTGGTGTGCGAATCCAGCTGAGCTCTGCCCACCTCAAACTGTTGAGGAAAAACTGCACCAAAAACAGACCTACAAAAACTGTACAGATTTCTAGTAAATAGAGTTTTCATGTATGATCCCAAAAGTAGACTGAATGTATCTTTGAAAGAATCTTTTAGTCGTTTTTTTTTACATCTTCATCGCAGCAAACATCTTCATTTATTCTGATAAATCTGAAACCCTGATCTGTTACATCAGGACTCTGTGGGTGAGCTTGGATCCGATTTGACTGACAGTGTCATCTCCCTCATAAAACACATCACTGTCATCACACTTTGACTTCGCCTCTGAATGAGAAACAGCTCTCTCCTGAGCGAAGGAACTGAAATCATGACTTAAAGTCTTTATGTAAGAGCGCTGCGCTGAGTAAAGCTGTTAAAGCTCCGAGAGCTGCGAAGGATGTCACAGCCTCAGATGCTTTGTTTGTGCCCGAGAGGTGTAAATTTCACTCGTTATGAATCATGAGACAACTTCACTCTTGTTCTTGAATTTAACATGCTGACCTTTTTCATATTTCTGAAAGACAGAGCGATTATCACGAGTTTGAGTGCGTATTACTCAAAAAAAAAGGACTATTAGCTGCTAAGAATCTCAGGAAATTATTTAAAATGTCCTTCGTGGTTGAACATCTTGCAGCCCTTCAACCACCTACACACCGTTCTCTGATTATGTGATTGTATTCAAGAGAGACCTGAGTTGTATATCAGTATATGAGAGCGCAGAGAAAGGATTGATGAGGAAAAAGAAGAAGAGTAAAGTTTGGCTTTGTTTGATATTTTTACTTGAACATGAGCACTTAGACGCTTCAGGCTGTGAAAAGGCTCTAAAAGGCTCTCCCCCTAAGGAGCACACAAGCACAGTAAGAGACTAGCTGGTGAACACAGTGTAGCATTTAGCATCTAAACAGCCTTATATTCCCCTTAGGAGACGGCCGGCTCACGAACAAAGCCTAAGGAGAGTAATTATTGGACTTGGATTCATCAGATGGACACAAACACGACTGCAAATGAATTCTAATGAAGGCTGCAGGTTGTGTGAATAGACAACAGTCTTTAAAGTGTTGTGTGTACGAGTTTGAGGGGAAATGGGATTCATGAGTTCACCTTAATTCTTGTTAAACATCTAAAAAAAAGAACTGCAGTGCTTGTGTACCCCTAAAATGAGCTTTCTGAACCACCGGGTCCTCGTCTACTTTGTATGCTTTGTTGCACTGCTATGTTTCTGCTGTAACCCAGAATAGACAAACCAAGCGCAGACTCCAGAGAGGACCTGTCATGTTGGCTGCGAGTCTCAGACGTAGCTGGGTATTTGCGAAAACGAATATATTTTTATGCAGTCTGTACGGTGGCCCTGAGGTCCAAAACACAACGGCAAATCAGAAAACACAGCAACAAAAGAGAAAACACAATGGTAATTGTTTATGGTTAATGGTTAATTTGCTGTTGTGTTTTGCTCTTCAGGGTCACCGTCATTTTGGCCTGCGGCCCACACGAAACACCAGGATAACATTATTATAAACGGTGCTTTTCCAGTTTTGCGTTTGTCTGTGGACATAGATAACTAGAGTTTTAAATTCCTAAACGTCATCGTCCGCGACAGCTAATAAAAAAACTTCATTTTCTATGCACCCTTCTTTATATCAGGTAGTGGACCTCACAGATATATACAGAATATATATTTTTGTGAGAAGCAAAGGAGAAGGAGTGCTTCGCAGTCGGTTATTCTACACCAAATAACCCTTCCTCCATCTTTCTTGTGTCTTGTTGAATTTAGACTCTTAAAGCTGCTGTAAGTAACTTTTGTTTTGCATCAACTTTGGCGCCCCCTGTCATCAAAGTAGGTTTTCTTTTCTTCCACATAGATTGTTTTTTAGTAAAATCTCATTCTGCTGACTTTGTAACTGTCAAATGTATCATTCATTGTAAATATTTCATGATGTTTCAGGCATTACCGCATTTTCCGGACTACAAGTCACACTTTTTTTCATAGTTTGGCTGGGTTTGCGACTCATACTCAAGTGTGACTTATGTATATGTGTTAAAATATATAATTTCACGTTTTTTTTTTTTACACTGACAGCCACTAGAGGGCACTCTAGTTGTTCAGAAGTGACACAGAGGATGAAGAATTAGGTGGATTTAGTGATTTGGAGTAAGATCGAGAGTTTTTTAAACTTGTTTTGTTATGTTCTTTATACTATAGTTATCTGAGTAACTGTTAATACGTCACGTTAACATACCAGACACCTATTGAGCTCGTTGTTTGTGCTGCATGTAGCTGAATAACCATCAACATGCTATGCTAGCATACCGTACACCTATCCAGCCTGTTGTTCTCTAGTCTATTGTTAATAATATAACTTGCCTTTCAAGATCAAATGTCTGTTCTTGGTTTATTTGTAGAATAAATTTTCCCCCCAAAATGTGACTTATACCGGTATATGTTTTTTCTTCTTCATTATGCATTTTTTTTGGCTAGTGCGACTTTTACTCCGGAGCGTTTTATAGTCCGTAAAATACGGTAATATCATGAGATATAAAGCATTAATATTGTTGCTGATTGTCTTGTTGTCTAAATGAATTTCAGTGTATTGCGCAAAAATGAAGAAACTACTCATAGTAGCTTTAAAAGCAATTCCACCTCTTTGAACAAACTATGCGGCGCTATGTTTCATGTTTGGGGAAGTGACGACGAAAAAGGGAAGCTCGCTCTGATTGGATAGAAGGGGTGTAACGGTGGACAATAGCACATTTATGCAGTTTTGTGTGGATGGAATAGTATTTGAAAATGATGACTTGTGTACGTGACTTTTTTTAAACAGAGGGGTTGGATATTCATTTATAAAAAATACCCGGCTTTAGAGTCACTGTAGTTTCTCATTTCGGAGTTTGATGCAATCTGCAGCGTCTCTAACAAGATCCCACAAAAATCCAACGCACTGCTGCTTTTACAACATGATGAGGGTGGGTGTTACTTTACAGGCTGCTTCCACTGACTACAAAAAGAAAAACAAACAGGTGTTACAAGTCTGAGGAGAAAAGCAAGAATCTGGTGCTTTTTCTAAAATAATATTTGATTGTTGTTTTAGATTATGCAAATGACTGTAAATAACAAAACCTTTGGATCAACACAGTCATTCATTACCATAATGTTCGGTGTTAAAGAGACTGAATCAGACTGTTTACAAAGAGCAAACCTTGAAGTCATTTACATAAAAGTGGAACAAAATAGTAAAGACTTTATTTGTTCAGTTCTTTTCAAGCAAAAAGTGTTTTTCATATCCAGCAGAGATAATATCAGACTGTATACACCATCAAATATAAACAGACAAGGTCCCAGAGCAGCAAATGTTCCATTTCTTCTCTTCAGCTGGACTCTGAAACAGCCAGTAGGTCTAAATCAGCAGATGTAAGAGATCTTTTTGGACGGCGAGGGGTTAAAAGTTCGCTTATACACTCTGGCTCCTGCATGTGAAGCCTTGTGAGTCATAAATAAGACTTTCAAATGGGATCTAAAATTAACGGGTAACCAGTGCAGGGAGGCTAAAGCCGGGGTGATGATGTGAGACAAGTATTTGGTCTGAATGAAGAGGTCTGTGGCTCTCAGACAGGGGGCGCTATCAGGGGTAATCTGATTGGATCTCAGGATATTAGTTTGAAGTGTTCCCACCGCATGTTTTGTCTAGTTTCTGTTTTTTTGAGAGAAGAAAACGACTGAATAAAAAGTGCTAAAGAAGAAAAAGAAATGAGCTATTGTAAATTAAATCAAGTTTTTAAAACAGGTTGTTCACACAAATCCAATTCTGGTTTATACTCTGATAAAATACCCAGTTTATGTTGTTTTAAAGCCGATATGTGGAGTTTTTAACTGTGAAACGGACTGAAATTGATACCAGAAGGAACAGCCAGCAGCAAGACGGATCGTAATGTTCAGTGCCTGAAGCGACTGCCAAAGGGTTTGAGTCAGACCGGATGATTGACAGCACGCTGAGCAGCGTTTCTTTACATTTACAACATAAATATTTACGGCCAGTAACACTTTTCCCTGTGAAAAGACAGAAAGAGATTTGCTGCCAGAAGAGGCGACCTTGGCACGTGCAGGACTCTAACTCCTCACTGTCAGTTGTACTCTTGGGTTGTCTGCCCATCTCTAGTGACCTTAAGGCTTATATAGAAGTACTACTTCACTTTTAAAGGGATATTCTGGCGTTAAATTGGAATTTCCCCCCGTAGGACTTCTAAAGGAACATCTTATCTTAAGTTATGGTCAAACACCGTAACACCGAGTTAGACACCCCCTTGAGAGATGAATGTTGCCGACCGCTTGCTTCTTTAGTTATACCAACTTCAGCAACGACCGCACAATAGCAATACACAGCGGTCCATGTCTCCACGTGCAAACCCCAACCAAAACGCCACTCTATAGCCACAAATGATGCTCAGAACAGCACCTAACTTCATCAACACCAGTATCAGAACAACACCGCGGATGCTGGGAGAGGACTGCCAATGATGTCCGTCTCTCCCAAACTTCAGTTTGTGCTCCTGTTATATAGGGTTTAGAGTTTTAGGTCCTCCTACATCTTCTCTTTATCTCTAAGTTCTCTTTCTTCACCATCTGATTTACACCTAGCTTTGAAGTGTGACCTGCAAAACCCCCAACAGCTAGATTGTCTGGACTAGGTACCATAAAAGAGACACAATGCCCAAATTCCATACTCCGGTTATCTCAGGCTATCCGTGGGAACTGACCCAAGGCAGTGCATGTTGGTACTGTACTCCAGATACCACAACATCTTTTTATCTTTGCAAAGAGACTAAACACAACTCACCCACTCTCCTCCAGCAGCCACTTGTTTGTGGGGAAGCCCTGACGAGTCCATGATACAGTGCAGCGGAGTTTCGCAGCTCAAGGAAGAACATTTAGGATCATTGCTTCCACACCTGAGGCAATTTGAAAGTGGCCAATTAACCTAACCCCACTTCTGTATGTGTTTGGGATGCGGGAGGAAACCAGAGTACCCTGAGTAAACCCACGCAGACGCAGGGAGAACATGCAAACTCCACACAGAAACGCCCTGACTCAGATTCAAACCCAGGACCTTCTTGCTGTGAGGCGACAGTGCTAACCACTACCGGTTCTCGATTCCCATCCCTAATCATGACCTTTCAAAGTCTGTATCTAGACGTAGTTTGTCCTTTTTTTCGCTTGTTTTTGACCAGCCAAGACAAAAGTGTAGATTATCAGGTCCTGGAATGCAAAGTAGATCTTTATAATCTAGATTACACTTTTTAAGATCCACACCAGAAAACTAAATCTTGAATCACTTTATCTTTATTTCCTCAAGAGAGCACTGGTCTGATTTTGAAGATATTCCTTCACCGTTAGATACATGCATGCACTTTGCACTCATTAACAATTGAACTGATATTTAAGATAATGATTTGTGTCTTGTTTGTTTGTCTGTGTGTGTTTGTGTGTGTGTAGTGGCCATGTACAGGGAGCCGTCCCTCCACGACCTGACAGAACTCTCAAGATCGGGCAGCGGCACGCCAACCAAGAGCCGCAGCGCGTCGGCTCTGCTCAACGGAGGAGGGAAATCGCCCAGCACCAATGACTTATCCTAGCCCCCCCACCCCTCACAAACTCACACGCACACTCACACATACACCTACACGCACACAAACCCACACAAACACACACACACTCACAGATCTCAGGCCGACATGCCCACACATCAGGCTGGTGAGAGAAGAAGGAGGAGGAGGAGGAGGAGGAGGAGGAAGCAAGGACAGGAATGTGTTCTTCCACTTCACGGAGCCCACTGTGACTGACTGTGATGTAAATAAATTTAAGGACAATCAATCGATCCGGCTCTGCTGCTCTGGTCTGCAGAGGGACGGGACCTGTAGATCTTTTCCCTTGACTCCTCTTCCTGCTGTATTATAGCCAGAGAGAACAAGGGAGTGAGGGCTTCAAAATTAGAGTGATAGATAGATTAGAGTCAGTCAGTCACATAGTGCGATAAACAGACTGTTACCGAGAACCAAAGAGTACAAGTATTAACTAAAGTTACTGCTGTGAAAAGGCACCAGATAGGCGAGAGATAGAGACGGTGACAAAGGGAGTACTCTACCGTACGCTATGTTTACACAGAGCTCATGGGGTTAAGTCATATTTTTAAAAATGACGAACGTATTCCTTGTACACTTATAAGGATTGATCATTTGTTTGCATGCAGGTGCGCCTGTGTGAGAGCGCGTGTGTGTTGTGTGTGCGTGGGCAAACGAGAGCGAGTGAGTGCGCACGCATGTGTCCGGGGGGGGGTGGGTGGGATTTTACCTTTTTAAGATCTGTTGTATATCAGACAAACCTCCTGAGGGCTTTAGCAGGTTAAAATAAGGTTTACTGTATATGCTTCCATGCTTACTTCTTACAAGCAATGCCGTTGTTTCTCTTTCCGTTCGTTGTTGTCGTCCTCTTGCTGTTTGTTTGTTTGTTTGTTTGTTTGTTTGTTTGTTTGTTTGTTGTTGCATGGAAGCTTGTGGACCTCTGCTCAGTAGCAGCATGCCGAAAAAGGTCCTTTTTTTCTGGTCTTTTCCGTGTTCCTGACCTAAAGAGATCACTAGTGAGCCAACAGTGTCGTACCAGAACACTAGTGAACCACTGTGAGGGCGCGGGAACACTGCTGGACCAATAGTATCGCACCAGAACACGAGTGGACCAATGTTGTCGGACCAGAACCAGTTTAACCAATGCGAGCACAGATTATCTTAATATTTTGGTTCCTGCTGTGGACAAACTAGAAATGCACTAAATAAACTCTTTCTAAAGAAGTTCAGACTGTCTGGTCTTCTTTCGCTCCCTTCGCTCTGTAGTTTTTTTTAGTTTTTGTTAAAAAGCTTTTGAGTCTTGTCTACATTATTTAGGATCAACTGTTTAGATCATAACTGTTGCTGCTCTTATTCTGTTTACACTTTTAATTCTGCCAAATAAAAGATATTGTCACATTCATCTGCTTTCCTGTAGTCAAATAAAGACACTTACTTCCCACTGAGCAATAGACGGCTATAAGGCTATGTTCACACTACAGGTCAATCCGATTTTTTAACCATGTGTGACACATATCTGATTTTTTCATGTAAGTGTAAACAGTGCAATTCTGATTTTTTCAAATCTGACCCAGGCCTCTTTTGTATGTGGATATAAATCGGATATGTATCCAATGTGACTGCAGTGTGGACGCTCAGGTCACGTTCATCCGACCTTTATGTCATCAATGCGCCAAACGTCACCATTGTTCGACAACACAAACAGGTGCGGAAAGTAATTTGTATTCCGCATTCCGTTCACATTAGATGCCGCATTCGTTGTTGTAATGTGAACGACCGCACAAGAACGGATTTAACAAAAAATCTGAATTGTGCATCATAACCTGCAGTATGAACGTAGCCTAATTTCCTTTTTTTAAATTTTTGTCTACCAATTTACCGTTCCACACTCCAGTCCAGTAGGTGGTGTTAATGCACCTTCAACCGTCAATAAACTCCATTGAAGAAGAAGAATAACTCATCGACAAGCGGAGCTCAGGTGAGATTTGTCCATTGTTGTCAAACTTAATATTTTTTTTTGTGGTTCTATGGGAAATCAAGACTTAAAGATAAACTTGTACATATGGCAAATGTTCGTCACACTAATTACGTTTTTTCTGAAATTACTCAAGTACTAGCCAAACTTTTTGGTCGGCCATGTTGGATATACCGGTGAATCTGACGTCGCAACAACCTGAAATCTGATTGGTCAGAAGTGGACACACAGTCTGCGAAACTTTAGAAAATTCAACAGTGATACGGCAAAAAAAAAAAAGCCGCAATATCGCAGGACAGGAAAACGTCGCTGATGTGTACGCTTGTATTGACAGGATACGGGTTTGAAAAAAAATATTGACATCCGAAATAATCGCACGCTCCCGGTGTGTAAGGACCTTCACTCATCTATTGCTGAGGGTAGAAAATTAACTGGGCTAAGCTTTGTGTGCATGCGGGTCACTTCACGGACGCATTCTGTTCACATTAGGTGCCGCCTTCGTTGTTGTAATGCGAACGACCGCACAAAAAGATCGGATTTAACAAAAAAATCCGAATTGTGCAGCTTAACCTGCAGCGTGAACGTAGACTAAGACGTCTAGTTTTTTTTTAGACCCAACTTCAACCGTCTAGATTCTGTATATTTTTAGACAGAATTTAGATGTTGCACTTTAACCCATTATTTGATAACTATTTATTGAGTTACATAACTGATCTCCTTGGCTTTTGACCCAGCATGAGACGGCATTTGTTTTATTGCTTTTTCTTAAATTTTAAAACAACTACTTACAGATGTTTTATGTTTTCATGTAATAATGTACAGCACTTTGTGTCAGCTTTGGTTGTATTTAAAGTGCTGTATAAATAAAGTTGAGTTGAGTTAACCAAAATAATTATGATAGACATTGAGCAATCTACAGTGTTGCATAGATATAGTCCTAATTTAGACTTGGTCTGAATTTGGAAGTCTAAAAAACTGTCATTTTCAGACCCGTGGTAGCCTGATTTTCGACCAGTCGTCTCGGCTACATTTAGACGTCGATAAGACCTCTTTTAGACCAAAAAATGCTCAGAGGGTTTAGTTGGCTCTGATTTTACAAGATATTTGCAAAAGGGACTAAGAAATCTATCTTGACTCTTGGGTGAATAAAAATGAACTAGTAAATTGTTGTGAACTGGGAACATAAAACCTGATTTTGGTGGTCAGGCTGACCTTTTTAATTATATCCAATCAGGCTTTAATATGAAATGAAAGTTTTAAAAATGTCTTCTAACACACAAGTCGTGTATTAATGTTGCTGCACCCTAACACAAAACAAACAGACAAACTCTGATGGTCATGGTGCAGCTCCAGAAACATGCCAGAAACCACTGGATGGCGCTAGTGATTCAGAGTTTTGATCTTTTTTGTTTTTCATTCCTGGAGGACGTCAAAGGTTGTAGTAAAAACTGTTCCATGTGTAGGTTGTAGGAATTGAAAGAAAACACAAAATGAAACACACCAAAGTTTGTTTTTGTTTTTTGCTCCAACATGTGTGCTTGTTTATATCTCTGTACAGATCAGGGAGAGCAGACACAGGCTTATATCCTCATTCGATTCAGCTCATACGGCTGCTTTGGCTAATTTTGGAGACATTTATATCGGTACAAAATACAAAAAGTTAAAGTGCAAAATAGCAAAAAACAAATACACTTAAAATAGTTAAAACCAAGTTTCACATTAGGGTGACTAACATTGACCCGTTAATGTCATTATACATTTTCCTACTAGTTTAAATACATCTTACAAATTGTATGATATGTACGGAAGCGTATTGCATTCACAAAAAAAAAAAAAAAGAAAGAAAGAGAAAAAAAAGCTCTGTTTTTCAGAATATTTTTTTTTGTTTTTAGAACTAATTTTTCTGTCTTTAAGAGTAATTTTTTTTCTTTTCTGTTTTCTAGACATTTTTTTCTTTTCTGTTTTTCAGAGTAATCTTTTTTCTCTCTGTTTTTGTAATGTTTTTTCCCCGTTTTTTAGACTGTTTTTTTTTTCCGTTTTCTGTTTTTCAGACTGCTTTTTTTCTTTTGTTTTTCAGACTTATTTTTCTCTGTTTTTAGAGTAATCTTTTTTTTCTTTTCTGTTTTTTGGAATATTTTTCCCCTGTTTTTAAGACTAATTTTTCTGTTTTTCAGAGTAATTTTTTTCTTTTCTGTTTTCTAGACATTTTTTTCTTCTGTTTTTCAGAGTAATCTTTTTTCCTTCTGCTTTCAGAATTTTTTTCCCCCTTTTTAGACTGTTTTTTTTTTTCATTTTCTGTTTTTCAGACAAATTTTTCTGTTTTTTAGACTATTTTTTTTGTATGTTTTTTTAGACTAATTGTTTTTCCTATTCTCTGGGATCACGATAATTTAAAAACAGACACTTTCATCCCCCTCTGCTCGATTTATTGGAAGCAAACATGGCCCAATTCTTTAGTTTAATGTATGAGATTCTCACAGGTTTTTTTGAAGTATCTCCCTGAGTTAGGGGGAAAAAAAATAGTACAAAAAACAGAAAGACGGAAAAAAAAATAGTTTGAAAAACTGAATAAAAATTTGTCTGAAAAACAGAGCGAGGGGAAAAGTATAAGTACAAAAAACAGAAGAAAAAAAACAGTCTGAAAAACAGAAAGAAGGAAAAAAAAAACTCAAAAAGTTTTTTTTGTAAGTGGATGCAATACGCTTCCGTAGATATGATAACTCTCTCTGATATATATAATTTAATTATAGTAATTTGTCTTCAGTTTTTAATTTAAACTTGAAAAATATTTCATGATGAGGGAAATGAGATCAGTTTTTGTTCTCGGGTTTTAAAGCCTGTAGTAACGTTGAACTCACAGTATTGATGAAACACACTCTCCCTTTGCTTTTACATTTCTATAAAATAATCACATTTTTTTTAACGTCCTGCAGCACCGTGCAAATGTAAACACACTTACAAACTCACACAAACACAAAGACTTCATGTTCAGAGTGATCCACGTCAATACTGAGACGGTACTTCAGTCCAGTCCGTCGTATTTACAGTGTAACTCACAGCACCACGCCGTCCACTCTGTACTTTCAATATTCCTCTGTTTCTTTTCAGGTGAGAGAAGGGAAGATGGTGATAAAATCTGTCCTTCCTCCCCATTTCTCCTCTTCCTCCCTCCTCCTCCTCCTCTTCCTCTCTTCAGTGCCGGTTATCTTGATCTATATCTGCTCCTTCTTTTACACGTCCTCCTGCCACAGCTCAAGTTTTTCCTCCATTGATAAAACTGTTGATCCGTTTAGGTTCACTCTAGGTCCCCTTCTTTGACTCCCACTCCTGTAAACCATGAGACAGCACAGCGTGAGGGAAATCTTCTCCTCTCCTCACACACACACACTCACACACACACTTACAGGGTACACACTAAAGCCCACACACTCCACAAGTCCTTTGATTTTGAATCTTTCAACCCAGAAGAGAATCTCTCAAGACTTTCACACGTTTTATTTCACCTTAGAGGTTTAGGCGACTGGGGTAAAGTGTGTTACACAACAGACACACGCACACACACGCACACACGCACACACACGCACACATCTTACCTTTGCCTTCTGCATGACATTCCCCTTGGAGGAGGCGTACATAGATGGGGGGCGTTTTCGGAGCTCAGATGCTGCGTTAACAGGTAGAGTCTCATTGTAGACCTTTTCCACCTTACTGCCCTGTGCCTGTACACACACACACACACACACACACACACACACACACACACACACACACACACACACACACACACACACACACACACACACAAATGTCAGATTACCCATATTAAAAGATTACCCTTGGGTAATTCACTTGTTTACTTCCCCGGACCCTCTCTCGTTTAGAAGCTGATACCTCCTAAACTCATTTATGAGGTTGCTAAGCAACTAGACGAGACTCCAAGAGGTCATTGCCCACAGGTCAGATCCAATCTAGCACATAACCCCCTGTGAATCCACACCAACTCCAGACACAAGTGGACAGATTTAGTTTCATCTTTGTGCACATTCATGCTGCCTGCGAACACCTGGAGGCTGCAGTCTGTGGATCTGTAACGTTTTTGATGATTTAGTTCACATCCTGATCAAATTAAGAATTGTGACTCAATTTTCTAATTACTGATCATGACCAAAATGTGAAGTGATACAGAGCGGTGGCTTACCGCTGATATGAGGGTCATTTTCTGTGTCATTATCATGTTTAAACATTTACAGATATATTTGTTTCTTTCAGGCGTGGAAAACGTTTTTTGAAGCTTCCATGCAAATCAGGAATTTCCTCCACCTTGACGCTGATCTTGGTGTCAGTGGGCGGACCCAGAGCTCCTCTAGCCAATGACTTCATCAGATTTTCTTTGACCTCCGTCAGCCTGAGCTCCAGCTCCACCCGCTCCTCCTCTTTCTGTTTACACAGCGCCTCCAGTTTGGCTAACCTCTGTTCCAAAACATGACCTGAAACAGAGACACACGAACACAAACACGGTGAGCGCTGCTGCCAGCTTCAGATCCAAACAGATTACATGTGTGTGTGTGTGTGATCTGTCTCTGACCTGTAGCTCCCTTCATCTCCTCCTTCACCTCCTTCTTCTCCCTGCGGAGTGTAATCAGTGCATTTCGGAGGTCTTCCTTTTGCTTCTCCAGCTCCTCTTTCTGCGTCAGGTAACGCCTGGCGTCTTCCTCTGCCCTCGTCTTCCCATACCGTCCATACTGGTTCACATCTAATAGAAGAAAGAGCCAAACAGTCAGTGCGTTTACATGCACAGTTTAATCAGACTGAGTTCATAATTCTTTTTTTTTTTTTTCCGAATCAGACTTCTCTCTTCGTCCGTGTATACATGCAGCTGAGAAAATCAAATTATTGACATGAACGTGTTCTCCTCCCTAAAACTAGGGGGCGATATGGGTCTTTTCAGCGATGCTGTTTGCACTATATATGAGACGGTTCATATACTTTAAAATGTCCATTTCTCTCAGGAGGGAAAGCATAACGTCACCCTTCTCATCGTTCCAAAAGTGGACGTTTCTTTGCGTTTCAGCCATGTTGCAGTTTCTTCAGAGTCGAAAGTTCTTTAAATGATAGCGCCACTTTCTTCTCTGGTGTTTTTGTTCCGGGGTTACTAAGGCGTGGCGCACGCACACATGCATTGTCCAATCATACTCCGACTACGCTGGTTACATGGTAGAGAAAATTGGATTCCAATCGGATCATCTGGTTCTCAAATTCTCAGATTATTGTTGGACTACGATGTTTACATGCACTTCAGTTGTCTCGGGAGTAAGGCAATAATTCGGTTTTCTCCAGTGTCATGTAAACGTACTGAGTGATACACCTTTACCTAGGGCTGGGTGATAAACTGAAAATTTCCAGATACCGAAATTTACGACGATAACCGACGTCATTTTGCCCATGTCACTAAATTCGGTGTCAAATAAATAAATAGATAAAAGTTGGTTTTGGATGTGTGTAGGTAGGCTATGGTCTCATGTCCCTTTAAGACGCTGTCCTACATCAGAGACGTGACTCCACCCCATCCAGTCCGTAACAAAAAGGGAAAGACAGGTGAGGAGATGGAGGACGGTTCAAAAGTAGACGAAGTTAAATTGGGAGGGGGTGAGCAGCTTGTGGAGTAGTTATCGTCCATTTATCGTTATCGAGGTGAACTGATCAACATATCGTGATACTGATTTAAAGCCGTATCACCCAGCCCTACCTTTACCGACTTTTTCTTTCTTTTAAGCACAATTTTAACCAGGAGAGGCCTGCTGTAACTTACTGGAGGCGTGTCTCTTGACTGCGGCTTGTTGTTCGGTTTTTTCAGAGTCCCTGCTGGAGAACGAGGCGTGACGTCTGATCTGTCCACTTCTGCTCTCGGTTTCTGCGTCCTGCGGAGAGAAGAGTGAGAAAATGTGAAAATCTTTATGGATATTTTATGGTGCGTTCGAGTTACCTCGGGACTCACTAGTCCGAGCTGAAAATGACATCACAACCGAGTTATCAGCATTTCAGTTACCAAGTTGGAAAAAAGCACGAAAGTCATTTTAACGCTCGCCTTATATTCGGACAAGGGAAGCGCTAAAATAACTTTGGTAGATGCAGACATCTTGTTTCTGCCTCCGATTTTGTTTTTTTCCGACTTGGTAACTGAAACGCTAGGAACTCGGTTGTGATGTCATTTTCAGCTCCAACATCTGACTTCCGAGGTAACTCAAATGCAGCATTACTTCTCTGAGTTTTAAACAAAAGCTGTACAATCAAACAACTAGAAAAGCACTCGGAGAGCACAGACCTCCGCCATGCAGCTCATGTCCCCCCTTAAACAAGAAATGCCCTGACCGGAATTCGAACCCAGGACCTTCTGGTTGTGAGGCAACAGTGCTAACCACTACACCACTGTGCCGCCCATTGGTTATCTTTCAGCATTGAAAATTCCAACGACACCCTTATTTTTGTGTGTTCTGGATCACAGTATCCAGAATTTGTCTGGATCACCACCAAACGGGATCTTCCTGGGGCTGAGACGCACCTCTGGTGAAAATTTCAGGTCAATCTGTCTGTAACTTTCTCCGCAAAGTTGCTAACAGACAAACTAACTAACAAACAAACCAACGCTACCGAAAACATAACCTCCTTGGCGGAGGTAATAAATAAATAAACATGTGATTTCATTACTTAGCTCACCTAGCTTTAAATGTGCTTATGATGATTTATAAGAGGTGGGTTCAAATCAAGTTTTGTTCAATGTTGATTTCTATTAAATGTTCTTGTTTTTGTTTATATTTTTGGGCCACTGTTCAGAAGCAACAAAATTATTTCAATATATCAACAAACAAAAACAATAGACAGCTTCCTGTTTATCGAGGTTGAATGTTTCCATGTTTCCTCACCGCGACACTTTCATAGACATCATCGTACATCCTCGAGTCTGTGGAAGCGCTGCTGGAGGATGTCGCAGTGGTCGTGGCCCATCTAGGAGGAAAAAACACAGAGGCAAAAAAACAGATTCATTTAAGGACGAGGGTCACGATAAGAGACAGAGACAGAAAAACACAAACACGTGCTGCGGGAAGTGACTCACAGGAAGGAGTGTCTGGCAGCGTGCCGGATGTCAGTGAGCGTGTCCACGTCGATGTAGTCGTAGTGCAGCTCTTCAGGGAGAGCGGTGCTGCCGGTCTCTGCAAACAAAACACCCAGCCAGCGGCCCAGATCCTCCGAGCAGCTGGCCTGTCGGACACAAACAAACAAAAGTTACTTTGTTAGAGGAAAAATGTGGGTGTGTCATCCCTGTGGTCAGTAGAATCTCCTTCAGCAGCTGGACTGAGTTAGATCTACTCAACGAGACGATCTTTGAGAATCAGACCAAATACCTCCAAACATGCGAGCTCGTTGCCCCCCTGCAGGATGTAAAAGGAGAAAGAATGTTTGGGGCCGAGTCCGCCTGTGACCACCTCTGCTCCCTTCAGTGGCACCACAATGAGCGGCGGCTTCTGGTCCCCGGGTTCCTTCTGCAGGTACAGGCTCCCACCTCGCACCACACACCAGCGCTCCTTCCAGGAGCCACTCTGACACACACTGAGGTAGCCTGAAGACAGGAAGGAGAGGAGGTTAAACGTTGAGTGTGTTATTATCACAGCTGGATGAAATTTAAGGGCAAATCCAGACGCTCTGTTCAAAACATGTCCGCTGCGTTAGCCTCCTCTAAATTATTTATACACTTTGAATCATGTGAAAGTTGAAGAAGATGTTTTCTGCACGGCTGAGAATCTGCTCAAGTATTCAAACAAAGAAAACCATTTCGCTAAAGTACGTCAAACATCAATACTAAGCCCTCAGCCTTTCTTCATTTGTTCAAAAATTAGCAATAAATCCTTTTTGACTGACAGACTCGCTTCCCATTTTAGATCCATTTACAAAGTTAAGTTCCCTTAAACTGCTCACAAAAGAGGTAGTTTCTGGAGCCAGATAAGTGCTAAAACACTACTGCTTTTGTCCACAGTGGCCGCCAAAATCAACAGAAATAGAAAACTCCCTCTAGCTGCTTTAAAGACCCAGTCTGATGAAAATCATGTTTTTCTTGTTGTCTACATTTTTCTGATGCCACAGTACATATCGTGAGAAAAAGAAGAGTGTGAAATTGCATTTTTGAGTATTTCTGCACTCAAATCTCTGGCAGACCTAAACGGCAGGTTCAGATACAGTGAGATTTCCTATGTCACAACTGCAAGCTCCGCCCCCAGAGCCCCGCTATACAAGCCAGACTTGGAGAAATAGTGAGGACGATCACGGAACAAGCGTGTGTCTTAGGGGACTGCAATGCTCGTAAGAAAGCTAATTATGATATAAACTTTTATCATGTTTGAGAGCTGAAGAGCTCCTATGTTGCCTGCCACTTCTACTACACCAGCAATGTTTGGCTACAAGCTAGCATGAAGAGGAGTGTGCAGAGCAGCGCTGTCTCCGCCCACGACTCAGAGGTGAACTGCTAATGAGCTACTGGAGCTCTGCAGAAGGAAAGACCTTAAAAATGACACAGGTGATGTGATTTTGGCTAAAAACTTCATAATCACTGTTTAAAGACAACTGAGAACACTTTAAGTAGTAAAACAAAAGCAATCGGAGTGGGACTTTAATGATGTAAACTCCTTGTCAAGAGAATCCTTGTCCCAGGTCTGAATAATGAAGCATGTATAATAACTTTGCACTGATTCAAGATGTATAAATTTGCGTATGTTTCAAATCAAACTTCTTCTTTCGTGAATGTATGTGTGCACACAATTTAACAGCCATTAGCCACTTAGAGTACAGAAGTCATTCGAACACTGTGGAAAAAAGACCAGCGGAGTCGTTGAAATTGATCCTCACCACAGCGCGGGTTGTCATGATGATTAGAGGAAGAAGATGGAGGCTCTCCAGGTAGAGGAGGTTTCTTTTTGGAGAACGTGATGATCCGATTGATTTTCTTCCCCGCTGCTCTGCTCATCGACCCCGTCAGCTCTGAGAACGCTCCTCGTTTGCCCCTGTCTGAAATCAAACACAGACAGATTTAAAAGTTCACGCCGGGGTCAAAGAATCAGGGAGCTTTGTAATCTATTCCCCATACTGAGTGGCGCACCAGAGTCGTGTTGTTTTTCTTTTGTTTCATTAGCAGTGACAGCGTAGATTTCAAAATCATTAAGAAAACATTTTAGGAATACAAAACACCAACCCGACATTTCAAATGAGGAACACTGTCTTTAAAACACAGCCTCCACCATGTGAGGACTCTTTCACTGATGGATATGAGGAGGTTCAGGTCGTCTACACTTCATGTAGAGAGGCTACAGTCGTTGTGGCAGCAAAAGGCCCCCCTACCCACCAAAAACTAAACAAACACTTAAATCATTCAGTGCCAAGTTGATTTATGCAATTTTCACCCAGTGCCAACATTGACCACAATAGAAATTTCTGGATCTTTCAGGATCCACAGAATATCTTGTGCTTGGACTAGAATTAAGTGCAATATTTCAAAAGAAAGGGGTGATTCTCTTATTTCACCAGAAAAAAAAGTTAGTCTCTAACCCACTCCTTTTTTTAGTTATTGCCTGCTCAATGCAGTGTGGTCATATCATCTTTGTCGATCTGGAAAAACACATTTTTACAAAGGAGAGACTTTCGAGCAGAACTCTGATCGTCTGTTTCATTTCACTTCAAACTACTTTACTGGTGGCATTGAGGTCCTACCTCCTCGGACACCACTCAGATCTGATTGTGATAGGTCACTTTATGACAGCTGGGAGTCGTATTGGCTCTTGAGAACCTGACGCTGCGACTGCAGTGTTTCCCCTACATGCAACCGATCGTGGTGCACCGCCACGGCTAAATAGAAGCCGCCACACCTAAAAAAAATTGTTTTTATCTCACACAGTTCTACCTCGGACTCATATGTACCAGCAGTCTTTCCCCTAATTACGTGTGCCGCTTCTGAAATTTCACATGATCATTAATATCAATGCGCCACACTGATGATTTCTACTCGCACTGTGTGAGCACAACGGACCCCCTTCCACTAATGAGAAGGGTAATGTTCAAGCTTATACACGGTCTGTATAGCGAGTATCACGGGTAACATAACGTGAATGTAACAGCGTAGCTCCTGAAGTGGCAAGAGAGGAGGGTAACACACACACCACCGCTGCTCACGTCCTCCTCGCCGGGACTGTCGCTGAATTCCAGCTCAGTCTCGCTCACCAGTACCGGCACTAGTGGACAATGACACGCCATAAAAATTGTTTCTTTGATTATCTGCTGACGATGTGAGGGTCGAGTACCGGAATCTCCACTGGATCCAGAGACGGTAGCACCGTGCCCACGGGAGCCGGTGCGCCGAGACCGTTAGCTCTTAGCTAATGACTTCGGCATTTTCCTATAGAGAAAAAAACACTCCACAACTAGGCTAATGGGTACACTTCTCATTGGCGAGTACTTGTTTTTGTTATTGTAACATGGTTATGACGTATTTGTTGGTTTTTCTGCATTCAGAACGACCCCAAACTTAGTCGCATGTTTGGGAGAAGCGCCCTCTGGTGGAAAAACAAAAAAAAAAAGAAAAATCTGTCAAAAGCCGTCACTGGCACTGAATGAGTTAAGGGTGAGATTTTGATGTTTTGTGCACATCCCTGAACAGTTCCTCCTGCATGTACCAGATGCTGTGGCGATCAGTCCGGCCCACTTCCTGTGATGTCAGAGGGGCACAATCGCAGGAAAAGGACAGGAAGGATGTCATATCTGTTTGGGCCTCACTTCCTGTCTCTCCCTCTCTCTCATGTGTCTTTAGCTTCAGAGTCGCTCAGTCAGTAAACAGGCTGTAACAACATGACTATGTTTGACCCACATTGCGACAGAAACATCACAGATCCCTGCTTACAAAAACCAAGAGTGTGTGTGTGTGTGTGTGTGTTTGAGTGTGGGTGTGTGCTTGTTTATGTATCCTAGTGGGGTGTTATTGTTACTTTTTGAAAATGAGGACTCTTTAGTTTGAGAGAAAAACTTTCACTTTGTGGTTTAAAAAAAAAACGTCTTTTTCACATTTTCTCCTGTTTAATGGACATTTTATGATAATTCCTCATGAGGTTTTAACCAAAGTAACCTACTCAGTGAGTCCGTTGAGTCTCGTCCTGGTCCCTGTGAAGTGGACTGGCTCTCTGCTGTTGGTCCGCTGTCTGAGTCTGACGCTGGACGGTCGCTCTGCAGAATCTGACAAAGAAAGAGAAGAAACCTTCACAACTCCTCTTAATACAATGAAGTAAACCACTGAAAACGATGTAGTGTATATGCCAAGCCAGTAAGTGGCGCTGTAACGCTTCAGAGGAAATGAACAAGAGACAGAAGAAGAGTACAGAGCATGTGTATAAAGGTTGTTTTGGCCGGACACGTGCAGGTGCCATTAAAGAGTTACGCTGTGTGTCACATGATCGTTTCCAGAGATGCAGATAGACATCGACATGGACATGAAATGGTAGCCCAGCACTTCTCACCAATCAGAAGCGAAGAAGGGCGGGACCTACCATCCTACAAAAAAGAAATCGTCTCCCGAAGGAAGACGGAGTCTACGGTGGCCTGGAATCCAGTGTCGTTTTCATTGACAATGCCGAAATGTTTCATCAACGCCCCTTTTTTTCCACGATGGAGACCTGACGTTGACGAGCTAAACTTAAGTCTGAGATGACTAAAATGTGACGAGACGAATGTGCGTTTACGTTGACGAGACTAGACGAAAACGTTAGTGGTGGACGACGACAGAGTTGAAAAATTCATGAGCATTTCGTCAGTGGAACGCAAAACATATATTTTGCAGTGTTGTGCAGAAGCGCCAGATATGAGAGGAAAATTGATTTGAGGATTTCAATTTCTTTTTACAATAATCCGATTATGATTTAATATCGATTAATCGCACAGCCCTACAATGACGGTGATAAAAGACCACGTGCACTTTGTCAAAGTTTGTCTGTAGCGAGCAGAACCATGTCACCTAAAATGACACAGGCGCTTTGTATTTTTAAACCCAGTTTTCCGTCCTGGGTTGTAACTGCCCTGCTGCTCGTTGGCTCACTGCAGTCGTTTCCCAAAAGTTTGTTTGAGGGTTTGAAGCTCTTTGAAAACCTTCCAGCTCTGCAACTGCAGTAATGTCCCCACATTTGCTGCCTATAACTCAAAGCCAAGGGAACAGTTGTGTCATGCGTGGGCTGAGAGAGGTGATGTCAGAGACTGACACTGCAATATACTAACTATAGTATGGATTCAGACAGAAATACAGCAGTGATGTAAAACTAAAACAGCAGTACTGGGTTATAAAAGGACATTTGTGACAAATTGAAGGGTTAATCTTTTGACAAATACAAGCAAGAGTCCAAAAAGACAGAAATACCAACACACACGAACACACACACCTTGTCAAGCTCCAGTTTCCTCTGTATAATCGGAGAGGTGGACCCTTCTAGTCCTTCAGTGTTGCTACTCTGGCTGCCAACATCTTGCACCACCTGGTTTCAAAGAAAGAAAATCTTGTGTTGATACATTTCCCCAAGTCATCCCCTCCCCTTTCTCTGATTTTCTAAGGAGAGCTACCTTGAGCCATCGCTGGGCTTGCTCTTTACTCTGAACCGCCAGGACCAGAGCTTCACCTCCAGGCAGCGAGAAGCGAAGCTCATGTCGTTTTTTCCGGCCTTCCTTCGGGACGTAGATGACGTTGCACAGACTCAGCGAGAGCTCTGTTTGAGGGGTGGTCTCTTTGATGCTCTTGTAGCACTGAAAAAAAACAGACACAGACGGTCAGACGTCGATGTACCACTTGGTGATGTTTTATAAGCAGAACCATTTATGTGGATCATTTCACAACACTTGTAGCTTTAATGTTCAGACAGAAATTTGGCTGTGCTGCTTCTTGACTTTGATGAAAAATAAGAGTGAAATTTGATCAACGATTCGAGCGTTTTCATTTGACAGCTTTATCAGATTCATTCAGATGAGGTCATTTCCAATAAAAGACTCAAACATTAGGTCATTCTATGGAAGACCAAGAGAGACAGAATGAAAATAAATAAATACATCTTTAAATGAACAATTAAACATATTCATTAATTAAAATAGCAATTAAATAAATAAATGTGTCATTAATGTATTAAATTACCAGTTCATTCAATGAAAAAACATAAAGAATTATTTCACTATTTAATTAAATATTTCATGGACCTGTGTCGCAGTGCTTCGTGAATTTATTTTATCCGTCAAACTCACCCATCAAAGTCAGTAGGTGTAATTTTAATTTTTTAATGACATGTTTATTTAATTAATTCCCACTTTAATTCATTAATGATATACTTAAATATTTATTTAAAGATGTATTTATATATTTCATTCTGTCTCTTTCGCCCTCCATATGGATAAAATGATGGAAAAATGATTCTTTTTAAAGACAAGTAAAAACCTTTTTTTCCCCAATTATTAATTTTTCATTTTCAACTCAACTCGACTTTATTTAAAGCACTTTAAAACAACCACAGCTGAAAAAAGTGCCGTACATAAATAGGCAAAACAACGCAGACATAAAAAACAATCAAAAAACAATTTTAAAACGAGTTTTAAAAATGAAATGAAATAAAATTTTCAGGTTTATACTTTTCTCATTTTTTTATTTTGATGTTATTGTGACTGATAAACATGGAAGTTACTGCTCTTCATAAACTTACTGTAAAATTAAATCACATATTTCTCATCCTGATGGTCATGTGGTCCTCCGTATTCATCTATAATGATCGTCAGTGCTGATCTGCTGTTTTGTCCAGATGGCAAATGGACTTAAACTTATCAATTAGCACTTAATCAGCTCTCTCTTTGTCTCCCTCCACCACTCAAAGCCCCTTAATTGATTAATTAAGCTGACTGGTTATCGTCTACGGATTGAGTTTGAGCTGATTCTGAGTTGTGGCTCAACCAGTTAAAATCCACCATATATATATATATATATATTTACCTGCAGTTTATTGTCTCGTACAACAACGAGCTGTTTAGCCCACTGGCCGAAGCGTTTTTTCCGTAGCAGGAAGGCACAGATGCGACAGTCCCTCAAGGGTACATCCGAGCTCTCCTCCCTGTGGTCCCGTGCTTTGGCCTCTTCGTCCTCTTCTTCATACGACTCATACGAGCTGCTCAGAGCGTCAGAGTCATTGTCTGCGCAGCAGAAACAACACAAATGATGAACAAACCATTCCTGTTTCTGCGTGTTCATGTATAGAAACTTTTGTTTATAGATAAAACATTTTCAAGAAGGGGAAAAGACTCACATGAGTTTTTTTGTGGTCCATTAATCCTGGTGACGGGGTAGTTATTGTCTGCATCCTCGTAGTAGGCGTCCTCCACGGAGTTTCTGGACGCTGCTGAAGGAGAGCAGAAAAATCCAGATGAGAAAACGACAAACGGGAACTCTGCTTACAGCTATTATGAGGCGCAATCGTATGGAAGTAAATATGTGTCATCTGATTTTGAATTTGAATTTCTAAAGTTGATTTTTTTTGCATCAAAATCAGACTTTGAATCTCAAAGCCATCGAATTTCAAGCACGTATTTTTATATCTGACACTAATTTTTTTTTCACAATGAAGAAAATTCAGTGAAAAAAAAAAAGTCTCAAATATTCGCATAGACAAATTCAACTTAAAAAACTGTGTAAAAATAAAATAACAAAAATTCAGTGTCAAATAATTTAGTGTAAACAAAAAAAAGTTCCTCATAAATATTCGTTTAGTAAAAATTTGACTTAAATAAACTGTAAAAAAATTCAACATAAAAAAGTACGGTGTTAAATAATTCAGTGTAAAAAAAGGTCTCTGATAAATATTTGTTCAGTGAAAATTCGACTCAAATAAATTGTGTACAAAAAAAACTAAAATAAAATAAAAATGTAGTGTCAAATAATTCAGTGTAAAAAAAAGGTCTCATAAATATTTGTTTAGTAAAAATTAGACTTAAAAAAAACAGTGTAAAAAAATTCAACATAAAAAAATTCAGTGTCAAATAATTAGTGTAAAAAAAAGGTTCCTCATAAATATCCGTATAGTACAAATTCCACTTAAAAAATTTCTTACACTGTTTATTTAGTCTAATTTTCACTAACCGATTATTTTGAGGGACCTATTTTTTTTTACACCAAATTTATTCCATCATTGTGAAAAAAAATTAATGTCAAAAAATTAAAATGCGCGCTTGAAATTCGATAGCTTTGAAATTCAAAGTCTGATTTAATGCAAAAAAATTTCAGCTTTAGAAATCAGAATTCAAAACCAGATGGCACAGATTTACTTCCATAAAATCGTGTGCTTTTTTTGGGGATTTGAGCGTGTGTACAGAACTGTTCATGTTGGTGGTAAAATACTGAGGCGTGGATCCCGGGTCGAGGGGAACAGCTTCTTCATAGTAGTCGTCAGGGAGGGGTGTGGTTGGCAGAGGAGGCGGCGTGTCAGTCGGTGTCTGAGGTGAAAAAAATCGAATCTGTAGTTACAAGGCTAAAAAATAAAAGACCAACAAGGAGAAGAAGAAGAAGTGAAGGACTTACAGATTTATTCAGATGATTCTTCTCCTCTTCCTCTTTGTGCTCTTTCTGCTCCACTGGAGACACACTGAGCATGTGCAGATCACAGTCTGGAGGAGATACATGATACATCCAATTTAGATCTATTATACACACTTCTATTAAGAATGTAAAATAATGTCTGTAAGGGTTTTGTCATCATATAGATAATTGAATGTACTACTAACCAAAATCCTCAAACAGAGACTCGACAAAACTGGTGCCGTTGCCGTAGAGACAGCTGTTCATGTAAACGTCTGATCCATTGACTGTGGAAAGGATAAATTAAGGGTTAGAAATAGGATCAAAGTAGGGGTTAGGATTGTGGTCTACACTATAAGATCAGGAGAAAAAAAAGATTACCAGAGTGAAGAGAAGCGGCACAAAAAACATCTGAAGTCAGAGAGTATCAGGACACAACAAACTGAATTTTTAGACAAATAAATCAGACAGAGAAGGAGTCCAGACTGGAGCCTTTAAATCACTGTACCAGCAGAACAAAGATAACCCAAAGTCACAGAAGTGCGTGTGAAAGTTTTCCAAGCCCATAAAGATTTCTGAAAGTGTCTGAGATTGAGTGCGGGGAAAAAGTGACTGAAGTCTTTGGCTGCAAAAAGCTGAACTGATGTGGAATATAATTACGAGCTGTGTAAAAACCCTGAGGAGTGACTTTGGGAAGGGCTGCATGGGTCTGTTCAAACAACTGTGAGGACATGTTTACATGTTTACTTTCTCCTGTCTTTGACCTCCTCTCATTGCCTTCTTTATACTTTACATTTGATTATCCTCTTACCTCAATCCCTTTAACTTCTCCCACATCCTGTGTTCTCCTGAGTAAACAAGCAACCACTATAAAGTATTCAGGCCGTGTAGAGCAGTTTCTGTACAGGAACGTTAGCCTGTGTACAACAAAGAGATGCTTTGTCCTTGTCGAAATAAACGCTGTTATACACGTAACCTTGGACAAATTGCTGAAATCTGAATCGCTCTGGAATTCGCTCTGCTTAAATCATATTGTACACATTATACAAGAGTTGAAAAAACACTTCTGTCATCAGTCAGATTCATGTTTTAAAATCATATTCATTATCAGCTGTTTGGACTTTTTACATTTTTATGCGCTTTGTCATTATTGAGCTCCAGTCAAGAACTTAAAGGGATATTTAAATTCAACTCACCTACTCTCTACCAGCAGCTGCTTGTTTGTACGGAGACCTCAGGCGAGTCCATTACCACAGCAGGGTGACGCAGCTCAAGGAAGAACATTTATGATCATTTCTGTATCATTTCCATAAAGTAATAATCACCATATTGATCATTTTGCACTGCAGACGCGGTAGTTCCTCTGCCTTAGCGTCTCGGTCTGATTGTATTTTCATGAAGAAATGATCATAAATGTTCTTCCTTGAGCTGCGAAACTCCGCTGCGGTAATGGACTCGCCTGAGGTCTCTGTACAAACAAGTGGCTGCTGGAAGAGAGTAGGTGAGTTGTGTTTGGTCTCTTTGTTAAAGAAATCAGGCAAAGTTAAAAGATGTTTGGTGGCTGTTTGTGCCCTTCGTGTTTTTTTGTTTTTTTGGTGGGATTTTCAAGCATCAAATATCATAAGTTTGTCTGCATTTTACTAGCTTAGGTTAACATAAAGTAGCCTGTCATCCTACTTGATGTTGTTTTCCATCATGTGATAACTTGGACTCATATCATCTTAGCTGTTCTGAACAGTCTTAGCCAGTGGCAGCTGTAAAAAATCCATTACAGCAGAACAGTGGAGCTCAGTGTGAGTGTGGGCTTCCCTCTCTGAGCACTAAAACTTCTGGAAACAAACAAATAAAGACGTTATTTTGTTTCTCCACATACCCGTGAGAGTTTGGAACATCTCTAATAACACGTATTTGAGGTTTGGGCTGAATGCAGCAGGCATCTTAAAAAACAGCCTCTGTTTTTGCTGTCGAAGAAACTAAATTTGAGTATAAGAGCATCGATGTTGAACTATATAAAGAAGATTAAAGGGCGACAATACAATAGATATAAAAGAAAAATGGGAAAAAAAGGCTGGGAGGGAATTATCAGAGGAGGAATGGGAGAATGTAAATGAAAGACAGTGGAAAACAACATGCTCCCTCTTATTGAGAGAATATGGTTGGAAGATACTTTATTACACCAAAACAACAGAAATCTCGAGACACACGATGTTGAAGACTATCTTGATGGAATATTGATCAGTGAAATTAATTGAAAAAAAAGAGAATTGGCGTTGTTCTGTTTTTAGGTGAGGGGGGAAGGGTCAGCACAGTACTGCACTCAGTGTTGTCCCGGGTGGATCTGTGTTTTCTTTTGAGACCTGGTTCTTTACCTGACAGCTGCAGTGAGTCCATGATGTTCCGTACGGAGGCCATCTTTTCAGAGGTGGCAGGACTGACTGTTTCGTGGTCCAGCATCTTCAGCAGAGAGTTCAGCTCGTTGACCAGTCGTTCCATCACCACTGAAAAAACACAGGAAACACAAGAGGACTCATTTCCTGAATTTAACTTAATCTTTGGACAAGTAGCGTCTTGTCCGCCCGTCCTGCGGGGTCTTAACGTGGCTAAAATGCTTAAGCTATTACACCAAGTGCATCAGATATCAATTTGACTCACATGCATAGACACACAGGCATGCAGTCAGTTTGGAACGCAGCTTACCGCCTGTTACAACAGCTGACGGGGAGCCTAACATATCGCCCATTCATAACATTCACCTCAGAGTTGGCTGTTTAGTGGGACCCGAGTTTCTGTGTGTCCTCCCGTCCCGCACAGATCCCACTTTGAGTTTGAACTTTTTCGTCTTTCTTCGAAAAAATAATTGCTTTCATGTTCGATGCTGACATCCTGTGCGTCTCCGAGTGTGTCTGTGGTTTCTGTTGACCTTGACATCGTTCCAAAAAGCCCTGCCACACTCTCACACATCCTGCCTGCTTAGAGCTGACAAAGAGGGGAGGAAAGGAGGGACAGAGAGTCAGAGAGAAAAGGAGGTGAAGAGGAGGAGGAGGAGGAGGGGGCAGGAAGTTTCCTATCCTGAAGGAAACGGAGCCAAAGTAAAAGGAAAATCTGCATTTCCACTAGAGATAGAGAGGATGTGACTACTACACCACTCATTCAGCTGATCACTCATTCATCTGAAACATCTCCCTGACAGATGTTGGATGTCTTAAAAGAGGGACATGATTTTGTGTCTTCAGCTCAGAGGACTGATCTTCAATCAGAGTCAGAGCTGCAAGGGTCCGCTGCCAGGACCCACCTCCACTGAAAGGACCCCAGCTGATGGTTTTTCTCACATGCTCCACTTTGTTTGAAGTGGTCGTCCCATTTTGTATTTTGTCTTAATTTAACACATCAAAAATCATAAAAAAAAAGAGAGTTCCACCGCACACAACGTGGTCAGAATGATAACTTATGGTTTAATGGCGTTTCGCCATATATACTCCTGGTATATTTGCTTTTATTTTGAAAGGCTTTAAATCAACTTCTGGTCCTCACAGTGGAGGTCTGCAGCCAGACTGTCTTGGCTATCACTGGAAAGTTTTACAATCCAACTTTGGCCCGTATTTTTTGTTCCATTCTGAGAGAAAAAAAAAGTGATTTTGAGAAACATCTAACCTTTGTCGTTCTTGGAAATAAAATCATTAAATTCTTACTGTGGTTTTACCCCGAGTAAAAAAGAAAAAGTTGACAGGAAGTTCAAGGATGCTTGAACCCGTAACTTTTTATTTATCTTAAATATGACAATTTTTAAAACATTTTTTTGCTAGAGAGAAAAAGTTCAAGGTAAGCAAGATCATCAGCCACAGGGGGCGCCAAAATTGACACAACCAAAAGTTCCTCATGGAAGCTTTGAAAATGATCAAACAAAACATCAAGTTTCTGGTGAAGTTGGTGAAATATTTTTGTTTTTACGGTAAAAGAGTGAGGTTTAAAAAAGATCAAACCCGCCTCTGTTTCTCTCACGAATAAGAGATGACTGAGGGGGAGAAAAAGCCCTCAGTCTCCCACTGCCCTCCCACCTTTTCCCCCCTCAGTCTGACAATACTCCATTGTCTCTACGAGGGCCAAAATTAGACGATCACAATGCTCCGCAAGACCAGAGCAAACAATACAATGTCAGAAAGTCCAACACAAACAAAACAGGAACTAACACACACTGAAACACACTCACACTTACACAGTGGAAGAGGGGCGTAGTGCATCACAGCTGCATCGTCTCGATCTGTGGGCATTCTGGGTTAAAGGATATTTCTCCAGCAGCTGTGTGAGTGTGTGTGTGTAGGATTTCTCAGCCCAGCAGCTGTGATTTCCTGTCTGAGCTGTTGACAGAGGCCTTTCTCCACTCCTTCTTGATCTCGACTCTCTCCTCCATCGTTCTGCGAGCTTCACCCCCGCTCTTCCTCTCGCTCTCTTACCTCTTTCTCTCTCCATCCTTCTGTTTCTCTTTCTGTCCCATTATCACGTTTTTACATCCTTCTCTCTCCTTTTCACAACCTCCCAGACTTCAGATTATGAAGTTTCTCAACGGATCGTAACTTGGACAGAAGATCTTTCCTGAAAATGTTGTAACACACGTTCAAAAATACAACACGAATGAAGTTTTAGATGAAGCTTTTGGTCTATTTTCAGTTTCTGTAAATTTAACTCCACTGACACAGTCAAGGCCATCCATTAATTAACTGTCTCTCTGTGTGTGTGTGTGTGTGTGTGTCTCTGCAGCTCTCAGGGGGCACTCCAGGGTTCAGGGGCTGAGAATCAGCTGTTCTGAAGGCTTGTGGTCTGTCTCACCACAGAAGGATCTTTGTAACCCCCCCCTCCACACTCACACACACACACTCACACAGTACAGATTTCTTCCTTAGAACTCCGCTAGATCGCCGGCGATTCCACTTGACACCATTAATATTGTTTACAGTTTCTTGGGAACTATACCGCGTATCTCTATGGGATGACAAGTGTTCAAAAGCTTACCCTTTTGGCGATCTATCGAGAGTTTCCAGACATTTCTACACCTGCCACAAGGTTTACAATCCAGCCACAAAAATAGGTGTTTGATCAGAGACGTTTGATGGTAAATCTGCAGTGATATATCGGTGAAAACACAATTATTTATCATATTGCTATTGCTTAATACTGCTAATGTCTTCCGGGTTTGACAAGCTGTTTTGATGACGTCTTTCTCTGTCAAACTTTCGATCAATTACATGGTCTCATATTCTTCTTCTACTGTTCACTTAAAGATAGTGTCTAATAAGAGGCAACCAAAGATTAACAAGAAACAAGAAAGTTCCTTGCTTGTCTGCAAAATAGGAAATAATGGTCCTCAATGTTTGGAAACAAGTAAAGAAGAGATTATGAGCAGTATGATGTGGTCCTCTGTCTCATCCCAGACAGGAACTGCTTCAAGGAGTGGCATAAAACAAAGGAGGATTCAGACAATTTTCCGAGCTTTCTGGTTGGTTTCTACAGTCTGATATTGTAGCACGCTAACTTTGTTTTGGCTCGTGAACAACACGGGGGAGCAGCGTCTGCCTCACAACCAATCAGGATGGGGGAGGTGGGGAACGACTTTGTTTACAGTCAGAAAGAGCAGAGCACTCTGAAATTTTAAAATGTTGACTACACAGACATAACAAAACACAGCGATATCGTGATATTCCCAAATGTCATCAATGACTAATGGCTATTGACTGATATTAAAAGCTTTTTGTTTATACACCACAAAAAGATGCTTGATGAATGGATTCCTGCCTACCCCACCTTTAACAGAATGATGTGCAGGTGAGAAAAGGCTTGGTCACTGTCGATTTATGTGTTTTTTGGGCAAAGTACTGTTGGTATCAATTTCCGTTTTTGTTTTCTGGTTGACTTTGATGGTCCTGAATCTACAGTCACATTCATTTGACCATAAACTGACAGCTGAGTTTGTCCTGAAAAGAAAAAGATAAGAGTTGCTACATAGATTTTTACAAAAAAACAAACAAAAAAACAGGCAGACCAAAAATAGCAAAATACAGCTGTGAGTTCTAAGCGTTAACCTGTAACTTCATACTTGTGTTCTGGAAAGTGTGTATATCTGCTTTTACATACATGTTTGTGCCTCTCAAACAGGCTTCCTGCTCAGAGAAGGTCAGTCATGGGACCTTGAGGCATGCGACTCTCATTTAAACCGACTCGGAACAAAAACCGCTCGCTGCTGCTGCTGCTGTTTATCTCACCACGTTGTTTATGGGCGGCAGGGTGACAGAGAAATCATACTCTTCCCCTCCTAACCTGATGCTTTCATTCCCATCCATTACACATCTAACCCATCAATCACACCAAACCGAGGGTGACCTCCTCCCTGATACACCTCTGAAATATAGACTCTTTCTCTTTGCAACAGTCCACAAATATGTTACTGACTAGTTTTCCTGAGACACATTGACTGAAAAAGTGACACAAACTCAAGAAAAGCTTGAAAAGTGTCTGAAGCTGCTGTTTTGCATCCTCATGTTTCTGCCTCCCCCATATCCCCGATGTTCAGATCCCCACAGATCCCACACTCTCCCTTCCACTCCTTTCTTTTCTCCTCTTCCTCCTCCCTCTGTCCCTTCTCCAGACACCCATCCTCTTCAGATTAGGGTCAGAGGTCGAGTCTTGGCGGCCCCGCGGCAGCTCCCTCCAAAACAAAAGTCTACTTCAGAGATCCAGCATCCTGTAATTCATATTTTGGTGACAACAGTGGGTTGGTGTCACTGCTCGCCCCCGGGGTTAGTATTCAGTCAGACACTTTCAAAAGTCCCCTCCAGAGCCCAAGTGGAGATCTTTAAAAAGAAACAGCTGGTGGAGAAGAGCCATGAATTCGCTCTTTTTCACATTCTTTCAGTATCTTATCACTTTCCTCAGATAGTAAATAGCGTGGAGACGTGGGGAACAGCGGGGCAGACACTGAGGCACAGCAGGAGTTCGAGCTAACAACCAGGCTGTTGTGTTGAAGATTTACCAGGTAAAAGAACTGTTCCCTCACCACCACTGTGAGAAAAAACATCACATGGCTGAGGAGGAACTTTTTCATATGCACTCTGATACGAGGAGAGTGAAAATCAAAGAATAGACCTCATTTTGTGCCATTTTCTGCCTAAGAGTGGCTGATGTGATGATGTATTTCAAGCTGTATGAATCATTAATGAATCGATGAAATCATCTTTATGACTCACCGTTGGACAGTGAGCAGGTGGAAATGCTGGTTCGAATCCTCCCAGGTAAAACATGACACTTTGGTCAGGGTCCTACTCACCATGTCAGGATCCTAATTTGCATAAACCACCAGCTCACTATGCATTACTCCTCTCTTAGCAATGACACTGGAAACTAAGGGGAAAATCTAGCTGGGCTAACATCCAAAAGTTGACAATATTTTTTCAGGAATCTACTCACAGAGCTTCATCTAGGGCTGGGGGATAAATCGAAAACTTGTATACTACTTATGCTGGATTTTAATATCCAGTAGTGTGGTGACACTTATCTTATTGCATTGTATTTTTATTCTTTTTTTTTCCACGAGAAAAACGTTCCCGGTGTGTAAGGTCCTTTAGAATAAAATCAAAGTTCTCTCAAAATTCCTCTTTCCATCTGCACTAAGGCTTGTGAAAGTTAACATTATTGGACGGCAGCAACAACAAGTCAGATTCAAGTCTCTGTTGTTAAAAATAGCCAAAACAATGCATTACTGCAGGTTGAGAAATGTCCGTACGTAATGTGTGGAGAAATGTTTCACATTGTTTTCATTGTTTCTTACGAGCTTTTGAAAAATCCCAGTCATGCAAAGAGACGCAGGCGGCTCACAAGTACATACGCAGACAGGTATGCGAGGGGCGAGACAAGCTGTCATTTTACATGGTGTAAAATAATTAGAGAGGCGAAGGGTCAGTTTGATTTAATATCAGCATTCATGTAAAGCAGGACTGGGAAAAAAGAGTTAGATATAACTATTTCAGAAGATGGTTGGATGAATATCTGGAAACACAACCATCTACAACATCTTACTAGATATGTTACACAAATGCTGGACCATTCACATGTATTTTGACTCTGTTCTGCAATTTTAGTGAGATACTCATGAAGCTATTGTCAAGATTTTGGTTGTTTTGCAACTGATCCTGCATGGAGTGAGGGCAGATACTTGTTAAAAATAGTGTTTGCAGTCTGTAAAAAGGCGATAACGAGAGGATGGTCAAAGTTCAACCACCAATACAAGATGAAATTGTGGCTGACAAATACAGCAAGGAGCAGCGAACCCACAGGATGCAAAAACAGGAGAAATGTTGAAGATGTTTACATGGTGGGGACAAGACAAGACAATGGACCAGTAAATAAATCATAATAAGACCAGCAGCTGAGTTAAATATGGTTCAGTGTCTCTTCTGTTTGGTAGAGAAGCATTAGGTCAGTTTCTCTTGACAGCAGAGCAAATGGGACCTCTCAGACCTACTTTTTCGATCAGATGTTCAGAGCAGAAAGTTTAAAAGCAGTAAACTTACATTTCAGCTCGCTCTCTCTTCAGCAGGAACCGAAACGGTGAAAATTGGTTTTTAGAGGCAGAAAAACATGTCCGTGATATCTCTTAAAAAGAAACAAATGAGGAGTTTTGAATTTCCTGAGTCAGGGAGAGGGTGGAGAGAGGGGGTAGGGTGGAGGATCAGTGAGTGAAGAGGAGAAGGAAAAAGGAAAAGGAAACGTAAGAGAACCACGGTCGAGGTCAAGGCTTGTGTCAGCTTGTTAAACAGATAACTTATGTGCATGCATGCACAAACTCCACTAAAGTTTACATGAATATTCACCCTACATTTCACAGCAGCAGGTGAGATTTTAGCTTCAATGTCTTTCTCAAACATTCCTGTTTTTACCACAATGAGGGTATTTTCTTCTTCTAAAGGTTTTGGCACCATGACACTTTAGTTACACTGCATATTTCAGTCTTTTCAGAGCACAGAAGAAAAAGAACATGTATAAACAATAAATTTAAGGACGCCTTGTGACTCACTCACACTATCATGACTTAGTGGGACATTTAAATATAAAAAAAGATTATTGTTATCAGCTTTTTAGCTATGAGGTGTGTAAATGTCAGCTGTAAAGACGCTTGTTCATGGAAACTGTGTGGTCTAATCTTGCTGCAGTCATGATGGTCCTGAGCAATGTGACAATTTAGTACTCAAAACCAAGCAGATTTCATTAATATTATCTTCATTATCACCAAAACATGATAGTTATGACTACAATTGACAAGAATACTCTAAAGTAGGCGAAGTTTAAAGCCTGTACTTAAAGAGATATTCCGGCGTAAAATGAATTTAATGTTCTTCCTTGAGCTGTGAAACTCTGCCGTAGTAATGGACTGGCCTGAGGTCTCGCTACTAACAAAAAGCTGCTGGAAGAGAGTAGGTGAGTTGTGTTTAGTCTCTTTGCTAAAGAAATTAGTCAAAGTTAAACAGATGTTTTGTGGCTAGTACCATGGCTGGGACCCTTTATGTACTGTTGATGAAGTTAGGTGCTGTTCTGAGCATTATTTGTGGCGTTTTGGTTGAGGTTTGTTTATGGTTCCTCAGACCGCTGTGTATTGCTATCCTGCAGTCGTTACTAAAGTTGGTATAACTAGAGAAGCAAGTAGTCGGCAACATTCATCTCTCGAGGGGGGTGTCTAACTTGGTGTTACGGTGTGTTTGACCCTAAATTAATTTTACGCTGGAATATCCCTTTAAGAGTCAAAACCAAGCTGACTTTCATTCATATTATCCTCATTATCACTTATCACTAGCATTGTTATAAGTTAGAGGTGTGCTTTAAGACAGTGGTTCTCAACTGGTGGGTCCTGACCTAAGAGTGGGTCGTGGACATGTTCTGGATGGGTTGCGAACGACTGGTCTAAAAGTAAAAATATAATGCACTTCTGATGGTTGATTTGTCTTTTATTTTGAAATATTGCTTGTTTTGAAAGGCATGTGCTATGTCCTCCTCGGTTTCTTATTAATGTGGCCTGAATGTAGTAAAATTACTTTTTGGGTCTTTATTTTGTGCAATTTGATATTTATTCACTTTGGTCCCTGCTGTTGCACAGTCCCTTCCAGGTTCTTCTGAATATGCTCTGAATGCAGATAAACAAATAAGTGAAATGTTTCATTTTGTTGGTCTCCATTTGTGCAATTTGATATTCAATATTTTCTGCACACGAAACTTCAGTAGTTGTCCTCCTCAATTTACGTGCTCTGAAATAAACTTGGGTCCCAGAGTGAGATCAGTTGAGAACCACTGCTTTAAGAGGCACTCACGAATGATTCTCCTCTCACTGATAGTTTCCTTAATAACAGTTATCCCCGTCAGACAGATTTCTGAGCGCTTCATCATCTAGTGTGTCACATATTAACAGCTGGCTGTTTGCCGCTCTGTAGCCCTGCGGCTCCTCGAACAGAGCAGCCATTGAGCCGCTCAGCTTCACTTCCAGCAGCTTCACTTCCAGCGTGGAGGAACTTCCCTGTTGGTGTCAGATTGCATCACTCTACCTGCGCGAGGACCCCCGCCTCTATCCTCCGCGTGAAGGTGTATGACATCATACCACCGTTACTCCAACCGTCAACGGGAGCGAGTGCGCGAGGCGTGCTCAATTCACTCACATACAACAAACTGATGTTTCTTCTTTCCTCTGTTTTCAAATGAAAATTTTAGTTTTTGTGCTAAATATCAAACCGTTTCTCTAGTTTATAGCGAGTTTTAAGTGACAAGGACACTGTATTGTGTATTTTTCCCTGTTTTCCCACCGTTAAAGCGCGTTTCTGCCATTACATGACTAATTCGCCTTCCCATGTTTGACTCTAAGTTTTTACTATCAAGTTGCCGAACTGTTCTTTGTCGCCAATAGATAATACAAAGCGATATTACAAAAAGAGACGTTTACTCACCACTTTGGCGTTTGGAGTCCATGTCGTTTCAGGTCACAAACACGCGGTTTATTTCCGGTGATATTCCTCTGGATGTTTCATTCAAAAGAGACGGTTACTAACGGTATGTTAGGCACGGACACAGCGGAGCTCTGTCAGCCTCTGTGCGGCCGAGTGAGTCAGTGTGGCCGCTACAGTTTGGAGTTTGACTCGGCTGGCCCCGGTTCATCATCCAGAGCTCCACAGGGTCCTAGTGCCCGTCAGCGTTTCTTAAATCCATGTTAGAGAGATTTACAAACCAATTCTTCAGGTTGCCTTGTTCTCTATTTTAATGGACTATCTGGAACTTGACCTACTATTGCTCTCATTTGACTAACTAGTTTAACTAATGTTACAGGTATGTCAACGTTCCTTTTTAGGACCACATGGTTTTAGCTCAATGTTTAGATAGCTAACCCACATTTCTGGCAAATTAGCCTACTTTAACCCATTATCCATTTATTGTGGCTAGTTTTTCTAACACCTGTAACTGAGAATTAACTATTTCCATTAAAGGGATATTCCGGCGTAAAATTAATTTAACACTGAGTTAGACACCCCGTCAAGCAGTGTTGTTTTCGTTGACGAAAATATTTCGTCACCGACCCTTTTTTTCCACGACAAAGACGTGACGTTGACGAGCTAAACATAAGTCTGAGATGATTAAAATGTGGTGAGATGAATGTGCGTTTACATTGACGGGACGTGACTAGACGAAAATGTTAGCGGTGGACGACGAACAGAGTTGCAAAATTCATGAGCATTTTGTCGGTCAAACGCCAAACATATATTTTCATTGACGTCATTGTCAACGAACACAAGACTGCTGTCAAAAGATAAATGTTGCCAACCGCTTGCTTCTCTAGTTATACCAACTTTAGTAACAACCGCACGATAGCAATACACAGTGGTCTGAGGAGCCGTAAACAAACCTCAGGCACCAAACCTACTAGCCACCAAAAATCTATTTAATTTGCCTAATATCTTAAGCAAAGAGACTAAACACAACTCACCCACTCTCTTCCAGCAGCTACTTGTTTGTAGCGGAGACCTCAGGTGAGTCCATTACTGCAGCGGAGTTTCGCAGCTCAAGGAAGAACATTTATGATCATTTCTTCATGGAAATGCAATCAGACCGAGACGCTAAGAGGCTACATATAGGGTCCCAGCTATAGTACTAGTCATCAAACATCTTTTTAACTTTGCCTTGTTTCTTCAGCAAAGAGACTAAACACAACTCACCTACTCTCTTCCAACAGCTGGAATTACTAGAGAAGCAAGCAGTCAGCAACATTCATCTCTCAAGGGGGTGTCTTACTCGGTGTTACGGTGTGTTTGACCCTAAATTAATTTAACGCCGGAATATCCCTTTAAGGCCAACCTTCAAACTCTTCATCCATTAGTTCAGCCAACTTTACAACTTTTCAATATCAATGAGTTTGAACAAATCGTTCGAAGTGTTGAGTCCTAACATTTAGATAACAACTGAAAAAGACAGACATTCAGTAATATTACCATGACAACAAATAGATGCACGATGATACCTGAAGCATTTATTCAGGAGTGAGTCAGTAGTGTTGCGATGATAGACATGGGTTTGCTTACTTTAAATATTCTAAATTAAGACGTGTAAACACAGACACACCTGGTGGTTTCAGCTCTTGAACCAGCAGGATACATTACTCCATCCCTGAATTCAGTGACACAACATTCACTTAACTTTTCAATCCATTCAAGTCTTTTTTTTTTACATATACAAGTATATACTTCAACAATGGAGCTCTTCATCAAACAGTCTTTGCTGTATTCCCTCATAGATTTCCTATTACCATCCAAACTTAATCCTCATTTCCCTCTTTATTCATGTTTCCAAGAACCTATCCATAAAACTCCTGTTATTAATTCATTGTATTACACACGCCCGCAAACACACACACACACACACACACACACACACACACACACACCACACAAACACGCTTAGATATCTTAAAATAAAGAAGAAAAAAAATATCTTATGGTGTTTGAAGCACTTCAACCTGATTTCAAAACTAAACCGACATCTCTGACCTTGGAGGTTTGAGAGAGGAAGCATTAAAACTGATATGGCTTCAGATAAACTGACATCAAGAACAGACACATGCCCATACGACAAAATAAATAACAGAAACCTTTGAGTTCAGTATCAACACATTATAAAACAGGATGTGTTTGTCGTGTTTAGAAACCCGAATGTTGATCAGACATTTTTGACTGCACAGAGCGTGTCTGTGGGACATAAACTGGATACTTTTTGCCATCAGCCATATGTTAGTCTATCTTTCGGAAAAGCAAAATCTCTCTCCAAATCCGTCCCTGTCGATTCCCACTTGGATTCGTGTTTAAATCAGCATAGCAGATTCTCAGTCTGGCAGCGAGTGCTTCAGCTTACACGCCACCTGACCTGCTGATGCTCCTGAAAACACACTGCCATCTGCTGGACTGTGAAGGAGAAGCTGCCAACCGTTCCTCCTGCACATCAACTTTTGGTCTGTTCCAGCTCCATGCGCTATCTGAAGAGGTCTGATCTCCCCTCAGTTTTCCTTCCACTGGTCTATTTTTACTTTTGGTCTGTTGGCTCACTCCGTTATGTATTGCTTAAGAAGTCCAAGTGCACATAAGTTAAAACGCTCTGAGATTAGGCTGCCAACAGTTTCTGCTCTTTTCCATCCAGATGAGAGACAACATCGACTTGAGCCAGTTCTGCTCCAGCTGTGACAGAGAGGCAATCTGGGGTCAGCAGAGCACACTGCTGGCTCCAGCTGGCTTGGGTCTGGTGATTTCTCTTCAGAGCACACTGCTGGTGGTGGACCTGCATCGGATTAGACTTAACTTTCTCAGAAAAGTCGGACCTGTTTCTTCAGTTCGTTCTTTTTCCACTGAGCGAGATGATCGAAGGCAGACATGGACATGCCGAAGACTCTGAAGAACTCCTCTGGTGAGAGATGACGCTGAGAAGATGGACGACACGGAGAGATTTAAGAGAAGTTCAGACAAGATTTGCTGCTGGCCGATAACATTAATTGAAGGATAATGGGAAACATCTAAAAAACCCTGCCTGTCGCAGACATGACATTAAAAAGACTTTTCAACCACTGTCATGGTGTGCTCTCAGCTGCATTGTTTCAGTAGATTTTGTTGAAATGTCAGCTCCTGTGGGAATTTACCTCCAATCTGGCTCGGTCCACATCACTTGGAAGATGCTGCTGTCTTCTGACCGACACCATTAAAGCTTCATATGGGTATATCTGACGCAAAGACACAAAGTAACATTGAAATAGTCCATCAGAAAAGACTGTGTGGTCTTCCTTTGAATGTGTTTGAGCTCTTTCTTCATTGTCCACATTGTGGAAAGAGTGAATGCTGAAATCCCTCTGTCACCCTCTAGTGGCCAAAAGTTACGTTGCTAGGGCTAAAATGAACCCATTGGATATTTAAACTCACTTTTAAGTATGCAAAAAAGAATAACAAAAGCATTAAGAAACTGAGAAACAAACTTTTTTAGACTATTAGACTTTCCCTGATTGGTCCTTAAAGGGATATTCCGGCGTAAAATTAATTCAGGGTCAAACACACAGTAACATCGAGTTAGACACCCCCTCGAGAGATGAATGTTGCCGACCACTTGCTTCTGTAGTTATACCAACTTTAGTAACAACTGCACAATAGCAATACACAGCGGTCTGAGGAGCAATAAACAAGCCTCAACCAAAACGCCACTCTATAGCCACAAATAATGTTCAGAACAGCACCTAACTTCATCAACAGTACATATAGGGTCCCAGCCATAGTACTAGCCACCAAACATCTTTTTAACTTTGACTATTTTCTCTAGTTAAGAGACGAAACACAACTCACCCACTCTCATCCAGCAGCCGCTTGTTTGTACAGAGACCTCAGGCCAGTCCATTACAGACTGCTGTGGGTTTTCACAGCTCAAGGAAGAACATTTGTGATTATTACTTTATCGTTTCCATGAAGTAATAATCACCATATTAATCATTTTGAACTGCAGACGCGGTAGTTCTTGTGCCTTAGCGTCTCGGCCTGATTGCATTTCCATGAAAAAATAATCAGAAACTTTCTTCCTTGAGCTGTGAAACTCCGCTGCGGTAATGGACTCGGCTGAGGTCTTGCTACAAACAAGTGGCTGCTGGAAGAGAGTAGGTGAGTTGTGTTTAGTCTCTTTGCTAAAGAAATGAGTCAAAGCTAAAAAGATTTTTGGTGGCTAGTTCTATAGCTGGGACCCTATATGTACTGTTGATGAAGTTAGGTGCTGTTCTGAGCATTATTTGTGGTTATAGAGTGGCGTTTTGGTTGAGGTTTGTTTATGGCTCCTCAGACTGCTGTGTATTGCTATCCTGCGGTCGTTACTAAAGTTGGTCTAACTAGAGAAGCAAGCATTTAACGACATTCATCTCTTGAGGGAGTGTCTAACTCGGTGTTACATTCTGTTTGACTCTGACTTAATTTTACACCGGAATATCCCTTTAAGACAGTTAATTGTGGTTTATGGACTTTGTTGGATATGTTCAAACAAAACAGTTGGGAACAAGTTTCACAAAAATAAGGTCTATGAGAGACACACATAACAGTATCAAATCAGTTCTAAGGCAAACAAGAGGTTGCATGTTGACAGAGGTAATTTAATGTCCGTATGAGATGTTTTCTTTTTCCTGAAGTTTCTGAGAGAGATATTGAGCTTTTGGGATATTTTGAAATTGGAGGGATTCATTCACAGGTAGGATATGTCTCATCTCACAGACCCTGTGTGCCATTACCCTTTCTGTCTGTTTGTTTGTTTGTTTGTTCCTTTTGCTGTCAATACAGTGAGTCAGGCAGCTTCACAGCTATCACTGAGTGGAGTGGGTGTTAGTGAGTGAGAATCACCATTCAGTGGAAACTTAAAACATGCAACACATCATCCTTATCTTTAATCCACTGATCCAGACAGACAGACAGACAGACAGCATCTTACCTTATATTCTGAAACAAAAGAGAAGAAAACACTTGATCAGCCGTGATAAATGCTGCATTTTCACGCAATAACACTGAATAAGATGCACAAAGAGGAGAGGTTGATCAGGAGGAGGAACACAGAGTATAATCAGATTTCAGCGCCACAATAGGCTTACCTCTGATCTGCCAATTAACTGCGTTGTTGCTGTCATACTGGTAATAGTCTCCACCGGCACTCCCAGGCTGCTCAAGCACAATGAGAGCACTTTAGCAAACATGGACTATAAAGAAGTGTTTGCTACTTTAATAATGGAAAACAAGCGGACAGAGCTCTGGAAATAAAGCACCTATCCAAAGTCTTATCAGTGAGATACTCGGTGTAATTTATCACACTGACCAAGGCAATAACAACACTTTGCCAGTTTGCCTCAGGAAGTAAACTGATACAAATGAGTTTGGCAGGTTCAGTGGAGAATGAAGGACTTTGCAATAGCTTACTTTGGTCATGCTTGTCTTATTCCCTCTCTCTCTATCAAACACAAACACTCACTCACACACACACTCACACAAACACACACTCTGTTTGCTTACCCTGTTTGTTCCATTTTTGCCGTAGCCTGGCAAAGAGGACGATTTGGCAAAGTACGAGTCTGGAGGAACAAATATAAACACATTAGCCTACACAAACACACAGAGATTATGCTAAATAGCTAAACAGTGCAACTGGCCAATGTCCTTTTGAATTCAACTCCCAGAGGTGAAAAAATGTCACAGATCTTTGAATAAAAAGTATAAGAATAATAATAAAAAAAACTTATAAAAATACTCAAACGTCCCTCAGTTATCAGCGAGTCGTGTAAAAGTACCATAGTGCATTTGTTCTCAGAGGCCTCCTGAGGTTTTGTTTTAATCTCAAGGGTTGGGAGCAGGTCAAACTTACGTTTCTGTACAAAAACTGAGAAATTTTAACTCTTATTAAAAAATACTTCCAACAAAAACATCTGGAGGAGTCAAGACTGGGACTGTCGCCTAGAAATCTGAAGTCACTAAATTTGAATTATTAAAAGATATGAGAGGGTTTAGGAACAAAGGAATGAGGAAAGGAACTAAATGACAATAGCGGAAGGAAAAGAGTAAGGAAGAAATGAAGGGAGTAAGGACTGAAGGGAGTAAGGCATGAAGGAAGAAAGAACTAAAAGGTGTAAGGTACAAAAGAAGGAAGAACTGAAGGGGGTAAGGAACAAGGGAAGAAAGCAATGAAGGGAGTAAGGAACAAAGGAAGGGAAGCAATGAAGGGAGTAAGGAACAAAGGAAGGGAAGCAATGCAGGGAGTAAGGAACAAGGGAAGGAAGCAATAAAGGGAGTACGTAACAAAATGAAGAAAGCAATGAAGGGAGTAAAAAACAAAGGAAGGGAAGCAATGAAGGAAGTAAGGAATGAAGGGAGTAGGGAACAAGAAGAAGAGGGGAACAAACAAAGAAAGGGTGAAAGGAATAAACAAAGGAACAATTTAAGGAAGGAACAAATGGTGGAACGAAGGAATAAAAAAAAGGAACAAACAAGGAAATGCAGAAAGAAATGAAGACAGAAAGGAAGGAAGGAAAGGAAACACACATTAAAAGTGACCAGGATCTGAGCAGCCTTGTTTACCAAAGTCTCACAGACAGTTGTTCAAGTATTAACCTCACAGATTTCAGACCTCAGTCATCAGTTCTTCAGGAAATCAGTAAATCTTTTTGGAGTTTACAGCAGCAGAATTTCATCAAACACTGACGCTGCCTTTTAAACCTCAAGGCCATCGCTGCCTACCACACACACAGCCACCTGACACACTGCTGATGGAGAACTGTGGCTCTGATAAACGCACACAGATTTGTAAAATCTAACTGAGTGTGAAAGTATGATCAGATTATCCACCAAACTGTAGTCAGTACTTTAGATTTAAATGCCTCATGAATACATGTTGAATTTTACCTGCAGAAACCGACCACATTAACTACGCTGTCATGTTGAAGGAAGAGGACATTATTACAGCTTTCTCTAATATACTTTGATTTGAACAACACATCTAAATGCTGACAACATGACTCTTTTGTTGTCAAAGCTCTCTGTAACTGTTGGTAACCACCAGTATCCCTTCTTCAGATAACTTTACTGTGGTGTGCACCTCTGCAGCTCAAACAGCAGAGGGCGGTAGAGTCACACTGAGCAGACTCTCACCATCTCTACTCTTTCTTCTCCGCTTCATTTCTCTTTCTTCTCCAGTCTTTCCTCCTGCCCTCTCCCTGTCCTGCTGATTTCCTCTGTCAGGTCTCTCTATCTCTTTCTCTTGTCCACTTTAGCGTTCGATGTAGTTTAATTAAACGGAGATGTCAAAAGAGCAAACAACCTAATGCAGCAGAATTCTGGCTGCTGTGAGACGTTCAACTTCAATGAGTTTGGCAGTTACAACTCTCCTGCTCTCGCTGCAAGAAAGAAGAAACAATCTCGTAGATAATTCATGGAGTGTATTTGTGTGTGTGTCAGGCATAGTTGTGTCAGGCAGGTTGTTTCATCAAAACGGGACATTAAGTCTGGAGGGCCATAGAATTAATGTTTCCAAAAGTGAAGCGACCATCTTTTCATGGCCATTAAAGAAAAAGAAAAAAAATCACAAGAAGATGGCTATCGAAAGAGCCCCCTGAGCTAAAGAGGAGTGGGCTGCAATTGTGAAAGAAATATACGACATGAAAAAACTGACTTTTTCCTTGAACTTGTGCACGGACAAATTTACCATGTTCTGGAGGAACTGGACAGCTCATCCTGAAAAAGTGACTTTTTATCACAACAGGAGGCAGTTATTGACAACTAATAATGTGCCCTGTTTCATTTGTCTTCATTTTTATTTTATGCTTGAGTACAGCGCCCCCTACTGTCCTATTTGATGTGCTCTCTCAGTGTTGTTGGGCACTGATGCGAGAATGTTTCTGTCCTGTTTTGATATGAAGGACAGATTATGGACAACTGGAACAAAAATGATAGAAACATCTCTAAACCCTGGACTCTCCTCTTGAAATTTACTCATTGTTACTATGATTCCTCTCTCCCTGTGTAATAATATATATGTGTAGGTATATTTTTCTATCTGTGCCTTTTCTTTTCTGTTCTGTTCTAGTTCTTTTCCTTTCTTTCTAACCCCCAATTTCCACCGGAACCGGAACGGCCACGAAAAGGCTGTATCCGCCGAACGTAGCTGATCGTAACCATTTAAGTCAATGTGTCAATTTCCACCGGCTTCTTTCCGTTCCACTGCAGATCGCAGGACTCCGCAGCTGATCGCAAAAGTTCTATTTTTCCAGACGCTGGAGCATGCCGGATAAATTCAGCACAGATTAACCCGTGCTGGAAAGGAAGTCAGGCACAGACACAAAATAAAACCTTCGGCTTCTTTTCAAAATAAAACACTCAGGCGGATTGTATTTCACACCATGCAAACCAACGGGGAGTCCAATTAAAGCCGATCAAAGATATAAGATGCCGCTCTAAAGAGTACAAAGAGTGGGTTATTCAAATCGCTGTTTTCTTCAGAATGAAGTGTTCAAGTGTCGTCTGTGAAACAGATGGTTGAGGTGTCCAGGTCAGTGATCCCGGATAAGTGCTACTGCTAAAGAAAAGCTGATAAATACAGGCCTAAGCTACAGCCCATTCATCTTCCCACCTCTAACCCAAAGAAAAGAGGTGTGTGTGTGTAGGTGTGTGTGTGTGTGAGCAGATATAAATCTCTCACTCTAAGCTCTGCCCCCGTCACAGCAGAAGTGATAAGACAGAGGGGATCAGAGGGACGGCAGCCCGCTGTGTCTGTGATGTGACTTCAGAGATCAAAACACACTGATGGATCCACTCACCGTTGTCTGCACTGTGGAGCGACCTGGGAGCTGAGGGACGGAGAAAAAGGATGGGAGGGAGGGGGATGAAAGAAGGAAGACCAGAATAGAAACACAGAGGACAACATAATTTAGTTTCTATCATCCTAACAGCCTGACATATAATCTCCAGCTCTTCATCAGTCATTAGTTAGTATTAAACTCGGTTGAATGCTCCTTTAACAGCCTTTATAGAAACGTGAAAGAGGACATCTTTGAATGAATTTTCCACCATGAGCATGTCAAGTATCTAAGACCTGGTTTAGTGGGGTTAACAAACATCTAAAAGTATTGAGGACTGTTAGCAGACTGAAAGAGTTTATAGCAGAAGGGAAATAAAGAAGGCCAGCTGTTGTGGGACATCTATAAAACATCAGCTGTTTGAAGATAAGCTTTGACGGCGTCATCATACAGGCAAATCACCATGAAGATCGACACAGCGGATAAAATATGGAAGAGTATGGGCACGGGTAGCCATGCTGCATCAGGCCACTCATTTTAAAAATGTATACATGTGGGGCGTCCACCCACTAAACTATGTAATATTGATGATCTGTGGGTCCGTCCGTCACTATCAAAGAAACTGGAATATGGAACATAATAAAGGGATTTTAATTCACCAGTGGTAACCAAAGTTAGGGTCAACCATGACAGCAGAGATCGCAATCAGCTCTGCTTCAACGGCCAATCCCAATTCTACCCCTTAACCCTCGGTTTTTGATTGTTTCCAACATGTCGGATTGACTGACTGGTCCCTGCCGTCCTTCAGCCCAGACCGTTAGTGTGGCTAAAAAAAGGACGTAAATAAGTTGGGTATATTAAGCCAGTTACTCAGAGTTTTTTGGAATTAGCCTCATCTGAGGAGAGGATGAGTACATATCTCCCAGCATTTTTCTAATCAGTATAATAACAGCAGACGCCATAAAGTCAAAGTGATTACGCAGCACCGAGTACACCTCTCTCCGTCTGACCTCGCCGTGTTCGTCGCTCATCTCCCTGAAGCTCCCTGACCCTGATTTACCTCTCAGCATCGTGTCGTACATCTTCTGTGAACAGCTCCAAATTGCCTCAGCGCCTCACTCCCTCTCTTCAGTCGCTCTTTTTAAAAATTTAATTCACTCTTATCTCATCCACTCTTCCTCTCCGTCTCTCTTGTTTTAACACCTTCTCTTTTATTCTCATTTGACCTCCTCCACAACGATCTCTCGCTCCATCGCTCCATCTCTCTATCTTTGTCTCACCCTTACATGTGCTGAATGAAATGAGGTACGGGATCGATGGGAGAGCTGATACACGAGTAGGAAACTCCCACCGAGTCTTTTTGGCATCACAACGAGAGACGCAAACATTCCCTCTCCTCTAAAGGTGAATGTCCTGCTCATGTCCTCTATCTCCTTACTTTCAGCTCTGCAGCCAAGTCATCACCATCATCATAACGGAAATGTGATCCTAGTTTCAGCCTCTAAGCCATGGCAGCCTCCGCCACCTTAAAGGACCCCACAGTCTTTAAAAACTGATTAGTAATTAAAAATCCTTAACCAAAGCTGTTTAAAGTGACGCCAATGTTTTCAGTTTATAATTTCTAAATTTAAAAACTGTCTGTTTTTTTAATCGAGGACAATAACAAACACCGCTCATATTCACAGGCACAGACTTACAGCCATTAAGGGAGGTGAAGCCCAGACTGCTTAGCGCCTCCCTGCTGCTGCAGCGGGAACTGCGTCTGCTCCCCCACGGGTCATTGTCATAACATCCTGACCGCGCCTTCATCTCCTCCTTCAGGATCAACCTCCCGATTCCCTGCAAAAAAAGAGGAGAGAGATGAAAGGGGGAGTAAAATATGGATCAAAAACTCACACATGACACAGTAGAAAGGAACAGATTTATGAGTCGGCTGATTGGAGAGGATTATTTTCTTAATTTCTTTGTTTCTTTTAATTTTAACATTAGGGCTGGGACTCGATTAGAAAAATTAATCTAATTAATCAGAGGCTTTGTAATTGATTAATCGCAATCAATCGCAAAAAGCCAGTAAGCCAGTGAACGTGGACCTACTCATCTTAGCTCTGAATCCACTCATCTGGTCAAGTGTGGGTCGCTGTACTCGAAGTCGGACTAACGTTAGCTTCCACACTCGCTGCAACATGTTTAGCATTCAGGTGATACCGGAGGCTTGACGTGCTGCAGTGATATGCAGATTCTTTTTTGCATAGTTTGCACAAGACGATTTTTTTTAAATCAAGGCTTCCATCCATCTTTATTTTTAAAACAAAAATGCCCATCCACACCGAAGCCAATCAAAGCACATTTATCCATGACTTTGTTCATTTTTCCATGCGCTGGGTGGGACTGGAATCACTGCTGCACTCACTCACATTAGGGTGTCACGATAAAAGCTGTATACCTAAAACTCGTCCAGTAAGAAATGTTCTGTGGTGCAAAAATACAGTAGGTGAGATTGATAGGGGTGTCCCGATAAACTATTGATATCGGTCCAATCTAAGAAAAGTAAACGAATATTGGATTATTTATAGGCACTCTGATACAAGCAGTCCAACAACAGTGTGCACTAAGGCAGGGTGACCATATTCTGACTTCCAAGAAAAAGACACAACTACGCAGGGGCGGAGTCACAGAGTTGCACAACGTTAATTTAGAGAGTTTTTCGGGATGGATCGAGTGTCTTTTATGCGCTTCTAACTCAGTAAGTCCACATGACACAAAATCGAAACATACGTACAAAACCGCGGACATTTGAAGGATTTTATAAACTTCCCCGGACAAGGTTGGACAGCCCCCAAAAAGAGGACGTTTGGTCACACCAACTAAGGTTCTAACAAAGTAGCAAAGATTAGGAGTGATGTCGGCCTTGTGGCAGTATTTTTCATTAAAGTCTGAAAAAGATGTTGCAGCTGAGAGCAAAACTTGTCATGTACAATGTTGTGCCAATATCAGATCAATTTTGGTATCGGTCAATATTGAGGCTACAATACGGGTAACGTATCGGAAGTCAAAAAGTTGTACTGGGACACCCCGAGTGATAAATATGCTCTAAAAATTTTAATAAGATAATATTACTGTAATTTATTAATCGCAATTAATGCATTTAAGTCCCGGCCCTAATTAACATACACAATAAAAATACACACGAGGGAGAGGGAGGAGACTGTCCTACCTTGTTCATATTGTGATTCCATCCGTCCTCCTCTCCTCCAGACGAAAACCTCCTCACCCTGGAGACTAAAGGAAGAGGGACAGAGAGGGAGACTATCAAGAGAGAGGGGAAAAAAAAAAAGATGCATTTCATAAAATCACAGAAGTGCAGATTACAAAAAAAACATACCTTTTGGAGAGCCGGTGTAGGGGTAGTAGTTGGAGTCTGGATGATAAATGTTGTTGCAGTTGGAGGTGGAGAAGCGGCTGGAGTTGAGCAGGTTCTCGTTGGTTTTACTCTTATTAACTGTCAGAGATGAGTTTAGGTCTAGATGGAGAAAAAGAAAACCAGAAATGTAACAAACCAACAAGCCTTTTTTCACAAGCATTTTCAGGCTGGTTTACACCCCTAAACTAAGGCCCGAACTACACGAATGCGGATATATTTCAAACCGCACATATTTTTGTCCGATCAGGCCTCCCTACCACACCAAAACGGGAGAATGGAACACTCAAACCGGATAAATCTGAATCCGAAAAAACAAGTGGAGAAATAAAAAAAATATCCGTATAAGTGGATTCGTGTGGTTGAACTTTTACGGATCAATGACGTCAAACCGCAGCTCGCACATGCAAATTAAAAAGAAAAACAACAACAACAAAGATGGCGGACATACAGGGTATTCTTTACATTTGTTTTGCCCTTGTGGGGCTAATTTCAGCCTTGCAAGTGAACCTTGTTTTATACAATTACAGTCACCAGTCAGTCAGCTCACAGAGGCGTTATAGCCGCCACACCGTCACATGTACCCGACGCAATAGCGTAGCTTCCGCAAACAATGCATGACGCATCACGCTGTTACGATTCATCGGCAAATCAGGTAGCTTTGTTCCTGAATTTCTATTAAGCGGCACCAGCTAGGATTGAGTTTGAAGGTTACGTGTGGCTGCAGATATTTTTGAGAACTAACACGTATGGACAGATACATTCATTTAGACGGGAGTACAAAAATATCCTGATAAATAAATATCTATATACGTGTAGTTCGGGCCTTACTCAGAAAGACGGGGTCAATTAAACGACACGTTTCGTTCTTACAGAAATGACTCTGTTTGTCTGACTGTTGTTGAATTTCAATTTCTGTGTGAATATGAAGAAAAAGACTGAGAAAGTGGCGCGTTTACTTACAGAGAGGGGAGAGCACAGCAGGAGGGGAGGAAGAGGAGGACAAGAAGAGACGCACAAAGGAGAAAAAGAAAGGGAAAGGAGGTCAGAGAAAATGTGACGGGATTTGATCCATAACCGTCAGTGAAAACAAGGAAAGGTCGACAGTGAGGTGAGATATTTAAATCTAATAGTTCCCTCTGCTTCTCCTCCAGCTCCTCTAAGCTGCTGCTGCAGTCAGGTTTGCTATGACAAAGGTTATGATAGTATATATAAACAGTTTACGAACGTGATAATGGTGGTTCCATATATAAACTGCTGTATAAATGATTCATACTGTAAATTCAAATTCTTCAGGCTGCCGTCTCAATCTGAGGAGAGAGAGGTTTGTCAGCACTTTGTAGCTGCGTGTAAATCATCCAGAGGTGCTTCTGAGGAACGGTAACTCTCCAACCCGCCGTCCTCAGCTCTGATGGATCACCTTCACACGCAGAGTATTTGGCAGCGCTCCTCGCACTTTTACCTTGCCTCTTGAATCATCAATGGAATCTACAATCTTGCCTATGTTGGCTGCAGCCGTTAAAGATCGCCGCTGAAGTCCTTGCCTCCGTTCAGTCTGGTTTATAGAAGTAGTTTTTTATTTATGAGGGGATTCAAGAGATTATCAGGGATGTCAAAGACCTGAAGAAGATACACTGGTCCACATGTGGTTACTTATCTGTTTATTTTTAAGTGTATTATCTCTCTAGATAAAACTATGTCTGTGTGTAGTCTGGAGTTCTTTTTTTTACAAAACACATCAAAATGATTCGCCTATAAAACTTACAGGCTGCTAACATTTCAACACATCTCTCCACAAATCCACTCCTACAAATATCTTATTAAAGTTTCATATTGTACATCAGTTATTCTGGAAGGGGTTTCAAAGTTAACCAAATGCTGCATAAATTAATATTCTTTTCAGATGTAGAACATATCTGTATTTAATTTTTTTTAATATTCTTATTTAATATAACAGATTCTTTAATTTTCCTAAACTAGAAGCTGTTTTCATCCCAGCTTATGATATACCATGTTATATTCAATGAATTTAGAAAATATAAAAGTTTATCGGTGTAAAATATATCACAAATACACATTATTGAGATGCACCTGAACCCATTCTCATTACTATCCAACCGCTCCGATATAAGTGAACCATACTTCAAGTCCAATTTCGATGTTTTTTTCTCTCTGTTTTTGTTATTTTCTCCTCGTTCCCTTTCTCTCCCTCGTCTCGCTCCATCTCAGGTGTTCCTGATCAGCTGTATCTGTGGGTGGCACTGCCCACATAAAAAAACAAAAGCTGCAGAGAGGCAAGCTCTTTGTCACGCTGATCAAGCGACCCTTTGTTTGACGTTTCTCACTGCCTTGTCTTCAGTAAACTCATCTTTAGGATGGGTTTCTGAGAGTCCAGCTTTCACAGCTTTACTAAGGAGTTTCTTTTTACCTTTCTTAAAGCTACTGTCAGAATTATTGAACTGGTTATGAAACTGACTGAAATTAAAACTAGATCCTTAATATGAACCGTAAAAGCAAACATGTCATCAGTCTGATGAAAATCATGTTTTTCTTGTTGTCTACATGTTCATATAGTATTTTTCTGATACTACAGAACATATAATGGGAGAAGTGTGAAATTGCATTTTTGAGTATTTCTGCATTTAAATCTCTGTGAACCTCTCACAGACCCAAACGGCAGGCTCAGACACAGTGAGATTTCCTACATCACAAATCCAAGCTCCGCCTCCCGAGACCCGCAATTTATGCAGGCCAGACTCAGAGAAGTAGAGAGGACGATCGTGGAACTAGCCTGTGCCTTAGAGGATTGTAATGCTCTTAAGAAAGCTAATTATGATATTAGCTGTCTGAGAGCTAAATGGCTCCTATGTTACCTGCCACTTCGACTACACCGGCAATGTTAGGCTACAAACTAGCGTGAGGAGAAGTGTGCAGAGCAGCGCTGTTTCCGCTCATGACTCAGAGGCGAATCGCTAATGAGCTACTGGAGCTCTGCAGGAGAAAAGTTCTTAAAAATGACACAGATAACATGATTTTGGCTAAAAACTACGTAATCACAATTTAAAGACCACCGAGAACACTTTAAGTAGTAAAAAAAAGAATGATCAGAGAGGGACTTTAAGCCTGTAAACAACCTCAGCGTGAGGTATTTGTCAGGAGGGCAGCTTAAGAGTTATGATTTACATTAGTGTGAGAAGGATAAAAAAATCCTCTTATCATGTTCTTGAAATAGTTGTTAACTGGCTCTACAGTTTATTGATTAGTCTTTAAAACACATGTTTGTTTTCTCTCAAAAGTTTCAGACCTTTTAGACCAGTCCTGTTGTAAACCTGCTGGCCGATTAACATGCAGCTGAGCAGCAAACTGAAAGATATCTCCAACCATCTGGTCCTCTCTTCAGACCGTTCAGTGGCACTTTATGTTCCGGTCATTGATAAAGTACAGCTGCATGGAGCGTGTGCAGGCCTGCAGAGGAAACGCTTTCACTCTGTAAATACTTTCCTTTGAGCAGAAGCTGAAGAGGAGGAGTGAAAGTCATCAGAAGCACCAGATGTGTGACAGACTGGAATTATTATTGAGATTTAGCGGTACACAACGACCGGCAGCTTGACAGGGAGACAGGCGAACAAAAGCTATAAAAAAAAAGCACAACGCTGTGAGGGATCGACTCACCTTGTCTCTTATAGATAGGGGCTTTCCTGTAGATGTTGGTTTCCTCTGAGGCTGGGAACAGAAACAACAACAACAACAACAAATCAGTGTGAAAGGAAGCAAGAGGAGAGGAGAGGAGAGGAGGAGAGGAAAGGAGACTAATCTTGATTTTCCTATTCATCCCCTCCTACAGGATTAGTTGTGTACATTTACAGTCTCCTTAACCGTAAAGCTGCCAGCGCGGGTAATAAACTGCTGTGGTGGAGACGGTGCCGTGCATCCAGACAGCCTGACTGACGTGCAGGGAGGCTGATTAATACGGAGTCACAGGCTTATTACTGGAAAGAGCAGCAGATGGCAGAGGAATAAAGAAGAGGGAGGAGAGCGGTGTAAGGGTGGAGAGAGGGCCGGATGGAGAGGAGGAAGAAAAAGGAGGAATCCAGGGAGTGATCAGAGCAAATGACGCTCTGTGGACAATTCTGATAATTTAGTGTCTCAAAAATACGTCATAAATTGAAAATAATGTGAAGTATAAGCAACAAACAAGCAAAAGGGACGAATACGAAAAGGAAAAACCCATTTTTGAAAACCTCCGGGTACTTTAGAGAAAGTACCAATAACCCTGCCTTAAAAAAGTTAAAGCTTTCACTCCCAATAGGCCTTTGACGCTAAATTCGTATGCACTCATGATACTGTGAGGCACTTTGGATAAAAGCATCCACCAAATACATTTGACTCCGTGTTGAGGAGCGTGAAGGGAGAGAGCTGAGCCTGAGGAAAGCCGGGGACAAGGAGAACAGGCGCTGAGAGACGGACGGAAGGAGATAATGGAGGGAAAACCAAACGCACAGAAGAGGAGGCTTTTAAAGGTGAAGGGAGAGCAAGGCATGAACTCGATAAAACCAGGTGTTAATGGGGTGTTAAAATAAACTGAACCAGGATCAGTTGTCGGATTGAAGTGCACAAAAGCTGCAGATCAGTGAGATAAATCACAGACGCCTCATTGGAAGGAGGGAAAATACTTGTGTACAGTAGGAATGAGAATCGATAACAGGTTCGCTGTCTCCGTGACGATTCTGCTTATCGGTTCCTCTTACTTCTCTATGCGTGATGACGTAGTACGTGAGAAGTATGTTTTGGTTCAGAACTTCCAGCGTCAAAAGCACTCTAGAGTTTGGCTGTATTTCACACGGAAAGATCATACTGGGGCTACTTGCAACACTTGCAAAGATTTAATTTCGTCTAAGGGGGGAAATACATCCGATATGCAGAAACATTTGTCCATCCAGCATGCAGTTTATTTGCAGAAGTGTAACGTGTTTGATACGCTACTTAGTGAAGACGGGACTGGTACAGGCAAAAGCAGGAGCAGAGCTAACATCTTGGCGTCATCAAGGTAACGTTTAACTCCTCCAGGTCCTGTCTGTTGTGTAGATGTTTGCGTCATGTTAACCCCCTTACTCTCCATCTCCTTAAATTACATTAAGATGACGATGACTGCCAGAGCTCAGAGGCTGCAGCGGTTAGCTCTTGAACACCTTTCGCAGCCCCTTTCATCGAGGCAGGGAGGAGTAAAATGACGGAGGCGAAGATAAACGAATATCACAGAGCTGTGAGCAGATTTGTGGTCAAAGGGCCAGTCACATATGAGTGCATGGAAATACCATATCTCCTATCCAAGGTGACATTATTAAAGGGTTAATGCAAACAAACCCATTTGTATTTTCTTATTTCTCACTCAATGTGAATCGATAAGGCATCGTATCGATAAGGAATCGTATTGGAATGGAATCAGAATCGCTAAATTCGTAACAATTCCCATCCCTAGTGCACAGTGTGATGGATTTAAAGGCTTGTTTGGAGAAAATAGAATAAAATGAGAAATTGAACAATATATTTGGAGAAATTTACGATAATGATGATTATAAATAAATAAAACATTTGGGTGTGTGTCTGGGGTGAGAGCAGGCAGTGTGGATCTGTGGTCAGGGTCTGGGTCTGGGCTTTGCTAAACATGAAAAAACCTAAATGACCAAGAGATGCAACAGTTAACGTTTGAAGAATGGGTTGGTCTCGGGATCCGGGGTTAGTAAGCAGGTCTGGGATCAGCGCCACGGATGACGGCCTACCTGGCACATGGAAATGCTTTGGGGGTTGGAGGGTGGAGGTGGTGGGTGTGGCACACCTGGGCTCTGGCTGATTGTAATAAGGTGAACTCCTGCCACTCTCACTGCCTGCAGTCAGTCAGCGCAACCAATCACAGTAAAGGAAACCAAAGCATGATCAGCAGAGCAGCCCACGACACCAAACAGAAAGACAAAGATAACACAACATGTGTGTGAGTGTTTGGAGTGCAGCAATGAAGTCTTGGGCTCCAATCATGACACAACACGACTGCAGAGGACAGTATATCCTCTGTTTATAGGTGTGTGTGTGTGTGTGTGTGTGTGTGTGTGTGTGTGTGTGTGTGTGTGTGTGTGTGTGTGTGTGTGTGTGTGTGTGTGTGTGTGTGTGTGTGTGTGGGATGTGAGTCTGTGCTTGAGTGGGCACATTACCGGGGAGATAACAATGCAGAGGGGAGCCTCCATGGCGACTATGAGCAGGAGAGTCAGTGAAAGCAGAGCTGGAGGAACGCCTTGTTCTCAAGTCAATGCCATCCAAGAGATCCTAGAGAGAGAGAGGGAGGGAGAGAGAGACAAAAGAGAGAGAGAGAGAGAGAGAGAGAGAGAGAGGGAGGGAGAGAGAGAGAGAGAGAGAGACAGCGGTTGAGAGGGGTTGTCTCTGAGTGATGAGTTTCATTTACTAAGTGCAGTAAATGCTCCTTCCAAAACCAAATTTCAATTTAATTAGGAGCAGTTTAATCTTCAGTATTACACAGAGCAGCTGGAGAGCCCTCCCCTAGAATCTGATTGGCCGCTCAAATGGCTAACCTTGATATTCTAAACCAAAACTGGTTATTTGTCTTGTCAGAGGCGGGACTTATATTTCAGTGAAGTATTTAGGTTGCGATCATAGACTGTATCTAGAATGGACGCCGTCTGTCTCCTCACTGGGTGAAGCCACCGCAAGAACAGCACCCTCTGGTGACGGGCTGCAGTATAGGTCATAAACCCTGCTTCCTCCAGCAATCCTTACCTATCCTTTTTCTCCCCCCTGCTTGTGTGGTTTGTGCTCAAGTCCTCTTTTTTCTGTACAGCTCCAATTTTTAAAAGTTATTAGGGGGTTCATGTTTTCTATACGCTGTTTAAGCCGAGCGTCATCACAGAGACTCTCCCGCCAAATGCGTACAACGCAAGTGGTGGTTTCAGGATGTTTCGGCTTCAAATTCGTACGAGGGAAGGCGGAGCCAAGTTGTCTCTGAGTATAGTATAGTATATACAGTCTATGGTTGCCATCTAACAGGCTCCTCATTTTAACGAACATTTGATCATTTATCATTTATTATTATCACAACATTATTCTCTGAAAATTTGAGTGAAAACAACGACCTGAAAATCTGAAAATTTCAGATGTCTCGAGCGACATTTGTGAATGCGGCACTTACATGAGAGTATGGTGACAACGAGCCCAGTGACTGTAAGAGAAGGAGAGAAATAAACGTCATTACGATGATTGATGTGGACAAAAACGCAATAATATCCTCATTAAGAGCCATATATGGTCAGTTTTCCTTTCATCTGACGTTTGGTGGGTCATATTACAGCTCCGAATCACCCAGTGCTTTCATTATTGATTGATTGAACGCGTCTGTACCTGTCCACAGCTGTATCGCTCCAGAGTGTCATCTGAGAAGTGCGAGTGCGCGTGGTCAGCCTGATACGGGATGATGTCAGGCCGCTGGATGTCATATATGGCTTTGACCCTGGGCAGAGCGGCCAGCTGCTTATAGTTCAACACATCCCCGTCAGCTTTGGACTGATGGGTGAGACAGGAGAAAGACAGGCAGTCATTGAGAAAATTAATACTGAGATACAAACAGGAGAGAGATGATTGTTACGAAAGGACGATGGGCAAAAAACTGGGGCTTTCAAAAACAAACAAACAAACACAGACATGAAGAGAAACTGACAAACAGAAAAAAGCAACTGAGACAAACAGAAAGAAAAACAAGCTGAGGTCAACTGAACTATGAGCAGGTCAAAATATAAACCTGAAGGCTGAAAGAAGAAAAAGAAAAGTCCCTGTAGACCTATCACTTTACTTCACATGCCAGCAGACAGACCAGAATTAAAGGGATATTCCAGCGTAAATTTAAGTTATGGTCAAACACACCGTAACACCGGCTTGTTGTGGCTACATTTCACAGGATACGTAACGGCTGCACAATGTGTTCGCTGTCTGGCTCCGCTGCAAACCGCTGCGGGGGTCAGATCAGATACGCAAGGCTTCTATTTTTGCCAGACGCTGCAGCACAACGCATCAATTCAGTGCAGCGCAGCACGAGCAGCAGCGGAAGTTGTATGTGGCTACAGAGTAAAATATTCGGTTAATTTTTAAAATAAAGTCAATACTTTTAACTGTTATTCACTCTGTAATGGGAGGGGCCAGGGTTGTGGGATGTGGGTGTTTATTTACACCGCTGATCTCATTCAATGTCTCACAGTAAAACATGCGAAATCTTGTGAGATCTCGGTCAGCGCTTCTCCTTTGCTTGCAGGAGCAGATCGGATCTGGTGGGCACTGTTTGCTTGCGTTTTTGATCTGTCTGCTGTTCCAGAGCAGATTGGATCTGCATACGGTGGAATCCTGGTGTTGGTCAGACCCTTGAGAGATGAATGCTGCCAACTGAGTGATCAACTCAAAGGAGCCCTGACGAGTCAATCACGAGTGCAGTTGATCATTTCCTTGAAGTCATAATCATCATATTAATCATTTTGCACCGCAGACACGGTAGTTCCTCTGCCTTAGCGTCTCGGTCTGATTGCATTTCCATGAAGTAATAATCATAAATGTTCTTCCTTCAGCTGTGAAACTCCGCTGCACTCGGTGATCGACTCGTCAGGGCTCCCCCACAAACAAGCAGCTGCTGGAGGAAAGTGGGTAAGTTGTGTTTAGTCTCTTTGCTAAAGAAACCAGGCAGAGATAAAAAGATGTTTGGTGGCTAGTACTATGGCTGGGACCCTATATGTACTGTTGATGAAGTTAGGTGCTGTTCTGAGCATTATTTGTGGCTATAGAGTGGCTTTTTGGTTGAGGTTTGTCATGGAGACGTAGACCGCTGTGTATTGCTATTGTGAGGTCATTACTGTTGGTAAAGCCAAGTTGGTATAACTAGAGAAGCAAGCAGTCGGCAACATTCATCTCTCAAGGGGGTATCTAACTCGGTGTTACGGTGTGTTTGACCATATTTCAAATTTTTGCCAGAATATCCCTTTAACAGAGACATATTCAAACAGGAAGACATGGTCTGCTGAGAAAGGTGCAGACAAGAAAATGAGCCACACAAGTTTGTTGCTGTGGATTAGATCATGATTGAAAGCTGGGACATTGACAGCTGAGGACAGATTCATATAACTCTTGGCGTAACTACAGCAGCGGCGATGTTACTCACACAGATGAGTCGGTGAGGGGAGCCAAGTAGAGGAGAGGAGTTTGGAGGAGAGATGGACGCTGTCTCAGAGGTTCGCCTCAGCTGTGGAGGCCAAAAAAGTTAGTCTGGTTCAAATGTACACACACAAACACACAATGAAGTAATTCAGATGCTTTGTCACTGTCTACACTCAAGAAAGCTTTGGCTATTAAGAGGTTCAAAGTAGTTTATTTTTTAAGTAAAAAGAAAAATTTTGGTTTTCTTGCTTTTATTCTTAACTGCTTTCAATAGATGAGGAGATAACAGTGTACATGTACATTAGGATCTATTTAATGAATAACTAAATAAGTTAAGTTTAGAAACCTGTTTTGGATGCTTTGTTTTTGAGTAAAAATATCAGTGCAGCTCATAAACTTAAACAGGAAATACAAAGAGAAGACAGAAATATAGAGAGCAACAAACTACGGGTTTTCTGAGATTCACTTACCCTCAGTTTTCTCTCCAGCCGAGCTGCTTCTTTACACATGGGGTGCCAAACTTCTGAGCCTACACAAACACACACAAACAGAGGGACACACACACCAATTCAGCTCTGTTTACTTTGTTTACTGTGAGTGGGAAACAGTCACAGTGTTTTAAAACATCCCATAAAGAGAAGATCAACCTTTTTTATCTGCATCTAAATCAATCAATCAGACACACAAACAGAAGTTGGGCCTGTGGCTCTGGAAGTGGACTGGGCGATTATAAGATTGTAATAAATTTCAGTTTGATCATGTTGATTAGCTGTGAGCATATTTACTTGATCAAACATGACAACAGCCAATGAGAGTCGAGCTTTTCCTGCTGGCTTCTGTAAGTTGCCGGAGAAGTAAATGGAATAACCAAACTTAGAGCTAAACCACAGACTGTATATACAACTTGGCTCCACCTTCCGTCATTATACTAATTTGAAGATGAATTGCTCTCTGTATTTCCTTTTTTTTTCACCACTTTCTGGAATCACCACTTGCGCAGTAGCGTTGTACGCATTTGGCGGGAGAGTCACTATGATGACACTCAGCTTAAACAGCGTATCCCCCGGGTGAGCTACGCAATCTTTGTACACTCATAGGCTGTATCAAGTGTCAATCATAGAAAACATGAACCCCCTAATAACTTTTGAAAATGGAGCTGCACAGAAAAAGTGGACTTGAGCACAAACCAGTCTGACAGTAACTACATGTCAACATCACAACCAGGGGGGAGAAAACTTTATATTCTGTGTAATAAATTTCTAAAATTTGTCCACAGCTCCATAGGGATTGCTGGAGAAGGCGGGATTTATGACCTATACTGCAGCCCGTCACCAGAGGGTGCTGTTCTCGAGGTGGCTTCACCCAGCGAGGAGGGAGACGGCGTCCATTCTATATACAGTCTATGAGCTAAACGCAGAGCTGAGGCAGCAAAATAGATGTCAGCCATAAAACACCCCTCACTCTTCCTACTTTTAAATCACATCTTAAAACTAATTTTTATTCCTCGGCTTTTAGTTCAGCACGAGTTGTGTGATCTCTGTCCTTTATCACTTCCATTTCTTTTACGTTTTTATTTCATTTTATTTTATTTTTACCTGTTTTTATTTATTTACTTCTTGACTTCTGCAGTGTTTGTTCTTTTATTGTGCAGCTCTTTGGTGAACTTGAATGTTTTTAAAATGTAATATATATTATAAAAATAGTGGACTGGATTGGATGCAGTAACAGTTATCCAAACAGAGATACGCCTATTGACCTGAAATGACCAACAACAAAGAGAACCAAGAGAAGACGAACGGTGGAGGACTGTGACATCCTGGCCAGAGGGAGAGAGGGAGAGAGGGAATGAATGAAGGCCGTTAGATTCATAACAATAAACCTGTAATGTCAGGATGTTATATGCATGAGGATCGGATAGCCGTAATGATGGTAATATTTCCGCCCTGAACACACACACACAGACACACACACACACACAATCACACACACACACACACAGTAATTTCCACAGGCCTCGGGGCATCGCAGGCCAACAGAATGGACTGAGTTAGCTGATCATGACTGTAATATACAACCTATATCAACACCATAAATCTGACCTGCACACACACACACACACACACACACACACACACACACACACCCGCACACACACACACAACACCCATACACACACACCCGCACACAAAATCAATACAGTAGACAAGAAGCATGCGTGGTGATTCAGCGCACCCCTGTCCCACCCACGCTCCTCGGCTCTGCTGCTGAACAGATGTACGGCCTTGGACTCTGAATCCTTTGTCTCTGGCTGAGGAGAATCTAAACAGAGCTGCACATCCCCTCTGAGAAAAACAAACCGCTGAGGATTTTTATCACACAACAATCATTTAAATGAGTCCTCCTCGTCTGTCTGTTTTTTCATCCTCTTTTTAACAACTCTATACAAATGAGGTTTATCAGAGGACACAACAGGCCAAATGATGATATCCAAATGAAGGAATGAAAGAAGCCAGTGAAATGCAGGGAAACAGTTTGGACTTTTATGTAGGTATCATTTGAAAAGCTGGACTTTAAATGGGCTTCTGTTTTTTTGCTGAATCATGCAACCACAAGACAGAGCGTGCAGATCAGGCCACTGTTTCAGCTCATGGCTCATGTATTCCCTTCCCAGCCAGATGCCTACTGCTTTATGAGGGCAATAAATGGAGTTTAATTTTTGATTACCATTCTGGCTCCCCCACATCCTGCAAATACGAGAATCCAGATTGTGTTGTGTTCACTTGGTCTGATCGAGTAGCTCTCTTTCTATCCACACAGGAGAGGGTACGCTCGGCCTCTCACCCAAAACAGCTCTCACTTTGATTTCATCTCGGCTCAGATACACACGCAACTAAGTTTAGGAGTGTGAAGAAGTTCCTGATGCCAAAAAATAGTTAATTGGGGACTGGGGTGTGTTGTGGAGAGCAGAGAGAGGAGCTGGAGATGGCAGACGAGTGTGTTGAGGGACAGAGGGAGCACAACTTGAAAGAGGCAGAAGCGCTGATGAATGTCAACAAGTTAACGAGTCAGTGAGACGAGTCTGTATCAGAGTAAAATAGAAGCCACAGTCTCAGATAAGCTAGAGCTCAGGTCGTGTGCATTACTCTAGAAGACTTTTTCCAAATAAGTCTTTTTTTTCATCAATGTAAGTTCTTCAAGTGAAGTTTTGTTACAGTAAATAGTTTCTGTCAAAATATTACACATGGAGTCAATATTAGGATTCATTTGTGATGTAGGTAATTTTTCCCAAAATTACTTAGGAGATACAACTTCATAATTATGATTCAGTATTTAATAATAATAGGATACTAAGTCATATTTATGAGATACTAAGTCATAGTTATGGGATACGAAGTGGTAATAATGAGATACTATCTCATCATTTTGAGATACTTCTTCATAATTATGAGAAACTAGCTAAAGATAATGAGATAGAATCTCATAATTATGACTTATTATCTCATAATTTTGATTCAGTTTCTTATAATTATGAGATAATATCTCATAATCATAAGATAGTATCTCATAGTTATGACATAGTATCTCACAATTATGAGACAGTATCCCACAACTATGACTTAGTATCCCATTATTATTAAATTCTAAGTCATAATTGTGGGATACTATCTCATAATTATCAAATACTAAGATATAATTAGGGGATACTATCTCATAATTATGAGATACTACTTCATACACTATGAGAAACTATCTAAAGATTATGAGATACTATCCCATAATTATGACGTAGCATCCTATTATTATTAAACACTAAGTCATAATTTTGATTTAGTTTCTCATAATTATGACTTAACCTTTTTTTTTTTTAACTTTCCAATTTTTTTTTACTGGTGCAAATGGGCTTCTATAGAAACTAGTGGGCCAAACTGGAAACAAAAAAATTATCATTATCTGACATCAATTCTTTGTCTTAAAACTTGTAAAGTTTTACATTCGTTAAACACAGTGAAGAAAATCCTTGAAAAAGCAAATCTGGTTGAATGTCTGGAGGAGCTGAGGACCTGATGCAACAACTAAACAAGCAAAAGCTGCAAAACTATCATGTTGGGGTATGGTGGAAGTGTTACTGCTACACTGCAAAAAAGATGTTAAATATTTCTGTATAATCAAATCAACTAACCGAAAGTCAAAGACACTGTTATATTCAAACTTGTACCAGTTTTAATTTTTACAATTACGTAGTTCATTTAAGACTTTTTCAACACAGTTTACCACAAAGACCCACACACTACTTCTTATTCCAAACATGCATCATGAGATTGATTGCCGATGTGTACGCTCCTGTGTTTGTGTGTCTGTGTGCTGGCGTGTTGTAATTGAGTGTGTCTCACAAGGGTGATCGCTCAGCCCTCCTACATGTCTGAAGTCATCAAAAGGAGTGAATGTAACCTTGGGGCAGCTCACTGGAGCTCAGCATGCACACACACACTCACTCACACACACACACACACCTGCATTCATATGCAGACGCACCAGTGTGCAAACATGCATTCATGCAGATACACTAGCATACTTGAGCATGCTTTTACAGGTGCAGATTAAAACACACCAACATACATTGACTTCAGGTGAATTATGCAAAGGCCTGCTTTTTACTGTTGGCAGAGAGCGAGCGCGCAGCAGAATGTCAATGAGGTGAAACAGGAGGCATCAACTCCTGTGGTGACTCTGACTCTGTGTGTCAGCCACATGTTACGCTACAGTAGTTCAACAGTTAATCTGGATTCAACACCGTCTGCACCAATTATATGTGTTACATAAACTATCTGCTTCCACCAGAGCGCTGTTTGTTGTGGTGCTGTCTGAATTCTTTTACTGTTTCAGCTTTATCTTAATAAAACATGCACACACTTATGGGCTGCAGGGTTTTGACGCTCATGTGTGGCCTCTTTACACAGTAATATCTCCTACAGTGTGTGTGCATATGTAATTCATTTGCATAGGTATCTTGTAAACAGGGTAATATGGCTTATTTCACTTTAACAAAACAGACATGTAAAGCCGGAAAACTCTTTCGAATGTTAATTCATTTTGATCACATTTTCTTTTCAGCCAGTGGACTTTGATATCAATATCAACTTTTTTTATGTGTTTTATAATCTGTCTTTTAATTTATTGTTAATACTGGTGTTTGGGTTGGACTCTCCGTGGAAAAAAACACTGCTGAGGAGGAAGTTAGTGAGTTTTTTTTGCACCCATAGCTGATACTGGAGCAGGACTGTGGAAAATACAAATGTTTTTAGAGGATATAATGTTTTTGAATGGGGAAACTGGAACATAGCATTTAAATTCTTCACTGCTGTTTGAAGAAAAAGGGTCAAACTACAAAGATATCAACACTTTTCTAGGGCTGCAAGGATTAGTCGACGTAATCGATTACGTCAACGTGAAAATTTAAGCGTTGACATGTTGTGTTATTGTTGCTGTAAATCACACACCGGCCTCTTCATGCTCATCTGTAATTGCAGTGCACAACAGGAAGAGCAGGGGGCAGTATTGCTCGCTGTTTACATCCCACAAGGAAACGCACGAATTACAAAAAGACTCAAAAACTCCAACCCAAAGTTTTCAAAGTTCGGGAACATATCAATGAAACCAACGCAACACGCGAAATGTGTTCTCTGTGAAGCTCAATTCGCATCCTAGGGTAGCACTACGGTGATGCATGAACACCTTAAATGCCTACGCCCCCGTGTATCATCATGTACCGCAAAGAGATGACCTTGTTGATAGTTGATACCTCGTAGATATTTTTAATCCATCAGCCTATGATGCTGATTAATAAAACTTTTAATTCGTACGTCTTTCAGTTGTAAAATTATAGAAAGGAGCTTGCTTAGTGAATGCTAGTTCACTTACGTTAATGTGTACTTTACGGCAGTAATCAGTGAATTACAGGGGCAGGCAGCTGCTTTGACATTTTTCATTTCAGTCCCTGTCTGTACTAGCATTTGTAATGTTGTGGAAGTTTAAGCAACTTTAGGATGAATGTAGGTCCAAAATAGGTGCTAATGAAGATAATCATGATTAATCGATCAATAGAATTATGATTAATCGAATCACGATTAATCGGAAAAAAATTAATAGATTAGTCAACAACAAAAATAATCGTTAGTTGCAGCCCTACATATTTTCGCATCTATTGGGACATAATGTCACTGAAGCCTTTAAAATCAACATCAAACTGCTTCATCTAATCACCGTTTGTCATATCTGACAATACCGTATTTTTCACACTATAAGGCGCACCTGATTATAAGGCGCACCATCAATGAACGCGTCTATTCATGTCTATTTTCATACATAAGGCGCACCGGATTATAAAGGATTATAAGGCGCATTAAGACAAACAATCAGTCAGATAAGTCAAACTTTATTTAACTTATTCAATAACTCCGCGAGGCTATGGTAGGAGGATTTTAAGTGCGCCTTATAGTGCGAAAAATACGATAACTCAAAATCTATCACGTTTTGAGAGTTAACATATAAATACCGCACCTGAAAAAACTTTTCTACACTGGAAAGTAGAACTAAAGAGAAGACAAGAGCCGTATCTCAAATGCAGTTGGTAATGGTGCTCAAAGGAAATGTAGAGTTTATCCCAAAAGGGTCAAGAGAGCGTGAAAACTCCTCACGGTGCCTTTAGTGTTTGGCTTGTTAATTTGAGAAAGAAAAAAGAAAACAGCATAACAATGTAAGCAATGTGCAGACCACACGGTTGAGACTGTTTTACATACATTTCAATTACAGAATGAGTCTTATTTTTTCAATCTAATTTACAAACAGAGGGTCTGGGATGATTCATTTGGGACCTCCTGGTTTCATTCAGATTAATTCTGTCTGAAGCGGCGCAGAATAATGAACACAGCAGAGACGAAGCTTGAGAGGTAATTGACTCCAACCTTTGTGGATCAGGGAAACATCAACAAGGTGAAGGTGGGTGTGTGAGAGAGAGAGTGTGTTATATGTGGGATCAATAACCTTTATAACTGTAGTGTGTTAAAAGCAGACGTACTCTAACTGGTCTCCTTTTGTTGAACACACACACTCACACACACGGAAACACTGAGGCCATCTGGATAATGGCAGCATTCAGCTAATTCAATACATGCTACAAGTCTATTTTTACACCGTGCAACCGCAGGAGCACCTTTTTGTGGCTTTACTTTTTCTTTTTATAAAATCAAACATTTAATATTTGTCTCTTTTTTCTTCTCTTTACCTCACCTGTAAGGTACATTTCCTCTCCCTCTAGGAACATCAAGTGGCAGCGAGCGCATGTGGCACAGCTGGGGTGGTATCGTTTCCCTCCAGCCTGGAGGAGAGGAAGAACAGGAAAGGACACAGAAGGAGAGGGAGGAGGGAAAAAAAAGGACAGGGGGAGAAAAGTTTATAAGAAGAAAGTGAAGGGGAGGACAAGATCATGACAGGAGATAGAGAAAAGAAGAATAACAGGATGAAGATGGAAGAAAGAGTAGCGGGAGGAAAAAACAAGGCAAGGAGAAGCAACAGTAGATGATGAGAGTGGCGGCGAATCGAAATAAAACAATGAAGATTCAGGAAGAGCGAGAGCGGCGATAAGAAATGGAAGAAATGGGAATGAAAAGGGAAAAATGGAGATAGGAGAGCCTTGCTTTGTCGGATTTGTGAAGCTGCTTTGTCAGTCAACACTTGAGTCATTTTAAGAGGGACAGCTGCGTTTCTTCACAGCTTTTTATAGACCGACAAACACACACACACGTTTCAAATGAGCACACAGACCCACACTTTGTTTCACACAGAGACAAAAACCCTGCACTCTCTCTGTCTACTGCACTCACAGTCACACAGACATATATTATTCACACATGGGAAAATTGGCTTACCTCAAGTACTCGACCGCTGATGTACCTGTTGCAGCTGTCACACCTGATCCCAAACTGAGAGTGGTAATCTGTCTCACAGTAAGGTATCCCATCCCTGCCGAGAGGAAATGAACACATGAAGTTTGCTTTGTTTGTGCAACTGTGTTTTCTCATCAACGGGCTGTATTTTTAATACCTAACCTGAGGCATTTGAATCACAAAATAAAGCGAAAACAAAAGATTGTATTTGTTGTTGATATAAAAGTAAGTTTTCAGGTGAAATCAGGTCTCAATGTGATGATTTAATCAAAGTCTTAAAGTAGACGGTAAGGTGAAGATTGTGCTCTATGATCAATCAGTAAGTCTGACAATTTGGGGATCCAGACACCTACTTGCTGATGTACTCCCCCGTGAGCACACAGCCGCATGTACGGCATTTAAAACAGCTGACGTGCCACTGTCGCTCCAGAGCCAGCAGAGACTGACCGTGTTTGATCTCTTCACCGCAGCCGGCACAGTCTGGAGGAGACGAGAGGAGGAAAACAAGGAGGTGTTAAAAAAAAAAAAAAAAGACACTTTTTTGAGCATTCATTGTCCTTCCTCTCTGCCCTTGCTTCTTCACTTTGCCAACCTCTCATCACGCCTTTCCTTTATCGCTCCTTTCCCCTGTTGAGACTGTCACACTGTCTGTACCAGATGGAGCCACCAGAACCAGGCTACAAGACTACCTGGAGCAGTGGACCACTTTCTGTGTGAATGTGTGTGTGAATGTGTGAATGTGTGTGTGTGTGTGAGGCTGCAGGGTACACGGCTGTTTCACACAGTTGAGCAGGTGGACAGTTAAAGTCACCTGTGTTAGGTAAATCTGAATTTAAGGTCAGTTCAAATCTCAGTGACGGATGACTCTGCTTTTACTATCAGGTCCATGTGTAGCTCAGGTGACATGTTACAAAACATAACTTGGGCCTTATGATATATTCAGGGTCCACCTAAAAGAAAATTTACTCATTTAAAAACTGAACTTTTGATTTAGAGGTGAAGGTTTGGCCACAAAGTCACCCCGCAGTATGTGTGTGTCCTCTCTGCGTCTCTCTGTAAAGAAAACAGTGGCCAAGGCAAAGACAGGCAGCAAAGGTAAAGTCACTGCTAAAGTGCAAACAACTGCAGTAATGTCAAAGTCAGGGGAACCTTGAAAAGGAAAGTTTATCTTAAAATCTATTTTTACAGCAAAGTTTCACTTTTTTACAGCCTAAAAAGAGACAATTTGGTCTCTGTGCCTGATTTACTCATTTATAAGAGGGCAGATATTTACATAACTCATCTCTTTTCTTGATATTGCGGTGAAGAGTTTTGCATCAGTAGGGATGCAGCTGTTTTGACTACCAGGCGACTTGAATGAGCCCTAAACTCCACCTCTGTACTGGTTTCTACATCAGCCAGAATCTGTTGGGAGTCATTTTTCCTAATATGGTGACCACCATCTTTAAGTTTCTTACACCTCCTCAAAAACAAATGTGTCACATCACTAAGACTAGACCCAAGTTCTTCATGAAAAGAACAATCCTCCCAGCAGAAGCCATGTTTATTTCAGGGCCAATAAAATACTGTAGATTTTTATTCATAAACAGCAAAGACTCAGTGTATGGAAGAGGATTAGTGCCACTATGAAAAAAAAGTCCAATATAAATTTTTAATTAATATTTTGAGTTTGAAGTCAGACCGACAGAGTTCTGACTTTTTTCTCAGAATAATACCTATATTTTCTTCAGGATTCTGACTTTAATCTAATAATTCTGACTTTTTTTCTCAGAATTAGGACTTTAATCTCAGAAAACGAACCATTTTCTCAGAACCCTGACTTTTTTCTCATAATTCTGACTTAAATCTTATAATTCTGACTTTTTTTCTCTTAATTCTGACTTTTTTTCCAGAATTAGGACTTTTTTTCTCAGAATTCTGACTTTAATCTCAGAATCCAGATTTTTTTCTTCAGAATTCTGTCAATAATCTCAGAATTCTGACTCTAATTTTAAAATTCTGACATTTTTCTGAGAATAGTTATAAAATAAAATCAGAACGGAATGTTGTTTTTTTTTTTTTTTTCCAGTGACCCTATCCCTCTTTACTAGTGTATTAGTGTATGCATGGGAGTTTTCATGTTTTGATGATAATAGTGTGTGTGTGTGTGTGTGTGTGTGTGTGTGTGTGTGTGTGTGTGTGTTTGTGTGTGTGTGTGTGTGTGTGTGTGTGTGTGTGTGCGTCTTACAGCTTGGTCCATGGACTTTGACGGGCTTGTCACTGTTCAGAGTGTGTGAGCACTGCTGACACACACATTTCTTCCCGCAGAAGGTCACCCTGTCTCCAATTGGGAACGGACTCCTGAGATCACAAACAGAAAAATTATGAGTGAAGCTGAGCAGACATGGTGCTGCAGAAATCATGATTAAAAAAAGTCAGTTCACCCACATCACAAAATCCCAAAACCACAGCACGCCATCTCTTATCAGTGCGTGTACTTTCTGTTTAATACAAGTTTGTGTGGTGTCTCAGATTTGAGGGGGACTGATATGACTTTGATGTTCACATAAATCTGGAAAAAAAAAATCAACTTATGTTCCTGTTTTCCTTTAATTCCTTTCCTTTAATTTGCTTAACTTATTTACTTAAAGTTCTGTTGACACCCCCTCCTTAAAAACACTCACACACAGCACAGGCAGCTTTGCTTCCTTTATGCCGTGTGTGAGTGTTTGTCCTGTTTTATCTTCTTTTTACGATCCTGTTTGACAATATTCATATTCATGCAAAGAAAAATCTAAAATTGTCAGCATTATACTTGGGCGTAGAAAAAAGTATAGTTGGGTTTCCTGCCCACGTATTGTCTCAGTGCTGTGGCTGTGTTTAATAACAGAGGGCCACCTATGGTTTCAAGAGGTTGTGTATAAACTTGCAAAGTCATTATGAGGTACCACAGAGCACAGTTTACTGCAAGAATCTAATTACTTGGTGTTGTTCTTAGGAGTCACACGTCTCAAATAAAGCAGGAGGATCCTTGAGGACACAACAATGGAACTGTAAACTCTTCACTTAACTTTCTTTAACTACCAAGTAAACAACTTTTACAATAAGGTTTACTTTACATCTTTCATTGGCCTGTTAAATTTAAAGGTTGTGACATTTTTCCTCACCTGCAGATGCTGCAGACAAAGCAGTGCGGGTGGTACGTCCTCCCCAGTGCAGACACCACCTCTCCGGTGATGTACTGCTCACAGCTGTCACACTGGGTCCCGTAGAGCCGCTGGTAGTCCTCTGTGCAGATGTATTCGCCAGAGTGGTGAAAGAACCCAGAGTGCACCAGATCACAGCCGCACACTGCAGAGAGAAGGAGAAAAGAAAAACTGAATCAGCTCGAATTAGAGCCCAGAAGTATGAGGCAGAGCAACCACACCGCAAAGTGCAAGGTGAGAAAGTATTACAGAGCCGTTAGTATAACTACTTCTGATTATCTTAATGAGCACATACAGTCAGTGTCTGTTGCTGCTGTAAATAGTCTCCATATTGTTTCCAGGGTATGTAGTAGGGCTGGGCGATAAACCGAAAATATACCGATACCAAAATTTACGACAAGAACTGACGTCATTTGGTGTATTCGGTGTTGTTTTTTTTGTTTTTTTTTGACAAAACTACACTGCTACTGGGTAGGGCTGAGCGATAAACTGAAAATTTACCGATAACGAAATTTACAACAATAACCAACGTCATTTTGCCCATGTCAATAAAATATAAAAACAAATCAAAGTTGGTTTTGGATGTGTGTAGGTCTGTTATGGTCTCATGTCCCTTTAAGACGCTGTCCTACGTAGGAGACGTGACTCCACCCCATCCAGTCCGTAAAAAAAGAGGGAAAGACAGGTGAGGAGATGGAGGATGGTTCAAAAGTTTTAGCGGCTGAAGTAGACAAAGTTATTGTGGGAGGGGGTGAGCAGCTTGTGGAGTAGTTATCGTCCATTTATCGTTATCAAGGTGAACTGATCAATATATCATGATATTGATTTAAGGCCATATCGCCCAGCCCTAGTATGAATTGTATTTTTGGGCGATAAGGCGCACCAGATTATACGGCGCACTGTGAATTAACATGTCTTTGTTCACACATAAGGCGCACCGGATTGTAAGGCGCATTAAGCATTGATTGGTTTATTGTTGCTAGCGTGTAATCCGGGCCCGGGCTGCCTTACATGAATGCACTTCTAGTTTAGACATTACAGTCAGGCAGAATTGTAGACCGCTTAGGGGTCCTGTTTTGGGACGATCAGTTCCTAACACAGGGTACCGTAATGCTCCGAATACCCATTGAGAGGAGCGGCTTACCAAACTCATACTTACATATTTCAACAGTTTTCTGAGCGCATTGTACCACATAAAATCGGTCAGCAAGCACAACAAGTAATCATACATAAGGCGCGCTGGATTATAAGGCGCACTGTCAATTTTTGAGAAAATTTAAGGATTTTAAGAGCGCCTTATAGACTGAAAATTAACAGCCCCCCCCCTCCATATATCAGTTAGTGTGTGTGTGTGTGAGACAGACAGTCTAGAGGGTGAGGGGCTGTTAGGAGAGTAGCCTGTTGTCCTTTTGACCTCAAAAGGGTTAATACTGTAATCTGGTTTCTGGGATTAGAGCAGTCACCATCTAATCTGTTAAATAATACAGTATGTCACGGTGATCTATGCATACAAAAACAAACACTCTGTCTAACATGTGGACTTCTACACAAACAGGATTTCATATATATGTGCATCTGCATGTGTCTAACTGTAGATTACATCTTGCGCATACGCCCGTGCATCCATAATGAACACACTAATGTTTATTTACAGAGACAGAGTTGTGAGGTAGATGCATGTCCAGGCACACAGATACACCCGCTGTGTTTACCGTATATACTGACAGCATGATGTATGGCTTTTATTTATTTAGCAAATGCAAAGTCTCTCAGCCAAATGATTGCTTCTGGTCCAGCTGTGCTAAGGGTGAGGGGGCTCCTGATAAGCTGGTTGGTTAGACAGTTTGAAAGCAACTGAATGATGATTTGCTCCAGTTATCAGGGAGGGAGGGAGGGAGTGAGGGAGGGGGCTGCTGTTGTTTCCCATCAGTTGTATATTAAAGAGCATAAAACAGCTTGAGCCAGTTGCGGAATAACAACACATGACTGTAACTGCATCGAGGGCACTGTACAGAAAAGGGATGTGACAGTATGAAAATTCTACCTCACGGTTGTTGTGACCAAAGTAATTATGGTTTTCGATATTATCGCGGTATTTTTAAAAATGTATTCAAAGGCATTGATTATTACAGAATTTTTGATACTTTTAACTGGTGCAAAACAATACCTTGTTTTCATTGTTTCATCATATCCAGACAGGATAAAAGTCTTCAACTAAGCATTTCTTCGACATCCCTACAAAACCCAAAATATGCCCATACTACCAACTTGGTCCTCTGAGAGTGCTGATGGATGTCTTCAGCGCTGTTGTCTCTTCCTTCCGCCATGATTTCATTTCAAACTCAATAGAAAGCCTTTTTCCAAATTTAGATGTTTAGAAGTATGGTGAAGACGTCTTTTCAACCACTTTTTGCTGGGTAGGAGATGTATCAGCATACATACGTGCAGTGCACCGTGGAGTGCACGCACTGAGTATTAGCATTAGGCGATCACACAGATGATCGATTAGCGAGATATCGTCCTTGATCACACAGCTGATTAATTAGTTATCGTCGGAGATCTCACAGCTGATCCATCACCCCCCCACACCACAGATTTTTGAAATTAAAACGGTATTCGTTATCATCAACATTTTTATCACAATTTACTGCTAAACCGGTTACCGTTACATCCCTCATTCAGAAAAGAACTACAGCGCCATCCACCCAGCAAAAAGGGGTTGAAAAGATGTTGAAAAGACGTCTTCACTATATCCCTAAACAACGTCTAGATTCGGACCATCGAAATACAGCCCAGTTTTTAACGTCTTTTTTGGGGCTAACGTGATTTAGCCTGAAAAAAGACGTCTTAATGACATCAGGTGTTCGGTGGGAAGAGTAAAAGACTAAAGACTCCTCGGCCAGTCTTGTCATAGTAGCTGCTTGTACTGTCATTCTCAAAACCACACTGGAGTTGCATCCTGAAATATTCTCCCCTTTACCTCGCTGCATCTTATTTCTTTCCCTATTCAATGAAAAATGAAAATTGGCCCAGTGTGCCTCAAGACAAAAGACGTCAAAATAAATGAAAGCACTGCTCGAGACCTTATCTGCTCACTCACACAGATGCCAAAGCACACAGCATGATACCTCTGATGTTTCAACATCCGTATAAAAACAGTTCCTTTATAGAAACCTGAAGTCAGACACCTGAATGAAAGCCAACAGATCAAGATATCTTACAGTGAATTGAAAATCTCTAATTTAACTAATGGCTCTAAACCCAGAGGAGTGAATGGATCCCCTCTGATCCAGGCCAGAGTGTTAAGTGGCTCAGGCTGAGAGAGGGAGAGAAGGGGGAGGTGGGAATAAAGGACGGGGGAAGAGAGGGAGAGATACTGTAGCAAGACGAGCAGTCCAGCTGCCTAATGTATGTCCACTGGAACCAACCTGAAGACATAGAGACGGTAAAGCAACATCTCAAACCCCTGTGAGGAGTTTTTAGCAAATCATGAAAAACAGACTCAGATAATGAAAGCAAACAGGATTATCAGCACAAGGATCGACTATTTCTGTCTGAAAGTGACACCAGGGCAGGTGACAGACTCTTCCTTAGTTTTTGCATTTTCCAGAACAAAAACCAGAACCGTCTTTTTTTAATCAGATTTGATCAATCTCTTGCTAGTCCCCGTAAATATTAGCTATGTTTTGAATTGTTTGCGTTTTAAAATCACGCGTTATGACGAGCTAGCTAACAAAGCTATAGCTATTGATAGCCACACTGATGTCTAACTGCTATTGCAAACAACAGCTAACAAAGGCTAAACGTTACAACAGTAGGATGTTTTCTGACTCGTTTACCAGTATTGTCACTTGAAAGCGAGGGGTACGATTATGATATGATTGTCATAGTAATGACACTTCTGTTATTAGTCAGATATTTAATCCTTTGCTAATCCACGTAAATATTAACATTTTTTTGAATTGTTTACGTTTTAAAATCGCACAGTACGACGAGCTAGCTAACGAAGCTGTAGCTATCGATAGCTACACTGATGTCCAACTGCTGTTACGAACAGTGGCTAAACGTTACAACACTAGGTTGTTTTCTGACTTGTTTACCGGTATTGTCGCATCAGCCTACGACACAGCGGCAAGGCATGAAGACGTTGTGGGAATCGAGTGGCGTCTCGTTTCTTAGGAGCGTGGAAGGGTAGACAAAGGAGTAAGACATAGGGGAAGGGGTAAGAGTGACAATTGGGACTGACCCATAGTGTTAAGTAAAGCCTACATGGATCATGATAACCCTGATCGAACCCTCATCGGAACAGTTCAAGCGTGCGCCTCATGTAGAGGCTATAACATTTACCCCAGCGGTTTATTAGATTCCCCTTCATGACAATTTGTCATGTCTTCTCCACTTTCTCCTCTCCACATTTCCTGTCTCTTTCCTGCAGTCTAATCCATTTAGGGCAGAAATGAAAAGTTTTCACTTGCTTTCGACAGAAATGCATTATGTACAAATTCACAAGAGTCTCAAGTCATTTGAAGTGCTTGTTGTTTCCGGCAAATAAGGTCACTTTGATTTTTGTCCCAAAACTGAAAGTTTTCTTTTTTTTCCCACTATATAGCCTGAAGTCAAAAAAAGCAGAACTAGGACATTGTTCTAAAAACAAGAAGTATTTCACAGTGTTTTTGTTTTCCTGCCTCCTCTGTCTCTGATATTGTGTTTTTGTCGGGGCAAAGCTGCTGTTGCACAACTTTTAAATGCCAGCGTGACCTTTATCAATCTGTGTGAGAGTAAATCTGCTCACTGTGGAAGACTTACACTTCTTTATGTACTGTACACACACAGACATAAACACAACTGTATGTGATTTATATGAGTTGCTGGATTTTAAAAGTCTCTGTATGTTGATGCGTTACAAGAATAAGGATTTGCCGAACCACAGCTGGGGTTGTGTGGTTTTATAAATAGACACTTTCACACATTTAAACAGGTTGTTTTTTCTCTTTCTCGACTGAGACATTTGAGGATGATCTCTGGGTCCTTCTCATCTCTTCTCACCACGCTGATAGCGCGCTCATGTTCATCACTGTCTGGGTGGAAAGCTGTTAAGGAAGGATAAAAACAGGACAGAGTGGGAGCTGTTTCTGTTTGTCCTCCCCTCAGAGGCCTCTGGTTTATTTGGATTTCAGATCAGACTATTTTCTGCAAACTGTCTTCAGAGACCAAGAACCACGGGTGAATTGTCATGACTTCGGTTAAACTGTGACTTTAAATGAAGCACCACAATGAGTTTAAACATTTGCCTCCAGTTTATGGTATTTACGAATGTTCTTCCTTCCTGTCTAGATCATTACTTGCGTCATACTAACTCTCAGACGTATACGGCTTTGGACAAAAAACACCTCTTGAATGAAAACATACAACTGCAGAAGAAAAATATATTTATAATTTTAACCGGAGAACAGATCAAATGTAAAATGTAAATGTGAATGTTCTTCATTTATAAAGCCCTTTATAACAAACCTTTCGGTGAACCAAAGTGCTTTACAATACATAGTAAATAAAAACAATAAAAAGCAATAAAAAAAAGAATAAAATACAATGCAATAAAAAAAAGTGTCACCACAGTACTGGGTATTAAAAGCCAGCATAAATAAATAAATATGTTTTTAAGTGGAGATTAAAAAAGGCCCTCTTGAATGAAAACATACAACTGCAGAAGAAAAATATCACCCCAGTGTTTGTGATTTGATCTGGGCAAATGTCGGCCTTAAACACGTTTTGTTTCCTTATAACATCAAATTATTCCTGATTTTGGTTAACTTCAGCACTGTCACCCTTTTTGAACTACTTTGGGGCTTGTATCCCTTTATTAAGACGAGAAACTGGGAAAGCAGGATGTGGGTATGACACGCAAAGTGTCAAGGGTCGGGTTAAACCTAAACCACCACCCACCAGGACTATCGTCACTGTATACAAGCTGTGTGAATGACCTTCGAGCAAAACTGGCACCTCTATGCTGTTGCGTTCATGCTAACAGCAGCAGGGGTGTGCAAAGCAGAGTCGCCTGCATGGACATAGACCATAGACTGTGAATAGACGCCATCTGAACAGCACCCTCTGGTGACCGGAGCTGTGGACACTTGATACAGCCTATGGCTGCAGTATTGGTCATAAACCCCGCCTCCTCCAGCAATCCCTACGGAGCTGTGGACACTTGATACAGCCTATGGACGTGCAAAGATTGCAAAGCTCACCCTGGGGGATACGCGGTTTGAGCAGAACGTCACCACAGCGACTCTCCCACTGAAAGCAAACTCTCATATGCGATATGCAGGCAGCACCCAGAGTACCTCTATGGTGAGCATGAGCGAACAACTCAGACAGAAATTTGTCAAATAATCGTTTCAAGTGTCATTAAAAGTGCGGAAAACTGTGTCTGAGCCAACATCATTTCATTGGGCTTTCATTTAGTGGTTCAATTATAACAGAAAGGCCACAGCAGACGACTCCCAGAATCTAAATGAGGCTGTGACAATCCGCTGCCATCCATTACCTCCCTCTGTCACATGACATTTCAGTCTTTCAGGGACGGTCAGGACAAATCTTCCTGCTGCCGCTTGAACCTGCTGACTGAAGCTTTATGTTCAAATGGGCTGAAGAGCTGTCAGCTGGCCCCGCAGCATTCCTGCCAGGAGAGACCTTATAACACCACGTGACCTCATCCTGACCTCGCCCTGACCCCACCTGTTGGCCCTGGCTGAGTGTTTGAGGTTGCTCCATGTGCTGAATCAGCACAAGCGCCTTCAGAGAAAGCAGGGACCTCAATGCAGCCTTTGAGTTCTCGCACATAGATTGATGATTAGGATCATCATGGATCAATATGATGATCATATACTTGTACTGAGAAAACAATAATATGGATGATCTAGGGCTGCACGATTTTTGCCAAATATAAAATCCAGAATTTTTTCTCTGAAATCTCGATTTTAGGTTTTGATTTTTTATTCAGTGGCAACGTCACCAAACTTCACTTTAAAAATACGTTTTTCTATCATCTCTCAAAACGAAACCACTGAAAACGATGTGGTGCATATGCCAAGCCAGTAAGTGGCGCTGTAGTGCTGCAGAGGAAATGCACAAAAGACAGAAGAAGAGTACAGAGCATGTGTATTAATGTTGTTTTGACCGGACACAAGCAGGCACCATAAAAGAGTTACTCTGTGTGTCACATGATCGTTTCCAGAGACGCAGATAGACATCCACACGGAGATGAAATGGTCGTCGTTTACAGATTTATGCACTCTCTGACCCGTTTCCACAAAAGTAATGCGTTTCCATGTGGACGAAACGCTGATACGGCAAAAAACTTTTGCCTTTACTCCTGAATTAGTTTCCGTGTGGACGTGTTGATACTGCCTTCAGACAGACTTTGCAGGGGGGAGTGGTTTGCGCTTCATCTGAGACTGCAAAGTTGTACCAATTTAACACCACTGACTTGCTCTTGTACTATTTAGTCACGAAATGATCGCCTTCTTTAACAAACGCCATGTTTGTTTACACTGGTGTGTGTGGGAACTGGGAGGGGGGAGCCTACAGTGGCCTGGAGGTGCGAGACATGATAGAGAGGAAAACCGATTTGACGATTTTAATTCTTTTAACATCGTCACAAACAAATAATCCGATTACGATTTAAAATCGATTTATCGTGCAGCCCTAAAATGATCAGATGTATCGTGGTTACTTCATTATATGTTCCCAAACAGTCAAACATAATCTTAGGGCTCAGTCCAAAGATGTCACAGCGGCTCTTTAGTTTCTTTTGTTGCAGGAGGATAAAGAAAAGTTCAATTAAGTTCATGTTTCTATGGGGAAGTTTCATTCAGTGCTGCTTCTGTCTGGATGAAAGTTTCTTAAAATCAGTTGTAGAGAAATGTGTAAATCCTGGAGTGGATGACCTGAAGGTTGGAACTAGATTTCAGGTCATAAATCAAATAAATGCAAAACAATGACTCAACAATTTCTTCACTCTTCTCGTTATCCTAGTATCTAATCCATTTTCACTATCAGTCCTTCGCAGCCTGCTACGTTCCCCCTCATCTGCTTAACTTGAGGGGTTCAAGGGTGGGCGGGGGGTGGAGGTTAAGCTGCAGTTTGAGGGGAGCCACAGGAGTATTGAAACACTTTCCCTCTACATCCATTAGCGATGATTTGTAGACTATAAAACCGAAAAGCTCCAGGTCTGGACACACATCACAAAACAAACACACACACACACACACACACACACAAAACAGGCAGAAAGAAACCAGATAATGATTTCTTTGTTTACTGCCAGCGGCACAAGCGAAGGGTCGAGGGATTGAGAGGGAATCAAAAATGTAGGGTTACAAATGAAGACGGATTAGAAAAAACGAGGACTCCTGGAGGCCTGATACACATGTCGACTGTGTCATCTTTCTAATTCGGCTTCCAAATACACAAAAGAGCATGCATTGAATAACACAAGAACACCAGCACACTGACCCACTGTTCAAATGTGCGTGAGAGCGCATACACACACACACACACACACGTACCAAAGATTGAACACAACGGAGCTGATACAGCTGTTAAAGCTTCGGTTTGTCCTTGAAGTCTCTGCTGAGGAAAGAGGGAGACCATCCGTGACTGCATGTACAGCTGAGAGTACACTAATACTGATAAACTGCTCCTGTTGTGCCTTGGACTGAAAAAAACACAAACTGGTTTCAAACAAAAGTGGGTCAGGCCCTGCAGTAAGCTGTTATGTGTCTTTTTTTTTATTCGACTTCGAAGGTGAAGACCCTGCGGTTGTAAATCCTTAAAACAAAATTGCGAGTATCTGCTGTATATTTGCTTTAAGGTGAAACATCTTGTTCTGTCTCTGGAAGTGTCTGCACTGTGAAAAGTCAGACTGTTTGTTTGGGGTATTTGATTTCAGATGCCGAAAGGTCAAAAATGATGTACACGGTTCAATAGTCTGGTGCAAAAAGCCAAGAGGGGGAGGATTATTTTGGACACGAGGCCCAGACGAGACGTGGTGAGAAGAGATGAAAGGGAAGACATGTGTCGAGGGAGAGATTAGAGGAAGAGGAGGAGGAGGAAGGGAGAGCGCGTCATATGTGAGGAGAAAGAGAAGAAGATGGCGAAGTGTGGGTACAAAGAGGCAGAGACGGGGGGACCCAGGGGAGATATCAATGAGGCGATCGATCTGTCCATCCAGCGTGTGCCTGCCGTCCTGTCACCGTCTGCCCTCATTTATTCATCAACGTGGGACGGATATCTTTGCTGTGGCTCCTCTGAATTTGGATGAGTGTGATCAGGATAGATGGACGTACCAGGGGGGATCCAAATGAGCCTCAACATCCAATGTGGTCCATATACAACATACAGTAAGGATGGACTGGACCCGATGAAAATTAGCCTTCAAGTCACATCGATGAGTTACGGGTGAGAATCTGCACACCGGGCAGGATATGGAGCCAACTCTTCAGAACTGTCATCGTTTTCCTTTAAATGGGGACAAATTCAGAAATGTGCTCCTTTATATCTTCAGATTTTATGAGAGCGGAGAGATATTTGCAGAGTTGCATTTTTATTATGAGGGATTAGATTACAGGGATTGGCCTGTTTAAACACACTCGCAGTATGTTTTATGTTCTTACTCCATACTGCTCTTAAAACAAACAGCAGTCTGAAAAGTACCTCACTGGTTTTGAGGCAGTTTACTTTGATAAATCGTACATTTTAAAGATCGACTTAGAGTGCATTTCTTTAAAGCTCATATGAGGAGTTTTTTAATGTTTATGATATAGACTCAAATTCATAGCGACGCCTTTTCATGATCTCCCCAAAAGGGATATTCACAATGAGACCAAACACGACTCACCCACTCTCCTCCAGCAGCCTCTTGTTTATGGGGGAGCCCTGATGAGTCGATCACAGAGTGCAGTGGAGTTTCGCAGCTCAAGGAAGAACATTTATGATTATTACTTCATGGAAATGATCCGCTGCACTCAGTGATCGACTCGTCAGGGCCCTGTATGTTTTCGGCTTAAGTTGACGTTACGTTTTTTTTTTGACCACAACTTAAATTTATGCCAGAATATCCCTTTAACTAGCAGCCAGTGAAATTAACAGTCCAATGACTTTTCTTAGGTGGTCTGTGAGAATCAGGGGTTTCAGCTTTATCAGTGTAGACATACACCGTTTGCTTTAATATTAACGAACAGTACTAAAAACATCTGTGAAAGTGAAAACTCCATTCTACTCTGTATCTGCACTCCTAAACTGGTTCTTTTCCAATCAAATTACCCGTTCAGAAATAAGTGTTGTATAATATACTTAAATTTTGCCATCTCATCTCTCTCACTCATCTGTTTCCATTCCTCCTTTATCCCAAATCTCCTCTCTCATTCCCTCTCTTCAATCTCAAATAGCCGCTCTAACAGGAGATTACACAGTTACCAAACAAAGATGCACTGTAACCCTCAACGCTACAGACAAAGGATGTGAGATGAGAGAGAGAGAGAGAGAGAGAGAGGGACAGCTAGGGGGAGAAAAAAAAATAATGAGCTCTTGTACTAAAAGAAGAAGATTTGATATGTGTCCTCTTCATTAGCTGAGATCTACTCAGGCCCTGATCAATTAGCTAAAAGTCATTAAGCTTACACTGCAAGAATAAACATCCACAGTAGTAAATACTCCTATATCAAAGAGGAAACATATCCATCGATAAATCTGGTCATCACAGGATAAAGGAGTAAATAAAAACAACTAAACAGGAAGGTCCTCTTTTTCTCTCGCTGTGTGTATCCAGGAGATGCTTCCGGCAGATCGCACACAGAAACAGTGATGTCTCGCGGCGCGCTCTGGGACTGTGCGAGTCCAGGCCTGTGAAAAAGAGGTTAGCTGGTTGGGGTCTGTCGACGCACTGAAAACCTGCTGACTGCACTGCATAGCCAGCTGCTGACTGCAGACCTCTATTTGTGAGCTCTGTCCCACCTGCTCACCGGTGGAGCCCGAATATGCAAACACACAAACACTGACCTAAAGCATGTTCACACACAGACAACCGCACACTCAGGTACAGTAAGTGGACAAAACCAATATGGCTGGATTGGAAGTTCCTGCTGGGAGATTTTGACACAGTTATACTGCTGCTGGCAGGGCTTGACACTAACTTTTTTCACAAGGAGCACACAAGGAACTTTAGGGGCACAACGAAAATTGATCCAATAATGTGTGTCTCATTGGTCGACATAAGTGCTATTATTTGAAATCAATTGTAGGTCTGTTGGTCACATGACATGGAGGCTATTGAAGGAAAACAGCCTTTTTTTGAGAACATCAACCGGTAATTTATTGATGGTCCCTTATTTAACACGCAACGTTGACAGCGAGGGTGCCAAGTAGATGTAACCGCTCTGCTGTTGCCATTCCCGGTTATGGAGAGTGAGAAGACACCAGTAGATCCTCAGTGAATGTCCGTCGGATATCCAACCTAAAACTAACTTCACTGCGGTATTTACACGAAAAACATCTGTTGTGCCCCTAAATACATTTTACAATTCACACACACCGATTTTTGGTCGCAAATGCAAGTGAAATGGTTCCCCTGTCGAGCCCTGTACTGGGTAGGGCTGGGCGATAAAGCAAAAAATTACAGATACCGAAATTTATGACAATAACCTACGTAATTTTTCCAATATCGGTATATTTTGTGTCAAAAAATGAACAAACAACAGTTGGTTTTGGATGTGTGTAGGTAGGCTATGCTCTCATGTCCCTTTAAGACACTGTCCTACGTCAGAGACGTGACTCCACCCCATCAAGTTCCATTACAAAGAGGGAAAGACAGGTGAGGAGATGGAGGACGGTTCAAAAGTTGTAGCGGCTGAAGTAGACAAAGTTAATGTGGGAGGGGGTGGGCAGCTTGTGGAGTAGTTATCGTCCATTTATCGTTACCACGGTGAACTGATCAATATTTTGTGATATTGATTTGCGGCCATATCGCCCAGCCCTACTACTGGGCCAACAAAGACGTCTCCACCTTCTGCTGGATGTGAAGAAATCTCATTCCACCTTTTGTCTCAGGCGACACACAGATGTCCAATTATTGAATATTTCTCTGCTCTACTGCAGTTTGACTTTGATCCCGGATAAGTTCAGTTTCTATTTATACAGGCAGAGACAGAGACTGTCACTGATTCAATTGTGCTGGTTCCTTTTTGTCTGAGTGCCAGTAATTATTTAACATCCAACTGTGCTAAATCGACGTGGGTGGAATCCACACATTGTATGTTGTGTGTGACTGCAGGAGTGGAGAATAAAAGAGCATGTTCCTCAAGTGTTTATGGAAGATTTTAGCAAGTGCAGGTGAGTAGAGGATGTGTTTTTTACCTTGACAGGTGAAGCAGTGAACGTGGAAGTGTGTCTTTTTGACACGCACCACCTCCCCACGACAAACTTCTCCACAGCGCTCGCATACGATCGGCGAATTCCCCCGGCTGGAGAGAGGAGAGCTGCTGTTGTTGTTCCCTCCGTACAGACCTGCGTGGTACTGAACTAAAGAGAAGAGAGGAGAAGATCAAACATGTGCGATTGTCATTTTGAAACCTTTGTTTACGTCTTTTAGATGCATCCAAACAGCTGATCAAAGTGTGACAACCGTAAGCAACCACCACCATGAAGAGACACGGGATCTGACGCGTTTTATTTGTCAGAGACACATCTCGTTACAGGAGCATGTGACAGCTGAGCGAAGGCTCTCATGAATTATGTATTTAAAAACAACTGCTCAGGTACGTATATGTGCAAATATATGTAACTCTCAAGCATCAGCTGAGATGCAGAATTTTCTTCCGTGGAAATCTCGATTTGGTCTTCTGATATAATTAGCACTATTTACAAATTAATAAGAGATAAGATATTCCTTTAATAGTTCCACATAGGGGTGTCCAAATACAACTTTTTTACTTTCGATATGATACCAATATTGGCCGATACCGATATTGATCCGATATTGGCACAAAATTGTGCATGACAAGTTTTTCACTCAGCTGCAATGTCTTTTTCGGACTGTAACGAAAAATACTGCCACACGGCCCACATCACTCCGACTCCTTTCTACTTTGTTGGTACTTTATTCTGCATTCAAGTTACCTCAGAAGTCAGAAGTCCGAGCTAAAAATGACGTCACACACGAGTAACCAGCGTTTCTGTTACAAAGGCGGAAAAAAGCAAAATCAAAGGCGGAAACAAGATGGCTACATCTCCAAACGTTATTTTAGCGCTTGCCTTGTCCAAATACAAGCAAAGACAAGGCAAGCGCTAAAATAACTTTAGTAAATGTAGCCATCTTGTTTCCGCCTTTGATTTTGCTTTTTTCCAACTTGGTCACTGAAACGCTGGTAACCCGGGTGTGACGTCATTTTCAGCTCCAACATCTGACTTCCGAGGTAACTGGAACGTAGCATTAGTACACACTGTTGTTGTGATCACTAGGGCTCTGCATGCTGGAACAGGGCGCTGCTAGCTAGAGGTGCTAGAGTGGAGTCTGAAATGGACTGCCTGTAGGGGAGTGCTGATATCTGAGATTTTGGATGCGGGCCAATATAATCTGATATTTGTTTTTTTGACTGATATTGGACCAATATCAATATCGTATCGGGACAGCCCTAGACCCACGGGGGGAAATTCCAAAATTACAGCATCATAAATACAGACACAAAAAGAGAAATTAAAGGATAAAGAAACTTAAAGTTAAAAAAGATATGTATATGAGTCTTATTTACATGTGTACAGAATATACATATTATATGGTTTAGTGCACACTGAGGTTTCTGTCGTGAAGTCTGACAGCAACAGGTAGTAGTAACCTGTGATACCTCTCTGTCACACACTTGGGGTGGAGCATCCTGTCTCTTAAGGAGCTCCTCAGTGCAGTGAGTGTGTGTTGGAGGGGGTGAGAGTCTCTAATACTGTGGTGTCCAATTTAAATCGAACAATACTGCAAAAATGAAAGATAATGCATTTTTTTAAAAACTAGGAAATTTAAGTGTTTACACCGTCAAGGAGATCATCCGGTATAGACAGGAGATGCTTAACTTAAATTGAATTACTTAATTGAATTATAATTGAATTATTAAATTATTTTTGCCATAATGTAGATTTGAGATAATAACTGTCACACTAAGTTTATTACATCGATGCTGCTTGGTGCACTCAGTATTCTGCAGCTCTAATTTGTCCCTTTTATGCTATTAAAGTCAGAAAGGACCGCACTAAGAGAATCATATTGTACAATAAACAGCCACATGTTCGTATGACAATAAAGCTTTCAATTTTTAATATTGAAAAAGACATAAAGAGCATGACGTACATGTACACACACACACACACACACACACACACACACACACACACACACACACACACACACACAATCAGAGAGCACAAAGGGAACAGTGAAGTCCTTTTGGGGATTACACCTTCATCCTCGGTTATGAAACTGGTCAAATCCCTCTTAGAGACACAAGTCCTTTCTTTACACTGCCCGGAACGCACGCACACACACACACACACACCTAACACACACACACACACACACACACACACACACACACACACACACACACACACACACACACCTAACACACACACACAGCTTTGTCTTTGTCATGTCAGGGCAGTGACTGAATGATTTTCAATGACGTTTGATCGATGCTGATTTTGCATCACTGCAGTCAAGCGCACTAAATAATCAGACCAACAGTTACATCGCACTCTGCTAAATTCAATTAAATTACAGTTAATGCTGCTGCATCATGGAGTATTACGCAATTGAAGCACTCACACTCACAAGCACACACACACACACACAAACACAAACATGCATACATGATGGCGGCAGGTTAAGCTGCTGACAGCAGGAGAGAGAGACAGTGAGAGTGTGTTTCTATAAATGTTTTCAGGAGAGGAAAAAAGAAAGCTGGAACACAAATGTTTCCTAACAAATAGTATCATCACTGTGTGTGTGTGTGTGTGTGTGTGTGTTTTAGTGTGTGTGTTTGAGAGTGTGTGTGTATGAACCACAGAAGTTGGCACCGGTCCTATAGCCAGATGGCAGCATGAGGGCTGAAACCACAGACATAGAAAGATCTGAGCCACCTGTGTGTTCGTGCAAGAGTGTGTGTGTGTGTGTGTGTGTGTGTGTGTGTGTGTGTGTGTGTGTGTGTGTGTGTGTGTGTGTGTGTGTGTGTGTGTGTGTGTGTGTGTGAGAGAGAGAGAGAGAGAGAAATCGACAGAACAACCAAATATGTTATTTTTGTTTGCATTTGTTATTTTTAGTTGGTCTAAATTTTTTTATGATTCTGTGAAGTTGAAACCATGAAGCTCGTGTTTTTGGAGGAGTTTGATTCCCGAGTCCAAAACTGACCGGCTGTCATCAGGTGATGTTCTGTTCACACGGCCTTTAACTCACATCTACAACAGCGGTCCCCTACTTCGCTCACTTCTTACTCTTCAAAATAAAGCTTCAAAGAGGACATGTCCAGCCGGGGATTAATTCTACTCTCTACTTCACATCGTTAATTCATAAACAGATTTTCTGCGACAGAAGTGAACGCCAGAGAAGCTCTGGGAACCATGTCCTAGTTATGTTTCTCCGGTCCAATTTTAGAAATAACTTCCATTGAGAAAAAAAATGCAGAAACCAACTTGAAAAAAAGAGGAAAAATCTTTAAAAAATTACACTTTTTATTCTCATGAGTTTAAGACAACTGCTATGTCTCCTCAGGCTGACGTGATGATGGACATAACAGACGCCATCATGATGACTTTCACCAAAAAAGTCACTGATTTTCACTTCTTTTTAATTCTCTCAGGAGAGGCCTTCAATGTCTGCAGTGTTTGGCAACAGCATGCATTAACTCTGACCTTTCACCTTATGGATTAACAGGAAGAGCAAAACCATAAGGTCGCCCGTACTGTAAACCAAATCAGTCAACCAAAAAGTAATCCCTCTCCTTTCTGTGGAAGGTATTTGAGGCTTCACTGTCGCTCAGCAGCAGCGGCCCCTCTGCTGTGCTGACACAGTCATAATGTGGGTGAGTGCAGCCCCAGAGGAGCCCTTATATAAGGTTAAACACCCCTTGAGGTGAGAGCTATAAAACCAGGGGCTCCTGGGGAGTGTAAGCAGCTGCCTGGTGTCTGTGTCATTTCTGCAGCTTCACTGTGTTTTGGATTCGGGGATTTAGTGGTTTCATTTTATTAAAAAACTGCAGTATGAGGGTCTGTGGTTACACGTAGGCAGATATTAATATGTGGACGGCTAAGGGATGACCGCAGATGTGTTATTCTGTCTTCTGGATAGCTGAAGCAGACTGATTTGTTTTTATTTTTTATTGCAACAAGTAATAGTTTCTCAACATATTTTCATTCAGGGAGTAAAAATCTCTCTTTGCTGAACTGTATGACATGGGTGAAGTTATCTTGTCCAACGACTGTGATGTTTGCCTTTAAGACCACAATCTTTTAGTAGAACTGGGCGATATATCGATCTAAGAAATATATCAATATATTTTACAATAAGATATGGAAATGGACCATATCGCGATTAAATCGATATTAGGGATGTGCCGATATACGATTTAATCGCGATATTAAACAGCCGCGATGACGAAATCGTAAGGTACTGTAACAATCGTTCCACAATTATAATTTAAGACGAGTGGCAGCTTATTATTGACCACGTTAGTGACATTTCTGCTAACTTTAGCTCCAAAAAGCTAATGCTCCCAACGTCGCGTTAGCTGCCTCTTGCTCATATTTGTTTGTGCGTGTCATGCTGTGCACAGAGAAGTGATTTCGCAGTTTTTTGACATTTTTAATAACACTAAAAGTAATGCGCTAATATCATGTTAATATCGTGAATCGTGATAGTTTGGGCCACCAATATCGTGATATCAAATTTTTCGTATCGGCACATGCCTAATCGATATACAGATATCAGATGCTGTTTTTGACGGGCTGGCGGAGAATAAGATTTGATTTCACTTCGAAAATGTTACTCCATTTGAAAAGTTCCGCGACTTATCCTGTAGATGGCGCAGCAACCTCATGACAATCTTCATCCACTAACTACCTCACAGCACAGCAGAGTGACGGATCTGAAGCAGGCAGCTCAAGCTAAAGTTAGAGTTACCAGTAGTACCAGTAGAATAAACAACAGTACACATCACGTGATCGAGCTACTTCTCTTACTGAGGCAGCTGCATGACTACAGATTAGACCGGACCGGAAATGAGTAACGTGAGTTAAGACGCGGAGGCACCGATCTCCGGGGGAAATTAAAAATCGGCTGATTAATCGGTAATCAGATTTTTTTCTCCCTTATGATCGGTATCGGCATCGGACCCAAAAAATCCATATCGGTCGGGCCCTGGTTGAGAAGATGAGAAGATTAAGAAGATAAAAAAGACAGCTCGGTAATCTCAAATTTTTGTTTAAAAACAATTTTCCTAAACTGAGCACTTTATTTTGTTCTGTCTTTACACATGTAAATGTTGCCCTTACTAGGGTTTGTCATATTTAATTCTTTCGTAGTGTTCGTTGTTTGCATCTGTGGATTTGTTCGAGAGGAGAAGAAAATCTGCAATTTGATTTTAATTGGCCATTTATAGTTGTCAAAATGTTGATGTTTTTCTCATTTAAATAAATTTATTTCAGAAAAAGATTGGCCTATTTTACTTTATGGGATATTGTTGTTTAAGATATATTTTTTCATTTAAATGTGCACCTTATAGAGCTCCAATTTAAAAGGTACTCCCGTTGTTGTACAGTATTTATGTTCACATTTTAATCTTTTTTGAACAGCTGAGCATAATTTAATCCAATTTCAGACTTGTGACATGTCATATTCAACTGTGACTAAAAATCAGGATATATATCGTCCCCCTAAATATATTGGGATATGACTTTTGCTCCATATCGCCCAGCCCTATCTTTGAATGCTGAAAACATTAATGAGGTTCCCCTCCATCAATAGCCTGCACAATATCAGCCTCTGTTTCTTTCCCTCCACTGACAGACAGATAATGACAGGATGAAATGCAGTGTCAATAAGCAAGTCAAGTGATCAATAACCACAGTGAAGGGCTGTTTGTGTCTACTTCAACTTAAAACCTCCCAGGACACTATGGTATTGATCAGGCTGAAGCACACCCGCAGAGTGTACACCCACACATGTGCCCCACAAACAAACATACACACATGCAGGCTAACCATGCATTGCTTACCATTTGTAGGTCCACTCATGATGTGAGGAGCAAGTCCAGCAGCTCTGAATCCTCAGATTTTTTGTAAAAGTCAGTTCATTTGAGCTCTTATTCTTCGGTTGTGCCCAAATCTTCCTCCTCCCTGGTGCTGTCTCACTTCTAACTCTTCCTCTCTCTCTCTCTTTGTGCCAGTCTAAAAAGGGCTTTCCCTGCTCCTCCCGGGAAGCGGATTATACAGCCAGCCGGCAGACTACTGTACCCATCCACCCAGAGTAAAGACAGCCGCTTTAGCCGGAATTAAATCGAAACTGACTGATAGTACCATCCTCCTCCTCCTCACGCCTTCAGCTGCGACCTCTCCCAGCCAACAAGCCCCGGCCAGCAGTCCTCTGGTTCGGCGTCCATCCCTCCCTTGTGAAGTCAGAGCTCTCCCTCGGACGCAGACATGCCTTGTGCTCTCCGGAGTGATGCCTGCTGAGTTTGTGAGGAGGGTTTTCACTCTCTCCCGGAGCTGTCAGCGTCTTTCACCGGGGCAGTACGAGCCTCCAGCCCGCGGAGCGACAGCGCCGAACAGCGTCCGGTCTCCAAACTGCCGTCGAGGATTTCCATCCAGTACTACTTTACTCCTCAGCTTACTTAAGTCTTTAACTGTTAAAAATAAAATATCCGACAAGTTTGCTGAAGTTACAACTTTAACGATGTTAACGGTTTGAATTTAAAGTTGACCAAATAAAGATGGTGGACCTACAGGGTTTCTTTTCAGGGGCCAAATACACACATTTTTAAACAATAAAGCTCTATATTACCAAAAGTAACCTCACAACAGTAGTGCAGTTGGTCTTCGCGATCTACCGTTAAAAAATATTTAAATTTCTAACATTACAAACAAGTTTAAACCCTTTTATTACAAACCTGTCCGACCGTTTGCCATTAGCTTCTCCGTACCGTAACTCCTGTAGCGTAAGCGCAATTCAAAAAATTCAAACGGTAAGTAGAAAACGTGAGTTTTTCAGCTATTAAGTGTGCTATATAATCTATATCCAGGCGGACTACACATAACAGGTAACAAAGAGGGTAAAGTGGAAAATCAAACATTCTTCCTTACAACTTTAACGATGCTAACGGTTTGAATTTAAAGTAGACCAAACGAAGATGGTGGACCTACAAGGTTTCCTTTCAGGAGCCAGAAACATATATTTTTAACCACCAAATCTCTATTTGTCCAAAACTAACCTCTAAACAATATTGCGGTTGGTTTTCAAGATCTACCACTTAAAAATATTTGAATTTCTAACATTACAGACAAGTTTAAACCCTTATTTTTTACCAACCTGTCCAACCATTCGCCATGCCTACTTGTCGCTAGCTTCAACGTACCGTTACTCCTGTAGCATAGGCGCATGTAAAAAGAAAATAAATAAATAATAAAAAATAAAAAATAAAAATGTAAGTAAAAAACTGGGAGTAGTCCAACGATGTATAGCATGGTATATCTATCTTTACGGCAAAGTGTCATATGATAAAAATAAATCCAGGCGGACTGAATATAACAAAAAAAGGTAAAATGGAAAGTGCAAAAAAATTGTCATATACCATTTACAAAATGTATAGGTAAAAAAGAAAATACCAACAAGGCAAGAGTTCCACTATGACTCAGGATTGTCACTCAAGGGAGAGAAGAAAGAAAAAAAAACGCAGCAGCGACACAGAAGTCAGTTTGGCACTTACCTTCCATGGAACAGACTCCATGCTTACAGAAAGGCCCAGGCAGCCTTCTTTTAAGCCCCCTCTAGCCCCTCCTGGTGGGCGGTAGCAATCAAATACGTTTGAAAAAAAAAAAAAACTTTATTCACATTTAACCAATTTTAACATTCAGACCTTTTTCTCTAAGTTTTTGCCATTTTAACTAAGTTTTTTACAGAACTCACTGGAGCATTCATTTTTAGGGATTCGTGGAAAACAACAATGGAATAATTTTTTTCTTGCATCATGTGACCGCTTTGACCCGCCGTACACACCTATTTTACACCCGGAAATCGCGCGCTCTGTTTCCTTATTTGGAAACATGATCCGGCATGATGGCGTGAATGGACACCCGGCAGGTAAGTGGAGAGATTAATATCTATGTGAATAAATGTTTAAGTTAGTGATGGGCAAACGAACCTTTTATAAACCACTGAACCACTTGAAGCAATCGGTTCAAAATGGTTTGAAGATTCAAAGCTTCAGTGATAATGACATCTGGTGGCGAAAAAGCTAGAACTGCAGTCAAATACTATGGCTTTTAGACAGTAAAACAATAGTATGTATGCACACGTACATGAAACATGGTGTTTATACTTGCGTATAATTGTTTGAACGGATGAAAGTGGCACCTTTAGGAATCTGGAAATTGCACCCAAGGATGAACCAGGCTTGTGTAGGTCCACAGTTCTTTTCCTGATATCTTGGCAGAAGCAGTGTGTTTCAGGTGTGCCCTAAAATACATCCACAGGTGTGCCTCTAATTAACTCAGATGTTGTCAATAAACCTATCAGAGGCTTCCAAAGACATGGTATCATCATCTGGACTTTCCTAAACTGTTTAAAGGCATAGTCATCTCAGTGTATGTAAACTTTTGACTCTCGAGAAAGTAATAAAAAAATGTCTAAACAATTCTCTCTCTCATTATTCTGGCATTTAGCATATAAAAATAATTTTGGTAATCCTAATTGACCAAAAACAGGAAAAGTTTAATCTGATTTAATGTTAGATGGTGAGAAAAAAAGGTTATGTGCCTTTTTATATAGTCTATATAAACTTCTGGTTTCAACTGTATAGCTAAATATTCTACACACTGTACATTTAAGACTTAAAGGTAAACATGAAATAGGCCTTTTAACCAATCATGTATTTATGGTAGTTTATGACAGTTACCGGGCTGTTATTTCCATTAGGACAATATTGTTGTAGAAATGTTTCATTCATAGATAAATTTAACCTAGATTAACTGTTGAGTTGACTCTAAATAGCTCGTGTGCTTATAGGTATGAGTGTGTGCATCAATCATTGTTGGTTTGTTTGTGTGTTAGTCCTGTGATAGACCTTTCCACCCCCTGTTCACCCAGTTTCTGCTGAGATTGGCTCCAGTGCCCTAATGAGATAAGTGGAATAAGTGATGAATGGATGGATGCATAGACATAAATGGATACAGGACCAAAAAAAAGTACTCTATAAATTTAAGTAAGGTTGTAAATGAAAAATAACACTCAAAGTTAAACGTTTTTCACTATGTTGACGATGTTGGGTTCAGCACTGAGTCCTGCAGGTGATGTACCTGGAACTACCTGGACGTTCTTATATATTTTCATTGTTCAGTCTTGATGAAACTGATAATTTGACAGATGGATGAATAAATACAGAACTGTAAACAAAAGTTTTAAGCAACAGAAAATCCAAATATCTGTAGTGACACGTTCCTACCATAAGGTGGCAGCATGAGTGCAGACTGTGCTGGTTGTAGATCAGAGAAGGCCTTTGAATTATAGAAGTAAAAAGTGTGCGGGGACGCCCTCTTACTTATCTGGGTACTACAGTGGTATTACAAGCACTAAAAATGAATATATTTCACATGTAAACTTAAATTTGTAAGGGATGGTTCAGACTTTTATGCATTTAACTAATTCATACTTGAAACTTTTGAAATCAAGACATGAGCCAAACAGTCTGTTCGTCAATCATCTTTGTATTTTTCTGTTTATTTTTGTAGGTTCAAGCACTGATATGAGTTAATTTCCTGTATGTATGCAACATCTCTCCAACACAAAAGCCTATTTGTGAAGTTACCCACAGTCTCACTTCCATGTGACCCGAAACAATGCGAAGGATACTTCCTGCAAACACGGATGCTTCCTCATACCCCCTGTTGAGGTTTCTGCACAAAGTGAGAAAGGTTGAAAGAATGATACTATAGGGTGACTGTTTTGATTACTGAAAACCAGGACACTCAAATGTTATTTAAAGTTTACTCAAAGATGCCTTATGATTTCAGTAGATTTAAAGTATGCCTCCTCTGTATGGATAGGAAATTGTTATATTACCAAATACTATTTACTTCACAAATTCAGATTCATGTTTTATTATGACAAGATTCAAAAATAATTAATGGAATAATGATAGAAATAATGTCTCTTCTGTATTAGACATTAAAATAATAATGACGAATAACTACTTAAACAAAAATATATTGATCGATTTAAAAGCATCAGTTGATTCCTTGTGTTTCCAGTCTGGTTTTACGTCCCTAGTTTTCCCTCCTTTGTTAATCACCCATGAGTCTCACCCGTGTCTCGTCTGCCTCACCTGTTGCTCATTTCCCAGTGTGTACATGGTCCCTGTCTTCCAGTCTGTCTTTGTCGCTTCTTTGTGTGTTGTGTCTGCCTGTTCCACATGATCCCAGATCTTTAAATCCCTAGTCTCCTTGTGATTTTTTTTCCCCAGTGTCTTTTGTTGAATTTTGCCTTTTGGAAGTTTTTGTTGCTTTTCATTGAGTTCTTTTTAATACATCCTTTTTTTGTCCCTTTCCTTTGTTTAACCTTGGCTTCATGACAAATACGCCCACTAGTTAAATCCTATGTAAGCCAGAAGGACCTTGAAAAAGTTATCCATGCTTTTATCACGTCTCGCTTAGATTATTGTAATTCCCTGTACATCAGCATTGGCAAGTCAGAGCTCAACCGCTTGCAGCTCATTTACAATGCTGCAGCTCGTCTCCAAACTGCGACTAAGAAACAGGAGCACATAACTCAAGTGCTTTCCTCTCTTCACTGGCTCACTGTTAGGTACAGGATCAATTGTAAGATTCTTTTATTTGTTTTTAAGTCTCTGAATGGGCTGGCCCAGGAATATCTGTCTGACCTTGTTAAACTGCAAAAGAAAAAGTCCAAGTCCTGTAAAATTTCAGGCAGATCGGAAAAAGTTGATGGAGGGGGCGCTAGCAAGCCGAAAAAAAAGCTTTTTTTGGGTCACTTTAAAACATTGTGATTTTTGCCAGGCCTGACCTGCCTGCAAATTTGACCGGCCTGCCTGACGGGTCAAATTTGCGTTTTCGGGCGGCGTAAAATAAAAATTATTAATAATAATAATAATGATAATAATAATGATAAAAGCAAGTCTAAAGGTCCTTACACACCGGGAACAACGCAAATATACGATGCAAAATTACAAAATATTTGGAGGCTAATTTTGGCGCACCTGACTATACACGTCAAGCGTGATACGATTTTGTGACTTTCCGGGGGGAAAAAAGACTGTTGGCTGTCTGTCATGATAGCATGTACTGAGTCAGGGCCAGTACCAGATAAACACATTAAACTATAATCCATAAACGTAAGGTAACAACAGAGACCTAATGGTGCTGTGACAGCAACGCTGTGATTGAGTTTGAGACAGTGAAAAAAACATATGGTATGTTGTATCTGAACAGGTTAGCTTATGAGCTAAAGTTACTTAGCACAGATGAAGGTTAAAACAAAGACGTTTAGCAA